AGGATGACAGGACGGTTCAGGATGACAGGACGGTTCAGGATACCAGGATTGTGTAGAGAGTTTAGGATGGCAGGACGGTTCAGGATACCAGGATTGTGTAGAGGAGAGTTTAGGATGGCAGGACGGTTCAGGATACCAGGATTGTGTAGAGGAGAGTTCAGGATGGCAGGACGGTTCAAAATATTTAGAATTGTGTCCAGGAGCAGCAGGACAGACAGGTTTCATAGGAGGCGGGAACCAGCGAGTGGAGTCTAAGTTTGCAGCCCGAAACTGACGTCCATCGACATGGCATTCTGGGGTATACCTGTGACCTGCAGCCAAATGCTGAAAGGCACGGGCACCTCTGACGCCTGCGTAAGTCGATGTGTTCAATGCGGGGAGAGGGGGAAAACGGTGGCAAGCGGCGAAGTCTTTGAGAGATCGGAAGGCGGGAGGGTCCTCTGCCAAGGTGGCGATGAGAAGAGCGAAGGCTTCGGGATGGAAGGGGAAGGACATGATGGGGAGTTGTGGCGGAACAGGCAGAGCAGTGCAGATGAAGATGACAAGCAGCGAGCAAGCAGCGGCGGCAGCGGCGGAGCAGGAACGTGACGTGTGAAAAAGGGCAATCATTGATACTGAACCCAACGTGCGTTTGATTCCGCCCCCCCCCCTCTTTTTTGACGGCGAAGACCCTAACTGCGTTACGGGAACATTCACTGCATAGAGTACAGCAAAGTTGGGGGACTCGGGGGCCGCAAGTTGCTCTTTTCTCGAGGTAAACAGGGCCAAATCGATAAGCTGAAGTGCATAAAAGGACGATGAAAAGACATCTGGGCCACGCCGGGATGGAAAGCTCTCTACTCTGCCCTCCTCTTCACCTGCATCTGCTTCCTCATACGAAGCGTGTACCGTACTCGTATTGTCGAGTTGGCCCAGGGTTATGTCGAATATCTCGCGACCCATGAGGCTTTCTTGTTGGATCTTGATTCGCTGCTTTTGCTGCTTGGAATCCCTTCTTATGCGTGGTTCTGGCCTGGGAGGTATCTGCGTTTTGACCAAAAAATGAAGGGGTTCGAAAATGGTGTTGAGATGCGCTGAGTGATCGCAATTATCCCGCCACCTTTTGGTTCTGAAAATGCTTGAGTCTAGATAAGTACATATTATAAATTTGTTAGATGTTCGCATCTTGCCAGCATACCCTCTGTATGATATAAACCTGACTGATGACATACAATTACATGCAAGTACTCTATATAAGACATATCAAAATCTACCATTCGTTGCTACGTACAATTCTAGTTGAGCGCGGCTCGACGCAAAAATAATATATGACGAGAAGTAATCAAGCACTGAACTCTTAGGTTGTCAAACAAATCTGAGTTCTGGGTATATACAGGCTGCAGCTTGTGAGTGTCCGAGGGTCGGTCAAGCATTCGTTTGGTCAATCAATCCAGGAAAACGTCAGCATTCCCTCGTTGAACGCAAAATCTGCAGGATCTCAATCAGCACTACGGCCATTCTCCACAATATAGCACCGTGTACTCACCTCCGGTAATCCATCTTGGGCTGGTGCGGATACTTCGGGAGCCCATACTGACTCGTTTTTCCCGCTATACTCCCATCCATGAACGTCATATTTGACTCGTGAGAAGCCACACTGGCCGCGTCGTCGTATACACTGGCAGGCTGATATGACCCCGGCCTCTCCAGGCCCTGCATCGATACTGCCCGTCTACGCTGATACTGACCGGCGCCCATGTCTTGTGGATACTGCCCCATGGCGCCCATCGTCGAAGCAGGTCCCCCCACCCATGGCGGTGGGGGTGGAGATTGATCACGACCACGGGCAATGTCTTGCGGGCCGTATGAACTAGATGGGTGACGACCGTGTTGATGCTGGTACTGCTGGTGCTGAACAGGTATCTGTGCAGAGTTGTGCCTTCGCATGTGAGGACGTACGCCTTCGGAGATACCAGAGGAGTGCCGTCTTCCCCGTTCAGTCTCTCGGATATCTTGTTCTCTCGATTTGGGTTCGCGCCCACGTTCATAGTCTCCTTCGGCCGGAACATGAGAATAAATTCTCTGTCTTCTCTCTCCATCGGGGGCTGGTGACAACATCCTTTGTCCTCTTTCTCGTCCTTGGGGATCAACAGGAGGGAGTGGCGACTTCCCTCTTTGGCTGGGAGATCCTGCACCGGCAAGAGGGGAAGAAGAGTTGGGTGAATGAAAGCGACCGTTACCGTTGGCATTGTGAGGTGGCAGAGACGGTGAACGATGGTGTTTGTATACATGTCCATGGCCGATAGATCCGGAGCGATGGTGTCCCCCAAGTGGCTCACGAGCATCTTCAGAGTCAGACGCAGAGCTCGCCGAACCTGCGCGAGAGCGCCCTCCGCGATGACGAGGCATGGCGTAATAGCTAGCGTCAGTCTGCCGGTCAAAATCGTCGTCGTTGATGTCTTGATGATTATGATTATGATGGTGATGATGGTGTCCATGCCTGGGGCCAGTAATATATTCAGCGGGAAGGCGGGTGCGAGGTGCAGGGAGAGAGGATGCCGCAGCCCAGTCGTTCTCGCTCGGGACCACTGAAAGTGGCGAATGCATGTGCGGATGATGGAGTTGTTCATGCTGGTCGAATTCGTGGACCGAGCGAGGGGCATAACTATTGTACGCACTGCCTCCGTATAGAGAGCCTGGGGCCTGCTGATTACCTATAGAGAGGCCTTGCATCCCTGCTAAGGCGGAGGTATAGCCGGCTTCGGGAAGAGCAGGGATAGCTCGGTGCGGTCCTGTTCCAAGTCAGCTGCTCGTAGATCGCCATCTAGAGATACTTTACACACCTGCCATACCGCCAGGAGCTGGGGGTATGATAGTAGAAGCGGCGGCAGTCACGGGTCCAGGACCGTGCCCTCCTACACTGCTGGCACCGGAGGGAAAAGCGCCGCCACCTCCTGATTCTAACCTAGGGATGGGAGGGACATACGGAAGCCGCTGACTGGCGGAGAAGGGTGGCGGAGTTACTCATGCGGCTGTTAGCCGATATATACCTCGGCTGGGGATAGAATACTTACCTTCAAGAGGCATAATGGGCTATCCATTCGGTCGCAATGATGGAAAGACAATTTATACCTTCGCTTATATGAGACTCAAAGTCAGGAAGAGCAAAATTTTTGCGAGTGAAAGTTGAACGTGGGGTACTGTCAAGTCCCATCGCATACTATCTTACCAGCCCCCCAAGCTGCTATAGCCTCAAAGGTTTGCAGTGACCCTAGTGGGGTGGGCTCAAAGGATAGTAACGTCTCCTTTGTTTGGATTTTCCAGTCATTGGCCATGCTGTGGGCACCGATAACTAACGACTCATGCTCGACTAAGTCATCTGCAGAGCAGCCACTAAAGTTTTGTGAAGTCGTTCTAGCGTCAAGATTTGCAAAGGAAGGCAGGGTAAAACATGTCAAAGTGGAAGGTAGGAGACAGTCGTCTTGGCGCGCGGTAAAAACCGAGAGTGCATCTTCTCATTCAGACATTTGACTAAGATCCGAACTTGCTAAACTTCATTGAACTGTCTGGGAGCATGTTTCAAGACCACCTGAATCAAGAAGCGACCCAGCTTGACACTTCTCCCGAGACAGCATCTGAAACCCCCGAGATGTCACTTTCCAAATTCGCAGGGCCATAATGAAACTGGGCAGGCAGGAACTCTCTGGATTCGATGGCCTGTTCGACTTTGGTGAGTCGGAAACAGAAGTATGCTCCGACCAAAACAGCAACAATTAGGACCAGCTTTGCCATCAACCAAAGAGAGGCATAGACTATGGCTCTAAATCAGCATGGTTTTACAATAAGGTAAATGACGGCGCGTCAACATACAAGTTGTCCCTCGCATGGCTCGGGGATGATTCGGATGCTTCTCTTCCGACATCAGCAATTGTGAACGCCCTGTGAAATCTGAATATTACCTTGTTGTTATGCTTTTCAATCTTCTTGTTGTAAGCCTGTGCCATCAGAGTGGCGTCTGATTGTGCAACCTTGGCGTACTTGATGCCGTCGAGAGCGATATCCCACACTGCGTATAGAGCGCTCATCAGCCCCATGAACAGCATGACAAGCCGGAGATAGATTGAATCATCCCAGTTCCATGCAGCCCAAAGGAGTATGTCGACAACGACGGAGCATGCTATAATGCTTTACAGCTTCGTTAACCGCATGAGACCTAGATCTGAGCTTTGTACCTACATATCCTGTGAGGCGTGCAAGTCGTGCTCAGTCGGACCTTCTGGATCCTGCTCGTGCCGGTAATCTGCTTCTTGGTTCCTCGTCTCCCTCGCATACTCGTGCTTTTCGTCTTCCGACTTTGCTTTACCTGGGTTGCAGAATATCCACCGAAGACACCAAGCACGCATATGGTGCCAGTGGTGTGTGATAGCAGACTTGGCCCGCACAATCATGCAGATAATGACCGCTAGCACAGTCAGACATATCAGACTGAGAGCTCCAAACTTGGACCTGTTGAGCGACATTGACGAGATCCCGACGTGGAATGACTCAAGAACCTACCATTTCGCGTCGACTAGCACGAGATATCAGCTATCTTTACTGATGTCGATGTCAGATCATGCTCACATCCAGTAAATAGAAACCAGCAACCGAATAAGCAGCTGCCACTACCAAGCTCAACGTCAGCATATTTTGTCAAAGAGGTATTCGAGTATCCTCACATATAACCAGCGGGTAAAGTCAAAGTATAGTTGGGCTCTATGTCGCCCCCGAAAGCGGTCAAACCGCCTTCATACTCTGTGGCCATGGGTGAGATAAAACTCATTCGGAGAAAAACCACGGGCAGCTTACTGTCAACCATAATGAAGAGAATGTAGCCTCTTGTGTACCCCTGCGGCACCCCATGGCTCCATTGCTTCCACCATATGGTGCACATCCCCACCATGGCATGTGATAGCTGGTGTCGTCAGACTTGGAGACTGTGAGGTTGGCGATACTCACCTCGTGGTATAGCACGGTCAGAATCTTGAAGGGCCACAAGATCGGAACTGGTATCGTCCGCCAAACTCTCTTCTCCTTGATTTCTCCGGTCGCGATTACTCTGAATCTCTTTTTGTCCCACCAGTAAGCAATCTTGCCTTGCCTAGATATGTATCAGCTTCTATGACTATGTATGCATCATCACTTACCAGAAGACGAGGATCATAACCAGGAATAGACACAGATACAGGATCGACTCCCGCTGGGCATCACTGGGATGCGAGGGCGACCAGTCACCGTCAGCGCCCTCGTTGACCCAGTTCACCATAGGATCATAGAATGCCCGTTGTTCCATCTTTGTCGATATACGACGATTATAGGCGACGAGGGCTGCTGGGTGTGCTGAAAGTCTGTTAGAATGCCCATCGAGATCAGCCTCGACGTCGCGGGACTGAGATGGAAGGATGCAACGGATAAACTCAAAGGATGCAGGGAGTCAGTGTATAATGGAGAGCCGGTAATCTAGTGTACAATTTAAAGATATCATAAGCATAGTGCGGACAGGTCTTCTTTTGTTTGCACTCACATTGACAGACACGCCAAGTGAGCCCCCAGATCGTTGGAGCATACTCCTATGGTGGTACAGTAATAATGCATGCCAAACACCCAAGAAACGTACGTATCAAGTCGTTAATTCATCGTCGTTGCTGTCGTAGAGGGAAACAAAACATCCAGAACCTTGGGTAGACATATCATAAGCCGAGAACATGCGCCAATGCAAGAACTCACCACGTCCATGACACAAAGAACCAAATGCTGGTTCATGCGTTCATCTTGCAAAGTCCCAAAGACTCTTCTGGCTGCCCTTCTGGCATTGCCTCGCCCCATCATGTTTGCGACCATTTCTTGTACACCATTAGCTCGGTCACGTCTCTCTCGATGTCTGTTCGACGTACCCGGTATAACCAACCCCAGCTTCTTCCCCGCTTTGCTGCGTGTTTCCGACTTTTCTTCTTCGGTTCGTGGTGTAGCCGGTGGGCGTCGGAGACCGGAAGGGAAGAGTGCATCCTGCAAAGCTGATAAACTTTTGCCGAGGGAGGATGGTGATGTGACCAGGCGCAAGGCCTCCCGGACTTTCCTTGAGTAATCTGTCAGCAAAATCAGCGTATGCGTGGAAAGGCGCTCACCTCTCAATCGTGCCACCCAGGAATTGTTGCAGGATGATCACGATCGCCTGCCTCCTCAGCCACTCCTTCTCCGTGAGATCAAACATCTCAATGAACAGGTCACATATAGGAGCAGTGAAGCTCGTCATGCCTTCCCCAAGTGGCGCGCCTGCGACACTCTCAACATCGCTATTTGTACTGCTGGGATACCCCAGTCCCAAGCCGACCATACCACCGATATCATTGATTTGACGACTGAGTCCCGAGTACATGAAGTCGGTGACTCCGGTGGCATCATTGAAATCATCGAAAGCGCCTCCCGGGGAGATGGTCTTGTACAACGATTTGAGGACGTTGTGGGGTGCTAGTGGAGCAAGGCTTGAGAGTGGACCGTTAAAGAGCGAGGAAGATCCGTTGGGGACAGACGGCGTGAGGGAAATGAAAGCACGGAAGATGTAGGAGTCGCAGATACTTGAGGAAGCCAAGAGACCCTACACATTCATCAGCGGAGTTCCGACTCCCGCGCCCTCAAGCAACTTACTTGCAGGTATTTCTCCAATGCAGCCCTCCGGGATTCGACAAACCCCGAACTGATTGATCCCAAGCCAACTATCCTTTTCTTCGGGATTTCTACTCTTTTCAGAGTATCTATCACACCTATTTCTCCTCGAGCACTGGCCCACTCCCTCAGAGATTTGTCCATCTCCCAGAATTCGTTATATCTGCGCGTTACGACCCATCCAGGTATGGCCTGGCCGTGGCTGACTTGCGATACACGGACTGTATATCTCACGACCTGCTTTGCGCCTAGGCCGACGGCTGAATTGGCCGCGCCATCGGCGTCATCACAGACGACAGCCGAAGGAATGTCCAACCTCGTTCTCCCGGGGACTAGTCTATTCTCTTCCTCCTGTCTGGTAAACTCCCTCTTTTGCCATTCCTTCGCTCTGATTTCTCTTCGAACACTCGTATGACTGCGCCTCAGGATTTTGAGCTCTTTCTGGTTCCCTGTCAATTCGGCTCGTCCGATAAGACTCTCCAGAAGAGTGCTCTGTTCACCAAGCCCCGTCAAAGATGCTCCCAGGCGAGCAATCGTAGAGGACAATTGAAGATCCCCTGGTGTAGGAATGATAGACGAATCAAAGAGATCCGAACTCCCCTCATCGTCGTTCGAAGGGGATATAGAGACCTCATCATCTTCAGGAAGAGTGTCGTCAAAAAGTAACGTGCTTTCCCTTCGCCTCGGCTGGTGTCTTTCGCCTGACAGGACAACGCGCGGGACTTTGGGCGAGAGAGGTGAAGACCGATCTCGCATATCTTCTGCGCTTCGTGTCTTCCGGATCTTGTCCTCCTTTGCCGAATTATCGGGAAGAATCATCGAGCTCCACATGTCTCTCTCGTTCAGCTCTGCGGGGCTCTCGAACGCGCTTCTCTTTCCATCTCTCGTCTGTTGCGTTTCGGCGTCCCCGGCATCATCTGCGATGATTTCGCTGAGCGCTGTCTGAATAGCCTCCATCCTCCTCGTGTCCTCCTCGTTCTCACGGTCATCATAGTCATCATCACCGAACAGTTTGCTCCTCTCAGGCTCTTCGCCGGCTGAATTGATGAGAAAGTCAAGTTGACTTGACCTGCGAGCTGTGGGTAGAGGGGCATCCAGAGGAGCCGAAGTCATTGCCGGAGAAAGAAGCCTTGGCGACTCGAGCAGTCTAGGTGTGTGATGCGGGGAGGGTGATCGGGGGGAAGAGGGAGAGTAGGGTAGTTGAAGCTGATGTTGCAGTTGTGACTGCAAATGCTCTACATCCCCAGCACTTCCCTTCCTCCCGGTGACATTCGTGCCCACCAACTTTTGATCACTCAGCTTTTGCGTCGAGTCGCTGTAGCTTCGCAGGAAAGGCGGTGGGCTAGCCACACGAACATCGGTGAGGTGAAGTGAAGGGGCAGAAGGTGGGGCGGCAGCTGATAAGAGGGGAGCGGGCGGGACAAGGTTGCGCTCTCGAAAGCCAAGTTTACGGGAAGCTCCAGGGAGGGGAGAGGCAAGACCGGTATTGCTCGTGCGCGGGAGTAGGTTTAGCAAGGATTTCGAGGCCTCTGGGATGGTTTGGCGCTTGCGCGGAGGCTTTGGTTCCGGCGTATGATGGGAGGATGGGATAGTGTAGGGCTCCGGGTTGTCTATTGAAACTTGTCTGGATGCGTGTTTCTCCTCCGACATCGATTTTGTGGAGAACCCACTTCGCTGGAGATCGCCGACAGCTTTTCTGAACAGCTCGCCTTTCCGGAATGTGTTCCAGTCTTCTTCCTCCATCTGCTCATATACCTCCTTCTGAGAAGAGTATATCGCCCGTTTGATCTTGGTGATTTCGGAGGCGTCTAGTTTGCTGGCGAGAGCACCATGTTCAATGATCTCCTTGTATCTCGGAGAGATCTCGATGATTGCGGAGGATGGGTCGGCAAAGTACGTTGAGTAGAGAAACTTCACGTCCTCGTGGACGGTATCGTCTGCGCTCGAGCGATCAGGTGACGGCCCATCGATGCCAGCAACCTCGAGTGGATCCTTGAATCCTTCCACTGTGAGCCAGTATTGGACCAGTCTAGAACGCTGTCTTCGTTCCATGTGCTCTAGCCAATAGGCCAGTGATGACGGGTCGAGAAGAATGGTGTAGAGGGTCACATTGCCATCGCTGTGGTCCTCGATGGAGACGGTTTTGCTGTGGTGCTGTTGCTGCTGAACTGTATCAGCAAGATGATCGCACTAAAATTGCCCGTCTTCCACTTACTTTGGAATCACCAGACAGCATGTCAATCCGCGTATCTATGTCCATTCTCGCCTTCTCAAGCCGCTCCACGTACTTTCGATTCCTCCTTGTCTCTTTCTCGCCGTCCTTTCCTTTCGGTCCGTAACCAGCCGCCACCTTCCTAGCATCTTCGGTAAAGGCTACTTTGGCAACCCGGAGTTCCCTCTCAACGTCGGCCCTCAACCGCCTGGCTTCACCCAACGACTTGAGTTTTCTTATAGACTTTAGAAAGACGTCGAATTGACTAGGGGTGGAATCGGCGTTGATCGAAGCAGGATTTCTGTTCTTTCTCGTCGACGATGGGGCAAGACTTGTCGACGACTTGGAGGCGGGCAAGCTAGAAAGAGCAGACAGAAACTTGTCGACCTGCTGTTGTTCATGGAGATATTTCCCCACATGCTCGTCGATCTGTCGATTCCAAAAGTCTGCCTCACATATCATGGTCAACATGGGAGTTACCACAGCGCCCAAGAGTATTTCCCGTACTATTGTCATAGAGACGGGCGTCTGGTCCTTTTCGGGGACGGCCTGAGAGACGATACGTGACAAAGTCTGTCGAAGGTGCTCTTCAATAGCGGAAGACGAGAGGTGAGGGTCGGAGAATGCCTTGTGGGGGCGATTGGGTAGTGGTAGTGGGAGTAAAGGGGAGGTCGCTGTGTGGTGCTCGACCGAACGGTAATGTTGAAGGTGGTTTGTGAGCACCGGTAGCACTTTCGACACCATGACACTCGGCCAGTCCACTACCTCTGCTCTACGGATCACCTCTTGTACAGCGTCGCGGATGACCCCGTCGACCGCATAGGGAAATGCAGGCGACGGGGAGATCCGGTCATACCAAGGTAGTACGAAATGCTGGATGATCAGGCCCAAGAACCTGTTCCAGATATTGTTCAGCTCTGGAGACGCATCTGGGTGGATAGGGGGATGCGTAGAGTCCGTAGGGTTGCCATCTAGAGTTGCCGCCCATGCTGCTGATTGGGTGAACCGCAAGGGCCGGATGGCTCGGCGCTGTCGTGAAGCAGGTGATGGTTGTGATTCCCGGTCACTTTGGATTGCGTAGTAGACCAAGCCCCCGAGGACAAAGAATCCGAAAGACGATAGAAATACAGGAGCCAGTAGTATTGCCTGGAGTAGCCGAAGTCCTGCGAATATGGCTAGCAGCAAGACAGCAAGAGCTGCTCCAAAGTACCAATGGTTTTTTGTGGGCGGCATTCCCTGCGATTGCGGCTCATGGGTCGACAGATAGCCCCAGCCGTGTTATCGAAGATTGGGATACAGGCGAGTCGAATGGTAGCAATGGGATATATTTGTATTGCTCTCCGTCGCAGCTACGTCGGGCCTCTCGCATCTGCCTCGGATTAGGTCGCGTCGACGCGTTCGTCCGTCATTACAACCTCTCGTAATGGGCAATTGATTCCGCTAATCTCAGCTCGCGGCCACTGCAGTCAAGCAACTTTGGTTCAATTTGAACTCCTGTACTCTGTCATTCCACTGTACAATTAGCAGCACGCAGGGCGCCCACAATGAGCTCGATACGTGCTCTTCTGAGGACATCGGGCTACAACCCCGTAGCTCTCCCGACTCTTGACTGCCCTCAAAAAGTTGGCGAGGATGGGCTTGAACCTCAAGACGCGGACCAGCTGGAGAAGGACGAACAAGCAGACGATGAAGGGGTGGAGGGGGATGGACAGAATGTGGACGAGGATGTTCAGATGGAAGATGTCTCAGTGAAGCAGAAGCCATCATTGAACCTCCAGAAAGAAGCAGGCCCGCTTCTGGATGTCGCAGAGAGGTGAGTCCTTCGTCTGACTGCTGCAAGAGCACAACTGACGATTTCGTAGTATGGTGCTTCCATATTCCTTGACACAAACTCGCCACCATCACTTGACTTCACTTCTCCCGCTCGCATTCACCCACCCGCCTATCCCATCGCACAACAAGCCGCGAGCCAAGCCCTTGCCTAAAGGTGTCTTCATGTTCCCGACTCCTCTTCCGCTCGTCCACCCACTTCCAACGCGGGAATACTATGGGCCTAAAGAGTCTGGCATAATAGGCAACCTCTCCCCATCCGCGACGCCCCCTCCGACGCCGACACCTGTCCCGCCGCCTGCCAAACGGAAGGGGATGGCAGAGGTGATCGAACCGCCTGCTCATGAGATCGAGTGTATCGCTCGGGTCAACGTCTCGTTCGGACCTATGAGCTTTCCCAACACCGAGCTCTGGATTGGGCGGTTCGTAGAACCCAGAGCTGCGCGAACCAAGAAGGAGAGGGCCAAGCCGGGAGAGAAGAAAGAGAGGGAACGAAAGCGGAAGGAGGAAACAGATAGAGCCAGGCTTGCTGGAAGGACGAATATACCGCCCAGGCCGACAGTTGGGAGACCCCCGGGACCTAGTAATTATCACGCCCGGCCGCCTCCAAGGCCACCTGCCGCCGCGCCCAGGACTTCTGCTTCACCTGCTTTGATCCAGCTGGTCAATCAGGCTGCTTCGCGGCACCCATGGCTGTCGTCTTTGATCTACAAAGCTGCGGGAAGTACGGCAAATCAGGAAGAGCTTGAGAGGTTGGGAAGAGCAGTCGCGAGATTGAGCAAGGGGGAACCCGTAGATGATCTGGCCCCGCCAGGTGAAGCCAGTCCACACGCTGCCGGAGCCTCGAAGCCAACGTCTGCAGCCACACCGGCTGCATCATCCTCCTCGGCCAAACCTTCCGGAACCGATGCTTCCAAACCGTCGACTTCCACAACCGAGAAGGGGAAGGAGAAGGAGAAGGAGGAAGAGAAAGAGAAGGAGACTCCCACAACCGAGAAGGGGAAGGAGAAGGAGAAGCCGAAGACGAAGGACGACGACTCGGATAGCGAGGTGGATATGAAGGGTCCGAAAATGGTCGGCGGGGGTCCACTCCCGACCCAGGCTCCCAGTACAGCACCGAAAGCTACTCCCGCCTCTGCTCCTCCACCCAAGACAACTCCTGCCCCTGCTCCTACAGCGGCGCCATCAGTTGCGAGACCACCAGCACACTCAGTCGTACGGCCACCACCTGCTGCCCAAGTACCACGCCCACCCGGCAACATCCCTTCTTCCAGCAGCAACGCCCCCACAGTCCAAATCCTCTCTTCAGTCACCTCCGTTCCACCTAAACCTTACGTCCAACCACCACCACCCTTCCTGCTGCTGGCATTCAAAGAACACCCCACCGACAAATTCGTCATCCCTCTGGGGACAAAGAGTTTCATAAGCCGCGTAGGTGGTGATTGGGTCACTAGCAAGCCGCCTCCTGGACTTCCCCAGGTCGCTGCTAGTGAGCCAAAGGAAAAGGTGCATGCGAGAAAGACGGAGGCGGAAGCTCTACAAGCAGAGGCGCAGAAGAAGATGGAGGCTGAGCGGGTTCCGGCTGTTGAGATTCCTTACAAGAAAAGGGGAGGACCACGAGCAGCCGCAGCTAAACCTGCGACGCCAGTGACTCCAGCTGTTGTCCTACCGCCACCAGCCGAACCTATTACCACAGAAAGTGCTCCCATCGAGCCACCTCAGCCTCCACGCCCTCTTGCCCCTCTACCATCCCAGAAGCCACCTCCTGGCACCGTCCTCATCTCGACCATCGTACCTGCCGATCAGTGGGAAAAGGTCAAGTGGCCTGAGCTGGCAGCGGGTGTACCTTGGTGCGATGAGTGGGGCAAAGATGTGGCGGTCAAAAAGGAGGCTGAAGGATCAGAACCCTCGGCTCCTACGCCTCCCAAAAAACCTCAGCTGTTGAATCTCGCAACGGTGGACTTTTTGCCCGCCGAAGGGAATCTGAGAGCGGCGACAATCAGGCTTGGCGAGGTGGACGACAATCTCTGGCGGCGGCTGAAGAGTATCATCGAACAAGTGGAGCGAGAGGAGATGGCCCAGTTGGTCGCAAACGGCGTGATCCCTCGACCACCGTCCCCTGCTGCCGGTCAGCCTACACTGCATCCGTCGAGTATTGCGACTGTTCGAGCTGCATACAAAACGCACAAGACCAGTATCTTTTCTTCCCTCACCCCGCGTACGCGCGCACCTCGCAAATTCTTGCGTATGCGACTCCCTTCCCCGCCGCCTGCGTTGGTCGACGCTTCGGTAGACCGCATGGCCCCTCGATCTTATCCCATCTCCACCAAACCTCTTTACCATGCGGACGAAACTGATGGGGACCAACAAAGGGTCAGTATCATCCGGCTTACACCCGAGATTGATCTGGGTGATGGACTGGGGCGCAAGGGGAAGAAGAAGAAGGCAGAGACGCAAGTTGAATTTGAGATGCCTGTTTCGTTGGAAGCGCTGGATGAGAGGGTGGAAGCGGGAGCGAAGAAGGCGTTGGGGAAGAGGGGCCGAGCGTCAGGGGGAGAGGGAGCTAGGAAGGAGAAGCAGAAGAGAGGGGTGGAGGGAGGGGTTTGTGAAGGATGTGCGCGGGAGGGAATCAAGGTATGGCGAAGAGGTCCCACGGGGAAGGGAACGCGTGAGTCTTTGCTTGTCATTCGTTAAACGCCCGCTGACCGGATGCAGTGTGCAACACCTGTGGCGACTTGTTTACCGAGGGAAAGTTGAAGGATGCCGACCTGAAGGCGCCTGGCGCGATGAAGGATATCCTTGCTGCCTCTGCCAAAAAGGGCAGAGGGAGGGGCAAAGAGGTGGCCGAGCCATCTGGCGATACGACTGCGCCTGTGGATGGTGTCCCAGGTCCAAGTTCATCTGATGCGCCTGCCTCGGCTGCTCCACCAGCGACCTCTGCTTTGCCGACAGAGGCTCCCAACTCGGGCGTTGCTACCCCGGCTACCGTCGATGGAGAGAAAGCAGTGCCACCAGCGTCTGCACCTGTGCCCCCAGCACCCTCTGAGCCAGCCGCAAATGTTGGGAAGGAAGGTCCTGACGTCAGCATGTCAGAGATTACTCCAGTCGCAGCCGTCGGTGGCTCCAAGGAACCTGCGAAAGTCAATCAGCCTGATCAGAAAGCAGAAGTTATCGGAACGCCGACAAGTGCTGCTCCTTCACAAGTTGACGCTTCGACCATCAAGCCTAGCAGTACGGGTGATGGCGAGTAAAATCAATGGAAGACGCACATCTGAAAGTACAACGTCTATAGCCCCCATGTACACCAAAGAGTTCCACTGCCCGCAGCCTATGCCCACTGCCTATAATAGGCCGAGCATCACCTCCACGGCCTCTTATGATCTGGTATCTGACCTCTGGGGCCTCTGGCCTCTGAAGTCTGGACACCTTTTGGCCATGAGCTGCTGGCGGCAACGTTCCTAGTGAGGGAACCGGGGTGGCCAGGGGAGGGATGAAACGCACTGCATGTTTTACTGACTTTTTCGACGCCTCGGACCTCAAATTTCAGGCTGTCTCTTCGGCCTGAGAGGTGTGCTCTGGAGGCTCTTCGGGCCGGGGATCTCTGGCGCGAATGCATGCTGCAGTTTCAAGGCAGCCGAATAAGACAATGCATTTGCGAGCCATGCGAGCGCAGCTGCACTCACCCGGCATAAATTTCAGTCAACACGCGCCACATTATGGCCACATTACGAACGCCTCTCATAGTTTAGCGTCATTTGAAGCGCAACCCTTGCTGAAAACCTGCTGCCAGGCCCTGAGATGGGTACAACACAGAGCGAGGCACAGGGCGAGCGGAAGCAAATTTGCCAGGCCTGGAATTAGTAGTTACGGCATGTCGCGTGGCGGTGTTGCTGTTTGTTCTTCTGCGCACCCGAAAAGTGGAGGTCGGGGAGTATCAGCTTCGCCTTCTTTTTGTCTTTTTTTCCCTTCTCTTGTCCCTCAACGTCTTTCTCAGCTTGCACATACCGGTTGGCTACCACCCACTGCTGCACGCACCGACACTCTTTCGCAAAACCAGTATCCACCCATCATGGCTGCCGAAACGGGCAGGACCGACTATCTGGCAAGTCCCTCGTCTCCAGGCAGTTGGCCGTACTGACCTCCACCCCAGGGTCAGGCTATCCAGAGCGGACCTTCTATCAACCTTGTCTCCAAGAAGCAAGAGTCCCACCCAGAAGTGCAGGGTATCACCCGCAACTATCCCGGCTCAGGCCCCAATTCGGTTTCGGGTCACCTCCGGTAAGTCGCGCCTCAGTTCGCAGCCCAGATCATCATGGCCTTGCACGATCGATCCACTTCTTGCATGCGTCACTCGACATGCCTCTGTATAAAAAAGTACCCCCTGCTGACCTGTACCACTTTAGTGACCAGTCAGTCCAGTCTATGCCTGAGAGCGAAGGCTATGGAATGAGCGAACTCCCTCACCAGACCTCGAGGAGCCCTCTCGCCCCTGCCGATCGTAAGTCTTGATTTTGATGGACACGCCTAGGGCCCTCTTTTGGTCGGTCCACTTACACCAGATTTTCTATTGTTCTGCAAATGACGATCGCTGACTCCAACATGCACAGCTACCACTCCTGGTACCGGCAGCTCCACCCCCGGGCACGTCCGCTACCCTCCCTCTTCCCAGATGTCGCGTGCCCAGCAGCCCGCCGGCGACGCGTACACCACAATCCCCCTCCAAGACGCCAATGGCCCCGCTTCAGCCGCTACCACTCCCGGTGTCGGCTCTGCCAACAAGAAGAACCGATGGTCTTTCATGCCTAGCGGCCACGCTTCCAGTGTGAGCATCGACCAGTCTGTCAACGAAAAGTCCCCCAAGCGCCCCAAGAACAACAGAAACACCAGCTGGGATCTCTTGGGTGATAAGAATGAGTGGGACCATTACAAGACCAACAGCGCAAGCGTTGAGAACCTCAGATTTGCGGAGGGTGATGCGGGTACCAATAAGGTGTGTAGGATGTTGCGGCGCGAGGCACGACTGACAATACTTGCAGTTCTCGAGACTTTATTACTGGGCTTTGAACAAGGGTATCGCCTTCCGATGGGCCATGTACATCATCCCAGTACTCATTTTGCTATGGGTTCCCGGAATTGTATACTACGCTGGTGTCGACTCGGCCAAGATCTGGGCCGTTACTCTTGTAAGCACCGCCTTACGTACCTCGAACTTTTCTGACAATCGCCTAGAACTGGTGGTCTATTTGGCTTACTATCGTCTGGCTCACCTTCTGGGCCTCCAGCGCCACCTGGATGATGGTCCCCACCATCTGGAAGAACACCGTTGCTTCTATCATCCCCTCAGCCAAGGCTTTGACCGAAGTCATTGCTGCCCTCGGCAGATACGCCAAGCTAATTTTCTGGACTCTTGCCATGTGGATCTCCTTCACTCCCTTGATTGTAAACCATTACAGTGGCAGCGACGAGAGTAGCTCCAAGAGCAACTTGACCACTATCGCCAACCTCCTCTTCGGTCTCTTCTTGTGCTCTATCGTTTACGCCGGCGAGAAGCTCATCGTTCAACTCATTGCCGTCCAGTTCCACCGTGACTCTTACGAGGACCGACTGAATGAGCAAAAGTTCAACATCAAGGCTCTCACCTACCTCTACACCAACTCCCACGACATCCCTGGTCGTAGCGATACCTTGATTGACTCTGCGTCCACAAAGACCAAGGGGGCTCAAGTCCCCAAGATCGCTTTGAGGAAGGCTCTCAGAGGCTTGAGGGATGTTGCGCAGACCACTTCTACTGCTCTCGGAAACGTCGCTAGTGAAATGACTGGCCAGAGTGTCTTGCAGACCAACTCTCCTGCCAACAAGGTCACTGCTGCCCTCGGTTCTGCCAACAAGTCCAAGGCTGTGAGTGTTTCGATAGTCCGTCCGTGATTCCTGTGACTGACCCCTGGGTAGCTCGCCCGACGACTGTTCTACTCTTTCAGGGCCCCCGGCGCCGCCCACCTTGATATCCAGGACATTGTGCAATAGTACGCCTTCTTGCGCTCTCATGTGCCTCCACTGACATCTGGTACAGCTTCCCCAACCTTGAGACTGCCCAGAACGCTTTCTCCATGTTTGACAAGGATGGCAACGGCGATGCTACCCGAGACGAGATTGAAGCTTCCGTCCTCGGTATCCACCGCGAGCGTCTTGCCCTCGAGGCCTCCATGCGCGACCTCGATGGTGCTGTGCGCCGACTCGATGACATCTTCATGGTCATTGTCTTCCTCATTGCTATCCTTATCCTGGCCTCCATGATCACCACCAAGCTCACTACCCTCGTCACCTCTGCCAGTACCTTCATCCTCGGTCTTTCTTGGTTGATTGGTACGACTATGCAGGAGATCCTTGGTGCTTGTATCTTCTTGTTTGTCAAGCACCCCTTCGATGTGGGAGACCGAGTCGACATCGAGTAAGTGCTTTTGAACTTGTCGGCGACACCGGCTGATATCGTTGTAGCGGCGTCCAGTACACTGTTGCCAAGATGCAGCTCCTCTCTTCCTCTTTTAAGAGGATCGACGGCAAGTACGTTTGGATTGGTCACAACGTCCTTACTACCAAGATCATCGAGAACAGTGAGTTCTCAGTCGCTCCACTCGCGCATCGGCTGACATTTTCCAGTCCGACGATCTGGCGCCATCTCTGAAGAATTTACCTTCGATGTCGACTTTACCACCTCTTTCGAAGCTCTCCAGGCTCTCCGAGCTCGTATGCTCAAGTTTCTCAAGGAGAACTCTCGAGACTTCCTTCCCGTATTCGATGTCACTGTCGACGACATGCCTGCCCAAGGCAAGCTCGTCCTCAAGGCCGACATCAGGTACAAGTCCAACTGGCAACAGGTCGCTCTCAAGGTGCAAAGGAGGAACAAGTGGGTTTGTGCTTTGAAGATGGCCCTTGCCGATCTCCAAGTCTGGGGTCCTGCTGGCGCTGGTAACCCTTCACCCGAAGTTGAGGCTGTCGAGCCCGTACAGTACACCTGTAAGTTTTGATATCCATACCTGTCCTGGCCTGAGCTGACTTCGACTCGCAGTGGTCCCCTGGGAGGATGTGAAGGCCAAGGACGCCGCTGCCCCCGCCCCTGTTCCTGTTGCTGCTGCCCCTCCCTCTCCTCCCAACCTCATGGACCCTCGTGCCGCTGTCAACGACCCCTACGGTGACATCTGGAACGAGGGTGAGGATCTGCAAGGATTCGAATCCGCTGGCCCCTCTCGACCTGCTACGCCCGGCGCTATGCAGTCCTACAGTGGCCGACCTGCTCAGCCTCAACGCCTGGACTCGCTCCAGAAGGGCCCAGTGGACGTCGATGCCAAGAGGCAGGTTTAGATGGGCTCTCGTCGTGTAAGGACTCTGGGCAAGACGCTTTGATTATTGCCTAATTAGTCCATACTCTTTCTCTTTCCTCTCATACGATCTTGATGATCTTTGATCTCAAATTGAATCTCTCTTTTTCTTGGTTTGGAAGTAGGTGCATAGAATAGATTTGTCTTACTTCAAAGATACCTGCCTACTTCCGAGATACGTACATGATGCGACAACGATGACGCTTTCTGCTTTCACGATGCTTTGTATGATGCACCCAGTCGCACAACGTTCCTTCCTTGCAAGATCTCATACCTGAGCGGTGAACTCCACCACCACGTGGGATTTTTGAGAGCGGCGAGGTATCTCCTTTATTGTGCGGCCTTTGAACTCGTTCTTCTGCCTCACCACCCGCTCTACACTCGCTGCGAAGCCTGTATATCCCTCCTCTTACCGCCACTGCCCTCTTTGGACCTCAGGTCACCGCTACCAAGATCAACTCACTAGCCCTATCCGCCGCTTGCTTCTACGCTAATCACACCGGTCCGCCGAATCATAAAACGCACCAAGAGGGATACTGTGAGTGGGCTCTCTTTGAGCGTGGATGAGCCCTTGGGGGCGATGGAGAATGCGAAGAGAGCAGGGTGGCGCGGTGCGGTGGCACATGGTGCTTACATCGGCCGCGCGCCACTCTCAAAAACCGAAGCGAGGCTGACCTCTTTTTTCTCAATCTAACTTCCATCTCCAACCATTGCTCTACACCACAGTCGCAGAAAGAGTTCATGCCTTCACGCACGCAAAAACCAAATTACCGATATCACCATCCCACCAAAGAACTGGATTTTCATACCCGTTAAACTACAACTGTGAGTCCATCTCGTTTCTGTCCAGACGCGTCCTATGTCGTGGGTGTGGCTGACGATCTGATTTCGCAGAAAAAGCCGACAAGATGGCCACCGTTAATATCCGACGAGATGTCGAGGACAAGTTCTACGTACGTCAACGACGAGTCTACCAGGATATACATGGCTAATCAGAAATATCACAGCGTTACAAGATGCCCCTTCTCCAGATCAAGATTGAGGGCCGAGGAAACGGTATCAAGACTGTCATTCCCAACATGGAAGACATTGCCCGCGCTTTGAACCGTCCCCCCAACTACCCCACCAAGTTCTTCGGTTTCGAGCTCGGTGCCCAGACTACCATGGCCAACGACCGCTACATCGTCAACGGTGCGCACACTGCCGACCGTCTTCGAGAGCTCCTCGACTCGTTCATCGTCAAGTACGTTCTCTGCCCCTCGTGCAAGAACCCCGAGACCGAGATCTTTGTCACTGGCAAGTCTGGCCACGAGTCGATGCACCGAGACTGCAAGGCCTGTGGTGCCCAGACTCCCATGGAGATGCGCCACAAGTTGTCCGCCTTCATCGTCAAGAACCCTCCCAAGAAGAGCGGCAAGAAGGGCAAGAAGGCCGGTATGACTGCTCAAGCCAACGTTGGTGGTCCCATGGTCTTTGACAAGGCTGCCGAAGAGGACGGAAGCGACGACGAAGCTGGCTCGCCTGACGGCAATGGCGTCCCTACCAAGGGCACCGAGATCGACGCTGTTCTCGGCCGTGCCGATCCCATCCTCGACAACCCCGACACTGCCGAGGAAGTGTCCAAGAAGCTCAACAAGCTCGACGTCGATGACGACGAGGACGAAGACGCCGACTCTCCTTACTCTCAGCTTGGCGCCTGGCTCGAGGAGAACAAGACTGCCGACGATGCTGCCATCATTGGTCAGATCAAGGAGCTTGAGATCATTGGCAAGCACAAGGTCTTGGTGGAGATTGGTCACCACCTCTTTACCGATGATGTCGGTACTGAAGTTGGCAAGCGTGAGCAGCTTCTCCAAGCTGTAAGTCTGGTATCATGATGTCTATCATATGCTCATTTGTGTGTAGCTTGTAACCTCCGAGAAGCACCAGAAGTCCCTCCTTGGTGGCCTCGAGCGTCTCATCGGCAACTCTCCCAACCTCGACTCTCTCCTCGCGGCTGGTGTCACCTCCAAGGTCCTCATGGCGCTTTACCAATCCGACATCTTGGATGAAGAGGTCGTCAAGTCCTGGGGCACCCATGTCAGCAAGAAGTATGTTGACAAGGAGAAAAGCAAAAAGGTCCGAAAGAATGCGGACGCTTTCCTCAAGGTATGTTCTTTATCTGGTGTACGAGTGATGATGCTGACGGTGTTCTTACAGTGGCTAGACGAGGCTGAGGAGTCCGACAGTGACGAGGAGTAGGGCGCAATGCACGCATAGCTTGTTGTCACCGTTTGCCAGAAATTAGTCGATTGAATGTAAAGTTCTATCCGAATCAAGTCGCACATGTCCACTACAATACACTTTTTTACAAGATGCTTCAGCACAGTACAAATACAAGTGACCTATTGACACATACAGCTCCTAGTACATGATACTCGTACACGGTCTGAAACTTTGTGAACCGACTCTACTGATGTATAGCCTCAATGAACCTTCCCCACCTCTCTACGCACTCTTCAACAATGTAGTAATTACTCTTCGAGTCTTGCTTCAGCAACGGGAAAATCTCCTTGTGGCCCGAATTGCAATCCGCACACTTCAACCTGACCCTATCAAACGCCTCCTTACTCGCCTCTTCCAGCGCACATCGCTCGGCCAGCTCAATATGCACGAGCCGCTCCCATCGCTTCATAGCGGGAAGAGGTGGGATGACGTGGGTGGTGGCGCCTTGGAGAAAGGATGTGATCAGGTGTTGGGATCGATCGGGGGCTGAAGATTTGGGGCGGGTGGAGGAGGTGTTTGGGCGTGGAAAGATGTCGAGGAGACTTGGGGTTTTGGACTGGCATTCTATCGAGCCATAAGCTTTGATCTTGCATCAATAGCGCTGAACGTACGGTGGGTCCATTGCCCAATTCTCCGTGGTACATTATCAGTTCGACCGCACTTGTAGAACGATAGGTTGTCGGTCTCTACGTCTGCGACTGTTGTCAGCATTCATTCAAAGAACACATCTATGGTGCTCACCTCTAAGCTCGTACACGTAAAGGTATCCAGGCGCTTCCTATAGACAACGTCAGACATGGCTATGACTCAGCCGTCCATGAGAGCTTACCTTGGGAGTCAGTTTACTCTCCATGACCATTCTGATCAGAGTCTGAGTCTGCTCGCTGAGATCGGGGAGGACGTAATCTGTTCATATGTTTAGCAAGACCCCATCATACAAATCATTGCGCCATACCTTCAAAATCTACCCAAACCTTGCTCGCATGTTCCCCTTCCCCATTCCTCCAGTAAAACCCCTTCTCCTTACAAATCATCCCGGCATGATCTTTACAATACCTCCCCATAACCCTCTCACTCCTGACATCACCATCATCATCATTTTCCCTCCTAGGCGTGGCAATGTACGGTGCATGCGCGCGGACGATACGCTTGCACGGCGCTCCCGTACGCGTAAATCCAGAACATTGCGCACCCACTTTACTTGGTGTAAGCGGCTTTTTGGGAGATGAGGCAAGGCCGGAAGTGTTGGCAGTGGGTTTACTTGGTGATTTGCGTCTCGCAGGGGAAGCGGCAGGGGAGGGAGAAGTGAGGAATGAGCTCCGGATATCGGAATGCGCTCTGTACCTACTCGGAGATGACCCTTTGGGGCCTCTTCGAGCCGAGGCCGAGGGAGAGGAAGGAGATTCTGGGGAAGAGACGGTGAGGTCGATGACGGGAGTGTACTCTCCATCTGGATCGGATTTGGCTCGGCGGTGGTTTGATCTGACTGGGTTCTGCGGGGCTTTTCGGTTCGGAGTAGAAGGACCAGGCTGTGCAGGCTGAAAGTTCTCCTTGCCTCTGGGAGAGATTCTCCGTTCAGGCCGAGCTGCGGTGATCTGAGGGTCTGATTGAGGTCTCCCGGGAGAGAGTCCGCTCCTCGGATCAGGAGCAGCCACGTGCTGGGAGGGACAGTACCGTTGAGGGGATGACCTATCAGGGTTTGCGTAAGGAAGCATGTACTGAGGCAGTGATGTCGGTCTTGGAGGTAATGGAGGGGGTGGCGGCAGTCCGTATGTTACCGTACCGCCAGTCGAAGACGCGCCAGCCATGTGCTGTGGGCGACTAGGAGAAGCACGACTTCCTGAAGGCGAAAAGCTCTCTAGAGGTCTGCTCTGTGCTCCTGATGGTAGCGGCGGGAGCGTTTTGTTCGTGTTGGGCGAGATGGGAGACATGGCAGGTGTGGAATGGTACCGTTGCCGTGGCGACTCTGCGTAATAGCTCTGCCTGCCACTTTCGCCTTCTTGATACGACAATGGGTGATTCGTATTCGTAAGTCTAGGTGGCGCATCCTCTGTACCATTGCCATGAAGCTCTAGGTTGCTCATGGCAGTGTTGAGACCCAAGAGATACTCATTACCCCTGCTCCTCCTGACCTGACTTTCAAGCCTCTGCTGTGGCGACGATGGCTGGGTAGCAGCATAGTAGTTGGGGGGATACTCTCTATGTGGAGGGGTGTAGGCTGGATTTGGGGGATTGTAGGGCGAGGAGTGGGCGGTCACGTATGACGCAGTTGAAGATGCTTGTGATGAGTCGGTGCGGTAAGACGGCGGGGTTGGGAAGGGTACGTTCGAAGGCTGCGGCATGGGATTTCAAGTCGGTGATGGGGGTGGCGACCTTCGACGGGGGTCTCTGATTTATATGATTTATAGGTTTCTGATTTGGAACGCGCCTGCAACACGACTCTGGGTGAGCCAAACACGCAAAGAAAGCATCCGCGAAACGACGCACCCCCCACTTAGCCAATGGCGGCGGCCAAATTTCTTCAGTGCGGGCAATTCGGTGCGGGCAATTCGGTGCGGGCAATTCGGTGCGGGCAATTCGGTGCGGGCAATTCGGTGCGGGCAATTCGGTGCGGGCAATTCGGTGCGGGCATTTACGCCATCTTGCGTTGGCGTTCGCGTAGCCCGCCTGGTGCATCACCTTGCACCAACAAAATTTAGTAAGATCTCTACATATATGTAGTCTGCTTGTTCATATCTGTAGGCTTCATCAACTGGAAGGTCGCTTCACAAGAATGTCCAGCACAGCGGCCGTCAACGACGGGTTTTCCTCTACCTCGTCATCATCTCCAACGGTCCGATCTCCTCCCGACCAACCCAAAAATGGCGATTCGTCTTCGAAGAAGCGTCTATTCTCTGAACCAGGAAGCCTCCCTCTACCCAAAGCAGGCTATCATTCGCTCGGAGTTGCCTGGGAGGATCTCACTGTAGAAGGCGCTGGTGGTGGAAGGAGATACGTCCAGTCATTTGACGTTTCTGCGCCAAGAGTAGGTCATTCGCACGTTTCTCCGAGGCAGCGCGCTGATATTCGTCTAGGTATTTTACGTATGGGGATTTGTCAAGAGGCTCTTCAACATTACGCTTGGTCCCACGCGTCCGATCATATCAAATTTCTCTGGTGTGGTGGAGGAGGGAGAGATGCTCTTGGTCTTGGGCAGACCAGGTTCCGGTTGCTCAACTTTGATGCGAGCTCTTTCCAATGTTACCGAGCCCTTTGTCAAGATTACAGGCGACGTTACATACTCATCCATCCCAGCTAAGGAAGCCAAGCAGTAAGTTGCTCGTCGACCATTCACGACGCGACTGATTTGCTCCTAGGTTCTTTGATGGCGAAATTGTCTTCAACGAGGAGAACGACGAGAACATTCCCTTACTATCCGTCGAGGAGACTATCAAAACAGCTATACAGCTGAAGGAGCCGAGGAAGAAGGATTCCAATGAGCATGGGGCTAGATATGTCGAAGGTCTGTTTGACAATCTCATCAACACTTTCGGCATGCCACACACAAGAAAGACCAAAGGTGAATATCTTTTTGGGCAACAACTTCCGAATACTGATGAGCTTTGTAGTCGGTGACCAGTTCATTCGTGGCGTCTCGGGCGGAGAACGAAAGCGTGTGTCGCTCGCAGAGATGCTCACTACGAACGCTGCTGTCGTCTGTTGGGATAATCCCATTCGTGGACTGGATTCGGCTGTCGCTCTGCATTTCTATAGAGTGCTCAAGGAGCTATCGCTGTCCCTTGGTATGGTCAATGTACGTCCGGACTGAGAAAAACGCGAATCAATACTCATTTGTTGCAGATAATATCTACCTATCAGACTGCTCAGGATGCGTGGGAGTGCGTCGACCGAGTAGTGGTCATCTATGAGGGACGACAGATCTTTTCTGTATGTGCACCTGTAAATCTCCGAGAAATTACTGACATCCATCAGGGACGCGCCAACAGGGCCCAAGCGTACTTTGAGAACATGGGATGGTACAAGAAGCCCCGACAGACGTGAGTTATCATGCGACGATTCCGCTCATGTATTGACATTGTGCATCAGAACGCCTGATTTCCTGACTGCCGTGACTTCAATCAACGAACGACGAGTACAAGAAGGCTTTGAAGGTTCCATCCCCCAAACAGCGGAGGAGTTTGAGCGCTACTTTTTGGAAAGCGAAGAGTACAAGGAGCTGCAGCGAGATCTCCAGAGTTACAAGGAACGACACGCTGGGGCTCCCAATGCGGATTTGTTCAGGCAGTCTGTGAAATCGAGCAAACACCACGGCGCTGGGAAAAAGTCTAGCTACCGAGTGAACTTTGCGGAGCAAGTCATGATCTTGTCGAAGCGACAGTACCACCTTACAAGAAACGACATGAGGAGCTTTGCGTATAGAATCGGCAGTAACGTGCTGCAAGCCGTATTGGTTGGGGCCATTTGTGAGTTACTTTTATGCCTGTTTTTGGCGGGGCTGACTCAACAAATTCACAGGTTACAAGCCCAAAAACAACTCTCAAGGTTCTTTTGCCATCGCCGGCGCTCTCTTCTTCAGTATCCTCTACTACATTATCTTCGCCTTGGGTGAAGTTCCCGCCACAGTCAACTCTCGACCCCTGCTCAAGAAACACAGAGGTCTCGGCTTCTACCATCCCGGCGCTCATACTGTCGCCCAGATCTTGTGCGATGCCCCCGTCTACATCTTCCAGACCCTCCTCTTCTCCGTCATCTTCTACTTTCTCGTCGGCCTCAACTCTGGCGCCCAATACTTCTTTACATTCTGGTTCATCGTGTTCACACTGTATGAGACCATCTCGGCAATGTATCGGATGATAGGAGCGTGGACGCCGAATTTGAGTGTAGCTATCCGATATGGGTGTCTGGCTCTTTCCGTGGTCTTGACTTCGGCTGGTTTCGGTCTTCCTCCGACTGAGCAACGTAAGTCGTGCCGGGTCCCCAAACGTCTTGCGTTATGCTGACTTTCATAGTGCGATGGATCTCTTGGCTTCGACGTGCCGACCCTGCAGCTTGGGCGTTTGAAGCTCTCATGGCCAACGAATTTCGTACCCGCACACTGCGCTGTGAAGACAGCGATATGGTTCCTTCCGGTGCTGGGTACACTGATGCTGCCTATCAGGTCTGTTCCATTGCCGGTTCTCAGCCTGGCAGCCGTGATGTACCCGGTATGGATTATGTCTCCCATATCTATGGGTACGAGGCGAGTCATATCTGGAGGAATATCGGGATCATGTGGGCTTTCTTTGCCGGTGAGAATTCTTATCAAAGCTTCAGCATACGCCTGTACTAATTCCATCGCCAGGCTATGTCATTCTGATCATCATTGGCTCCAACCTCCTCATTCGCGAAACTCCAGACTCGGCTCAAAAAGTCTACAAGCGCGGAGCCAATACCCAAACTCTAAGCGTCGAGGAGAAGTCTGCTCAAGGGAAAGCTGCTTTGGAGCAGATCAATGGACCAGACAAGAGAGGCAGCGAGGCTCCCGTTTACACGTTTGAGGACGTGCGGTATACTGTGCAGGCGGATGGCCAGGACAAGCAGCTTCTCAATGGGATCAGCGGATTTGTCAAGGGAGGATCGCTGACTGCTCTGATGGGGGCGTCAGGCGCTGGAAAGACTACTCTGCTGGTATGTCCCTTGCTGAAAGTAGTGTAACACTGCTGACCGACCGTTAGGATACGATCTCATTGAGAAAGACTGTGGGGAAAGTAGAAGGCAAGATGACCATTGACGGCAAACCTCTCGATGCTTCTTTCTCTCGACAAGCGGGTTTCGCCATGCAGTCCGACATCCACGAGCCCATGGCTACTGTCCGCGAGTGTCTCCAGTTTTCAGCTTTGCTTCGACAGAGCAACAATAGAACCCGCGAGGAAAGGCTCGAGTATGCGGAGGGTATCATTAGGCTCTTGGAGTTGACGGATATTGCGGATGCCTTGATCGGTATGCCCGGTGAAGATGGTCTCGGAGTGGAAGAGCGTAAACGTGTCACTATTGGTCAGTACTTTGAATCGTCGAAAGATGATGTTGCTCATCGTACCATCAGGCGTGGAGCTCGCTGCGGACCCCGAGTTCCTCATCTTCCTCGATGAACCGACATCCGGTCTCGACTCCCAGGCCTCCTACGAGATCGTGCGTTTCCTGAAGCGGATCGCTGCTTCCGGACTCGCCGTTCTCTGCACAATCCACCAGCCTTCTGGAGATCTTTTCGAGATGTTTGACTCTGTCATTTTACTAGCCCCAGGCGGAAACACTGTTTACATGGGAGAGACTGGCGAGAATGCTGCAAAGGTTGTCGATTACTTTGAATCCAGAGGGGCCAATTGCCCGCCTGATGCCAACCCTGCAGAGGTCCTATTGGACACGTGAGCACCTCTACATACTACCGGGACTGTTTGCTGACCCACCTCTTAGCGTATCCCCTGTGGGAGGCACTGATATCGATTGGCCTGGGCTCTGGCAAGAAAGTGCCGAAGCAACCGACATTCAACGCCAAATCCAGGGATTCACTTCTCGTCACTCTCAAAAGTCTGCCGACGTGGAAAAGCACGAGTCATCTGCTGTGGGAAAAGGCAGTAACGCATATGCGTCTTCATTCAGGACTCAGACGAGGGAATTGATCGTCCGAAACTTCAGATCGCAATGGCGAGGTGAGCTTTGTTGTCTTCATTCGCAGATGCACTGCTAATACTTGACAGATGGGTCATTCTGGACTACCCAAATGGTCATCATGATCTACTTTGGCCTCTACACTGGATTCTTCTTCTTCAAGCTCGAACACACACCAGGTACCATGTCCGCTGCTTCGCTCTGTTTGTTGATTGCCGTCCAATCGATCCCTGGGATTGCTATGGACATAGGTATCAATTACCTCTTCAAACTAGACATGTACTTGGCGCGAGAACGACTGGGGATCTATTCCTGGCAAGCTCTTATCACCTCTCTACTCGTCGTCTCTCTCCCCGTGCTCTTTGTGGGCTACAACCTGCTCTTCCTGTGCTTCTATTGGACCTCGGGACTGGTGGGGAGTACGTCAGATGGGGTATTGGTCTGGCTCTCTTTCGTCATCTGCTCGTTCTTCACGTCGAGTTTCGGGATCCTTCTTGGAGCTGTATCGCCGGAGAAGATGTCGCTTCCTTATGTGCTCTCTCTCGTATGGAACTGTGAGTATCATCAACCCTGTGTGACTGTTTACTGAAGGTGCCTCAGTGTTGAACGTCCTCTCTTGGGCCTTGGTCTTCTACGAAGGTCTGCCAGCCCCATTCCACTACTTCTTCAGCGTGAGTGTCACCTTCTGGTCTTTCAACCTGTGCTCACACATTGGATGAAAGTGGCTGTCTCCTCTTCGATACCTCTTCAGCGCTCTAATGACCAGCGGCTTGTCGAGTCTCGAGCTACACTGCCAAGATGCCGACTTGCTCACATTCAATCCTCCGGATGGTCAAACGTGTGGAGATTACGCAGCCAACTATATCGCGACGACCTCTGGTTTCTTGTTGGATGCGGATGCTACCACTTCATGCCAGTTCTGCCCCAGCAGTACCGGATACGACTATGTCCAGAACATGGGCTACTCTAGAGGGACGATGTGGCGTGACTGGGCGTTGACTGTTGTCTGGTGTTTGTCCAACGTCTTCTTCTGTTACCTGTTCACTTGGTGAGTCTCCGACAGCTGCATCTGATCTGGCAGCAGGAGCTTACTTCTTTCCAGGCTCATAAAGATCCGACCACTTTACAAGAAACAATAGACGCCATAGATTGCTCTGGTGAACGGTGAAGAGATCATCTTTAACATAGCTCTACCACATAATCGCATAATAACATTTACAGCTATAGGCAATAGACCTCACATATTATAGACTCATACTCAAGCCTCTACTGCATGCATGCTTCTTTGTTGCGCAGTTGCATCCCTCTTGCCCACAACTTGCCCATCCCGCCGCTTTCCGTGTGGCGGTTTGTGGGTTACGTAACACACCCTGAGGAGTAGCGCGTCATCTAGCCCCCCCTGTTAATAGGGTTCCTGAGTCACTCGCGCCCGCTCGGCGCTCGTCCCCGCCCACCGCCTCGTCCATCCCAGCATCTCGCTTCCTCTTTCTTTCTTCTTCCTCTCTTTCTTCTTCTCCTGCTTCCCACTTCCCCCACCACCTACACATAATGGCTACTCTCGAACCCAAACAGGACCAGGCCTCTGCCCGTCAGAGGGGTCACTCCGCTGTTGTGAGTTCCAACACGTTCTATACTCGTCAACATTCACCCTTGCTGACTGTCAATGCTTCTCTCTCAACCCTTTTCTTCTTCACTGGCATCGTGCGTATCATGACTGTAGGACTTCAAATCCGCTACCACTGGTATCGCTGCGAAGACCATGCGAAACGAGCTCAACAGAATGGTCGCCAACGTGCAGGACCCCACCAAGAAGAAGGTACGTTGACGTGTTCTGTCATCTCCAGCCTATCTAGGCTGTTGCCCAACATCACATGATATGCCCTCGTGCTTTTTCTCACTGTCACTGTGTATTTTGAACTTTGAATGAACGCGAGCTGATCACGCGTCGCGTAGATCTTTGAGGCTGAGATGCAGTCCTTCTTCATCCTCTTCAACCGATTCCTCACCGAGCGTGCCAAGGGCGAGAAGCTGTATGTATCTATGTTGTATTTCGTGACCTAGCTGATCTTTTTACAGTGACTGGGAAAAGATCAACCCCCCCAAGCCTGAGCAGGTCCGACCTTACAAGGAGCTCGACGGTGTCGACCCCTCCATCCTTGACAAGCTTGCCGTGCTCAAGCTCAACGGTGGTCTCGGTACCACCATGGGCTGTGTTGGTCCCAAGTCCATCATCGAGGTCAGGGAGGGCATGACCTTCTTGGACTTGTCGGTTCGCCAAATCGAGGTGCGTTCGCCTTTTGTCACGCATTCAGGGCCGATTGCTGATTTAAGGGTCGCACCCGCTCCGGTCTTCCGTCTCAATAACAGCACTTGAACGAGAAGTACAACGTCAACGTTCCCTTCATTCTCATGAACTCTTTCAACACTGATGAGGACACTGCCCGAATCATCCAAAAGTACCAGAACCACAACATCAACATTCTCACCTTCAACCAGTCTCGATACCCCCGAGTTGACAAGGAGTCTCTCCTTCCCTGCCCCCAGGAGTCTGAAAGCGAAAAGACCAACTGGTACCCCCCTGGACACGGTGACATCTTTGATGCTTTGACGTGAGTCTATTTCTGGCTTTTGATATCTCAGCGCGTCTTGCTGACGACAGTGCAGCAACTCTGGTCTCCTCGACAAGCTCATCGCTGCCGGCAAGGAGTACATCTTCATCTCCAACGTCGACAACCTCGGTGCCGTCGTCGACCTTAACATCATGCAGACCATGATTGACGCTCAGGCCGAGTACGTCATGGAGGTCACCGACAAGACCAAGGCCGATGTCAAGGGTGGTACCATCATCGACTACGACGGTAAGGCTAGGTTGCTCGAGGTTGCCCAGGTCCCCAAGGACCACCTCGACGAGTTCTGCTCTACCCGAAAGTTCAAGATCTGTGAGTGTTACTCTTGATCACTTTGACAAAGCTCATATCGTATCAGTCAACACCAACAACATCTGGGCCAACTTGAAGTCTATCAAGAGGGTTATGGATGAGGACGCGCTCAGCCTCGAGATCATTGTCAACAATAAGGTCACTGACAAGGGTCAGGCCGTCATTCAGCTTGAGACCGCCATCGGTGCCGCTATCAAGGTGTGTATCACCTTGAATATTATTGCATGCAAGTTACTTACAGACTATAGCACTTTGACTCTGCTATCGGTATCAACGTCCCCCGATCACGATTCTTGCCCGTCAAGTCCTGCTCGTGAGTTACATGATGTCTATGTGACAGGCCCGTGTCTGACGATTTGGCAGCGACTTGCTTCTCATCAAGTCCAAGCTCTACAACCTCGAGCACGGTGTCCTGACCATGGACAAGTCTCGAGAGTTTGGTGGAACTCCCGTTGTCAAACTCGGTGACGAGTTCAAGAAGGTCGCCAACTTTGAGAAGCGATTCAAGTCTATCCCCAACATTACCGAGCTCGACCACCTTACCGTTTCCGGTGACGTGTCTTTCGGCAAGGGTGTGCGACTTGCGGGAACCTGTATCATCGTTGCTACCGAGGGTAACAAGATTGTGATTCCCGACGGTACCAACCTTGAGAACAAGTTGATCACCGGTAACCTTTCCATCATTGACCATTAGTTTGTTGCTGGATGTGTTGTGTAGAGTGTTGATGACATGTTCTGGGTGATGAAGGAGGGGCTTTTGATAAAACATTAAAAAACCATTCCATATGCATGGCCGACCCATGGCTGTATCGAACCAACTTTTGTCTTTTGCCGATGTCAGAAAGCGAGAGCCAGCCGTCTCCCTTCCAGTGCACAAATGCTCATGATATACGCGCGGGGCAACTCTGAATCTCATTGACTGCATGGTCTCGTCTAATTACTCAACGCTATAGAACATTCATTTCTTCACCTTGTCGCCGGGCATGTCTTCCTGTATGGACGGCCCTCCACCACAAGAGGTCACTTGATACATCTGGATGTACTAGTTCTACCTCTTCTACTGGTAGCTGCATTTACCTCCTAGCAGCGGCTGCCTGCGCCCCAGGACCCTGGGCTTGGGCCGCAGCAGGCTCACCAGGCAAAAGAGGCATACCGCCCCAGGAACCGATGAATCGCTTGGCGGTCGACCACGCGTTCTGCACACCGGGACCCTTGCCAGCGGCGAACCCGTCGATGCGGCCTGTAATGTTGGTGATGGCGCCACGGGTAAAGGGGGATGCGTGATATCGGAGGCGCACAAAGTGGACCATAAAGATCAATGTAACGAATGATGTGCGGAGGCTGTGTGTATGGATGAGTACTTGGTTCTTTGGGGGAGGATGGAAGGGCGTACGTCAAGACACCAGCGAGGAGGCGGAAGATGATGGCGATCTCGGTGTAGGCCACGAAACGCATGGCGGTGTCATAGTTGGACTTGACCCAGACCTGGATCTTGCGGGACAAGGTCTCGAGGAATACGGGGGGGCGGGCAGGCTGGGCACCAGCAGCGCCAGCGGCACCGGCAGGAGCAGCGGGAGCGCTATATAGATTGTGAGTATGCTACATCCAATAATGTCAATCTGTGTACTTACGGGACGAGCTTGGGGATGATGTTAGTCCGGAGGAAGGTGAGGCAGTGGAACAATGAGAATGTGGCAAAGGGCAACACCGTGACTATTCAATTGATCAGCCACCGTACACATCGTCATAGAGGGGCTTACTGTTGACGGGCTTGGCCACCCACCAGAAGAGGGCCAAGAGGGCATACTGGCAGTTCTCATCGACAAGGGCACGCCTGAGCCATGCCTGGGATGCCTGGGGCCGTCCGAGGCTCTTGTAGACGACGATAGAGTAGGAGAGGAGTGCGCCGGTGTATGCAAGCCTGTAGGTTCTGGCGGGGGTGCCGCGGAAGAAGAGGGCCTGGAGGAGGATGTAGGCTGTGGCGGCGAGGACGGTGGAGTGGCCGGCCGCCCAGAGGTAGTGGGGATCAACAGCGGGCATCGCAGATGGAGAGTAGAGACGGAGAGAGGAAAGAGAGCGATACGTCATGTTAACTAGCAGTAATTACACCCCGTAACTACCCGCCACACCGCCCACGCAAACTCCGCCGCAAACGCCGTCTATAATTTTGAACCTTGCACCCCGCGCTCGCTATATTCCCTAGAAAACACCAGTGGACGAAGGCTACTATACGCAAAATGTCTGACGCTGGATCTGAAACCGCTTCCAACCACCCCGAAGTCGAGGCCCAGGAGGTCGAGGTCGCCGCCGAGTCCGGCCCCATGTCCGTCGAGGACGCCCTCGAGAAGGTCATCAAGGTCGCCCTTGTCCACGATGGTCTTGCCCGAGGTCTTAGGGAGTGCGCCAAGGCTCTCGACAAGAAGGAGGCTCACCTCTGTGTTCTCGTCGAGACCGTCACCGAGGGTGCGTTTATATCGGTTCGGTGGGGGGTTATGCTGACGAATACTGTAGCCGAGTACCTCAAGCTCATTGAGGCTCTCTGTACCGAGCACGGTATCCAGCTCATCAAGGTCTCTGACGCCAAGGTCCTTGGTCAGTGGGCCGGTCTCGCCAAGATCGACCGAGAGGGTAAGCCCAGAAAGGTCGTCGGCTGCTCTTGTGTCGTCGTCACCAACTACGGAGAGGACTCTGAGGCCCTCCAGGTCCTCCTTGACTGTAAGTGATTTGTAATCGTGTAAAGGGTGTTTCTGATCATGTGTGCAGACTTCAAGTCCCGATAATCGTCTCGCTTGTCTCTCGGATCTGATCGACCATCGAGTAAGTGTGCATTCATACACCCTTTTTTCTATGATGAACATGGGATTTTACCCGCATCCATGCGTGTCGACAAGCCCTCGGAAACGAACCTATCCTCTTTGGAGGACAATCCGTTGTCTGATTCTTTACTTTGAAATGACTGTCAGTTGAACAAGACGCTGACTTGTTTCGATAGCTTTCGACCTTGACCTTGTCATTGGGAGTTTGTTTGTAGTCGAATAGATAGGAAATGCAACGTGGTGGTTTGGATATTTGAGGCGAGCGAGCTTTGCGGCTGCATGATTCTTGGATGTGCAATCTGAATAGGGTCGATCTGCATGGTATGTCCAGCTGCACATCCATATACTATGAGCACATGCCGTGCATTCACCAAGAATGCCGAGTGCCACAATGAGCGGCGTCGACGGGCCGAAGCGTTGCCGAAAAGCCAGGGTGACCAAACAACGGGTCATGTGTTCCCGGTACGAGTACATGTCATGGCCATTTTCCCACCTTGTTCCACCAATTCTCCACCATTCCACCGTCCTATAACCCCCCCCCAAAACCATGCCCAGAACACCCTCCCTCTCTCCTCTCGCCGACCGCCGCCTATCTGCTCATGAGCCGTACGCTAGTGCAGCAGCGGATAGCAGGCAGCCGGGGGAGAAGAAGCAGCCGCCGAGCTGTGACGCATGTAGAGCTCGTAAGCTGAAATGCTCGGGACGGCCGCAAGAGATAGAACTTGGGCCAGATTCTATTGCGACTGTTCCTTGTGATGTGAGTCTTCGTTTGCTTGACATTGTGGGTGGGCTGTGGGCTGATGTGCAGGTTAGCATTGCCGGGAATGGAATCTTGACTGTTCGTATTTGTATCAGCGGAAACGAAGGGGGCGGAAGAACAAGGTTGTAGAGCAGCTGGCAGAGGAACAGAGGGCGCGTAAGCAGCAGGCGACCGGTAATGGTCTACTCGCGGAGCAGCAAGGCAGCTCAAACCATGTCGGAGAGAGTTTGTCGAGGGAAGATGGACAGAGGGGGAGGGCTTTTGAGGCGGCTCCGGAGGCATCATTCGGCAGTTCAATCGCCCAAGATGGGCTGGTGAGTAATATGTCTTTACGAAGATGTCTGACTGGATACGTCTATAGTCCCACTTTCGGTATCAACCATTCAGCTCTCATCCCCCACCAACTGCCTTCGACTACCGCCCACCCCCCCTCCCAGCCGCCCATGCCGAAGCAAATCTGGGCAGACACTACCCCCAGTCATCTTCCAGGGATATCCCTCGTATGGACCCTCCTCCCTCTGTCCGACACGATACCAGACCGTATCCGCCGACTTTCAACCTCGCGCCGGATGGACCACAGCCGGCTGGTCCATCGCCTGAAGACGGCGTCTCGCCGTCGATAGCGTTGTCTGAAGCTTCGGTGCCGCCTACGACGACTATAGAGTCGGTCTTACCGCGCGATCTGGCAATGCACTGTATACATATCTACTTTGACCATGTAAGTTTTCTTCTATAGGCGTAGGCTCAAGCTGACTTTTGGCTCTAGGTGTACTGTATCATTCCGGTCATACACCGACCGTCGTTCAACGCGGATCTGGCGGCACACGCAGAAGAGCGGAATCCAGTATTCTTTGCGCTCATCATGGCCATGATCGCTGCGACCCTCATTCACGTGAGCACTCCCCGCCCCCGCTTGTTGTTTGATATTGATCGTACAAGGTGCCAAAATCATTCTTCCCAGCCCACCACCACGATAGTATCCGACGCCTCTCTGTCAAATGTCTGAAGGCTTGCTATGCCGTGACGATCCGGGAGATGGACAACACTAGTGTGGATCTGATCTGTATCAAGTACTTGATCTTTGTGGTGCATAATGTAAGTTCCTCTGTCCTTGAGAGGTAGGAGCAGCGTGTACTTGATCTTTGTGGTGCATAATGTAACTTCCTCTGTCCTAGAAACATGGGAACTCTGGGCTGGAAGCATCAACGTTCGGGGAAGCGCAATATCTCGCCATCAGCCTGGGTCTCCATCGCGAAGACGTAAGCCCCCCCCCCCCCCCCGGCCCTTCTCCTATCTCAACTAACCCATTCTCAGACATATGCCAACTTTGACCCCATCACGGCGGAACGAGGTCGCCGGATCTGGTTTCTCATCTACAATGCCGACAAGTTTGAAGCTGTTGCGCGACATAAACCGGTCTTGTTGCGTAATGACGAATTTTTGGGTCCCGAGTCGACCTTGTTTCCTGCTGAAGTGTATGCCACCTTCATACTGTACGATGAGGGGGGAGCTGATGGAAGTGTGTAGGGATGATAGTGCGATCACAGTCCAAGGGATCCGGCCCAGTTCGAATCCGTTCCCTTTGATATGCGGCTTCAACATTCTGACTCGTATCGTCTCGTAAGTCCCAATGCCACGCTTCAAACCAATAGCTGATAACGTTTTCAAGCATACTTGGGGAGATCCTGTTGATGGAGCGGGATATGCGGCGTCGGCAGCCTAGTGATCCTGAAGAACTACTCGCCGCGCTGAAAGAAGTGCGCAAAGTGCAACAGCAGATCAAGCAAGTCACCGACAACCTCCCGAAACCGTTCAAGCTTGATGTTGGACAAAGCAGCAGTATCTTGTGAGTAATCAGGCGATTTATCAAGAGGTTGCTGATAAGAAACGTAGGCCGGAACCTGGATGGGAGGAAGCGATCAGAGACGAGCTGGACTTGTTTTTCGCCGATCCATTGTCATCCGAGACGGCCAAAGACGGGTACCTCGTACTCAAAGGGAACATCCACGTCACCCTCGCCATGACCAGGTTGAGATTGATGTAGGTCTTTCGCTTTGTTCAGGGATGGCGCTGATGGGTGAAACAGACTTCATAGGGAAGACTTGTTGATCAAGAGCGGACAGCCTGGGAGTTCGAATCGGTATGCGGCAGAGCTGATATCGACTGATGTGGGGGAGATGAGTACGGACTGGCGGCAGTCGGTGTATAGGGATTTGTTCAACACGGTTCATTGGTGAGTCTTGTTGCTTGCGACGAGGGGAGATGGCTGATGGTCTTTTCAGTCTGCCAATACAGGCTGTAAGCTTATCTTCCTCAGCTTGAAAGTAAATACTCATGGGTTGGTCTTATAGCTGGCCGCCAATGGTCCATCAGTTGTCACCAAAATCCGAGTCGTGGCTGTAACACTCCTTGACGCGCTCCCCGCAGAAGAAGTCAACTCGAGTGTACAAGGGATCGCAGATTACCTTCTCGGTGAGTGGTCAGTCGTCTCTGCGAAATCACAAGCTTATAGGAGTAACACAGATTTCTTGAATATCATGAGCTCGATTGAAGATCAGACTGCGGACTGAGGTGAATAGCTCGCTCGGACAGATGGGTTATGGCTATGAAGTATCATGTCACAATGCCTATGCATATGGGGATGTGTGAACCATTAAGGTATCGAGGGTGTCCGTAGATGTATACTACTCAAAAGGAAATCATAAAACAAAATGTCCAACAGAAACTTGCGTCTAGCAAGTCTATAAAGGGGGTCCCTTACAGAAAGAACATCAAAGAGCCAGCGAGCGCAGCGATACCACCGGCGCTGCCAGCCAACAGCCGTATAGAAGGGGTACCAGCGGAAGACGAACTGCTGTTACTGATAGAGCTGGCCACCCCGCTGGCTTCGCTGCTGCCAGCAGCACTCGCCGAACCAGCGGCGGTAGTCGAGGCACTTGCAGCAGTCTATTGAAAAAGTCTTGCATTAGCGATCCTCGCTTATCTGATTGCACGAAGAGGGTCGAGACTTACCGAGTCGCTGCCAGAGGTGGCTGAGCCGGTGGACGCGGGGCTAGTGCATGGAGGTCAGCATTTGTGCAAATATGTTGGAGGAGATACTCACGCCACGTCCCCAGTCACTGGGTCAGCAGAGAAGGAGCAAGAGTTCTTGATGGTCGAGATGGCAGACTCGACAGACTCCATGTCGCTCTCGGTGCCGTTCTTCGCGTCCAAATTGCACTGGGCACAGGTGATGAAATCGGAAAAGGTGTCCTGCACACAGAATTTGAGGCAGTCAGAGGTTGTGCCTCCGTTACACGACTGGTAGAGAGTGACGGTGGATGAACAGGTGGACTGGCATGAAGCATCAATGTCGTTAATGTCGTACTCTCGAGAGTTGAGGGAGTGACCAGGAAGGGCAACGACAGCTGAGAGAGATACAGACGCGTCAGCTCGGAATGATACGTAGCTATTGCGGAGATATAAGAGCATTCATACGTACCAGACGCAGCGCTAAGAACAGTCAAGAAGGTCGCGGCGAGCATGGTGTTTGTCTGGGTTGCTTTGACTGTCAGACTGTTCAAAGTGACACGAAGAAGAGATTTCAGAGAAAGGAAAGATGTTCTGTGAATGCAGTGCATGACGCCAGGGGTCCGGCGGGAGATGGCTGAAAGAATAGATGGATTAGGGTGGATTAGGGTGTTTTGGCCAAAGCCATAGCGTATCTTTCGACTATATGTTCCTGGTGGTGAGTTCCCGTGAAGCTCGGGGCCTTTCTTACCCGCCGTTCAGTCAGAATTGAGACATTTGAGGTGACTCACGCTGCAACAAAATGGCAAATGGGAGCCAGATGCAGTACCCCACAAAGGCTCCCATCTGGTCCCGCCACCGGCCGACCCGCCCATGTTGTGTGAGAGCTTGTGGTTGGTGGCTTGGTTGGCTTCATATGTCTACCATCACCGCACACTACACTGCGTCTTGAGGATCTTGGGCCTCACTTTGGTCCTTTCCTTTGGAACAGAGTAGATATGGGCGAGCAACGCAAAACTACAAAACCTTCAGGGCAAGTACGCGCAGTCTGGTGTTGTGCGGCCCGGAGCTTCGCACAAGATGTCAGTATGAGTTCTGCTTGACTTCGTGAGCTCACAATTCGAAATGAGTGTTGAGGAGGCCATGGGCGGATCATGACAACGGTTGACTGACAACCGTGTGTAACCCATTCGGAGCTTTCTTGCATCATTCAATTGATCGAGATCGTGTCCCTTTACCGTGGCCCAGAGAGCTGGGATCTGGGAGACGCCTGATCATCCACTGTCACTGTTTGTAGCCAATGTTTACGCACGACGCCAAGCATGCATGGCATTGCTCCGCCCTGAAACAAAGCATCGATGTGGCAGTTGAAATACAAACTAACCCAACTGAACTTTCTGATATACCTCAGATCTCGTTCCCCTCACTCTTCTCCAACCTCTCACCACCAACCCCTCCCAGATCTCCTCCTGTACCAAGCCCTTGAACCATGTCAACTTCTTATCAGGCTCGATGCCTCTTCCCATCCGTCTGAGCTGCCATGTATGCCACAATGTCGAGACTCCTGCGCCCACGAGCGGTATACCCTTGCCTTCCTTCTTTGATCCGCCCAACATGATCTTGGCGAGGTCGCCCTTGGGTATTGTGTATCCTCCCACATGGGTGAATTTGCCAGGCACATCTGGGTTCAAAAGCACCCGGTCTGGGAGGTCCGGGATCAGACAAGCGGGTCTGCCTATACCTGCCAGATCACAAGCTCGCTCACGGAGAGAGTCGGCTATGACCCATCTATCGTGTAGACCACCTGTGAGCAAGATAGCCGGACCTTTGGGGGGAGGTGGAAGGGTGGGAAGGAGCTTGGAGGTAAAGTGTGCAAAGAGGGATTGTCGTTTGGAGGTGGTGGATGAGATGGAGGAGGAGAAGGTGAAGGCGGGGTTGGTGTAGGTGCCGCCGGATATTTCGATAATGTCGACGAGGTTCCAAGATACGATGGCTCTGATTATATCGGAGGCTTGCTCTTCGTCGAGGCCTGGAGGGGTATGAGTTGGATGCGCGCCAAGTTGTTAGAAGTACTGACCTCCTTGTACAAAGTCTGAACAGTTGATCTTGACAGCTTTGATGAAGAACTCAGCTGTCTGTTCTTTCAACCCCTTCAAAATGAGGTAGAGTAGATGTAGATTCAAAGGAACGTCTTCCGGAACACCCGGTAGAGGCAGAGGATCAAAATTCGTCTGCAGCGAATCAGCCCGGGTCCTTCAACTTTTGGCTGATACTTACCAGAGGCGACATGAAAGAGCTGAGCAGGTAGCCATGGGCCGCATGCACCTGCACACCATCCCAACCGGCATCGCCAGCCATGACGCTGGCCTCTACAAAACGCTCCACGATCGCCAACCACTCTCCCACATCGCTCACTTTCCGGCTCTTCACAGGCCAGCCCACATACTGCCAAACTTTTCCCAAGACTCCGCCTCCCATGGTCGGTCTTTCGCTGCATGGAGCTATCGCCGGCTCCCATGGAGCGCGAGAGCAGTTCAAGGTACTCGACGATTGCAGACCCGGGTGCGAGAGTTGCATGATCATGAGAGGTCTGTCCGGCGTAAAGTGGGCCATTAGGGCGAGGTGCATGTATCGGGATTTATGAGAGGCTGAAGTGGGGTCGATTGTCAGGTCGTAAGGGGAGGCGAGGTGTTTAGGGTTGATTTGGACATTCCCTGGAGAGACTATGAGCTCTTGCAACTTCTGGCGACACGATCATCATATATACCAGTAATGACGATTCCCCATCCGCCTGCTACCCATCTCATGTACAATATATCGTGCTCCGGTGTAGGAGGGCCGCCGCCGAGGCCGATACCTTCTGCCATCGCAACCTGTCATTGGGATCAGTCGAGCGACGAGTGGAGGGAGGTGCTTACCTTGACGAGCCTGTTTGGGACTTCAACACCATTTGGCAGGGTTAGAGGGGAGGCTATGAGCTTAATGTCCTCCATGTTTGGTGATGCAGTAGCGAGTAGTATCGGCTAGAAGTCTACATATAACAATATGAGAAGAACGCTCGGCGTGCCCGAGTCGCGGGGGGCTTCCTCTTCTTTCCTGCTTTGAGATATCGTCCTTTCTTCTCTTTGCCTTCTACCTCCCATCCTGCATCTCCAAGATGCCACCCAGGCCCAAGTCCCCAGCCGTCCCCGACGAACACACCCGCCTCATCAACGATGCTCCTCCATCCTACACCCACATCGATCCCGCCGCCACCGAGCCTGCCGAGCCACCCGCCCCTTCTCGCCGGCCTCGTGCCCGTCTCGTCATCATCAGCCTGGCCGTTGCTGGGGTGGTATTACTCCTGGGAGGACTCATCTTTGCTGCTCTGGTAGTTGCATCGTTCAGACCCACCCCCTCAGAGCTTGAAGCGCTGCCCAAGACCGCATTCGAGTATACCGCTCCTTCATCTATCTCCATTGTCGACATAAGCGACCAAGGCGTCCTACTCAACATCACCCTTCCTTGCGGAATTGACGCCGACCAGGCCTTTGGGGTCCAGGGATTCTACCTTGAGAGCGACAGGCAACAGGCGAAAAGTCGAGGGTGGCGCGGGACAGGCTCAGAGTGGTGGGAGAATGTTCGGCGGAAAGGTGCTCATTGGGCTGTGCGCACTTTTGGTGACCGAGTATCTGTTGATGTGAAGGATGGGATATTGGTGTTACCCACAGGCGCAGACGCACCAGGGCCTCTGGGATATGTCGAGCTACCTGAGAGGGTTGTCGTGCCTCTCATTACGGGCGTACCGGCATACCATCCCGAGCACCCAGACTTGTCGTGGCTCGAACCCATTTCATTCATCGCCCTCGCGAAGCCTGTTGCCAACACGGGCGATATATGGGAGTTTATCAGGAAGGGGTGGGTGAAAGGTAGCTTGGACGTTGTCATCGGGATCCGAGAAATAGAGGCCCACCTGGCCCAGGGAGAGCATTCATGGTGGGGTAAATGGGCGACTGTAGAGGAGCAAGATCTCGCATTCAATGTGTCATTACCAAGTGAGTCTTTTCACAATGTTATTCTTTCTCTTATGTGGTCCATAGTTCCCCATCCATACCTTGTCTAAATTGGTTTCATGACTTGAATTTCCGTATTCTCGCGCCCGCGAAGTATAGGATTGACCATCTGGCTTCTGCAGTACCTATCGTACCCCATCTCCCTCGCCCTAGACATGACATAGATCTGTCTTCTCTTGTCACTCTTCACAACTATACGCTTTCAAATGAGCACGACTCTGACTTGACCATCACTGCTATGGCCACCATGCCAAACTTTGTCCGGCATCTCAACTTGTCGGACAGTATGAGCACTATGCCATTCGGCTTGCCGTTCTCGATATCTCTTCCTGATACGAACGGGGATGAGAAGATGGCAGAAGTCATACTAGAGCCCGTGACTATAGGGGCAGAGAAGAATATCACTCTCACCATTGCAGGAAAGGTCACTGCGGATCTCGATTCTGCGCAATTGTTGGGCGAGACTTCATCTTTGTCATTATTCCTGCAGAACTACCTGCACGGCTTATCTTCACCTATCATCGTCCACGGACTCTCCTTATTCCCTTACAAGACCCAAATACCCAAGCCCCCAGCTTGGCTCCTCCATACCCTCCCATCCTTGTCACTCAACCTTTCGTTCCCAGGCCCGTCACCCCCTCCCCAGATCATCAAATCCGTCACCATCGAAAAGATGACTATTGAAGAAGAAGACGGCAAGATGAAGGCCAGTGGGATAGTAGTTGCAGAAGTAGAGCTGCCTGGTGAAATGGTGGCTGTCGGAGTAGTAGTCAACGGTGTCAAGCCCAATGTCTTGGTATATGACGGACCAGCACCGCCCGATGGGGAGGATGATATCCCCGACGGCGAAGAATACCCCCGCAAATCCTTTGGCCACATCAACCCACCAGAATACCTCCCCTCCACTACCACCCCATCTACCGACCCCGCGACTCCCCACCGCCTTATCGTCCGCGCGCCGCTGACGAATGTCGACTTGGACATTCTCCCGGGTAGGGATAATGTCTTGTCGGATTTTGTGACGAAGGTGGTGTTCAAGGGTGGAGCTGTGGCGGGTGTGAAGGGGGTGAGTGCTGTTAAGGTGGATGTGCATGGGGTTGGGGGGCATGTGGAGGTGGATGGGCTTCCTGTTAGGGGCGAGTTTTTTGTTGGGAGGCAGAGGGGATGATTGATTCCGTACTCGTACGATCTTTGTTGCCATACTGGATATTTGTATCACGTAGATGTTTGTTCATGGCGTTTTTTGTACTGTTATGTTATCAATTGTACAATCTCCCCCAAAGCAGGGCGAAATGCAGAACGTATGGACATGGGAGCGACGTGCAATGCTGCGAGCAGTTCCAACATGAAGGTTTATGTGTATGCTATGATGTGATCCGATGGATCTCTTTTGTTAGATACTTGGCTGTCTCGCAGCTGCAATTCCACTTTACATCTAGCTCCTGCAACCCCAAGCTTGCTTGCTCGACCGACGACTCGAGGCTCGATAAAGACAGAGCGGCGAGGGCGAGATAGGAATGGAACGGGTCGGGGTAGTCTTCGGGCTCTTTACCAAAGCCGCCGAAAGGTGATTGGGATGATAGAAGGAAAGATTGATTCTCGGAGTGGCTAACCAGGTTGCCATGGCCGAGGACCTTGTTTGAGTTAGTTGCGGAACCAGGGGAATCTGACGACACTCACATTAAGAGCACCACCACACCAGAACGAGTAGCAGACGTCCTCTAGTTTTCCGGGACGGCCTTGAAAGCCACCGATTTGCCGGGAAACGAGCCATCTCGTTGTGTCGTCTTGGGACTGCTGATCCAGCGACGAGAGAGACAAGGTTGAATGAGACGAGTCCTGTTCCAGGAGGGCAAGAGAAGTGAGGGAGCAGTATGTGGTTCCTCCTATGAGCATAATTCAGCTTCGGCACATACATATGGAAGGCAGGACCAACCTTGAGCTTCGATCACCCCAGGCCGAGAACCATAGCCTCCTTCCCACGTCTATATAGCTTTAGCAGGCCACCATTCCTACTCCCATATATACTCACCCGGCAGCTCTCTATCCATTGTCTCAACAGCGGCACATCAATCCCCGACATGTCTCCGATCATGTTTGACACTGCACAAGCACAATATGCCATCCTAGCATCGGACTGAAAGCCACCAAGGGTATAGGAGTCCGCCGTGGGCGAGAAGCTTTCGAAAGATCAGCTGCGCAGAGACTGGCTCGGTGTAGCTTACGATCCGTTTGGTGATTGACAAGACTTCACGAAAGCTACCAGGCCGGCTCTATCCAGTCGATCTAAAGGCGCACGGAGGATGGCGAGGGATAGTAAGGCAGTGTATGTCGAGGGGAGGTGCGCGGGGGAGGTTGAAGCGTTCTTTGGTGGATCAGCACACTTCATAGTCAACTTGGTGACCTAAACACACTGGTGTAGTCATATACGTTGACCCTCTGAAACCTCCATGAGCTGTATAAGCTCGCGAGTCAGTTCAAGAGCAGTGGAAGAAGTCAGTAACGACTTGCGAGCTTGAAGCGTCCATATCCAGTCGATCCACCCATTTCTCTGCTCTTCACTGGTCTTGTCCTGCAGAGCGCCTAACAGGTCCAGTGCAGACAAGCAAAAGTAGGCTATCGTGATACTATCAACATCAGCTTACAGTCACCAGCGTCGCGACGCACCGATTCGAATCATGGCCTTCAGCAGCCGTTGGAAGCGCCATCAGGCATCGGCGAAAGTAGTTGATGTGAGCATTCCACTTGAAAGTGGACTGCCTAGGGGGCTCCATTGTGTCCATGGAAGACATCTTGCAAAGGTGCCCGACGCCATCTCAAAGGTCGCTGCCGCCATTACCGGTTCGTGCGCGACATGGAATTTCCCGCGCGTCCCTGGTTCCCCACTTGCCATTGCCATTGTTGTCTTTCTTCTCCATCCACTTTCTCGCTAGATGGCCACTTCGACCCCCAGCCGCCCATCGTCAAAGCCCCCCTCGTCTCCCCTCCCACCCGTCACACCCCTCACTGCAGAGCAGTACACCCTCAATCATCCTCCATCTGAGACTGGATCTCGGCGCAGCTCTTTGGGGACGCGCAGCTCGACGGATACCAGATTCAAAGGCGCTCTTGACCTCAGCGCTCACCCCAGTGGAGATCAGGGAGGAGACAGGCCATCGCTGGACTCACCGCCGCCGACAGGGTCGACCTCTGGTCAATCACAATCATCGCACTCCACTCTCGAGTTTCTCGACAATGATCTTTCAGATCTCGACGCTGAATTAGACATTGACAACATGGACGACTTGGACTATGATGAAGAGAGTATGGATACGGGTGTGGATGAGCCGTTAGTGAGGGGGCGTGGAAGTAGGCCGAGAAGGAGAGCACGGAGAAAGGGCTGGGAAGAAGAAAAGGTAGAGAAGGGGTTGATAGAGGTGCGTCCTACAAGGTTGTGTGGTTTGCAAGCTAACTTGCCGTAGCTGATACCATCAATAATACTATCGCACCCGCTGCCTCTGCTACCACTACTGGCATTGTTGCCATACAACTTTCTGCCAGCCGGTGTAGTCTTCTTCATCCCAATTATCTGTGTCCTGGCTCTATTGTCTATTTGCGCCCATATCGTTATTGTCTATCTCTCTTGGTACGCTCCCCTTCCGATACAGTGAACGATGGCTAACTTCTGACAGGTATCTCAAGATGCCGTCATTCGAAGACGTATTTGCCAATGTTACTGGCAAGTACAGTAAGTATGGCCTCTGGGGTGCACGCGTAGCTCTCATCACCGCCGTGCTGGGTATGGTCGTTAGTTGGATCGAAAGTGGGTGACCGGAAAGATTGGCGGCATGTGCTGATATATGGCAGCTATACACCCCCTGTTGGAACCGGTGGTTGAGACATATCTGCCATCAAACAAGTTCTTCCAGTCCAGAATCGTGTGGACCATCGGGGGTTCTACGATTGTAAGTATCATTGAATGACCAATGTCACCATGCTCACTTATGATCAGCTCATCCCCAGCCTGTTGCCCTCTCGAATGAGCCTATCCCTGCGCCGCTCTCCCATCTTCTTTGCCCTCTTGTTACCGATCATCGCCTTCCTTGTCATTGGTCGTACAGTGGAGATCAAAAAGGCGGCAGACCAAACAGGTGGAGATGTGGGCAACAGCACTGAATCTGCTGTGGCTGTGGCCAGTAACGCACTAGGGCATTTGGCAAAAAGGCGATTTGGATTGGCCGGTAAAAGTAGCGCAGGAGCTGGGTTGAGTGAGTCCTCAATTTGAGCTTCTATTTGCACAGTCTGATGTGTCTCAGCCACCCTTACCATCTTCTTCTCTCCCCATATCAATACTCTCCCAATCCATGGTACTCTTGCGCGCTCCAAACGAGCAAGCTTCTTCATGCCTTGCCTTTTCGCAGGAGCCATTATCCTCGTCTTGGCCTTACCCCTCGCTCTCGTCCCCTACTACCTCCTCCCTCTTTCAGATGGCAGCCCGGACACATCTACTATATACAGTCCCAACACCAACGCCCCCTCTGGCATCTTTAGCCATCTCCCCGCTGACGATGCTTGGCTCAACCTTGCTCGTATTCTTCAAGTCGCTCTGACTCTGGGCTCGACCAACATCTGGATCTTGCGCGGAAGAGATGTAGTGTTGAAAGCGATGAATGTGGAAGGAGGGGATAGGTATAAAGCGGGCAGATGGGTTGGGCTGGCGTGCTGGGTGATTGTTGTTGGACTAGCTTGCATTGGGGGCTGGGTTGCGGACAAGGTTGAATTGATGGGTGTATTGGGCGTGTTGATTGTCGGATGGTTTTTGCCTTGTAAGTCGCTCCGAATGGGATATAGTCGCATCTCTGACATTTGTGTAGCATTATTCTTTATCATCGCATTCCACGTACGGTCGCCCCTGTCCATCATCTTCCCTTCTCGTCAAAATCCATCAACCTCTCAGCTCCCTCCTCCCAATACCTCCACTCACTCGCTCCCGCGTCGCGGGCAAGGCGGCCACTCTCGGAGCAGCAGCCTGAGTGATCCCACGACGGACGTGCTCCTAGCGAGAAAAGAGAGACAGCTGCAGAAGAGACGATTGGGGAGGAGGCTGTGGCAGGATTTGATTGTGTATCTGGGCATCTTGCCTGTGGGGTGTGTGACGATAGCTTGGACGGCGGGGAGGTTTGTGGGGCTATGGTGATTCTTTGTTGGGCAGAAGAAGTTGTGTGGCATGAGTCTTGGGAACCGCAATAATAATAAAGACATGTCGCTCGGTATGTATCTTGCATTGTTTCCTCGTTTCCTTTGGCGCGAAAGAGAGCGCGAGGTCTTCAAGTTCAAGCAGTGTCCAACTGACTACCAGCTGGCAAGTTGCCCGAATGGGATGCACAAACAAACTGAGACGTTTTAGCTTACAGAGTTACAACCGCGATTGAGACCCTGCCAAGCGCGTTCGAACGCCACCAAAAGAGGACGCGTCGCATAAGAAAGTCTTTTGTTCTCTTCATTATTCTTGCATCTGCTTTTCCATTTCGTTTCCATCTTATTCATAATCAAGTAGCAGGACTACATCCTTTCCCATCTCACACGATGCTTCGCCACACTCTTTTCATTCTCTTTGCTATCCTCTTCGCCCACCTCTGTGAGGGGCAAAGGCTCGCGACGCGTATTGATGATGTGAGTCTTCTTACGGTGCATCCACTGCATCCTTGCTTTCGCGATGCTGACCATGGATCATAGGATGGTCATACTATTGTTATCACTGGTCCCAACGGCTTCCAGGGTACCAGTGCTCTGCCTAGCGAGTAAGTCTCATTTCCACATCGTCGCTCATGTTCGGACGCGACGCGTCGGGGTCCCTGCTGAACGGTGCATCCGCGGAGTTTGGGCGCTGATCAATCTTTCTGCATAGCTGGAACACGTCTGGGTACACCTTCAGGACTTCTGCCAAAGTTCAGAGCACCACGTCCGCTTCTAGGTGCGTACAATCCATTACTGCTCTGAAATCAATTGTGCTAACGCGACGCGTCTTAGCGCCGTCGCGACTGGCTCTAACAGCATCAACAAAGATGCGAAATGGGTCAACTCTACTGACTCTGACAATGTCACGGAGAGCGCCTCTCAGAGCCTGTGAGTGATATAAACATAGAATGACCGGCGATGAATGCTGACAATCATGTAGTGATGAGTCTACCTCTGCTACCGCCACTGCGATCAACACCATCAACGTCAACGGTGCCGCCTCTGCCAAGTCCACCACCGCCTCTATCGCTCAATTTAGCGCGTCTTCCGCCTCAGCTTTTCAGTCTGAGAACGCTGGCGTCAAGCTTGCGGTCCAGTCCCATGCTTCTGCCCTGATCACTGCGATGGTGGTGATCGGCGCGGTGTGCATGTCGACTTCTCTGGTTATCTGATGTGTTTCATTGTCTTGACGTGTCTACCGGAAGAGGGTGGGAGCGAGTTGGCGTTATATAGAGTCTGGTACTCGTGACCGGGTGACAGCTAGTCTGTCAAATTTCGGTATAAACATATAATCATAACATTAGCAAGTATATTTCGCGGTGTGTCTGTTGTTGGACGATGTATATAAGAGTTACTCAACGTCGCCGCTTTGTGGTCATAAACTTGTCCAGACTGTAATACTAAGGTGCGCTCGGAAGCTCTGAAATCGACCTTGAATGATGGGGTAGAGGAGCCAGTCATTCGCCAGATTGCCCAACCAACGAACTTGTATAGAAACCGACGACGACCAGCAAGTGGCCATTGGAGCATAGCTCTCTAATTGGCCAAAACGATACTGCTCGAACCAAAACCAAACTGGTTGGAACACGTCGCCTATGAATCCCGTTTAAATGGAGAGGTCGCCGAAAGTGGAAGAGAGGAAAGAAAGACACTCAGGAAACGCGCCACGCGCCACACGCGTTTTTGGCGGAATGGTATATGTTCAGAGGTAGCATCTGGCCGATCATGTGCATAGGTTCTCTTCAACCTGACTTACATGAAGCTTAGAGGTATATCACCTACATGCAGAAGACTACAAGACTCGCCTCTGATGCATCCCCCAGGCGTAAAAGATAAGGCGCAAGCCAGCAGGGCTGCGGTGGAGGCGTCAGAACTCGGAAACCTTGTTGCTGGCACGACTGGGCGCTTCTCTCTCCGGATCCATCCTCAGATCTCTTCAAGTCCTGTAAAAGTACGAGCAACGACACCCACCACCAAAACACTTCCCCGCTCGAGATACACTACGACCCCCTAGAGCATAGAGCAAGCATGCCCAACAAAAAATCAAAGGCGGCTAAGGCAGCTGCTAGCACCAGCGCGAAAGCCGAGCAACTCGTCGCCGACGACACTGTTGCCTCACCCAGCAACGGGGACGCTCAAGAAAATGAGAATGAGAATGGGGAGGAGGGCGAGCCCGCCGGTGAGGAGCTTGTACCCGAAACCCCCAGAGAGTCTTATGGTAGTGCTGCTGTGGACGATGATGACCTCTCACCAGAAGAACGGGTGAAGTTGCTGGAGGAGGAGCTAGAGAGCACACGGCAGGATAAGGAGACGCTTGGGAACCAATACAGAAGCTTGCTGGGCAAGCTCACTGCTATGCGGACTACTTTGGGGGATAAGCTCAAGGAAGATGCTGTACGTTTCTGAACATCAATAAAGGCTAGGCTGATTGTTTCGCAGGAAGAGCTGGACAGACGGGAGACACAGATCAACACACTCACATCCGACAACGAGACATTCCAAAATACTATTCAGACTCTCCAATCCGAGCTCCAATCTCTGACAGCCGAATCCTCTTCCCTCTCCGCCCAACTCTCCCAAATCCGATCACAGTCCGACTCTTCCTCCTCTGATGTACTCTCTCTCACACGAGAGATGCGTGAACTGAGGGGAGAGATGGAAAGGTTGAGGCTGGAAAGGGAAGAGTGGGAAGAAGAGGCTGGGCGCGAGAGGGAGAGAAGAGAGGAGGGTGAGGAAGAAATGGGGAGGGTGGAGAGGAGAGAGAGGGAGATGAGAGGGGAAGTGGAGAGGCTGCGAGAAGAGAGGGATAAGGAGAGGGAACGAGCGGATAATCTCCAGGAGGTATTGAGCGAATTCCAAGCTGGTGAGTAGCAATCGCGGGCCTAGAGACCTAGTTCTGACGCGTGGTTGCAGCGAAAGATTCAGAGCTGGATCAAGCGACACATGAGCTGGAGACTCAACTGCGGCTGGCAGCTGCCTCATTGTCAGACTTGAAACTTCGAGCAGCCAACGCCGAGACGCAATTATCAGAAGTGTCTTCCGACGCAAAGAAGGTGGCTGTTTTGGAGCGGGATATCAAGGAGAAGAACCAGGCTATCGCCAAATTACGACATGATGGTGAGCTACTTTGTTGTCTCTGGAGATTTGTGACTGATATAGGGTAGCTGTGATCAACAACGAACACTTGACAGAAGCGTTGCGGAGATTACGAAAGAACCAGTCCGACAACAATGTCGACCGCCGGCTCGTGACTAACATCCTCCTCTCCTTCCTGACAGCCCCCCGCGGCGATACCAAGCGCTTCGAAATACTCTCTCTTTTGTCCACTATCCTCTCGTGGGACGATACCGAAAGAGAAAAGGCGGGGCTGCAGAGGCAGGGCGTTACGGGGAAGAGCGGGGCAAGAGGTGGAGAGGACAAGAAGAAGAGGCAGGATACAGAGAAGAGTGCCGAGGAGGAGGCTGCGATGAACGAGTCGTTCAGCAACCTCTTTGTCGAGTTCCTCTTGAAAGAGTCTTCGCACGGCCAACCGGTCAGACCAGCCGGCGCCGAGCCGCACCGCACTCAATCATCCATCTCGCTCAACAACTCGTCACCCTTCTCTCCCGGGACAAGCAGCATGACGTTTTCGCCGCCCCCGACGATCCATTCGGGATTCACGTCGCCTCAGTCGAGGCCGAGGGGGCTGTCGACGAGCTCGCAGACGTCGGCGGGTGGAGAGAGGGTGGCTATGGGGGGCAGGAGGACAAGCTACGGGCTGAGGGAGGCGTTGGAGCATGAACAGCATGGTCAGGGATACTAGCTGTTGTCAACCTAATGAGCGTATTGTATAGAATGCATATTCTTGTACCCTTCAATGTTGTTCCCTAGTAGAAGAAGTCCCGATGCATGACAACAAGCTCATCTATTACCACCAATATACTTGTATATACTTTTTCCCTACAAAACCCCCTTCCAAGTGTATGAGATCTGATACCCATGCACATACGAATGTCTTACTCGGCCTTGCCACCAGCCTTCTCAGCAGCCTTGATAGAAGCCTGGTCGGTCTGAGGACCCCCAGCAGCTCCGGTGAACTGCTCCATCAAACCGGGGGCGGCCTTGAAAGGTCGGGCGAGCTCGGCCTCGGCGGGCTTGTTCCAGACGTGGAGCTTGGCGACGTTGGACTCGAGAGCGCCCTTGACACCCATGATGGCCTGGAGGAAGAGCGGCTGGGTGTACTTCATGTAACCGTGCTGTGGAGAGTGAGCGTTGTAAGGGGCGCGATTGCTAAGAACATACGAGGAAGCACATGAAGGCGACACTCTGTAGACATTGTGTTAGCGAGAGTTTCCTGCATTGGAAAGCAGACGTACAATAAGCAAGCTTCGCATGGCTTTACCGGTCTCGGCCAAATCATAATCCTTGACGGTCGTGGTCACAAGCTCCGGCTTGGCGTCGGGGTTCTAAACATTGATCAGAGAATTTCTCATGGTCGATCATGGCACTTACCGTAGGAGAAGCGGGGCTGACATACTTGATGACAGTCAAGTCGTTCTTCCTCCGGATCTAGTAATTTCATGTCAGAACATACACGGCGTCTCCATGAAGGACAAGCTAACCTTGAGGGTGATAAAGTAGTAGATACCCAAGGCAATGATCTGGGCAGACACGTAGCCGATACGGAGGTAGTTGACGACTTGAGGGTCCTCCATTGGGATCTTACGAGCGACTGGACAGAGGTCAATTGCGTGCTTCGCGCTGTGTGGTGTACTTACCCTGCATGGCGCCGAGGGAGAGGACGAGGTTGGAGATGGCGGGGTTCATGGTGGCGAGACGACTGGGTAGAGAACAGAAAGAGTCCAAGTCGGCGAAGAAATATAGCAGCTGGCGGAAAGAACGCAGACGGAAAGAGGAGAATGCGCTGGAGGGGCGGGCATGGCCGACCTAATTACGTAAGTGCGCATGCCACACCCCATCAACGCCGTTTAATTCCGTTCTCCTCTTACATCTCTGTATATCCTCTCCCCTATCCACCGACACCGACACCATGCGCCCCCAGCTCGCCCAAGCCGCCCGTCTCGCCGGCAAGAGGTTCAACTCTACCTCTGCCCAGAACCCCAACGTCCAAAAGGCCGTCGAGTCCGCCAACAAGGCTTACGCCCAGACGGCTGCTACTGTCAAGAAGGTCGCTGGTCCTGTCGGTGAAAAGATTGGTGCTTCCCTCGGTGGTGCGTTTGCATTTTGCTCCGGGAATGGGGCGCGCGAGCGCTTTCGGAACGCGCTCGGAATAGTCAAGGAAACAATGGACTAATATGTTGTTATAGCCTACCGCGAACCTATCGTGTACAACTCCAAGGTTGTCGCTTCCATTGCCAAGCAGGTCTACCAGGCCGAGAAGCTTGCTCCCCCCCTCGATCTCAACACCTGGGCCCGGGCTTACTCTGAGATCTACCACAAAGCGACCAACGGAGGCTACTGGAGCACCTTGCTGAAGACCGGGGCTTGGGCTGGTTTGGGTGTTGCTGTGAGTCTAAGAAACAATCAACCGGAGGAAGGAAGCTGACGTGTAATCATTTTAGGTCGTTGAAGCCTACGGTATCTTCAAGATCGGCGAGATTGTTGGCAGGCGTAACTTGGTCGGCTACAGCCTCAAGGAGTAAATGCGAGCGCAGAGTCACGGGAGTTGGAGGGGTTTTGACGGAGGATGTTGATCATGGATTCTACATGAAGTGTCGAGAGATAGTCGGTCTCTTTGGAGGAGATCCACGGAGATGGGAGAGAGGAGATATAAAATTAACGTCTGTGATGACATAGACGTATGCATCTAGATTCGGCTCACGGCGGGATTGAGTCGCTCAGGAGGAGGTTTGTGTAAATGGAGGGCGAATTTCGTTACTGAAGTCAAAGGCGAGACACGATTGAGGAGACGTGACCCACCACGATGATGTGCTCCAGCCGCGCTAAGCAACCTCGGGGCATCTGCGACAGTCCTATTCATACTGGCAACAGCTGCGCTGAGACTTGAGAGAATCAAAAAGCGACTCGGGCCAAGCTGACTGTGGTCATCACAGAACGGAGCACGAAGAGACCGCGGAGCTCGTCTGTCGGTCATTGGCAGGATACGTATGCTCTTGGTTGGTTTCTCACAAGCTTCATAGTCCTATGTAGATCGGTAAAGGCGTGACTTTACATTGAGAGCTTAGGGAGGAGTGCATATGCGATTGCGTGCTGGCGCAGAAATATCATGTGGGAGATGGGGAAAAACGAGCTCAGTACAAGACGGAACATGAAGCCTGCAAGTTTGAGTATCAACTGCATGTCTGACATCCCAATATCACTCTATAGGTTCTCCGATAGAATACCACTCAGCTCTATCCCACTACAACAACGGCTCCACATCAATCTCCAAGCTCGAGCAAGGCCTGATCAACTCAAAGTTGTTCAAGACACTAGGGTGCAAGATACCCAAAGATCCGATATTGATATCTCTGGTAGCACCCGGGAGAGCAGCCTTGAGGTCGGAAGCGATGTTGGAGAGGGGGTTGGAAGAAGCAGGGGCGGGGGTGGGTTTGGGTCGGTAAAAGACGTGGGCGGCTCGGCCGGGGAGATAAGTGGGATCTGTGATAGATGAGCACTCGTGTTTGATCAGCTGGGAATCAACTTACCATCGGCGGAAGCAATGTAGTAACCATACTCTGCCTGAGACTCCTTGGCGCCGATGAAGGGAACGCTCAGAATCTGCATCACCCTGTCCAACAGACCGTGCGCCACCTCGAATCCAGCCTTCCTGTCCATGTACACTGCACAAAGCCTCCTGTAGTTTCTCGCTTGTCTCTCCGCCTTGGCGTCCTGCACAGCGACATCAGAGACCTCAAAGATCTTCATGGGCAAAGCCAAAGCCTTGTTCTCTCGGGCAGTCTTGAGCATACCGGGCAAGAGCGAAGTGCGGACGACTTGGTACTCGAGGGATTTGGGGTTGGCGAGTTGGATGGCGAGGTTTCCGGGGTCGGGACGGTTGAGCCAGGCAAAGTTTTCATCGTGGGAGCAGAGGATGAGAGGAAGAGCCTCAATCCAGCCGGCCATGGCACATTCTTTTCGGATAATGTCGCCCAACCTGTTCACAGGGAACGCCTTGGCAACGGTATTCGTCGTAGGCATGCTCTGGGGCAAGTTGTTGAAACCGTAGGCGATGGCAGCATCCTCCATAATGTCGCACTCGTGCAAGATGTCAGGCCTGGTGCAGGGGACAGAGACATCGAGGGCATCGCTGTCGGTGGCAGACGGCTTGGCGGAGAGAGACATGCGGGTGAGGAGGGTGCAGATCTGCTCTCGGGAGAGCTCGAGGCCAGTGGCAGCGTTGATGTAGGAGGAGGAAGCGGTGGTGACCCGGGGAGCGATGGGAGGGGATATGTGGGAGGAGCCGTCGGGCATGTGGACGCGCACAGGCTCGACGGTGAAGGGGACTTCGCAGTATTCGCCAAACATGGCGCAGATCATGTTGATGACAATGTCGCTGGGAAGCATTAGATGTTGTTCACTTGCGTTTTGTATACGCACAGCTTGGTCTTGTCGACGGCAGTAGTGTCGATGAAGATGTTCTTTGTCTTGCCAGGGACGATCTTGGAGTCTACAAAGCGGTCAGCCATGTTTTATGTCAATTTCGAAACGTACGCTGAGAGTTGATGATGGGAGGCATGGAGCAAACCTGCCCTTTGCTGTCGTAGATGACTGGGTAGGCAGGAGCATCCTTGATGAGATGCAGATACTTGCCCAGATGTCTGTCGCCCTATATCAAACATCAGCTTGCCCCGGTCTATCTGCGAGAGTCGCTCACTTCGTAAATACCCATCAACTCCTCCGCGGTGCTCTCAGTCTCCTTGTTCAAGGGCGCAAACTTGATCTTCTTAGGGTCCTCGCAGATATACCTGAAGGGTCCCTGCACAGTGTCCAAGTCGTGCGTTCCAATAGCCACAAACTTTCTGCCCCTACACAAGTTTTGGTGAAGCTTGTCCTGCAAGTCGATGAAAGACTCGTATTCAAGCTGGTTCAAAGGCCTAGCGAGTCGGAGGATGGCAGAAGCAAAGTAGGGTCGAAGAGGGGAGGTGGAGGATTCGACGTAGACTTCTTGGATCTTTTCGGGATTGGAAAGAGCGTATTGAGGAGGGGTGTCCTTTTGCAAGAAGATTCGAAGAGCGCGGGCGACACCTTCCAGACAGAGGAGGTCATATCTGTTGGCGGGAATCTCAATTTTGAGCTGGGGAGGAGAGGTAGGAAGTCCCTTCTTGCGAGCTTCTTCGACCTCGACAGTGGTCTGATAGAAAAGTTAGCTGAAGCTTGTCTATGACGCATTGTACGAACGTCTTCGTCAAGCTCGATACCAAACTCGAAACAGAGTTCGTCAAACTCCTGAGTGGCTGTAGCACAAGATCAGCATCCATTCTTGATTTCTGTAGTGGACGGCAACGGACTGTACTCTTTTTCGAGGCGGCGGTAGAGCTCGGCCTTGTCAACAGAGATGGTGGGCTACAGTGACGGTCAGCGCAGAATTGATATGGCTTCGGTGTGCTCACCATGGCGGATGATTTTGTAGTCTATGGGTGAATGGACAGCGACTGACTTGAGCGACGCCTGAGCATCTCGAGGACAAGCAAGGACTCGATTCGGTGGGTGGGCGTGGGAGGGTGTAAAAATGTTGGTAACTTTCGGTCAGCGTAATTACTTCTTAAGTTGCACGCAGTAGTCGGTCAGTCAGCTTCAACCTGGCCTCAACTATCTATTCAAAGAAGTGCGCGAAAGCCACGCATGTACTGTACTCTTAGATAAACAGAGCAGTAGTTTATCATTCATCAAAAGAAAGGTCCGTCTGTTTGTCTACCCATATGCTAACTGTATAACCTGTCATACCGCTACCAAAGTCTACGAAAGCACGGCGAATAGATCAAAATTATGCCTCAAGATCACAACCCCTTCTTCACTTTCTCAACACATCATCAAATTCAATATGAACCTTGTTGGGGCCTTTGAAGATGGTCACGAAACGCTTTGGAATAAGCGTGGCATCGCCTCGCACCCTTCTGATGAAGGCGCCACCCACCATCACATTGCCGATCCACGGCAAAGTCGCCATACCGGCTCCTTCATAGTGCCCTACCGGGATACCCTGTATGATCTTGTCAGTACTGGAACTAATCAGGATTGGATCAGTCCACTTACGAGCCCGATTATACCTGGACTGAACTTTGTTCGAGATTTGTTCTTGATCTCGGCTACGAGACTGCAATCGGTCAGCAATGGGAAAGTCGATATCTTCTTTGACCACTCACTTGACAGCCGCGTTGGATCCTCCTAGCCCCGCACCCCTAGCTGCCTTGAAACCCGGAGCGCTGCAGACATCGCCTATAGCATAGTATTGTCGTTGGTCGAAGTGACCTGCTTTCATCAGCGCCGTCGTTCGACATAGTACTGATGAACCGACCTTTAGGTACTCCTCTACTCGGATCAGCTTCCCATCGAGTGCTCCCTCGTCCTTGTTAGCGACCATCCAGCTGTTGGGCTTGGTACCAGCCGCCATGATCACCCAGTCCGCCTTGACCTGTTTCCCGCTTTCCAACCCCACGACCTTGACCCCTTCCTGCTTTCCATAGTTTCCTTCCCACTTTCCTGCACCGACTACCTCGCCGTCTTTGGGAATGACGACCCGATCCTCGAGAATCAGCTCAATGTTGAGTTTCCGGCAGAGCGCCTCCAGGTTCTTGGACAAGCGCGGGTCGACAGGGGGAGAAGAGTAGGTGGGAATGGTGGTGGTGGATGCCGGGATGGGGTTGAATGGTGTGGGTTCTAGCAGGCCGGAGCGGGGGTGAACGATGGTGATGTTGGCCTTGTCGTTGATACAGCGAATATCTTGGACCCCTTGTCAGCTCGCGAGAACAAGAGAGGAAGGGGATGGGGGGACGTACACCGGCAAGATCGATGCCAACAGTGCCTCCGCCGATGATTACCACATCCTTGGCCTCCTTCAAGTCTCTCTGGTACTGACGCAACAGCTGCTTGTACTCTTCTTCTGTGAAAGATAGATCCGGAACCAAAGGTGCTTGCTGCTTTGCGCCCGTGGCAATCACGCATCCCTGCAAAAGCCATCAGCTTGGTCCTTCTAGCACGAAGGGGAAGAGTCTCACCCAAAATGGAATCTCGTTGGACCCCTCGAAGGGATGCTCGAGCACGACGCTAGTCTCTTTACACTCTACAAGCCTGTTTGGCACAATCACACGGTGCTGCGAGCCAGCGGGGAATACCCGGTCGTCAGTCAAGGGGACTGTCACGGCCTGGGAATATCTACGTGTGACAGGGACAGTCAGCTTATTCTCCAGTCCCGACCCAGGATCCCAAGTCAACAAAGGAAGACGCGGAGCGGTAGCAGCTCTGATAGCTGCGATGGGCCAAAAGGCAAAGTCGAGGGCATCAACTAGGAGGATGCGGTACTCTGACGAGAGGTAAGGGTAGAGATCGTTGACTAGAGTGTGGCCGGCGATGGAAGCTGGGGAAGTGTGAGGACGGCTCTAGGGGGCGTGTGGGTGCTTACCGCCGACGATGATGATGTTATTGTAGTCTTGGTGGGTCATGGTGGGTCTGGGAAGCACACAGTCAGGATGAAGCGGGCTTATGACTGGCGAAAATACCGCCGCCGTCATGCCCTCGGCAACCCGGATCTTATCTGATAAAAAATCATCATCCCCGAGTCCTCTTCTACGGCCGACGCGACGGTTGTACTCGGACTTTGTTTCCGGAAGCACAGCGAGGATAGTTGCCCCGGTGTAACCCCGCCGCCGCCGCCGCCGAATATATCCGCCACGGTTCACTCGAACTACGATTGAAGAACGCTGTGGAATACTGCAAATTCAAGAGTTCGAACCTGACCATACGTGACCGCCATCGCCAGTAAAAGAGGCATCGGCTGTGCAGTTCGTATAGCTGTTGGCGTCGAGAAGTCTCGTTTGATGATATGGCTGACATTACCAAAGGAGGCTAAGCAGGGCGGAACAAGGAGCCCTCCGCCTCGCTTGGCGGTATCTTCATTGCCATTGATGGCGAATCAGTGACTACATACATGGTCTTCTCATTACTCTAAATTAAACCCAAGATTTATAAGTAAGCGTATTTCTCCTCGTTGGATCAGGCAACTTTCTCGCTTCCCTGCCACAACGGCTTCCAGGACATGCCAACGAGCAGATCCTTCCCCTTGGCCATCTTGACCATACCGCCTCCCACCACGCAAGTGCCAATGTAAGGGAGGGTGAGGGATCCCGCGCCGTCATTGGGGCCGACGGGTACAAACTACAAGGATCAAGTTGATAACAAGTCAAATGTGGGGATAGTGTAGACTTACAAAGACGGAGAATGTTCCTGGGTTGTACTGGGTCGGGGATTTGCCGTTGACTTCGTTCACAATACTATATGGCATGGTCCGCCTAGCACCACGCCATGGACCATCAGGACTCACCTTTGAGCCAAGACCTTGGCCATTTCGGCGGCAAAGTACGCTGTCTTTGGCCCGGGAGCAGCAGAGACATCTCCGAGCGCGTAATAGTTGCTGTTCTTGGAGAGAGGAGATGAATCGGTAGTGGACGCGACCTATACCAGTGTCAGTTTGTCGTGCTGTATAAAACACATTTACCTACCTTGAGATAGTCATCAACAGCCACCAGGCCGCTTGTAATAGCGTCCTGGTCCACACTCTCCACAAGTTGGGTGTTGGGCTTGTTCCCGACACTGACAAAGACATAGTCTGCCTCGACCTGCTCTCCGCTCTGCAAAGACAGCTTCTTGACCTGAGATTGAGGCCCGGCAGTACCGTCCCATTGAGCAAAGTCAGTCACCGATCCAGCTTCGGGAATGACGGCCCTGTCGCCCAAGATGAGCTTGACATTCATACCCTCGAGAACAGTCTGCAGGTTCTTGGACAGCTTGGGCGCGGTGGGCGGGTTCGTCCAGCTCTTGGTGCTGTCATTGGCCGTCTTGGGAAGGGGCTCGGGCGCGAGAAGAGCCTTGTTGGGGTGAATGATTGTGATCTCAATTTCCGGGTGGACAGCTCTGATCTCGCCGGCCATCTCGACACCGACAGTCCCTCCGCCGATGATAACTACTTTCTTGGACTGGGCGAGCTGTTGCTGAGATTTACGGAGAGACTGTTTGAACTCATCCTCGGTGGTAGAACTTGGAGGACGCATGGGGGAGGGCTGGGAGGCTCCGGTGGCAATCACGCATCGCTAGTGATAGTCAGCACTAGTACCCAAACATCATGGCAGACGTACGAAGAAGGGGACCTCGACGGAGCTTTCAAAAGGATACTCGAGCACAACTGACTGTTCGCGCAACTCTACGACTCTGTTTGGTGCGATCACCTTGTGCTGGCTTCCAGCAGCAAAGACAGTCGTGTCCCTGAGGGGAGCAGTGATCTTGTCTTCCCACCCTACCGAGATCATATCAGGTCGGCTGTCTGCTACGTGGTCCGGTGTAAGCACGACGTACCAGGTACGACAGCCGCTCGGAGGGCCGCAAGAGGCCAGACGGAGTATTCAAGAGCATCAATGAGAAGGATCCGGTGGGATTTGGGATGGGTGGACTGGAGTGCGTTTGCGAGGTTGTGGCCGGCGTTCGAGGCTGTGCGCTAGGTTGAGAGATGATCAAGAGATTTCAGACGAGAAGGGCTCACCGCCGATGATGACGATATTCTGTAGCTGGGACATGGTGTATGATATGCGACGGATTAGAAGAGGGATGGGGTGTATGCACAGAAGACAGCCCTATATATGCAGCCCGGGCAGGCCGGGCGAGGGACAGACACTTCCGCCGGAAAGGCAAAGATGCCAGCATACATACATACATACATACACCGGCCAACTGTGCCCTGAGCATCTGCACAACACATATCTGATATCCGGTCATCGAGCCAAGCGGAACCAAATTATGTGACCGCTTGAAGCGTCCGCTCTCCAGAGCAAAATGTACTTGAAATGTACTGGCATTGACTCAAGCAGCACCAGCATGTCAGACCCAGTCGCAAGAACAGAAGACCTCATCGAATGGCTCCGGGCCAAGGGTGGACATTTTCACCCCTCTGCTGAGCTCAGAGTGAGTTTTGGACTCACTACTCAGGACACTTTTGACGCTTCTCCAGAAAGACGACACCACCGGCATGTCAGTCTTCTCCAAAGCCTCTTTTGGAGCAGACGAGAAGTACGTCTCATGTCCTTTCGATCTGGCGGTTACCTGCGAGCTTTCGACGAAGGCGATTTGCGAGATCGCAAAGCTGGAAGACAAGGACCTGGTCTGGCCGGCAGGGACAGCGAAAGAGGGAGAAGAGTGGAGTGAGAGGATGAGGATCTGTGCATATCTTGGCCTGCACTGGGTGTATGAGGACAAGCCAAATGAGTGAGTTTGACACTTGTGGGAGGTGCTCGTACTGATTCAAATAGGGAATGGCCTTCCGCGCTGGCGCACCAAGAGTATCTGGCATCCCTTCCTCTCCCTGAGGAGTTGACCACTCCTCTGTACTACAACGAGCAAGAGCTCAGTCTATTGCAAGGGACGAATCTGCTTGGAGCAGTACAGGATAGGAAGAAGGAGTGGTCTGCCGAGTCGGAAGTTCTCAGAGCCGTTCTCAAGGAAGAGGGTTTGACTTGGTACGTCCTTCTCTACAAGCTCGAGAAAGGTCTAACAGTGATGACAGGGACAGATATTTGGCCACCGCTACATACATGTCTTCCAGAGCCTTCCCTTCCAAATTGCTTGAACTGCCCAAGGATGGTGAAACCTCGGCACAAGCTTCTAGTCAGGACAGGGTGTCAAAGCCCATCCTGCTTCCTGGCGTAGACATTTTCAACCGTGCGCCCTTTACGTATCCTCAAGGGGTTTAGCTCACCGACCTACAGACGCACGTGGACAGCCCATCGTTTGGCTATCAGCTCTCACCGCCTCTCCCATCTCTTCAGACCCCATTCCCTCCATATCTCTCGTCTCCACGAAAGACTCTCCCGCCGATACCCAGCTGTTCAACAACTATGGCGCCAAACCCAACGACGAGCTGCTACTCGGTTACGGCTTCGTACTAGACCCCAACCCCGACGACGTCGTCAACCTCCGACTCGGCAGCGCGTCGCTTCCTCCAGCGGTGACCGAGAAGCTCAAGGAGAAGGGGCTCGATGCTGCCGAGAGGTTTGAAGTGAAGAGAGACGGAGTGATTCCGAAATCTTTGCTGGAAGTCATGAGAGTCATGCTGTCTGGCGGTGAAGATGAGCATGATCATGATTGCGAGGAAGAGCACGGCGAGGATGAGCATGCTATGTATGAGCAGGAGGCCAAGGAAATGGAGCTGGAATTGGATGTGTTGGGTATGCTGGGAGGAATGTTGGATGACAAGCTGGAAAAACTGGAGGAGAGTGAGGCTGGAGTGGGCAAGGTGAGGGCGGACGTTGTGAAGGCTTGTGCTGTCTACAAACAAGGTGAGGCTCATTTAACTCGCATTAATGTTTACTGACACGATTCTAGGCCAAAAAGATATCCTGAATACTGCCATGGACAAGATCTCGGAGCGTATAGAGCGTATAGAAGGTCTGATGGACGAGGGTATGGGCGGATGTCCTTGCTGCTCATGATCGAAACAAGCAATGCATTTAGTCATTACAACGGTCATAGCAGTGTCCCTAAGAGATACGATTCAACAAGATAGACATAGATGGTCCCTTCAAATTGACGATATGACTAGGCCCTGATAGCAGCCCCAGCCCAGCCCTCCGCCTCGAGCTTGCGTTCAAGCGCCACAATCTCCTCACCGACCGAGCGTACGTGTTCCTTGGTAGCTTCGGGAACGAGGGGAAGAGGCTTCCGGGCAATCGCCGCAGAGCCTTTGTAACCGTTACCCCAAGCGATCATGTACTTTGTACCAAGGATCGCACCCTTGCCCATACCCCACTCGGCGGTCGAGATGGCCCCGGCAAATTCGAGAGCTTCTTGCTGCTTGCCTGCTTGGGCGAGCTCAAAGGCCTTTGCACAGACTCGAGGAGCGACGTTGGCCATACCGGTGATGGCACCTTGTCCGCCGACCGCGAGGGCACCCAGGAGGTAGTCGGTAGCACCACCGAGGATTGTGAATGATGCTATCATCTTGTCAGCAAAAGTCGGGCTGTGATGGGAAGGACTTGCACCCGAATGCGTTGTTCTTGGATGCCACGGTCTCACGGGCGATCCTACCAACATCATGGTCGGTGTGCTTGACACCGGCAATGTTGGGATGTCTGGCGAGACGGCAGATAAGGTCCGTGTCCATGTTGATACCGCTGCAGACACCGGGATAAGAGTAGATGATGATGGGGATCGGGGCGGCGTCGGCAAGCTTTTACGATGAGTGACTATTCCATACGGTAGAATGGGATATTTACCTCTTCGTAAAAAGTTTGGATAGCATCAGGAGTCATGGCGCCAGGGTAGTAGGAAGGCGGGAGCACGAGAGAAAAGTCGGCTCCAGCTTCCGCAGCGTCCGTGGTGAGGTTCAAGGCTTGTCTAGAAGACTGAGCACCGACAGTGCCAGCAATAATGGCACCATTATGCCCGAGTCCTCTGAAGGTCTCTTTGGCTACTCGGATCAACTGCAAACGATCATTAGCCTCAATGCTTACGACATCTGGTAGATGACAAGCACTCACGGTCTTCCTCTCTTCGTCATCGAGCGCGACGGCCTCGGCTGTAGAACCCTGGAGGACGACACCAGCGATGCCAGACTTGGCAAGAAACTCCATGTGCTTGACATGCTGGTCAATGTCGAGCTCCTGCTCTGCGGTGGGCTGGAAGAAGGTGACGGTGGGGCAGTAGATGCCGGGAGGGAGGACTTTGGACGAAGTGGTAGGGACAGGCATGACGGTTATTCACAGGTGGATAGGGAAGAAGAAGAGCAGGTCCATCTTTACACCATCTTTGTATTCCAGGAGCGTTATCTCGGCGCTATAACCAACGGTGACCGAACGGGAAAGGATCACACCTCGGCACGTCCGATCACGTTTCGTTCGGATCCGCTTCGGCACGGGCCGATCATCAATTTACCAATGCATGCCTTGTTTGGTTCGCTGCGTTGATCTATTCTCGCTCCTTTTCATACTCCTTGAACGCCTCTTCCACGATCTGCACAGCCCTGCCTACATCCTCAAACGTATTGTAAAGAACAACAGGACTCAACCTGATCACACTCGGCTGCCTCTCGTCTCCCACCAAACCCCTCGCGAGCATCTTTTCAAAGATCTTGGGCATCACATGCTCCTCCTCGGGCAAGATCACAACGGATAATTGGGTTCCGCGGAAAGGCGCTTCTGGCGTGATAATCCTAAACCCGAGCTTTCCCTTCGGGTCGTCCTTCTTTGCATAGTATGGCGAAGCCTTCAGCAGCATCTCCAGCGTCCCCGTGAGTTTCTTTCCCTTTTCGACCATGTTGGCAAAGCCGACTTTGTCGATAAGATCAAGAGTGGCGAGGAGGGGGATGGAGGAGAAGACGGGGGTGCAAGAGTGTTGGTAGCCCTTGGCGCCTGGGGTCGCTCGGAATTCCGGGTCCATTTGGAATCGCGTGGCAGCGTCGTTGCCCCACCATCCAGCAAGGCTGTTACCTGATTAGAAGTGGCCGTGGGTAGGATGGCAGACTTACCGTCGACCACCATCATCCAGTCCTTCCCGCACAAACATGCCCCCAATAGCCGCCGGTCCAGCATTCAGATACCTAAAGACGGTTAGACACATTCTCACGATAGCAATCGACTCACTTGTAAGTACACCAGACGGCAAAGTCGACATTCCACTCGTCCAGCTTGCATTCGACATTGCCGGTACCGTGTGCCATGTCAATACCGAGCAATGCTCCGATGTCGTGGACCTTTGGCGAGATGGCGGCGATATCGAAGAGCTGACCAGTGTAGTACTGTACCAGCGGGAGCCAGACGACGGCAATCTGATGACTCGTTAGCAAGACTTGACAGGTATGCACGATACGCACAGTGTCCTTGTTCTCCTCGATCACCTTCAGAATGTCCTCCGTACGGAGCACGTCCTCGCCTTCCCTGGGTTCCAGACCGATAATCGCATCATCAATCTGAGCCTGGCTGAGCACCTTGTCGTGCAACTTCGGGTGCGAGTGGATCGCATACTACAGCCTATCAGTCCCGCCCCTTTTTCAAAAGACGACACTTACCCAGTCACTAGGGAAACTGCCCTTCTCAATCACAATCTTCCACCTCTTCTCCGTCGGCCTGTAAAAGCTCGTAAACAAGTTGTGAATATTACTCGTCAACGTCGAGGTATGCGCGACCTCATCTTCTTTCGCTCCGATGAGCTTGGCGAGGAGAGGCGTGAGTGGGCGGTCGACGTGTTTCCATGGACGGTTGTGCGGGTGGTTGAAATGGCCCGTCACAGAGCTGTCCTTCATTGTCAGCTCTTTGAATTGTGTAAAGCGAGGGTACCCGACGGCATCTTACCTGGTACCCCAGACATCGAGCTCTTCAATCATATGTTTCCTGGCATTCTTGTTGAGCAGGCCGAGCGAGTTGCCGCAGAAGTAGATAGAGTCGCCCTCTTCTGAAGTATCAGCGCTGGCTCTCTTCGTAGTATAGTCAATGCTCACCTCCTTGACCGCCGCAGGCCGCGATGGTCGGGATCTCGAATTCAGCGCGAGTCCAGTTGAAAGGATCTTGCTGGTCCCACTTTTTGAGCTCTTCGATACTGGGTGTAGTAGACATGATATACTCGTGATGCACGGTATAGAGATAAGATCAGATGGATACTCTTTTTCCCGCGCGCACCCCACTTTGCCCTGACTTTTCGGAAGGAGAGATCCGGAAGAGCGAACCAAATTCACCAACAACCACCAACAATGTCCCAAGAATCAGACCTCCAACCCGGCCAGAACCTCGCGCACCTCCTGCCCCCCTCCTGGACCGCCGACGTCCAGCGATGGTTTGCGGAGGATACCCCGTCGTTCGATTGGGCTGGGTTCGTCGTAGGGGAAGAAGTGCAGGAAGCTATTCTTTGGGGTAAGAGCGGGGTAAGTCTAATCTTGTACAGAATGATGAAGAGGAGCTGAGATGTAGCAGGGTGTTCTCGCGGGTGTACCCTTCTTTGACGAAGTATTCAAGCAGGTCGACTGCACGTACGTCCCTTGGCGCCTCATCTCGACGACGGGCTAATTTCAGTGTTCAGCGTGGAATGGCTCCTCCCAGAAGGATCTGTAGTCCCAGAGGGAACCAAGACCAAAGTCGCCATCGTCCGAGGCCAAGCCCGACAGCTCCTCCTAGGCGAGCGAGTCGCATTGAATACCCTTGCGCGATGCAGTGGTATCGCTACCGTGTACGCCCCCTCTTCTCCACTTGGAGCTTGACTAATTGTTGTGTTGTGAAAAGGTCGAGACGATTCCGTGATCTCGCGCGAGCAGAGAGATGGAAAGGCGTCGTGGCTGGTACGCGCAAGACGACACCAGGGTTCAGGCTTGTGGAAAAGTATGGGATGATGGTGGGCGGCGTTGACCCGCATCGACACGATTTGTCTTCTATGGTCATGCTCAAGGACAACCACATTTGGGCTACTGGTAAGCCCTTCATCCTCCCTGGAGATACAACGCTGAGACAGGGTATAGGCTCGATCACGGCAGCGGTCCAAACTGTGCGCAGGGTAGCAGGCTTCTCCCTTTTGGTCAACGTCGAATGCCAAGATTTCGCCGAAGCCGACGAAGCTATCGCGGCCGGTGCCAACATTGTCATGCTCGACAACCTTGTCGGTAACGATCTGCACGGTGCAGCTCGGCAGTTGAAGGAGAAATGGGCGGGCAAACGCGAGTTTTTGATAGAGACCAGTGGGGGTATCGTGGAGGGGAGTTTGACGGGCAGGGTCGGGCCTGGTAAGTCGCGCTTGAGAGACTTTAAAAGGCAAGGAGGGCTGATAGCGTTGAAATAGATATTGATATCCTTTCGACATCGGCTGTCCACCAGAGCTGCCCACACGTCGACTTTTCGCTCAAGATTCAACCCAAGAACAAGAAATAACCTCTCATACTTTTATGCACAGCAGACTCTCAGTCGTTGAAAAGTGCAGTTGCATGCTAAAGACAAGTGCTCGAAGAGATAAGTCCCAGAAGCCAGCCTAGGTAATATGTACATGGTCAACATGTCGGCCACAAAATCCTCTCTGAGAATTCAGGCTCCAGCGGGGACAAAGGCGTCCCAGCTGATAAGAACAAGGTATATGGGTCGTTAAGGGTCATCAAAGAACTGGTATGTGGTGGTTTATGGATACACGTATTGGGAAGCAATGCAATGAGGGTGGGACAACGTTTTCGGTGTGTTTTTGTGGTGATACAGTGGTGGGATGGGTGGAGCGCTCAAGCTGCGCTTTGGGTCAGTTGACGACGGGGCGACGGACGGTGGGCTCACAAGGCAGAGGCGTTCTGGGTCAGAGTCATTTTCCGCCACTGGGCGTTAAGGGAGAGAGGATGGGGGCCGGGCGGGGGTAGGCGGTGTCGCCGGGGCGGAGAGAGGAGCAGGGGGAGGGGGTTGTTGAGCAGGACATCTCTGATGGCTGATGTGTTCTGGGGGGTGTCAGCGGGGTCCTGCATGGGTGGGGTACTGACAAGGAGTGACGGGTGGTGGGTGGTGGGTGGTGGTATGCGGGGGGTGCAGTGGCGTTGCGAGGGTATATATACTTTACGGTGGAACAGTACTGGCGCGTAGTTGGATTGTTCCGTAATGGACTGCAAAGGAGGCAACGCCATCCCCCCTTATATATGCCCCAAAGGACCCCTGCCGGGAGATGCCGCCTGCACTTCTTGATCTTCTGGCTGCTGAGCTTGAAGCATCCCACTCAGCCAACCTCGCCCTTGGGGCATGGAACGGAACCCACAGAACCTTGCCACAATCACCAGACTGTCTGCAGAAGGAGCAGATCAATGGGCCTTGTGTACCAGAACTCGAGGCGTGTGCCAGGCCAAGTCAGTAAGGAATGCAGTGTAATGCATGGGATTGCCGATTACAAATATGGAGGGGTCGTGACTTGTGGTGGAAGCCCGGCTAATGCGGTCGGTTTGACATACAACATAGGTGCGGCCGCCAGAGCAACAGCTGACTCTCTACATACATACAGTGCATAGCTGTAGATCGTTACTGGGCGTTTCCTTGTCATATGGACACGGCGCTACGAATATGTGTAACCATCGTGCCCCAGTCTCACCCCATGCCTCTGTACAGATACACTAGTCGAACGCTACCAAGTGTCACTCAACGTCACCAGTCTTACATTACTCTGTACACTATTGCGCGCAGTTCCTGTCTGATGCGATGGAACGGGGGATCGTCGTCATCGCTATCAGTTATGTATTCGGATTAATGCATTTGAAAGGACCCCCTCAAACAAATACAACATCCAACGGAAATCCCACGCGCTAGCCAGCCCCTTGCAGCTCCACCCGTCTCTCTCCCGGGTATCTTGTTTGGCACTCGCACCATAGCAGGTGCTATCCTGTGCTATGCTCAGCCAGCACGGCGACCTCGCCATGCTCGTACTTTTGGTGTCTGAGCGATCTGTGGACTAATGCATGGTCGCTGGGATTGACGAACGAGCCGATTGCATATCACCGTAACGCACACTTTCGAATTCCAATGGGTGTGGGCTGACACCAGCCCCATCAGCTCCATGACCAACGACGACTTTGCGGCCTCCTTCGCCGCCAAATCGGTCCTCATCGAGTTCTGGATTTCCTAGGCGTTGCAACGGGACTCTCGCCAATGTCGCCTTCCACCCGCTAGATCGGCCTCAACATCTCCATTCAGATGGAAGAGGCGTCCTCTCTGAAGATCTGAGGATCGTCTCGCGAGCGGCATCGGGGAGAGTAGTCGGTCGTGAGCTCCATGGTCTCGCCGGGGTGGCCGTGTGGAAGGAGAAGCGGACGACGAGCCAGAGACGAGACTTGTTCACGAGGGAAGTCCTTGTTGGATGGGCTGTGAGTCGCTTGATGGGTAGCCCCAGTGTATATACTGATACTACCTTTAGCGCCGGCGTCACCCCTTCTACCAGCAACCGGCCCCCGCCACCCAGGCCAGCAGTCGATCCTCCCACTGCCCCCTTCCAGTCCTCTTCCAAAGCCATCAAGATGAAGTCCGAGGTGGATGAGCTGGTGGGCTCATTTGGGGTGGCCATGGGCCTGAGGTCCGAGAAGAGCGTGGGAGGCGAGTGCCAACGTCAGCCCGAGCACCGTGTCTATAGCGTCAATGCCTGGGTCAAGAAAATTGTACAGTACCGGCAGCGCCACACGGCAACCCTCCCCCAATTCCTGACCCGGCAACGCCCCAGAGGTCCAGCGTCACCAGCGACTGAGCGCTGGACGCTTTTTGGGGAACTGGACAACATTTGGGCATGGGAGAAGGTCACCCAGGGGGGGGGTGGCCTTCCGGTTGGAAGAGATGGTGAGATCTTTCCTATACATATACCCCTTCTGCTCAGAGGCTTTCAAGTTTGCTGAAGCCGCCCATAGCTTCCCGGGAATCCCGGGACCAAGAGGAAGAAGGCATTGCGGAGATGGCCGCCGGACGTCCACGTTGGAGTGGCAGCTTCCATACTTTATGTCTTCTTCTTCTTTATCTATGAAACCAATTAAACAGCAGTGAGGGAAGCATGATCGGTCGCTGAAACCACAAAGACATTAACGATGTAATACATGATGATTCCAATTATGACACCCCACAAGAAAAGCCCAGCTCGTCACACAAATCAAAAGAAAAACCAGAGACCCCATCTAAACCTCATGCATCACCTTCTCATCATCGGGCTCAGAAGACACCGCCGGTCGCCTCTTGCTGACCAACGGCGCAGGGATATCCGAGTCCTGCACGAAATGCTCCTGGTCCTCTTGCGACAGATCTTCGAGCGTCCTGCCCTTTGTCTCGGGCAAGAGCAAGGTGGAAAAGACACCGGTAAGCATGAAGAGGGCAAAGATTTCGAGAATGTGTTTGAGGAATTTGTTTTTACCGCCAATGTTGATAAGGCGGGAGAAACCGACTTGGGCAACGATAGCGCCACTGTATGAATTATCAGTAGAAGCAAAAAGAGTGAAGGGGTGGGATGCGTACAGTTTACCGGAAGCGGCAGAGATACCGTGGGCGGTGGATCGGTAACGGGTGGGGAACGTCTCTCCGGGGATAACGAAGGTTGTCGTGTTCGGCCCAAAGCTAATCCCCAGTCAGTTATATGGCAGCGCGAGAAAGAAAGGACGCACTTTTGGAAAAAGTTGGCCATACAGTAAAGGAAGACGAATGCTTTTTTGCCGGAATCGGTGCTGAGCATCTTGTCGTACCCGAAACCCATGCAAACAAAGATGATGGTAAGGAGCACGAAGCCCATGAGCTGGATAGGCTTCCTGCCCCAAATGTCGATGAGGAAGAAGGTAAAGTAGTAACCAGGCTGATGTTCACGTCAGCTTGATGCGACATCTTTTCTTTCACCTGCGCCAGACTTACGAGGAGACCACCGACAGAGAGGATGATGTTGCCGACCGCGACGTTGTACAAGGTCTGGAAGATGTTTTCCTGCTTGGTCCCGAGTGTAGTCGAGGAACCAAAACCGATAGTAGTCAAGATGGTTCTTTGGCATTCCATGTCAGTTCTTCCATCTCCATGCATCTCCATGCATCTCCATGAGAAAGATCAGTCCACTCACGAGCTGTTCAGCCCTAGGCCGTAGAAGGCTATATCAAGAGCGAACCAAGACCACGAAGTACCCAACAAGACCTTTCCATTCTCCCACTTTCCAAAGTGCCTGCAGAAATCCTTCCAAGAAGCCTTGGGTACCTCGGCGCGCTCGTTGTTGTGGATGGGGTCGACGACGTACTCGCCCGTAGTCAGATAAGTGTCGACATCCTGCGAAGCCTGCTTGATATTGCGCTCAATGTCCATAGTGTATCGAGGCGTTTCAGGGATGGTGAGACGGAAGTAGAGGGCAATGACGGCGGGGACACAGCCGATACCGATGATGAGTCGCCATGACTGGTCGACAGCGCGGAGGTCGGTCAGGGGTTCAGAGTGGATAGAGGATTTGTAGGCGGAGACGACGATAACAGAGACGATTGCGGACGCCACTAAGTTTCACGTCAGGAGGTGATGTCTGGAGGAAGGGAGATGACGTACAGTTACCCCAACCTTGGGCACTGAAGACGGCGGTCATCATACGGCCTCGGATACGCCTGGCAGCGAATTCGGAGGTGATGACTGAAGAGAGAGGGTAGTCGCCGCCGATACCGAGACCCATAATGAATCGCCACATAATGAGGACACCGTAGATCTGTGAAATGTCAGCAGGGGCTACTTTTCAGAGGTATGGTGATTCTCACATTGATACCAGGGGCACGACCGGCGACTGCTTGACCAAGGGTACCAATAATGATGATCACCTGAAAGCGATCAGCAGGAGCTTCTATCGACGATCCGATGAGACTCACCAACTCAATACCGTACATCTTCTTTCTACCAAGGTGATCGGCGAGAAAACCAAAGAGAAGCTGTCCGAAGAAGGTGCCGATAGAGTGGGCGACCTTGACACCCAGATCTTGGTTGGTAGTGCTGGAACCACCGTTGTGGTAAACATATCCGATCATGGTGGCCGCGATAGAGATGGAAAAGATGTCGTAGGCATCAGTGAAGAATCCAACACCTATTCAAAGTCAACAAAGGGGAAGCCAGAGAGTTAGAGGGTATACTTACCAGCAACGATACAGGCTTTGGCGTGAAACCAGGAAAACTTGGCCTCGTCGATCTCAGCGAGGGCGGCTCTGCGACGCTCCTGCGCGGAGAGAGCGACATTAGCGTGAGCCTTTTCGTAGTCGAGCTGACTGGACATGTCGGGAATGAATCGATTCAAGCGCTCGAAGAGGCAGACAATGGAGACCCACCTGCTGCCTTAAGTATTGTCGATTCCAGGTCAGTCGGGAAAAAAAGTGAGCGTTGGATCAGTAATAGCACGTTCTTGGCAGCCGATCAGTGGTGATTGCACGAATAGACACTGCAAGGTCTTGGTATGCGGCTTTTATCAAGCCGGGATAGGGTCCATTCGAGAAGTGGAGGCAGGAGAGCTGGGAGAGGGGACAGAACGTGTCGGGTGGGCAGGAGCGGGACCAATGAGATGCATGGGAGATGGTGGTCACCGGCGGGCTGCTGTGCCATAAGGTGAGTGTGGATTCCAGGAAGCTCGGGAAGGGGCATGCTGCCAGGCACACGCTCAGGAAGACTCACAAAAAGGTAAGGTAAAAGACGCAAGAGAGAGAGAAGATCGCACGTTCGTGGGCCAGAGCGTGCCTGGAATCGCGAAAAGCGCAATGTGACATGTGCTGTTGGGTTATCGATGCTGTTTATATTGTGGGTATGGCATGCAGCTCACTGGTGGTGCTATAGATATAACGTACACCCCATGCGAAGACGCGCGTAATTTGTTTCATCGCCTTGACGCGCGAGACTGATTGGTAGTCGAACCTCACGAAATGGTCAGCTCTCGCGCGAGGTTCTGTCTTGAACATCAGCGTCGCATGCTGAGGGTAAAACCTCGCTTTCAAGCGGAACCCAGATTGAAGACAGTGCGCGACATTGACCGTGAGCTGTATTATGACGATGGATCTGAACATAATCATCCCCCACGCGACGCGAGAAGGCTGCTAAAGACACTCAACGTTCGTTTCAAATTCCGAACGCCTATGTATTTCTTCTTTCTTCTGGCCTATACGAGGCTCTACACGTTGCGAGAGTCTCCGGGAACACGATCCAGAAGACTGGAGGGGTGCTTGAGAATTCAACAAGTAGTGCATGGGGTAGACAGCTCATCATCAGTTCAGGCCAACGGCAAACCTTCTTGCGCAAAGTCTTTAGGCCAGGCTCAGGTATTGCACCCAAGACCCGTGAGCAGTTTATAGACTTTTGCATAAGACTCAACCCCGTTGGGCGACCTATTCAACACCCCGAGAGGGAACCATCTCTCATCACAACAAAGTGAGCCCCGCAAGACCCATCGCCACGCTCATAATCCCAAACCCAACAATCTCCTTGTGACCCCCGGACGAGGAAGAAGGATCGGTCGAGGCAGAGCTGGTGGCACTGGCAGCGCCGGAAGAGGTGGCAGAAGCGTCGGAAGCCTTGGATGCGTCGGTGGTACAGGTCTCGTTGGATGGGATTTCGTAGCCGTCGATGAGGATAAGGTCGGCACATTGGTACAAGTTGCCATCACCCTGACCCAACGTCAGATAATGCTCCTTAATCAATTGTAGAGGACTCACGCCATCATATTGGATTTGCAAGGTCACATCGGAACCGTTGGTAAGGCCAAGACTTCCGCCGAGGTCAATGTTGAAGCAGCTGTCACCTTCGGCGACTTGGAAGATGCTGGAGGCGAGAGGGATAGAAGTACCGTTGCTGGTGGTGTTAAAGTCGTCGAAAGAAGAGGGGTTGTCGCTGGTGGAGATGAAGGCGACCACGGTGGCAAGGGTGTGGTGTGAGTCGATATGGACTAATGAGATGTTAATTGACCGAAGGTTCATCAATCGTATCACTCACCTGGTCCTGAACCAAGAGGGAAGGGCTGCCTAGATGAAACGCTGGTAAAGCCTCCACTACGATCAAGTCAGCGCTTGTTCATGTGATAAGCTGGAGACCCACCAGAAGTCGGGCTCTTTGTCTTCGTCAAAGCCACGGGTGGTCTACACAATCGCTGTCAGCGGTCACAATCACTCTCTCGCGGTTGATACCCACAGGATAGTCGAGAGTAAAGTGAGCAAGGGCTGTAGAAGCCATGAGAGAGGAGGCAAGCAAGGTCTGGACAGCGAGCATTGTCGAAAGTGTAGAGCTGAAGTTGAGCTGGATGAGGTGATACTTTTGTTGAGGGAAGAAAAGTCGTGTGAGGAGGTCTTTATATATGTGGAGTCGGTACCGAGCTGAGACGGAGGCACGTGAGGGGTTGGACCAAAGCCGAAGGCTGACGACGCAAGGGGGTGTGGTCGTCGAGAGGACATGGATCCTCTTGTGGACGAGCACTGATTGGTTCGATAGATCGGTTCCTGGCGGTCACTTCTTGAGGCTTTTACCATGATACGGCGGTCCTGCGCCATTTCTGATTAGATAACGGTCAACATGTGGGCTGCGCAAACAGATGTGGGTAGTGTGGGGTGTCGGTGCCTCTGTTGTCGCGAGGGGCGCGAGCTGCGGGGGTGTACGGTCGCACAACGTATATAAATGTAGAACATGGTATTGCTAGAAGAGGAAAAAAAATAAGAGAATCGATTGGAGCTGCCCCTCGCGCGACCAGTATTAGTTTGTGTAAGCATGCAAGGGGACGAGGGTAGACAAAGACACTCATGGCTTATAGCGCAGGCATATTTTGTATCCAGGTAGAAGTGCTGACAGAGACTCTTCTTGTTGATCATCATGATGTTGCGGCCTTTCTCGCGTCGGCGGACATGAGCGCCGGTTGACGCGACTTCTAACGCGTCGCGTCGAAAGGTCAGAAAATGTAACTGTCCACAACTCTCGCCACCCACCCCCTCCAACATGGCCTCCTCTTCCACAAAACCCAGGAGAAGCCTCGGCGCCATCATCGACGCGATCCCCACCCAGCGCGACTATGTCCCCGACTCTTGTTCGGAAGGCTCTGGATCGGAAGACGAAGGAAGTAGCAGACTTCCTGTACAAAGTCTCAAGCCGATACCTCTGACGCCGGTGGCGTCTAACAGGGGACCTCGGGTATCTGGCGGACTACCCAATTCCGGGCTAGCAATGAAGGAGAGAGAGGTGCAAGGCGGTGCTGAGAGGGGTCAAGCACCGACAGAAGAGTATGATTCGGCAATGTTCTTTTCTGTCATGTGGTAAGCCGTTATATCTCTCCATACTTATCGGAAATTTCTACTGACGAAATTTTGGTCTTGTGTAGGAGAAAGCCTCAATATAAGAAGGTAGGTGGAAAGGAACCGTGCGAGACCAGGTAATGCTAACCCCTGTCGTTTTCCTCTTACTCAGAATAGTGAGCTCGCTTCCGATACGCCCGGTGACTGAAGGAGTGTGGGGGCTGACAGATGATCAAACAGAAACATGGGACGGTGACGCTACGATCAAGATACTAGGCAATAGAATTGCAATGCTTGATGAAGATGGTAACCAGTGAGCCTTGTCTTCGTTCCGCCATATTGCAACACTGAGCGTGACTTTTCAGGATGGCCGTTACCGTGGTCGGCTCCAAAGTCATCAAACCCGAAGCCGAATTCAAGATAGGCGGCTACGAGATTCAGGTCGATCATAGAATACAGGCTGAAGAGTGAGCTCTTTACGAGGCTCACTGAGATGTACTGACGCCGTTTGTAGATTCAAGAGCAGCACGAGTATCCTCAATCGGCCCCGGGGTGTCAATGCTGCTTCCTACTCACCGGCAACGTTCGCCAAGCCTTTCAGACCACCCACTCAAAAGGCCGCCGCCAGTCCAATGCAGCCGTTCAAGCCTCCAACTTCTGTGACAAGTCATACTCCAGTCGCTGGACCTTCAACCACATCAGCTCTCCCCACAGCTGCCGCCGCTCAGAAAGCAGTCGCCGCTGCGTCCTTTTACGGCAGTACAACACCAAAACCAAGAGTCGAGAGAATCGTGATAGGCGAGAAGAGTAACAAGGAGAGGTTGGAATGGGGTGGTGCGCTGTATAATCCCAAAACGCCGGGAGCAATCGTCATGCCCAGACCGACAGAGAAGGAAGCCAAGCTGAAGTACGTGAATTCGGTTGGAGTAGGTGGCACTACTGATGTACTTGCAGGGGTACGAGTCTGGTGGATGTTGTCGTCGACCCTACTTTGAGCAACATCATGCGTGAACATCAGAAACAAGGTGTCAAGGCAAGTTGAAGCATCACTTGGTAGCACCACGCTGACCCAATTGCAGTTCATGTATGAGTGTGTCATGGGAATGACGAACGCCGAAGGTGAGGGATGTATCCTGGCGGACGAGATGGGATTGGGAAAGACGCTGCAGACCATTGCCTTGATCTACACGATGCTCAGTGAGTGTGATCACTACAATCCAGAGACCTAAATTGACATTTGCAGAGCAATCGCCATTCGCCAACCAGTCCGGCATGTGAGTCTGGACCTCCACCCAGCCCCGGATTTTGCTAACAAACATCTAGTATTGGAAAAGCTATGATTGTCTGCCCCGTCAGTTTGGTTGATAATTGGAGAAAAGAGTTCAAGAAGTGGGTGGACAGGAGGGTCAATGTTCTCGTTGCAGACGGCGCATATCATCGCATATCATCTTTCGTAGGTATCTTTTGGGATCATAAGAACGAGCTCATACAATACAGGTCAACAACAAGCATCAGCATGTCCTTATCATCGGTTACGAAAGGCTTCGCAAAGAAATGTAAGTCTCTAATCATCTCATATAGCTCGGTCTGATGGCGTCTTTAGAAGGGATCTTGCTTCGTGTGTTCCGCCCATCGGCCTCATTGTTTGCGACGAAGGCCATCGTCTGAAATCGAAAGACAACAAAACTACCAAGATGTTTGATACGCTCAAGACCCAGCGCCGTATTAGTGAGCTTTCCCTCTGAACTATGTCGAGCTATCTGACCATGTCGGCAAAAGTTCTATCTGGTACACCGGTACAGAACGATCTGGGAGAGTACTGGGCTATGGTCAACTTTGCTTGTCCCGGTGTGCTGGGCAAGTATGCTGCTTTTTCAAAGCATTATGAGAAACCGATCTTGAAGAGCAGGACGCTGAATTGTCTGGAGAAGGATGTGGCGACGGGGAAAGCCAGAGCGGAAGAGGTCAGTCAGCTGGCAATCTAATGACATGTTGACTGATGGTGGGTATAGCTTGCGAAACTGTCAAGGGAGTTTGTGCTCAGAAGGACAGCGGCGGTGCTGGAGAACTATCTGCCACCAAAATGTAGGGCTTTGCTAATCGACGAAAGAAAGTGCTGACTATCTGTAGACGAATACGTTGTCTTCATCGCCCCGTCCAAACTCCAGCTCTCCGTGCTTTCCCGTCTACTCGATCCGAAAATTGTCGGCAAGTTCATCCGTGGTCACGGCGCCCAATCCTTGGCTTTGAGTGAGTGTACTGGGATCGATAGATAGCCCATCTTAACCCAGTGACGCAGTTGATATCATGCGGAAAATCTCAAACTCGCCTATGGTAAGCCCATCCTTACCGACTGATCTCGGATGCCCGCTGACTTTACCAGCTCTTGCGCAAGAAGGATGAAGAGACCGGAGACAACGGCCGGACTGACTCCGACCTCAGTACAGCCAAGTCGGCTGCCCTATCCGCCATTCCTGCAAGCACCCACATCAACGATGTGAATACCAGCGGCAAGATGCTCGTACTGGACAAGTTGCTTCACAGCATTCACACAACGACTGACGAGAAGATTGTGGTCGTCTCTAATTGGACTTCAACCCTTGACTTGATCCAGGGATCGTGTAAAGCGAAGAGGTACCCGTTTCTTAGACTGGACGGTAGCACACCAGCCAAACAGAGGCAAGAGCTCGTGGACAGATTCAACAAGGACAAGGCTAGGAAGGACAGCTTTGTGTTCTTGCTGAGCGCGAAAGCGGGAGGTGTTGGTCTGAATTTGATTGGGTGGGTATAAAAGATCAGCGCAATAGTGTCCAAAGCTGACAGATACGACAGTGCTTCTCGGCTTGTCTTGTTTGACAGCGACTGGTAAGATAGGAGGCACTGACCTCAAAGAACAATCTGACGGAGACATAGGAACCCTTCCACTGATCTTCAAGCCATGGCTCGTATCCATCGGTAGGTGTCAATGATCCATGTGTCGCCAGTACTGACAAGATTTTAGTGATGGACAAAAGCGCCCGGTGTACATCTATCGATTCCTCACCACGAACGCCATCGATGAAAAGATCTATCAACGTCAGATCACCAAGACGGGTCTTTCCGAACAGATGTTGGATCATAACAGCTCAGAGGCAACGACGACCAACAAAGACTGTGAGTATGGATATCAACTGATACCACTCGGGCTCCCACTAACGGCTTGCATGCAGCGTTCTCTACGGAAGAATTGCGAGACATTTTCACGCTCAATCTGAGGACCAATGGCTGTCAAACTCGTGCGTGTCCCCTTCCCACACGGATCCGCGCTCACAATATCTCAGACGATCTTTTGGGATGCGACTGTACGCTTGTCGCTCGGGAGAAAACCCTTCAGATTGAAAGCAAGCCGGCAAAAGTCGACTCCGACGATGGCGAGCATGACGTCAACGAGCTTTTGGAATCGGAGAGCGGCGAAGATGAGGACGAGGAGGATGAGGACGAGAAGCCTAAGTTCGTCAGTGCGAATGATTACGACCCGGAGCCGGTGAGTCCGACGTTTCTATATATGTGTATGTTTACTGATGCGGTATTTGTAGACTCCCAAGATGCGTCGCAAGGCAGCCAAGGAGCAGAGCAACAAGCTGGCAGCTCTCAAACACTGGACTCACTACGATGCCAATGAGTCCAAATCCTTCCGTGGCGTTCAAGATACCCTGCTGTTCAACATGCTCCTTGACTCTTGGGAAAAGGATGATGCCGTTGTGCGGGATAGCGAGACAGAGGATGAGGAAGATCAAGACGTAGACGAGGAGGTGGACGAGCTCATATCTGATGAGGAAGGTGCGACAAAGAAGCGCAAGTCTATGGGAGGCAATAAGGGCTCTAGGGCCAAAAAAGCCAAGACGTCCGATGTCGGCGCTGCTGTAACGTCTCGGAAGAAGCACAACCTGAAGACTATGGCGGAGAGGGGGACTGGAAGGGTGACCTTTGTGTTTGAAAAGGTGTCAAAGTCAAAGTTGTAGCACGGACCTGCATATATAGATCATACGTCTCTGATGCCGATTGCTTTTAGATTGCATGCATGTCGTTCATTTTACGAAGAGCGAAGAACATGGCATCTATATGACAGTCTATTATGGTACATGCAAAGTAGTGATTGGTGGTGTATGATGGCACAAAGTGCTGTTTGAATTGTGATTACACATCTAGCCCGTGAACGTCCCCGCCTTGTTGCCTCCCTTGGGTTGGCTCATATCCCTTGCAGGTCTAGCCCCGAAAGTCGGAACTTCCACACCAGTGAAAGCTGTTCCATGTCAACCATACATCCCGAACGAATAGAGCCAAAATACTTACCTCCAGGCTTCGGCGCTTGCTTCACATTCTTCTTCTTCTTCTTCTTTGCGTCCGCCCCGCTGCTAGCCGACTGTGGCTGATCCAGAAGGTTGGGCTGGGTAGAGTAGTCAAAGTCGGGGATGTTTTCCGGCTTGACCTTTTCCTTCTTCTTGCCCTTTGCCTTCTCCGACTTGGGAGCGACAGCGGGTGTACCAGAAGGAGAGGCGTCAGGCGTGGCTGTCGTGCTCGTAGAAGCCCCATCACCATTGTTCAGCTTTGTCTTCTTGCTCCCGTCGCTGTCAACGCCGACGCTGGCTTCGCGTTTCTTTTGCGGCTGCTTTTTCGACTTTTTTACCTGCACGACACCGTCCCCGGGGGCGGGAGCAGAGAGCTTGGACGCGGGACCGGCTGCTGACGGAGTAGCCTTCTGAGGCGCCGGAGCGGGCGCAGGCTTCGCGGAAGAAGACACCGCGCCAGAAGCAGGCGCTGTTTTCCTCTGTCCTGCCGGCACGAAGGGCACAGACTCGGGCCTCAACGTCCCAGATCCCGCTTCTTCTTCGCCCCTCTTTAGAATCTGCTTCGGCGCCATCTCCACTCGCATGGCATCCATGACCTTCAAGAAGCCCGGCGACAGCTCTTTTTGCTCTCTTGCAGAGGTCGAGGAACCGCTTGCAGGCTGGGCCTGAGCCGCCGGTGCGCGAGGAAGGGTTTTGCCAAACAAGCCAGAGGTGGGCTTGGTCTTGTTGAGACTCGAATTCGAGCTGGGAGTAAAGTTAGGTGTGGATTTAATAGTCGAGCCGAAAAGACCAGACTTGGCTTGAGTCTTGACAACCGGCTTTGACGGTGTACTCTGCTGACCGAAACTCCACATGTTCCCAGCAGTGGCGGGTGCCGACGGAACGGCTGGTACTGCCGGGACGGCAATCCTCTTCTTCGCCTGTGCCTGCTGCTTGTGCGCCTTGTCCGCCTTCTGCTCGGGAATGACGATCCCTCCGTCGGCAAACATCTCTTCCTTCTCCTGCCTCCTTCTTTCTTCTTCGACGGCCTTGAACTCTTTCTTGGCGTAGGTGATGATGCTAGCGATGTTGGGGATGTATTGGGCGGCGATGGGGGCACGGTCGGGTCGTATGATACGGCCGAGGTTTGTAGGATTGCCTTGGGTACACACCTGCGCAAGCATGTTTTGAGGCATGATGTAGCTTTTGTCAAGTCAGCTTGGGGAGCGATAAGCATGTTTAATACTCACAATGGACTCTCATCAAGCTCCCTCGCCATGCCATCTCTCCAATCATGCATCCTCCTCCAAACCCATCCCACTTCCTCATCCAGCCCACCTTTCGGCAACCACTTCTTTCCCGCACTGAGCCAACCTCCAGTGCCCTTACCAGCCTCGACATCATAAGTGTCGCGCTCGTACAGGCGAAGAGCAGTATCCGCAGAACGTTCAAGTACTTTACGAATCGCCTCTTGCGGGTTCGGCCTTGCGCTAGCAAGCGTCACCGACTCTTCCCCAGCCACAGGCGATGGAGGCCTCGACGACTTTTCGATAAGCGCATTCCTCAGATTGTCATACACAAACAGCAGATAATGCGTATCCGACCTCGCGTAATGGAGCATGTCCTCTGGCAAAGGCCTGATACGCCAATCGGCACGTTGGTAGCGCTTGTCTGCTTCAAAGTTGCAGTAGAGCTGAAGGAGTCCGGCCAGGGATCGCTGGGGCATGTTGAGAGTGAAGGATGCGTGGTAGGTATCGAAGAGGTTGACGAGATAGATGTCAAAGTCGCGTTCGAGCCAGATGACATCACTGTCTGAACCGTGGAAGACCTGATGGACATTAGCGAAAGCATTTACCTTTTGAGACTAGACTCACTTTGATGATTGAAGGATCTGTCATGACGTCTCCGAATTTGTCATCTCGAATCTGTTTCCTCAGCGACAGAGTGTCCACCACAAAGTCCTCATCCCTGGTCGAGATCTGGATCAAACATGTAAAGCCAACATAGCTTCGCATATCATGGTGCTCCAGATCCACCGCAATCTCCTTTGCCGCTTTTAGCTTCTCCACCATCTGCTGATACTTTTCGGGTGTATCCACAAACATGAACGGCGTCGAGTCGAAAGGTCTAGGAGGGATCGGTTGCGAAGGAATAAACATGGAGGTGGGATAAGGGAGATGTTTCGTCTCGTAATAGTAAGGATGGTGTCGGGCCTTTTGCTCTCTCTCCAGCCTCGCAGCAGCTTTGGCCGAATCCTCCTCCTCCTCCGCCGTCAACTCGTAGTCCAACTTGACCTTTGCGCCCAGCGGTACCATTGCATGCGGCTTGTTCGAAAGCGTAGGCGCCCATGGGATATCCGTACGCGTGTTGTCGGGCGCATCGGGAAAGAGGAGCTGAGGTTTGGAGAGGCCAACGGCGTGGATGATGTTTTGGGGCAATCGCTCGACTTGTTTCGAAAAGGGGCCTGGGAGCTTCTTGCCTGCCTGGGCGAGAATGCTAGGCTTTATGGCAATGTTGGTCTTGCCCTTGCTTCCGCGCAGCTCATCCATCTGTGTGTCCTGCGGGGAGTCAGTGTTGACTCTCGTGACATGATGGTGGCTTACTGCATCTTCGAGTAATCCATCCACAACGCCAAGCACAGAGCCCTTGTATCCGTCAATCACATCGTCCTCGTCTTCCAGCTTTCTTCTTCTCGTGACAGGCTTTCCCTTCTTCTCCCCAGCAGCAGCGGCCCTCTGACTCTCGTCCACCAGCGCCAACACCCTTTCGGTCAGATTTAACACCCTTTGACTGGCCTTGTCAAGGTCTTTGCCAAATGACCTGTCCATAGTTCGCTGAAAGTCCAGGTCGCTCTTGCCAGGAAGAGCGGCAGCATCGGTCGTGAGGCTGTCGAGGGCTGTAGTAAGCTGCGGCAGGTAGTCGGCGAATGCGTCGGCGGGAGACGCCACTGCATTGTTCTGAGCGGACATGTCTGCCAGTAGTGTGCGGGCTCTTTGCAAGTGCTGTTGTAGTTTTGTATGGTTGTCCTTGTATTGGAAGGAGGCGAGAAGGATATTTGAGTTGGGTGGCTGCGCGGGGGGTGGGGTGCGAATGTGTCGCAGGTACGCTGTTGCGCGTCTGAGGGCGTGCTTGGCTGACTGAATTGTGCGGCCCTGGGGATCAGGAGCGATGGACTGGCTATTTCAAGTTGTTTTTGTTTATGTACCCGGGACAAGAGAAGTTTGCAGCCGTGTACAATTTGCTCCCGCTGCGGCGACTGCCGGGGCCCCGGACCACGAGCCGAGGCTGCCTCGATTTGCTGTGCACATCCATCCCTCCTTTCTCTCATCACAACGTCAGCCATCGCGTCAGCCATCGCGTCAGCCATCGCGTCAGCCCTCGCCCCGTATCCCCTGCCCCTCCGTGAGCGACTACGTTGCCATGGAACCCCTGCCCCTCCATGCGAGTCACGCAGGGCCCGCGGCGGATGCCGTGCATAGTCCAATCAAACTAGAACAGGTCGAGCTCGAGGATACTGCCAGCTCATCCCAGCAGGGATCCCCTATCATGGTGCACGCCGTCAAGGTAGAGAAGGAGGAGACCCCCAGTAAAGACGCCAAGGTCAAAAAGACCAGGCAGAGTCGTAGGTCCAATTTCGTCTCAGATCGTCTCTGGATCTTGGGAATCTCGCTGACTCAGCCTTGTCGCAGAATCGTGCGATGGTGAGCATAAGATCTGGGCACTTCCACGTATGTATGCTAACAATAGCCGCCTTCAGCTTGCCGAGCGAGAAAGTAGGTTTCGCGCACGCGCGCTGCATGTAGTATGAACGCTCACCCCGCTTCTCAGAGTCAAATGCGACCGGCCACCACCGGGAACCGTGACAAACGCTCCCACCAAAGACATATGTTCACACTGCTCTCAGCTCAGTCTGGAGTGTATGTCTGCCAACCCGAAATGCCAGGTGTCTGTTGCTAATCTTGGTCTCAGGCCGCTTTGACTATGTCCCAAGAAAACGTGGTCCTCCGAATCTGTATCTCAAACGCTTACAAGAAGATCAACAGGCAGCAGCCAGTCGAAAGGATATGCCTTATCCCAGCCTCCCCCCGAGTCTCCCACCTCCCCAATTACCACAACTCCCCATACCAGCCATCATGCAGCAGGGGCCTGCTACTGCCATGCCTTCCACCGCTACAATGGGCAATCCCAATGGAGGATGGCAGACTGCATCGCCCATCATGGGCATGCAGCCTTTACCTCTCCCTCAAGTCTCCTACCTCCCTCCCATGCCTGTACCCCCAGCCCCTATACCCACCCAGTCATACATGTCCTCTCCAATGTCCCACCGAGGCCACATCCCACCCCCAGTCGAAGGTCCCCGCCCAATGCTATCAAGCGCTCCCCCGAGTGCCCATTCATCCCCTGCCCATCTCTCTCCAAATACGAGCTTTGGCCAACACTCTTACGAGCCCCGGAACCCCCTCGACGCCGTCGTCCCCCGTCCAATCTTGTACCACATCATCAACCTCTACTTCGACTATGTCTACTGCCTCATACCGTGCCTCCACCGCCCATCCTTTACCCATGATTTGGATACAAATCGGGAAGAGCGGCCGGGAGAGGAGGAATGGGTGGCGTTGGTACTTTCGGTGGTGGCCAGTACGCTCGTGCAGCTTCCGAGGAGTTTTATTAGCATGAGGAGGAAGGAAGTCAAGGAGCTGGTGCTGAGGTGTCACCAGAAAGTAAGGTCATATTTGGCACAAGACTATCAACATCCTACTATAACCAGATGTGAGTGCTGGGCATGTGTTTCTTGCGGATGATTATTTATACGACTCACAGCAATCATCCTCTACATCAACATATATGTGTACAGCCTGACCGACCGGATGTCTATGGCACGAGCCGACTTTGGCACAAATTACGCATACACCATCGCCCTTCAATCTCATCTCGAAAGCGTGCGCCCTCTAGCTCCCCGCTGAAGTAGGACATTCTGACTCTTTGTAGGAATACACCAATCACAACCCTGTTGAAAGTTCTCTCCGGCGGCGCATGTTCTGGCTCATGTACGGCGCGGACAAGACATTCTCTGCTATCGCTGCTTTGCCCCTCTACTTTCATGAGGACGATTGTGCAAGTGTCGCTTTGCCTGAAGACTTGTAAGTCCACCAAAGCCTTAGGAGCGAGGCTGATTGTCATTTCCAGGGATGATGCGTACATATCTACAGAGGGCCGAACGACCCAGCCTGAAGGGTGTGTATCCCCTCTTTGTGGATTCCGTTATGTCAGCTACCTTTACCGCTGTAAGCTTTTCCTTCCCTCTCACGATACAACGCCTAACGTCCATCACAGTAACAGGCGAAGCCCTCGATAAACAAAGCCACGACAAACTCCGCCCTCCCTCCGGGGTCCTACTCCAAATGCGTCTCTCCGAAGTATCCCAGCTTTACCACCGTGTAATGTCCGCCATGGATGGCTGTCCACAGCCTCTCGTGTTGAATTATAGTACCCCCCGCAGTTCTGTGGCAAGCTTGTCGCCAGATTGGGGGGAGAGGATGAAGACGGAGATACATACGATGTTTGTGAACCCGAAAGGGGCCGACATGGAGTTGGTAAAGGACTACTATCTGGTGCAGCAGGCAAACATATACGTTACACAGGTACGTTTCCTTCTCTGTTACCGTGATAATAGATGCTGACTCGTGAAAAGCAATTGGTCCGCTTCATCATCATACAATACCGCGATGAGCTCCTCGAGCATCAAGAGATTGAACAACGGCAGGTCGATCCCAACGATATTGCCCGTCGGGAAGAGATCAAACGGTCAGTGAAAGAAGGTAGCCAGGATGAACGGGAGCAGGTGGTTGTGGATCTCTTGTCGATCTTGCGCAAGATCCCTATAAAAGTGCTCGGTGAGTTCTTGTGCCCCATGTCCTTTCATATGTGATCTGACAATGAGCAGCCGTCAATAGTATTTCGCTCGTGCAAAAAGTTCGGCTTGTCGCTTCGTCTCTCCTGGACAGCCTAAATCCGGAACCGGAAGGGAGTAGTCTGAATGGAAGGATGGCGGATATGCACACGGAGTCAAGAGCTGAGAGGGCACAGAAGAATCTTTGTAAGCTTCTCTCGTCCCGGGATAAGTGCTTGAGAAAGCTGACGCCGTATGAAGGGAGCTTCTTGAGTTATCTTTCAGAAATTGAAACACTCTACTCGTGGGATGATGATGTGGACACATGACAGCTCTCGCAAGGATGATGAGCTATAAAGTATAATACGACGACGACGCGACGCTTCGGTATGGGTGGTGTCTCTTTGTATATAATGATCTAGGTGGTCTCAGTCGCACCTTATAAAGGACAATTCTGGAAATGCTCAATGCATGTTGTATCGTCTCTTTCCTTGGCTTATCAGCATGCCATGGTAGCTCCTCCCGCCGACTGCTTTGGGTGAAACAGTTGCTCCTTTGTAGCATATTCGTCCATCGTGTCCTATGAGCAAGTCTGTCATCCATTCATCACTCATGAGTCCATGACTGGCTCAATATTTATATCGGAAAGACGACAACCTTGTCTCTCGATCTAGACAATTGTCAACAACTGTCAACAGATCTTATCTTTCGCGCCTGCCTAGGCACTGTACTCGTAACGTTCCTGGACGTTCCTATATTCGGCTTCATCTGCTTTCTCTTTTCCTCCTCATATTATCCCCAGGCCCATCGTCGGAATTACGACATGACGTATACGTATACCCACCTAGACGAGTTCTTCAAGCTCTCTACTTGGGACCGAGATGTGAGCTCAGACCAGAAAGCCCAGCGATGCAAGGCACTGACACGTATACAGATCAAGGGTTCCTTCGGCCTACAGCCCCCACCTGGCAACTGGGAGGGCTTCAAAAAGCGCATAGCGGGTGAATCACCTTTGCAGTCTACTCTGATGAAAGTCGCTGATCCCAGAGATAGAGCTACAAGGACAGTGCGCCGAGGACGAGAGTATCAAAGTCATCTTTGCTGCCCGACACGGTCAAGGTACGTAGATCAAACTGCCTCTCGTTGTAGTGACAGGGGTCTGATGCTGCTTACATAGCTGAGCACAATGTGATCAAGGACAACTACAGAGTGCCTCAAGATCTCATACTTTCCGCGCGCCATCTGTTCCAGAAAGGGAAATGGGCCACAGCTCACGTATGGATCTTTTCTCTGATACCTCCTTGCGTATCCTCCCTGACCTCTGGCATCAGGTTCTCTATCCTGTTCTAGATCCCGACCTCACCCCGCTCGGACGTGAGCAAGCTGCGGCGCTAGGCCATGCCCTACAACGCGAAGCCGGCCGGGGAATGCCCGTGCCCGAAAGGTACTTCGTCAGTCCTCTGAAACGAGCTGGTGAGACATGCGGCATTGAATGGGGATGGATATTTGGAGAGCCAGAGGATGGTGGCAAGGGTCATGGTGTCGATGCGCTCGCTCTCGAGGTATGTCCAAAACGAGGTATAGACACAAATTAGTGACACGATAACGCAGAACCTCCGTGAACATCTTCACGTCCACTTGTGCGACAAACGGTCGAAACGCTCTGAGCTGGAAAAGGAATTCCCCACCTTCACGTACGAATCAACTATGACGGAAGAGGACGAGCTTTGGGAGCCGCTAGAGGTGAGAGGTCGGGAAAGTGACGATAACTTGGTAGCCAGGCTGGGGGTCGGGGTCAGGCAAGCCCTGGACGCGAGTGAAGGAGCCACCTGTGAGTGTTTTGTATAGTTATACCCTGAGACTGATCGCTAGTGTCAATCACAGACCTCAGTATAACTTCGCACTCGGAAGCTATCCGAGGCGTGTACAAGGCTCTAGGTGTCCCGCCGAGAGATTTGGTCGTTGGACAAATGAATATCATCGTCCTTCGCATCAAGAAGATGGCAGAGTAGTAATTGTTTCGCAAGTAGATCAGTAGAAAGGTAGACCAACATCATGATGTGCAAGGATCCACTTGTTTGAGGAGAAACTTGCATGCATACTGTACGAGTAGCTGTCTTTAGCTTTGTAGCCCAGCTTGATGATGAGGCTCTGCTGCTGTCCTCGGGCCGCTTGGATCTGACCGTGGTCTGTTATCCCTCTCTTCAGCCATACACAAAAGAGAACCGGCGATGGCCACTAGTTTCCCTTTGATGGTCACGGGCAAGGAAAACAGATCCTCACTCTATCCATCCGGAGGGAAGGCGAGACATAGAAGATCCGTTCACATTGAGCATGGATGTGGTTTCGGTGAAGCCTGCAAGACGCTCAAAGGAAAGACTTCCTCAGACCTTATATTCACAGACATCTCCTCACAGTCACACTCCTCATCGCATTCCCTCGTCACATCTCTCATCACATATCTAGTCCACTGTCCTATTCAAGCAGTCTTTGTACGTCAAGAGAGTCATCCAAGCTCGTAAACATCTCACAACAACACATCATCATGAAGTACATATTTAATCACCTCGACGAGTTCTTCGAGCTCTCTGATCAACAAGACGCGAGTCTGGTCTCGTCGCCCAGCCATAAACCGCCAAAGAGAGTGTGATGTATAACTTTTCAGATCAGGAACCCATTTGGTCTAAAGTCGCCTCCGGGTAGCTGGCAAAACTTCAAGGAACGCATAGCAGGTCAGGCGTCTTGACCCCATGACCCGTTCCGGACGAAGACTGATCCTGCTGGAGCTAGAGCTTCAAGAATGCCCTTCGGACGAATGCATCAAAGTCATATTCGCTACCAGCGATGGTCAGAATCGGTCCACCAGTACTTGATGAACATGCTGATGTAGATAGCTGACCACAATGTTGACGCTCAACGGCATCCGGTAGCAAGAAAGCTCGTACGTCACGATGCGCTATACTTTTAAGACGATGAGCTTGAGTTGACGTACAGCATCTGTATCTCCACCTTTCCCGTGGCTCTATCGTACCCGGCTTCAAGGCTCGAGTTAACTGTCCCATTGTCGACCCCCACCTGAGCTCTCTCGGCCGAGACCAAGCGACTGCGTTGCGCCATGCTCTGCAGCGCGAAACCCCTCGAGGGATGCCGCTGCCGGAGAGGTGGTTTGTGAGCCCTCTGAAGCGGGACCTGTGGAATCGAGTGGGGATGGCTAATTTGAATGCCGAAGAAAGAACGGCAAGCGGGAAAAGGGCATGGCATGAAGGCCATCGTATTAGAGGTGGGGTCTCCTTACGGATACTTGGTCATTGCTTGGCGGAAGCTGATGTAGGCTGTTGGAACCTGCGAGAACGCCTCCATGTCCACAAATGTGACAAAGGCTCGTCCCGCTCCGCTCTGCAGCTCGACTTTCCGTCATTCGAGTACACTCCAGGAACGGCCGAGGAAGACAAACTCTGGCAGCCACAGGAAATGAGGGGGGGCGAAACAGAGGATGAGCTTACAACTCGCAGTGGCGGGGGGATGGACCAGGTGTTGGACGCGAGTGAGGGGGCTACTTGTGAGTGTATTGAGTGGCGACCGGGCTTGGAGACTGATGCAGTCATTAGACAACAGCATCACTTCACATCCTGGCGCTCTTTGGGGTGTCTACAAGGCTTTGGGCGTACCTCCGAGGAGCCTGGTGGTGGGCGAAATGAATGTCCTTGTCCTTCGAGTCAAAAAGGTGACCGAGTAGAGCCCCTTTTGCCTACGGAGCGGGTATAATTTCGTGGCAGATATGCATGGTAGTGATATGATGTGTATTGTTTGTTGCATGGGTGTGATGAAAAAATGATACATATGCCGATCATATTGATCAGGACATTGCTACCGCATAAGCCTGTTTGATGTATCAGCGAGTGTGATTGATACAAAGATATGTTACTGACCTCGTACTCTTCTGTTGTCATCAAATCTTGATCCTCGTCTGTGACGTCCTCTACCCTCTTGGGCTGGCCGGCAACTATGACACCGATCAGTCATGTGGACAGAAGCATAGGAGAACGTACCAGTGACCATCTTCCCCTCGCCCTCTGCTGATGCTCCATTGGTAGCCTCATCTGGCTCGGGAGGAGTGATCGAAGTTTCCCCAGTAACAACAGCAGTCTCTTCGAATTCTTCATCGTCCTCTTCCTCCTCCTCCCCTTCGGCCAACATCTCATAATGGGCAGCCAGCGACTCATCGCTTGTTGTTTGCTCCGTTCCTCCAGCTGCAAGCCGCGCCCTCTCCGCAACAGCAGCCTTCTGGTTTCGATCGTTGATACCGAGCGTAGTAGCGTCTCCGGTAACGGTCGAGTGCGTATACCACGCCGGTAAAGCATTCTGCTCCCGCTGAGCCTGCGCAAGCTTCTCCTTATCTTCATCGTCTTCCGCCCCCATAACCACCTCAAACTTCTTTCCTTCTTCTCCCACTTCCTTCCCATCCACACTGACAACTCCTGTCTTGACATTCTGGGCGATCCAAGCAACAATGTTGATACTCGGCAGCGTCAACCCTTCCACCGCTTTGAGCGCGTCTCGGATGGGGGCAGTGGCGATGTTAAACCGCTGCATCATATCCTGAAGACTCGAGTTGTTCTCCACATCCACCGTGGGGTCGTGCTCCACCAACTCGCTCCGGCAATCCTCACATTTGAAGCTGTTTGTCACCGGGTCGAAGAGGTGGCTCAAATCGAGAGGATCATATGTCCGGCCGTCCATGGGACATTGGTACCCTCGGTGCCCGACTTCGGATTTGATTCGCTGATCGATATTTTTACGCATCATAGCAAGGCGATACTTTGTGACGTTGGCAAACTCGCGATAGTCGAGAAACCAGTAGTGCACATCGCGGGTACGCAGCTCTGGTGGACCGTTGTTTCTATTGTTGTTTCCATATGACCGCTTCCATTCGGGCACTGGCAGCTTCTCCTTGTTGACATGTCTGTACATGGATCAGGGCTGTACAAGGAGGGTTTAGACAATGCTTACCTTTTGACAAGACGGTGCATGAGTAGAATGCCCATATATTTCCTGACCTCGTTGGTTGACAGACCCACTCTCTGAGCGAGATCGACTTCCGCCATTCTTAGAAAGGTCAGTGATGGTGGCATGTTGGTAGTTGATATACGTACACATTGAAATGCACCATCATCTTGAAGAGAACGATGTAGGGGCCATCGTAGAACGAGTAGGCAACCTGGTAGACAAGATCAGAGCACAGCTTTTGGATCTCGTCGGACGACAAGTTGAGGTCGGCCATAGTGGGACAGCTCCTTCCGCTGAGCGAGCCAGGATTGTTGAGGGTAGCAAGGTGAGGTCATGATTCAGACAGATGCCAGAAATCACTCAGTTCATGCCGCGGTTCTCCCCTTAATTTCACGTTAATTACGAAATGGTTATCACCGGCCGCCGATCCGAGTTCAGTCAGTGCCACCCTCTGTCACACATTGCGAGTGATACGAGTCCAGTCTAGACCATGGTGGGCGCTTGTTAAGGCCCTAATCTTCAATCTATATGTCTAATGGAGGCTGTACGCAAGACGGAAGGGTGGGGACGAGCAATGTGAGCCACGACCCCATGAGAGTTTGAAGAAGAGATTCAAGAGCGAGAAAGTAAGCGGAAACTGGAAGCCATGGAGGTGAAATGCTCATTCTTATCATTAAGCGTGTAAGACTCTGCTCCAGAAAACATTCTCAAAGCTTTGGCACGACCGAGCGTAGTCGTCTGCTTTTAATCACAGATAGGCAAAGGTACTCAAGTCCGGTCCCTGAGAAGCCGTAGCGCCATGGCCATAGCAGGACACTGTGTTTCTGAACAGCAATATCTCATCTTGTTCACTGACGTTTTATATTATACGTCTGGATACAGCATCCACAAAGGCGACCATCAGCATTGTACATGTCATGAGAATCAAGGCCACTCACGAATATATTGATACAACCTTGAGCTTTATATCATTTGGTTCAAGCTCATTTCACATCATCTCCTTCTGAAAAGAGCCTTCTTTCCCCGTAATCCATTGGCAGGTGTTTGGACGTTGCTTCTAGTCATACCCTCTTGTTCAAGACACATTTTGGCCAGCTTGAGATGGTAAGGCAGCAAGGGACCCGTAGGATTTGCCGAGTGGGGTTGGAGCTCCTTGGCTGCATCAATGATCAGGGAGAATAGAGATTGAAGGACTGTTGTGACCTACCCATTTCGATCACATCTGCGACAAAGATCTTTGCCATACCTGCTACGACCTGTGATAGTTGTGGCGTACAGTGTTGATCGTAGAGGTCCCTATTCAACTTCAACAGTATGTCAGTATATAGTTCATGGAAGAGTGTTGTACTCGCCCTCTTGATTACATTCTTGTTCAAGGCCACAGTACTGAATGTGTCGAACCGTCTTCCCTGGTCTTCATCCATCTGGCCTCGCAACATACTAGTCGTTCCGTCAGGAGATGCTCTTTTCATTATCCAGGATAGCAGCTTACTATGTTTCTGCTCTCTTTCTCTTTGCCTTCTCCTCGATATACTGCCCGTTATCCTTCTTCTTCCCTTTACCCTTCCCTCCCGAGGCTGCTCCGCCCATGTGCTGATACGCGGGCCCCGCCTCCCCCCGGTCATCATAATCTTCGTCCTTGTCATCATCCCCATCAGAGTCGCCCTTGCCATCCAGGTCGGCATCTACCATGCGCTTTCCCGGTTGCGGTACACCCATGAGATCAGAGTCGTCGACATCGTCGGCTTCATCGAGGTCTTGCCTGTCGAGAGGTTGGTTACCGGACTTTGGAGTCGAGAGGGCGGATGATGAACGTGGTAGGGCTAGCGACATTTCGTGCGATTGTTTGTTGTAAACAGAAACAAGACATAGGTAATTCAATCGCGATTTGATAGCGAAGGCCGGCGCGTGAAATAATCCCGAGCTATGCAGTCCGAAAGTTGCCCAAAAGTCCAATTGACCGTTTTCGTTGTCGCCTCTCATCTCTGTTTGTACGGCACTTCTCATCTCAAGACACCAACTCATGATCGGCTTGCGTACCGGAAGGGCCGCTGTTGGCAGGGCAGCCGCTCCCCTCGCCTTTCCATCCGTCCGGCCCCTCGTCCGACCCTCTTTACCCTCGCTCTCTCCTTTGCCACAAAAGCACCTGCGCAGTGTCCGCCTTCTATCCACGGCCCCCATAGCGTCCTCCTCAATACCTCCTCAAGAGGTTCCGCTAGACAACTACGACCTCGCTTCATTGGATCCTCCCATCTCTAGCGACTTTCTCTCAGAGCCAGCGACGACGATTTTCGACCCTCTGATTCATCCCCTAGCCGACACTTTTCTGGCGATACCGCACCCTTTGGGGTATGGTGCTTCGATTATAGCCATCACGCTACTACTGCGAACCAGCCTGACTCTACCGCTTGCGCTCTGGCAACGGAGAAGAGCCAAAAAGATTCAAGACGTCGTCATACCAGAATTAAAGCGTTACAACGACACCATGGCGCAACATCTGGCTAGGGAGTATAGGTCCAAGAACCTCTCTTATTTCGAGTATACAATCGAAACGAAGAAGAGGGTGTGTCGCTCCCGATTGTCCAAACTCAGTTTACTAACTTGATTGCAGATGTATCTTGCTCAAAAAGCTCTGCATAAAAAGCACAACACTGTACCCTGGGTGACCAACTGGGTACCGCTCCTCGTCCATCTCCCAATCTTCCTCACAGTCTCCATGACCATACGCCGTGCCCTCGATATCCCTGGATCAAGTTTCGCGGCCGATTCCTTCTTCTGGATCGAGCAATTAGGACAGGTGGACCCCTATGGGATATTGCCCTTGGTCGGCATGGGGGTGGCGTTTGGGAATGCAGAGCTGGTGGGCGCTAGAAGGCGGGCTGTGGATGCTGCCAAGACGATGGCGGAAGATAGTGTGGCGCCTGAAGGTGAGGCGAAGGCGGCCCAGCCAGAACCCCGGCCGACGCCAGTGAGAGCCGCGAGCCCTGTGCAGCCTGTGCAGGGCAGCTCAACCCCTCGCTCCTCATCGCTGCTTGCTCGAGGGAAGCCAACAGATAGTCCCAAATCCCCAAAATCATCACCACCATCCCGTCCCATCAGTACGACAACAAGTGTCTTGGCCCGCCCACATACAAAGTGGAGAGCCCCTACCAATGCCTTTTCCGAAAAGTTACGACAAGAGAAGAAGGCCAACGGGATGGTGACGCTGGAGGATGAAAAGCCTTCTGCCGTCTCACCGGAAAGGCAGGCAGATATCAAGAGGGATGCTTTTGCGTATATTCTACGCTTTATGGCTATTGGTTTCGTGATGCTTGGCAGTCAAATGCCGAGTGTGAGTGCCGAGCGTCTTATGGTGCGTGCTTGCTGCTGACATGTCATGATAGGGCGTGGTACTCTACTGGTTCACCTCCATCTTCTATAGTTTCGTGCAGAACTTTATCTTCAGGATCGTGCCGCGTTGGAGAGATACCAAAACGCCTGACTCTGCATCAGCCTACTAGCATACGAAAAGCGACCCCGTATTTATAATGCATCGTCACATCAACTGATCCTTGGTCTCTTGGCTTCTCGATCCTCAGTCTGTTCTTCCTTGCCTTGGGCGCCTACCTCCTCTTCTTTGGGGTCTTCTTCTTCTCCTTGGGTGTCTCCCATCTTTTCGCTTTCGTTCTTATGCGCTCTCCACTTGTCAAGCCCGTCTGGACAATCCATGACCCTCTGCCCATAAAAGATATGACACCCTGGCCTGAAAACTTCCGGAACGCCCTTCTCCCCTTTACCCCTGGCGAACTCAAATGTCGGCGGGAAAGCCAACACCATATTCCGCCCTTCGTCCATGAATGGCGTACCGCACGACCCACACGATATCTTGCGAGGGATCGGCGTGGGCGATGATGATAGCGCGTGAAAATCGGCGGAAGCGCTGAGAAAGCGGACGTGATCGGGAGATGTATCGAGCCGGACTGCGTCTTTGGGGAATATGGCTGCTTGTTGGAATGGGGCGCCTACGATCATGAAAAGCGTTAGCTCTGACAAGCCTCTGTGGAAGTCCCTTCATAACCTACCGTGCAGCTTCTGACAGCCAGTACAATGACAGACTTTGACCTGCAGTGGATCTCTGTCGTAGACAAAAGCAGCTGATCCTAGGTTAGTATACCATTTATACGATCTGGGACACTTACTCTTCTTGCAGAAGCAGCTCTGCCGCCATTTAGTCGTCCAGCCCTCTCGGCTTTCACCGTAAAGGAATGGCACTTCTTTTGCCCAGCTAGGAGTCTCTTGCGACATTTTTGCTGTATTAGATGTAGAGATGAGAAATTGTACTTCAAGCAATATATAAAAAGGGGAGCGTACCACGATCGATGCAGCAGGATCGAAAGAAGTGCGATGGAGACGATGGCCAGCCAAGGACGTCACAGGTGGAGGCAGACCCGGAGGCACGTGGCACCACCTCGGATGAGCGAAGTTGATCTGAACGAATTGTCAAGTTGGCCCTTCGTTCGTCGGGCTTGCAGTCCACATGACCAGGATAAAAGAAGTGGCAGATTTTACCGTTTTGCAGGTATTCAAACTTTGATGCACTTCCCTTTGACCGCTAAGCGACGAAAGAAAAGGACAAACTCGTGTCACTCAACCCTCTTGTTGGCAGACCGTCTTTTCTTTCTTCTTCATTGTTCTGGTCTGCTTGCCAGATTCTCACATTTTAGTCTTTTGTCAAAAGTAATAGCATCCGTCCTTCCTTTTCTTGCCATGAACACAGTCGCTGCATGGGAGAGGAGATCAACTCAGCCACAATACGCACGGGCCGGATCATGGCTAGCTTATTTCACCAACAACTGATTGGTAGTAAATGGATGTGCTCTCCGTGATCTTATCAACGTGTCAGTCCAAGTCCTACACACAAAGCAAATGCTGTAAATGAAGAGAAAGCTCACGCCAATCAACACCATAAGAAGTCGGCCTGTACAACCATCGAAAAGATGTACGTAGTGGCAGGTGTTCTCATGCCAAGCTGCATCGATTTTAGCTTCCTTACAATACGCTCTATCTGCGCATCAACGCTCTGCTACCAATGGAGCTTACAATTTAGGGAATCTAGCACCCTCAGAGACAGTACCTCTCGAGTATATAGCCGGCCATCTTCTTCCTGCTCCCGCGAGCGGGAGCATGAATGCAGTCAATGGGGTCTTCAGAGCAATCATTCAAATGCTTGTTGTCTCACATCGCATCAGGTAACAACTGATAAACAGAGTCGTCACCAATATGACCCATACGTGTACTCGTACATCTCAGTCCTTCCACCCCTTCTCCACACCATCCCTCTGCTTCTTCTTGATCCACTCATACACCACACTAAAATCCTTCGCCCCCCAATCCCCATTCCCCTCCTCACAAACCGCCTCATAAACACTTTTACTCGCCCACGTCAACGGGGTCGGAAGACTATGCTTGTGCGCCGCCTGAAGCGCCAAACCAACGTCTTTCAACATCAACCTCGTCTGGAAGCCGCCCTTGTATCCGCGCGACGCCGGTGTCTTGGGGAGTGTGGAGATGGGCGGGTTGATCCGGGATGACCAGGAGGAGCCGGAAGAGGTGTCTATGACGCTGCCGAGGAGGGAGGGGTCGATGCCGAGAGAGTGGCCGAGGGAGAGTCCTTCGGCGAGAGCGATTTGGTTGCACGCGAGAACCAAGCTTTCGAATTTGTCAGTGTGGCATCTCTACTTTCGACTTGAAGACTCACTTGTTGCAAACCTTGACACCCACCCCAGTCCCACTCCCTCCACACTCCACCACCCCTCCGACCCTCGCCATCCTCTGCAACAGCGGCACCACCAATCCCGTCGCCACGGCCGAGGGCGAACCAAACATGATCGTCAACTCTCCCTTCTCCGCCCCGACCGTCCCGCCCGAGACCGGGGCGTCTACCATAAGCGCCTCGTGAGAGGTTTCTTGGTGGATACGGGTGGATACTGCGAGGGCGACGGTGGGGTCGAGGGTTGTTTGGTCGATAAGCAGGGTATGGGGGTTGTTTGGTGGTGGGCCGGAGGAGAGGGTGGTCGTGAACGAGAGCTGCTCGTCCACTGCTCGACTTGTATTGCCCGATACATTTGATTGAGGTGCTGTAGCCAGAGGCAAGTCAGGCGTATTACCCGGGAGTTCCCAGAGACCCGCCAGAATGCCTTGAACAGGGTCCAAGTAGACAGCTTCCACTTGCGGTGTCGAAGGAAGCATCGTAAAGACCTTTGCCGCCGCCTGCACCATCCTCCATCCATCATCAGCAATCTTCCTTCTTGGTGGTCCACAGATCTTACTCTTTACCACTACCCACCCGCTCCACCCTCTCTGCAAGCTCCACCCCACCTCGATCCCTCAGATCCCTTACAAACGAATCCGCCCTTCCATCATCTTGTTCACAAAACAGGAATGTGAGCTTTTGGCCCCCCTGCGATAAGGAGGGAGGGGCATCGCTTCCTTGGTGGGCAAAGTATGTCTTGGTGAAGAGATTGAGCGCCATGGGACGGCCTTATGGGCAAGTCAGTCAGAGACCTCGGGCATCCGCGCCGGTTGCGGCAGTAGCCGAAGAAAGTGTAACATAAATATAGAGACTTACCCATGGCACCGAGGCCGATCCAGCCTGTTGTGCTCATTCGCAGAAGCTTGGGAGTGGGTCGAAGCATCGTGCAGTGGCTTGGGAAGGAGATGAGATGGAAGAGTGATAGAGACAGTATCGTCGCCTGCCATACCGAGCGTCACCTGACACTGGCGCGTGGATCCTGTCTTACGCTGCAAAGTTGCAATTGTCATACCGCGTGAGTAAATTCCAGCTCGGTGGCAGGACTACAGAGTATCAAAGAGCGATGGCTCAAGGCCAGCACCAAATGCACTCATCGCCATCGGGGGCTGAATATGACTCTAATGTGGTGCTACATGTTACTTCTTCAAATCAACTCCCACAGCTTTCCTAGACAGCCCCAAACATTACCCCAACGCCAACCATCCCCGCCATCAACTGTCCCTCACAAATTCTCCTCCTCTCCACGGCCGCTGTCCTCTCCGCCTCTGCATCTGCCAATGCCATAGCGGCGTGTCGTTGAATAGAGTGGGTGCGTAGGGTGTTTTGGAGGAGGGATGTATAGTGGTGATGGTGGTTTGCGAGCTACACCAAGATTAGTTTATGAGAGACGAAAGGAGCAAAGCAGACGTACATCAATCTCCCACTGTGTGCCTCCGAAGGGTACAGCAACAGCTGGTAATTCCGCCAAGACCATCGCTTCCTCCTCTTTCGCCCTCATCTCTGCCAATTGCTCTTCACTCAACACTGGCTCTTCAACCTGCGGCTTTACATCTTCCTGCTCAGCCGACACAGGGTAAGCGGTAGCAGAGACCGAGGTAGGCGACGAGCTTGCTGGCTGGTTATAAGGCGTTCGCACAGTGTTTACGTTTACGTTCGGCGAAGCAGCATACGGGCTCGTCGTCGCTCTCGCCACAGCAGCAACCGGCGCCAGCGTAAGCCCAGATGCAGGCCCAGGCGTCGGCGTCTGTGCCGGTAACGTTCTTCTCTCCGACCACGACAACCTGGGTCCACTGGGCGGTGCATCTTTCGTGCTCGTCGAATGTGCTGAAGGCGTCTCTGACGGCGCTCTGCTCGCTCGGGGGAGCTCTACCTCTTCCCGCGGGGGGGTTACTGATACTGGGGTGGGAATCATTGCTGTCGCGCGACCGGCTGAGGCTAGTGATGCTGTAGATAGCGGTGCGTAAGCTCGCGGGCCTGTAGGTGGTGGGCGGCCACCGTACAAGTGCGCAAGGGCACGAGGACCGGTAGGGGGTGCGAATCCTGGTGCAGCAGCGCCGCCCATTGAACGTAGGCCGGTGGGAGGCGGGCGTTTGGCAAACTGGTTCAAGCCGCTCAGAGGCACAGCGATGGGAACCGGCCTGGCGGGGGCCGGGGCAGGTGCGGGTGCAGACACCTCGGGAGCAGTAGCAGGTGGTGGCGAAGGCGTGTTGAGCTCGGAACGTAGAGGTGGTGATGGAGAATGTGGGGGCTCGAAACGTGAGCGTTTTTCGGACGGTGATCTCGATCGTCTTCGGTCAGACACTGGCGAGAGGGCTCGCTTGAGGGGAGACAAGCGTGATGATCTTGAAGGGGTGGATGCTGATGAGACGGAAGGAGATCTTCGACGGCGGACTGGAGGCGAGTAGGGAGATGGTGACCGTCGACGGAAAAATCGATCTCTATCCCAGTCCCTTTCTCGAACCTCCCTGTCGCGATCTCTCCAGCTGTCTCTCTCGACCCTCCTGAAAGGCGGCGGGGATCTCGTTCGTCTTCTGATAGCAGGCGAGCGAATTGGTGGCGAGTGCGGGCGGGCTGGGAGACCCGCCATGGACGAGATCGGTGGCAGCACAGGAGGAGCCGGCGGCGGGTGTACTGGGGAAGTGATCTGGCCCTCTTCGGGCGTCCCTTCTGACCTCGCTTTCGCAGATCCTTCTGCAGCCATAGACGTCGCCCTCTCGTCCCTTCCTCTCTCCCGTTCCCGCTCCCTGTCCATAGGCGGTGCGACGGGTCTTCTAGGTAACGGGCTCCGAGCCGTCATCCTCTCATCCCTCTCCCTATCCCTCGAAAACCAGCTCGTCCTGCCCGCAGGATATCTCGGTCTTTGATAGTCCCAGTCTCTATCATCGTCCCTCTCCCTGTCCCGCCAGTCGGGACGTTCATTGCGGTCGTAGTTGGTGTTGCGATACCTGGGTTCCCGTGCGAAGCGGTAGTCGTCGCGCGGGGGGTAGGGGGGGCTGTCGTCTCTGTATGTGCGGGGGCGGTGTGGCAGGCGGGGGGGCGAAGGGGAGCGCGGCATCCTCTGTATAGTGTATGTATAGTGTATAGGACAGCCTTGCGCGTCTTTTTTGCAGAGCAGAAGAGGATAGGATCCATTTACGTAAGCGTGGCAGTGGCCGGGCCGAGGAGATCACTGAATCGTCTTGTTCCGATCTTCTCGTCAGCATTCATACACCCAGGATGACCCAAGAACGCTCACGGAAAGCCCTCATTATCGGCGCAGGCCCAGTCGGCGCACTCACAGCCCTCAGTCTCCATCGCCAGGGATGGGACGTTGAACTGTGGGAATCCAGAGACGGCAAGTATTACCATGGACGGACCATGGCCTTGACTGATAATTTGCTAGATCCTCGAGGCGAAGATGCCCCAAGCAACCTTCGTTCAATCAACCTCGCCATCTCATCCCGAGGTCTCTCGGCTCTTCAATCCGTCGACCCTGCCCTCGCAACCGACTTTCTCGAAGAAGCTATCCCTATGAAGGGCCGCATGATCCACCATACCGATGGCAAGGAAGAGAGCCAGCTGTATGACCCCATACACGGGCAGTGTATCAATTCCATCAGCCGACCGATCTTGAATCAGCGGCTGGTGCAAGCGCTGCCGGAGGGGATCAAGACGCGGTTCAACACTAAACTTGAGCATCTTGATTTCAAGGCCAAGAGGGCGTATGCGTCGACGTCCAAGGAAGGTGTTGTTCCTGGAGAAGAAGCGGGTGAAGAACAGAAGGTGACTGGAAAAGCGAGAGGGGAAGGGACGGCGTTTGATCTGGTCATCGGCTGTGACGGCAGTTGGTCCAAAGTCAGAGCAGCTATGATGAGGATTGACCGGTATGAGCTTCTTCATGCGCAGAAGACTCGATGCTGACGTTCAATAGGGTTGACTTTTCCCAATCCTTCATTCCCCACGCATACATTGAACTCCACATGCCCGCTGATTCAAGCCGCCCGGAAGGATTCGCCATGGACAAGAACCACCTTCATATTTGGCCTCGTCATGCATTCATGCTGATCGGTCTCCCCAACAAGGTAGATCCCAGCCAGTTTCCGCTTGACCATATTGACAACGTACGCAGGACGGCTCCTTCACCCTCACCCTCTTTCTTCCTTTCGACTCTCTCGACAAGATCAAGACGCGAGAACAAGCTTCTGCATTCTTCAAAGACAACTTTCCCTCTGCTGTCGACATTGTCGGCGAGAAGCTCTTACTGGACGACTTTGAAAACAACCCCCGCGGAAATTTGGTCACCATCAACGTGAGTCTCTAACCCCGCCCTAGACGGAATGCTGACATGAGACCAAGTGCACCCCATCAGCCTGGTCTTCCCACGCCCTCCTGCTCGGCGACGCTTCCCACAGTATGGTCCCCTTTTACGGCCAAGGCCTCAACTGCGGGCTCGAAGACGTCCGTGTCCTTTCTACCATCCTCGCCCGGCACAAGATCTCTGGCAAGACTTCTATACCGTTGGGAAAGAAGGATGATGGGTTGGAGTTGGCTTTGAGGGCGTATTCGGTGGAGAGGGAGGGGGATTTGAAGGCTATCTGCGAGCTGGCTTTGCAAAACTAGTAAGTTTGAACATGAGGAGGGACGAAGGCTGATAAGAGCAGCACCGAGATGCGTTCTCACGTCCTCTCTCCCATGCACCACCTCCGCCGCCACCTCGACACCCTCCTCACAACCCTCTTCCCCACCCTCTCCCGCTCTTCCCTACCAACAACCTCCCTCTCCTCTCTCCTCGCTTCCGAATCCTCCTCCACCGCTTTCCCCACAAACAAAGTCAAAGGGTGGACGAGCATGTACAATATGGTCACGTTCAGGCCCGATGTGGGGTATGCAGAGGCGATGAGAAAGGAGAGCTGGCAGAAAGAGGTGGTGGGATGGGTTGGGTATGTTGGTGGGGCGGTGAGTGTTGGTGCGCTGGGTTTGGGTGTAGTGGTGGGTGCGCGTTTGGCGAGGACGTGGTTGGAGAGGCGATAGCCGTGCGATGCCCATGTTGTGAATGATGCATTCAGTCTTCTGTCTATCCAGACATCTTTTTAATTTATACCAACCTCTTGGCTCCCTGCTTGGCCTCCCTCGACCATTCTGCCTCCCTCTCCCTCTTCTCCTCGATTAAAGCGCTCTCCTTGACCTTTTGCTCATCGAGCACGACGATAGGGCCGAGGTCGACCTTGCCGACAGGATCGCTGATGAGTGCTTCACCAATAGAAGACTGAGCGACTTGCTTTTGCGCCTGCCCAGCTCCCACCTGCTGCTGCTCCTCAGTAGCCTTACCCTCCTTGACCAACTGCTGCTCCTCACCCTTCCTCAACCCCAAAGCCTTCTCCGCCTCTGCCACAAGCCTTCCCAAATCCTGCTTCTCCCCTGCTTCTTTGAGTAGAGAGGCGAGGGACGCAGCTTCCGTTTTGAGCAGCTCGGCTTCGTGCTTGATACGGTTCTCATCCCACCCCATAGCAGCCACACCACCTTCCTTGCCCATCCAGTCTTTTCCAACCTGCTCTGACCAGCTGGCGCCGCCCTGGGATTTGAGAGACTCGGTGATTTCATCCTTGATCAACCTGGGGGTGCCTACACCGCGGTACCCGAAGGAAGTGTATACTTGTACGAGGGAAGCACCGGCGTTGGCCATCTCGACGGCGTCGGAGCCGGTGGATACGCCGCCGCAGCCGATGAGGGGGATGGAAGGAGGCAGCAGGGGGCGGAGGGTTCTGAGAGATTGGAGAGCGTAGGGGAAGAGGGGTTTGCCGGACAGACCGCCGATCTGGTGTTGGTTGGCTACAACATGTCAGCGTGGTGCGAAGACAGGGTTGAAAGCACGTACCCGACTTGAGGTTGAGCTCTTGCCTTCGGATGGTAGTGTTGCTGACGATGACACCCTCCACTCCACTACTCCTCACAGCCCCAGCCACATCGGCCAACTCTTCCTCTCCGAGATCCGCCGTAACCTTGACCGCAATCTTGGGCAACCCATCCCCGCCAAGCCTGTTCCTCTCCTTCACCACATCTCCCAGCAGACTCTCGAGCTGCTTGCGTCCCTGGAGGGCACGAAGACCGGGGGTGTTGGGAGAAGAGACGTTGATGATGAGCACGTCGGCGTAGGGGCCGAAAGTACGGACGCCTCGGATGTAGTCTTCGTTAGAGTCGGCAGCAGAGGTCTTGTTCTTGCCCAAGTTGACGGCCAAGAGCTGTCCAGGTCTCAGCGACCTTGGCAGGCCAGCAGGGGGCAGGGGGTTGGCAGGCAGAGGAGCAGGGAACAATGACGGGTGTTCTCGCGAGAACCTGACTACTCTCTCCCTCAGGCGGTTCAAAGCTTGTCCATGGCCCAAGGAGTTGAAGCCGTATCGGTTGATGGCCGCGTCGTCTTCTTCAAGACGGAAGAATCTAGGGGTGGGGTTTCCGGGCTGGGGCTCGGGTGTGATGGAGCCGACTTCGACGTAGCCAAAGCCGAGGTCGAAGAGACCGTCGATGGCAGACGCGTCCTTGTCAAAGCCGGCCGCGATACCGAGGGGGTTGGTGAGCTTGTGGCCAAAGAGCTAGAGAGAGTTAGCTTTGTCCCAGAAATATATAGAGGGCATACCTCGGCTTGGAGCTCTGGGCCGTCTACGCCCATATCCCTAGGCCGCGCCCACTTGTCCCAGCTGAGGACGCGCACAGCGAGCTTGTGGCCTTCTTCAGGATCAGCGACCAGCCTGGTGATAGGCATGACCACATGTTCGTGCAAGAGCGACCGCGAGTCATAGTAGTAGGCCAGACCGAGCACGCCTCCACCGAGCAGCAGCGTGGTGGACAAGTAGCGACGGCCTGGTCGAGGCGCCGAGGTGGATGCGAAGCGCTTGGAGACGGTTATTAAGCTGCTGGGGGCGATTCGCCGTCTGAGGGGGGCGATGGGAAGCCTGTAGGACATGGCTGGAATGTATAGGGGAGACTGTCAAAGACACGGATGAAAGAGGAGATGCGCTCATGGGGACGGCGAGTGCCGCTGCGCCCATCTCTTCTTTCATTCTCAACTTTTCTCGTCGCCCTATACATTCCCCATGTCCGCCACAGAGACCACCCCCCGCACCCGCCGCATCACCGTCCTCATCTCAGGATCGGGCACCAACCTACAGGCGCTGCTCGACGCCGCTGGCACCCCCCGCTTGCCCAACGCAGCCATCACTACCGTCATCTCCTCCCGTTCGAACGCATTCGGCCTCACCCGCGCCCGCACCCACTCTCCCCCCATCCCCACCTCCGTATGCGCTCTGAAGACGTTCCAGAACCGCAACCCAGGGGCCACAAGGGAGCACTATGATGCCGAGGTAGCGAGGCAGGTCTTGGAGAGCAAGCCGGATATGGTCGTCCTTGCTGGGTGGATGCATATCCTCTCGGACAGGTTTTTGGATATCCTTGATGGCAAAAAGGAGCCCCCATCTGCCCCTGCCCTCCCCCCTCCCGCCCCGAGCAGCGCCCCCACCCAGGCCAAGCCCACTCCCTCCAACCCCACGACCGCCCCCGTATCTTCCCTTCCCGAACCCCCAGCGACCCAAACGTTCCCTATCCCCATCATCAATCTCCACCCCGCTCTTCCCGGTGCTTTCGACGGTGCCCACGCCATCGAGAGGACGCTGGAGGCGTTCAAGCAGGGAGTGGTCAAGTGTGCGGGTGTGATGGTGCACAGGGTGGTTGCGGAGGTAGACAGGGGAGAGCCGCTACTTGTGAGAGAGGTGGAGATCAAGCAGGAGGACAAGTTGGAGGATTTGGAAGAGAGAATACATGGAGTGAGTCAAATGATCTGTGCCGGGACGTTGACTGACCATGGTAGGTTGAGCACGGTATTATTGTTGATGGTGCTCGTCTTATTCTGGAACAACTCGACAAGGAGCAATGAAAAAATCATGTTTATAGAAATGTAGAGCTTGATGCCAAAATGATGATTCATAACATTCATCAAGATGCTACACATGATTTTGGGGCTCTTGCTCCCTTTTTAGATTCGTCGACATTTACTGTTTGGCCTCGCCCTTTCTACCACGCAAACTAGCAAGGAGGATATCATGGGGCTTCTCACCTCGTCTCTTGGACTTCAGATAGTCGGCGAGGAGGAACGCGATATCGAGGGATTGCTCATAGTTCAATCGAGGATCACAGTGTGTCCTGTAGTTGAACGACAAGTCCTTGTCCTCCAACTCCATAGATCCACCAATACACTCGGTCTATGACTCATCAGTCTATCCCTTTGGACATCTGGTGGGACTTACAACAGAGAACCCATCCTCATTCAACTCTCCAGTCAACTCCAAATGCACACCACCCAAGATCGTCCCCTTCTCCTTATGAATCTCCATGCTCCTCGTAATCTCGGTAATGACATCCACAAAGTGCCTAGTCTTGAGCGCCGGGTCAGTGACGGAAGATTTGGTGTTGCCGTGCATGGCATCGCACTGCCAGACGACGGGGTGGTCGGTCTTTTTGACAGCGTCAATGTGGCCGGGGAGGAATTGGTCGACCTTGGCGGCGCCGTAGCGGCCGATGAGGGTGACCTTTCCGGGTACGCGGTCAGGGTTGACGACTTTTCAGAGTTAGCGACGCTCGCAAGCATAGCGAGAGACGTACTGTCAAGAATTCGGACAATCTCTTCAGCCTCCATGGTAGGCCCAACCTTGATACCGCTACACACTATCAGCATTGTACTCTACCACTTTCGCATGACTCACATGGGGTTGGCAATTCCTCGGAAGTATTCCACATGAGCACCATCAAGCTGCCTCGTCCTGTCACCAATCCAGATAAAGTGCGCCGAAGTGTTGTACCACTTCTTGCCGCCATCCACCTCTACCTCTCTCAAGTCACTAGCAGACATGGACATGCCGTGGAAAGACTCGCTCAGCTTGGGCGACCGAGCGCGGCGGACAGGAGAGTGGGGGTAAGACGAGGTGCTGCTATCGCGGATACGGGAGGCAGAGCGGGAGAGGATGGGGGTGTCGGGCTGCGAGCTGGGTGCAGCTTGGGGAGCGCCCCAAGACCGGGTGAGAGCTTCTTCGTACTCTAGCAACAACGCCTCGTGACTAGTGTACACTTCAACAGTCTCTGTACCACCTCGCTCGCCTCCACCTCCACTGATGCTGCCGCCTGAGGCGACCTTCATAAACTCCAACGAATCTTGAAGACTTTCGATCACGTTGCCGAACGCAGACTGGAGCTCGGGGGAGCGGACGTGCGAGAAGGACCAGTCGACGGGATTGTCGAGGTTGGCGAATCCAGAGCTCAAGAGCGTCCGGATGTAGTTGAGCGTGGCGGTAGAGTGAAAGTAGGCTCCGAGCAGCCTGTCGGGGTCGGCAGCTCGGTCATCCGGCTCATAACCATTCACATTGTCGCCCCTGAAACTCAACACCTCCTTCTTCTCAGTCTCGCCTTCTTTTCCGCCCTTGACAGGCAGCTCGACGACTTCGGTAGGCTTTGACCGGGGTTTGGCGTACTGGCCCGCAATACGGGCGATACGGACGACGGGGAGGCGTGAGCCGTGGAGGATGATGAGGGACATCAAAAGAATCAAGGAGAGCTTGTGCTCGATCGGGTCCTGCACGGATCATTGTTAGCGTTTCAAAGGCGAGGCATGGACAAGGACGGACCTGGGAGCAGTCGTCAAAGAGCTCGGCGCAGTCACCTCCTTGAAGCAAAAAGGCTTTACCGGCAGAGACATCGGCAAGCTGGGCCCTCAACCTATCAATCTGAGACATATACCGTCAGCAATACAATTCAATATGACCGATAAGGACACACCTCGACAGGGGACACAAGAGGAGGCAGCTTGCGAAGCTTGCCCAAGACCTTTTCAAAGTGAGCTTTGTCTTCGTACGCCACATCCTGTACCATAACGTCAGCTGACAGTCGTCTTATGGCTGTAGAGAAGCATACCTGAGTGATGGGCTTTTCTCTCCAGGAGGACGGGTTCCAAGCAGCAGGGGCCATGGTGTTGCGCTTTCCTAATGTTGCGGCAGGTATCGATGTGATTTTATTTTTGGTTTGTCTCTCGGGGGAGTTTTGGATGTACCCTGTTGCGATCCAAATGCTCGAATAAGTATACAAGAAAGAGAAGAATGCGGCTGCCAGCTCGATGAGTCACTTTCGCCCGACATCATCCACCTCCACCGCCACACTCGACCGACGCAACGCCGTTACGCACATCCACGTGTACTCCACGCGATAGCAGTCGGCGCTCACCGCCCAATGCCATCGGCATCGTTCAGGTTTATTATGAGAATTAGAGTTAGTCTGGGCCTCGTACTCTTGCCCGATCCAGCAATCTGCCCATGCTGTCCCAGTCAATGCCCTTTTTCCAGCCCACTCTTCTGTCTGAACCCAGCTTTGTAAATTGATACCGGGCTATTTTTACTTTCCGGTCTATCCAGAGAGATCACATCTGACATCTTTCTTTGATTCTGCAACCCAGGATCCTGTTCCCATCTTCCATGCTGCAGCACCCGTCAAGCCTGTCACCAAACGCGGGTAGGAGGATCACATGGAGCCCGAAGCAAGATCGAAGTGGGTAGACAAACCCGATAACAACAAGTGACCCCGTCTAATTAGCCTTTCTATATGTCTAATTTTCTGTCACTAAATCCAAGCTAATTTCCTGTTTAGGCGCCGATTTCAAATTAAAATGTAACTAAACCCGACTAGACCAACTTTGTAATCGCACCACGAAGGAGTTTCCTTACAAAAATCACAGAGGATGATGATGCATTTTTTGGCCTTGCTTGGATGCATGTGGTACATACAGGACAAACAGTGATCTCTCTCGTCTGCAACTGCACAATACGTACTCCCCTCGCAAAGATCCACGACGGGACTTGCTATCGCAACCCTCGACCTGAATCAGAAGACACGCGAAGACCAGGGCCCCAGGAAGCTCCCTGAAACGCCAATTAGCTTTTCACAGACTTCGCTGTTCACATTCACCACTCTTCTGTTTACTCCATCTCCATCTTCAAACAACACTCCAATCTTGACTTTTTACTGTCTGTCTCTACTCCCCCCCCCTCGCCTCCACGCACCCACCACTTGTTTGATCCTCGATCAGCTGCGTGCACGGCCTATCTGCCATCACACACACACGCACACACATCCCGAATCCTAGTCGGCCTTCACCCACCCGCAAAGTTCCATCTCGCTTTTGATCACATCAGCGACATCGCCACAAAAACTTTCCCCTACTACCTCTTCATCCTCCCACATTGCACAATGTCTCTCTCCCTCACCGCCCCCCGCATTCTGCTCCTCCTACTCCTTCTCGCCATCGCCCTCCCCTCTCTCGCTGCCCCCGCCGATGAACCTCCCTCCAAGCTTCAGCCCCGATCTCCCCAGCCTTCCCGTCGTATGGGCGCTACCAAGCGTTCCAAGAAGGTTGAGCCCCTGAAGAAGAAGGACTACTCTTCCTTCCTCTGCCCCGGTGGCTCAGTGGCGTGCCCCATCACCGACGAAGGACATCAGGCCACTCCCGAAAGTGCTGCGGCGCTCGACGGAAGCTTGAACTCGCTGGCGGACTGGTTCAAGATTGGCTTCGAGTGTGTTGAGCTCGAGACCGAGTTGAATTCTTGCGGTGGATGCTTGGCTCTTGGCTCTGGGTACGTCTCTTTCGCGTTGCGCGCGCACCACCAACTGACGTCTTTCACAGTCAAGATTGCTCCCTCATCTCCAACGCCCGTGCCACCGGCTGCGAGTCTGGCAGCTGTCAGGTATACTCTTGCTTTGACGGCTACGTTGTCTCTCCCGACAGGAAGACCTGCGTCAAGAAGGGCACAGCTACCCCTGCCACCCCTGTGACTGCTATCAACATCGAAGACGAGGCCCAGCTCCCTCTGCGAAGACGGTAGAAGATTTTATCTCCCCTCTCGCGCCTCGGTCTCGTCTTCTTGTCCTCTTGTCTTCTTGTCTTCTTGTCATACTGTCAACAAACCTTGTAGCATACACCTCTACTTTATGGACACTTATATAGTCACCTATTGTACAATAGCCTTATAATTTCGATGGACACTCCAGTATATAGAGTACTTGGTACAACCACTGGATACCTTTCTATACCCTGGTGTTCTACATCGTTTTATCATATTCGTTCTTATCGGCTTTCTGCCTATTTACACGCCTTGTCTTTGTCTTTTGTCTTCACTAGATGGGTTCACACCGCAGTTCCAGCCTTTCACACGGCTCTCGGCTTGGAGCAATGCATACACATCACGGGCTTTCAAATTTTCTTCTACGACGCGCAGGGGTTATGGCAGGACACGTCCAGCAGAGATATCGTAAGAACGCGCTCGGCAGCCTGAGAGTATGAGATGTTTTCATCGAGCGCGCGCGATTGCTATCCGGTGACCCGTGAAACACTGATAGGGACGGTATCGCTCTGCTTTTGCCGTCAGCGGGCTACGCGGGCTGATATCTATGGACAAGTTGCAGACTGACGAGGGAGCCGGGTTGGGGGACACCAAGCCGGAAAACGGGACTGACGGGGAGGTTAGTGCGTGGCTAGAACCAAGAACCAAGAAGTGATTCAAGTTCGCCGTGCGTGCCATGTGCGCCGTATTTGTCGGTTCACGGTTGCGAGTCGAAGTCTCTGATCTGGGCCCACAATCAATAGGTTGTAACCGTGAAATCGGTGAACGGTTCAGTCACCCCAGTCACCACGCCCGAATTTTGACGAGGACGAGCTGGAGCATCATCACCCTTCGCCTTCGGTAGCTGAGATATCAATCATCATCGACCGATGAACATGCCAGATTTGTACTGATTCGCTGCAATTGACAGGTGAAGCGCTCGGCGACCAGATATACCTATGCCAGAAACTTTGCCCGCCCAGGATCTTTGCCATCTGCTAAGTACTATGAATCATTGTGTATCGCATGTGTCCGTGCTCATGAGTCAGCCACATTTGGGCGCATACGTGCGACGCTTGGGAAAGTGGGTGCATGTGGGTTGTGAAAGACACCGATGAACGGGCGAGTCTATTGAGCGGGAGTCCCCTGTTCCTCCATCAGCTTGGCGGACTCCTTCATCGAAAACAGCTCACGTTGAAGCCGGGCAATGGAGGCAGTCCCCACTTGATAGGGTCCCACTCTTCAAGATGCAAGAGCACCTCGGAGGCGCCGAACTTTTCCTCGGGGTTGAGAGCGAGCAGCTCGGGATCCGGCACCCAGATGACTATCCAATTGATCAGCGCTTCTGGACTTGTAACCTTTGAAAGACTGACCGTTCATCCCAGCAGCAACACCCGCCAATACACCCGGTGTCCCGTCCTCGAAGACAATACCCTTCCTCCTCTCCTCCTTCTGCTTCTCACTTACTTCTCCCTCGGCAGGTCCAACGTCACGTCCAAGGGATTCAGCGGCAGCGAGGAAGATATCGGGGTTGGGTTTACCACGCTTGACATGCGCCGAGTCGGCCGTGAGGATACTGGAGGGAGGGAAGAGGGAGAAGATGTGGGGCAGGTGCGTCTGAGGGAGGTTAGACAGGTCGGCGGAGAGCAATCATCCAGCTTACAGTCTTGTGGATGAAGTTTTGCATTGTAGATCCTGTAGCGAGAGCTATGGGGACACCCGCAGCATGCTAATCAATGTCAATATCCCTTGCACGACCAGACATGCACACGGTAACTCACCAATCCTTGCACCAGCTCTGTGGCACCCCTCATCGGCTCGACTTTCTTGAACAGCTCTTCTCGCCTTTGAAGACCCTCATCGATGAATTGGTCCACAGAGAGGTGCTCTTCAATGCCGGGAAAGTGTGAGAGGATGTACTCTGCGGCAACGCGTTGAGGTTTACCCATGGCGCCGGATTTGATGGCCCAAGTCATTTCGTAGCCGTAGCGCCCGAGGATAGCGTCTGGAGGTGGAAATTGTCAGAGAAGGCTCTTTCAGGTGTTCACACAATATTTGACACACTAGTCACCACAGTATAAACTCGCTAGAGAGGGTCAGTCATATATCGTGCAACAACGGAGAAAGACCTACTTCAGAGTCGCTATTGAGCAGCAAGATGATGAGCTTCTACAGATGGACTGCATATGCCTGATTATACGACTTACACTATTGAATGCTATCGTCAGTATGATATTGTAACTGTTCTTTTGGGCACTTACTGAGAAGACCATCCATGTCGAAGATGGCATACCCAACCTTTGGCCTAACAATCGTTTCCGTAGTCATATATTGTACTCTTATAATCGTATGTCACTGGACATGTGTGGTGAGCTATGCTCCTTAGCAATTCACTTCGTCGCTCACTCACCTTTTACACACTAATGACAATAGAGAACATGCCGATGCCTCGCTCATGGGCCGATAATGTCAACAGAAGGTGGAGGCGGCTTGGTCCGCCTTCGGCTTGAAGGATGACCACCACTCTTGCTATAATTTTCCTCGAACCTCTACATCTCGACCGCCTGTCACAAGTCACTATGGCCTCCTTATCAAAAGCCTCTGTACCATATACCCCATCTGGTGTCCATTTCCACTCCTCCCTTCCCTCCCATCTCGCCACAGAGCTCGCATTCCTTCACACTTTCATCCGCCGAGCAGCAGCTCAACATCGGACCCAGCTCTTTTTGCAGCGGATGGAAGGGACACTGAGGATGGGAAAGATTCTACTAGTGTATTTGAAGGGGTGCGGCGAGAAGAGGGAAGGTCAAATCGAAGACAAGTGGAAACATCGCGGAATGTGTCTTGTGCGCAAGGTGTGTCTGTGGCAGCTCTCGAGTTGGCTCATGCTGACTCGTCCTCAGATGATCAAATCGCTTTACGATGCCGAATTTATTGTCTCCCAGATCGTCGAACTTCATCACTTTCTACCCCTACAGACGGCCGCCTTGTCAATCTACGCTCGTATCTTCACAGTGACTCTCAACCTGGCCGGCGCGCTGGGGATGGATCTCGAGGGCCTTATCTCCAGCGCGGGATCTGGGAAGCGTACAAAGTCAAAGAAGACCAGACCAGACCTTCCAGAAGATACGCCAAACGGTGCTGCGGGAGGCAAATCGAATGCTGGCAAAGTTGAAGGGCGGTCACTGGACTTTGAGATCGGCGAGAAGATCGAACGCTCCTCCGTTCCTCTTGCCGCCGTCAAAGACTTGAGAAAAGCCGCCAACTCTCAATTAGATCAACTTTCATCTGTACGCTCTCCAGCGCCGGCTCCTGTAATCAATTCGTCGTCAACGCCGACAAGAGCACAATCCTCTCAATCGCCTTCGCCCATCCCAAGCCCCGAGTCCCCAGAATCTTGTCCTGAACCAGAGATGGCATTGACTCCTATGGAGGTCGATATAAACGACCTTCCTGCCGGATCTCTACTGCAGCCAAAGAAGAAGAAGAAGAGGGTGAATGACGAGGCGGCGGCGCCAGGTGTCGTTGCCCCATCGAAGAAGCAACGCTCTAAGGCTTCAGAGGATCATGTCACCGGTACGCCTCCGTTGTCCGTGCCTACAGTCACCAATGTCTCTTCGGAGAGTACCGTCGAAGCGCCCAAGAAGAAGAAGAAGCGTGTTGACGAGGAAGGCGCAAGCAGTGCCAAGACAAAGGTCAAGAAGAAGAAGAAGAAGGATGCGATGGATGACATCTTTGGCTTCTGAACCTGCATGGTAAGTTATAAATCCTCCCCATGTAGATTATGCTGACATATCTGCAGTTTGTCATGCGAGGTAGGCGAGCAAAGACGCAACCACTCTCACACTCACCTTGTTGTAATGGCATCGTTATGCCGCCATCACGCTCATGTTGATGACCATGTATCTTTATGAAACACAACATTACAAACCTTAGATGACTCATAAACCCGATTATGGTCCCATCATCCATATCTATGCATTCAACGCCGGTCTTGATCCAGTCACAGAAGTGCAGAACTCATTCAACCTTCCGTGCTTCAGCTTTCCCACGGCGGTGCACCGATTTTGATCCCGCTCCAAATACGCTGTCCAAAAAAATTCATCCTCTCTTTCCTTCTTTCTTTCACCAACCCAAGCACAAGAATCGCTTTTTCGCAGCTCACGCACTGGATGGCGTCCAACGCCCATCTCTCCCCGCGCTGTGGGTCGAAAGTCCCCGGAGCCTCCCCCGCCTCACTTCCTCCTCTCTTTCTCTCCACGCTGTTCCCCCAACACCCGTTTCTTTAAGCCTTCTGATCCTTTCTCTTCCTTCACCTTTCCCTTTCCTTCCACCCTCTTCCTTTATGCCGAAGCTTCTACGCTGGGAAAGCACTGTATCTAAGACTACAGATAGGCGGGTCGCGAGGCTGGAAGATGGGATTGGGCTCGGGTATATGGGGTGTTGTGAGAGTTTGGGGATAGGGTTCCTGAGTCTCGAGTGCGAGGTTCGGCCGACTTTGGCATACCAAACAGGCATCTTCTCTTCCTTCTACCGCTACCGGTTCATCCGAGTGTTTCGAGGGTCGAGTGCCTGGCCGAGGTCTGAGCTTGAGGGTCTCTTCTTTCAGTCTTCCGATTTCAGGCGAAGAGACGAGCCTGGTTGGGTCACGGGACTGTGGAAGGGAGAGTGAGAATAGCTGGGCGGATGAAACGAACGCGCTCATAGATATAGTTATGCGATTGCCCTGTCCTCACTTCTTCTCGCCAAGAGAGTCGTGGATGGGTAACTCGATGGGGCTTACTCTGTGTCTTGGGTTGTCGAATTTTCTTCTCTTTCCCTTTTCTTTACTATCATTTACCGCCCACACTTCTGGTATTTGACTGTTCCTCTCTTTCGCTGTTACGGCGGAAGGGAGGGTTTTGATGGGCCCGGTGATGTTTTTGAATTTCTTCATCGCTAGCTCGAGAAGTCTGACCGCCTGACATCGGTTATACAAGGACGACTCGTGGCTTGGAGCGAAAACATAATTCTTCTGAGGGTTTCCATCTTCTATACTTTCTTGTCTTTGCCATATGTATACTCGATTGTCAGAGCTCAGTCGGAAAAAGTCAGTCATGCCACAAACATTAAGAGACAATTGAACACACGGACGACCAACACGACGACATTGAATACATGATGGACAAGATGGACAAGACTTGACTACGTTCGAGAGTAGGCGCAACACAAGACTGCAAGGGAAACGAACAAGTGCGATGACCTCTAAAAGAAGCCATTGATGACTTTGCCGGGGACATGGCCGGGAGGACCGACAGAGACGTTGAGATCACGGATTGTTCCCTGGTAGGTATCAGCTCAATACCAAACCCGTTTGACTGATAAGTCACATCTTCCAGATGATATACCCATCCGTGAATGACAACCCCATCCGGGCCTCGCTTCTTCCAGTCCTGCACCCAACAATCAGAACGCCACACCCATGGAGACAGGCAGCAAACCCACATTCTTGATCACATCACTCGCCAGCAGATTCTTCACCTGCTGCACCACATTCTCCTCCACCAACAGATCCAGGGAAGGCGGTCCTTCCGGGGTGGCGAGTGTCCGAGCGAGGGTCGCGAGGGGGCGGACGTAGCGTTGAAGGGCGGTGGTGGGGGGCGTGGCGGGCAGGCGGGCGACGTTGAGGGCAGTGAGGCACCCCACGCAGTTGGTATGGCCCTGTATGTACCAGGTCAGCACAGGCGTAGTCAAGTGTACATGGGACAGATCTCACAGTAACGACGATATGCTTGACTCTGAAGTTGAGAAGCGCAATCATCAAGACAGAGTTGAGCGAGTCGTCTTGGGGAGAGTACAGGCTGTAACAGGTCAGTGAATCATTTGTGGGCTGATTGGTCTACTCACTTTGCGATGTTTCGGTGTACGAAGATGTCTCCTGGGTCACAGCCCATGATGGTAGTCTGTCTCGTTATCAGCATCTACCTCACCTGGGTTCATAAAGACACACCTCTGGCACACGGGCATCGGAACCTTGGCATTCTCGTCAGCGTTGCCCGTACTAACCGAAGATTCGAGTGCGTACATCCTATCCACATGATCTCAGGTCGCTGGCCTGGGAAGTGGTGGGGGAAAAACTGGGGCTTGGCGTAAGCTGACGGAGCTTGAATGGCCTCAAAGACTTGTTGACTTACTTCGGGGTCTTTGTTCCATACTCTCTTTGACCACCTGAGATTCCGGTTTAAAAGTTCTTTCTATTTGGGTATGCCGATGTGTCAGCGATGCAGTGGAAATTGAGGCTGGGGGCATTGTCACTCACCATCTCAGGGTACGCGAGACTGGTGTTTGGGCGGCTCATGTTGATGGGAAGTTTATATGTATGGGTCTCTTGAAGGCTATAGGATTTGATAATGGACTGACAACTGGAAGACGAAGGAAAAGAGATTAGGGTGGACTCTCGCTCATTATATCTCCCTCGGGCGTATCGCAAGCTCGTCAACGTACCAAAGCACGGACGTCTATGGCTTCCATCAGCCAAAGCCAGCCTCCCTTAAATTATTAGGTCCACACAGCAGCCAACGGTCCTTCAGCTCACGACAGCAACCGTACAGAAGAATCCAGTGACCATCATCTGAAACAATCGGATCCCTATCACCCATCATTTCATAATCAAGACCCTTCAGGACGTTCCTGGGTACTTCACGTTGTCCAGATCAGATGGGATTGCTGCTAGCAGCAAAATGTTCGGGATTGTGGGGGAGGTTGAGGTGTGGATGAGTGTGATGCGTCCGCCATGGGCAGTACAGTACCGAGGGCCGAGAGAGATGGTGGTCGGAAGAACAACGATCGCAAGCCCGGGAATGGCGGCGGAAGCAACTAACGTGATCATAAGGTGATATGAAGCGCTCGGACATAGGCCAGTCACCGTTGACACCTGCCTGCTGAGCCAAGGTTGTTCGGCCCTTGTCGCGATGGCTACCGTAATGAAAAGCCGGGGTATGGATTGGTATGACGCGTAAAAGGTTTGAAAGGCAGCTGATTTCCAGATTCCCGATAACCTTATTGTGCATGAGAGGCCCGAGAGCGGTGGCTTACATACATACTGTACATGGCGTGCCGCGTAAGCCGGGGACAGGATGTCTAGATACATACAACAGTAATCTCCCAGTTTGGCATTGTTGCGCGAGGGTAAAGGGATAGGGGCCGTGGGTCAGTGTTGCGCCACCAGGGTACCGAATGCGAGCAGTCGCCGGTCGCCGGTGGATTGATATATGCCCATCACCTCCCCTGCAGTGTTGATAAGCATCCCAGTATACCCACCATCCTCGCAACCTCAGCAGGCGATGAGACTTGCAAGAGGAAAGAAAGAGAGGAAAGCCGGTCCTCGGACCACCGATGAAGCGGACACGTCCGCCCCATCTGAAAACTTGAGCCGACCACTATCTGTCCTCTCTCCCATACATCCACCCACCCGACCATCCTAACGCCATGTCTGAGCCCCCGTCTAACCCCAGTGGTGATTCAAGTACCTCAACTGCCGCCGCGCCTGTCCCAAAACCCTGCAAAATCTGCTTGGCTCCAGCAAAGTACACCTGCCCCCGGTGCTCGTCCACCACCTGCTCCCTGGCCTGCGTCAAGCTACACAAACAGAACGACACCTGCTCTGGCGTTAGAGATCCCGCCAAATATGTGCCTCTGAACCAATTCACCCAAGGGACATGGTCGGACGATTACAAGTGGCTGGAAGATGGGAGAAGGCAGGTTGCTGGGTGGGGTCAAGGGGTCAAGGTGGAAGAAGTGGCGGGGGGCGGGAATGCAGGAAGAGGTCGTGGACGCGGTAGGGGCGGTCCCGCAGGAAGGGGACAGAAGCGAAGTCGGACAGATGGAATGAGGAGGGAGCTTTTGAAGTTGGGATGTAGAGCAGAGTTTATGCCAGAAGGAATGGGCAGGAAGAAGATGAACCAGTCGAGCTGGAATCAAAAGTGAGTGGTGGTCTATACATGGCTGTTTGATACTAATGCTATGATGCAGATCTGGACAGCTACATTTGACAATACACTTGATCATACCCCATACGCTACTAGCAGAACCCACAACATCACCCTCCTCGTCCTCCAAGACCATCGCTCATCCGCGGGTCCTGTTTGCATCCAACGATGACTCTGCAACCCTGCCGAATCTCTCTTCATTCCTTCCCCCTCTCAACACACCCGTAGCAGAGCTTCAGCTACTATTACCCTTTTACTCGACCCCCTCCCACCCTGCACCATCGCACGAGCTGCATCAGCAGCTCTTCTACCCGCCACTCGACGCCGACAAGCCTCTTAAAGAGGTCTTGCAAGGCGCGGCGTGGGTAGAGTTTCCCGAAATACGGGTAATGCTCAAAGATGAGTGGGAGAAGAAGATTCAGAAGGGAGAGGTGGTCATTATCGGTCGGGAGGAGACGCAATATGACGGTATCGCTGGTGTCGCCGAGAGGACGAGGGACTCTGGCTGGGGAGCCAAGAGAAGTGGGGCGCCGCTGACGGCTGGAGGGGCCGAGGCAGCAGTACCTGCAAAGAAGGCCAAGGTCGACGCGGGGACGAGCCTGCTTGCGCTTGGGGATTATGCATCGGACGAAGACAGCGATGAAGAGGTGGGAGAGGAAGGGCAGATCGAGGAGGGTGAGGACGAGGGTGAAGACCCTTCGCTTGAAGTGATGGAGGCGGTTGGGCGAGCGCTCATAGCAGACCTTGGAGAAGCATAAGCATTACTATTGTACATATCAATCATCATGAACATACCTTGCATATCATTGACTCTTTTGCTCCAGCCTCTCCGCTTTAAGCTCTGCCTTCTTGTTGGTCCACCATTCTGACCTTGCCTTTTTCGCCGATTCTATCCTCTCGTACATTGTCTCGTCATACACCATATCCGCCCTCTTGTTCTCCTTGACGAACCTCGCATCCATCGCTTCCACTTCTTCCCTCAGCAGCTGATCCCACCCACCAGGCGACAATGTATTTTCCGTCAAATGCTCCCCTTCCCTTCCCAACACGTTCTTCCAAAAGGCCACCTCCAGCTTCATATCCGGTCTCAAAGACGCATACTCTTTCCGTCGATCCATACGGCGTTCTCGACGACGAAGCCGGGCGTGGATCATGGCCCCTAAATGCGGAGGCTGAGGTTTCAGGCGGGGAAGGGGAGGATTGAAGAGTGTAGGACGCAGGAAGCCGACGATACGAGGGCGAGGGCGTCGCGGTTTGGCGGCTTCTAGAGCCGCCTTTGTAGCTATCCGATCATCGTGCAGACGATGATTGTTGGCAAGGCGAGCTTCGAGCTCGTCGAGCTCTGAGATATCGTTGTCCTGGAAGGCAGAGAGGATGTCGTACTGTCCTTGAAGAAAGGTTCGTACTTGGGGCACAGATGTCCAAGAACGCCGGCTTTTCCATAGTCTCTTTACTTCTCTGCCAACACTGGGGTAGGCTGTATCATCACCGAGATAGCCTCTGGCAAAGCGAAGCAGTGGCCGGTACAGACTCCATTTCGTCGGGATAGTATGTTGGGGGTCTCGAAAGAAGGGGACTGCAGGAGGGGGCTTCGTGCGGGGGGGCTTGATGTGGGAGAGGTCGATGTGACGAGGAAGAAGGGGTCGCAAAGATGGGGCTGCGTATCTGGCAGAGCGACTCATTGGTAGAGTTGTAAAGGCAAGAGAGATTCACAACTTTTGCGGCGTTCTACGTACAGCTAGTGCTCGTCTCACGCCTCTCGTCTTCTGCTCAGCCTCAGGTCTGCAGAGCGCTCACGGGCTGAGATAGAGACCCAATTAACCTGCTCTCAAGATCAACGTATGCATAGGCATGGCGATGGCTCACAAAAGTCACAATCTCTCCTATGTTCGCTGTCGGCGGCCGCCATTGTCTCGTCGGTCTTTTCTCTTTTGCCATCCAATTGCCATCATCGCTTGGCTTGGTATCTTTCTCTCTTGTTCATCTTCAACCAGACTTTCTGCATCCGTCTTTTCATCATCCGCTTCTTATACCAGAGGCTCTCCAGTATCGCAGCATGGGTCCCCTTCCAGAGTCAGCAGGGCAGCCCCCGACCGTACGGCATTGGCTTGCCACTTATTCCCCGCCCAGTCCTCCCGATCGCTCCGCCGCTCAAACGCTCATAACCCCACATACGGGAAGTACGGCCACACACGGTCAACCTCTTCCTCGCTCTCAACCATAACAGCAGGCGGAAGAGCACAAGACGATTGCAAGACTCTTTGCTACCTTTCCACGGAGAGAACCGATTGTCAAGAGAGACGACACCATCGTGCCCGATATACTGGGTATACCGGACCGTGACCTCGATGCTGAAATCCGCTTCTCGGCAGATGATTAGGAAGAGATTCGCTTCTACGATGCCCGAATATGCCCCAAGTCACTCCGAAGTGTCCAGGCTTCCGACATTCAACGCCATGTCGGGCTTATTCTGTACCTTCAACTCACCGTGATACACCACGTGAATGATTCAATAGCCGGAAACGACTCTCTATGGTTGGGCGCCGCTCCTAGCAGCCGTTGAAGCCCAATGGATGGGGGAATCCATGGGTCGGCTGATTGGAACTGCGATGGCGCTTTCAGCAGAGTCACAGCAGAAAGGGACAATGTCAAGCAGTGTCATGTGGACGCAACATTTAGATCATCTCTCGCCGAAGACCAGGACGCCACTGTCTTTCCTATTCGGGATGGGAAGTTGCAAGACCCCCCGAATGCCCCCGTGTTTGAGACCATGAAATCGCTTCTCAGTCAAGTGAGTCTGTCTTGCGGCCACCTTGACCCTATCCTTACGTTGCTGCTAGCGCTAGTCCTCGAGGCTTACATCGGCAAGCACATGTGGGCATATTCATGATGTTCAACGTCTGCTTCATTGTCAAACTCACAGGGATAAACGAGATCCGCGTCAGTCACATCATCCAACGAGACACCAGCCAGAACGCCAACACTTACACCAATCGCACAGCTGGAGCCTCCTTGGCTATTTTGATGGCTGCTATGGCTCGACTGGGGCCTGTAGATGACAATCATTCGATGAAGGCCACATTTGCGCGGGTAAACGTGGGGGCTAATGAACAAGACCAGGCTGCTTCATCTGCCGCCTATCGCCGACCTCCTCCTGCACTGCTAGACGGTCAAGTTGGAAGTTCTGACCCTGTTTTAAGTACAGAGAGTGTGGTAGGCCTGGGTGATCGCGACACGGTGCGTACCACATCGTCTTGGCCTTGAGTAGGCATGCTGATCGTATATAGATTCGTATATTCGACGAAGATTTAGGGCTTGTTCCACCCACCAGTCATTTCAAGGCACTTTCAGCTTTACGCCCCGCCAACGACATTCCCCTTACTCTGCCCCCAGACTTCCGTCTGAAACAAGTCCTCACAAAACCCTACGCGCATCACACCCCACCCCTGACCAGCACCGCCAGCTCTGTCAGCCACATCCAAACGCTTCAATTCGGCACATTCATCGGAACAGGAGCTCTATGGGACGTCTACGAGCTCCCTGACGCTCCCGGCCATGTCGCCAAGTTCTGCAGTCCCTATGGCACCTTGTTCCATCGCGGATACGAGCATCTCGACGTCGGGGATATCGTCAAAGAGCGCGAAACGGACACTCTGCACTCCCAGATTCTTGCCCCGTCCGGACATGCCCCAGTGACCCTTGGCCTCTGGAGAGGGTTTTGGGTGGATCCGGCGCATGTCACATACGATAAAGGTGGAGAGGCGAAGGGTTGGTTGATGTATGTGTCGATCCAGGAGGATATGAGGCAAGATGGAGAGTGGGAGTCTGTGGATGACTAGAGCGAGGTTGCCTCCGAGACCCGGTGAGTCATGAGGTTCAGAACATACTCGTCTTCTGACGCCTAGGTGTTCTTTAGCGTTGCGATTGTCGAGTGGATGAAGACTGTCCATGAGATGGGGTACACCAACGGCGATCTCGAGCCCAGACATCTATCTGTGGCAAAAGACGGCGGCGGGTGGAAGATAGATCATCGACTGGGGAAAAGGTCATGATCGCTCTGTTGATAGAGGGGAAGTATGGAGAGAGGAGGTCGGGAATGAGGCTTGTGAGCTTAGGCTTATTGCATGAGAGGTTCTTACGAACATTTACGCATCACGTATCACTATACAATCGCTGTTGTATATAGCATGGTCACAAGCAAGCCCGTCATGTATCCATCCGAAGAATGATTGACCAGGTTGGTGTTGCCCATGCGGGCGCGACGATGTTGACAGTGCTTGTTGAGCGCAGAAAATCAGTCGCGATGCATACGCCCGTCCAGCCCAGGAATCGATGAGCCCTACAAGCACGATGGAGCTGGACAAAAGTATTTGAAGCACGTTTGCATTGAGACTAGAAGATATAAAGAAGGTATGTCAATCCGTTGGTTTCTCCCAACTCCTCAAAGGCAAAGCGCCTAGGCAAGGATATGAAATAACGGTTGCTCCCACCCTGACCCATACTGCCGACTCGACCCATTGCCCCAGCCCGAAAGCCTAGACGCAAGGGAATCAGCAAAGCCAAAGATGACAGTCTATCTCGGGGAAGCCGTGTCCCGTCGACAGGAAATATACGTCAATCGAATCTCCTCTGGTGATGTACCGAGAGAAAGGGACGCTTCCAATCTGTCGAAAATGCTCGAGAGCATCCTATAAGGATGATCGAACCGGGCCCTTGATGAAGAAGAAGAAAGAGTGTTTTTGGCTTGAAATTTATAGGAGAGTGGAGGCACGGGATTACGGCGATACGGATCGTGTGGCGCGTGCGCGCGATTGTTTTGACCTTTCTTCCATGAGTTGCATCTTGCATTGCACCATTATTGATTGTACATACATGGCCCAAACTTCCAGATGAGCGAAAACCACTCTCATTTTTCATACTAGAATGTCCATTCACTCCCGTACCACGTCTTAGACCTCAAAACCTCTCAGCCCGTCCACGATCCTCCAGATACCCCACGCTCCAGGGTCCGGCACCTCCCTCTTCTTCAAATCTTCCTGGTTGACATACGCTCCCCTACCAGCCTTGGCAACGAGCTCCTTGGTCTTGTCGGCTGCTGCAAGAGCATCCTCGGCGGAGGACGAGAGACCCTTGGAGGGAAGGGACGCGATGAAGGCTTCCAGAGGGTCAACGAGGGTTCGAGATGGGGGGCGAGCTCGGGTGTCTGCAGATACATTAGCGACTGTGGTGTTTGTATGTGATAGACTTGCATTTATAGAGAGTGGTGAGAGCATCGGCGGCGGCCTTGCTCCAGATTTCGGGTGATGTAATCTTGGCTCCAGCAGCGGCCTGGTCTCTCAGACCCTTACCCAACCCAGCAAAGAAGATACTTCGCGCCGATCAGCCCCATCAATAGTCAAACCAGGATGCACTTACGAGTACAAAGCCCCAGAAGTCCCACCCATGTCCTCCTCTACGACCTCTGCAATAACTCTCACGTCATCAATGACATTCTTCCCGCTCAGCCTGCCCTGCTCAATAGCCTTGAGCACGCCCTTGGCACCGGCTTCGAGGGTGAGTCCAGCATCTCCATCACCGGCGATCTGGTCTTGCTCGGTGAGCTCAGGCTCTGCGGCGATGAGGGCTTTGCAGGCGCGGGTGATGGCCGAGAGGAGAGATTGAGCGTCGGAAGCTGAAGACGGGTTAGCTCATTCAACGCTGCAAATAAGAAAAACTTGCCGGGCAGCTTGGACTCGTCTCCGGGAGGAGCTACCTGAGCTTCTTCCGCCACCTTCTCACCGATCACCCCAGGTTCCTGAGCGGCATAGAATGACCACCCAGGGGCACTGGCAGGAGCGTCGAGGTACTCGAGGATCTGTTCTGAAGAGTATGTCGACTTTTCAGAGGCAGATGGGAGGAGGAGGAGGGTCAAGGAGAATCCTGGCATGTTGAGGGATGTCATGTAGGTTCCAGCGAGTACTCGGCGGAGCTTGATATTGTTTGCTTGGAGCCACTTGGCCGCTATGACATGGTCAGGTCATGTCACTCTGAGCGATAGTAGCCTCACCTTCGTTGGTGATACCGCCCAGCTCAAGCTCGCTTATAGCTCCCAAGTTGTTCACCAGAAGCACAACCTCATCAGTGCCATCGTTCTTGAATGGGACAAACGACCTGTCCTTGTCTTTGGTGTCGGTGATCTGCGTGAGCATGTGGGAGACGAGGTTGGCGACTGTCGAAAGGTCGAGCTTTGACGTGCCGGGCTCATTGTGAATACCCATGCCGAGCTCAATCTCTTTCGCAGACAAGTGAGATTCACCGGCTCGGGTACCAGGGACCTTGTGCGTACGTCAGTAGAGTCCCAAGGGTACAGAGTTACTTACATGACAGTGTTCGAGGCCGACACCAAGACTGCCGAGTCTGGAGGCGACATACTTGGCAATATCCTCGACAGCGTCAAGGCTCTCGCCCTTGTCAGACAGCGCCGAAGCTACCTTGTACACGAGTATAGTCCCCGCAAGACCTCTTCACTCCCAGTCAGCTTCTTAAACGAACCAAATGTCCGAAAACTCACCGACGCCCGACAATACTCCCCTGCTCCCTCCCCACAGCCACGTCGTCCCCTACCAGCAACACCCTGACATCCCCTACCTTACCCGCACTCCTATGCTGCTCTGCTGCCAACCCGAAATGCAGCGCATCGCCGGTATAGTTCATGACCACCACCAGGCCGCCCTTTTCCCTCGTGACGAGCTCGAGACCACGTCGGATCTGAGCGACGTTGGGCGAGGCAAAGACAGAGCCAGAGATGGCGGCGGAGAGGAGACCAGGGCCGACAAAGGCAGCGTGGGCGGGTTCATGGCCGGCACCACCGCCAGAGAGCAAGGCGACCCGGTCGGATGCGGGGGTGTAGATGACTAGCTGGGCGTCAGTATGTGGTGTGTGCGTAGCCGAAGGGCTCACCTCTTTGGGCTTCATCGAGCTTGACGTTGGGGTTGACGGTAGCCAGGCCCTTGAGCGAGTCGACGACGAGGGTCTGGGGAGTGTTCAAAAGATGCTTGTCTAATGATGTCATTCAGCGACTGTGTGCTGCTGTGAGCTGTTTTCAGGATGCCACTCACGAGCTGGGGCCATGGTATGTATGTGTTGTTTACTGAGGGGGATTATAGAGAAGAAGAGAGATACAAATGGAGAAATGGCTAGTTATGGGAATTCGAACAGCTGAGGACGGCAACTCGCGCAAGACTCTCGTCGGGCCGCATTGTTCCGGCCGGGAGAACGTCCGGAGTTATGCATGCATGTTGGGTTACCCACCCTATACCTGCAGTGGATATGCTGGAGAATGGCAGAGGGGCGAGGATGTGTGATGAATACATGATGCTAAGCCTGATGGCCAGACGATACTATATGAACAAATGGTAGTGTAAGAATTTAAACAAATGTGGTACCAACAAAATCCCCCATGATTATGATGATTATAGCTCTCTAGTAGATGATGCGAGGGATGAGAATGAAAAATGAAATGATGCTAATGAGAATGCTATATCACAATGCGAAAAGAAATGCCAAATGAAACCCATGCTGGTGAATGTCGAAATTCTCTTCTCCTTGATTTTTCCCCTGACGCCTACTCATCCGACCCCACACTCTTCTCTCGCGGCATGACAAACGCAAACGTATCCGCACTACCCCCCTCCGTCTTCGTCCTCCCAAACACCGCCGAACCCGTACCCCTCTGCGTGCGTCCTAGCACTCCATAACTCGTCACCGGCCTACCCGCGCCCACGCTCGATGTCTTGCCCAGGCCCCCGCTCAACGGCAGAGGTACCTGGTCTGAACGCGACATGGAGAATGTTGAGTGGATCGGTGCAGTGTTGGGACGGCGCTGACGTGGCCGAGCGTCTTCGGGTACATGCGGCAATCCCAAACCCAGCGCATCGAGCGAAGGCAACGACGGATAGTCAAACTCTGAAATCCCCCTCGACTCTTCCGGGTTGAGTTTCTGCCTCGACCGTAGCGGCTGGACCTCTTCCTCTTCCGAGGTGGTGGCAGAGATACGCCGGCCGGATGACGCTTGGGCGTGGAAGCGGTTGAGGATGCTCTTGTACTCGGGGTCAAACTCGGTACGGTCGAGCTCTGCGCCAGTCCCGCGGGTGGGCGGAGGTGACAAGAGCTGCTCGTTGTCTTGGGTGGGAGGGGAAGACTCGGGGTTGAGTAATGAATGGATGGGGAGGTGGCTCTTTGGGGGCGAGTCGTGGGGTGGCGGGGAAGGAAAGATGAAGGAGATGGATTGGGACGAGGCCGCGGGGGATGACTTGTCAGACAAAAGGATAGGCTTGACGTTGGTAGCCACGCCAGTAATGGGCGACAAGACTTCTTGAGAGCGATGGAATGATTCAGGCGTATCAAATACGCTGCTATTGGCCTCGTGCAGATACAGCCCGTTCTTCCCTCCTGCCAGCTTTCTACGCCGTGTCTCTGCCTGCATGACCACCTTTGACCGTTCGGCTGACGATGTGGACGAGATGACGATGGGGATGGGCGGGCATGTAAACGATTTCGACGCCGACGCGCGTCGGTCGCCTTTGAGGGTGACTGACACTTTGAGCTGGTAGGTCATGGCGACCAAACCTGACCGATGCGTCTCTCCCAGCGCCCACTTGCCCGTACGCCGTGGAATATTGACTGCCAGTGTACAATTCCCCGCTCCATTCGACCCCTGCTCCACTCCCGTACTCGCCGTCTCTAATATCTTGTCGCGGATGACGTGACCCTCTGCCGCCGACTCTGGTTCTCGTGCCACAGGTTCGGTAGGCAAGCGGTGGAATGGTGGGCGGGGAGAAAGGCTTCGACGTATGATCGATGACAGTTTCGAAGTGGTCTGCGTTGGCGAATGGGCGCGGGGAGATTGGGTGTGCCGACGCTTGCTTGGTGAATGGCCGTTGAACGACTCGCGTCTCCCGCCAGCAGACTTCGGGTCGACACGCTCGATGAGGCGCTCAAAGACGACCCACACCTTCTTGACGAGCACTGCAGGGTTCTCTGGGCGGACCTGGACAGCGACATCGAACGAGTCGCCGGGACCAAAGGCACCGTGGGGTACATTGATGGAGACCCGAGAACAAAGGGTATCTGAGCCGATAAAGAGCGGAGATGGAGGTGAGAGGGGCATGAGGGGTGGTGATTGGTAGTTTTGCAGCTCGAGTGCGTACGCCTTGGTGAACCCGTTCCCGACGTAGGGTATTGTCTTGTGCTCGAGGACGGCCTCCATGCGCCACACGACCTTGTACTCTCTGATGGTCATCGAGCTCCGTCCCTGGATGGCAGCGTCCGTCGGAATGATGATTCTGAACGGCGACTCCCAATCACCAAGGCTGATGTACTCGTCCCCCTCGGGCGGTACGAGGATCGTCTGTGTCTGCTCATAGAGGGTGTTTTGGAGCTCGCCCTCGAATGCGCCGCCTGCTCTGAACTCTGTGCACTTTACGCGGAGGAAGATGGAGCGAACGAGGAAGGGCTCTGGGACGACGGAGGGGCGTTTTGTGACGATCTTGCCCTGTACGAGGACTGGGCTGACGCCGAGGTGGCCTGCATTTGTGAGCGGGGGCGGGGGGGGCGGGGGTGGGGGAGACGTACCGGCGTGGGGGAAGCTGCGGCCGCCCGCGTTGCCGTGCTTGGGGACGAGGAAGAGGTCGAGCATGGGGTGCTACGGGGGGGGAGGGGCCATGGCATTTGCGGGTGCGATTATATAAATACTGGCATCTCGAAAGGCGACTAGGACAGCGCGACTAAACCGCGCTAATAGCAGACACACGCTAATAGTAAAGTCGATCGTGGCGGCGTACGGGGTACCGCTCGGCGTGCTCCTCGGCGGCACTGTCTCTCGCGCATAGCTCGCAGCCGGCAGGGGGCACGAGGATATGCAGGGCATGCATGGCCTCGCGAGAGACAGCAAGAGAGACACCCGCCAAGGGACGGCGTGGCTAAAACTGTAATCCCACCCAGGCACCACAATCCATTTTCTCGGTCACGGCACCAACGGCACGCCGCCTTTCCTGTCAAGCAGAGCTAATCCGCGAAACAGCTAGAAGCTAGAACCCAATAGCCCCATCCAGGCATCCATTACATTGTTCGTCGCCATGTACCACCCCCGTCAGCCACGGGGCTAATTGATCTCCCAGCTCCCGACCCCCCCGGTAGCGAGACGGACGCAAGATTGAGGGCAGCGTGCAATCCCATCACTCACTGATCAACCTCTAGTCGAGGGACCTCGCCGTCTTGGATGCCCCGTTCCTTGTTACCAAGTGGTACTCTGCTCCACATGCCCCTATTACATCTCGATGAACAGTTTTTGGCTCTGTGCTATGCGTGTATACTAGACAGCGCCGCTTGTACATAGTTGTATCATACATGGGCCAGACAGATCCATGCGCACCATGCGAGAGCCAAGAGGGCATTTTTTTCCCACAAGTTTGGTACCATTACTCAACTTGTCTCTGCTAGTGTGAGCCAGTCCGTAAAAAAGACGGGGTTCATATGGACGCCGCAGATCTTTCGAGAGTATGTAGTGTCACTCATTTGATCTCACGGACGCATGCCCTGCCCGCGTGCTACGTTTTTTGTGCTCGGCGCTCATCGCTCACAGCATCGTATGTATGTACATGGCGCCCGAGTCAGCGTCTATATTTGAGGATACGGCTGCTCATGGCGGGAGATCCACGACTAGTACTACCCGAACGCGACACCGCCGGTGCCTCGTGCCGCCTTGCGTTCTCCCCTCTCAACGAACTCTCCTTGTTTTTGTCACCCTCTCGACCTTCTATCTTCCGGCCTCCGGTGTGTCAGGCCAAATGTGCGAGCCTGCGAGGTTGTGTCTACCGAGCTATGAGCTGTGAGCGCTGTTCACGACTCTGGCTGTGTTGAACGTCGGGGCTTTACAGCGGAGTGCAGCGGATCCCAGCACAGCGGGCCGTACTCGGGTATGCAAAGAAATCGATTGGACCATCATATATTCGAACGCGTTCCCGGGGAAAAAGAGGTAAAAAAAAGCGTTCATACCGGACCTTGAACGCGTAGAGCTTGATCCTGATCATCCTGAACAAATACTGGTCATTTGTTTGTACCTTTGTTTCTGGTTGCTAACCTGTACGGTAGATGAACGGAGGCCACGGATCACGGAGGGGCCTTAAGACGGAGGCGAACAAGATGGATGCACTACATGCACTAGCTACATATGGCCAGTCCGGGCATACGGGATAAGGGATACGGGATACGGGCCCTGGTGGGAACAAAAGCATGGAGAATTTCAGAGACAAGGCATCTCGAAGAAAAGATCTGCATCCATCTTTTGTAAAGCGGAACTCTTTTGCAGCCACAGCGCCCACAGCCACAGGCGGTTGGCGGTTCACGGGCCCTCACGGCTCACGGGAAGGTTCTTCCAACAAGAGTACGCATGTAGTAGACAAAGTTCAGGTGGTATCGGTCGTCAGCTTCGCCAGTAAACATACCAAAGGTTGGAACGACACCGTCAACCACGGTCGAGATCAGTTTGGAACAAACAGTATAAATGCTGGTATAGGCACCGAATTGCGCAGGCAAAATAAAGGGTCTCACAATGATCAGCGCGTCGTTACTCGTTCACACTCGTACCTCGTCAAAGTTCTGTACGATATAGAGGGGAGAGGGAGCGCGGAGCGTAAAGAGAGTATGGATGTCTGGGACCTGATGGGCAAGAGAACAAAAGGTTTGACTGAGACAGGCTTTTTAGAGCTCCAATTGTGCGAGGTGGATCATTGGTCCATGGCGCATGGCCCGGTTTGATGATGAGACTGGTACGGGAGGTCCATTAAAGCGTGGGGTGGGCTGATGCTTATGTACGGAAGGATCAGACTAGCAGCAAGCTCTGGAGGCTCCCCAAGTGGAATATAACGGGGGCGCTGAAGCACGGCATGCAAGGACCTCGAGGGTTCGAGTTGCTCTCTTTCTTCCCATTTGATGAACCGAGACAAAGCCACTGTATACGTGCGGGACTGTGACATGAAGCTTCGCCCTGCCTCTATACTACGGACGCTTTGTACCATGATTAGCCCCGCTACCATCGTTCAACGTTGGGCCTACACCCTCAGTATTGAGTGGGGCATACTGTACACGGGCTTCGTCCTTAGCTTCATATACGAAAGACCCTCAAAAGACGGCCAAGACGGCCTTAGAGCTTAGAGATGCCAAGGCAACAGGTGAACGCGTAGCAGAAGACTATGCAGCTATGCATAGCAGGCCCCACCTCTCCTCTAGATCATCTACCATCCAAGGCTAACCTCTTCGGACAACCTGATCGATAGCAGGGCTGTGCCACTTGGCGTGAGCACGATCAGCAAAGATTAATTATAGGAGAATACCGCAACGGACCATGGAATGGAAGGGCACGAAAGATGGCAGGCCGAACAACCTCTTCCGTCATCCCCCCATTTACAACGAGCGGAGCACGCCGAGTGGAAGGTGCCACAAGAAGGATTCAATCGCCGAGTGACGTGAGGCTCTGTTGACTACTTGCGCATTACCAATCGCCGTCGTCTCTCTAAGCATCCCCTGGTGAGTCAGTCCCCTCCATTTCCCCGGCGAGCATGCGACAGAGGTGACTCAGCATGGGTGGCAACGCCTGGAAAGAATGCGTATGAAGCTCCGCAATCTTCCTTCGCGTCCACAATGTCTCGCCTATCATTTTCCTCCATCTTGCGCATCTGTCCTGACAAACAATTCCTCTACCCTAGCAACAACACATCAATACAACACAATGGTCAAGGCTATCGAATCTTACGACGAGTGGAAGGCTCTTGTACGTCTTCTCTGTTATGACACGGTGATCTTGCTAACCTCGCCTATCTTCAGACCACCAACGCCGAGAACATTGTCGTCGTTGACTACTGGGCGACCTGGTGCGGTCCCTGCAAGATGATCTCTCCCCACTTTGCCAAGCTCGAGGACAAGTTCCCCAGCGTCAAGTTTGTCAAGGTTGACGTCGAGGAGCAGGAGGTGCGTTCGCTTCGACCCGTGTACGGATGATCACTGACTCGGCTCCACAGGATGTCGCCAAGGAGGCTGCTATCAAGGCCATGCCTACTTTCATTGCCTACAAGGACGGCAAGCCCTTCAAGACCATCACTGGTGCCGCCCCTGCCAAGATCACCGTGAGCGCTGTTGTAGAGTATCTGGGGAATGGAGGCTGACCAATCATCGTTACAGGGCTTGCTTGAGGAGGTTACTGCTTAGATGGAATCGATTTTCTTGCGAAAAAATGCTGTCAGAAGCTAAATGAATAGAATGGAATTGGTTCACCTGCATGGAGACGGAGACTTTGATGTTGTGACAAGCTGGGAATGAAGGCCCGTCATCCGGGCTCAAGTTGAAAAACATGGTGCCATGGCCGACGCCCGCGTGGATCACTTTCAATTACGGCCTCATCCCCGCTGATGGGAGCATCATGAGGTGACAGCCGTCCTTTCCACGCTCACTGTTGATCGTCTCAAAATATATATATCGCCACAATCTTACCGCATCTCCCCATCAACATTGAAACAGAAACTACTGATATGGTCAAAACTATCAAGTCGTACAAAGAGTTCAACGAGCTCGTCAGTCTTTCACCTGCCTCTTGTGCGTATCGGCGCTTAGACGGTACTTCCGGAGATCAACAGCTGTGACGTCGTCATCATCCACTTCTGGGCGACTGGAAGTGGTCCATGCCAGACCATGTCCCTGCCCTTTAGGTCTCTTGAAAGCGACTACCCTGGCACAATGTTCTGCAGGGTCGACGTCGACAAACATCCCGTACGTTGCTCAGTCGCGCAAGTGGCGGAAATCGCGTCAGCTCATGTTGTATCGCAGGACATCGTCGCAAAAGTTGGAATCAGCTCGTTGCCCACATTGGTTGCTTACAAAAACGGCACCAAGATTGGCGATTATGTTGGCGATAACCCCCAGGGTCTAGTCGTGAGTCGACTCTCTGAACGGGGATGTCGTTGACTGACCATCTGCCGCCGTCGTAGGCACAGCTCGAGACGGTCGCTGGGGCTCGATGAAGTAGCTCTATTGCCTTACGCCTGTGTGTATGCACATATACAGTGGATTTGCTCAGGATGTACAGAGGATATGTTGGAGCTGCCGACATGGCGACTTTTGGTGCAAGAGAGAAAAGTCACGCTCAGTAGAGTACATCGACAGTCTCCCACTGTATGGCTTTGGTAGGAGTGGCGTAACCTAGGAGTGGTCACGTGGAGGATCTGACTAGGGGCGCCAGATGTCGACCTTGAATAGACTGGATGGATGAAGGATGGATATAGGTGATGAGGTTGATACGAGAATACATCGGCGGGGAAAAGAGTATGGAGACGCGGCATGGGAACCTCATCTCGGAATCCCGCCTACGCATCCCTGAGACCATAGCGGCAACCATATTCACCACCGAACCCTGCGTTCCAATGTCCACGTCACAACATCTCCTCCTCCTAAGTCCTACTAGCCAGCTGCAGCCAGTAGTCTGTACTGATCCCTTACACCCACGTGGCGAGCGATCAACAAGCACTCCCCGGTGATATGTAGTCGTCGTGCGCTCATCGCCACGTGCAGCAGTCCTTTCCTGGCTCACTGCGGCTTCTGGAGGAGTATATATACCATCGCGATCCAATATCACCCATCATCCCCCCATCCACAACACAACCCGATATGGTCAGCGCTATCAACTCTCACGAAGAATTCGTCAACCTCGTACGTCCCTCTCTCCCCTCTTGCACACTCGGCGCTCATTCTTCCCACAAGACCAACGGCTCTGACGCCGTCGTCATCGACTTCTGGGCGACTTGGTGTGGCCCCTGCAGAGTCATCTCTCCAATCTTCGAGTCGCTCGAGGCCCGAGGTCATCATCCCGGCGTCAAGTTCCACAAGGTCGACGTCGACGAGCAGCCTGTACGTGTTTGACAGTGCAAGTTCGTCAGCTGATGTGCCTGATAGGAAATTGCCGAAGATGTCGGGATCCGTGCCATGCCCACCTTCATCGCTTTCAAGGACGGCCAGAAGGTGGATGAGCTTGTCGGTGCCGACCCCGAGCGTCTGAGTGTCAGTTCAGTTTCCGCTCTGCTCTGAGTAACCTCTGATTAGCTGACCGGATCCTTCGGTAGGTGCTGATTGACAAGGTCTCTGGGGTTTGATGAGGTGGTTCTATTGTGGTACATTTACATGCAGTATAGGCGCTATACAAATCACGCCTCTCACTCTTCATTCATCCGAGCACCACGCATTCCACCCTTCGCCCTCCTCTTCTTCTGCATCAGAGCCCCATGCATTCCATGGCTTCCGATCATTGTCCAGCGCAGCCAGCGAGCGCTCCAAAGCCGCCTCTTGCTCTCTCAAGATACCCATAGTCGATTGGATCCCAAATAGTACCCCATCTGGCGACATATCCTCGTCGTGTTGATGTGTATGCGCAAAGTCTACAAACGCCAGCCTCACTTCGGGCGTATCGTCCTCTACAGACTTTCCGTGTATGATCAGCGCAGAGGTGCCCGGAAAGTCCAAGCCGGTGGTCTGGATAGCTTCGCTCAGTTTAGGAAGGAGCTGCAGAGCGGTCCGTGTGCGATTGAGCATATCTTGTTCTTTCTCACGGCATTCTTCAAGGTCGAGGTCAGGCTGTTCATCCTCTTGTGCAACGACATACTCGGAGGGAAGGGCCAGGTCTCGAATGCTGGGAAAGACGCAAGCGGCCGCACTAGCCAGAGTATCATCGTTCAACGTGCGGCTGAAACGGTCGTCGGAGAATACATGGCACTCTCGTGAAGGGAGCCAGGTCTTGTGCCAGGTCAGTCTCTCTATACCAAGAATGTGAAGGAGGAAGCTCACGGTGCCGCCTGCATACAAGACGCCTTTGCTCCCACTCGTGCTTTCAGCGGTGGTGGCATCTTGCCTCGCCCGCTTTTCGGGAGAAGCCAATGGCCCGTAGAGTCTGGTACCGAGCTTGAAGTCTGCTACCGTTACGTCACGAAGGCCGTGTGTCCGGTTGGAGATGATGATGGACTGCCAACATTGTTAGCTGGAAATCACAAGGAATCGATGGACAGACCTTGGTATACTTGTCGGCTCCATTGGGCTTGTACCCAACGATCTGTCCGTCCTTTCCATACTTTGGGACCATGTCCCCTAGTTTGTGACTCGATGACACGTTTGACCCACGACGACTTGAAGCAGGGGTCTCGGATCGAACATAAGACGACCGTTCGACCCATCCCTTGTACGCTGGGATGAATGGCTCCAGAGACTCCAACTCTGGGTGTTCTTTCATGTACTCTGGGTCATTGATGGCCTCGTACCAGGCTATTTCGCGTTCGTTTGTGGGCTGTAGAGGTATTCATCAGCCTTGTCGATCGAAATCCAAATACTTGCCTTGTAGAGCCACTCTCCATCGGGAGAAGTGTCCATCGTTCCCGGATGCCCCCCTCCTTGATATTCGAGCGGGACGACCAATGACACTGCGCTTGAAATAGAGAAAGCGGGGCTAGGTGTGCTAGCCATCGCCGATGCCACAGACAATCGGGAGTGTTGTTGCTGGGTGGTGTCGATCACTACGGGCAAGTGCGGGCTCATTTTTCGGGAATTGGATTTTGGAAGAATGGACTATGGGGAAGACAGGGTGGGGATTTGAGAGCCTTGTGCAGGAGCGTCATGTAGGCCAATTTGGCCTTGCCATCGAAAAGAGGAAGACGATAGCCCCGACAGAGATTACCCTTTGATCGCTCAGAGAATACGTCGGGGGACAAAGGACTGAGCCCCCATTCTGAGAAATTGTGATCCGTTCAGCCAGTGAGATTCGCATTCCCTGGTCTTCTATTCTATCCAGCTGTGCTGGCCATATGCAATGTCCTGCCCCCTCACGCCCTCCGCGCCCACGCATGCTGTCACTCAACACGGCTTCGTAGCGGAAGCAAACCTCGTACTCGTACGATGTCAGTCGCGTTGACGTTCGCGTGGAATTTCTCGTTGTTGACATCTCGCGTACAAAAAGTCGGCGGGCATCCACGACACCCAGATCATCACCCGACATGGCAGACGGCGTCAGGCAGCGCAAGGCAAACATCCTCGCCTCAGACAACATCTCAAGCGGCAACTCCACCGCCCTCCTCAAGGTCAATGCCGTCCCCACAGAGCACGGCCAGGAGATGGACAAGAAGGTCGACGAGCACCAGGAGTGAGTCTGCAAGACGAGCAGCACAAGGCGGCCCTGACACAAAGCAGGTATGAGTTCGGAGGCCCCCTCGGCGTCCTCGCCATGATGGTCTTTTTCCCGCCCCTCATGTGTAAGTGACGCATCTCCTGGTCCATCGAACCATACTGACATCTCATAGACTACCTCTGGATTTGTCTTTGGTTCTACGAGGGAAGCTTTGTCTATCCTACCTCCGTGGACGACATCCAGCCCTTCTTTGGCCGTATGTGGGACCACATCGTCGAGGTGAGTATTGTAGATCTGGGCACAATGCATCACTGACATTCCATTCAGGGCGCCTACCCCACCAAGTTTGGCTTTGTTACCTACTGGGGTCTCACTGCTATCCAGCTTGCCTTTGCCGCTTTCATGCCCGGTATGTGGCAGAACGGTCTTCCCGTCCCTTCCCTCAACTACGACACCCTTCCCTACAAGTGCAATGCGCTCGCGTCCTGGTACTCTACCCTGGCCCTCTCTTTCATCCTCCACAAGACTGGCATCTACCGACTGCCTTGGATCATTGAAAACTTTGGCCCCATCATGACCGTGTCCATCATCACTTCCTACTCTGTGTCGCTCATCATCGACTTGTCTGGCCGATTCTTCCACTACGGTGGAAAGCCCCTCCGGTTGAGCGGTAATGTCATCTACGACCACTTTATGGGTATCAGTCTCAACCCCCGAATTGGTGTTATCGACTTGAAAATGTTTGCCGAGGTCCGCGTGCCCTGGGTCTTGCTCTTCTTGTTTGCCTTGTCTGCCACCGTCAAGCAGTACGAAGAGTACGGTCGGGTGTCCTACAACATGATCCACTTTTTGATCGCTACCGGACTGTACATCAACGCCTGTGCCAAGGGTGAACAGATGATTCCCCAGACTTGGGACATGTTTCACGAAAAGTTTGGATGGATGCTCATCTTCTGGAACATGTCTGGCGTGTAAGTCCTTGTTGCTCCTCTCGACTGCTGCTGACGCACCCTGTAGTCCCTTCATGTACGTCTATCCCGCCATCTACATGTCCCGAACCCCTCTTGCCACCTACGAGTTCCCCATCTGGGCCTCTGTCGCTCTCTTCACCACCCTCATCACCTGCTACTGGATCTTTGACTCTGCCATGTCGCAAAAGTCTGTCTTCAAGATGCAGCAGCAGGGCCAGTATGTCCGCCGAAAAGCCTTCCCTACCGTCCCCTGGGCCGAGGTCGAGAACCCCACCTACATCCAGACCAAGCACGGCAACAAGCTCCTCACCTCTGGCTGGTGGGGTTTCCTCCGGAAGCCCAACTACACTGCCGACTGGATCCAAGCTTGTACTTGGGGTCTTTGTGCCGGTTTGCACACTCCTATCACCATGTGGTACCCGTTCTTCTTCTTGACAGTGTTGGTGCACAGGTGTGAGAGAGATTTCCAAAAGTGCGAGAGAAAGTATGGGGATGATTGGGAGGAGTATTGCAGGACTGTGCCGTACAAATTTATTCCTGGGATCTACTAGAAATTATATCTAGCATGTCATGCACAATCTACAGAATCATTTGATTCTTTTTGAATACGGTTCTGTACCAGGATGGTGCATTGTCAACTATAAGTGCTAATAACGTTTTGATCATACAACGGTCCCTCGGTCTAAAACTACACGGTCGTCCAGATAATCCCAAGTGGAATCGCCCAACTATGTACATCACATCCCCTCATCAACCTCCATCTCTCCAATCTCATCATCTCCAGCCCCGATCCCCAGCTCATCCCACTTCGCCCTGACCTCTCTCGCTTCCAACCTCTCCCACTGATCCACCTCCAACATCCCCTTGATCACATCCCTCACCTCCTCCGACACGCGCTCAGACTGGTCAAGGTAGAGCATCGCGGGGGAGCCATCGGAGTAGGCTTCCGTAAGCGTCTGACGACGAGTAGGCGTCTGAGGCTGAGGGGCTGGAGGCTGAAGAGGGAGGAACCCTTCGGTCTGGGGTAGCTTACATGGCGAGGGTGTGGGTGCAGGAGACGGAGGAAGGGTATTGACCGTCGGCGTTGCCAGAGCAGGGGACGAATAAGGTACAGGCTGGGTAACAATCTTCAAGGCCTGCCTTTGCCTCGTCCCTTCTTCAATCTCACCGTCTGAATCCTCGTCCCTTCTCAAAGAAGTGCTACGCCTCAAACTGCTCTGTCTGGATACACCACCAGAAGCTTGCATCTCCTCCCAAAACTCGGCTGGGGTACTGTCTTCTGCCAGGAGCGCAGTGACGGGGTCGAGCCCCGCCCCGCCCTTGACCCATTTAGACCAGAGCTTGATGGCTGCCGGGCTGGCAGAGGAAGTAGCATCCTCGTTGGCCCGGATAGACTCGGCACTCGTCATCCTGTTCAGCCTGGGACGACCAGAGAATGTAGCTGAGGGTTCTTTACCGAGCGTCGAGTATGTCGATGGGACACGCAATGACCCGGCTCGCCTGATACCCGCCACAGAATTCGTAGCAAAGTCGCTCGAGCCAGAGCATACAGGTTCCCTCCAAGCGGATGGGAAAGGCGTGCCATCGACTTCTACCCCTTGGCCGACCCGGCTGAGACGCTCGCTCTCCTCATAGGGCCACAAACCACCAGACTTGACGCGGTGCGTCAGCTCCATGATCCGGAGGCCTCTGTACGGCTCACGACCAGTGATACACTGGTAGAGAGTCGCGCCGAGCGCCCAGATGTCGACGGGGAAGGAGAATGTGGCGCTCTTGTCCACAAGCTCGGGTGAAGAGAAGGGCAATGTGCCAAGACCAACACCATCTGTCGGTGGGTGAGCAGGGTGGATGAGGAGAGAAGACCCGAAATCCGATATACGGATATGTAAGTCTGCCGTCAACTGCACGACTCGTTAGCTTTGCGGCATTGTGAGAGAGGCAGAACGTACAAGTATATTGCCGGGCTTTATGTCACCATGAACAACACCATTCGCATGCACCCACTCCAGCCCCTCTGTGGCCTCCCTCGCCCATCTCGCAAACAACTTTTTCCCCACCAGCTGCGGGCTCGTCCTCAACAACCTATCCAGCGTCCCTAAAGGCGCATGTTCAAGTACCAGCACCAACCTCGAGATCGAAGGCAGTGGGGGATTTGAGTACTGTTCTTGGCGTATCGCTTCAGCGAGTGAGGGGTATGAAGGGAAGGAAGGAAGGTTGGTGATCTCTGTCGAAGGGATAGGTTTCGATACACCAGCAGAGACCTTGTTGGCGGCTGATTGAATCTGGGCGTTGGGAGGGGTTTGGAAAGGTAGCATCGTAGAACTTCTCTGCCGAGTCAGAGTACCCGAGACGGACAGATGAGACCCCGACTTGTCACCCTTGACTGCATCTGATGTCGATCGGGAATGTGATGAAAAGTGGGGGTTATCAAAGTCTTCCTTGACAGCAATGAGTTTTGCGATATAGACGCTTCCATTCCGGACTGGCTTTCTTTGCGCCTGAGCGCCGGCAAACGTATCTCGCAAGGGAGATACAGCTCTTGTACGCGTCGTCGACCGGGGAAAGGTAGACCGTTCATGGGCTGGTGACGTAGCCCTCAGTCTGTTGAGAAAGAAAGCCTCACGAAGACCCATCGTCTGCGCATCCCTGTCAGCTGCCGGGCGCTTTGCAGCACACAGCTTCCAGCTCCCTCCCACAAGCCCATCCCCATCCTCATTCACCTCCAGCTCCATATCCGACCCTTCTTCCTTCTTATCCAAGCTAATGATATTGTCGGAAAGCCTCGACGGCCGTCCCAGTAGATCCTTGCCTCGCACTGGGATCTTCTTCTTTCTCACGCGCTTGTACGCTCCCAGATAGACGTCGGAATACCGGCCCTGCCCAAGCAGGTATGTCTTGTTGGGTATGAGGCGGAGTTCGATATCATCCAGAGACGGCGGTAAGGGCGGTATCCAATCGTCCGTCAGTCCCACGCCTGAAGGCGGCAGTTGTGGTGACTGATGAAGAGGCGAGAGAGGATCGTCCGCCGCCGGGACATACGACCCCGAGGCCGATGGCGTCGACGAATGCGACGACGTATACGAGTCCCACGATCTCTGCTTTTCTCCTCCTCCGAAACTCAAGGGCGCATGTGCGATCGACCCCGGCCCCACGCCGTTCGACCCCGTTCGAGATAAAGGTAATGGTGCCGGCAATGTCTTACCCGCGCGGCGTAGACTAGCCGAGCGCGATAAGCCAGACACTGGGGAACCCATGTGGGAGTTGGCAGAGGAGGAAGGGATGGAGGAGGTTAGACGGGGGGCAGGTGGGGGCGGGGCGGGGAGGTCGGTCGCGACGTCAAAGAAGGAAGATGTGCGAGGTGATTCTTCTTTCGCCAGCCCTTGGCTGTGGGTGCTGGGTGGGATAGCAGAGGGTCTCGAGACGCCAAACTCATCGACTGTCGGGCTGGTGCTGGCCAGCGCACTGGCCTTGGAGGGGGACGAGGCGATAGGACCCCGCGAGTCGAGTGAAGTGAATTCCCGCCGGCGCATGGGCGAGGGCTTAGTATTCGCGTGGTATCCACTGATGCGACCTGGCGAAGTCACCGTCGGCATTGTTCTGGACCCCCCATCTTCATCAGAAGAGGATCCACCGGCGGAATTGCCAATAGGTTCGCTCTGAAGGGGCCGGGGGGGAGCGATATCGGGCTGCCAGGAGGTGGTGAAAAGGTCGTTGCGGGATATGCTGCCTGAGGAGGGGTGGTTTTTGACAGGCGGCTCTGGCTGTTGCTTGGGGGGCGAGGCGAAGAGGGAGGAGGACGGTGGTGGTGCCGGGATGTCGCGGAAGAGCGACATGGCAGCGGGTGGTGGAGAAAGAGAAAGGGAAAAGAAAGAAAGAGGTAAAATAAATGGCGTTTCCTACGCGCTGCGGTTTCAGAGAGGGCGATGTATCTATCCGTGGGCGATGCAGCGGGGGGCTGGGGGCTGGGGAGTGGGTATGTATGGGTGCAGCCAGGGCCCAGGCTACTCCTCCTGGCTACTCACCAGCTGGGTATCACGGGGACACCGAGATACATGACGAAACTCTATTTGCTGCAAGGTTTCCGTCTCCCTCTGGACCATCGCCCCATTCGCTCATGGCCTGCTGGCGCTTGGCAGCGACTGTGCGGTCCACTGTGTAGAGTGCCGTAAAGTATGCATGCTGCAGGAGATGCATCACCCCGCCAACGTCGCCCCGTCGACTCGCCCGCGTATACAACCAACGCGTCCGAACATTGCGCAGAACATTACAAGGTACATCAACGCGTGCAAAGGAACGGGACACTATATACACATGCTGTAAGCCACATCTCCCCCGGAGGTCTCTATCACGCCCGCCAGATCTCCATGCCCACCTCGTCCGCTGCCCCTTCTTTCACTACCGGCGACCCCGGCGGGCTGAGTGTCAACCGCGCTTCTCGCTCAAGGTCTGATGTCAGCCGTCTGGAGGCGACTGATCTTTGTGTCTGCGAGTGAGACGAGTTGGTGCCCCAATCTCGCGACTGCTGCCTCGGGCGCGCAGAAGAAGAAGAAGATGTCGCAGACGACGAAGGATCTGCTGGGATGGGCGGGTCGGTCGATGCAGAAGGCGGTGGTATGGGCGAGGTAAAGGCGAGTTTGGAAGCCCGAGCCGAATCTGGTGAGGGCGCTTTTGAGCGATTGGCTCGCTCTGGCAGTACACTCAGCCTCCCTTCCTCGGCTGCTTCAGGATACTCCCACCACGTCGACGAGCCAGCTTCTCCTACTTTGGGCCCCTCCGATCCTGCTTTCCCGGTGATCTTGCTCCATATGCTGCCCCCGTTCAGGCTCTCTGGGAGATACGAATGGGAAGTTGTGGGACTGCCCATGGGGCTCGGGGTGGTACTACCGTAGCCGTCCTGGCCTCCCGCACTGAGAAGAGGCGAACTTGGCGGCAGTGCCCTGTCCACCGCGCCCGGCTTGGGCCCTTCACCACTTTCCAAATCTGCCTCCCAATCCGGTACCCGACTATACCCCTCCCCATCCCCTCCCCTCCTCCTCCTCCCCCCCTCCCCGCTCTCCCTCACCTCATCTCCTCGCCCCTCGTCCGGCTGCGGACTCGCTTTGATAACCTGGTCGACGAGACAGAATTGGACAATGTTCATGATGAGCGGAAAGACGGCCATGACAAAGATGACTTGGGCCGAGGGGGATAGGTAGTCGAGGAGCCAGTGGCCGAGACGGAGGAGGAAGTCGGAGATGCGGGGAAGGGTCAAGGGGAGGAGGACGAGGAGTTTCATGGTGATGATGGACATCAGGTAGGTGAGGAGCTGCTTCCACCAGCTGCAGATCTTGTAAGCTTGGGATCGCGGATCGGAGAGGACGTCCTTACAATTGGGCTTGCGGTGGGTTGCCGTACTTTCCACTGATGAATCCGTCATACCCCAGGTATGATGTAAAGTACCAAGTGAACAGCTTGAGACTCAGAAAGATGATACCGACGCCTGGTACATGGTCAGCTTTGTACGATGCCGCCGTTCCGCCGAGACTTGCCGACAGTGGTGTCAATCAGGACATTGAGGAAATACAATGAACACGGGTTGTTGTGGGCCACAGAAGCGACAAGCCATGATATCTGTGTTGCTATCAGTAGATTCAGAGACGATATATGGGGCGTACTAGGATATTCAAACCATGCACGACGGCCTGCCCGGCGAGCTGTTTTGATACATCCAATAGCCAGATGCGCCACGACCGCTTCCGCTTTTCAAGCTGCTTCTTGATGACCAGCGAGCTGATGACCATGACCCCCACTATGCATAGTCAGTACGAGTACACTACTCATGAATATGCGATGGCACTCACTGAGGGCCTGGACGACCAAGCCTGTTGTGCCAAGAAGGCTGCAGGTCTCTGGGTCGGCCGGGACGGGATCTGTGGGCTGTGGCTGCATGGTGGTGGAGTTGTCTGGGAGCATTGTCGCAGCAGGAGATGCCCTAGCCATACACTTTGTACATATTTTATTTTGTCATTCCATCTGAACGAAGGGACTCGCTGAGGCGGAGGTCGCCGCCCCGGTCTTCCGTCCCGATAAGATCTCTGATTGGAAAAGGGAAGTTGGAAAAAATATATATACCCCATCCGGGATGCATTCCCTCTTCCCTCCCCATCTCCATCTCCCCATGCTCAGGTCTGCCATCCCCAGAGCCAACGCGCTCCGAGCCTCTACCAACAGGCCTCTCCTGGCTAGGGGGTTTGCCAGCTCTCTCGCTATCGCAGAGGTACGCACCGGTGTACCGTCCGTGACCACCACTCACAATCTATCAGGAACTCAAGAAGACGCCTCTGTACGACTTTCACGTCGCGCAGGGCGCCAAGATGGTGCCCTTTGCCGGCTATTCCATGCCTCTGAGCTACGGCGATGTCGGCCAGAGTACGTCCTTGATAGCGTATAGGTATAAGGAACTCAGATAAGATAGTCATCGCGCACAAGCACGTCCGCGCCTCTGCCGGTCTCTTTGACGTCTCCCACATGCTCCAGCACACCTTCACCGGCCCCTCTTCCCAAGAATTCCTCCTCACCCTCGTCCCTTCCTCTCTCCAGTCCCTCCAGCCCTTCTCCTCCACCTTGTCTGTTATCTTGAACGAGCAAGGAGGTATCATTGACGATACCATCGTCACAAAACACGCCGAGGACAAGTGGTATGTAGTTACCAACGCCGGCAGGGCCGCTGAGGACCGCGCCTGGATTGGGCAAAAGTTGGAAGCTTGGAACAAGGCGCATGCTGGTAAGGAAGTGGAGTGGAAGACGCTTGATGGGTGGGGACTTGTAGCCCTCCAGGGTCCTCAGGCAAAGGACGTGCTGCAAGGGTTGACAGAGACGGATTTGAATGGAATCAAGTTTGGGCAAAGCGCGTTCTTGGGGTTGAAGGCGAAGGACGGGGAGGTTGTCGAGTGCCACGTTGCGAGAGGAGGATACACTGGCGAGGATGGTTTCGAGGTGCGCTCGATTCACTGCTTCCAGATGACAGCTCATCAAACGATGACAGGTGTCTATCCCTCCAAGCAAGACCCAATCCATCACTGACGCGATCACCGCCGCCCCCGAAGTCATGCTTATCGGCCTCGGGGCCCGAGACTCTTTACGACTCGAGGCTGGTATGTGCTTGTACGGACACGACCTCGACGAAAGCGTCAGCCCTGTCGAAGCTGCTCTGAGCTGGGTCATTGGTACGTATACGCACTCAATTCGACGTGCTATGCTGACGTGGGTGTGCAGGTAAAGACAGGCGCGCTGCGGATGCTGAACCGGCTTTCCCTGGCAAGTCCAGGATCCTCGAAGAGCTCGCCAAGGGACCTTCCAGGCGCCGAGTCGGATTCGAGATTATCGGCTCCCCCGCCCGAGAAGGTAGCAAGGTCTTTGACAACTCTGGCAAAGAACTCCTCGGTACGTCTCCCCACTTACCCCGACGCCACAAGCTCACATATATACAGGTGTCATCACCTCCGGTATCCCCTCGCCCACTTTGGGATCCTACATCGCCATGGGCTATATTGCCAATGGCAGCCACAAGAAGGGTACCGAGGTCAAGGTGGAGGTGCGAAAGAAGTTGAGGGACGCTATCGTCAGGCCTATGCCTTTTGTGCCGTCAAAGTATTTCAAGTAGGGTTGAAGAGTTTTATTAGTTGTATGAAAAAAAGGAAAAACAAATGGGTCGAGTTTTGTATATACCATCAAGGGTACTTTTTCTTTATGCATAGTTTCAACACTGTACTAGTTTGAGCAGACACCCGGCTGCACCGGCTGCCCAATTCATGGGCTTGGTATATCCCTTGGAAGGAAGTGCTTCTGTTAAAGTGTTCGCTGATCATAAAAGATGACCACGAGTGAGCCGTATGAACGCCCGCCAGCCCTCAGCTGTCGGCCAGGTCTGCGTTTGAGGGTAGGTAGTACATCAAGTCTTTCAACAAAAGTAATCGAGAGATAAAAAGAGATGAGTGAAATGGGGTAAAGAGTACATGATTCTGTATTCAGTGACTCTCCGGCCTCTTTGGAAAGATAAAAGATCCATTGAGCAAAACAAGGAAAAGAAAGGTCATCGTATATATAGACAGCTCACAAATACTCCAACATCTACCGCTCCTTTACACCTCCCAATTGAGATCGAGGCTCCCGACCCTGCCGCTTCTAGCTTCTTCAAAACGCCAACCGAACAAGATCTCGAGAACACTACGAGAAAGCTTAGCAGCATCCGCCCGAGGAGCTGTCTCCGGTCTTGTTGACATCGACTTTGCCGCGCTCGGCACCGAGCGAGACAGGGGTGGCTTCTTGGGGCTGAGAGTCGATCAATCGTGTCTTGATATCTCTGCAAGCCGCATGTCAGCTTCAATCTATATGGATTGTACAAGGACGTACCTGGCAAGAGTGAAGAAGGCCTCCTCGACACCCTCGTTCGCCTTGGCACTAGTCTCCAAGAACCTCAGACCAAACTCATCGGCAAGAGCGCGTCCTTGTTCGAGCGTGACTGCTCGCTTCTCCTCCCAGTCGCACTTGTTGCCGATGAGGATCTTGTTGGCACCAGGGGACGCGTGTTGTTCAATGTTGGCGAGCCAAGTTCGGATGTCTGCGTCATCCGGTCAGTATCAGGGATGCAAGATGGGGTAGAATAAGACTGACTGCTGAAAGACTTTTCGTCGGTGACATCGTAGATCAAGAGGATACCCATGGCTCCTCGGTAATAGGCAGTGGTGATGGTTCGGAATCGCTCCTGGCCCGCAGTGTCCCACTACATCAAAGGTCAGCGGGCACGAGGACTGGGTAGATGGTACGTACAATCTGCAGCTTGATGCGCTTGCCATCGAGCTCAATCGTTCGGATCTTAAAGTCGATACCTGTACCTTGTCAGTATCGACATCTCCCGATAGCCTCGGATAGGGTGTGTATGCGACTCACCGATGGTAGTGATGAACGACGGGGTCCAAGAGTCTTCACAGAAACGCAGGAGAAGACACGACTTGCCGACACCTAGAAACGAGGGGTATCAGTATCGCCACGATATAGGGTTCGGCCCCCCATACACGCTCCGCTCTCGGGACCCTCTGGTTTTCCGGCCCACGCGAGAATACCTAGTACACCGCCATCGCCTGAAAGTGGATCCACGCTCACCAGAGTCGCCAATGAGGAGGAGCTTGATCAAGCTATGGAAAGAGCCAAGTCAGTATGGGTCTGGGGCGACTGTGTTCGCCCGGGGTTGTCCCCGGGAGTACAGGGGCTGTGGACGTACAAGTCGTAGTGCTGTCCCGCTGGGCCTGACATTGTGATATAGGGGGATGATAGAATTCAAGAAATGATAGAGGATATGGGTCGCGCCACCAGCTCCCTGTGACGCTCAGTGAGACGCGGCGATATTTCCAAAAGTGGCATTTCTTCATCTCCTCTATCATCCACATCTCCACCGCCCATGGCATCCTCCTCCTCCCACAGGGCCCCCAGCGCCCGCCCGCCCCCTGCCTCAGCCCTCTCCTCGCTGCTGGCACAGGCAAACTCGCTCAATGAGGCCGACCACGACCCGGAGCTCCCTCAAATTCGCTTCGGCATCGATGATATTGAGCGTATGAGCGAGGCGGTGGCTGGGCGGGGCAAGCGAGCCAAGGGTGACAGGGGAGAGGCGTAAGTGATTGAATATGAAAGTGGGGCGTTACTGACATACAACCAGCTTCAATCTCCTCTCGACCCTCGGCGTAAACACTTCCCAATTGACCCATTCCATCGCCCAGCTTCCCTCTGAAACTACAACTACCGCTGGCCGACCTCGTCGACGTAGGGCCCAAGCGCAGAAGGTGGAGTCTATCCCGGAGGCGGCGTATGCTTCTAATGACGGAGATATTGGAACTTGGGGCCGAAACTGGCACGAGATGGTCATCCTGAGCGGTATCGAGTTGCAGAGGCAAAGGGCAAGTCATCTGGGTCAGCAATGTTTGCAAACTAACACTCGCGCAGACTGTCAACTCTTTCCAAAAGCAGTTCCAACAACGTATCCACCAAAATTGGCAGCTCGAAAAGACTCGCGTTCTCCAGGACGAGTTGGGCGTCACCGACGACGAACTCGCAAACATTGTGGATGCCGCCCGTACAGCCTCTTCCACCCTTGGAGGCTCCACCCTCGGACGAAGCACCCTCGGAGCTTCTGCCAGACGATTCCCCATGAGCCAGTCTACGCTCGGCAAGTCAACTTTGGGAGGCGGCGCCGAGTCTAGAGAAGGCGGTTTGGTGATGCACACAAAGATGGTCAGATATGAACGAGTCGTGGCCGAGCTTAATCAGAAGAGGTTGAGGAAGGAGCCGTTTGAACTGTGTCAGGCCTTGTCCGAGAGTACCAAGAGCGACTCGGTGCGTATGGTCACAACGTGCGAGTGATTGTCGCTGATCAGTTCACAGAAGCACCCTTTGCTGTCTCAATCTTTCAATCTCCTTGCCCATTTGGTCTATGAGCCATCCCTCCGTGACTCCGAGTACCACAGCGTACCCTCATCCGGTGTTGCTCCTCCAGTAGCAGAGCCTATACAGGAGAGACAATACGCCGCTGCCTACTTGGGCGACCAACAAACTCATCAAGCCTACCTTCTGCGAGGCCGACTCATTGCTGGTGGCCAAAAGTATCTGGAAAGAGAGTACGTATCTTTTTCTCGTTTGAATCACGCTGACACTTGATAGCTTTGAGAGACACGTCGACGAGACCATTGCACGCAATCCCAAAGAGGCTGCTCTCGGTGGTATTCCCGGTATCCGCAACAAGATCCGCGCATTTGTAGACGTCACCCTTCGCACCAAAGAATCGCGAGAGACTTACAAACCCGAGACTGTCAACGGCACCTTCCTCTGGGCGCAAGCCTACTACCTCGTTCGATGTGGCTACGTCGACGAGGCCCTAAACCTCATCGCCGAGAACCAATCCCACATCGCCAGGGAAGACTGGTCTTTCCCCGGCGCTTTCAAAATGTCGATGCAGAGCTCCGAACGGAGGATGAACAAGACCCAGAGGGACCAGCTCTCGAACGACTACAACGCCCATATCCGAAACAATCCCGCGACCGACCAGTTCAAGACGGCTCTGTACAAGCTTGTCGGGAGGTACGAGATTCGCAAGCAGAGCAAGGTGACGCCAACGACTGAGGATTGGATGTGGTTCCAACTTTGCGTCATTCGTGAAAACAAGGACGACGAGCCCGAGGGTGGGCCTTACACATTGGCGGATCTTGGCAAGTCACTCGACAAGTTTGGGAGCGATGTCTATGATGGCAAGGGGACGAGACCTCTTGTTTGGTTCAACCTCATGCTTTACACTGCACAGTTTGAAAGGGCTGTAGCATACTTGTATTCCAAGCCTCAGATGCGAACGGACACTGTCCACTTTGCCATCGCCTTGTCCTATTACGGGCTCCTGAGAGTGCCGCCCAAGGGCGACGAGGCCGATCTTTGTAAGTTATCTCTGATGAACCCCAGCCCATCTAATGTTATGATAGTGGGCTACAACAACACTGGCGATGTTGCCTATCTCAACTTCCCTCGACTTGTAAAGCAATACATTTCACCATTCTTCAAGCTCGAGCCGCAGACTGCATTGCAATACGCCTACCTCGTCATGCTCAACTCTGACGCGCCTCCTCCTGCCGGGCCCAAGCAGCGTCAGCTCTGTCTTGAGCTTGTCAGAGACATTGTCCTTGCTTCTCGCTCCTGGTCCAAGCTTCTTGGAAGCGTGCGTGCCGATGGATCAAAGGAGACCGGTGTGGTTGAGAAGGACCTCAAGCTTCTGAAACTCGAAGACGAGCATGATTATCTCAGACAGGTTGTGCTGTCTGCAGCCGACCAATCCTCGCTCGACGCGTCTCTCATCGACTCGATTGAGCTCTATCACCTTGCCGCTGCCTATGACAAGGTCGTCGAGACCGTCAACCGAGCTCTTGGTCACTCTCTTTCATCTTCGTCTACCTATTCTCTCATCCCCGGCTCCGACCCCACGTCAGCACCATCCGCTGTCGGTCTGACTGGTGCATTCGGTGGTACCACAGATCTGTATAGCTTGGCGCAACGGGTATATGCGGTATATGACAGGGACTATGGGAAAAAGTCGAGAGTATCCAGCATCCATTGGGAAACTCTGGAAACGCTGTTGAGGTTGAAGTTGGCTCTGGCACAATTCGCTGCCGACCGTCCTGACTTGGCTCTCGAGGTGAGTCGGCTTTCCGTTCTTGCAAAGCAAACTGACAAATATCTGTAGACCTTCAAATCCACCAACCTTCTCCCTCTCGAGACTGATCCCTCTCAGATCACATCCTACGCCCAGAAATTCCGAGACATGCTCGACCAACCCGTCATCTCCAACCTCGACGACGTCATTGTCACCACCATGAAGTGTCTGCATCTCCTCAGCCAGCAGCTGAAGCAGTCTCCCTATGGCGATCAAGGGAGGATGGTGCAGCTGCAAGTCTACAAGCATCAAGCACAGTGCTTGATTCAGTTTGCCGGGACGTTGAGGTTGAGGCTGGGACCGGATGTCTACAGGCAGTTGAGCTCGATGAGCGCGTTCTTCTAATAGGAGATCCTGAATGCATAATTACACAGTATCTCTACGTCCAGAAGCATGTTTAAAAAAGCGTATCGTTCAATGGATCACACATTATGCATTTCCCCCCCATCCCAGGGTACATCCCCCCACTACCATAGTACGCCTTTACCGCATCGCGCGATTTCGGATTCGGATTGTTTTTTTTGCCATTCCGTATTCATATATTTGATTTTGGAGGGCGGTTGCATTTCCCCGACACTCTAAACTGTCCTTCTTTTCACTGGTATATAAACTTCTCACAAAAAACATCCCTCTATATATGGTATCGCCGCAATTACTGGAAGTGGAAATTGGTTCCCTTGACTTCGGGGTGAGAAGCAGGCATGTTGCTAGCAATAACCTCAATCTCCTCCTTCTGCGCAAGACCGAGAGGACCGATGTGACCGGCGTTTCGCTCGACATCACGCAATCTCAAGTGGGTTTCCTGTAGAGTATCATGTATCAGCTTCAATTCTTGATTCTTGATCTTGCTTGAGAGAGAAGTCTCGATAGCTGGCAAGAGCCTGCGCTGCTGCAAGTCGAGCTGCGCGATATATCTCTCCTTGACTCGCAAAACTTGATCATTTGAACTTGAAACTTGACTGACCTCGGGAAGACCCATACTTCTCAAAAAGCCAACGACCTCATCGAACTCAACTTCCTTCCTAGCCCTGTCCCATCCAAGCTCTTCACCCATGATGTCCAATACCCTAGGCAAACTTTCGACAGTAGCCTGGACATCGAGGAATCCCAATCGGGTTCGTCGGGCAACAAAATCGGCGGCGGTGACGGCGTACTCGCATCGGCATGCGTAACGAGCTTCGGCCTCAATGTAGGGGTAAGAGTTGTGGAATCGGACACCGTGGATGGGCCAGTTCTTGCCTGCATCGTTGCGTCAGCGCACATTCAAGTACATAGAGTAGACTTACCAGTAGGCAAAGCCATGGTGGCAACGGTAAAGGCCCTGTCACCGTAAGACTCGGAAAGGTGCTGGGCAACATCGGTCTCGAGACCAAAGTCCTGGATGAGCTTGATGTACATGGTCTTGTTCCAAGAGTGGGCACCGATCAGCTTGACGCGGTGCGTCTGGCAAGGACCGTTGGGCTTGAGCTTGAACTCCTTGACGGCAGCGTCAATGGTCTGCTCGGCCATCTCTCGGCTATTGAATGGTCAGCGCCAGTCAAACTCGGATGATTAAACCTACTAGGTAGTCCACTTGCCACCAGCGATGGTCAAAAGACCACCCTTGGAAGTGTTGATCATGTGGTTTCGGACAAGAGACTCGGTGTTGGAAGATCCGGGGTCCTTGACCAAAGGCCTGATACCGGACCATGCGGACAAGACATCACCTCGTCGGACCTGAATCTCGGGAGCAAGGTAGTGTCGGACCTCGTCGAGGATCCACTGGATCTGCTTCTCCTCAGGGATGGGGTTCTGGGAGACGTCGGTGGGGGAGTCGGTGGTACCGGCAATGATCTGGCCTTGCCAGGGAAGGAAGAAGACGACTCGGCCGTCAGAAGTGGCGGGGTCAAGGAGACCAAGCCTTTGGGAACCATAGTAGGAAGGAAGAGTGATGTGGACACCGGCACTGGGAGCAACAATCTCCTGGGCAGAGGGCTCATCGAGCCTCCTGACACCATCACTGAAGGGACCGGTAGCATTGATGACACCCTAGTCGATGTTAGCATTGCACGGTATCATATGATTTGAGATAAAAACTCACCCTACATCTGACCTTCATGAGTTCACCAGTAAGACTGTCCTTGATAGTGGCAGCGTAAATCCTCTCCTGACCACCTCTGGAAGGGTCGGGCTTCTTGTGAAGCTCAGTGACTTCGGTATAGTTGGAAACGATGGCACCCTGCTGGACGGCGGTCATGATGATGGAAATGTTCATCCTAGAGTCGTTGTGTTGACCGTCATAGTAGACGACACCACCAACGAGACCCTCCTTCTTCAGAGTTGGGAAAGCCTCAAGAGACTTGCCCTTGCCCATCCAATAGGCAGACTCCATGTTCTCCTTACCAGCGAGGAAGTCGTAGACCTTACAACCGGCATAGTAGTAGGGAAGTTGCCACCAGGTGTAGATGGGGAGGAGGATGCTGCGGGTACTGTAAGCTTGGTCCAGCCTGGGAGTTCTTGTAGACGTACGGAAGCATATGACTGAGATGGGGAGCGGTGTCGAGGAAGATCTTTCGCTCACGAAGAGCCTCCTTGACCATCTTCCACTGGTCTGAAACCCATGTCAGCTACATTTTAGAACGATAAGATAAGACTCACCATAATCGAGCTCCATGATGGCTTTTTGGAGGTATCGGACACCACCGTGCACGAGTTTTGTACTCTTGGAAGAGGTACCAGAGGCAAAGTCTTCTCGCTCGACACAAGCGACCTTCAAACCTCGACTGGCAGCGTCAAGGACGGCACCAGCACCGGTGGCACCACCACCGATGATCAAGAGGTCAAAGACATCGTCGTCGTCCTTCTCCTCAACGTCGGTGGTAGGGACGTCGATCGCGGGATTCGGCCCGCCTTCTTGGGTCCTCTTGATGTGGAGACCAGAAGTCCGGAGGTGATCGACCATTTGGGATCGAGAGGGAGGGTTCCATAGAGGATCAGGGACGTCCGTCTTGGATCCTGGTTGCCAGTCGAGCTGGACTCGATTTTGCTGACGGGCATACAAGTAGGAGCCGACGGCGACGGTTGTGGAGGTCGTGAGGACGAGGGCACGACGGCCGGTCATGAAGGATCGAGCACGGAACATGGTATCTGAATGGGATTAGAAAGAGAAAGGGTGGGACGTGCGAGCTTTGTGAAGAGCAAAAAGTTGACAAAAGACGCGCGCTGGATTGAGGATCGGCTCAAAGAAGCAAGTTGCCGACAAAGGAGCCGAAAGTGGAAGGGACCCTGGAGGAAAGTTTGGTGTGGTGCTCGAAGGGGAGCGGGGAGACGGGCTGGGTGTTTTGGTGGGAGAGAGGGAGAAGAAAGAAAGAGAAAAGAAAAGAGATGGATGCCGGCGACGTGGTGGGAGAATGACGTACGGGAGCAATATTCGGCCCGCATTCCCAACCACAGCAAAATTCCCAACTTTCGGCCTTGCGCTATCCATTGCGTATATCCCTGTGCCGCACTAGTTTATCAGTGGGATCCGGGGCCAGCGGGGGCATGATGCATCTCTAGCGACAGTGACTGACTGACGTAGCATGGCTCCAGCGCTGTCATCTCTTTTTTCTTCTGCCTCCGCCTCCGCCTCTCTTCTCTCTCCTCGCACCCCCACGTTCGTTCTCCATTTCCCACTCTGTGTATACATATGTTTACTTTTGCCAGTAATCCCTGCCGTGCCATGCAACGCGAGTCAGCCAACGGCGCTACGAGCTCTTGCCGCCAGTGCCACTGCCGAAGCTGCCGAATCTGATCGTGCCTGGCAGCTAATAAGAAAAAGTTGAGCAGGATTAACAGCTGGTTCGGCTTTTTTGCCCGATCGTGCAACATGTTCAGCGGTCATCGCCGCGTCTTTGTTAGGCTCGGCTTACCAGTTACCTTGCCATGGGCCTGTAGGCGAGGACAAAGCTGCAAGCCATGAGTGCGGCCTGTCATTAGATTGTCAAGGGAGGTGGTAACGATCTTCTAGATTTTCAATTTGATGGCTGCGAGTGACTTGAGAAGCAACTACTGCTGCTGGATGTAGAAATGCAAGTGCTGTGATCTGCCCGGTCTGGTCGTGGCTGAAAGGAGACCGACAATGAGGATGAATGGACATGCTAGGAGCAGCTCTTTGTGCTGTGCCTACCTGAAGTGTGCTTACTTGAATATAGGTGGCTAAACAGTTAGCAGGGTTTGATAGGACCGTCCATCAGTCCAGGTTTCGCGCGCATTCGCCCTATTGCTCGACTTGTGGCTCGTAAGATTCTAGCAGCCTCAGCCAAAGTTGATCATTTGTGAGCTAAAGACAGGAGATAGGATCGTTGTATCAATGCATCATGAATGAAAAGTGGAATGGGTCGAAAGCGTTATGCCTCTGTCCATGTCCTGCCACGAAAGTCAATCTCGACTCCAAGTTGATTTGATAATGAAGCACTCACCTATATGCCGACCTCGACATTGCCCTTCCCTCCGCCAAAGGCTCTTCCGGTAACTTCAACCCCGCTTCCTTCTCCCCGTCTTCTCTGACTCAAAGCCATCCCTTCTTCTTCCGTCACATTAAGCACCTGCACCAGCTCCTTCACTTTAAGTATTCTTCCCGCCACGAGGGGGCTGAAAGGATGAACCACACTTTGACGTAGTCTTTTAAGACCGAGGGCGGTAAGAGTACGCTTTGAGCGTTCGGGGAGGGCAATGGGGGAGCGGACGAGTGTGATGAGGTGGTGGGTGGCTTGGGATGATGCCTCGGGGGCGGCGGATGTGGAGTATGCGCGGAGTGCGGATGGGATGCGTCTTGAGAACATGGCTGTTGGTTTGTGGTTGCAGTGCAAGTCATGCTGAAATGTCAGAGGTGGTCGTTGAAAACCCAGCGGCCAGCACGTGGAATTGATGCCGCTCGCCTCCACCTCCCGCTACTCTTCTCTGACTTGGAGTCGAATGCATCTTTTCTGTACATTCAACTGCAATCACCAAAATGCTCGCCACCCGCTCACTTGCACAAGAGGTCGCCGCTAGTGTTCCTCGAAACGCCGCTCGACGAGGACCCAATATGGTCAAGCACAACATTGGTCTCAAACGAGCGACCCCGCCTCCCCACCTCCTCACACTCGCCGATCTCTCCACCAAGCAGCTCACGAATCTCCTTGCCAATGCCGCTGCTCTAAAGTTCGTCTCCAAATACATTGACCCCAGGGCTATTCCCAAGCAGTTGTCGTCTCGGACAGTCGCTCTTATCTTCAACAAGAGGAGTACGCGAACTCGAGTCGCGAGTGAGACATCCGTGGAGGCACTCGGTGGACATCCCATGTTTTTGGGGAAAGACGATATCCAGTTGGGTATCAATGAGAGCTTGCAGGACACTGCCCAAGTCGTGGGCAGCATGACTGATGGTATCATGGCTCGTGTCAATGGCCATGAAGAGATTGAAGTGAGTTTTGCCCAAATTGATGAAGTTGTCGAGATTGACGCGCCACAGACCCTTGCCAAGTACTCCCCCGTCCCTGTCGTCAATGCCCTCTCAGATCTCTACCACCCCACACAAATCCTCGCCGACTTGCTCACCCTCCTCGAGCTGTACGCCCCCGTCCCCGCCCCCACCGACGCCGATATCACTACCGGCAAAACTTACACTTCCGTCCTCAAACACTTCCAATCAAACATTGACCCTATCGCTACGTTGAAGGGTAAAAAGGTCGCTTGGGTCGGTGACACAAATAACATCACCAACGAGTTGCTTGTGACGCTTCCCAGGTTCGGTATGGAGTTCAGCGTTGCTTCTCCCAAGGGCTATGACAAGGTCGATGACCGAGTTTGGTCTCGAGTGTAAGTACCAAACTTGTGCTCGCCTTGAATAGAAGCTGATTTCGTATTCAGCACCGACGCCAACACCCAGGGCCTTGTCACCCTCACCAATGACCCCGCCGAAGCCCTGCACAAGGCCGATATCGTTGTGACCGACACTTGGATCTCCATGGGTCAAGAGGAGGAAAAGGTTGCCCGTCTTGAAGCCTTCAAGGGCTACCAAATCACCAACAAGATGGTTGCGGATGCCGGAGCCAACGCCGACTGGAAGTTCATGCACTGCTTGCCCAGGAAGCAGGAAGAGGTTGACGACGAGGTGTTCTATGGAAACAAGAGTCTTGTCTTCCCTGAAGCTGAGAACAGGAAGTGGACCATCATGGCTGTGTTTGAGTGAGTCATGATCTTTATCGACACGTTGAGTAGGCTAACTCTTGTGATTAGGGCATTCATGGGCCGATACAGTTTGCCTTGATACCGTAGACAAATAGCGTCATAGTTGTACCACCATTCTTCAAAATGCATTCCACTTTACAAGCACTCATTGAGTAGCACCATCGATGCATGATGGACACGGCGGTCGCACGGCGGTGGTCTTTTGTAGACCTCTTATATTGATTACGTAACTCCCTTATCTCTCGCCTATTTATCGAATATCCGGATCCTCGACTTTTTAAAACCACCTGTATTCTTCGTGCATCTATACAAAACCTCAGCCACCACCTACACCATGGCCTCCAACGAAGACTTTACCAAGCGAAAGCTCTGGGGGTGAGTGTCTCCACGCCCCAACTGCACATCCCTGACGTCTCTTAGCGGCCGATTCACCGGCTCTACTGACCCCTTGTACGTCTCTACAATCGCTGGCTGAACAAAGGAGCTCATACAGAACTCACAGGATGCACGAGTTCAACCAGTCCCTCAAGTATGACAAGCGCATGTACGCCGCCGACGTCAAGGGTTCCATCGCCTTCTCCAAAGCTTTGCTCAAGGCTGGTATCCTCGTCGAGGCGGAGCAGAAAGAGATCGAGAGGGGTTTGAAGGTTGTCGAGTCTGAGTGGGCCGAGAACAGGGTATGTTTCTTATCTTGCGAAAGGAGATACACAAGCTGATAGTTGAACAGTTCAAGGTCGAGGCGGACGACGAGGACATTCACACTGCCAACGAGCGAAGGCTGTCAGAGATCATTGGCAAGGACATTGGAGGCAAGCTCCACACTGGCCGAAGTAGGAATGACCAAGTGGCTACCGACATGCGTATCTGGCTGGTATGTTCCACGAATAAAAACTGCGAGAGCCCAAGCTCACAAAGGACCTTCAGATGGAAGAGACCAAGATTGTCGAGAGCTATCTTAAAGACCTCCTCAACGTCATGGTCACCCGTGCTGAGAAGGAGGTCGACGCCATCCTCCCCGGTTACACCCACCTTCAGCGTGCCCAGCCCGTTCGATGGTCTCACTTCCTCCTCTCCCACGCCCAATCTTTCCTTGGTGACCTCGAGCGTCTCCGGCAACTCTACCCCCGTATCTCTGTTCTTCCCCTCGGATCTGCTGCTTTGGCCGGTAATCCCTACTCTCTTGACAGGGAGCTGTTGAGGAAGGAGCTCGACTTTGAGAGCATCGGCGAGAACTCGATGCACGCTGTTGCGGACAGGGACTTTATTGTGGAGTGGTTGCAGTGGGCGAGCTTGACGCAGGTGCACATGAGCAGAATGGCGGAGGATTTGATCATCTATTCTACAGCCGAGTTTGGCTTTGTCCAGCTCAGTGACGCTTACTCGTGAGTTTGGTCGTATTTTCATCGAGCCAAGCTGATACTTTGCCAGTACCGGATCCTCCATCATGCCCCAAAAGAAGAACCCCGACTCTCTTGAGCTTCTTCGAGGCAAGGCTGGCCGAACCTTTGGCCAGATGGCCGGTTTCATGATGTCCCTCAAGGGTGTCCCCTCCACCTACAACAAGGACTTGCAGGAGGACAAGGAGCCCTTGTTTGACGCTGTGGACACTGTGTCCGCTGCTTTGAGGATCGCCGAGGGTGCTTTGGCCACTCTTTCCGTCAGTCCAACACGTGTTCATAAGATCACAGACTAACGCGATGGACAGATCAACCCCGAAAAGATGGCCGCTGCTCTCACCATGGACATGCTCGCTACCGACATTGCCGACTACCTTGTCCGAAAGGGCGTTCCCTTCCGAGAGACCCACCACATCTCTGGCCGTGCCGTGGCCCTTGCCGAAAACACCAAGGTTCAGATCTCTGACCTGTCAATGGCTCAGTGGAAGGAACTGGACGAGAGGTTCGACGAGACCGTTTTGGATGTATTCGACTTTGAGGCGAGTGTGGAGAAGAGGAACGCCATTGGAGGCCCGGCGAGAAGCATGATTGCCAGACAGGTTGAGGTTGCCAGGCAGAGGATTGGCAAGTAGGCGATGAATCGATAAAAGAAAAGATCTTTCATGATAATGCATTGATATACAACTTTGCGCTCGCTTGGATAGACAATGCTAATGATTCCGATTTGACCCTATAATGTACACTCTTCACTTTGCCCAAGCTGATGGGATGGCTCCTATCACTTCCTCCCACCACTCAATTCTGCCCTTCTCCTCCTTCTCCAAGACCCTCACCAACCTTCCGCCCCCAAACTCCCTCTGCTCCCAGATCCTGTTCAATCTCTGCTCCGCATCGCACCAAAACACCTTCCACTTTTGGTCCTGCGTTCGCACAAACCCACTCGACCTTTCATAGTACCACTTGTTAACAGGGTTATCTCCACGGCTTCGCCAGACGAGATCCCTGCCTCGACCAACACCGCGAAGGGAACCGATAGAAGGGTTGGAAGCGTCCAGTTGACCAAGACCGTAAGTCTCATCGCGCAGGGCAACCCAAAGGAAATCCACGGTGCCATCTCCCTGGTGTGAGGGATGGACCGCAAATTTGTCGAGGTAACATATAGGCTCGGGGTGTTCTGGTGGATATTGGAAGGGAGGCGCGCTCGAGTTGGATGGTTTCCCTTCAAGGGTGCAGACTGCTGCACCGGCATAGTCGCCTATGACGATCACAAAGTCCAGATCATCTTTCAGCCTCTGGTAGAACGCCTCCCTGTCCAAGGTTCGCCCGAACGAGCTCTCGAGCAAGACGGTGAGCTTCTCCTCGTCGACTTCGTCCATGGTGCGCAACACTCGCACTGGGAGACCTTTTCGGATCAGAGTGGGCGTGTGGCGGGTGATGCGGCCTTCAGACTCGACAAGAAGAGCATGAGGGAGAGAGGCAGAATGGGCGGGTTTGTTGGTGATGAGGTTTGCTATCAGTGCCGTGGGTGAACGATGCGAGACAACCAAAGCTGAGGCTCCGCGGGGCATGTGGGCGAGACACCCTTTTGCCAACGAAAGATTGGCAAGTGCTGTGGGGTGGGAGGCATTCCATTGCGGGAGCCAAGTGCGGTTGATGTATGAAAACTCGGAGGCAAGGTTGATGTAAAGATGAGGGAAGCTTCGCCGGGCGTAGGACGGGATGCCGCCTTCACGATTTATGATCAACAGTCGCCGAGGGGTCAAGTCAACCGGTCTGGAAGACGTGGCTGACATGGCAGAGGCAAGCGCCAGCAGTACCTTGTTTGACTGTATCCTCCTCGAGCGACATCCAGAGTCCAGTGCTACTGGCAGCAGCACCGGTATCTCGCCTTCTCCTACGGCCCTCCTGATATGGTCCAGCCCTTCGTCCTCCACAAATACCCCCTTCTGCGCTTCCTCCGGCTCCAGCTCTGGGTCCGATATCCGCGCCACAGTAGAGAAGACCGGTCTGGCCGGTGCCCTGTGCCGTGTCAAGAACTGTACAACCCTCTCCACTTCATGCCTCACAATCGCCCTCTGCCTATGCGCCTCGAATTTGTCTGCCGGGTCTGTTGCAGGCAGGTCGTCTCGGTCTACGACAATGACAGGTACAAGACCCAGCTTCCGAAGGTGGGCCAGACCGCGACAAATAGAGTCGAGTTGAGGGTCCGTGAAGGGGCCTTGGACTTTGACTAGAGCTGGGCGGCGGTATACGGGGTTCAACAAGGAGTGGACAAGGTTGTCTTGCGGTTCTTTGGGAGGGTTTTGTGAACCGTCGGTAGTCGCTGGGGTAGCAGAGTCGGATTCAAGGATGGCCGAAGGCTGAGGTTTGGGCTGGGGAGGGGCAAATGAGGAGAGATATGAACGGGAGTCTCGTTTTGAAGGCGAGGCTTTCAATATCGAAAGGATAAAGTCCTGATAGAGAGGTAGTCAGCAGTAAATCCATGATACCCTCCAAGTATAGCAACAAACCGTGTCTTCATCTTTGATCTCCTGCAGAGTCTGAGCATCATGGTGCCGCTGTCGAGCCTGTTGTGAATCTCATGGTCAGCTATTGGCCCTTGGACAGAGCTCGACAGACTCACAATGAGAGGAGCTCGAGCAGCTACCGACCTGCCCACACTGACCCGAAGGGTGGAGGGGAGGCTGAAGGGTCGCGCCATGGCACTTTCGGGGGTATACAGGGGTGCGCCGGGATATTTGCAGTTGGGAAATGGATATAACGGGAGAGTCGACAAGTCAAAATACTGACGGACTCGCTTATTGACGATAACTCTTCTCGCCGCTCTCGGGCGGCAGAGCGGGCATAGTATGACTCTTGAACATTCTCATATTAAGCCCATGGGAGTACCGTACCGTATAGAACAGTCCATCAAGACTCGAATGACCCAGGTTCATGCATAGGGGCAGTATATATATGTATGTTTTTCTTCACATCCTCTGTTCGTCTCTACGCCCGTCCACCTCGCAAGGCAAGGACCAAGTGGATGACAGCACCAGCCTGAATCTTGTAGTCCTGGATAGCCTTCTCATCGTTCCTACACCTTGCAGTCAGCACATGTCTGTCAACGGCGGATGGCGGAAGAGCGAGCCGTAAGCCTTCAATGTCGACATACATGGCTTTTCCACCGAAAATCAGTCGTTGTTGGACAGGGGGGATACCAGCTTTCTCTTCGACTCGGTCCTTGACTTTGCTAATCTATAGGTGGGATGGTCGCATATGGTCAGCACATCGGGTCGCCGAGAAAAGTAGAAGGGTGGGGTGGGAGGGTGAAGCGGGACGCACAATCATATCGGGTTGGACGTCGATGTCGACCTTGCAGACGGAATGGTCAGCGATACAGCACCGAGGCCAATAGCGATAGGGCTACTCACCTCCTTACCGGTAAGAGTCTATACGAGAGAATGGTCAGCATTCATGCGGGCTGGAATAGCGGGTCACGCACCTTGACCTTGACGATCATTGTTGCTGAAGGGTGCTCTGGTGTCTAGTATTGGGAGGTAGGACGCTAGAATCGATCAGGGAGTATAGGCGGTTTGAAAACGTCCCGAGTTGGTAGGAACTGGAGATTTATGAAAGTGGAAGATGGAAGCGGCGCGAGCGAAGGGAACTGCAAGTCGCGTCACCTTCCTCCTGCTTCTACTTCCGCATATATTCGTATTCTCGTATGTCTATGCCCCGCACCACGACACAAGCATAGCAGACACCCCTCACCCCCTCCCTTCAAAAGCGCCGTCGATTTCATATTGGGTAGGTCTTACATGACAGCTGCCCCCATGACGCGCCACAACATTACGCGTCAACCGCCACTGACCGGATGGGACTTGCTCAGGTAGTCCCACTCCGCTATCAGCCTACTATCGACTCCAGCAGCTACTCGTGCTACTGACACTCAATAACTTGAACGATGGGGAAAGCTGCAAGGGGTAAGAAGCGGACTGCCGCCGCTGGGTTGCCCAAGAAGGCTCCTGCCAAAAAGGGCAAAGCAGGTGAGTCGGTATTACATGTAGGACTGAGAGTATACAACTGACCTATCTGGGCTCCAGCACCCGCCTTAGAGAGTGCTGTCAAAGCTGCAGAGACTCCAAAGATTACATCGACCCGCGCATCAGCTAGGCTCGCCGCACAGACCCATTTCAACCAACCACCTCAACTCGCCGACGAGTCCGCCTCAAACGCCCGGAAGCCTTCTGCTCTGGCACATACCTTCTCGCGCGTACTCAGCATGGGGGATATTCAACAACCAAGGAATCCCCCAGTTCTCCAAGGACCCGAACAAGGTGGCTATGACGAACATGGCTTTTGGAAGGCTCCAAAATCTCCTCCCATGCCCACGTCTGCTCAACCTTCAAAGCATGCAACCCAAGCTGAAGATCTCGGCAGTACCCAGTCCCGGGGTGCTCCTCTACCTGAAATCACGCCTTCTCGCAAGACGAGGCACTTGTCTGTACCCTCATCCTCATCAGCTTCTCCCACACCTCCGCTCACGGTTCTGCGTACGCCTCTCGATAAAGACGTACTGAATCGCCCTCCCACCTCGAGCCGTAACAACGGTCACTTTTTCAGTACTCAGGGGTACACTCCCCCATCACATGCTAGGGAGGAACTGTTCCGTACAAAGAGTATGATCCTGCCCCCACCATCCCATCCGGACCTCGATTTCTTTCGGAACCCTCGTACCAGAAACACAGTCCGGAATCCGATCTTTATCTCTACCGCTCCTGCTGTTCCCATCCCTTACTCTCAGAGGCTCACCGAGAGGGCTGACGAGGGCACAAGCGACTCGGACGATGGCGAAGCTGTAGCGTCGGTGGCGCAATCTGATACGCGCCGTCCTCGCCTGCGCTTGCCCGGAGGAGAACCTTATGTCTCTAGTGAGGGTGAAGGGGGGCAGGAAGACGAGGAGATTCTAGGAGTGGGCGAGCGAGTCGAAGTGTCCCAGTCTTCGAGTCAACCAGCCGACAAGGATCAAGTTTCTCACAACACAACTCCGACGACATGGCGCGATCCCTTCTCCTACATTCCGGCCGCTAACACACAGTCCGCCGCTGCTCTACACGCTCATGGTATGGACCAATCTCAGGACATATCTCCTGAGACTCCAGAGCTCGTACAAGCGACTGCGAGCGACTGCCCGCCCAACCCTGATGAAGAGCTAGGATCTGAAGACTCGCGGTCAGCCCTCTCAGCTCAATCCGCCGAAACGTGTTCCGACGATCTTCCCTTGCAGCTTTCCAGGAAGAGTATGGCTCTCAAGAACAAGACCTACGGAAAAGGCCGCTCTCACGCTTACAAGACTGGCCTTCCCGACCCTGTTCGAAACGCTCACCGGATCAGCCTGACACCGCCCATCCACGCGCCTACACCCCAGCTTGACGACTTACCAGCGGCGGACAGTGTCCCGGATTCCTGTCTTCCACCCGAGGCTGACGATGCTGACGATGACGAAGAGACCGACGATGACGGGCAAGAAGAGGGCGAGTCAGAGTTGTGGTCTTCTCAAGAAGTGATACCTACCAAGCGGGGTCCTATGGCTCCCATGACGTCCAGAAGCTTTGCATCCCCTACAAAGGCTGGGCACGAGGCTGCGCTTGCGAGAGGGTCTCCAAAGAAGAAACAGCGGCTTGATCAGGCAGATCAGCCGTCTCCGTCTTCGAGGGGATCGCCTCTCAAGCTGTCACGAAGTGCGTCATGTCAGGTTCGTTTGAAAAGGTGAATCACTCCTAGTTTTCTCGTGTGTCTTTTTCTGACCACTTTATAGCTATGTGCAAAACATACGGTCTCAGAAGGCTTCTCGCTCTAGTATCAGACGAGTCTCAGTCCGTCGCGCCCGTGCTCTCGAGGGCAACACACTTCAACTATTCACCTCCACCCCTTATTCCGCATACATCTCACAATATCGTCAGAACCCTGGCCCTCTGATGTTCCCCACTCCTTCGAGCCTTCTTTCGCCAGGTATCTACGTCAATCCCCGGACTCAATATGCGAGTCCTGGCAAAACCGGAAAGGGAAGGCAATACGCGAGGCGCCGGACGCCGCCAGCATTGTACCCCACCCAAGGAGACCCGCAATGGGAAGACGAGATCGACTGCGCAGTGTCAGTCCGGGGTGGGAGTGTTCCCCCGGGGGGCAGGGCGAGAAAGACGGCGGGAAAGAAGAAGCGTGTGCCAAAGCTGAGCTTGGTAACGGCAGCATCAGCACAACATTCGCCGATCCGGACACAGCATCCTGCGAAACAGGTCCAACGTCAGTCACCTCAAAAAGCCGCTAGCACAGCAGCTCAACCGACGGGCAACGGCAAGGCTTCCATACCGGGTGGAGGAGTTGTACACCACTCCCCTGATAACACGCGGATCATACAGCGCAGGAATGTTCTGCCAACTGTTGTTAAACAACAACATATGCTGTCAGCCCAGCGAGCGGCAGCCGATCGCACCCCTCTTCCTGCAAAGCTGATCAGCGCCCCCACAAAGCCGGTGTCCTTTACTCGGAAAAGCAATGTGGAGCGGCCAAACACACCGAGTACCCCGGCCATCAGCAGTTCACTCCAAAAGGCCAACGCACCGGCGGCAAATCCCACTCATGTCCTCACCGATGTATCGACGTCCAAGTCTTTCCAATCAGGGGTCAACAACATCCTGGCAAAGGCACCACCTATGAAGGCATCATGGCCTCTGCGCAAGGCTCATCAATCGGAAGAGATCGCGGCTTTCCCCTCACCATCCGGAAGACCAACTCATATACCGCTCTCCATCGCCCCTGCGGACAGCTCAACAGGGAAGGCTTCTCGTCTGCAGACACAGGTGTTGGGCTCCAAGGAAGTTGTTCCTTGTCCAGGACAGATGTACGAGTCGATCGACGCGATTGAAAACGCCTCTGGCGATGCGAGCGGTCACGTTCGACACAGGTCCGGTCAGAAGATGAGCGGGCTGGAGATGACCCAGCATCTGATGGCTGGGAACACTGGTAACAGGAAAAGAACGTCCTCTATCCAGATCTACCAAGGAACATCGGAAGCCCGAGTCAGGGGAAAGTCACAATTAGATCACAGGCTCCCCGAAACAGTGGGGCACGAGTCTTTCGGAAAGAGGAAGAGGCAAGAAACAGACGACATCAGTGAAGACGGGCGGGTCTCTCCTCACAGCGCCCGACATCTGCCAGCCACCCCTGCCCCAGCCCGAGCTCGAAAGCAAAGCCTGGTCATTCCATCTTCCACTCAAGTCAGGCCATTGTCTGCGTTAGCAACGCCTGCAGGGTCTAGAGTAGTAAAGAAAGGATTGTCAACGATGATCACGCCGACACCAGCACAGAAACAGATTACGATGGGGCCCGTCAAGTCGCAGGCTGCAGTCTCTGCTACTCGTGAGTAGGCTAGCACCTGATCATCAAAGGTCACTGACATGCGATCAGACTCGAAGCTCGCCAGCCGACAGCCGTCTTCCACACAACACATGCCTCACCCTCAAGGACGCCCTGCGTTAAGTCAGTACCCCACCAACACTCTCGAGCGCACAGAGATGGGATCCTCCGCCCGAGCTCGGATGACACAAGGGCTCGAGAAGACTGAAGTTGGCAGCTCTGCTGCAGCTCCCAAAAGCCGACGCAGCCAAGGTGCCTGGACCCAGCAGGGGCTGATCAAGACTGCAGCTGAGAGCTCTATGCGAGATAGGGATGTGGGAGGGACACCTGGGCTTGGGCTGAGATTGGAAAAGACCCGGTTGGACATGGAGAATCCCCCTCAGACTGCGCCTCAAGCTCGAAGGTGGAACATGGAGGATAGCTCTCCCATATCTGACCGAGCCCACCTGGCGCCTGACGCAGCTTTCACTCAAAGCTCCCCCGATCCATCCTCCCTTCCTGGGCGTCGGAGCATGGCTCATGTGTCGGACTCCGGGAGGGAAGCAACTCTTTCCCCTGAGGCGCCTCCCGCAGTGACCCAGACTCTTCAACGCCTCCGAAGCCGGTCTCTTGGTCGACGATCCCTTGGTCTCCGTGCCCCACGCTCCTCTGCCTTCCTGTCTTCTCCTCAGACCCCTCACGCTCAAAGATCTCATCGTACACAGATCCCTCCTTCTTCTCAAAAGACACCCAACGTCTCTATGATGCCCAGTCGAACACAGAAGACGGTCGGACCTACTCAGACGCAAAAGTCTCGAGCGTCCCGAGCCACCCAAATCCAAAAGGTCACGCAGACCCAGCACCAAGTGTATAGTCAGAAGCAAGGCGGTAATCCTTTCGCTCAGTATCGATCACCTTTGAAGGGTGTTTAGCGTCAGCCGCAACGCCAATAGGGACTGTGAACCTGTAAAGTATCTGGGATAGCTGGGGTCTGTCGTTATATGGAGGCTTGGAGACGACGGCTGCCTGGTCGAAAAAGAAATCTGCGACTGGCGTAACAAGACGAACGTTATATTTCGAAGGAGAGAAAACAAAACGAACGTTATATTTCGAAGGTGAGAAAGATCTAACGGACGATAGGCTCTAGTTATATATAGTAGCCAGAAACATGTATAGTCTATATGTCCAGTGGCCATCCAGGCCATCAAGTAGCTCCAGTGTAAATACATACCAGAGAGATATGAAAGAAGAGGAAAATTAAGCCCACGACTCCGACAAGACTCCGAGCCTGTCTACAGACTGACCCAAGAATGCACACCCCCAGCATTGTGTAGGCTCGACTGAGAGATCTTGACCCTGCCCATCTCCCCAACCCCTCCTGTGCTTCTCCCAACAAGACCAGGAGAGAACTGCGCGTCCATCAATGGACTCGGTTGGCCACCACCCATGACACCAGACGCCCCGCTCGCAGCTCTTTGACCACCCCCGAGAGACGCACTCCCCGGTGCTGAAACAGCAGCTTGTACGACAGGCAGATATCCCTCCACACTCCACTCATACCAAACCCTTTTCCCTCGCCCGTCTCCCATCCTCCACACATTCACCACAAGTTCGCTGCCACTGGGGAGATATAAAGGCTCTTTGAGTGGGAAGAAGAGGGGGAACCAGGAGAAGAGGTCGGGGGAGACGACGTGAGCGTTGTCGGGATGGATGGAAAGGCCAATGTCTCCATAAAGATGGGCTTCGAAATATCCGGCGAGGCCATGTAGTGTAGACGCGTGGGGGATGTGGAAGGTATGGGTACTCGCGCGAGTGTTGTGCGAGTTGGTCAGAGGTAATCCTGAACAATGTCTGTCAGATTATACAATCTTGGAAGATGAGGAACACGTACCTTTGGTATCTACAGCGATGTCCCTTCTGGGATGCACAAATTGCCAACACTGCTGTACTCTCTCCCCACATCTCCAGCTTACGCCGGGAACGTTGTTGTCGCCTGATATCAAATTAACCTGCGACATCATCACGACGTGAGGAGTCTCGGATGTGCCGGGTTTGGTGTATTGGCCGTGGGTTGCCTGGTGAAGGATCGTAGTGGAGATCGGGGCGATATGGGCGGTATATGAGGTTGGTATCGATATACCAGTAGCTGTGACATTATGAGCAAGAACAATTTGAGAATATATGCGGGCGATTTACGCTTCAGCAATCTCATAGCACCATCCAAACACTCTGGACTCCCTTCATTGTCCCCGAAACTGCCCAACAACTCTGAGACCAACAGGTCACAGAGCTCCACCGCGTCTCCCACCCTGCTTCCCGCTTCTTTCAGATCAACGCTGCGCATATCGCTAAAGACAATGTTGACATTGTCTCTCCATTCGAGCTCTTTGCGTTCTTGGAGAGTGAGGAAGGCGCTGGGGTTCTTCTCGACAGCGTAGATGGTAGCTTGGCGGCTGGCGTGAAGGAGGGCACGTAGAGCGCAGTCCACGAGTGGTCCTCGCCCTGCACCCACGACCGTGATGACGCTATCGATCATCAGTCATTGGTCTATGTGGCGTTGGAGAGACTCACTGCTTCTTGTTGGCGGGCAGGTCCATCAAAGCCTGCGTGATAGCGCTCTCATACCTCTCATACTTGACCGTATCCTTCTCAAACCCAGCATACGTCTCACTAGCCAGATCGTCTTCCAAAGGTCTCAACGGGGCTTGCAAGTAATCCGTGTAATCCGCGTACAGGTCCGCGACCCCATTGGAAGGGAATGCCATGTGGGCAGAGGGATGGCCGGGAGTTGACGTCGACTGGGGGGTGGTGTGGGCTGGAGGGGTGTTGGTGATATGGCGTACATATTGAAGATACGCATGGGGACCGCCTGCAGGATGACGTTTGGCGGTGGTCTGTGAAAGGATGTATGTGGGGTTTTTCTGCAATTTTGTGAGTCTCTCGGACATTGGAAAGATGACAACACTTACCTTGCTCATACCGCGGATGAAAGCCTGGGTGGCCTTGCTCAAGACAGGGTAGCCTTTGGCGTTGGGTATGAAGCTCGTAGCGGGCAGCCAAACATGTCTAACTGGCTCGGCGATCCATCGGGCAAGCGCGCCAACGCTCGGAGGAAGAGGGTTGGTCAGATCCAAAGCTTTCAAGTGAGTCAATATTTGGTTCATCGTGAATCGAAGAGCCACTTACTGACACTCAGTCGAGGGTGGTACCCGCAGATTGTCCTAATACAGTCCCACATCTCCCAAGTTGAGCTCATCTCCTCTACCTGCGTCGTGCCCGTCCTCGTTGGGGGCGCCTGCAGCGCTGCACCGGCCACTGAGAGCGGTGCTGACATCATTGAGCTCGCCCCAGAAGTGATCCTCTGACTCGCAGCAGCCGCATTCGGGGCAGGCATGGGAGCTTGGTTGGTATTGTTGGCAAACAGTGCCATCTGGGCCTGCATCGACTGCGGACGAGTAGACAGAGAGCTCAACCGCTTGTGCTTCTTGTCCGTCTGAGCCTGTACGGGAGGGGGCTGGTTGAACGGGATAGGAGAGATTGCACCGCCGGTTTGGACGTCCTTGATGAGCTCCATGGGGTCAGTGACGGGGATTCTGACAGAAATTTCTGTGACGGCCTTGTCACCGCCCATCTGCAGTAATCCCATAATAGCTCGGGCATAAGACGGGAGATGGGCGCGGTTCAAAGGCGAAGGGGCGGGGATGATGAGGGTAGGGAGAGAGAGGTACAGAGCTTGGGCATACTCTGCTTTAAGTGCCTGCCAAAGATGTCAGCTCTGGATCGCATGCTTACGCGACGAAAAGTTCATACCAATTCAGAATCGAACCTGATCCCTTCATCCGCACTGTCCATTTCCAGCCACTCACTCGCCACCGCGAGCACTCTCCCTTCACTTCCAACACCTCCCACTTCTTCAATACGCGAAATGTTCACTTCTTCTCTTTTGAGACCCCCATCCCGCCTCCACAAGTCCGCCTCACGGTCGACGACGCGCCTCTCCTGCTCTAGCTTGTCGAGTTCGGCCGGCGAGATGGCGTCCTCATCAAAGACGGGATGCAGACACAGTTTCTCCCAGCGGTCTTGCCATTTCTGGTTGGAGAGGGGAAGAGAGACGAGGTCGTAATCGGTGGTTTGAAGGGTGGACTGGACGACCTGTTGTAGGGGCGATGGGGACGGGCGGGGGTCGATGGGCGGCGCGGGCAGAGGCGCAGGGAGGTGCAGCGCGACGTTGTGGCGCGGCATGGCAGAGGGTGGGAGTGTGGATGGAGGCGTGAAATGAAAGAGGAGATGGGATGGACTGAACGCGTTGTTCCGCGGAGAAAACACCGCGAACGCGTCAGGCCTGGGACGAGCTGCGATCAGTGTGGTATATGAATATAGATACGCAGCAGATGAGAGGATGCATGACTACTATATATGTGCCGTGAAAGCGTCTAGATATATATGTAGAAGCAATCGCCATTTCAAGAGCATCGTTATCAAAGCATCGTCGAGTGAAAGAAGAAAAAGCCTGAAAACCGAGAAAACCTCATCCACTAGCCCTACATTAGTGCCTCAAACAGGCCTCAAACCCTCCTCTCTATTCATCTCTGGGAACTTGTATTGATACAGCATCGTGATAGAGAGACTGATGATCAGTCATCTTTTGGCCTAATGTGTGTGGTTGTGGTTGTGAGCAACCTCGCCAGATTCGGAAGGAGGCTTGCTAGAAGAAGCAGGGGGGCAGCAAGTGTCACCTTCACAGTCCCCGGGAGGGCAGCGGATGAGACAAGCCTCGGCAGAGGTGTCGGCCTCGTCGTAAAACCTAAAAGCCAGTCAGCATGCAGAAGACGTACAAAAAGCTGTGGCTTACTCGGGCTGAATGGTGACACTGTGGATACCGTGGCTATGCATCTTCTCCCTGATGCCAGAAGCAACCTCCATGTAATCTTTGCCGTGCTCAATGAGCACATGCACACTGGCCACCACCGTGCTCTCGCTGAGCTGCCAGATGTGGAGTTCGTGAACAGAGTCAACACCGTCTACATCGACGATGGACTGGCGCACAGCGTCGAGAGAGACGTGGGAGGGGACACCTTGAAGGAGGATGTAGGAAGCAGATTTGCAGAGAGGGAGGGCGGAAGAGAAGATGATGCAGGTGATGACAAGAGAGACTCCGGGGTCAAAGTAAAGAGTCCATCGGCCTTCAAAGCTGTGACAGAGTTAGATCGAATCGTTCGGAATGATTTACAACTTACAACCAAATCACGAGACCAGCAGCGATGACTCCGACGTTACCAAGAGCGTCGCCCAAAACGTGCAAAAAGACACCTCGCATGTTCATGGACCCATGAGAATGACCATGGCCGTGCGAGTGTCCAGCCTCAGCGTCGTCGACATTCTTGGCCATCTTGCCGTGGTCGTGCGCGTGGTCATGCTCACCCTCAGCATGTGAATGTCCGGCGTGAGAGTGGTCGGATGCAGACGAATGATCCTTGGGCTTGCCAGCATCGACGACAGTAGAAGACCCAGTGGAAGAAACCTCAGCACCAACAGGGAGCAAATCCGCGTTTTGTCCAGGGATCGGACGTGTGGTGCTGTTCATCCTCCCGTGAGGTCTAGAGATACTCGCCCTGTTCGACCTCCTGGAGGCACTTGGCGCTCGTCCGTGCGCAGACAACGGTGACTTGCCCATGGCACTGGAATCGAACGAGGAAGCCACCTGGGTAGAACCATAGCCGAACTCCTGAGCGGTCTCAATAACCTGAGCTCGTGTCTGTGCGGGGTGCTGGTAGAGTTCAGAGACATCATCGCGAATGAGGGGAGTTTCTTCGTTGGCGTCAACGTCGCCACCAGGGAGGGCGATAGCGCCATGTGAGTGTCCGCCGTGAGAGTGTCCGTGGTCTGTTGCGATTGCGTTAGTGCGTCCCAACACGCATTTGAACTCTAGACCTACCGTGGAAAAGGAAGAGTCCGACAATGTTACTCAGCAATCCCAAACTGCCGACAAACACGATCAACTGAGCATTGCTGATCTCGGGAGGAGTGACAATCCTGCCAACAGCTTCGAGACCGATAGAAACACAAAGAGCGACGAGGAAGACACTGTTGATCAAGGCTCCGAGGATTTCAGCCCGTTGCCAGCCATACGAATTGGCAGCTGAGGACGGAGAAGTGGCTAGTTTGATGGTGTAAAGAGCTACCACGAGAGATAGGACATCGCTACAGTTTTGTCAGAACAGATCTCGAAATGTGTCGAGAGAACATACTTGAGCATGTGGAATGAATCAGCCACAAGGGCAAGAGAGCCGACGGCATAGCCCGTGATGAGCTCCTACTTGAGTCAGCAGAGAGCAAGTGGAGCGTGGGGACTGACGATGAAGAAGAAGAGGGTGTCAATGGCGAGGAGGGTCTTGATCCTTGCCTGTCGTGAGAGCCCCATGGTGGCGATAAAATTCGAGAGAGATGGAGAAGAAATGTTGAGAGCACTTGATAGCCGACCCACGACCGCGGGAGACTCGCTTATTTACGAAAGTATTTAACCATATTACATAGGAACAGGCGCTCGGCGAATCTTTCCTCAATCTGGATAACCGACTGGACAACCGACAGAGAACGAGTTGGATGAGCATACTCGTCTTGATACCTATTGTCCTTGAGAATGTCCTAACATGTGACCCATATACCGACACTGTTCTTACATCAAACATGACCACCTCCTACATTGTACTCTGACCCCTCGAACGAGACGTAAGACAATGACCCGCACGGTCAACATGTGATAGGCTATCCATGAACCTTGGCAGTTTGATCTCTATGAACAAGAGCAGAAAAGGAATGAGAAGGCCCAAAAAATAGTCCTTCAAAACATGATGTTACAAGATACCGTATCAAACTCTCCACATCCCAGGACAGATCGCACCAACATCACAACATCACACAATCTCTTTAGAGCTGCAGGTCCTCATGAATCTCGAGCTCTGCCCGCACAGCTTCATCTACGTGTCCGTCCCAGCGCCAAACCTCGTATCTGTGATTGAGATCGCGCCTGGCATGGATACCGAATCCCTTTGCGTCTGGCGAGAGCTCGTGAGAGGCCTCTTCGGAGCCTTGGTTCGCAGCAAAGCCAACAGAGTCACCGCTGCCAATCTCGAATCCACCTCCCCGCCTCTGTCCAAAGACATAGATGACTTCTTTGACTCTCGAATGCAAAAGAGCCATAGAACACATCACACAAGGCTCATGGCTCAAGAACAAGCACATTCCCGTCAACAAGTAGTCGGCGCCGTTTCTCGCCGGAGTCGTATCGGCGAAAGGCGGTACGGTGCGCAAGTGAGCGATGTTGGCCACACAGTTGAGGACTGCATGGCGCAGAGGGTGGCTTTCCGAATTTCGAGTGTCGTGAGAGGAGGCACGAAGGTTGGGAGTAGGTGCGATGAAGCCACCATCAGACTTGGGCCAGAAGGCGTCTGGAGGAGAGATGCAAAAGGTCGCAACAGGGACCTCGCCATTCCTTTTGGCCTCCAAAGCCAGTTCCAACACTCGTTTCACACCACTGGCTACCCAGGCCTTCTTGGTCAGGGACCAGCCAGCTTCAGAGGAGCTTGAAGGCACTATCGGAGCGGGAGAGAAGGAGACGGGCCAGATGTGATGCTTGTATTTGAGCTGTTCTTGGGTGCGAGCACCTGTGGCTGGGACAGACCAGGTCTTTGGGGATAAAGTGCCGAGGTCGGGGGAGAAGGCGACCATGAGGGCGGAGAGGGACTCGGAAGAGTGCTCATCTATAGGGCAAAGGGCTATTCGACATATTTCTGAAGAAGTGTCAATAGATTGCGGGATACGGTTGGTCGACACATACCTAGATCATTCTCTTTACGTCGACACACCCGCTTGAGATGTCTCAATCGCTCGTTGACATCGTTCGGCCATACCTCTTTTGAGAAACTATTGCAGGTCAGCACAGGTCTGAAACAGCAAGCGTTACTCACTTGAGAGCTGTTTTGGTCAACTTGGGATCAGTAAACTCTAATATCCACACCTGTACTGACACCAACGTCAGCATGTCACTTAGATTTTGACGGGCTAATCTCACTCAGATCCTTATCCTCTCCGTCATTCTCGCTCTCTGCAGGTCCCTTGATCCTTATTGTCTCTCCATAATCGACCCCCTCTACTTTGCCGTCCGGCATGTTATCTCTCCCCTTGGCATCTTTCCATTCGTCATCAGACCACTTCAGGTCCGGTACAAGACCTGCACGCTGCTTGGAGCTCGATCGCGAGCTCACATCCGGCTCATGTCTAGATACGCTCCCACGGGAGGGTGAAGACGTAGGCGTACCGCGTCTAGAAAGAGCTTTGTGGGCTGAGCTATGCAGAGGAGCGGGTAGAGCGTTGGCGGGGATAGCATGCGCTGCATTGTTTGCGGATGACGGTCGCGAGGCAGGGGGCGAAGAAGTGAGAGATGGGAATGAAGGCGCTCGGATAGGTCGGGGAGCCTGTATCGGGGGAGACACGGGATCAGAGTCTGATGTGGCTTGGAGGGAACCAGCTGTCCTGATAGAGGATGTAGAAGCAGCAGCCTTTCTACTTTCCCTCTCCTTCCTTTTCCGCTCGACCTCCTTGTCTTCCTCGACTTCCAAACCCATGATCCTCTCTTCGTCATCCTCGCTATCTTCCCCGTTCTCTTCCTTACGAGCAGCAGATTCCCGTTCGTCGGCAGGAACGAACCACAGTTTGGACTGATCGGCGGCGTAGCAGATGCACAATTCTTCGCCAGGCGAGATGGAGCGGGATGCGAGGAATTTGATGGTGCGAGATTGGGGGGATCGTATGTAGTTGACATTGGGTTTGGGAGAGTGGTTGAATAAGGATGCTGCGAGGGCGTATTGTCAGCATGCATCCACACGATCACCATTCACCACGCTGCCTGCAGGCGAGGGACGACGCCCATCACACTGCAAAAGAGAAAAGAGTACTGACCGAGTCCCAAGCCCAAACCCATGCCCCCTCCACTCCAACAGAACCCGTAGCTCCCCAGTACCGTGTCGTCCAGCCCCTTCTCCTCCCATTCCTCCTTGCTGAAAAGCAGCACTGGGCTCTCTTCAATCAGTGTTCCAGCCGGAATGGCTCGATCCGTAAAGACACCATTGCCCCGCTGCGGGTGGGGCAGGAGATGCAGCGAGAGGGGATTTATTGGCTGAGGGGGACCATATTCCGAGCTTGGTATGGTAGTAGGGATAGTAGCGGGGATTCCTGGTAGAGGGTCGTCCGAGGCATTGTGGGTGTTCATGAATTTTCCGCTTGTCGGGTAATTTTTATTGTAATCTGTACTTTCTGATGCTTGAAAGCGTGCTGTGGGGCCAGGGATGGTCTACCGGAAAATATACAGCTTGCGGTGTTGAGAGGGGGCGTGGGAGGGGGTGATGGTATAGAACAATGGAGGAAATGGAAGTGAGATGTAGATTCGGAAATTTTGGACGAGTGCACCATGAATTCGAGCTGGACGCGTTTCAAAGAGGCAATCCATGTGGAGTCACTCAACTATCCGCTTGTTCTATTAGCAGACGGCATCTTATATACATATCTATCCACGGCGTAGCATACATAGTCTATGGAGGGGTATCTTTGACAGATCTATACGCTTTATCAGCATAGCCTCGCCACATGTCCTTCCCACATACTCGAGTCATTCCTCATTCAACCTCCTTCTCCTTCTCCTCAGGCTGAGGACTCGGCGTCATCAAACTCATCTTGAATTCTGGCCGACCGTCCTCCCCCTCGCTCGACTCTAGCGATGACGCCCAGGGGTTCGACTCTGCTGGTATCTGTGTCGACACGGGTCTCGAAGAGGGTATATCAATCGGGGGTGTGGCTGTGGATCTACCTTGTTCCGGCACTATAGACATTGTGGCGTGTTCCTTGCTCAAAGGAAGCACCGGTAGGGGCTGGTGGAGGACGTCGGGGAATGAGGGTTGGGTGGCAGGCGGTGAGGTGGGAGGTGACGACACGTGGTGGATAGACTTGCGCAGAGCAGCATAGTGCTTGTCCAGATCTCGTGGTTCGAGCTTTTCAGACCCCGGAAGCGACTTGTTTTCCGCCGGCTCCTCCTGCACTCCCGGGGCAGGCGAGTCCACCCTTCCACCAAGCACCTTGACAGTTTCCTTCAAGGCATCCTTCTCCTCCCTCACTTCCTTCAAGTTCTCTTCTGCCTCTGCCCGCTTCTTTCGCTCGTCCGCCACCATCTTGTTGGCTTCCTCAAACAGCTCCTGGCTGAGACTCTCAAGCTCCTCTTCCATCTCCTTCTTGCCCGATTTGAGATCAGCAACTTCGGTGGTAAGAGCGCTGATCTGCGCGACAGCAGCAGAGTACGCTTGGCGGAGCTGGGTAATGTCGGCGCTTTGGGCAGGGCGGGCGATAGTGGTGGTCCCGCCCAAGGACCGAGAGACGCTCGAATGACTCTGTGTCCTGCTGACCCCAGGCCGTTCGTTGGGCATGGCCGCTCCATACGGTATCGCGCTTCCGCCAAAGTAGTCGCCACTTGATCTGCCCTTGCTAGCATACTCGGTAGTGGGCGAGGAGAAAGAGTCGACTATCGAAACAGCACTGGGAAGATTGAGATTCCCAAGCTTCTTCTTGTTGTTGGAGAACCAAGAGGATTTCTCCGAACCATTTGCCGGTGCAGATGCAGGGGCGCCGGCGGGATCAAGAGAGGACAGCTGAAGGTTGGACGGTCGCTGCTTGTCGCCCATGGCAGAAATAGGCCGGCTGGGGTGCGTCGACGTCACGGGGCTGCTGACTGTCCGCTGATTGATAGGCACGACAGGCGTGGGACCACGAGCCAGCTGGGCTTCGAGCATTTCAGTGTTGGCCTCTGCCATGGCGAGATTGGAGCGGGCGATCTTGAGGGATGTAAGAAGAGACGAATGAGATGTCAAGAGGGCGTTTTGTGATTGAGACTGTATCATTGTTAGTGGTGGTCAACTTGTGGCTCTAGACGTACCATCTGGCCGACCTTGGCCAGGACCTCTGCCAGAACGATCTTGAGATCATCGTGGGAAGCTGGAAATACATCGTCCACTGGAACGACGGGTTCGACCTTTGGCTCGGATTCCGAGTCAGTCTTCTCCGGCACCTCAACAGGCTCGTCCTGTACAAAGTCCTTCACTGCCACAGTCTCTTCCGCTGTCTCCTTGTCTTTCTTGCTGCTCACTTCCGAGACCTTTTTCTCCTCATCATCGCTCTCCTCGTCTCCCGCTCCAATCTTCTGATACCCCACAGCGCCTCCTTCGTCATCACTACTCTCTTCGTCCTCCTTCTTTGAGCTTTTCCAGAAGCCGAATCTACCTGAGCCGGAATCCTGCCGTGAAGGTTTGGCTTTCTGAGATGGGTTTCCACTACCAGCCTGTAAGGGTGGAGGCGGTGGAGGGAGGAGGGGGAAGGCTTTGGATTCGGCCGGCTTGACCGGTTCGGGAGAGGCCTTTTTCGGAGTAGCAGTCGTAGCTGGCTTGGGGATGGCTGATTCAGACAGGGTGATACCGGCCAAAGATGCCCACCTCCTGAGATCATCCGCAGACACGAGCCCCTCTGCAAAATTGTGGTTGGCAATGTCGCCCTCCTTGACGGTAGTCGCCAAGTCTTCGGACGACACTTTGGGCGTCTTGGGCATAGGGGCGTCTTGCTGTTTCTCCTTGGATTTGACAGACTTGGGCGTAGCCTTGGGATCAGAGTGGTGCGTGTGCTCGAGAAACAGCGCCGGTGGAAGAGGTTTCTCGCAGAAGGGACACATCACCGGGTCCTCCCCCATCCCTGGCACGCTCTCAATCTTGAACCCCTTCTGCACGGGCGTCTGAGGCCGGGTTCCCCCAGCTTCCTGTTTCTTCAACGCCTCCCTCCTGGCGGTCATGGTTTCGCCCTCATCCTCGGAGAAAAAGTCGTTTGAGATCTGGGACAGCTGGCGGCCGATGTTCTTGAGCCGCGGGGGGAAGGAGACGCTGGGAAAGTCGAAGGGGGGCTGGACGACGCCGCCGGGAGAGTGGGGGGCGGGGGAGGCGGAGCGGGAGGGGGGGCGCGAGCCGTAGGGGCTGTAGAAGGCGCTGGGGCCCGCGGGGTGCATGGTGAATGACAGAAAGCGCTTGGAGAGTGACGGTGGAATTGAGAGTTCAGACAAACAAGGCAATGACGTAATGAGTATCCACTATCTCTTCGTCTCTCTTCGTTCTCTTGGTAGCTCTTTCTGACACTCCCACCCAGATGTCTCGGCGATGTCATCTCATAGTCTGACCCTCTCCTTTCCTACCTCTGCCATCAGAGCACTGACTGCCGACGCCTCCTTTCCCGGCCAGGCAAGGGCGTATGGAGCCATGCTTCTCATATCACCCACAATGACTTACCTTCATCTTCCTTGACTCCGGATACTTAAGACCATCAAAATCGAGATCTTTGGGCATATTCACGCACCCGCCCATCATGTCTTCACCCGTCACCTCTCAAGGCTCTATGGAGGGAACTCTGAGTGAGAAGGGCGTCATCTTGGAACAGCCGACCGAGAAAACTTTTATGGGTGAACCAATGCCCTTATCGCTTTGCCTACCCTACTAATTCACACCATAGCCCCCGCACCAGACCAGGGGCCCCAGGCAGTCTCAGACAGCTCCGTGCAATCAGCTTCCTCTTTACCGAGCAGCATGGGAGACGGCGAAGTCGGCGGCGAACAGCTTCTCAACCACAATCCTCCCTGTTCAGACTGTTGTTGCAGCTATGGATGTGAGGTATCTGTGCAGGGGATAGGTGAATGCTGCGTGAGCGAATACGACTGTACGTTGACGCATCAGGTGCTGACTAGAGCAGGATATCATGGCGGAGTGTTTGACGGAAGCGCTGCAAGGTTGTGTGAGTCCATCATCTTGCTTGCCCTATTATCACATTGCTGAGGATGCTCATAGCTGTCGTGCATGACATGTGATTTGGACTGAGCCTCAGCTGTCTCTGGTAAGAGCCTGGCAGTTCAGCCGGGTGGACGTTATTCCCTATTAGCATCTTGATGGTGGCCTGGAGTGGCTCACACATTCTTATATAATTCTAGTACCTTGAGTTGTATTCATAGAGTTGACTGATATGCAGAGCAAAAGCGACCAAAAATCTGCTCACGCTCCCCTCATTTGCACAAACACATACCTGAAATGCATACAGATAGATAAAATTATCTTGGTTTTGGGCTGCTCAAACACAGCCCCCTTCACTCCCTTTTATCACAGTATAGAAAAAGAAGAAAGACCCAATAGAAATGCGAAAAAGAAATCGCCCTTCCTCCTCCGCCTCCGCCACACGACACCACTACTGCTACGGTTTTGAAAGAGAGAGAAAAGGTTATAACTGTTCACACATATATAGTGTATAAGAGAAGAATATGCTGGGTTACAGTTGGAGTAAGAGGGGGTATCAATGATGAGGGAAAGGTATTGTCGACAGTGAGGGTTCAGGGGGCAATTATCAACAATGGCAGAGACAAGACAAGGCAAGCCTATGCCTATATGCAAGAAAAGAGTGGGGTATATAGCTCCATCCGCCGAGCTTGGTTTATTCAGCCTCCACGCAGCACAAGGCTTCTTACATCAAAGGCATGGAAGGCCCGTTGTAGTAGCCTCCAGCGGAAGGGTCTTGCCACCGGCCTTCCTCCTCTTGTCCGGAAGCACCCGTCATTTGCGCGGGCATCCCTTCCTGCTGAGCGAGGTGCCAGTTGGGCGCGGGCCCACCGGCGGGTCCGCCTCGGAGGTGCAACCACGGCTGGCCATCAGGTCCGGGAGCGTGGTAGCTCACGCCGGTATGAGTGGGACCAAGGGGCGCGCCGTGAGGGTCACGGGGTCCACCGGGCCAAGCGCCGTGGGGTGGAGGCGCATGGGGATGCTGGTGGGGATGGGCACCAGGGTGACCGGGGTGCATGGCAGGAGCATGGCCGTACTGCATGAAGGGTCCACCACCGCCGTAGATGTCGGTAAGAGCATTGATGTGCTGCAATTGGGGACGACCGATGTGGCCTCGCGAAGAGTTGTAGTTGCCGCCTCGACCGCCTCCACGGTCGCCTCGGTCACCTCGCTCGCTTCGAGAGTTGTAGCCGTTGTAGGGTTGGAAGGAAGCGTCTTCACGGGCGAGCTTGGACTGGATTCGCTTGCCGTAGGGAGTGTTGCGGATCGAAGGGAGGATAGGTCGAATGCACTCGACGAGCTGGGATATTGTCAGCGCGACTCGGTCATCACATCATCATACTCACGACCATGCGCTGGCCAATCTCACAGTAGTCGAGTATGGTCTGAATAACATAGTTTCCGTAGCTGTCCCGAAGGAGCTTTTCCAAACGAGAGCGGTTAAGGACCTCACCAACGAGGACCTTTCGGATCTCAGGGTCGGCAACTCGGATGCACTTTTCGACAACGTTGGAAGAGAACCTGATTGGTGTTAGAATGAGACACAAGTACACTGTTAAGGACTCACTTCTGGACAGACAAGGAGCAGACGTTGCCGATAAAGGTCCTGATCAGGGGCTCGGAGAATCGCGCGTCGTTCAAGTCCAAGATGTACTGGATCACATAGTTTCCGAAGGGGTCCTGCACCAGATACAAAGAGTTGAAGATGATCTCGGTCACCAACTGCATCCTCTGAGCAGGAGAAGCATGGTCAATGCTTCGCTGGAGGACACAGCAACCATGTCGGTGGGTGGCAACCTCGATGAGGTTGGCAGCGATGGCATTGTAGATGAATTGGTTGTCTTCCGGGATGAGCTTGTTCAAGCATTTTTGGATAACCTAAACGTGTATAAGCTTTGTGGTAACGTTACCGATAAGATAAAGACTTACATGGTTACCGTTCAAATCCTTGATCAAGGCGACAACGTTCATGCTCAATGCGAGAATCAATGTCCTGATTTGCTTGGGCTGTCTAGGCTGGGCCAAAAAATCGACCATCTTTTGGACCGCTCGAGTTCCGTGCATGTTCAAAGAAATTCCGACAAGGTCGTTGGCGACCGAGTCGATGATGGCCGACCTCTGGTCCTCGGTAGAGTACTCGAGGAGCTTTTGACAAAGGTAGTTGCCGAAAGGATCAGTCATGAGTTCCGGGAAATGGCCATAGGTCTCGTTGAAGATCATGTCGCGGTGCTGGGGGTCACCCTCTTCGAGCTTCTTTTGGAGGTATCGGCAACCGTGCTGGTCCTTGCACAAAGACAAAAGTTCGCCCTTGAGGTCTTCAATCCTCACGCCGGCGAAACGGTTGAATTCGCGGTCCTGGTCCGCACGCTTGTTCTTCAGGCCCATGGATCCACCAGGGTAAAGAGAGCCTGAACCGTAACCATCCTCGTCAAAGCCGTAAGGGTCGTAGGCGACTTGAGGGGTAAAGGCGGCGGCAGCGACGGCGGCAGAGGGAGGAAGGCTGGCGGGAACGGGGGAGAACGAGTTGTAAATGTCATTATAAGGAGGCCTCTCAGCGCCCATGGCAAAGCCAGAGCCAACCTTGCCAAACGCCCGCGCGAGGTCGGGGTTGGAGTAGCCCCTCTGCGCCTGGCTCAATCCATCGTGGTCGGCCCTAGCCCCACCGGCACCCGCAGCGTTGGAACCAAAGCCAAAGGGCGTGCCGGGCACGCTCTTGGAGGGCATAGGAGGCAAGCTGGCGATGCTGTCGGCAAGGGCGGCCGTGGGAGAGGTCTTTCGAGAAGTGAGCAAAGTAGGCTCACGAAGCTCGTCAGACATGAGGCCAGTAGCTTGCAAAGGGGAGGTGACGCCAGCTCGGGCAGCAGCAGCGGCAGCAGCGGCAGATCCGGGGGCAGCAGAAAACTGGGGCCATTCGGAGGTCTTGAGAGAAGTGTCAAAGGGACGAGTGCCGAACGCTCGGGGAGGGGTGTTGGAGAGGGGGGCGAGGTCGAGAGCAGCAGAAGCAGTAGAGAGACGCTTGGGCTCCTTGGGGATTCCGGGGAAGGGGTCGTCGTCGTTCATACCGAGGTACTTGACAGAGCCTAAAAATCCATCAGCGTGATCTTTCCAATCCAAAATGTACGCACTCTGGGCACCCTCGGCATCCACATCGTCGTCCTCTTGCCGCCACTCCCTCCTGGGTCCATCCGCCATACCACTCAAGCTCAGCTTTTCCATGCCAAAGGTGTTGCCATAGGTGCTTGTCCTCCTGCTTCCCGGCATACTCTTTGCTCCGTTCAGACCCTCCCGCTGGGTGTTTCCAGTAGGCGGACCGATAGGGGCAGGGGCCTCCTTGGTGCTGTCGTGGGGGGCAGCCCCCAAGGCGCCAGGGGGCGTAGTCGGGGCCGACGCGATTTCACCAGCAGAGTGGCCGGGAGTGTTGGTCGACAAGAGCTGACGTTCCTCGGCCAGCTGATTGGCCTCGAGCTCGCGCATCTGCTGCTCGAATTTGGCACGTTGAGCCTGGCGGGCGCGCTCATGCTCGACGCGCTTCTGCTCGAGACGGTCTACGGTGACCTGGTTGGAAACTTCGGACGTCTGAGCGAGATCCAAGGCCTCATGTCCGTTTTTCACGTCTCCGGCAACGTTCCCGCCCTCGACGTCCTTTGGGATGGTCTCTGTGGCCATGGTTTTAATAGATGTGGTTGCGTTTGGATGGGATTGCGAGCTTTACAAGAAGCAGGTCTAACGTCAGCGGAGTTCGAACATGTGGCAGCATGATGAAATTTGCGAGAAACGCACTTTTTGCGACAAGCAATCCTATGTGTCGTTCCACGTGGTTTTTTGTCGAAAGGAGAGAGAGGCTGCGAGGATATCAGTCAGCGTTATCCCTGTCAATGGAAGCGCACATGGTTCCAGCACTGAATGCGGGCGGACCAGGGACTCAACGACTCACTGAATTCGGCCCAAGTACCCAAGAAAGCTTCTAGAAGTACAGTCTAAAGCAGCGGAGTGGGTGGTGGTACAGGTACAACGAGTCCGAGGGTCGTCCCGGGGAGTCTATGTCTATGGAGGCGGGTTTTGAGGTGATAACTAGACTTGCGTGAAATAATTTGTATGCGGAAAAACTGCCACCAGGTTCACAGCCCTAACGCCGAATATTTGATCCCGTTATCCACTCAATGAACGCCCTTTACAAGCCACGAGCATGCATTGGAGGGAGCGAGTCTGGACGTATATGCAGATTGGAACAGTGTGCAGCATGGACGAAAGCAGGAGCAATGTAAATGTGGAGAGCCATAGCATCACGCTGTACAAAACCCATCCCTAAAGCTCATAATTCGGCTTAGCGATACGCTTAGTTGAACTTGTCGAAGCCGATGACCTTGGACTTCTCACGGAAGCACTGTCGGCAGAGGTCAAGACCCCTATGGAATAGTTAGCACCGTCCAGGATTCTCTTCTCGTAATGGAACATACCACTTTCTACAAAGGAGGTCAGCATTTATCGCACAGATGGGCCAAAAAGCAACTTACCGGATGAGACCGGCCTGGTGAGCACAGAGTCGGCACTGTCGGGAGCCCTTGCCGTAAGTCCTGGGGCTGGAAAGGGGTCAGCAACGACTTCTTCTCGGATTCCGAAGAGTCCCTCTGGATTCCATTCTCATTTTCTTCTAAGCGCCAAATCTGCTTTCTCTTGCGTGGTTCTCCGGGCACCGTATGTCGAATGGAGGCGGATGTAGAATTGCCAAAGAGTCGCAAGGTGTGTGGTGAAAGGCGATCACAGAGGTGGGCGTGCGCACACGGCAAGTGACACCTTTATCGACAACACCCAAAAAACGTCTCTGGCTCCCATCACCCGCTTCCATTCGTCTGCCCCTTTCGTTCTGACATTGCCCCTCATCCCGATAACCCCGCTTGAACCTCCAGATTCCTTTCCATCCCGACCGCCGTTGAATACAGGTGTTTGACCGCGTGCACTTACCGGGAGAACCAAACGTTAGAGTGAGCCCTACACGGTCTGTCAGCCTCCCGCGCTTATTGTTGGTATCCTGGGCCACTCACATATTGGATGATTTGAGGTTTATGGATTTGATGGGGTTTGGGCGTGGAGATCTGATGTCGAATGTCAGCAACCAGTCCCACGCATGGCCCCCGTGACTCCAGCCCTCGCAGCCACTAGACAGCTCCTCACCCCCCGCTCTCTCTACCTTCGTCCTGCGGCGATCGTACTCACTTTGATGGCTCAAACCGTTTTCGCTTGCTGTCTAGAAAATCCCAAAATGCTTTTGACATTCACTTCAAATCGTCGCATGCCACGAAAAACCGATTTTTTCGAAATACCGAAACACCGATTGATCCCGTTCAGCGCTGCGGTCATCACCGCCCGCATTATTTGTTGACGGAGAGACATTCTTAACGACTCTGAGTCTGCACTGGGAGCATAGCATCAAAGCAAACCTGCGTGAGCCTGCGCGGGTCCCATAGTGACTGGATACTATCAGACGTATATTTACAAACAGTCCTTGTACACGCTTTAAACTGCGGGTCACGATCTTAGTAGCATCTCGTCACCAAAGTCTTCTTCCCTATTCATGAAACCTTTCAACAGTGAGCTCGATCAGATACATACATGCTTCATCAACCAACATCTAGAAATACAACCTGACTATATAGCACATACGGACATCCTCACCTCTCGTACAGTCTCACTTCTGACCCTTCTCCCTCTCCGCCTTGATCACTTTCAGCTCCTCCAACCTCTCCTTCAACTTTGGCACCCCGAGCAATTTATGTTCCAGCTCCTGCTTTTCCTCCTGCAGCTTCAACCTCTTCTCCGCATCGAGCTCGGTAAAAATATACCCGCCTTGACCATCATATTGGAGGACCATCGAGTGATACTTCCAGAGCGAGGGGCGATGTGATACCGTCATGAGAGTAATACCGAGGGCTATCGCGGTATCAATCAAGATGCTTTCGATTACGCTCGACTCACCAGTAGCATGGTCGTACATTATCCTCTCCATCTCCAACGTCACAGCACTGGTACACTCATCCAATATAGCGTACTGTGATACATCAGCACCGTATCAGCAAGGCCACGTTCAGACTCACCTTCGGCTTGTGGTAGTACAGCCTCGCCATGGCGATTCTCTGCTTGTCTCCCCCACTCAGCGCATCTCTCCATTCCCTGACCACTCCCCATCCTCCTTCTCGCTCCACAACCGAACCCATCTCCACCACCTCCAGGATCTTGATCAGGTTCTCGTCGGAAGTGCCTCTGGCAAGCATGTCAGAGTGGGAGTGGGGATAGATGATCTGGTCGCGGAGGGTGCCGGAGGTGAGGTAAGGGCGCTGAGGGATGTATGTAAATTGAGATGCAGGAGGTTTATAAACAGTCCCGCCTGGTCATTGTCAGCTTCGCTCCAGTAAGAGACAAACGACCAACCGTAGACAGGCCATAGTCCACCAAGGATCCTGAAAAGACTACTTTTGCCACATCCATTGGGGCCAATCACCAGCAGGTGCTTCTACGTGGTCGTCAGCGCCCGAGACGATGATGGAAAAAGAGACGCACTCCGATTTCCACGTTGAAGCTCATGGACTTGACCAAGACGTCACCGTTGGGGCTTATCAGCGGCACTTTATCGAATCTGATCTCCTCCGACTCGATAATGTTGCCTCGGCCTTGAAGCACTGTCTACTTTGAGTGACGGGAGTCAATGACTTATGGAAAGGGGCTTACTCTTGGCATTATCTTCCACGCTAGCACCACTGACAAGCCTTTTTTGGTAGTTGCCCTTCTTCACGTCATCCATCGCTTCGAAGAGGTCGGATACCCGAGAAGTGTAGCCTGCCAGCTCTGCCAGTTCCTAATGAGAGTCAGCATGATCCGCACTGTAGGACAATACTGACCTTGTAGCTGTACATAACTCGTCCGAAGGCGTCGCTGGAGGAAAGCAGAAGTCGGCGATTGGTCACAAAGCCTGCGACCCATCAGCAGATATTCCGGCAGCTCGGATTACACACCCTCCGCCCGGCTAGCTAGATCTCCTCCCTTCATTCCCAGGAACTCTCGTCCAAAGACTGGTATCGCACAGATCCCCAGTCCCAAGCTGCCCCAAAGCCACTTGATGACCCCTTCCTCTGCCATCCCATGTCCAACCCTGATCCGCAACACCCGGTTGATGTGCTTTACCAGCGCAAAGTAGCCGCGCTCGATAATGTTCTTTTCAAACTCTTCGCCGTGGTAGAGAGCAACTTCCTCGGCAGACTCAAGGAGGCGAGAGTGGGTAAAGCGTAGTTCGCCTTCGAGTTTGGCTATGGCTTCTGTCAGCTTTGGCCGTTGAGTCTTGACGGGAGCGTACCTTCATGGGCAGCATATGCTCCAAACGGGGGAGTGATGGCTCTCACTGTGACATGTCAGTGTATGGCAAGACGCGGTAGCTAGACTTACAAAGTCCAGCGCTAGCCTGTACAAGGATAGTCAAAACCACAAGGCCCTCTGCTCCTACATTCTTCGATAGTTGATAGTTGTATAGTCTGCCTTCGTGTCAGCTGAGAGCCCCTGGTCCTCACACAGGACTCACATGACATCTAAAACGGGTTTCGCGATGTTCGAGTATATTTCTGCAAGCTTATCGCTGAACAACTGTATATCTACAGCCAAGTATTGGTCGGCGTTCTTGATTCTATCATCCAAGTTGGCGAGTTTGTAAAACAGCTGTTCGCCGCTCACATCGCCTTCTATCCGAAATTCGGGAGGATCCAGATACGCATTGAGAGCATGTTTGGTGAGGCGCGTGCGGTAAGCAAGTCCAAGTTCAGACTGGAGGTACTCGAGCATAGAGTTGGTATACGTTGCAGGGATGGCTATCAGGAGCCACCTGGTGATGTTCATCAGGAACAGTGTGGGGTTGGCAGTGACCAAAGAGGATACGATACTGCTCGAGTCAGATGAATTCAAAAGCTTATGATCGAAGCAACGTACCGACCGTCGAGCTCGGCCACATATAGACTGAGACCTGTACGTCCTACGAGAAAGGCCGAATGCAGGGCCAGCATGGCAGCTTCCCTGGTCTTGAGACTGGGTATGACGACCCTCATGAGCCTCTTTAGGCGCACATGGAATTTCGGATCGTTGATGGAGCCCGTCACACTCTTGCCTCCTACCACTGGTCAGTGGACGTTTCACATCAAGGCAAAGGCACACCTTTGCCCCGCCTTCCCCCACTTCTTTCTCTACCGCTACCCTTAGCGCCTTTACCCGTCAAAGATCTATAAGTAGATAGAAGGCAGTATATGACAAAACTTGCGGTGAGAGCCCGTTGTATCAATGGTCGGTGGCGGAGGTATGCGTTGATGAGCTCCTTGAGGCGAGAGCGAAGCACGGCTGTGGACTGTGTAGCAGTTGAAGACATGGCTGAGGGTCACTCCTGTTTGGGAGTGAAGTAGTGATACGTTCTTCAGGTTCTGGGTTAATGTTAGAGAGAGCTACATTCACTTGACAGCAACGAAGAGGAAGCCGGTGATTGCCGGCAAGGTGCGCTCGGGGGCCGAGCCAGCGGCAGTCCCCGTTCTCACTTCAGTGTTGCAACCAAGTTGCAACGTGCCAATAACAAAGAGTCACTCAGTCAGCCTGCAGTCAGCGCCCCAACGAACCTTAAGCTCCAACTTTTTTCGTCCCTTCTCCTCTACCCAATCCCTGTTTCTGGAGGTATCGTCACTCCTAAGTATGAACGCCCTCTCAAAATCTAAAGGGAAGCCCCGTTCGTCTTTCAATGGCTTACGAACTACACCCCACTCGTCGCACCCCATATCAACTTCCAACCCCTTGAATTCTTCTCTGATAGAGAAACAGATGAATTGCACCCCAAATATACGCCATCAATCAGTTTCCAGAGCGTCCCCGCCGAGTCCGCGACTCTACAGCAAGCCCAGCAGGCGGGAGAGGGCTTTAAATCAAAACTCTTTGGTTCCTTTCCTCGGGGAGAAGTGACCGTCAGAAAAAACGACAGCATTCTTCTCGATATCTTGGGGAAGTTGGGTTTGAATCCCAATGTTCTCTTCTCACCTGCGGATTGGGCATCATTCCAATACTACGATACCAAGTTCTGCGGCCCAAAGCTCACGCTCAGCGACCACGCCAATCCCATCGCTCTCCACACCCATCTGGGGCTCATGAGGTACTTTGACAACACCATGCTACATCCTTTGAACATGTCGATCGGCGACAAGGAGGCTCTATGGTCAAGTGCTATGAAGAGTTGTCACGGCCTGCTGGGACGCAGCAGGGGAGAGGACGGGAAAAGGTGATTTTGGAGGGGAAAAGACCTTTTCGGTATTATCGCATAGAGAAAGAGTAGAACAGTAGGATATGAATTGAGTATGTACACCGCGCGTCCTTCAACCATCCACACAACTCAGCGCCATGCCACTTCAGGGAATATCTACGTGTGACAAGAGTAGCCCATGGGAACCAATGACGTGACCCAGGAAACCTTCGGATCAGCAGACTTGTTATGCGGCGGCGCCTTCGCCGAAATTAAGGCGGACGACAAAGTCAAGGAGAGCCATGTCACGGATACTTCCAAAGATCTCTTTCCTGAAGACCAAGATCAACTTGCCTTCCCTTCTCAAAGCAGTGTATTGCAAAATTCGCCGTCTTCATCCGTAGATGCGACCATGAAGGAGTTTTTCTCTCAAGTGAGTTTTCATTGGAGGTACTTCGGCGCCGCATTGACATTGCTGTCAGGTGATTTGCGAGGCCCAAGTAAACAGACGTATCAGGGGCATCGTACTGCTCTTCAGCATCTGCTCTGTTGTAAGGTTAACAAAGGATAACGAGATACACATCAGTCACATCGTCAGAAGAGATGCCCCGGTACCCGGCAACACGTATACAAATTGCACCGCCAGTGCTTCTATGGCTACCATGATGGCCGCCATGGCCAGACTGCGGTCATTAGATCCCCACCACCCTATGCAGGTCATCTTTGACCGGCGACTCGCCGGTCCCAGTGTTCAGATTCCTACTTCCTCTTCCACACATCTTCCTTCTACACCAGATAAGAAGCAGGGATCTGGGAGGCAAATGAGAGAAAGCCAATCTGATCATTACATGGTGTGTACTCTTCCGTTTTGTCGAGTGGGCTTGCTGATTGGGTGTAGACGTGCGTGTTCAACTCGAAACTGAGATTTGTTCCTCCCACCAGCCAGCCATCTTTTGAAACTGTCGACTCTACGCCCCGGCAACAACATTCCCCTTGCTCTACCCTCATAGTTTCGTCTGGAACAGGTCATCCCGCCTGACGTCGCGCCTGATTCAAGCCATGCTCCGCCCGCCTCATCCACGCACGCTTCCGTCAGCAACTCCCACTCCCACCAAATCGAGTCCACTTCATCTCGCGCCACTGCTTCAAGTGACAAAACCATCATCCCCAAACATGCCGGCCATTTCCAAACTCTTCGCTTTGGCAAACTCATGGGGCGAGGAGCTCTTTGGGATGTATACGAGCTACCCGACACCCCGGGCTATGTGGCCAAGTTCTGCAGTCCCTATAGCGTGTTGCTCCAACGCGGTTATGACAATTTTGACGACCTCGACATCATCCTTAATGAACTCGTCACGGATACGCTACTGTCCAGTGACCTGTGGCCTGTGGAAAGGGTTTTGGGATCCGGCAAATATGACATATGGTGAAGATGGAAGAGGCCATGGGTGGTTGATGTATGTGTCAATCTAGGAGGATATGCGGTATGGAGGAGAATGACAGTCGGTGAACGACTGGAGCGACGTTGCGCTTCATATCCGGTGAGTTATACGAGACTCCTATGTTGATCTTCTTCTGACATTGACAAAATGGAGAAGAGACGGTCGAGTGGCTGAAGGGTGTCCATGAGATGGGGTCTACGAATGGCGATTTGGCACCAAGGCATCTCTTTTTCGCAAAGAACGGGAAGGGGTGGAAAATGATTGACTGGGGAAAGGAGTGTGAGCGCTCAGCTACAGAAGATGAGTTGTGGCGGGATGAGCTCAGTGACGAGTCCTACAACATGGGTCTCATAGTTGGCCAGTAATGAAATATACGTACCAACACACGATTACTTGTTGTACATAGCATCAGCGCTGGCGAGTGTTTCACGTATCATTACACGATCCCTGTTGTGTCAGATTCTATCGTTAGCGAGTATCATGTATGTGGCCTCATTCCTGAACAACAGTGCGGCACTGGCCTCGTTACCGCTCTACAGGCCGTTGGTCGATGACGCCCTTGAATACTACAGAAAGGCAACACAAGAGTGGTCAAGTGCCCGATATGCTTCTTCGAGTTTGATGATGTGTTGAGAGGGCGAAGGTCTCTTGAGGTATGTTGTTGACCCTTGCCGTGATTTCGTCGATCTTGGTAGACCATAATTACAGGCTATACAGTCAGTATATGCGTAGACACTTATTGTACCCAGACTCTCGGGCGGCATCAGACAATGAGATATGGTAGATCCATAGATGCCCGTCCCTATCTACAGTCCAGCCTCCTTCAGCGCCTCCACCACCTTTCCAGAACCACCCTCAGCCGCTGCCGCCTTCCTAATTTGTCTCCCACTCAGCGCTGGCGGGGGAATGACAGAGGGTATAGGGTCGTTGGGGAATTTGTGGGTGTCGCGTGAGAGGATGGAGTGAAGACGGAAAGATTTAGATTTGGATGTACGGGTGCCGTGGATGATGGTAACTTTGTCTCCTAGTCTGGACACTGTACCCGAATATCAGTGTTGGCCTTGTGGGACGAGCCGAGGGGACAAACCTTCTCCTTCGTCGTGGGCCAGATACTTCTTATGTCTCTTGACCTCTTTCAGAATTTTAGGATGTTCAAACGTCCGTTCGACCTATTGGATATCAGGCGTGTCCAGAAGGTGTAGAGTCTCGCTTACAGTGACGGTAGCAGTCTTCCTCATGACTCCGACTTTGGTGACGACACCCTTGAAGATGTGATTTGGTTGGTAGGGCATGGTGGGATTTGTGTCTCTTGGTGCGAAATTGATTGGCGATAGGGGTTTACAAGTGTGTCGGCGTGTTGGTGTCTGGCGTAGGGATACTGGACAAGGGGCGCATGCAAGGACAGTAAAAGTACGAATTCGATGCAAGAAACGAACGAAGTGGACGACTTTGGTAGTAAATAATAATGTTCCCCCCACTTTGATGTGATTACATAAGCGCGTGTTCTCTCCTCGATTCATCATAGACGAGACTGCCACTCCCAAACGTGTCAATCAGATCAGTACTCTTCGATTCGGCAAACTCATCGGACGAGGGGCTCTCTTTGATGTCTACGAGCTACCTGATTGGAGAGAAGACTACCAGAACGAGGCTGCTGATTTGAATTGTGTTCAGCACGGTCTCGGCTGATAGCAGCTTTTCTGGAGTAGCACTGGGGAGAGAGATTGGGACGAATAACGATATAAACTACAACTACTGCAGAACTACCATTCACGTCCATAGGCATCCTTATTCATGTCATGTAGATGCCACATTGGGATGGTTACATAAGCAGGACTCCACCAATATGGTTTGGCCGATTGCGGTCTCGACTGTGGCTGCAACTAGACATAGTACGACGCTGACCTGCTGTCTTCCCCATCCCTCTAGTCCCGTCTGCCATCACCCACCCCGCGGCGACGCCCGCCCCTGCCATCGCCCCTCTAAGTCTATTCCGTTGTTCCCTTCCTTGCATTCCCCAGGAGCACCCCGGCCTCGTTTCCTACACACAGCGCACCTCGTGGCTTGCTGAGAGACCTTCGCAATGGCCACTGTCCCTCTTGGTGCCCATCTCGGTGTGTCCATCCATCTCTTGCCGCCGAGTGCCGAGCTGATCTCCATGTCCCATGCCCCAGCCCCAGCCGACCTGCCTCCACCTCCACCTTCCGCAGACCCCCGCGAACCCTCTGCAGTCGCATCAGCTCGACGCAGTGGTGCCCGCACCCCCCAACGGGCCCGCTCCCCCATATCCCCCCGGGATGTATCCCTCGTGAGAAACAGCAACAGGTCTCCCGTCTCTGACGACGCAATGCTCCAGCCGTTCCCCAGGGCAAGCCCCGCGGTCGGAACACCGCCCCCGCAGATACCGCTCCAGGCCTCTTTGGGAACCCTGGGCCATCACTTGTCGAGACCGAGCTCCCCTTCGTCTATTCACTCGTCGGGGTCAGCCATCTTTGAAAGGGACATTGAGCATCCCCCTTTACCCTCCCTCGCGCTCGGTGCCAACCCGCCTCATTCCCCGCATACGCTCAACCACAAGCCGAGCCGCGTACTCCATCTATCCCACGGTTCCAACTTGGATCACACTGTCCCGGCAGTGCTGGACGATGCCGTTGAGGCTTTGACCCTAGGCGGGGCTACCAGTCGAGGTCTGGAGGGTTTAGAGATTGAGGCGCCAACGGGCAACCCAGCTGGGGTGACACGTCCGAGCTCTACCAGCTTGACCAGCTCGGCCGGACGCAAGCTCTCCACCGGGCCCAGTGCCGTCTGGTATCCTCATTCCAGGAGTCCCTCGCCCGTCAGTAGCAACTCCCGTCCTTCGTCGGTGGCTTCTCCTCACCAGTCGCCGCCCATATTGGCCCAGCTGTCGCCTTCGCAGACGTTCACTGCTCCGCCCGCGACTTTTGGTGCCGGGCGGGATAGTCCTGCGAGCCCCACGTCGCCTACAGCGGCTACTGCTAGTGTGCCAAGGCCTGCCGCGCCTCGAAGGATCAGTACGGGTCCTCAGCTCCCTGGTGGCTGGGTCAAGGACAGCACAATCACTCCTGGCGAAGAGGTAAGCTCTTGTCCCCTTTTGGTGGCACAGAGACTAATCCCATGTAGCGCTCCTCCGATGTCCCAGCTCCCACCGCCGTCCCTCCCCTCTCTGGATCCCCATCTCCTTCTGCCGTCCCTCCCCACCTCTCCCCCTCCAAATCGAAGCCGCACCACCGCCTCTCCTTTGTCTCTTACAACGACATCCTCCTCTCCGTCCCCACCCAAGTCACCTCTTTCGGCGAGATCACTTCTGGCACCGTCTCTCCGGACCACTTGCCTGGAACCGTCTCCCCCAGTTTGAGTAGCAGCAGTCCCGCGGTGGGGCAAGGACAGGTACCCAGTTTGAATGGGTTCCCTAGTGCGGCGAACTCGCTCCCTACTCGGCAGGATGCGGGGTCGCCAGTCCCTGCTTCGTCCTTGACGTCTGCCGCTGCTGCTGCGGGGGCGACAGGTGAACCGAAAGAGGGCTGGGAGGCTGGACGAGGTGGGAGTGGAGCATTAGGCTTGGGCGAGGGGGAGTGGCAGAGAGAAGGGCTGGGTAAGGGCTTGGAGCAGAGGTTGGAAGATCTTGCTCAGGTTGAGCCCCAGGGGCAGGCTGCGCCTTTGGCTTGAGGTGGAAGTCAATCTCTTGTGGTATCGGAAATAACGCTCTTGTATGATATGCTTCCTAGGGTTAATCGCGATTCGTGATCAAATGGAGAATGGAGAGAGTTCGATGTGTAGGGTATTTTGTCTTGAAGGTGTATATGCAGTGGTTCTAAGAATGGTGCTGCATTAATGCTCTACTCTTGTTCTAGAGGCCTACACAGCTCCCTGATACCTCCTATACTCTCCTTCGCCCCATTCCTGATAAAGTGGCCCTGGAGACTAGCCATACTCACAGCCCTCCCTTGCCTCTTTTCATTCTCTATTATACCCTGCACTTCATTGCCCATAGTCTCCACTTCTTCATCACTCAGCGGTACTTCGCCTTCCCGCATGATCCTGCCCTTGACAGCGCCTTCAATTTCAGAGGGGGTGTTGCCGTAGAACTTGATAAAGAGCCGCTTGGCCTGCTCGCCCTCGGCGTCCCCGAGTAGCGCTTGGATGTCTACTCGGCCTGGACGGATGAGGGCGGGATCGAGGCGGTCAAAGTGGTTGGTGGTCATGAAGATGATGCGTTCTTCCGAAGAGGCCACACCGTCAAGAGCGTTCAAGAGTCCAGAGAATGTCACTGAAGATTTGTAGCTGCCCAAGTTAGATCGCAGTCAAGTTTGAGATCAAAAGACTTACCCGTCTTCACTAGTCTGTATACGTCGGTTGAAAGCCGAGTCGATATCTTCCAACAAGACAAAACTTCTCTCGGGGACAAGACCCAGGAGATGGTTGAGCTTGTCGTCCGTCAGACCTCGTTCACTGAGGTTCATAAGACAGATGTTATAGTTGAGAGAACCGGCGAGGGCTTGGATGAAGGAGGTTTTACCGGAACCTGGAGGTCCATGGAGGAGATACCCTCTTCTATATGGTATACCTAGGTACTGTCAGCATTGTTTGAGCAAGAGCCAACGACGCACCTCTATCCGCATACCACTTGCCTCTCCCCAAGAATCCCTTCAGGTCACTCTCAATCTCCTCCGCCTGTCCCTCTGCCAACACTACACTCCCCATCTCCCTTCTCCTCCGTGGCTTCCCGAATGGCCGCCACTCCACTCCCCAAGCAGTGTATACCACCGTCTTTCCCTCTGTCGAAGCCTCGGCTAGTTCACGGGCTTCGGAGAGGAGGTTGGAGAAGAGGTTGCGGGAGGTGGAGAGAGTTGTGAGGGTGAGGGTTTCCCAGGGAGTTCCGGAATGGAGGTCCATGAGTTTGGAATCGCGTTCTCGTTTGACCTATCGTTGTGAGCTAAATTCCAGACAGATTATGGGACTTACCTGGAACCACGACCCGTCGTATTTAAAGTAATGGGTGCCCGGCCCCGGCACCAAGTTGAAGACAGCCTCACTCGCCCCATTCTCATGCTGCTTGTAGCTCGTCTCCACCGCAAGCTCGTGGCTCCTCAGTCCCTGGCCAAACCCAAACAACCCAGGTGCTTTCGCCTTGCCTTTCTGCTGGGCAGCGGTCTGGTGTGCCATCCATTCGAGGAACCAGGGGTAAGAGCGGTCTTTGGAGGGTATTTCGAGAGTGACTAGCATACGGCGTTGGGCGAAAGTTGCTCCGAGGGTCACTGAGCGACGGAGAGCGGTCAGAACTACGCCGATACCCTACGATGTCTTGTGAGTACAAAGTCGGGCGATCTGGACTCCATACGTACCATAAGACCGGCACCAGCAGAAAAGTATGGGCTGCAAGAGATGTCAGCATTGCATGACACTAATAGCACAGCACTTGCTTGTCTGCCATCATTCTGTTGATGAGAGAATCGCCCTCGGCCGAAGCACCGGGAGCAGGCGGCAAGGGAGCGCCATCAGTGCCCACGACTCCGTCAGCTGAGAGCGAGGGAGCCGTCGAGGGCCCAGCTTCAGTCGGCTGGATTCTTTGCGCCTGTTGCGGCAGGGGCGCTCTGAACATAGTTGATGAGGCAATGCAGTATAGTACAGTTTCAGAAATTGTGTAATTGCAAGAGATGTATAGCAGATCACGTGACAAGCAGAGATCGGCACAAGTTCGCTGCACCGAGAGCAGATCAAGCATCAAAAAGCTGGCATCGATACGCTCTATCATCTATACTGCCATATCGCCATGTCCGACTCGAACCAGCCCAAGGCGCCGCTCAATATTCCCTCAGGAAACAGCCAGATCACGCCCGAACCTCAGCCGTTAAAGCCGGATGAGCGACTTACCGGCGACAAGTTGCAAGATTTCAAGTCTGCTTTCGGTGTACGTATGTTATGCCTTTATAGGGAGTCTGCTAACGTTTGAATTCACAGAGAATAAAGCCGAAGAATGATCTAGAGAACCTGGGCAAGATGCCGTGTGCTAGAAATAGTCTGTTGTATGGGATTGCTGGAGGGACTGGTATTGGAGCGGTCAGGTTCTTGGGATCACGGAGTGAGTCGAGAATGCTGCTGATGATCGCCGGCTGACTGGCCGATTTAGGACCATGGAGTGCAGCCAATTGGGCAGTTGGCAGCTTCTTGGCTATCACCCTGTTCCAATGGTAGGATCTTGAACCATTCGTCCCAGAAGTGAAAGCTCACAATGTCGCAGGGAAACATGCCAACGTGCTAGACGGACAGAGCTCGCCCAGATGAAGGCCATTCAAGATAGATATCCACACCGACATGTTTCAAAGCTCAAGAAGGCTTTGGGAGAGGACGAAGCAGAGACACGACGATCATAAGGACAACTTGACCTCCATCCGATATGCATTACACTGTGATCATACTCCGATTTTCAGTCAAGCATATGCTCACCGGTAACGTTGTAAGACTGAATGGGACTGACTTATAGAATGGTACAAACTTACTGTTAACGAGTTGAGCAACATCGCTCTAGAGTGAGTCCAAGGACGTGCCCCAAGTCAGAAGACCACCTCGATGCATGCTTACCGATGACGACTATATCGATACCTTCAAACCATCCTCGGCTTTGCTTAGTGCGAATATAGAAACGAGGAAGTCGCTGAGATTGGGGCTGGCTCTACACAAGCCTGCCTCGTGTCGGATCGGTCATGACCGCCCCCACAGCCACAAGGCAACCGTCGGACTATCTTCTCCATGTTCACATTGCAGGCCGGCTATCCTCTATAACTCTCCTCATCGACATGAGCATCGTTTTCGGGCGATCCCCTGGACTGTCCGGCCATTCTGTCGTCTCAGAATCGCTACGTCCGACACCGCCCACCACTGCAAGTCACGCGCTGTGTTAGCTCCCTGGGAGCTCATGCGCCCGCCCCCCGCTGCTTCTAGCACGGAGGTCATGCAGCGCAAAGCTTACCATACTACTGGCAAGGTAAGATCTTTACAAGAGCTTCCTTACACCATCATCGTGCAATAGGGGCCAACGACCACATAGCCCGATCAAAAAGCCTAAACAACTCTTGGTATCGAAGAGACTTTGGCCATCCCGGAAAGAAAGCAAGTTATCCTCTTCACGACTATGTTCTTCACCAGAGCCCTCTTTGTACCCCCGAAGCAACGTGGCAAGGAAGAGCGAGCAATCGAAGTCGTGAGTAACAACCTCGACCATATCATTGAATCGCAAGCGCTAAATTTCAACCAGCTGTGAGCAGGCGATGCTACCAGGCTCCTGAATAAGCTGGACCAAGTGTGTAGCCTTCTGTGATCAGTATTTCGAAGCAAGGAGATGGCTGATCACATGGCATGCAGCAACCCCACCTCCGGAAGTCGCCAACACTGCTGCAGCCGAGCATGCAACCCAACTGAGGGCCAGAAAAGTCCACGGTACGCCTTTGGTCTTTCGCTGAAGCATGCGGGTTTTCTATCAGCTGACCGTGCATGACAGAGACAATCGTGCGCTTTTTCCAAGACATCCCACACGTGGCTGCCAATAACTCGCAGGCAGAGTAAAGGGACTTTCGATACGCCGAGAGGTCTCAGAGGACGCTTGCTAGGTTTCAGCGAAGACGCTAGCGAGTGGAAGGTACGACTCGAGTATGTCCGGGGATGTGAGATTCCTCATGGGACTGGACCGAAAGATGGCGTTGCCGGGAGGCGCTTCAGAGGAGGCGGGGTTGCAGCAGTGGCAGCGGCCTTTGGGGCCGGCCATGACGAGGCAGAGAGCGTTGCCACGGGCAACGGTGATCAGTTATGTCCTACGCGCACGTCAGATCCACGTGCTAGTACTGAGTCTACTGCGCGGGAACAGACAATGACAATGACCCAGAAGACGGTCAAGTTTTTCACGGCGCGCAAGGAACCTTTTCTGGCGATTCAAGACGCCATCCGACTTGCCTTCCTCCCTTGGATGGCCAAAGTCTCTTCGATACCAAGCACAGATATGTACAAGGAGTTGTTTACACCTTTGCACGCCAAATGACAACAGCAAGGCTATCAAGTCACTCGGGTCTCTCGATCACACCATTCTCGTCGAGGACATCGGAGACGAGATGGCTCTGGCGCTGGTCGTTCTCGCTTCCGGAGGGAATGATGGGTGGGAAGCAAGTTCCCTTCGTGTTCAAGGGGAGGGAGAAGGAGTCGTGAAAGATGGTGTTTCGAGCGACGGAAGAGACAAAGCGTTTCTGCGGAGGATCAGCTGGTATGTTAGGGGCCCTCTATTCTCTTATCGTGGGGTATATAATGACTACTTGATAACAGGAAGGGGAAGCGCAGCTAAGCGTCCGCGTTGAACGAGTAGAGAAAGAGGATGTAGGAAGGTAATTGGTCGGCGAGGCGGCAGGACTTGTCCTTATCAATTGTAGAATACTTCAGCGGAGTGGAAAGCTCTCAACAATCACGCCGTACAAGTAAACGTCTTGAATAGCGTACAAGATGGCTGGAGGACAAGAACGAAAACGTCGTTTCCGAATTTCACTTATTATGTGAATCATCTCCGATCAAGTCCTCGCGTTATATGTATTGCTTTCCGGGCAGTAGGCCTCGAAGGACAACATACACTGCAGCCAGAACGAACAACTGTCTGCCAGTCGGATCGCCTTGATCGGATTGGTCAACGGTCGGCCCAAGACCCTGAATCGAAGATGGCGCGAGATCAAGATGTGGCCGAAGTCGGTCAGTCGCACTTGGCCGATGCAGAGAAAGATCGATGGTGCAATCGTCAACATCTCTCTTTTCACTTTCTTTCTCTACTCGGCTCGGTAAGCGAAGACATTGCAAAGTTCAAAGCGCCCTTCAGTCGCCCACTGCCCCGTTATTCCGAGACTCGGCAGCGTTCCGCCCCATCGCTTTCTTCGACACTGCTCGACACCTGCTCATCTTAGCAACAAGTGCTCCTCATATCCACCTCGATCATGACTCTGTCTCCTCCCGCTAAACCAGGCTCTGGTGGTAGAGCTTGGGTCACTCTCATCACCAATCCTTCCTATGTCGCTGGTATGCTTGTCAAATCAGTGTCCTAGCTTAGCTCACACGTGCATCTTTGTAGGTCTCCTCGCGCTTCATCGAACAATCTCTTCACTATCCGACTACCCACTTTTGGCCATGACAACCCCTTCACTCCCCGAATCATACCAAACCTTTTTGAAGTCCTACGGCTTCAAACTCATCCCCGTCTCTCATCTCTCTCCCTCCACATCACAACACGCGGGGTTTGACCCGGATATGGTGAGATTAAACGATGCATGGACAAAGTTGCAGGTGTTTGGGCTGGTGGAATATGACAAGGTGATCTTGATCGATGCGGACATGATCTTTTTGAAGGATATGGACGAGCTGTTCGATCTGGAGTTGCCGGGGAGAGATTGGATCGGAGCAGCACCGGCTTGTGTCTGTAACCCTCTCAATCTCGAGCACTACCCGAAAGACTGGTAAGTACAGCCCGCCTCCTTATATATCATATTGACTCTTCTCAGGATTCCCGAAAACTGCAGTCTCTCGCATCAACAATCTCCGACCCCTCTCCTCTCTCCCGAAATACCGTCCCTCGACGCACCCCGTACCGCCCACCTCCTCAACTCTGGCCTCGTCATCCTCTACCCTTCCACCACCCTCCTCGATTCTCTCGTCTCCTTCCTCGAGACATCACCCACCGTCGCCCAAGCTCTCTTTGCGGACCAAGACGTCATTGCCGAGGCGTTCAAGGGCCGATGGAGGCCGTTGCCTTGGTGGTGCAATGCGCTCAAGACGTTACGGGGAGCGCACAAGGCATTGTGGAAAGACGAGCAAGTCGCGAATATACATTACATGTGAGTACATGGGGATATCCTCCTTTGATGGAGTGATCGGGTATTGATCTCGGCCTCAGTATTGACAAGCCATGGGCGGCACGCCCCGCATCCCTCCCTCCCCATCGCCCCTCTTCCACCATGCCTTCGCCCTATCTGCCCCCTTCCCCCTCCTCGGTCGAGTCTACGCATGAATCTCTGCCCTCCCACGCTTACCTCAAATCGGCACTCACCAAGCGCCGCACACTACCGCCCGCCTTGCTCGAGATAGTGCGCAATACACCCGAGCAAGAGAGCTTGACGGATTATGTAGAGGTACACAAGTGGTGGTGGGTGGTCTATGAAGATGTACTGGAGGAGATGAAGACCAAGGGGGTCGAGTGGAAGATGGTTGATCGATGGGTCAAGCGGTAGATGGACACTTAATATTGCGCCGCAAACAATGATGGATATTACAGATCGGGATATACTATAAACTTGCTGACAATACATGCTCCGTTATATGTAGATATGAATGAAGATGCTATCAAAGATGTGCTATCGATACACCACCGTTACCCCCTTCCTCCCCATCCCGTCCTCAACCTCATCCAACCCCAAGATCTTTTCCAACTGCCCCCAACTCCAGCCAAATTTCACCTGTATCTCATCAGCATGATGACTCCCATCCAAAAACATGATCAAATCCTCCTCAAGCTCTTCGGCCTTCTTGATCGCATGCGCTTCTTCCCTCTGCCGGGTGGACATGCCGTACCGGAAATTGAAGCCGCTGCCGCCTGGGTGAAGCCCACCGGAAGCAGTGTTGGACGTGGTGAGGGTGGTGTTGGTTGTACTGCCGCCGATGGCGCGGCGGGAGGATATGGAGTGGTGGGAGGGGGTCTGGGAGTCGGCGTTCGAGGCGTGGGAGCGGGGGTGCACGGTGTGGGTGCTGTTTGTGCCCGCTGCAGAGGCTGCACCAAACGGCCCTCGTCGAGGAGAGCGATTATGGATAGATGGAGGGGTAAAGTTTGCCATTGACGAGGGCGATACGCCTAGGGAGGCGTTGGACCCGACGGATCGTAGCGTAAATGTCGATTCGCCCGGGTTTTTGAGAGACAGGGCAGACTCGTTGGCACCAAGAGTACTGTGGTTCAAGTACGTCTGGGGCCTCTCTCGATGGAACCCGCTTGAATTCACCCTTGCAGACTCATCAAATCCCACCCTCTTTCTCTGCTCTGGCACCTGTATCAATGGCTCCCTCCTCTCAACCAACTTTGCCCACCGATTCACCCGCCTCAAGAACCCCTTGATGATTCCAAAAGACACGAACCGCCTGGGATCTATGCCCAAGGAGAGCACTTCGTGCGCTTCAATCCAGTCGTGGACGGTGATGCCGGGCTGGAGTTTGGAGTAGAGGTGGAGGAGGATGGGCCATTCTGGGCGGGGAAAGCCACGGCGGGTGACGTAGTCTGCGCATTCAGAGATGATGGTCTCGTCGGCGGCGAGGCGGGAGATGACGGGTTTCAGAGTGTACATGTTGGAGTATTGGAAGATGTCGACCTGGCGCCAAGTCAGCGTGACACAATAGAGGACCGGGGCACTCACCATCATGACGACTTGATAGTATAACATGTGCCGGAAGATCTCTCTTGTGAGAGCCTCGTCGGCGTCTGCTAATTCGGCAATCTTTTTGACATGGTTGACACCATCTATGAACTGGCATACGCGGGCGGCAGTAATGTCCCAATTATCGTCCTTGTGGGCATTCAAATCGACCAAGGCTATAGGAACATGCCAATCTTCACAGTCCGGCGGGTTTGCTGCATCATGTCAGCGCAAGACTCTAGTTGTTGATGACACTTACGATAGAAAGGAAAGAGCTTGAGTTCCAGCGAGTTGAAGCCGTCCAGAGGAATACTCGTTTCTGAATACGAGTTGAGATCTTCAAAGAGCTGTTCAAGGACTGCGGGTAGTGCGATATGGCTGCTAGACGGCTTTGACAAGTACGAAGAGTCTCGCTGTGTCTTGTCAGCTCGGTCCTCTGAAACACCTGTGTGACACACCTCTGCGCTTCTCAGAATCCTCGCACACTTTCTCACGATCGGCTCGAACGCTTCCAGCGAGCTGCTCGCGTGAAACACAAAACACAGGTTCCACATGTACTCATTCCTCGTGTACGTGCCCTCCTCGGGCGCAGTCATGACATTGGGAAACCCCATGATCCTGTATTCAGCCTGGTCCGCATTGTCGTCGAGGCCCGTGGTGAGAAGTGTCACGAGCCGTCCGTGGAGGGATTTCTTGGGTATGACATACTCGGACAGGGGCACAAAGTTGAGGAGGGCGCGTGAGCGATAGTTGTCTAGCGGAGAGTGGGATGCGGAGGGGTAGCTGTCGGGAGTGGAGGCTTGGCGGGAGCGGGAGCGAGAAGGCGAGTGGGACCTGGAGCGGGAGTCTTCTGAAGTGCTGTCGGCGATGAGGTTCTCCGGGACCTGGTACTGGACGATGGGGCCCAAGCTGGGGTCGAAGGTGGCGTAGAAGAGCTAGGGGGGTCAGCGGGCGGCGGGCGGGGCGGGGGGGCCGTGCGTACTCCGACTACCTGGGGGAGGAATGATCTGGGGGTCATGTCAGCGGGAGCGGGATAGGGACAACACCACGACTTGCTCGCCAGTGCCAGCCATTATCACAGCCAAAGGAACCAAAGGAACCAAAGGATGCTCTTGTCGCACAAGACCGGACAGATCGTCGCGGGGGTCGCTGCGTGTCCGGGCGGAGTATGTACAGGGCAGCGAGGGATGTCCTTGTCCGGGAGAGAGGGGAACCAAACTGTGGATGCATGACGGCGGAAGCAAATTAATATCACATCTGGAGATTCGATGCCGCTTAATAAAATTCGTGTCAAATCACTCGACTCGCTATTTTCAATAACGTATTGCATTTTCCCCCCCCAGCACGTCAACAGATTAGATAAGATGTCAGACGGGGGCAACTCCTCAGCCACCGCGCCCAAAGTACGTCCAAAGGGTCCCCCCTTGCACCGCTCCACCGCTGACATCCCCCAGGACCGCCACGAGCCACGCGGCCGAAAACCAAATGACAAGCTGCCCCCCTCTCGCGCCAGAGAGGTCCAGCGCGCCTTCCGTCTCCGCCGAGCAGAGCATCTCGCCTCGCTCGAGGAACGTATTCTCAATCTCGAGACTGAAAACAACCAGCTTCGCGCGCTCCTCAGTCTGCCCTCGGCGGATCGCGGCAGGATCGGGTCCGGCCCCACTGGCCGGGGCAAGTCTCTCAAGGAGGGCGGTGTCCCCATGAGCGAGCGCGTGCGCGCGAGGAAGGAGGCGAGGGAAAGGGAACGACGGGCGCTGGGATTGCCGGAAGTCGATACCACGGACCAGAGTGAAAGCGAGCGTGTAGGGCGGGACAGCGTGACCCTGAGCCCAGGGGCCAGCAGCCACCACCACCACCCCCACCCCCACCCTCCGGCCAGTTCGTCCAACCACGCCGCCCCCTCGGGCTCTACAACCAACCCTTCGAGCGTGCCCCCGCTCTTCAACACGCCCGCGGACGTGTCCCCTGCTGCGTTCCACTACAACCTCCCCATGCCATTCAACATTCCAGTGTCCCCTGGACCGCAGTTTCCGGATTTTACAAACAATCTGGACATCTACAAAAACAACTCGTCCTCGTCAGCAAACAACTTTAGCAACATGTTCAACATGTTTTCGCCCAACGAGGGAGGCGAGTCGTCTCAGGCTGGTGCTCAGAACTCTGTAAACACTTCCATACCGACCCCACCGGTTGCCAAACCGTCTCCCATCTCTCCCCCGCTCACCAACCCCCAGACAGCGGCCTCTCCGGCGCAGATGGACCTCCTCACCCGTCTCAAGAGCTGCTGCCACGTCTCCGACTCTCACGTCGTCAACGACCCAGGCCTTCTCGTCTTTGCCACGCGCCTCTGCCAGTCGTTCGGCTGCTCGTTCAATGGCGCGCACACCGAGCCGCATCCCGTCAGCGATGCAGAGTGTCTGACGTTGGAAGATGCGTGGAGGGTGTTGAAGGCGACGTTGGACCCCGGGGGAGATGCGGACGGGGAGAATAGGATCAATACGGGCAAGATGGCGGCAGAGCTGGTGGTGCGGGCGTCGCATTCCAGAGGGCCAGGAGGGTGGATCACGTGCAGGTACAGGGAAGGATTGTCGGTCAAGAGGAGCATGATCCAGGCGTTGGTGCAGGGATTGGGAGGAAAGCTTGACTCGTGAGGGAGCGGAGAGATACCATTTTTTCAACAGGTTGTACAACAGTACCTTAATATATACCATCTTCAACGATAGGGTATATCCGACAGGACAGAGTTTCGAGGAGGAAGAAATATTTGATTTTTTGCTTGTATTGTAAGATAGGGGTTGAGTCTTTTGGGTCTTTTGCACGCCATGAATTTATTATGGGTCGTTACATGTCTCACATCTACTCGGCATCTCTAATAGCTTGTACCATCTTGACAACGTCCCCCATCTCCCCACTCGCGTGGACCCTCAAAATATCCACCCCTCCACTCCCAACACACCACGCGCTGACCCCGGCATCTCCATAGCTTCGCTCCTTTGCCACCGTTCTCCCAGTCACCTGGCCTACAAAGCCCTTTCTGCTCGCGCCGACTAGCAGTGGGTAGTTGTGCAGGGGCGAAGATGACGAGACGAGCTCGAGGAGGCGACGAAGCAGAGTGAGGGATTGAGAACCAGACTTGGCGAAACCAAGTCCAGGGTCCACAATGATGTTCCAGCGCTTGACCCCAGCTTTCAAAGCGAGCTCTACCGTCTCTGCCATCTCCTTCTTGACACCTTCCACCACACCCCCAAGAGCTGTATAGTCTTGCGACTCTGCAGACGTCATCGTTTTGGAGTCGCCTCGCGAGTGCATGAGCACCACGGGTACATCTGCGGCTGACATGACTGCCAACATGCCAGGTTCACGCCCGCCACGGACGTCGTTGATGATTGACGCACCAGCTGCTACCGCTTGCTCGGCCACGGAAGCGCGGTAAGTGTCGACAGATATAGGGATGCGGGCAAGCTTGGTATTGCTGTGTTGTCGGATAGCAGCGATGAGGGGTACCACCCTTTCTACCTCTTCCGTCTCTGTACAAGGTTCCGACCCCGGTCGCGTCGACATACCCCCAATATCAAGGATATCTGCTCCCCCTTGTTCTATAAGTTTGAGACATTCTTCCAGGGCGTGCTTGGTAGAGGTCCGAGATGGGTCGCCGTCAGAGAATGAATCGGGGGTGGCGTTGAAGATGGCCATGATCCTGGGAGTCGCGGGAGAGGAGAGACGGAGAGACCGCGAATGTGTTCGGAGGGGAATCATGGGGCCGAGTGAGGAAGGGTCGGGGAGTGAGTCCAATAGCTGAGAGATGGATTTGCCCACAGCAGGATGGGTGAAAGAAGCGTCGATACTACACCACATCAGCTCCCTTTTCAGCGATACAAGGTCAACTTACTCTGCTAAAGGTCGCAGTACGAATTCTCGTTCACCCAACCTCGCATGCGGGCACTCAAGCCATCTGACACCATCGGCATCTTCCGCGTCGGTCTCACTTCCAATCTTGAGCACGCGCTGTCCATAGAATACGAGGTCGAGGTCGACGACTCGGGGACCGTTGGTGAACGTTTTGGTTCGGCCGGTGGCTCGCTCAGTACGCTTCAGGAGGCGGAGGAGGTCCAGAGGTTCGAGAGAGGTGGTAACCTATAACGAGATAAACGTGCCGTCTGTGGTATGATGTGTTTGCTCACCTCGATAACACCATTGACGAACCTGTCCTGATCCTCAACATACATAGGCTCACTCTCATAGAGTCTACTCGTCGCAATCAAGTTGCAACCGCCTGATTGCAACAATCCGACAGCTGTCTTGATATTGCTCACAGTATCGCCGATATTGCCGCCCACAGCTATGAACACTCTTTCACTTCCAGTGCACTCTTGGGATGTGGAAGGGGTTGGGGAGTAGTCGGAGTGGGTACGGTGAATGGTGATGCCGGGCGTGGCAAAGGGGATGGCAGAGGGTTTACGGATGGTTATTTGAAGACGGGGAGTGTTGCCTGAGCCGAGGTATTTGCTGCTCAGCAGAGAATGTCCCAATTCATGGTCCAAAGACTCGATAGTGCCGTACTCTGAATTTGACACAAACTGTACGTTGAGTGAGCTCAGATCATCATACAGCTCTAAGCACTTACTTCGTATACTTGATCGGCAAAGCCTTTGTGTCCCCAAGCATTCCAGTCACAATCATATGCCCTAACATCCACCTCCAGGCGCTGCTTCTCTTTCCTCTCATGGGGGTGCAAACCGACAATGCAGACCACCTTCAAGTCTCTAATTTCCGATGACCTGCTTTCTTCCACCAAACCACCAGTCTTGGTGTACATAGCAGTGTATACGGCCTCCATAGCATGAAGCAGCGCTTTGGGAAGGCCTATCCGGACATCCACACTCTGCACATCCGGCAAGTCTAGAGGTATCTCCGATACAGCCCTCATCAGCTCCCATGCATCACCCCAGACTTTTTCCTGACCTCCAGCAAGCGCATAAACAGCCTTGGAGACTGCAGAGTAGTTGACTCCGAGTCCGGTCATGTCGTCGCCTTCAGAAGTGGCCTTGACGCTGCCGGGGAAGAGATGGATGGTGAGTGAGATAGAGACGGGGCATGGCGGAGGTGGGGTGAGGTGAAAGGCGGAGGGACCAAGGCCGTTTGGGAGGTGGACGGCCAGGGATGCTATGTTGATAGTGTCTGCGGGCATGTCTATCACAGCTGCCTGGTACTGATGGGTTTTGTAAACAAAATGAAATGCAAGAGAAGGATGTCGCGCCTCCACCGGCCTCACCTTGGCCTCTCCTCGCCTTTATCCATGTCAGTGTCTACTTTATCTTGGCTATCATACAGCTCTAGCAATGCTCGGTACGCTCTAACCTGACTGTCTATGAAGGGGTTGCTAATTCATTTGCATACAGTTGTCGGACTTACCGGCGGTATCGCCTCTGGCAAGTCCTCTTGTCTCCCCTCGACCTTCGCTAATCTGTATGACAGGCAAATCCACAGTCTCTAAGCTCCTGTCTGAACGCCACCACATCCCCATCATCGATGCCGACCTCCTTGCTCGAGAGGTCATAGCCCCCGGGACGTCTGGCTACGACCTCGTGGTATCTCACTTTGGTCCTGACCGCGTTCTGCAAGATGATGGCGTCACTCTGAACCGGTCTGCTATTGGCGACATAGTCTTTAGGGATGGAGAACAGAGAAAGTGGTTGAATGGTGTGGTTCATCCGCGAGTGAGACGAGAGATGGCTCGAAGCATCCTGCGGTACTGGCTCAAAGGAGAGTGGTGCGTGATTGTGGATGTGCCGCTATTGATTGAGGCGGGCATGTGGAAGTGGGTTGGTGATATTGTGGTTGTTTATGTGTAAGTCTCTGCATGTATCAGTTGATTGAAGCTCATGATTACAAGGAATGAGCGCCTCCAACTATCTCGTCTCCTTGCCCGGCACGCAGATGACACGCCGCCCCTTACCCAAACCCAGGCCCAGAACCGCATAGCCTCCCAGCTAGCCCTCTCGTCCAAGCTCAACTACGCCACATCGGTTATCGATAACAGCGGATCATTCACAGATCTGACTGATCAAGTCGACAGAACCGTGGCGAAGTGGAAGAAGCAGCAAGGAGGCAGCTCGGGCTGGTGGTGGAGGGTGTGCTGGCTGCTTCCGCCAGTGGGCCTTGTGGCTGGTGCTCTTTGCTTGTTTGCAACATGGCGCAACGGAACTAGGAAAAGCCGAAGGAGAGGCAGGGGTGAAGTTAATAGCCGAGCTGGCAAGGGTGATCCAACGGCAGAGAGGATAGAGTTGATGGAGATGCGGGGTGGAAGAAGACGCGCTGCCAGTAGAAGCATTACCGACGAGGATTGAGATGAGCATGTATTGAAGCTGTCCTTACCACGCCCGACTCCATGCGACCCTTGTAGGTTGTGGCCGACCTCCACTTGCAGCCAGGAACGCCCCGCCAAACAGCTGGCCCCTCTGTTTGGCACCAAACAAGCGATTTCTTTCAAACGCATTCTTAATCGCCCACTGCCACATCGCCTGCTCTGAAAGATGCCTACAACGGGCAGGGATTCTCCTGCGCGTCCATCCATACGCGAAACGATAGCAGCCCGACGCGCCGAGCTGCGCAAGACCCCAAAATCTCAGCGAACGGGCGACCTTCAAACATACGGCAGCCCGGCTGGCAGACGAGCCGGCACTCCTCGAGGATTTGTCTACCTTGACGGGAATGGAGTGGATCAGATCAATGACAAATCAGTGGAAGGTCAGATCAGGAAGGCCAGGAAGAGTGGTGAGTCTTTATGGTACATCTCACTGGATTGCGCTGATTGCTACTCAGGCAAGCTCGATATTGCTGGATTGGAGCTTGACCGTATCCCTGCAAAGGTCTTCACTGAACTACTCGGTCTTGACCCCAAGGGGCTCTCCAACCCTCCCCCACCTCCATCACCCAAACCCTCTCTCTTGGCGCCGAAAGCACGGCCAGCTAGCGCGAGCCCGTTCGCGACTGAAGACGACTTTCAAAACGACGCACTAAAAGACGATGTTTTTGGGAAGCCCTTGGAGAAAGAAGAAGTGTGGACGGAACCTGAGGAGGAACTTGCCACTTTCAGAGCGGGGCATAATCAGATCTTGACGGTGGACAAGGAAATTGGCATGTTTGGTGGGCTGAAGATTCTAGATGTGCGATTCACTTTCTATAACCAAGGAGGAAAGCTGATGGATCTCGCAGCTCAGCAGAAACGGACTGACTGCCATCCCTGATAGCCTTTCAGACCTCTTGAGGCTGACATCGCTAGACCTTTCGTAAGGGATCCGAGACTCAACGCTATCAATGCTGACTATCCCTAGACACAACAAGCTCACCTCCATCCCTCGTTCAGTCTTGCTCCTTCCCAAACTCCAATGGCTCGACCTCTCTAGCAACTCCATAGCGTCTTTGTCTTTCGACTCTCCTATTGGACCTTCCGAAGATGGCTTGGGTTATGGCCAAGGCTTCTTCTCTACAGCCATCTCCAGAGCAGCCTCTGTAAAGACCGAGCGCCCCGTACTCCCTGCTTTACACCATCTGAGCCTCGGAAACAATAAGCTTTCTATTGAAGGGCTTAGAGCCCTCGTCCAAATCAAGCTTCGGGGCATGAGGGTCCTGAATCTGGAGAGAAACGCGATCAAGGGAGTCGTCATTGCCGAGGACCTGGGTGTCGATGCGAAGGCCATGCCTGAGCTGTCGCAGCTTGTACTGTCTGGCAATACCAACTTCCGTGGTATTGATGGAGAGCTTTCCTCTGCTGTGATGGTTGAGACTGCTGGGTGCAACTTGCGCCAGCATACCCCTGCCTTCAGCCGCGAAGCTACTCCCGCCGCGGAGGATACCTCTTTCACCACTCCCAAATCTGCCATTTCATCCCCAAAGAAACCCACAGGCCCTTCGCTGCCTGTACCCGAGCCCGACCTGACAATAGTCTACAAAAACACTCCCGCCATGACATTCGATTCCGAGCCCTTGGCTATCGATTTCGACATCTACCTCCCTACTGCACCTGCTGGTCCATCGGGGCACCCTCTTGTGGTCTGGTTCCACGGCGGAGGTCTCTTGCAGGGCAACAAGGAGAACCTTCCTCCTCACTTCCGACGTCTACCCTCACACGTGTATCATGGAGAAGATGGGAAGGCGGACGAGAGTGTCGTTGTCATTTCCCCCAACTATCGTCTTGCGCCTCAAGTGCCCATCATTGATATCCTTTCAGACGTCACTTCTCTGCTGGATTTCATCCGCACCAAGCTTAACGATAAATTGGTCAAGGAGGGCCAAAGCGAACACAAGGTCGATGTCGAACGTATCTGTCTTTCTGGAGGATCTGCCGGAGGTTATCTGGCATTGATGGCTGGCTTGGAAGTGCCGAAGGAAGTGTCGGATGAAGACGCCGGTGGCTTTAGGGGGGGGTCGAAGGGCATAAAATGTCTGGCGCCTTTCTATCCCATCACGGATCTGACAGACAAGTTTTGGTCAACTGAGACAATCCCTGTACCATGGATGGATGGCACGATGTACGTATTTGATTCTACGAGCGTACTGAGCTAATCACTATCCATAGCATAACCCATGCGCAAGCAAAGCCTCACATCGATACCAAGGCTGCTCATATCTGCACAGCAGTCTCGGGCGGACCTCGCTCCATCCTATATCCCTACATGCTTCAGCATTCGCTCTTCCCCTCACTCCTTTTCCGCACCCAACGCGTCATTGGCAACGGCTACGATTCCTTCCGCCCCACGCCTCTTGCCCTTTCTGTGACTAACCGCCTCGAGCTGACCGCCAAGTCGAGCAGGGCTCAGCCTCATGTGCCCATCTACTTTATATACGGGACCCTTGATGACAAGGTGCAGCCTATGGACCACACGCTGGAGGTGCTGAACAAGGTTGAAGGAGAGCTTCTGGTCGAGAGGATTGAAGGAGGCGATCATATGTATGATGAGGACCCGGCGGTTGAGTGCGAGGCGCTCAGAGAGTGGTTGGGCAAGACGCTGCTTTAATGATATAGCGCGAGAAGCAAATAGTAGTTACTTTAGCATACATAACGAACACTCGAACATCATTCCAATCTCCGCCGTTGTGCGTATCCACTATCTCTCTCCTGGTGAGATGCTTGAAACGTCTTCCTCTTATAGCTGCCTCGTGGGGCACTCTCGTTTCCGTTCCGCGCATGCCCTCGGCCTCGAGAAGCGGATCCTCTGCCTCTTGTACTACCCTTCTGACCCCATTTCTCTTCTTGTTTCCCCGAAACTTGTTCGCGTTGCTCCTCCCCAGCGATCTTCTTCCGAGTAAGCCCCATCTTGCTGAGCAAGAATTTACAAAAGCTCTCCCAAGTTTCTCGATCTTTGCCCTCGCCGTCCGTCCAGTCAATTTCGAGTTGAGACCCTTCATCACTTCCTTTGACTAGGCGTATCTTTGTCCGGAAGACACTTTGGCTGGATTCGGATGGTACAGCAGGTTTCTCCCCTGAAGCCGCTATCCGCGCAGCCTCTCTTCTGGCTGCTCTAGACCAAGTATTAGCCTTCGGCGCAAGGACGATTACATTCTCTCCATCTGACTGCGAGCCCGTGGCAGTGGGTGCTTCTGACTGGACTGGCTCAAGCTCAATAGATGCCAGCGTCTCCAGTAATGTGGTACGGAGCGCGTCGATAGAGATGCCGGGTTGTGCGTGAAGCATGTACATGTTGGAAGGAGGTAGGATCTGGGTGAAGGAGGTGTTGGGGATCACTTCGGAAGGCCGCGTAATGCTCTGCTCGGGTGTCAGCCCAGCTGCCAGTATTTAGAAAGGAAGAGAAGCAAGCTCACATCCGGGAGACGTGTAGTCGTATGCGACCAGGCTATGATCCAACGAGCCGTTTTGGCCTGCTGTGATATCTTGACGAAGTAATTATCGATCTATACCTAATCAGCAGATGTCGATGGGCATTGTCTAGTGCCGTCACGCACCTTGAGCTCTTTGAGTAGCGCTATGATGGGTTCAAGAGAAGAGTACTTTCCCACCAGGGAAGTGAACCACTGACAACGTTTGCCGATGATGGTGCTTTCGCGAATCATGCTTGAGATGAAAGCAACCTCACCACCTCTTGTTATAAGCTCGTTGTCCGCAGCAGTGGGCGCCTATGTAGTTGTCGGCCCAGTACCTAGGTCCTCGTGTATAGTTGGGCACTCACAGCGTGTGCACTTTCTTCCTTGAGGTCGATCCCCTTTTGCATCTCTTCAGCAGACTCAAAGAAGGGCGGATTGCACATCGTAAAGTCCCAAGCCTCTTCGTCCTTTGCTTTCAAGAGCGGAAACAAGATGGGGTTGGGTGACGGAGCTTTGACGACTGTGATAGAGGAAGCGGGTATCTTGTTCGTCTCGAGTGTTTGAAGAGCATGTTGATATGAAGTGTCGTCCAGCTCAGTTGCGGTGATGTGAGATAGGGGGCGGATACGATGGAGAAGGATTGGATAGATTGCTGTAGCACCCGTTCCACTTGATAAGATATCAGTACAAAGGGCCTGTCGGAAACTGAAGACTTACATGTCGAGAACGCGCAGACTTTTGGATGAAGACGAAGGGAGCCATGGTTCGATGTCGAGTAGATGGTAGATGTAATCTAATCTACGATGCGTGAGCACTGGTAATTGTACTTATTATGTATTCCTGACCTATTGGGTATCTTCAAGTAGTCAGCATTGTGTAAGCACGAGTGGGTGCGGAGGATGCACGTACCGGAGGACATATCCTATCGTCTCTGACCTGTACATCCAAAGTCCAATCCTCTTTCAAAAGACACTGGGTGAGTTCCATCAGAGCTCGTGGATCCTTGAATTCTATACAGGGAAGCCCTGAGTCGGATACAGTAACGCTGGAAAGTCAACCGTGTCAGCACAAGTGTTGTGACCGGAAGAAGAACGTACAAGGGGGCGAAGGATGGGTACCGCGAAGCTAGCCGAGCAAAGTCTGGCTTCTTTTCCGAGTATGGGTTGTTCTTGTGCATGGTGGAAGTGGGGTTGAGAGCGGGGTGGATCGATCAGGGGCACTGTAAGTTCTCTGTGAAAGATGGTTATGCCGAGATGGAATTCCAACGTAGGAATCTGTCTTGAAGTCGGACCGACGCGTTTCAAAAGTCGTGTCGCTGGTCAACCTCCACTTCGGGATACGTTGTATGTACAAACAGATCAAGAGCATTCAAGCTATTCCATAAGAACGTATACGCGGCACCATTGTAGACATCAGCGATGAAAAGAGTGATCAATGCATGCCAATGACTGCTAGCTGTTACAAAAGATGTGCTTGATTATAGTTCGTCTTCCATCCCTTAAGCTTTCTTCGCGTCCTCTTCTTCCTTGTGCAGAGCCTCAGCCGCTCTCAGCCTCTTGGCAAAGTCGGACACACTCATCCTCTCCTCCTTCCTCAGCGGGTAGGCACTGGCAGTCTTGTCTTCCGCATCCGAGTCAACGACTGTCGATAATGAGGCAGGCAGCGATGAAGGGGTAGAAGGCTTGATGACGATGGGCTCGACTTGATCTACGATTCTTGGTTGCGGGGTTTGCGGGTAGACCATAACTATAGGACAATCAGCATCCGCTCCGTCGCCGGCCTGCTCCGGTACTGACTTTTGTTGTTGGGTGTACGTTCGATTATGCCAGCGGCCTCTCTCTCCTTCATTTCATTGATACCGTACACCATAAGAGCAGCGACTGTGAGTCCTTGGGCACTACGGAGCGTCAGTATCGGCATGGTATTAGCACACGACCACTCACTAGATACGCCACCTCAAGAATTGGTTGAATCGATTACGGTTTCCCCTTCGCAAGTGATAGGTAGCACCAAGCAAAGCGACCACAGTAGCCCCAGCACCTAATTGTCCATTGCGTCAGCCATGTCAACCGAACGCAGAGACACAGACACGAACCGAGTGGGACGGCAGGTTGCTCCTTGCACTTGCGGAGAACCATTGACGGCCAGCTGGGCCTGTCGGGAGCTGCTGGAAGACTCATTCTTTTTGGAAGTTGTTGTTAGATGGGGTGAGGGGTTGAGCTGTAGAGGACAGCGCTTGGGTAGCAGTGGGAGATGTGGCGATTACTTGAGAAATGTTGAAAGATGTCACCGTCGGCCGCTACAGGGGCCGACGATCGCTGCTGATAACGAGAATGCCACGTGGGAGTAATTGATCCCGTCGCGTCGCGCTCGTGCACGGACCTCCTCCTCTTTCACTTTCCAGCATTGAGATGTTTTTGAGGGAAGCCTGCTCTGAGGCGGGATCGGACGAGGACAAGAGCATCAACAGGAGAACGTATGCCCCCATGATGTGCAACTGGGGCATACATATACAAGAAGGTGCGTCCTCATCTCTGCCTCTTTCCGTCCCGATATTTGTTGGAATCGCGTCTGAGTTGGTGCCTATGCACGGCTTGATGACTATTCTGAGTCGCGGACATGCCTGTCCGTGCAGACTCAGGCTAGTCTGGGGTTACCCTGGGCTGTATCTCATTTTGTACTCTCATTTTGTACCACGATTCTTCAGTCTTCTCTCTCTGGTATCACTCTACCATGCAGTGCACTCTCCATACTCCTGGAAGCTAACTCGGATTCAGATATAGAATGCATTTGTGATGGATGCAACGCGATTCATTTGCCGGTTTACCAAGAAATATGAGGGCAGTCGAGGCAAGCGACCATCACGGCGGACGAAGGTTGTGCCAGGGTCTCCGATGCGTCTCTCCCGTCGGCATTTTCGAGGACTGGAAAGCATGCGTGGTGCTTGGGGCGTGAAACGGGGATCGTGGATAGCGGGAAGACGAAGAGGGATGAAGACGTCAGAGATGTATCGTGAGTGAACAGAACCAAATGACCAGGAGTGACTGCCAGTCGCGTGGTCAATATAAGGTTGGGCAATGGAAATGGAGGGAATTTACAGTGCGCCAAGTGCAGGACTCTTGCAGGAAAGTCCAGAGGCTCGAGAGGTGACTGTCTTTGCCACCCATATCGTGCCGTCAGGGTCGATTCCGGGAACGGGGAAGAGTGTATGTGTATCATGTCCCTCCCTCCCTCTTATTCGTCTGCCCCGGCTCTGCTCTCTGCTGCTCCTGGCCAAGGCCACCGCCTCCAACGACATTCCGAAAGCAATCACGAATCTGTCCGAACGTGTGTTTCAACGGCGACCAAATAGGTTGATGGCGTTTTGGACCGGTCAACAAACGGCCGGCAAGACCAAACTCAGGGCAAGAATGACGAAGGCGGTTGATTTCTTCTCATGCTAATCGGAGGCTATTCCACCTCGTAGTGCAGGCGACTGACGCAACATCATGGGATCGCATCTCTCTCTTCCCATCTCCATCCACACTTGTTCCCATTCTTGCCCTCGCAAGGTATGATCTCCCGGGAGTAAGGCACCTAAAGGCAGTTCTGCAAGGTGTCCATGCCCATTGTAGGTGCTAGCGACCATCGGCCATCAGGAGCCTTGCTGAAGGAAAGTTTTCATGGCATACTTACGTGTATCGCAGATAATACACTCTCTCCCGCCCCCCGCCCCTCCCGACCCATTGACATCTCGACCCAGCCTACCCGGAGATCGCTGCTATAGGTGACGGGCCGCACTCAGATCTTCATCAATTCCTCATAACTGTCATAAGACAGCTTCAACTGCTTGTCACGCATATATCACGGTGAGTCAGCCTTCCCTTGCTGGCTTCTTACGCATAGGCTCTCGAGTACGTGCTCCTCTTCTAGCCCAGCACTTGAATTCGTCGTCTGAAAGCATAGACTGGTCGAGGCTTGGCTTCCGGTGTGCCTTGTGCTGGTAGTATATGTCGCAGCCACCGCACACTGAGCATGGCCGCCATCGGCCATGTGTTGCTCGTATTCATCACTTGTCGACCGCCAAAGGAGCTCGCAGGCCTTTTCTATCGTCTCTCTGACAACCCGCTTCATCGGTCATGTACCTTGCGCGAGGCTCGACGCTGACGACTGTTTGGTCTCAAGACTCTTACAGTGACCACACGACTTATACAATCCTATTACGAACATCCAAGACTATCTCAAGTGTATTGCGACACCCCGAACAGTGAGCACATCCTACAAAGCTTATCAGGCCGTGTTTGATAGCTGACATGCGTCGTCAAAGACTGTCTAGTTGATCACACCACCCACGACATCCTAATGACTGTACCATCTTATGACCACCACACTGGCACCTCGACCGAGCGAAAACGTCCCCTACTCCCCGCCTCATCCTCCATGTAAAGCCCTTTCTGTCATGTCGGACCCCCACTATGCCTCCCCCACCGCAGCCTCCACACAACACCACATCAACGAACAACATGTGCCGACTGGCAGAGGACTCAAGAGCTTCTTTACCAGAGTCACGTCGCCCACGCCGGGGGAAGCGCCTGCTGGTCGGTCCCGGTTCAAATCTTTCATGGGCGATGCCGCGAGCAAAACTGGACCGGGATCCAAGCTTGCGCCCACTAGGCAAGGCAATGCGGGTCAGCCGATAGAAGCCCTCGGCACAAGAAGGCGGACGTTATCGAAAGATGTCCATGGCAGGTCGTCGGTAGCGGACCAGACGAGAAAAGGGTCGCAGTTGGATCCATCTGTGCCCACTGTGGATATGAGAAAGCACATTCGCTTCAATCCCAATGTGCTACCTCGATTGCAAAAGGGTGATGATGGGAAATGGCAGCCGCCGTCGCTTTCGAGAGGTTCCATGTCGACGTCGGCTCTGCATCAAATGCAGGAGCAAGACCCGAATGTGGTGCCCACCATCAATCCGAAGAAGGGACCGCAGCACGCGTTATCAGGTCTATTTCATCCTTCAACGCGGAGGAAGAGTAGCGTCCCTGCGACGTACAAGAAGGCAGAGGATGATCTGGCGAGAACGACAAAAAGTCCGACTCGAGGGCTCAAGACCAAAGTGACAGTCGAAGATCTTCAGCGGACTATAAGTCCTGGTGCGGTCTCGCCAACTTTGCGTGCCCCGAGAACCCCCGTTTCTCCCATGTCGGTCCCAGTTCCCCCGACATCAAGCGTCGCTCCGCCCTCCCATCGTCCTCCCCAATCGCCTCCATTGTCCAAGACCCCTCAACCAGCGTCTCAACCAACTGTGCCTGTCTCACAGAGCACAGTCAGGCGACCTACTTCTCTCCCTGCACCCCTCCCTCCTCCCGACGTACCTACTCATGCAAGACAAGCGTCCGACATTGCCGCATTACCGCCCGCTGCAACCCCTCCCCTCTCTCGAGAACACTACCTCCTACGCCTTTCGACTTCCTTCATTGTCAAATTCTTGACGCCTGTCGTCCGAGGGTCCAGCTTTGTGCAGGGCGACAAGGGCTCAGAGATCAGGCGATTGGCGGATGAACGGCTGGCAGTGCTGGTCAGGATGGAAAGGGCTTGGGGGTCGGATTGGGTCAAGGCCGCGGGAACCTTGAACGATTCTCAGCCAGGGCAAGCACAAGCTGCTACAGCTCCGATGGAGACGAGGATTCGAGCTGCGTATGTTGGCGAGAGGTCCAAGGAGCGGGAGAGAAAGGCTTGGCTTGAAGCCATGCGAGATGGTATACTGTTGTGCTTGTGAGTGTGCTGCCATCAACGTCGATTGGCGACTGACTATTCATGTAGCCTCTTCAACCAACTATTCCCATATAGCCCGGCTCATATCACCAGAGTCAACATCTCAGAAGATGGCATCAATCGCTCGACCAACGTGACCCGCTTCATCGCCGCCTGTCAAACCGCGGGTTTGCAGGAGAGAGAGTCGTTCGAATTGTCAGATTTGAAGGGAGGCTCGGAGCTCGGTTTGGGAAAGGTTGCAGCAAGCGTTGTTGCACTGGCTCGTATCGCTGGTCCCTCCCGTTCCAAGTCTCCCGTTGGGTCACGACCGGCTAGTCGTCCTGGGTCTCGAATGAGTAATGCCACGCCGACCAACAGCCCTCCGCCCACCCCAAAACAACCGATCTTTGAGATCGCTAGCCCTTCATCTATGATGTCAGCCAAACCTGCCAGTACCCCGACACGGCCGTCGCCTTTTCCTCGCTCGACGACTCAGCCTATTTTGTCTCCTACAATCCGCCCGAAATCACCGCCAGCGTCCCCGATCTCACCAGTCCGTTCCACATCGTCCAGAAGCACTACGCCTGTAGGAGGGACCCCGAGTCTTCAAGTGCGCCCTGTGTTACGTCCTCGTAACATCACAGGATCCAGAGCGTCGGTGTCATTCGCCAGTAACGTCTCCACATCTGTGCCCTCCGCATCCTCGGACACCGGGAATAGGTCATCTCAACCTTCACTTTTGACTCATTCACGTGAGCGGACCCCCAGTCTGATCAGCTCGGATTCACGGCCAACATCGGCATGGACCCGTTCCAGCGGGACCTTCTCGGTCGCAGCTACGGTGCTTGGTGGGAATGAGACGAATGCTGTAGATCTTACTGAAGCGGCAGTGGATCAGGATGGTGCCCGTATGCGTGAACGCCGGATGAGTGGGACTACCTTGCAGAATGCGAGACAGAAGATCTTGGGGACGCTCCTGAGCAGCGAAGATCTGCCAGAAGACCTTCGAAACTCTGTCACGAATAACAGTATGAACAGCGCAGAGGACGAGGCATTGATGAACTCTCTTGCGGCTCTCGAAGGCCGACGCGCATCCCCTCTGGTCAAAACAGATCCCACCCCACCACCTCGGCCTTCAAATCGTCGATGTTCCACCAGAGAGGTTGCGAGGCAAGAAGTTGATCCTGTCAAAGAAGAGGACGAGCACACCCAAAGCTCCGGGTCTCCAAGGATCAAGCCGTCTCTGACTCTGACTCCCACCTCTCCCGAGCGTCCCGAACGCCTCGCGAGGGTGGTCAGTGCAAGCGGCAAGTTCTATATCCCCAAGAGGTCTATATCGCCCGCGTCTAACGTCAGTACGCCGACCGGCGTGGCCTTTGCACATCTTTCTTCTGGATCTCCAACGCCGGAATTGTCTTCGACCCACTTTTCGGATAGGCTCACTCGTGGGACCAGTCCCCCACCTCAGATCGTCGGCCGAGCTGTGCCGCCGATTGAGAGGGGCACAAGACATCACAGCTTCACTTTTGTGCCTGCGTCACAAGAACCAATCTCTCCTGTGCGCCCTAGACAACCACGAAACAGCAGCATGGTCGATGTGAGCTCCAAGTCTATGCTTTCAAGAGAAGCCTCACCTTCAGGTGCCGTCAAAAGACCGCGGACCAGTCAAAGTCTGCAAGTTCTGGAGTTTCATGAGAAAGGCGAGCCCGTTGTCAGATATGTAAGCTGAGATCTCTATTGACATGGTTATGTGACTTGTTGACTCGAAACCTAGCAATTGGGTGACTGTATCGGACGCGGTCAATTTGGATCTGTCTATCGATCTTTGAATCTTGGGACTGGACAAATGTCTGCTATCAAACGAATCAGGCTATTTGGCATGCCAGAGAACGAGGTTAAGGATGTCATGCGAGAAGTTGAGCTGCTGAGAAGGCTATCCCACCCCAGCATCGTCAAGTACGAAGGGATGTCTAGGGATGATCAATACCTGAACATTGCTCTAGAGTACGTTGCTTCCTTTTTTGTGTATCACAGCTGACCATGACCCAGGTTCGTCGAGAATGGCTCTTTGGGTCAGACCCTCAAGGCTTTTGGTACTTTCAACGAGCAATTGGTGTCCTCCTATGTTGCAAAGATATTGGAGGGCTTGAACTATCTGCACTCTCAAGGTGTCGTCCATTGTGATCTGAAGTCGGCCAATATCTTGTCGACAAAGACCGGCAACATCAAGCTGTCAGATTTTGGTGTCTCGCTCAACATGAAAGCTCTGGAAAATATGAAGCAAGAGGCCAAGACCGCTGGGAAAGCTGGGGCACGGCATGCGTCGGAAGTAGCTGGCACACCGAATTGGAGTGAGTTTCAGCATATAATCGTGAGCTGACCGCTGATCAATCACAGTGGCGCCCGAGGTCATCTCGTTGGCGGGTGCATCATTTTCGTCCGATATTTGGTCACTTGGTTGTACCGTCATCGAATTGCTTACTGGCAAGCCGCCGTATAGTGACGTACACAACAGTATGACCGGTGAGTTTTCGGTCTAGTTTGACATGCTCTATTTGCTAATGTTTCGTCAGTCCTGTTTCGCATCGTTGAAGATGAGATGCCTCCCCTTCCTTCAGGCATCTCAGACGACCTTGCAGACTTTCTACGCCTCTGCTTCACCAAAGACCCCGATACTCGGCCTTCCGCTGCTGTTCTTTTCGAGCACAGATGGTTGACGTCGTTGAATCCTCAATTGGTACGCCCTCCGCTGCTAGCGACTATCAAACGCTAACTCATTGGGTAGACGGTACTGCGCTCGCAAGACAGTCTCCCATTTCTGTCGAGGGTCAGTATGGACTTTCGTCGTACAAGCAGCACCCAGCTCTTCCAACAGAGCGACGCGACTCCCGAGACTGTCGCCCCTGAACCGCCGGCCACTCCGGTTCAGAAAGAAGCCAATACCCCCACCAAGGCGCATGTCCTTGTGAAGACAACTTTCGGGAAAGGTGCGTGTTTTTTGTCGCTGTCAGATGAAACTGACGAAGATGCAGCTATCGCCTGCAGACTCTGTGATTCCCTTGTCAAGAAGGGTGTCCTATGTCAGGACTGTGGAATGATCGCCCACACGTCCTGCGAGAGTGTCGCCATGTCCAAATGTGACGTCCATGAGCAATTAGCCATCCTCAAACGCCAACAGGAGCAGCAGACGTCAGAAATCAGGGGGGGCACAGGGACACCAGCCCCAAGAGCGAGCTTCGATGGCCGAGACGGGCATTTCGGAGCTCTTCCTGGCAAGATTCTGCTGGGCCTGAAACGGTCTCGAGCCTTTTCACCTCCTCGACAATCCCAAATTGATCTACGGGCATCACTATCTGCCAGTCCGCGTGGGCAGGACACGGCGTCCCCTTCTGCAAAACGATATCATCAGTCGAGCCCTAGAGAAAGCACAGACACGTCTGAAGGATCACATAACGACAGCCTGCAGAACCGATCATCGTTCTATAGCAGTACGTCTGGGTATGGGAATCTGGAAGAGGGTCCTGCAAGAGGGGTCACTTCTGGCTTCCAGGGTGACCGTAGAAATTCAATGGCGAAAGACAATAGGAAGAGTCAGGAGATGGAGAGAGTCAGGACTCTGAGCGGTGTAGAAAGAGAAAGCGGGAAGAGCGAGTGTGTAATTCAATGATAAGGCGAGAGGACCTACATCGTTATAGTAGACCGTTGTGACTCAATCTTCTGGACTATATCTGTACCATACTGTATCCAACATACTCATCATAGAAGTACATAGAGTACGGTAGCTGTGCTTTTCCGGTCTGCTGCGATAATTGTTGTTCTCATTAAATACACGCACTTTAGTATGGCTTCCCATCATATATACCAGCATCACATGAAGAAATGCGCAAGTATGCCTGCTCCCTCTCAATGCTCAGTCGCCGCATGTACAGGACAGGTGCCGGCAAGACATCTGCTTCAGCATCACCTAGAGCCTAGAATACGGAATGCCCCCATTTCTATCCGGCGGCCGGCGGTAATCCGCTCGAGAGTCAGAATCTTGCCATTCACTCAGCATTCACTTGTACGAACAGCAAGGATGATGCGGCTCTCGGCGCTCCTGCTCTTCCCACAATGAAGGGTGCACGGTTTCTGCTCCCAGCACTGGCGAAGACCCTCTTCCTACCGCCCCTTATCGTCTTTCTTCTCTTTCGAGCCCTGCCTTTCGTTCCCCTCGCCCTCGAAGTCGTCGCCTATATCTCGTCGTTTCCTGTACTCTTCATCCTGCGATCACAGCTGTCAGCCGAGCTATCCGCTCGATCAGCTCGACAATTGAAAGCTGTAGACATCCCTCGTGTCCAGGGGAGATGGCCGCTCAATCTAGACGTATTATGGGACTGGGCAAAGAGCGGTAGCGAAGAGGAAGTGGGGCGGATGATGGTACTTATGGAGAGACGTTACGGCGGAACTTACAATACCCGAGTGCTTGGTGAGGATCAGGTCAGTGAGGTGCCGTCTGGGACTACATTACGCTGATGATCCCAGATCATGACGACCGACCCTCGAGTCTTCAGACATGTCCTGATTGGCGACTTTGACAATTTCGTGAAAGGACAGAAATTTAAGGACAGGGCTCAAGAGTTTCTGGGTGACGGTATATTCAATTCCGACGGTCAAATGTGGAGACATGTTGGTTTGTCTTGCCTCGTCTGCTCTTTACTGATCTCTCTTCACTATCGTAGCATAGATCTCTCCTTCGTCCATTTTTCCATCCAACTTCCATTCGTCCCTCCCGGTTCTCAGGCATTATCGATGACTATATCTCCAGTATACAACCCGGCAAACCCTTCGATATGCAGGCCGAGCTAGGCCAGCTTTCGCTCCGGATGTCTATCATGTGGCTTTGTGGGACAGATCTTACTCCAGAGCTTGGGGAGGATCACATTGCAGAATGGAAGGACGCTCAAACAAACATTGGACAGGCCATGTCCGATGCCCAAAGGGTTGTTGGTAAACGAGTAAAGATTGGGACTCTCTGGGTAGGATGCAGCCGGTTTGTTAACCAGGTAGAAGCTGATACCATTCCTAGCCTCTCTTTGAACTCGCAGGTGACCCTCTCAAGAAGCCTTTAAAAATCATACGGACATTCTTTGGTCCCATCATATCGCAAGCCCTTGAGCGAAAGGAGAAACTCTCAAACGCGAAGGATGACAGCTCTTATTTGCTGATCGATCGCCTTGTACATGCTATCGATAGTGAGGAGATCAAGTGTGCTTTCAGTACTCGTGCTGATGACTTCAAGATAGAAAGGATATTGAGGATCAACTGATCAATATACTATTGGCATCCAGAGATACGGTACGTCTATGGCTGCCAATACTGCACTGCTCGTCTCACACATCGCACAACAGCTCGCTTCTCTCTTGACCTTTTGCGTGTACGCCTTGGCTATTCACCCAGAGATTGCGCTTAAAGTCCGCGACGAGGTGGTATCCGTCTGCGGATTGCAAGGTGAAATTACCAAGGACCAAACTCGTGAGATGAGATATAGTGAGGAGCACAAAGTCAACTGTCAGTCCCATGACGCTCATGACATGTAGATCGAGCTTTCATAAACGAGGCTCTCCGTCTCTTTCCCCCAGTGCCTCTAAAGTGAGCCGGAGCATACCTCACATAATAACATACTAATTTCGATAGCATACGGCGCACTCTCCGTCCTTCAATCCTTCCAACCCCCATTCCATCATATATGCCTGCCAACACCTCCATCATCCTCGCTACTATCCTCATGCAGCGCGACCCGAAAGTCTGGGGAGAGGATGCGCAGGTGTTTGAGCCGGATAGGTGGATAAATGGCTCAGAGCTGCAGAGGGAAGGATTCACGAGCTGGAATATCGGGCCGAGAATGGTACGCCTGACCTAAACTCATCAAGCATTTGTAATGCTGACAAGCCATTAGTGTCTCGGCCAGCCCTTTGCTCTGACAGCAGCTCATTCGTTCATCGCTCACTTCTCTCGCCACCTTTCTACTGCGAACGCCACTCTTCGCCTTTCGCCAGAGGCCCAACCGCCGGGGTCGACAATCCCTGACAGCTGGAAGAGCGAAGATGGGGGTGATGGGCGGCTGAGAGGTGGAAGAGACAAGGTGTGGATTGTCGCTGATGTTGTTCTGGCGGTGAAGGTACGTTGTGTCATCATGTTTCATGGTATGTGTGCTGAGTACTTGACAGGGAGGTCTGTGGGTAGTCGCAGAGCCTGATGAAAAGGCTCGAGAGGATTAAGAGTACCTAGTGTTGATTGATTTCGGTTTCTCTCTCGTCGTCGAAGGGATGTCCATATACGGAAGGAGGTACGTCTCCACAGCAATCCCGCAAGTGTATAGCACCTGTACAGAAACGTCGACATGTTATCATGATCTTTCCAATGAGCCCTTACGCGTTCTTGCATTCTGGCTTGAGAGGGTTCTGCGCAGTGCCACTGTGCCCGAGCCCGAGTGTTATCCCTCAGCGGCTCTAACCATGTATGCTCTAACAGTGTCGTGAGGTGTTCAGTTATCAGCCAGATACGCGCCTGGTCTGCGGTCTCCTCTATGCGTCCAATGCATTGGCGCTTCATGTGGATTCGTAAAAAGTCGTAAACCGTCCCCCATCCGTCTCAAGCCTCCTGTAACCGCCTAATATCCTGCCTCTCCCGCTCTACATCTCTCTCCCAATTCAGCCCCCCATTCCCACTCAAAGCAGCCCCCGAAGCACCCGCACTGACCAGCTGGCCGACCACCGCCCGATGATAGGCGGTCCCGGTGTTCTGGAGCTTTTTGATAGTTCCAGAGACAGCGAGGACGCGTGGTATTATGGGGACGTTGTTGGGGCCCAGGGTGGTCAAAAGGGTTATGGCTGACCAGAGGAGGCGGTAGTGGTGACGAGCTATGCGGATGAAAGTGAGAGTGGTGAGGGGAGAATGATAGATGACTGACATACATACATTAGCTGGTTTTCCATGATCTGTGAGACCAGCGGCTCACCTCGGAAACTGCTGGCTATCCGTCCCCATCCTTCATCTCCGAATAAGCTCAAGACAAGGTTTTTGATAGCCCTATACACAACCTGCCCGCCCTCATCTTTATCACCTGTCTTGAGCTCGGGCAAGACGGCAGGCAGCATGAAGGGTAAAGTCGGTATAGGCAAAAGCTCGTCCTCGTCCTCGCTTTCATCTTCATCCCCGGTCTGGGCTGGTACTTCTGTCGAGGAAGCGTTCAAGTCTGAGGGTCCGGCGGGAGTGAGAGAGGGGCTGAGGGAGCCGGGGACGAGGAACTCGACGAGGAGGTATCGGTTCTTGAAGCGGACCATTGTGGAGAATTGTTGGGATTATCGAAGTCGGTGATTAGGGAGCGAGGGATAAGATGGAGCGAGTCCGAGTGTAGTTTTGAGACAGACAAGGTTTTGGTGAATGATAGAGGCGCATAGCAAGTGGTGGTTGCAAAAATATCAAGGGTGAGCCGAAACGGAACCAAATTTACCCGACGGCGAGAGGAGACTCTGACTCGGGTCAGGAGAAAGAAGAAGCCTGAACGGGACAGCATTTCTGAACTTGCTGTCTGTAATTTGTGTACTCGTACTCTACTGTACGTATTCATCTAGGTAGCTCGAGGCCATCGTCCTCAAAATGAAGTATGCATGTTCAACGGTTACATACACCCGTCATTCAGCAATCAAGAAGTCCTTGATCTGCTCTTTCATCGCCTCCCTCCCCACTGGCATACCCGCTCCTCCGCCATTCCGCCTTTCCACTCCCTCCCTGATCCACAACGGGAGCGCCACATTCTCTACATTTCCCTCCTCTGCCAGCCGAGCTTTGGAGACTACCGTAGGAGGTGTGAACGACGTAAGGCAAGAGTAGCACAGAAGAGGGGCGAGTGTTGCTTCAGGCGTGGAAAGGGTAGAGGCGGGCGTAGGGTTCAACTTTGTGGGTAAGGAGGTGAGGCCTGTGCGAGATTTCCATTCGAGGGCTGAGGGGTCGATGGGTCTGCGGTCATCGCGTAAGCCTCTACCCAAATCTGATGTACGATACTCACAATTGGCACACGGGGCAATGCGGCCGTTCCTCTTCTTTGCCGGGGAATACCAACTTGTCACCAGTTCGGTTGATGGTCGATACAGTTGAGGGGTGGGTGACGCTCAATCCAGCGATAAACTCTGTCATGATCATAAGCAGTGTCTTTTGATGAAGGGTGTATCGACTCACGCTCAGTGAGCATCTCGAGACTAGCCGCACCACCCTTCCCTCTAGCATCTCTCTTCCCAACTGGCCCGGCCACCTCCCACTTCCTATCGTTCCTCGTCCACTGGCTCAGCCCCTTGATGTGGCAGTAGACAGCGGCCTCCTTCGTAGTCAAATCCTTGAGAGGCTTCAGCCAGACAAACCCTCGCGAATCTGTTCCAGCCACTGGCGGCTCCGTTCGGACGGCAGACAGTTCCAGAGGCAATTGCCATCCTCGACCCGATGCTGTTCCAGAGATAAGTCTCTGCGCTTGCCTGGTGGATGTCTCTCCTATAAGGACGTGAGAGATGTTGGGCAGTGCATGGGCAACAGAAGTGATGAGGGATGAGAGAATATGGGACAGAATCTGAGGCCGGGAAGCTGGGGGAAGGGAGGCGAGAAGGGTGCGTAATTGGTCGAGAGGAGTGGTAGTGGATGCGCTGGAGGCGACAGGGAAGAGGGGAAGATCAGAATCTTTGAGGTTGATTGAAAGAGGCTGCACATCGGACACCTCTTCTCCATCGATAGCCCCACCCAGTTGCCTTAAGCGAGACCTGAATGCAGGATCGTAGACGTCCTCTGCTCGCACGCCGATAAACTCGAGCCCCTCTTGTCTTTGCTCAACCCACTCCCTTATGTCTTTGGTTCTCTCTTCGACGTTCAAAGCGCCGCCAAATTCGACATAGACCACGTAGCCCTTGCTCCATATGGGCTCCTTCTCTCCTTTGGTCCGGTCGATGGGGAGACCGGCGCCTTTGCCGATGTATTGTTTGGAAAGCAAGAGATCGAGCATGGTGGTGCTTCCGCAGCCGGAAGATAGACAGACGAGTGCCGCTCCTGACTGGGGTGGGGGCCGGTGTCCGCTCGTAGCCGCCAAACGGCTTGTCGATCTTTGGGGTTTCAGAGGCGGATGAAGCGATTTGGTGATTCGGGCGAAGATTGCTGCTTCCAGACACGGCCTAAGAGGGATCAGCTGCACACCTGAAAAGTCTTATGGATACGCACTTGCAGTATGTGATGTTGCGGAATATGTACAGACTCCTTACTTGCTGACATTTCTGACAGATTGATTTGTCCACACGGCGGACCTGTCTGCGGCCTGGAAGAGTCAGCAAATGGCGAATATGCTTGGACCCGACTGACGAGGCATGTTGACCTGCTCCTCATTCTCTGTGCCCTGCCCCTCCGGAAGGTTGCCGCACGCCATGTTGAGTGATGTTGAGTGATGAATAAAGAGTGGCACTCGCTGTTGAAACTCCAAAAAGATGCGCGGAACCAAATGTGGCGGGGGGCGCCGCAGTGTGGGGTGGGGTCGCTTAGGGTGGCGGCCCCTCTGGCTTTTTTTGCCCCGCGGCGGATGGGAATAAGTCTAATTCACCCTCATCCACCCTCGTCAGTCGTTGTCCAGCATGAGCAGTGACACCCGCAAGCACGACTCCCCCCCACAGCAGCCCCTCAAGAGAAGGCGTATCACTGTGCGTATCTCCCTCCCAGCGCTCCAACTTCCGGGGTCTCTTCCCCCCATACCAGCCCCAAACTTCCCCAAAGTGCTGACACAACCCATCATAGAGAGCGTGCGACAGGTGCCACCGTGGAGGTATTCGAGTGCGCCCCTCTTTCCTGCTGCACAAGTAACTACATAGCTAACAAACGACCATCTCTCGATCAGTGTGCGGGCGGGACGAACCCTTCTGTCTGTGCACCCTGTGCCGATTTTGGTTCTGACTGTACCTACAACAGGCCCATGAAAAGACGTGGAGTGAGTTGGTCTCGCTTCGTGGATTGGTCTGTTGTTTTTAATCCATACTGACGCGTTTCCTGGTATCATAGCCTCCCGCAAAGTCGCGTGAAGGACATGCTATCTCTAATGCCCCTCTCGCGCGATGGTCTCTGCCCTCTCCCAACGACAGCTGGTCATATCGTGAAATCGCAACCCACGAGCAGATCGAGTCACTTGTCGACGCATACTATGCCATCGTGTATCCCATGTGCGTCCTTTGCTTGTCTGATCCAACGTGTTTCCGGCTGACCCGGTCCGTCTCATAGTTACAGCATCTTTCACTGGCCCACATTTATTGCGAATATCCGCCGACGCGTCTACATTGCCTACCCTGCCTTTCACGCCTTGACAATGTCTGTCTGCGCCCTCGCCTCGGCCAGGCTGCGTGATGGCGCGCCCACGTCTCCCAACGCCCGAACTGCCGCGGCACCCAACCCTCTCGAAGCTAATGGCGCTCAGCCAACTTCAGAGCAGTTCTACCAGGCTGCCGTTGCGTCTTTCCCTCGTGATCTCACCAAGGCGATGGAATTTGACTACAAGCGCGCAAAGCCCCTTCTGGCCACTTTGGCTATCCAGTATGGTGATATTCCCAGTGTCCACGCCCATGTTGGAGACTATATGACAATGTGTGCCATTGACGGGTTCCACAACGAGTGTCGTTGGCCGTGCGATCTCAACGAAATCGAAGTCCAGGAACGCCGCAGACTGGTAGGCATCATACGTTTGTCTTGACAATAGCTGGACTAACAACGTTGAACATACTGTAGTTCTGGCTCGCTTACCAGCTCGACGTCTACTCGGCTACCACCTGGGGCGGTATCATCCGTCATCGCGAATCTCAATCCACAGTCTTGTATCCCACCGAAGTGTTTTCAGATGAGGAGATTACTGCAACCGGTATAGTCACCTCGACCAGTAGCAATCGACCGGTGTCCTTCCTTCGAGGTTGGAACTTTACAGTTGATCTGTACCGCATTCTGGAGCACGCCGTCTCGCGACTTCGAACACGGAACCACACATTCGATGCCGGCAATCAAATCGCTGCCATGTTTCTGGACGGCCGCGTTGGGTCGCATGCAGAGCTCAAGCCAAGCGAACTTTTGGTGATGGTGGAGAAGCTTTACAACGATCTGCCTCCCGAGTTGAAGGGAACAAGTGAGATGACTGGGGATGTGGAGAGAGATCGTTACGGGTTCCAAGGTGAGTCATAACAATGTCTGATGGTTGCTGACAGCTTGTAGCTGCCAACATTCTGGTGACCATGCAAACTGTCAAGATGGTCGTCGCTGGCATGGCAGACTGGTCTGTTGAACAGCGCTGCGCCATTGCCTGCGAGCTCTTGGACGCCTTTGCTACCGTTCCCCGCGCCTACATCCAAGCCATCAACACTCCCCTTCTCCATCATCTCGCTGGTGTCGGCCATCTACTTGCTTCCATCATTCACTCCCCCCTTTCACCTTCCGGGTACATGCACGTCCGCAGCGTCTTGCTTTGCCTTGCCGACTTGCTCCGCTCGCTCGAGTCGCTTTTGACGTCTACAAACGGCATCGCTCCAAAGTTGAGGGAGCATGTGGAGAGGATCGATAAATACATGGCGAACGCTGCGCAGAATGGCGGTAAAGGGATTGCTGCTGTAAGTGCGCTACCTTCTATTGAAATCTGTCTGACAGTATCACAGACAATGGCATTCAATGATCAAAAGAACAAGCACGACCTCGTCCCGCAAATCAAAGCTGCTACCAATCACACCCCATTCCCTCTCCGGAACCCTGCATCTACCGCCGCTTCCAAAAGTGCGACCAACTCTGCTCCTACGCCCCCGTCTAGTGCTGGTATACTTGCCAGTAATGGCAGCACCTTTCAAGTCTCGTCTTTGAGCGCATCGTTACCCCTTCCCTTCTCCGGTCCTAACGATCTTGGCTTGAACAAGTCGCAAGGTCCAGTACTTCAGCAAAGGCGAGAACAGCCGGTATACACCCCCAGTACTGGGTCCAACACTGGATCGTCCACTCACTCTACCCCTCCCCAATTCTCACCTGCTTTCAACACTCTACCCTTGAATCAGTCTTTGCATGCGCAGTATCAGACTTCCGACCATCCTCCCCCTCTCCCCTCTCCTGCTTCTCGGCCGAGTCCTTCTGCGGCGCCGACCATCACCCCAGGTCCTTTGAGTAACTACTTTATGCTCTCGCCCGGTGGCGCTCCAAGCCAAGATGAGTCGAAAAGCCAGGATGATTCAAATCAGGCACTGCAGCTCCCAAACGACCTCTTTGTTGACTGGCCATTCTTGTTCAACGAGTTTGGTTTCCAAGGGGATGCTTTTGACTTTTTGAGCTCGGGCGTTGGAGGGCAAGGTGGTGGGGGTGCAACTTCCACGACCGGGGCATCCGGCACGACCTTGGGGTCTTCACCCAGGGCGGCGACGTCCATCACCTCGCCGCCTCTCGCAGAAGGACTTGGCAATCCTCCCGCCGATACTTCGTTGACCGACTGGGATTTCTTGGGGCTCTTGCCAGATGGGGGTCATCCAGGGGGCAATGCCAATTCAGTGCAGCAGCAGAGCGGACTCGGGAGCAATGGGCTTGCGGGAGGGATTGGGAGGATACCCGAAGTGGGCTTTGGACAGGGTATCAGCGAGTAGCCTTGATGATAGGCGAATTAGTGTAAGATAAGAATATAAGAGTCGACCATTTGGACATTTTGGGATTTTATCAGTTTCTTTCAGGCTTTCATATCGATCTCTTTGGGTGTCTTTTCGTTTCATTATGGTTTTGGATTACATCTGTACTAACGGATAGCATGGGGGAGACTTCGTGATGTATATCATGTGTGTAACCTGTATGTCCAACATAGAGGTCATTCAGCCGCAGCGTGGACGCACGTTCTGGTCAGTCTCGTCTTGCTTGCCCATGTCGCGTATTCCGCAGTGCCATCTTTCGTGCTCACCCACGGTCCTCGGAGGCCCGAGATCAAGCAAGACACGGCCTTTGACCGCTGCTACGCGTTCCGGGTCGCTTCACGAACGACCATGGGAACGGCCGGAGGACCTAGGGGCAGACGACGATCATACCGAATGCGGCGGATTTTCGGGCGTAAATCTTGGGCAAATGACAATTAGGATCAATTATCCCATGGAACTTTTGAGGCAAAAAGTTATAGCTCAGGCAAGTTGAAAGAAAAACGGTAACCTCGCCCGCCCCGGTACCTGGAACCTCACACTAGCACGAAGGGAACGTGCCTTTTCTCAAGTACCTCGTGCCTTTTGCGCCCAAAGTCTGTTGGTGCTTCTTCCCTTGTCTTCCCGTTATCGTGTCTTCTCGTTATGTACTCGTTACTTCTGTACGTTCTTCCAAATCTTATTATTATGCGATGGGCGTCAAATGAGCAGTGATTGGTGATTGTTTCGTTGAGGCGGTGGCCTATGGAGGCTGCTTGGAGCGAGAAGGTGCGACATGCGAGGCGCTCCAGCGTAAGGTTGAGTCACTTTGAGGTCCATGCCGTCAAGTCACGACGATATCTTGGCCCAAAATAGATGAAATGACTCGACATTCGACTGATGTTTTTGATATTTCCTTCTGTGCTGCGTGCTGTCTGCCGAGAGCTCTGCCGACTGCTCTGCCGACGATCCCGACGACCAACGAGGACTGACGGACAGCAGGATTGAGTCACACTCTTTGCTCCACCGCGTTAACGTGAAAAGTGGGGACAAATGACGACAGATGGCAGATGACCAGATGGGTCTGGATTCCAGCAGAAAGACAGAGGTCGACTCCGTATCGTCGCCATCACCTTCACTCTTATCAGATAAGGGAAAATGAAGGCTCCACCGTCGTCCCGCAATCTTTGAGACAGTAGTGACATCTCTTTTTTTTGTCCTTGCTCGATCTTTCCGGAATGAAGATGCATTTTGTATAATTGCGAGTATGTGGTAGAAGACTAGGAAGACTTGTGGACCCTGACAGGTTTGTTGACAGGATTGACCGGCACACCCGTTTCCATGCTATTCCATCTCGTCAGCCGCCTTCCAAACCAGAATGATGATCAGGGAATACTCACTACTGCTTGACATTCGCAAATACCTCCCTCTCTCCCCTCAGGATCGTGCCCTTAGTAAGGGCCCCTACATGCGGCTGGAGCGTGACATTCTTCATACTGTACAGCGGTGAAGAGACGCATGGTTCGGTGGTGAGCACGTCGAGGCCGGCGCGTTTGACTTTGCCAGATTCGAGGGCGCGGATGAGAGCCGGCTCGTCTATAACTGCACCCTATAAATGCTATGAGCCTACAGTGTTCACAAGGAGAATAATGGACATACACGAGCAGTGTTGACGATAAAGACACCGTCCTTCATCTTTTCGAATTCCTTGTCCGAAAGGATGCCGCGGGTGTCGGGCGTGAGGGGACAATTGGTGGAGATGATGTCGGATTGAGCGAGAAGGGTGTCGAGGGAGACATATGTAGCGCCGAGGGCCTCTTCCTCTGCGAGTGCATTGTCAGCTCGAGGTCAAGAGGACGAGAGGAAAGAGAGGCACCTTCTTTGGGAAGAGGTTTACGGTTGTGGTAGAGGATCTTCATATCCCACGGCTTTGTCTTTCTCGCCATGCTTTTTCCTATCGCTCCTGCACCTTCATTAGTCTCTTTCGTCACCACACACAAAGAGAAGAACGCACCAAGCCCAATGATGCCAATAGTCATCTCTGTCGGATCATCACTCAACGCCAGGTCCTTCCTCCACCTGCCTTCCCTCGCATTAAGCTCACTCTCGTACAGTCCACGGACAGCGGAGAGCATGAGAAGGATGGCCATGTCGGCGGTGGCCTCGGTTACGGCGTGTGGGGTGTTGGAGAGATAGCAGCCGTTGGCGGCGAGGTAGGGGTAGTCGACGTCGTCGTATCCTGCAGCGGTGTCAGTAGAGATAGCGGGAGGGCGAATGGGGGACTTGCCAGCACCGCCTTGGGCAAAGAGACCACAGTGTCCGGGTTTATCGAACAGTGGGCTCAACATGTCGGGGTGGAAAGGCGAGTATGCTGCCGTACCGAACAACTATGACTCTCATCAGCCTTTCTAGTCTCCCTTCCACCTTCAATAGAAGAGGTACTTACAACATAGGCAGCATCGAACGGCCCCTCCTGGTCACAAAGCCTCTTGACCTCACTGACAACCTGCTCTCGCTCATCGGGAACGAAATAGTGGATATCGTAAGCCTCGGCGAGGGCTTGCCATTCAGGGATGGCGAATCTGGGGTAGCCTATACCGAGGATCTTTCTGCGGGCGATGGTGACTGTCATCTTTGTGCTTTGAGCTTGTGGGCTTGTTGATGAACGAGGGAGGGAAGGAGACGGGTTATATAGGGTGGATTTTGGAGACCGGTTGATCTTATCATCGCGCATGTCCGACGTGTGCATATTATCAGCACCCCATCTTCGGACAGATCCGACTGTCGTCTACGAAAGCCAGCTGATAACAGCCTGCGCCAGTGAAGAGGGAATCGGAGAAGGCCGAAGATAGTGAGGACGATGTAACCGAATGTAAGAGAAGGATGGCGAAGGTGGCGATGACCGCCTGTAGCCCGGCGGCCGTGGCGGATGAATGGATGTGCCGGATCAAAAGCACACGCTCTGATAATTGATAATTGCCACACTGCGACGAAAGGGGGGCACGAGGGCGACAATCAGCATCAGGCCGTGGGACCGAGGCTGAGGAAAGGACGGTGCGGGTGCTGTTGTTGTGCGACTGCGCATCACATGTATTGCAGCTGAGATGCTGCGAACAGAGACGTTGAACGTGGCGCCTCTACACCATGCTGCCATTCATATATTCTAGGCCAGCTATACCAGCTACCAGCTACACACATCTACATCTGCAGTCAGTACAGTGGTGCAGCTGCCAAGGCCCAAGGCCAAGGAGAGTGCCTCCGAGTGATTCACATATCCTTTCGCAGCCATCAACCCGAAGAGAGACCTGGTCCAGAGCAGCGTTATGCGTGATGGCCGGGAGAATGGGGAGATACTTTTGAGACCCTCATGAACGGGAGAAGATGGCAGAGCTGGAGTCAGCGTGCTCGCACCCAATGCATACGTACGCCGGGAGCATAGCGTCTTCTCTTCCTGTGAATTTGAGCGGAATTGTGAGAGCATGACGCGCGTCTTGAGCCGTCTTCTGGGCGCTGGGCTAGAAAGCTGCAAATCACCCGAGAGGAACACTGTGCAAATCACCCGAGAGGAACACTGAGAAACCAAAGTTTTGGGATCAGAAAAAGGGACCCGTAATCAACTTTAATATCTCTCTCGTGCCTCCAGCCACAGGGCGAGACGGCCGAGCATGCCGCGCAATATCCTCGCATCACATCATCCGACATCTGGGCGTAAACACCCAAATAAGAAATGTCCGGGCGGTGGAAGGGCCACGGAGACTGGGCTTAGCAGCCCACATTGTGTACGGCAGCGGCCGAAAAGATGCAGGGCCCATGCACTAGTGCGCTCTGCCCTGCGTTTTCTCTCCGTGGTCGCACAGGCCCCCCCTCCCCGTGCCTCCACCCGTGCCTCCCTCCCACGCATTTATAAACCCCCGAGTCGCCTCCTCATTTCTGCACCCACCATCTTTCTCTGTAAACACCTCCTGTAAACACAACCCAATTCACAACAATGTCTTTCACCACCTACGTCGCTGCCCTCCTCGTCCTCGTCGCCCCCGCCGCCTTCGCTGCCCCTGCCGCCGCTGCTGAGCCTACCCTTGAGGGCCAGAACTTCGGTGCCCCCGGTGGTGGTAAGTTCCTTTCGTGCTTGGCTCTCATCGCTCACTCTTCTCTCCTCCCCTCCTCCTCTTCTTCTCTCCGCCTTCCTCCTACTTCTTCACATCTCTCTCCTCATCCTCTCTCCCTTCCTCTCCCCTGGGCTTGCCTCCCTTCGTTGCCATCATTTTACTAACTAGCCGTCCCTTATTAATAGCCTACCCTTGGTAAATCATTACCACCCCCACCCTACCACAGGCTTTCTCTTTTCACAACGATGGGCTTTTAGGTGGACGGATTGGTACTGGGTACCAGACTGGAGAGTATTGGATAAGAAGAAATTTGGAACGGGAAGGATTGTACACGTACTGTAGATAGTCTCTATGTATCAACCGACCACAACCCTCTTCTTGTATCTTGGTTCTTGAGCATTCTTGGAGCAGGCAGAGATGGTGGTTATCGTCCTTCTGTAGGCTTCTGCGCCTCTGGCATCACGTGGCTGCGGACGGCTGTCTCAGCTTGTGGACAGCATGCATCACGACGCGTTTTTTCGCCGGCGACGCGGGTGGCGGGTGTCCCTCCCTACCACGGGGCCGCACATGGACAGTCTGCCAAGCCTATTGAGCATCATATGGCATATCCCTTGCACGACATGTCGACCTACCCTCTGCGGCAATCTCGAACGCTCACCACCGCGCCTTGGGTTCCAGCGCGACTTCTTTCTCCTGTCTTTCTCTCCATTTCTCTCCATCCCTTATCCAAACCATATCCCCTCGTCTTTGCCCCACCCTTCCTTCCAGGAAGCATACCTCCCACATGAACCCTCTTCAAGCATTTACAGACCCGCCCCAGACTGTTCGCCACTGGCGGCCCTCCCGGCGATATCGACTATCAACCCACCCGTTCCGACTCTACTTCAAATTCAGCAGGGTCTGAGACCGCGCTCATCGGGGATACGACTGAAGACCATGAGCGCGAATTTATAGAACGGGTGTTTCCCGACGAAGAATTGATAGTCAAGCGAGACGGCAGTATCGTGCGCGAGCCTCAGACGGTGCTGGACGATGACCTCAAACCCGATGCCAGCTTTACCCCAGACGATTGGTACCTGTTCCAATTTATCAAAGATCACAATCCTTCTCATGTCAGACATTCGCCCGGCCATCTTAGAACGCGCTTCGGGCTCTCACTCTACTTCAACTGGAACGTGATGACTCATCTCAGCCGATGGATAGCCGCAAAGGAACATTGGGTCAGTGATGTTGGGAGTAGTCACTGGAGTTTAGGACCGGATGAGACGCTTGGATCGGCTGATTGGCTGTGCAAACGTGCGTTTGGTGTGCTTCGAGGCGAATGTGAGGTGAAACAAGGGGTCATGTGGAAAAGACTTTCGAGGCATTCCTTCCTCAAGACCAAGATGAGCTGGTCTTCCCCATCCGGGGCTGGGAATGGCGAGACCCACCCGGCGCTTCCGTGTATCCCACCATCAAATCACTCTTTCGCCAAGTGAGTCCATCTCAACCACTTTGACACTGCTGACGTTGGCTGCCAGTTGATCAACAAAGCCCACGTCAACAAGCGCGTATGGGGCATAGTCATGTTCTTCAACATCTGCTTTGTCGTCAAAATTACAGGTGCGAACGTGATCCGCATTAGCTATATCATCGATTGAGACGTCGACAAGATCAACACTTTCACCAACTGCACGCTGGAGTGACATTGGGGCCATTGGATGAGAGGCATCCTGTTGAGGATGTCTTTTTGCGGGCGAATCTTGGGATAGAGACCGATATACCAGCTGTGACAGCTTCTGCGTCTCCTCAACACCCGTGTGTGCCAAGCAAGAGACCTGGGGACCAACAAGAATATGCGAATCAGAAGAAACAAAAGGGTAGAACAGAAGAACAAAAGAAAGATGAAGGCCAGCTGAAAGTGACCCCAGACGATTTTGATGACACGTTGGTCGTGAAGAGCATGGGTAACACGGGCAATCATAACTTGGTGCGTACCTCTCTTTGTCATCGATATATGCTGAATGTCCATAGATTGGGGTGTTCAACCAAAAACTAGGACCTACCCACAGACTTTCGTATGACACAAATCATCACAAACAACAGCGAGCTCGCATCCTCTGTGTCTACTGTTCTGAGTGAGAAAATTGGCACCCCAAGACAGATCGAACTCTTCGCTTCGGCAACCTCATCGGGCGAGGAGCCCTTTGGGATGTATATGAACTGCCTGACGCTCCTGGCTATGTGGCCAAGTTCTGCAGTCCCTTCGGCACCCTTTCGCATCTCGCTTTCGAACATCTTCAGGTCGGTACTATAGTCAAAGAACTCGAAATGGACACTACACTCTGCCAGGTTCTTACCCCGTCCGGATATGCCCCAGTGACCCTTGGCCTATGGAGAGGATTCTGGGTGAACCCGGAGGATGTCAGCTATGACAAGAATGGAAAGGCAAGGGGCTGGTTGATGTACGTGTCGATTCAAGAGGACATGAGGCGCGGTGGAGAATGGAAGGCTGTGGGCTGCTGGAGCGATGTCGCCTCCGAGACCCGGTGAGTCACACTCCCCCGCAACATGATCATATTCTGACGCTCGGGCATGATGGATAGCGAGGGAGTCGTTGAGTGGTTAAAGACTGTCCATGAGATGGGTTACACCAATGGCGATTTCGAGCCAAGACACCTCTATGTGGCAAAAGGCGGCAGTGGATGGAAAATCATTGATTGGGGCAAAGGGCGGGATCGCTCTGTTGATGAAGACAGCCTATGGAAGGAGCAGATGGGGGACGAGACTTATGATCTGCGTCACATTTCTTATGCCACCTTTTCCCGTTAGGATTACCAGCACCACGAGGGTAGATATCACGAACATTGAAGTAACATTCCACGGTCACTGTTGTATATAGCATAGCCACATGGCGAATCATCATGTATCAAGTCTCATGCCGAAAGATGTGGGTGTTGCCTATTATGCTATTGTGGCAAAGTGGGCCGACCTTTCCACATAGAGTCTGTTGTAATCGTACAGTAGGGTTGTGCTGGCGATACTCCCGGCCTTTGCACCATCGCACATGGCGCCATAGCGTGTTGCTGGCATGTTGGACTGTTGCTTCACAACAGAAACCATTGTATCTGAATATTTCGGGCGAGAAGTGATCGCGCTGTTGTCTGTTGAGCTGAGAGAGAGGGTGTTGGAATGTCGAGCACCGCGTGGCTGCTGTAAATGCGTCACATGTCATAGATACAAGATAAGTGTCGCGACCGCAGTCAAAGGGTATGATGCATTCGCTGTACGCTGTACCCTCAAATTTACCTTCCGATGCCTCAAATTGGGGTGCCATGTCTTCCACCCCATTTCCCGGAGTGTGCGCAGAGCGCAGCGATACAGCCTCATATCCTATCCCAAAAGATAGGAGAAGCCGCGATGCTGTGACTATTCTGGGCAAGAGTTGAACAACACTCTCCTTTGCATACCGATCGCTTATCAGTACCTCTTTTGTGCACGCTGTGATCAACTTGTGCGTATACGCGGTGTAAGTGATATCACTATATATGGTAACATTGTCATTGGTACTCTCTTTCTTGAAGAACTAGATAGTATATGGCAGAGATTTTGGAAAGAGTGAAGGAATCCCACGATAACGAGTTGGTACAGAAGAAGGGAATATGCAGAAAGAGGAAAGACCCCGGAAATTGTGTAGATGGACAGGAAAAGCCGGGACGAGGCGATGTTATTCAAGCGCATGTAAGGCGAATGAAGGACTAGATTATATACGGATGAAGCAGGGGTTGTATTATAGCTTCCAAGTGCTGGGACCAAAGCCTTCGGCAGGAGCAGTCAAATACGTAGCACCGATGCCGTCCCAATCGGCAGCTAGAGGACAATGTCAGCACTGTGCTTCACCGAAACAGGATTAGGACATACTGTTCTGATGCACGTTTGTACCCCACCAGCTGAGAGACGCGCCCTGCAGATCCAAGAACAAGAAAAGAGCGATGGCAGAAAGGGCGGTGCCGACATCTAAAGCAGCGGAAAGGACATAATTATACTATCCTTCACGTCAGCGCGATGTTCTTGGAACAGCAGAGGTGATAGACCCACCTTTGACCACCAAGCAAACCTCTTCCTCCTCAGCCAGAACTGGAACACGAACCCGACCACAATCCAGCTCGAGTAGTTGATACCACTTGCAGGAGGAATGGCGAGGGAGCCGCTAAACATGACGGGGAAGTTCATGTTTCGGAAGATCGACCGAGGGTACTTTCTGACCCAGAACCAAAGGGGAATAGGGAGGATTGCACCGGCGACGAGAGCAAACACTTGAGGGTAGTAGACAGAGCCTTTACTGAAGAGTCGCTCAGGACCAATCAAACCCCTGAATTACAATCAGTAATGACCTAGAACAGCAGAAAGAGTGCTCACCAGATGATGGAAGATGTAAAGAATGTCTTTGTCGACGCACATGTCAAAAGACTCTTCTGGGCGTTAGTACAGATATCCTTGACGACATGGAACAAGAGCTCCTTCATGCCGCTCTGCACGAAACAGGCGACAGTGGTAGCAGTGAGCTGGGCGATGAAGGTAGCTCGGGGAGGGACCTTCATGTAGTGGCCGAGTTTCTGATCCTGGATGAAAGACAAAGCCTCGACGATACTCTGGACAGAGAACACTTTGAAGATCTAGCTCATAGTCAGCTATGATCGTATACTATACAGGAAGACTCACCATTCCCGGAAGAGGTTGCCCTTGGAAGATGTATCCAGGTATCAGCTCTGCGAGGAGATTGATAGTCACCTGCTGTGAAGTCATCGCGTAGATGAACGCCGAGGGGATGATATACACCATCGGCAACAGCACACTGATGATATAGCCCCATACAGGCAACTCTGTATGATACACCTCCAGCGACACCACCGCAAGCACAAAGACGACCAAGAAGAGGGCGAGGAACCACCAGTCGGGGACCTCGGGGTACATCTTCATGAGCTTCAAGTGAATGTCGTCGGCCTCGGTCTTGACGTTGACGATGGCTCGGTAGATTCTAGGGCCGTGATAGAGGGCCGTGTGAACGATGAGTGCGGTCGACAGGGCGAAGGCTACCATGAAGGTGACAGAGAAGGACGCGGAGAGGTAGACGGGAGAGTATTGGGCATAAGCAGTCTCGTTGAGGGTGATGTCTTCGGTGAGAACGTTGTAGATGTCGTACGTCGAGCCGAATCGATCGGCTAATTGAACGACACTGATGGGAAGGTATGCCGTCTGCCAAACCTGATAGAGGTCAGTGATGGGAATAGCAGCGTGCACATAAGACTTACGTTGGTGTAGTAGAGGATGGGCGTGAGGATCCAGTAGAAGAGCACGAACCCGACACCAATGTTGACAGCGGCCCACCAAGGAGTGGTCAGAGGAGAACCAATCCAAGTCACCTGGGTCCAGTCAAAGGTGAGGAGGCCCATGCCCAGCCCGGTGGAGACTCCAAAGAGCTCATTGACAATGTTGTTGTTCGGAGCAATCCAACACACCCAAGAAAAGTATGACAGCGAGGTGAAGATGAATCCTGATGCTGATCAGCAACATGCGCCGTTCATCCGAAGAATGACTTACCTGGGAAAAAGTACCAGATGAAAGCGCTGGAGCCGCAAATGATGAGGAACTTGAAACGACTCATACCACCAGTGAAACCATCTTCTTCAGCATGGAAGGTATTCAGATTGGTAGCGACTACCAAGTTGGCAGGCCAGATCATGGACGCAGGCCAGACGACGAATCTACGGCAGATACCCGCAAGACTGAAACCTGTCATCTGTGTCGCCAAAAGGAACATGATGGAGAAACCAATGCCCCAGTTGTGGCCGTAGTACAGCTCGCTGGAAACGGTGGCATAGAGGGCATAGGCTGGACCAATGGCGACGTTGGCCATCATGACAATGATGGTATGCTCCTTGATATTGAACGGTCCCGGGTTCAAACTGAACTCGGCGCCACCGAGCCAGCGAGGAAGAGTGTAGTCATTGATAGGAAGACACCAGGCGAAGAATTTGCCGACAGGGTAGGCACAAACTCTGCAGGAGGGTCAGCCGCGTTCGGCTGTATATTCGTGATACTCACTGGACAATGAGAGGAGATATATAAGGGGCAGGGGTACGGAAATGGAAATAAGTATTACAAGCGGACGCAAGAATGGTGAAGAGTATTCCCAAAAACCATGCTCGGATGGTCATAGCTAGCAAAAAAAATCAGTCTGAGCCTCTCGTTGACAAGATGGCTACTCACCAGGCATGTCTGGATCGTCTATATTCGAGACCGAAGCTCGCACTTCAGGATAAGGACTATCTTCTTCGACCATATCCATATCCAGATCCGCCATACTGTCTCCCTCAGCTTCTTCACCCTTTCTGCCCCCATAGCCATCACCCCAGGTTGTCTTGCCATCCGGCACAGTCATATCCCCGGTCATCTCTGTCAACCCAATACTTCCTCGACTGAATCGCCTGCTTCGTCGAGTATGCCGGTCGTCACTGGTGACCTCTGACTCTGTGACAAAGGACGAGCCAGACATCATGCTCTTAGTATTGCTGGAACGTCTTCGAGCCGAGTGGGGGACAATATCGTTGATACCGGGAAGGGAGGCAATATCAGAAAAGCCATCCGCATCGTGTTCCCCTTCTCCACCCGTAAGACCAGTCGTCGTCGTGATGCTAGACTCTCCCGTCTCGGGTTTTCTCCGACGTTGAATTTTGTCCAAAAGACTCTGCCCGGTTCTGGGCCGTCGGGCCTTTGGAGGATTGCTCATGTTGAAGGCGAAACTCGAATTGTTGGGGTTGTTTCTACCAGAGAAGGGAGGAGGATTGGCCTTGTCATAGGTGGTATAGGGGAGGTGACCACCAATGTCGATAACACCAGTTGGGGTGGGCACGTTGTCCTTTTCCTGAGGGTTGGGATTGACGGATCGTGGCGTGTCTTGCAGGGGGAGAGTAGGCACATCGCCGTAGGAAATGGTACCAGGTCCTGTGCTTGACCCAACATGCTCTGTAGACTCGTGCGTCTCCTCCAAAGGAGAGGGCGCCCAGCTCACAGCACCGGTTGCAGGCCTTCCGGTGTTTGGCCTGGCAGCAACCGGCGCTGGTGCTGTACCGTACCCAGATGCCTTGACTCCGCCAGGCTGAGCAGCAGTCGCCGGCCGTCTGAAGGCAAAGACATCCGCATCATCACCTTCGTCCTCCTCATCAAAATCCTCGTCTCCATCGCTACCTTCAGGAAAGAACTGTTGTCGGGGGAGATGTTCTGCATCGATACCTGAAGCGGCGGTATCGGGGCCTCGGCGGACTCGCGAGTGACTGGGAGGGTCGTTGGGAGGGATACTGCGCCGAGGAGAGAGGGGTACCTCGTTCGTATGGGACATTGTGAGGCTCTATCAGGGCGATCAGCCAAGCGCGCGTGACGAATGAGACCGACTCACTGCGCTTGCAGGTTATATTATCTTTGCGTACGAGGCCGCGACGATCCAGCAAAGGGCTCAGCCAGAGATGGGCGTTGCTGCTGAGACCCAGGTGGATGCCGGGAAAAGTTTTGCTCTCTGAGTGGAGCCAGTAGCGATGATCGGGAGATTGTGACGGGAGATAGGCGGTGGTTGGGTGGGCTATGTATGTGTGCGTGTGAATTTATCGGGGGGGAGATGGGGGAATAAGGCGGATGGGAAAGAGGTGTCGAGGGTCGGGGTGGGGTGGCACGCGGGACTGTTGCTGCGTTCAGGCCGTCGTTGCGACTGGCGACAGGGACTCGGGGGATTATAGAGAGCGATCGACAGCAAAAGCCTCAGTTTGTCGTGCCCGCAATGCTTGGTATGGCTGCCCGCTGGGTGTGTACTGCAGTGGGCAGTGGCTTGGTTTGTTCTGTGTCGAGGAGAACGGATGACAAGTAGGGGCCGGCCGGATCACTGCGTGCTTGTGACTTGATCGCGGGCCAACGTGCGGGAGCAGCAGTGAGGGAGAGTTGACTGGCAGTCGCCGAGGAGATGTCCTTTTGGCGCCTTCTTCTTGTGTAATCTGTATTTCCAGTGGTGCACGGACGGATGTGCAGACGAGAAATGAACAACTTCTTTCGTCTACATTGCGCAGCGAAAGCCGAGAAGCGATTCCAAGTTCCAACGTTATCTGCCCGCCTCAACTCCCGATACTGCAATTTCCGCCTCATCTCGAGTCTCGACTGCATATCCATCCTCTGTGCATGCCGCAGTACCAAGTCACTGATGTATGTGGCAGGTCACTCAACTTGCATGCTCGGCTTCTCAACGAATGCATGGGACACTGCACGCGCCGTTGAACCCGGAGCCACATTCTGCTACTAGACTCTCCTGCATTCTTCCCAGACTTCTTCTCCATCCACGATATATACAGGAGCTGGCCAGTCCCCAGCGGCCCCAGTTGGCTCTCCCCCACGACCCCGTGTAAGCAGCGGGAGTGCACTGCATGACTTGGCGTGTCGCTCGCCCTTGACGATGACATCTAAAGAATCATACTCGGCTGACTGCGGTTCTCAGGTGTTTAGGGTGCCAGGCACTTCGCCAAAGAGTCCGACCGGATCCCGGACTCCAGCTATCGTCAGCTTGCAGCTGTCAACACTCAACCGTCACCGTCTACCGTCTGGGCCCTCTGCCCCCCAGGCTCTGCTCTTGAGACGTTCAGCCCAGGCTGAGCCCAGAGCGCAGCGAAAGAATTCCCAGAGAAGCCTGGACATGGCAGGGAAAATGATCCCGGACAGTCCCTGGACCCTGCCCGATAGCAATTCATAGGGAAATTTCGGGCGCGTCGCGTTGGAATTCATGTCTCGGTCATGACTTCCGGGCGCGTCGAATATATGTCATTTCGCTCTTATCAGGTGGAGCTGGGCAGTCACTGCGTCTGGACATCTTGCGCTCGGCGATGCAAGGGAGACGAGGACATTCGAGGCCTGCAAAGTGCATCATGCGTCTTGCCAACGTGCTTGACGGTGTCGACAACCTTGTTCCCGAATCCCGAGGCGGCCAAGGAAAGGAGATCTCTTTCGAATGACCCTTGACGCCACACCCGAAAACTGTATGTAGTCCCATGGGCTTCCCTTCGTTCACGCCTCGGCATATGTTCGTACTGAGCCACTCTTGGCCTGTGTCCTCAATGCCTCATGCCTCGAGTTTCTCGAGATAACTTGATGCATTGTGGACAGACGTTGCTGCCCAGAGTTGGCCCAGAGTCGGATTTCGTGGCAGAAGAAGACAGCGATCGAAAGGTGCCTGTAGGCTGTACCTGGCCATAACGTTTATCTCTGATGTACCGTGTACGTAGCCACTATTTCGGATCGGCCTCCAATGAAAAGACGTTCATGATTCAAGATTCAAGACACTTCAAGGTCCAAGGTCCAGCACTCTCTTATCTTTTACGTACAAGCATGTGATACGAGTATGAGAACAACACCTTTGTCTTCAGGCCAGCGCCGGAGAGAGCATTCAAATTGCTGGCACAGGCCTTCAGTCTGCCAGCTGCCGGGCTGCAGCTGTATGCCTGCGCGGGACGCCGTTATCCATCCTTCAAAATCCCTCAACATCACCACTGCGCCCCAGCCCCCTGCGCAACCCCTGACCTGTTGACCAGCTTCACCCTGTCACGCATGCCCCGCCCTCTTCGCCGCACGAGCAATGGTGACCGCGATGCTCAAGTAATGCTGCGGCTTGGGCAGACGATGAGGAAAGTTTGCTTCGACCCACATGGGGTAGGCTGCGGTCCTCAGTCTATTCTCGTATTCTGTACGAACGACAGTCAGCTTGGTCAACGATAAGAGTGTGATAGAGCTTACCAGAGCGTAATCGGGTATTTGGCATGCCAGTGTCAGATGCGAGTTCATGAAGCACACTTCGTATGTATGGTGAAAGTCGAAGGGCTGCTGTTGGGCCGGGCGGATGATACTCTGGCCGCCGTCTGATGATTGTGCATTGCCCGTCAGCCGCTTGTCGGGCAGTCATCTCGACCTGCGACATGTCAACTCGAGTACTCTTACTGCGTTTCCACGTACTCACAGCTAACAAAGAGTCACACGCTGGTGGCCGTCTCTTCTTCGTCTCACTCGAGCTCTGGGCGAAGTTCTCCGGCTGCTCTCCCATCCACGGTAGCCCCCCTTCCCCGGCAACGCCCATGCACTCTTCCTCTCCATCCGCTCTCAGGCATATCCCCGAACACCTGAAAATGATGCGATGGACATAGCCGTCGGGATTATCTCGAAGCGCATTGTCGTCTACCGAGACATGGATATGACGCGAGCGAATGTCGGTGGGCACAAGGCCTGGGGGGTCCAAACATACAATCTTCAAATAAGACGAACAACGAGCGCGCGAGAGAGCATTATAGTCGTGTGGCTGCACATGTATCAGTATCTTGATCCTTCATATGCTCGAAAAGACGCACCAGACCATCAAAGTACCGCGGTATATCCTCCACCTCAATCACCTCTCTCATATACTCTTCTCCATCGAGCTTCTTTTGCCTTGTAGGCTTGACGAACCCGCTATTCGGGGGCACATCAATCATTTCGAGACCCGGTCCATTCAACTTTTCAGCACTCAAGTCTGCCTTGGGCGATGATGAGTCGGGGAGATAGTCGCATGAAGCAACGATATCCCAAAGCGCCTGTCTTTCGGCGACGCGCTCCGGGGAAAGCAACCGGCTGACCCAGGAAGTGCCATTGACATAGCTAGTATGCCTTTGTATAGGTTGTTGCAGCTGTGGTGCGGGGGGTGGTTGCTGATAGTCAAGCGTCACGAGCTGTCCATGACTCTCCTCATGAAGAGTCAATGCTCGCACGATGGCATCAGCCTGTGATTGATTTTGGGCATCCAACGGCGTGAGGTGCCGAGAAAGTTCTGCTTCCGTGATATGAGCGTTGTTTGTCAGGGCCGAATCGAGTGTAGGGTCGATAAAGATGGATGATGACTCTGCTTGCAAGTGGCCATCGTCTTGTGCGTTGGCGTCCTGCGAGAGATATTGGAACGCTGCTGTTAGATGGCCGTGCGTCGCAGGAATATCGACCTTCTTGGGATCTTTGTACAGATGTCGAGGACGGCCTCGCTTCCTGGGAAGATGTGAAGCGTCTTTAGGCATCGTTGGCTGAGGGTGGTGGCCGAAAGTGGAGGAGATAGCTCTGAGAAAGAGGAGATAGCCAGAGATTATTAAATTACTTCCCGTCCAACCAAATGCTTCCGCTATTGCGCCACCCGCGTTCTATTTGTTCCGGCTTCTTTGTCTTCTCACTTTCTTACTGATACGCTTCTGCTCCAATCTTTCCCAGGATACCATTACACCCTCAAGATGTCGTCTGCAGCAGTCGACTCGGCTATCAAGAAGAGCGCCAACGACTTGGCCAAGGAGCTTGAGGTGCGTTTTGAAAGAGCTACAAAACACGCTTCGATACTGACTGTCCTGGGTTGTCTAGGTTGAACGTGTATTGAAAGCTTTCAAATTGAAGTAGGTAGCATTGGGACATTCCCATTCATCAACTAACCCATTAACAGTCCGTACGACATCCTTGATCTGCCCTTGTCTGCCACAGAGTCCGATGTGAAGAAGCAGTACCGAAAGAAGTCTTTGCTGATCCATCCGGACAAGTACAAGCATGAACGCGGTCTCGAGGCGAGTGCCTATACTAGTCCGGGCTGTGATATGTACTGACATTTCGTCCCTAGGCTTTCGATTTCCTGAAAAAGGTCATGATGACCGTGAAGTTCTCGAGAGTAGACGCTGATGGTTTCAACAGGCTCATGACCACCTGATCGACCTCGACAAGCGAAAGGATATCGACATGATTATGACCCACGCGCGTACACAGGTTCTCAAGACGTAAGTCATCGCTATTGGCGTGACGGTCAACCTGCTGACCTTAGATCGCAGTATCCTCGGCAGCGGTTTTTCGACAAACGTCGCCGACGACGATCCTCGCCTCGCCAACCTCTCGCCACCGTTCGAGCAGCAGGTTAGAGCGCAGGGAAGAGAGATTTTGGTGGAGGATGAACTCGCACGAAGACGGTGGGTTTATCTGAACATGACGCCGAGGCAAATGCTGATTCCGTTGTCAGGAAGACGAAATTGGCTTATGCCAACGAAGGAGCTGAGAAGGCCAAGGCCGAAGCAGAGATTGCGTCAAGAAAGCGAAAGCTTGAAGATCAATCTAAATGGGAAGGTGAGTAACTTTCTTCACATATGGGGATATTGTCAATCGTCTTTCGAGACTATGGCAGAAATCTTACGAGTGATTGCACAGCAGGTCGCAACACAGACCCGATTGCCCTTATCCCCTTTCAATCTTGTGAAGTGAGTAGATTGCTGACACATTTTTTTCTTCCCTTTTTCTTCATACAGAACGTCGAGATGAGCGCATCAAAGGTTGGAGGGACTTCTCGCACAAGACCGATAAAAAAAAGAAGAAGAAGAACGACTTGCATGTTCTGGGATGAGCGGGGGTGCGTCTCTCTACAAATTTGGGGCTCTGGTCTCTTATATTTCGCGTATCTGTACAATTTTGAGTTCGGATCTATATCTATGTGTTGTTCATATACCCCATGCCTCCATGCATCCCACAAATCGTCTCAACCTCTGCCCAAGTCAATCTTGCCTCCCTTCTGCAATATCCGTACCACTTGATCTGGAGTGATGAACCATCCATACCCCTTCTCACCTTCTCCATGCCTAGTAATAGGGTATTTGAACTTTCCAATAAAGGTATGGGGACCAGAGAATATGTGTAAGTGGAGATGAGGTACCGAAGAGAAGGGTGGTATATGGAAGCCTGCCTTTGGCGGCGGCGACGGGGGCACAAGCTGACAGCCCAGTGCTAGCATCTTCCGTACTGGAGATATCATCAGTATCAAACGCTTTACATGCAGAGCATATACACGCACCCATCGGAATATCCTGTGATGTCAGGTCCCGCACGGATGAGGCGGCATGAGCTCGAGGAATGACCAAAATGTGCTCCTTTGCTCTAGGCGTTCTATCATGGAAAGCCACAAATTCTTCGTCCTGAGTAGAGGTGTCAGTGGTCATCTTGTCTGAATATATGCCGGAGTAGATACCTCATATATCACCGCAAAGCCGTTCTCTCTCGTAGCATTGCAAAAGATACACGACTTGACGACACGTTTGCTTGCGTCGGCTGTAGGCAGCAGAGGCTCGTCTTGGACAGCAGCGGAACTCCGAGAGGGTAAGCAAGACAGGAAAGAGGGCATCGAGGGGGCCAGAAGGATGGAGTGACTTGTTCGTGCCGGATTTTGATTGTTGTTGTGAAGGATAGACCGCGGTTGTGCCCGCCGGCGACGACGCGACTGATGAAAGCACGCACGTCATTGCTCATAAACTGCTCATAAATCTGATCCATCTCGCCCATTTCTCAGCTCAAGTCATCCACCTCAGTCACACAGATAGCCATGACCAAGCATCAGCCATTCAAAGGTTGGTGGGAATCTGACTTACCCTCTCGCAAGGCATACTGACCATGTAGCAGAGGTCGAAGCAACAAGACCGGACTTTCATTCTGACGTCGATCCGTCTTTTACCAAGACTCCCAACCCCGACTTCAAACCCGGGCAAGGATTGAATAACCTTGTAAGCTGCCCACCTTGATGGCAGGGTCTGGAAGCCCTATCTCATGTCGCTCGAGTTAATGTCGACCTCAGCCCAGCGCCGGTGACTTCAGCCCCACCGAGAAGGGGTGGAAGTCTATCATTCCCGAAAATGAGGCAGGGGCAGATGTGTACAAGGTATGTGGAAGAATTGTATTGTGTAAAGGGGCGGAGCTGATACACCTCGCAGATGATGATCTCGGCCATCGTAAGTATAGAGGTGACGATCGAGGGAGCGTGCTGATTGAGGTGCAGACTCCTCGGCCTATAGCCTTCGTTTCAAGCCTTGGAGATGATGGCAAGGCTAACGTAGGTCGATCAATCGCCTCTACTGGGCAATACTGATGATACTCTCAGCTGGCTCCCATATCTTACTTCAACGCTGTCAGCCATGACCCTCCTACGATCATGATCTCTATAGCTGCTGGTCAGCGATCAGATGGCCTCAAAGGTAAGCTCAGTCTATATGGAAACCACTGACTGTTTGCAGATACTAGTCATAACATCAAGGACACCAAAGAGTTCTGTGTCTCAATCATCTCCGAGCCCTTCATAGAGGCCGCCAACTACACCTCAATTGATGCACCACCCGAGGTAGACGAATGGGCGCTATCTGGACTGACCCAGCGCTCTTCAGAGTGAGTCGAGTCTCATTCCTTTCCGCAATATAGCTGACAACGTACCAGGACTGTTAGCCCTCCCCATGTGGCCGAGTCCGCCTTTTCAATGGAGTGTGAGGTCAGCCATTGGCATGACTTGGTAGGCAGTCAAGGGAAAACGACTTCATCTGTTATCCTGGGCAGGATCAAGCGCTTTCAAGTGGTATGCCCTCAGTTGTCGAAAGTCTCTTGGAGACTGACTAGTTTCGGGTAGAGGGAGTTTGTGGTCGATCCCGAGGATCCTATGAAGATTCGCACCGAGCAATTGCGTCCTGTCTCCAGACTGGGAGGTATCTCGTGAGTATCTGGTGACTTGCCATTTCAGAAAATGTGCTCACATATTCTTACTCTCACAGCTACTCACGCAGCACACAGTATGTTGAATCAAGATCCAAGTAATCGGACCAGTGCTCACTTGACTGCAGAATATTGGAGCTTCCTCGACCAGTCTGGAAGCAAGTGCAGGATACCCCTGAAGTCAAGGAAGCGCTCGAACAGGGCGCGAAGAAGCAAGGCGCACCTGCCAAGTAGAATACGATAATGACTGTTGATAGTCATGCTTGCAATTATATGTAGAATCTACAAGTGTCGACCAAGAATCGCATCACTTCTCCCTTACAAAGTCATGCTGGAAATAGTAGCAAGATAGTGTTACATTCGTAAGATCGTCTCCGCTCTTTCTGTATACCGTATCTAGTTGTCATGGACAGTCCATTCACTGTAAGAATGTACTTTCCAAGAAAGCGTTATCTAGGGCGAGGTCAGCCGAAGACAGTCGAGGGTGGAAAGAACACTCACAATCATAGGCATTTTGGCCTTCTTGCACCGGCCGTTCCATGCCCTCTTCCAGCCCCTCCAGCTCGCCTTGCTCCACAGGCATCGCCTCCTTCAAATACTTCATAGTCTCCTTTGGCAGATGCGCATACTCGAAATCAAGATCCGTCACATAGGGCTTCTCGGCAGCCATGCCTCTGAATGCTTCGCGCAGCTGCTCGGGCGACGACGCATCGTCCTGTGTGATATCCACAAGCAGACTGAGCCAGGCTTCGTAGGTGACACAGCCGAATCGTTGCTCAAGCTCGACAAATATAGTCTCAAGCTCTTCCTCAGCGTATACAATGCCCAGACTGGCAAGGGCAGAGTGCATCTCCCACATACCAAGCGTCTAAGTGAATGGTCAGATGCGAGTCGTATATAGCTCGCATTACTCACGTTCGTCTCTTCCCAAGCAAAGTGCTTGAACGTGCCTTCAAACTCTTCAAGCTTTGCGGGGGTGATGTTGGTGTGCTGAGCTGAGACCATCTAGTGAATGTTAGCAATGGGCACCGTAGAACATTGTGACACATACCTGGTTGTCGATGAACGCCATTTTCTTCTTCAAACCTGCTTCAGCCAGCTCCAATTCGTAATCCAAATCATCGACTGTCAACACTGTGTAGTCGTTCTCCTCCACTTTGGCTTGCAAACAGGTGGTGTTGAGCGCTGTGATTTCGGCTTTCAGGAAGTCGCGCAGCCGAGGGATTTGGGATGAGAGTTGCGACAGAGTTTCTCTTTGCTCCTATGCGATCCGATGAGTATAGAACGAAAGCTTTGGAAGCCCGAGGGATCATACCGGCAATGGCCCGCTCAAACTGCCGATAGCTTGTTCGATCTGCTGCAGACGTTGCACAAAGTCTTCAGCGGCTTGAGCAAAACTCTCTTTCAGCGCTTCCTTGATACTATAGGCATTCTAGGTCAGCGTCCCTGGACCTCTTGACTCATTGGCCGGACTTACTCTCTTATAGCGCCATTGATGGCTCGACTTCTCGCCGTTTCCGCCCCCAAGAACTCTGCCCATCTCTTCTCCAGATACTGTACAGTGTCAGTTACTCCCTTGGAAAGATGTCACTGGGACATACCTCTAGGCCTAGACCCTCCTTCGGCTCCCACTCCTTCAACGCATACGTCCTGATCTTTGTTTGTATATTGCTGTACAAGGCAGCCAGCTCTTGTCTCTCCTTGACCCACTCCCTCTTCAGGGTCCGCTTGTACTCGTTGAACTGGGCGAGATGGGCTTTGGCGTCCGGGTAAGATTCTGGGGTGGGAGAGATCGACCAGGCTTGCTCGGTGGTCGCAAGTGCTGAGAGAAGGAGAGCGAGGCGGGTTTCAAAATCGTTCTTGTTGGCCCTGGAATGCGGATCAGTATCTATCTGACTGGAATACAATGTGACTCACCAGACACCTTGCATCAGCTCTGCGAACTTTTCCACTCGCCTGGCTCCAGTCTCCGCCTTGTCTACGACTCTGTCAGCACACGTCCCACTCTCGGCTGCCATGGTGCTCACCCTCGCTGGAGAACTTGTGGAAGAATTCGGCCACATATGTCATTACCGATCGCTCATCCGGCACCTCCACATCGCAAAGATCCTTGACTTCCAACAGACGTGGTATACCCAGCTTCTCCTCGGCGACTTTGAAGGCCAACTCGGTGTTTGTCCGTTTATCGGTCTTGTCCAGACGGTTGAAGTCGAGCAGCTCTGGTCGATGATAGTGTATCAGAGCACACCTGCGCTTGTACTCAGCCACTGTCTCCGGAATATCTTTGTTGAAACTTACAGAGCAAGGCCGTCCACAAAACTGCTCTTGAAGTTCTGAACGTCGACGTCGGGATTGTACGAGGCAGTCTTTCTCTGGCACCACAGCAACAAGCCGTCCCTTGCTGACAAACCAGATTCTCTGTCAAGAGTCAGCTAGCTATAGCTGCAATTGAGTCGTCACAAGCTTACGTGATGTTTGCAATAGTGAAACGCAGAATGAGGGTCCATATCTGCGGAGAGTGTCAGCCTCTGCGGTACACGTGACGTGGGGGGCATAGAGTCGCTGACCATTCCCAATATGAGCTTTGAATTGCCATCCACAATGTCCTCCGGTCCGATATTCGTCAACTTGATGCCCTTAGACCTAATGAAGTTGAGAGCTTTGGCCGCGTTCTATCATTACCATGTGCGATCAGCAAAAAAATCTGGCAAACGAAAGGCGCTCACTTCTGCTTTCTGTACGCGCAGTCTTGGACTCTTGACATACCGACCCAAGCTTTCTTCCGAAATGATTTCCTACGCACAGTCAGCATGGACCGCCGTGTCCTCACTGAAGAGCCTCACCAGAAGCTAAATCAACATGTCAGCCCTGAATGCCTTTCAAATAAGATGTCACAACGCACCTGTATAAGCTTGACACCATCCGAAAAGTCATTGACCACATCCACCATAGGTTCCAATCCTTGGCTTTCCAATTGTTTGTTCAGCCTTTGCGCAAGTCAGCTCCCCCCACAAATGTACAGACTGGTTTCTCCCTTACCATCGACAGAACGTTCTGTAGAATTGATTGTCAGCTCATATCTCAGGCCGGTCCCTCATGAGCACGTACCTAGCCTGAATTTCCGCCCACTGAAGTTCTACCCCAGCACCTCCGCTGCTCAAGGCTCCTTGTCCCACAATTGGACTCCCAATTCTCGTCGACGGGCTCATAGGTTGAGCTCCATTGAATCCAGGCCCCCCTGAAGAGCCAGTGTTGAGATTCATGGCATTGTTGAAGTTTGTAAGGGCGCTGAGGGACTTGGTACGGCCGTGGGACCTGCTGCTGTTTGTGGGGAGATTCTGGGGGGAGGGGCGACGTTCTATGTCGACGGATGTTTTCGGGGACCACATCCTGTCGTTATTGAAGCACGTAGAGGTCGAAATCGGATTCGAGGGAAGGATGGAGTTGAGAAAAAACAAAGAGCAAGTCAAAGCGCAGACGCGTCCAAGTCGCAAGTCGCGCGCGCCGAGCCATTTAAGATTGCACAAGTCAGAGCCCAGAGGTTGTGTGACTTGTGTCGACATTGTCTAGTCTTGTCCTCTCGCTCTCGAAAGCATCTTCTTTTGGAGTAAGGGGAACAATAAGGTGCTTAAATCTGTTTTGTGATGCATAGCAAGTTGGTAGCCGATGTGGTAAGACTATGAATGGAATGATGCAAACGCTTTCTTGAACTTTACCGCATCCTCCTTCTCTTCAGCATCGCTCATGGCGCATTCTTTCCAGTCTATGCGGTGCTGAAGGCCCAGCAGACTTCCAAGGACGGTCCTACAATAGAAGTGAGTTTCTTTCCTGGTAGTACCTGAAAGCTGCTGCTCACCTTCCAAACTGAAGATCAAAGTTCCCCTTCAACATATGCACCAGCTTCGTCCCATCAGGACACTCAACCTTGAAGTAATTGCCGCCAGAGCCAGCCCTCGCTAAAGCCCTCTCTGGCTCCTTCTCCCAATCAATCCCCTGCTTCTCGCCACCCTTCCTGAACGAATCTTCAACCTTATCCACCAACTCCTTCGGGACGGGCACAATCTGGACATGGGCATGTCCACCGCGTCCAGTCAGACGTCCGATCTCAAATGAGACAGGGACGGCACCGTAAGAAGCGTAGCACGCTCGAAGGGAGGACTTGAAACCTTCAATCTCGGAAATGATGGACATGGCATCCTCGGCGGGGATGGAAAGGAGAGTAGGGTGGTGGGCGATTGGGATGATCTATAAAATGTTTGTCAGCCACAATGCCAGATGCATCTGGTCTCGGGACATACCAATACGTGGCCACCACCAGGAACAAGTGACTTGACCCCATCGGTGGGAATCAATTGTCCCTTTGGAAGAGTCACATACGACTCGGTGCCAATAGCCACGATCAGGTGCTTTGTAACCTTGGGATTACTCAGGCAGAACCAACCTTAAGATGCCGTCAGCGACAAGAAAGATCAGCGACATCTTGACTCACACTCAGCGGGACCAAGTTCCTTCTTCTTTGATCTTTCCTGTTCCCGGTCCTTCACCATGGGGCAGTCCTTGATATAATGGGTGTTTTGTCCACAGGCTCGACAGACGTATCCTGCAGGAGGAGGTTTGGGTCCAGGAGGTCGGTCCTCTTTTTTGGGACACTCGCGAACAAGGTGGTCGGGCTGAATAGCATATTAGCGCCGTTTCACGAAAGCACGCAAGACACAGTGGACTGACCGATTCGCAAATTTTACATTTGTAGCCAGGAGGGGGCTTTGAACGGTCGGCTTTCTGAGGACATTCTTGGATCCAATGCTGAGAGACATTAGCAACAACACCAAGGCCAAGAGTGTCTGACCTACACCTGGAAGCGAGCAGATCTTACACACATAACCATCTGGAGGAGGCGCACCTTCTGCCAAAGTTCATAAGTTATAATTTATCAGACAGACACTTTGACTTACCCTGTCGACCCTTCTTGTGCTCTCGACCACTGTCCTCCTCCCCATGCCCACGCTTCTTGGCCGCAGACGGAGGTGCAAACGGGTTCACAGTTGATCCCGCCGGCTTCGTCGGGACAGGCGTCGACGGTGTCTGAGGTTGCAAAGTAAAAGCATAGAACCACCTCGCCTTCTTCCCGCCCGCGGGCGCTTCACCGCCCAAAGCTCCCAGCTTGACGGCCCTGGACCACCTTTCTTCCTGACCTGCCGGGCCCGTCCATCCCCAAGGCTCACGTTCCCAGAACCCTTCCCCGTTGCCCCATAGCAGATACCTGGGCCTGGCGGCTTTGACGATTTCTTCGAAAGGAGGTACGGGGTTGACCAAGGAGATGCCGGAGGTAGGGAAAGATGTAGAGTTTTGGGAGAGGGAAGGAGGAGGAGAAGAGAAGAGGAGGAGGTCGATACCTTGGAATGGAGAGGGGAGGGCGGAAGCGGACTTTTTGGCAGCCGCGAGGGAGCCGGCCTCTACGGCTGGAGGACCACCGAGAAGGGGGTGTTTCATGAGAGACTCGACTGATTCTCGGGTGATCACCGGGGAGAAGGGATCCTAACAGATATTATGAGAACGCATACAGTAATCGTGATTATGGTGACTTACCTCAGGCGCATCGTAAGTCTCTGGGCTGTAGCTACCACCGGCGCAAGCAATCTTGAGTCCTTGAGCAGTTGTAAAGACTTTTGACTTTCCGAGAAAGACCAGATTGTCTACCACCTCTCCTCCAGTTTCCGTAATCTTGTCCTGAACGGACTGGGGAATCGAGTTCTTTCCAAGAGTAAAGTAGGTAGGTACAGGGACTGAGGTACTGATCAGCTTTACCGTAAACAGTCCGCCCTGAATATATCGACCCACACTTGTGCCCGACAACTTCACTTCCATCGGTACCCTCGGCAAAGAGGTCTCCCACAATCACACACGCATCAAAAGGCCCATGCTTGCCGTTGATGGCGGCGATCTTGGAGACGGCTGCAGCTATGTCTGAGAGGGGCGACCCTATTGCGAGGCTAAGGATAAGAGAGCGGAGAATATAAGCAGGGGGTTGGGAAGAGGAGGAGCCTCGTCAGCTTGTATTTCGCGCCGTAGTGATATACGCACATCTTCAATGGTTGTGTCTGGTGGGCCATGGTAACTGGAATAATGTGACGAGAGCCAAACAAGAGGCAAAGAGGATAGTGAACGAGTGCCACACTCGCGGGTGGATGCAACTCCGGGGCGGCGCCCCCCGCCGAGACGCTCCTCCACGCGACTTGTTGTGGTCTGTCCATTCTCCCATCCCACCTAGCCCATACCCATATCATCCATCATGGTCAGTCCATATCCCCTGTGCGAGTGAACCCCGCTGATGCCCCCGCCAGTCTTCCGGTGTCCAACCTGTACGTCGAACCCTTCCCCAATCGCCTCAACAGCCTACACCTCTACACATTCCATCCAGATATACCTCAGACGCTCATCCATTCCCCGCCCTTTAGACCCAAGAATGCCTCGAAAAGTTCCAGGAACTCAAGACCGGCAAAAAGCTCACATACGTCCTCTACGGTCTCTCCGAGGACAAGCGCTCTATCGTCGTCCTTAAGGCTTCAGACGACAAGGACTTCCAGACCTTTGTCAACGACCTTCCTGAAGCCGACTGCAGGTGGGCTGTGTATGACTTTGAGTTTACGTTGCCTGGTGGAGAGGGTATCAGGAACAAGTTGGCTTTCATCTTCTGGTGAGTTTGTGTCTTGCCACGATGTTTTGGGCGTCAGAGTCTGTAGAGTGGCGGTGAGGCAGTTGGTACGACGTTGGGGCTACCAAGAAGCTTTCCAGTCATGCTATGGTCCCACGCATGTCGCTGACCATAACAAATCAGGTCTCCCGATGATGCGCCTGTCAGGAGCAAGATGATCTTTGCCTCTTCCAAGGATGCTCTCCGTCGCCGACTCGATGGTAAGTGTCGTGTCGTGTCTTGATGTGGCGTCGCTGATCACTACGATTCTCTTTCTCCTGTTGTCGCACTTCCATCACTCCATTTGCGTCCATCCGAACACAGGTGTCGCCCTCGAGATCCAGGCCACCGACTTTTCCGAGATCACCAGAGAAGTCGGTACGTATCAATCTCTCCCCTTTCAACTTCTGACACTGCATACTAACACCATCCCGTAGTTCTCGACAAGGCTACCCGAAAGTAATCGCTTTCTCTCCCGACCAAACTCGCAGCGCCCCGGCATCCTTCCCTTCTACACAAAGCCTTTTTTGTTCGTGATACCTATCTAGAGCAAAAGATGAAATCCCTTTCATGACCCCAACACCTATCCGTGGTCTTGCAGTATGTCAGCGGGCCTGATTCGTATCTCGCGACACTTGGCTCCGGAATGCGACATGAGGCAAGGTTGAGGCATTTTGGGAAGTTGACAGGAAGATTGTCGTGCTTCTGGGGTCGGGAAATCATAGCCTACTGTCGTCGCCCACAGCTCCTCATTTCGAAGTGATAACGCTCTCCAAATCTGGACGATAAGATAAGGCTATATGATAGCGCTGTAGTGCACTCCCAGTGCGTTGCTGCAAGTCGTCTGGATGCTATCGACTTTCGGAAGCACTCGTGGGCCTATAGATGGCCAGTGCCCGATATTTCGAAGCTGGCATCACTCGCCGGCAGAGTAAGCAGTGCCGCGAGACGGCAAGACACTCGCAATTATTAGAGCGGCGGGGCTTGCGAAGGCGGTTTTGATTCATTAGCAGATTTATAGTAGAGGCTGCCCGCTGCATACATCTTCTATGACGAATGAGAGAGCGATAACGGCATCCAATGAGAACGGAAAGAGTCCTCGAGCGGGAAGAGATAGTTGACGGAACAGGGGGCGGTCCGGGATCTGAAAGGGTTCGATGAACCACAGTCTTGTCATTTAGCTTTCGGAATTGACCGAATTAGGAAGATTCCGATGATTAGAGAAGGCAACAGAAGGTGTTTACGTAAGCGATAACGCATGCGTGTTGCTGGGTGGCAAGAGTATATAAAACGCCTCTCTCTCTTTCCTTTCTCCTCTTTCTTTTGTTATCTTTTATTATTATCCTCTCTTGCCCCTCTTGCCGCATAATCTTAGACCCCCACCTCTTCGCAGCCCCACAGCCACCCATCGCCCAACACCACAGACCACATACATTCCGGCCACTCTATTGCCACCCAATCCCCATCCACTCGTCCCATTAGTCACGACTCATCCATCATGTTAGTCCCCCCTTCCGTCTTGACTGACGATAGTGCTTTCTGCACATGCCGCTGCTCGCCATCGCGGCACTGGTGTATACATACCCGCAAGCGCGCAAGAGGCAACACTATCAGGCAACACTACCAGGCAGATGCTGACACTGCTCTCTCTAGGCCTGCCAAGAAGCGATGTCAGTTCCGAGTCGTCTACAACATGCCCTCTCTCAACGCCGAGGGCGACGACTCGAAACCCGAAATGACTGCCAACCCCCCAACCCAATGTCCCTCAGCTGCGCTCAGGCTCGCTGGTGATTGCCCCCATTGTCAACGGGTTTTCTGCTCTGGCCATCGGACGCCTGAAGCCCATAACTGGTACGTTCCGATCACATTCAGGCGCCCCGTGAAAGACAATGTCGCTGACGACCGTGCAGTACCGGCATGCAAGCATGCAGGGACGCGGCTTTCCAAGCGAATAAGGATAGGCTCGAGAAGGAAAGAACTGTCAACAACAAGATTGCCCAGACATGACCTACACCGGGCATATAGAGTCCTAGAGTGTGTTTTGTGGCGGAAGCGGCGAGCGGGTCGGGGGAGAAGAGGGGAAGGTGTATCATGGCATATATTGTGCGATCTGTTTGTAATGAGTTGTAGACCATCATGAAGCTATATGAAGCTATATGGACTGGACGTTGCTGTGTGCATGGCAGGAGGAGATGTGCATTGTGGCTGAGGATGAGGATGGCGCACTCCACCGCGTGCGTCACTTTGTCACTTTGCATTTCTGTCCTCCATTCCTCCATTCCTCTTCCCACCGCCATGTCCCCCCCGCCACCAGACCTCCCCTACAAACCCTACGTCCCCCGCCGCCAGCGCTCCCTGCGCCCAGACAGGCCTCTCCCACCTCCACCACCAGACGAGCCAGAGGGAGACGCAGAGCAAGGCTTCGAAGACGTCTACCGCTCCCCGCCCTCGCCTCCCCAGCGTGTTTCTTCCCTCAGGCTGCAAGACAAGGAACTCCCGCCACCCCCCAGTACCGCCCCGTTGCAGAGCCCGTCATATCAGTCGCCACGTGCGACGTCATCCCCGCCCAACTCTGCCCCAGCCCAGACATCAGACGCCCACCTGCACCCCTACCACTCCACCCTACCCACAGCCCTCGACCCACCGACAACGCTCACCCCGCTCCGGGCGCACTATCTCAAAAAGACGCTCGTCGCGCTCCAGGTCACCCATGAACTCGGGCTCATCACTGATCCTGTCTTGGGCGCAAACGCGCTTGGCCTGCTTGGCGACCCGTTCGTGTTGGATGAACGATCAAGGAGGGAGGCTCTCCAGCGTACGAGTGAGGTAGAGAGGGCAGAGGGGCAGGTGGGGGATCTACCGTTCTTGAGGTTCATGTTCCATCAGTTCCTCCTGCCCTTCCCCTTTCTCGCTTCCGCGCCTCTCACCTTCTGGTCCGCCAAAGTGCAGCCATTCTTGTCCTCTTTCCTGACGACGACGGGTATATCCCAGCAAGCTGCTCAGTCGGAGGAAGACAGGCAGGTCTCGGAAAGTCTGATGAGCAAGGAAGAGCTCAAGGAGGCGCAGGAGAGGAAGAAGCTATGGATCAAGGTGGAAAAGCAGCTCGCCATGATGTTTGGTCTGGGTATCAAGGTTCAGGGTGGCGAAGAAGTTGTGCGGATAGGGCAAGCCGAGCTGAGGCGTCTCGAGGCTTTACAAGAAGAGAGAAAGCAGAAATGGATGGCGAAACATGGTGGACATTTGCCGGGAGAGCTGCAAAACACCGACTTCGAGGTGAACGTCATTGGCGTGAGGGTCGTTGTGGAGAAGGGCAGAGTCAGAAACAGGAGTCACGAAGAGTTCATCATCCGGACTTCAAGAGCGGGTGTGCCGGACGTCTTTGTGTCTAGGCGATATGGTGATTTCCGAAGGCTCGCTGAAGAGGCAAGTACAGTCTGCAGAGTGTTAAACCATAGCTGACATATGTGTAGCTGAGGCTGGCCTTCCCCGACTCTCTCATCGCATTCCCGCCCGCCAAAGACAAGTCTACATCGACCGCGCCTACCGCTGCCGCCAACAGCTACAACTATGGCACCTACAATCCCCTCCGGGCAATCTATGGTTCTGGCCCTGCCGCCCAGGGGTCCAGTTCTTCGCTCCAAGACCAGGATCCAGTATCTCCCACGTCGGCCCCTGCAGGGTCTCCACTATCAAGAGAAAAGAACCGTCTCACCCTCCGCGCATATCTCAACACACTCTTCTCTCTACCCTTCATCATCGAATCCCCCATCCTCCGATCATTCCTTCTTTCCGGCCCCACGACGCTCACGCCTCCAGAGGCGGTGGATTGTCAGCGGAGATTGGAGGCTGATGCTGTTCGTGAAGAAGGCAGGCGGAGGTTCAAAATGGAAGCGGAAAAGAGGATTGAAGCTCTTCGCGAGGGGTTGGCTCAGTTCAAGGGTGATGTGCTGAGTAAAGAGGGGGGACTCAAAAATGTGTTTGAAGTTGTCAAGAGAGTGGAGAAGGTGGAGAATCTGCCACCGGCAGAGGCCAGTGTGCTAGAATGGGGCAGGATCTCGTAAGTGGATTCGATTCCCACGAAGCGCCGACTGACGTCTTGTAGCCTCGCTGCCACGATCTTTCAACTGTTCGTGGCGTCCGATACGGCTTCAGAGACTCTTGCCTCCATGAAACGGCTCCACGGTCTCATGCCATACTTTGTCCTAAAAGGCATCCTCAAAATATCAAACCCCATGGCCATGATCCGCGGCGTCCTCGACCTCTTCCTCGCCCGTCCATTCGGCGGTCAATCTCTCATCCAACGGATGTTCTCAAGCAGTCTCACCGAGGACGTGCGGATGCTCGAAGAAGACATTGAGGTAGTCCAGGACAAGATCGATGACCCCGTGCTCTGCCAGAAGATTGAGCAGTATGCCAAGGCGCCGTTTGAAGTACAAGAGTCGTACAGGCGGGATGCCGCCTCGGAAGGGGTAGAGCTGCTGGTCACCATCCTTCGGTCTCCCGAGGTTCCGTCTTTATCCCGACCGCAGTTTCAGAGGGTTGCGAGGGCTGTGCGGGCGTACAAAGAGTATAGGTCGTCGCAGGCCGAGTTGTCGGATTCTGATGATGATGAGGGACCTGAGAATGAGGATGCGTGGTTATGCGAGGATCTTAACATCTTGTTGAAGCTGTGGCTGAGGAAGAGGGAGAAGGAAGGGCTCTTGGCGCTGATATTTGAAGTGGGTGTTTTCGTATGTTCGAGAAACGTTCACTGACTTTTGATATAGGGCGTGACTGCCGAATTGTTGAAGGACATCATCACCATCTTCTACACCCCGCTCGCTCAAGTCTACAAGGCCGCCAGCATTGCTGATTCTCTCGGCGACTTGCAAGCCTTCATCAATGACATGATCCGTACTATCGAGCAGGTCGAAGAGCGTAAGTTATCATTCTTCGATTAGGTGCAACAGCTGATGGCTAGCAGTCTCGCAAGAGGATCCTGGGAGAACCGTCCAGACCTTTATCGATCTTGTTCAACGCCACGAACAATCCTTCTACTCTTTCGTGCACAAGGTCCACTCCAAGGGCCACGGTCTCTTTGACTCCCTCATGGCCTGGCTTGAACTCTTCTTGAATTACGCCCGAAGCGGGCTTCCTGGAGAGCCCATCGACCTCGATTTCATCCTTCCCGCCTCGGAGGAAGAACGAAAGCGGGTGATGAGAGAGGTCGACCAGGTGGCGACGTACCACTACAAGCTCAAGGTTGCTCACGAAGAAAAGGTCAGGAGGCGGTTCAAGACTGCCGATGAGGGCTCTGGCGCCCTCGGCGAGGGGATTGATGACGAGGCTGAGCTTCTCGGCTCGATCATGACGAGCTTGAACATTGATCAGACGGCGATAGGCGAAGCGGATGATGTGGCGGACGAAGAGTCGGAAGAAGATGATGAGGATGAGCGCGAATTGGCAGACCTGGATGAAGAGCAAGAAGATAGGAGCAACACGTCTCCTTTGACATCCGCTCGTCGCGGGTCGGATGATTCCAACAGCACCCTCTCTCCTCTGGCCAATCCTTCTGGCAGACGTGGCTCGCACTCGTCGAATCACGGCCTACACAAGGTCCGATCGGCTCTGCATAGAAACAAGAAGGACAAGGATCACGCGCAGCCTTCACCTAGTCTTTCAGACAGGTCGAGCGGGCGTAGACGTGGTGGTGGGAGTAGAAAGAAGAAGACGAGGGCGGGGGAGACTGTGGAGGTGTTGTCTGCGCCCAGGACTGATGAGATTGAAGCGTTGCGACCGTTGTTTGTGGAAATGGTGAGTCGTGGAATCATTCGCCAAGTCGCCTTGCTGACTTGAACTAGCTTCGTCCCAACCTGAGGCCCAAGCCTCTCAAGTAGGGTGTCTTGCCATACTTGGCTATCGCTTGTGTATACGTGTGACCTGCTACCTTGAGGGGACAGGTCTGGGTGTCTTTCTTCGATCATAATTGTCTTTGGCTTAATGAGGATATGAATTTTGCTGTACTCGTATGCTGACCACTATACTGCACTGTCTTGCCCTTCGAGGCTAAAGTCCATGTCTGGATCTATACATATACAGCGGACATACACTATGCCGAGAAACACCACTCCACCCTCTCAATCTCGTCGCCTCGTCGCTCCAAACCGTGTCTTTGGGCTCAAATCAGCATTTGAAAACAGGCGAGAGATAGACGACTCACCAAGCTGACTTCTCGCACAGTGTATCTCTGCAAGAGAGCCTTCAGATCGTTCCTCTTTGGGTCGAGTGTGCCATCAGCCAACTTGCTCGTGGTGGAAAACTCGGAGAGGGAGGGGATGGTGACATATATGGCGATGACGTTCTGAGAGATCGTCAGTGGATGATCATATACGGGGAGGGTTTCATGTTACCTTTTGGACGAGAGAGTTGACTCGAATGACTGTGTTCATCCATTTCCAGCTCAAGCGTTCGTCATACCAATCTTCTTCACCATATGGCGACTTGGCTTGGTCTTCCGGGTCGGAATATACTGGGATGACAACACATGCAAATCTGCCATTTTTTTCAGCTTGGACAAGCGAAAGATCTCGTGGGCTAGGACGTACGCTGAATGAGAAAAGACAGGGCCTCGACGATACAACAACCAGTCGCAGCAAAACTTGATACCATCCTTCACTACCCATCCCAGAGACCTAAAGTGGTGATAGACCACATAGCTCACTAAAGCAGGGTTATCCGGTAGTAGTATACTGCGGTGTTCTTCTATTGAGGAAGGGAATGGTGTCGGAGAGGGTGGCGGGAGGAGAAGAGACAGGAGAGCAGGGCCTGGTGGAAGTATGTCCTGCGTTGAAGGATCGCGTACTTTGAGAGCACCAATTGCAAGGGAGCAAAAGATGGCTTCTTCCGCAGACAATTGAAGATGTTCCATCTCCTCCACTAGGGACTCGTCAAAGAAGTCGTCCTCTTCTTCATCGTCTTCTTCAACAGGAGGTGGGGGAGGGCGCGCGACTGGGGTAGCAGCTGTGCCAGGGGTTTGCGCTTGAGCCTGCGCTTGGGGAGGACGCCGCCGGAAGGCGTTTCTACCTCTGTTTCGGTTGGCATCTGGTCTTGTGGGTCGGACCAAGAACGTCTGCGCGGTGACATTCGTATGGTCTATAGTAGTAGTAGTGGCAGCCACCGAAGGCGACGGCGAAGCGGGTCGAGATACGTCTTCACTGGCATCGACCACCAAAGACACATCTCCTTCGAGATCTTCCTCCTGCTCATCCTCTTCAGGCTCCAAGGGCACAGGCGCACCGGCTTTGGCAGCTGCAACGATAGCTTCCGCCTTCTTTGCCGCGTCCAACATTGCCTGAGCTCTGTCCTGCTTGAACTGTTTCCTTTCCAGACGCCTCTTTTCCCTCATCTGCTCTGCACCGAGAGCGTCCCCTCCTTTTAAGAGCGCGACCCGGCGTTCTCGCCACGAAGGTTCTGATCGCGAGAGGGTACCTTTTCCGAAGAAACCTTTCTGGAAGAGCAAGTCCATGCCCTTTCGGTCGATTACCCATACACTCTGCGTGATTGGGTCATAGTCGCCGACTGCTTGGAGTAGCTCTGCTTTGGCAGCGAAGGAGGGGAGGTAAGAGGCCAGGACGGAGGTGGAGGTGGACTGGGGCTGTGGGAAGAGGATGGGGAGAGGGGTGCCGTACTTGCAGTTGTTGGCAGCGTGTCGTGCCCTCGGGGGGACTGTCTTCTGGGGTGCTGCTGTGGCCATCGTCGCTGTATAGACAATGTATAGATGCTGTGAGTCGGATATCCAGAAATTTATGAAACTCAATGCCTCCAGTGGAGGCATAAGTCCCCCGAGACCCGCTCTGTATCCGCGTCCCTTGCGAATGAAGGCAGTCTCAATTGTATCTCTTCTCTTGCTTCTACATCTCCATCCCATCACCCACCATGTCGGACGCCACCCTCTTCCTCCGCAAAAACAAAGACAAGCAGCGACGGCGCAATGCCTCGGGCGTAAACCGCGTGGCCAGCTCCTCCAGCGTCCCCGGCCTCGCCTCGCGACCCAAACCCTCATCCCTCCCAGCCTCCTCTTCCGCCGCCTCCTCCCCATCAGTAAAGCCAGACCCCACCCCCGATGTGAAACCAGACATTACAGAGATCAGGATCATGTCTACATCCCCCAACAATCCGCTCCGATTCAACCTCATGCGTCTGAATCATTCTAAAACGATAGACCCTGCCGATATAACTCAGCCTATCCTGATGAACAGGAAGAAGCCTGGTCCTCCCGAACCGCCTATATACTCTCTAGATGCTGAAGGACGAATAAATGGGAGATACCTGTACGACGAAGCTGGAAAGCCGGTGCTGGACGAGGATGGAAAACACATGGTGGATAAGAAGGAGACGATCGATATGTCTCTTGTCGGCCAAGCTCCCAGCGATGCCTCTGGGAGTAAGCGGAAGCGTACCAAGAGGGGCACCAAGGAAGTCTTCCACCAAGACATTGATATCATGCGTCTTCGTCGGGAGGAAGCGCTTCCTTGGGTTTTGGAAAGCGCCAATCCACAGGAAAGGCCGCCCCAGCCGGAACAATGGACTGGTAGGATGGTCGAGCAAGGTGCACTCGGCCAAGTGTTGCTCTTTAATGACGGCACTGGAGATGGATTTGAACTCATCCCTGCGGGGAGAACGTACAAGTTTGAGCCAGAGAGGCCTTTCAAGCCTCTGGACGCCGATGCTGCAAACAAATTGGTGAATCGTGTCTTACTATCCTGTGCGGTCTGACGACTTACATTGGTGTCTAGTTTGAGCTGCAGGCAAAGCATAAGATCCATGACAGATGGGCTCTTCGACCGGCAGATGGTGCCTCCGGCTCGGCTCCCGCTCCTACCAAGGTGAAGGCTGAGCACAAAGAGCTGGAGAACAGAGCGCAGAGGTTGGAAAGTAGGATTCAGCTACTGCGAGGATCTACTGTGGATAGAAAGCCCAAGGTGGAAAAGTATGAGGATGACTTTAAGCGTGAAGGACATCGTGTCGGTGGAGTGAGTATACGCCGCTGCCTCATTAGACGGCATGTTGACACAATGTTCAGAGTAATCTTGAAGGAGGCGTCGGCGAAGAGCTGGACTTTGACGAAGCCGAGGAATTTCAAGATGATGACGATAACAACACCTTTTACAACGATGCTCGTGAACAGGAAGAAGCTCGCGAGCTCGAGGAACGTCTCAAGAAGGAATTCCGACTCGCCAACGCCAATGTCGGCGATCGACCTCAGATTGCAAACGACGATGAAGATGAGGATGATTTGTTCGGGGACAACAATTTGGATGATGAAGGCAAGAAGCTTAGAAAGATAATGAGGAAGAGGATGAGAGAGAACGGGGAGGATTACGACATGGACGAAGATTCGGTCAGTTTCATCTCTATGTGCATGATTTTGACGCTCATGGTCAACAGGACTCTGACTCTGACGACGAATCAGTCGAAGAGAAGAAGGAAGAGAAGAAGGAAAAGGAGAAGGAGACAGAAGCCCCCAAAACGTCCTCTGAACCTTCGTCTCGCCCCACGTCCCGTCCCCCCACGGCTCGCACCGCATCCCCATCTTCCAACTCCAATGCACACCGCTTCCCCAGCCCAAAGAAAGGCAAGGCTTCCACCGCCCCTCCCGGCTCTGGCGCCTCTCTTCTTGCTCAACGCGCTGCCTCCCGAGGTGCTTCACCACGTCCTGGGTCGCACGGTTCAGCCGCTGGTCAGGCCACGAGTCCCCTTGGTAGAGCTAGCAGCCCTGGGTCTGGTAGCTCTCCGGGTTCAAGAGCCACGAGCCCTGTCGTGCGCGGGAGCAGCCCGGCTTCGGGCGCCAATACAGGTCGAGGCGGCAGTCCTGCTTCAGGATCAGCCTCCAGAGAGGCCTCACCAGCTTCTACTTCGGGACCCCAGCCCAAACGCAACCCTTCTCCCACCAAGAACCCTTCTGCTCCTGGCACCCCTTCCAAACGAAAATCCTCTCCGGGCGCCTCCGACTCTCGACCCAAGCCACCCAAGAAGAGCAAAAAGTCGTCGTCCACTACCCCCGTCCCTCAGCCTACCGATATCCCTCCTTTCCCGGGTATGATTACCAAAGAGGACGTGTTGAGCTGGTTCAGGGGTAATCAGAAGCAGGCGATCCCGATGAATGAGGCGATTGGGGCGTTTAGGAAGAGGATCGTGGGTGCGGGGCCGAATAGGGATGCCAACCAGAAGCTGTTTTTGGGGTGGATCAGGCAGCTTGCGGATCAGGAGCAGGGGAATCTGAGGCTTAAAGCCGAGTACAGGGTTTGAGGTGTCTGAGGCGCGCGACTAGATCTATGAGTAGGGATTGTTGCAGTTACCATGCAGATTGTTTCTCGATGCAGTCTGACGGTCTGACCAGCGTTCCTCGTTGTTCAGCATGCATCCCTTGGGAGCCCATCGAGAGATCTACAAAAGTCCATCTTTAGCCGATGTGACATCATCTGCGGGTAGCCGAGATCCCACCTGTTCTCACTGGTTAGTCATGCAGCGACGATCTTTCTGATCTCTTGGCGACGTTCATACCCACCCGAAACCACAGTATGTCATACGCTACCCTCCCACACCAGCCAACTATCCCCATCTGCCCCTTCTCGGTCTCCATCCCGGACAGCGATATCCAAGATCTCCACTCTCTCCTGAAGTCCACCAGGATTGCCAAACAGAGCTATGAGAACGCTGATTCGGCTGCCAAGGAAAACAACTTTGGCTTATCAAGGGAATGGTTGGTCAACATGCGAGACGAGTGGCTCAATTATGATTGGTGAGTACCTTGAGACCCTATAACCCGTACATGCTAATCTGCTTCTAGGCGAAAGGAGGAAGCTCGTATCAACTCTTTCCCTGCCTACATCGCAACTCTGAAGAACAAGGACGGCTTGGACTATGATATCCATTTCACAGGCCTCTTCTCGCAGAAGAAAGATGCAGTCCCGATCATCCTTTCACATGGCTGGCCTGGAACCTTTCTGGAGTTTCTTCCTATCCTGGAGCGGGTTCGAGAGCAGTACACGCCAGAAGCGCTTCCGTAAGCTATCTTTCAGAGTTTCAGGTTGATATGTGGAGCATATCGTACTGATGAGTTGATGCCAAGATACCACCTGGTAGTCACCTCGCTCCCCGGATGGATCTTCTCCAGCCCACCCACCCAGGATAGAGAATTCGGCGTCAAAGATGTTGGGTATCTCTGGAATGAGCTCATGGTCGGGCTCGGTTTTGGCGATGGGTACATGTCACAAGGCGGGGATATTGGGAGCTATGTTACGATGGAGCTGGGGTCGACTTATGACCAGTGTAAAGGTGCAGTGTATCCTCTAGCGTTCGAAGAGCTGGATAGCGGTCTAACGTCATGTCGGTCTAGCGATCCATCTCAACTACCGCCATGTCCTCCACAGCGTACCCCCCGACGCGCCCCCCTCAGACATCTCTCTACCACCCCCTCCATCCACCGAACGCCTATTCGAGCTCTTTCAGAACTTTGGCTATTTTTTCCAACATGCCACACGTCCGTCTACTATCGGACTGGTAGCAGGATCCAATCCGTTGAGCTTGTTGGCGTGGATCGGGGAAAAGTATGTTTCGTGGACGGATGAGACGCCGGGTGTGGACACGATCTTGGCGTTTGCGAGTTTGTATTGGTTTACGGATTGCATTTCCACCAGCCTGTACACTTATCGATACGTAAGTCGGCTTATGGACCGGATGTTCGAAACCGATCTTTGCATAGGGTGCCGGGATCAAAAGGAAAGAATCGCGCGCAGAGCAAAAGTACCAGAGCTGCCCTACCGGCTTTAGCTTCTTCCCGAAAGAGTTCATCCCCGTGACATTTGATGTCGTCAAGGCTTCAAACAACTTGGTGTGGTATAAGCAGCACGATGCGGTGAGTCATGACGCCTAAGCGATATGGGGTGTAGAGGAGTGTAATAAAGCTGATCAATGGCGGATGTGTCATCAGGGCGGTCACTTTGCGGCTCTTGAGAAACCTGACGTTTTGTGGGCGGATATCGAAGACTTTGTTGGTACCCAGTGGGAAGGGTGTTCAAAGAAGACAGGTCGGGTATGATGGAGTTTCTGCTGTGGCTATGTCTGTATATCTTGTCGAATTGTTGATGTACGATCTGAACGAACGCAGATCAAAGACAGGCCCTGTGCCCTGTCGTTACTTCGCGTGGTGCCCATGTACGACGCCCTGGTTTCTTCGCCGGTACAAGTGTACTCGATCAATCCAGTCTCTACCATCCGTGCGAGATCTATTGGAGCCTTGGAGGAATGGTTACACGCTGCATGACGACGGTGTCGCCTGGCGTTCGTTCGGGTGGCCGAGATCTCGCAGTTGGGGGGGCCAGAAGTCCAGAAGTGCCCCGGTGGCCCACCGCACAATGCATACGCCCAAGAGAGTGTGTTGTAGTGTGTTGTCTCCTTGGGGGCTATGCTCGTATGCGGGGCGGGGGCACAAGAGAACAAGCCACATCACGTACAGCGGCACCCTGTAAATATTCAGGAACCTCTGAACGCTGTGCCCTTCCTCCTGCGAGTTCTATTTCTGTCCATCCGTCTCTGGCGTTAGATCTCTGTCCTGCACGCTCAGAACGTTTCGAGGGGCACATGACGCCCTCGCAGCATCACCGTTAGTCCCAGAGCCCGAGTGTGACAGCGGTATGTAGCGCCTCCTCGGTGGGATACCGGATAGTCCCTCAAGAAAGCAAGGGTCATCACGCTTCACCCGACAGGCACCTGGCATCGCTCAGTTCGCCTCTCGCAGATATATAAAGACCGCATTCTCATCCCCCGTCTCTTCTTCTTCATCAACTCTCTCTCTCCAATTACCACCAAACACCACAACACTAATCAAAATGGGTCAGTCCTCCGGCCTCCAGTCTGCCTCTTCCAAACCACTGACCCTTCCTAGGTCTCTTCGATGCTTTCAACAACGACGCCTCTGGCCGTGACCAGGTCTAGTGCGCACTCCCCTCTCGTGCCATCGGTCCAAAGCTGACCTATCATCAGCAACATTGACTCCAACAACGAGGAGCACAAGGCCAAGCTCTCCCATGAGCTCATCGGGTACGTCATCGTGTCCGTCTTGCAGCTTGGATTGTCTTGCTGACCAGAGAGTACAGCGGTGCCGCCGGTTTCGAGGCCATGAGGGCTTACGAGAAACACCAGGCCGCCAACGGCAAGCCCGCCAACCACGCTTTCGCCAAGGAGCTCCTTGCTGGCTTTGCCAGTGCCGAGGTCGACAAGCTTTTCGAGACCAAGGGTACGCTTCATCGGTTTATCCTCATTGGTTCTATAGCTGACAGTGGTGTACAGGTCTCGACGCCTACGACCGAGAAGAGGCCAAGAGGCACGCCAAGCAGCAAGCTGAGCAGGCCTTGAACCAGTCTGGCGAGTACTGATTGATTCTGGTCCGACCATACTGGTGTGAGGGGTGTAGAGTATATGACCATAGAACACGAAATATGAAACGAGTGAGAAGGTACACATGCTCGAGAGACGACGCCACGTCGCATTCTCGGAGCGCGCCCACTTGGTAATTTGGATGACTTTGTGGTACGAAATGACATGATCCTTAGCACCCTTCCATCGACCAAATGCAATAATATATATGCAATACAACATGTCATTTGAAGAAACACTGTCATCTTCTAAGGCCAGGTAACGGACTCGCCGACCCATTCTCCTTCGCCCTCTTCCCCGGACCACCTTGCACATCCGCACTCCCCGGCCGTTTGTTTCGATTCGCCGCGAATGGCCGCTGCTGATTTGCCGTACCACCAGCCCCGGGCCCAAGGGAAGACGGCGGTAAAGGGCTAGCACTCCGACTCGCAGCTTTGCGCGAGTTGGGTACTTCCATACTCGCCGGTCTCTGCTTTGAACTGGGCATGGTCGGTCTTCCGCCTGCTCCTGATCCGGGGCCGAGTTTTGAGAATGGGTGTACGCCTTGCCCTGTACCGGCGCCAGGCGGCGCTGTACCCCGGCGGGGTGTACCGGGTGTATGGTAAGGACGGACGTTGATGGGCGGAGGAACCGGGAGCATGGGGGTTCCGGGGGTAGAGGAACGGCCGCCTGTGGACTGGATGTTGGGAGGGAAGGTGGACTGTATAGGAGACATGGGGTCGTGGGTGGCTGTTCTGGCGGCTCTCTTGCGCTGAAGAATAGGGTCAGAAGGATGAGTTGGCTATGAAATGCAAATCTTACCCTGCGCTTCTCTTCTGCTTCTCTGACACCCGCTTTCTGTCCGCCGTGGTACTGTACAGATGTGAGCAGTGACAGAATGTACATCAGCAAAGAACATACCCCTTCCTGTGAACCCGCCTCCAATCTGGCAACCTTGAATGCTTCCTTCGGCAATTCTTCAACGATACCTTCAGCGAACGGCGGCGGCGGTGCAGGCGGATGCAACACATCATTCAATAGCGGGAGGAAAGACGGAGCATCTACTCTTGTCCCTAAAGGTATCGGGTCTGCCCATCATCAGTCTCTTCCCGAACGTCCAAAGTGCAGGACTGACCGATACAATCCTCCACCAGATGCTGGTACCCCTTCTCCATCTTTCTTCTCCCCGGCGGCCCCTTCTTCTTCCCCCCGCCTTTCCCATCCTCCCCACCCACCCCGTTGGGCTGGTCGCTCTCCCCGGGCAAGTCGGCGAAGGGACGGACGTAAGCGTTGTAGAGTGTGTCGAGGTTGAGGAGGGATATGAGGTCTTGCGATGAATGTATAGGTTTTGGAGGCGGGACTGTGGTGTGATTAGCGACAATGCAAATAATACAAGATGGCGAGGTCGTACTGTCCCATTGGGGCAATATCAGCCTGGCAGTCCCCCTCTTCTGCTCCTTGGTGTCTGCACCCGACACCGGCTCCTCTCCCGGTCCATCGCTCATCTCCACATCCCCATCTCCATCCCGTCTCTCTCCACCCGCGTTCATCTCATCTCCTTGCGCCTGGGTCGGTGTGAGGTGGAAGAGAGATTTGCTCGATTCGCCATTTTGGGGCAAGTCCATTGCTGGTCCGCTGCTTTTTCCCGGGGTACAGAACGAGGAGGGCGGGGGTCGGCCGGTCTTGTCCCTGTTGGTGGGATGGTGAGCGGTGCGCTGCAGTGAAGAGCGCCCGGGGAAGGGTGTTTTGGAGAGATATAGGGATGGGAGATGGAATGATGAAGAGACCGCGAAATGTGCGAGTTCGTTGTCACTTTACTGTTGCTTCCGTCCAGCATCTCCAGCATCTCCATCTCAAATCAATCTTCATCTATACACCATGTCTTGCAAGTCCACTCCCAGCTCACTATGATATATACTAACCCCCTGCACAGTCCTCCCCGTCGCCACAGCCGGCTACCTCCCCTACTGGCTCCTCCTCACCTCCGTCGCCGGCACCTACAATGCCATCCAAAACTACTTTGTCATCTGGCAGTCCAAGGAGGTCTACGCCGGAAAGGCGGATGAGAGTAAGTCTATCTTGCATAAGAGGAGTGCAGAATCAGCTGCATGGGCATAGTAGAAAGACGAGCAATGGCCGTGGCTGGTAAAGTGGTACGATGGCTGATCATCATGATTTACAGTGACTTTCCTTGCGGGCAGGATCTTTGGCGCTTGGACTATGCTTGCCAGTCTCATCCGAGGCCTCGCATCCTACAATATCCACGAACCTGGGTATGTACTCTCGGATCACCTCACAAATGTGCAAGGACGAGGCACTGACATGTCTACAGAATCTACAGCCTTGCCATTGGTACTTATGCCCTCGCTACATTCCACTTTACAACCGAGCTGTTGATCTTTAAGAGTGTCAAGCCGAACAGGGCGTCTATTGGACCTCTTGTCGTCGGATGTGAGTTGAGCTCTCGGAAGGGCTCTCCGAATTGGCTAGCTGACGGTCTGTTGCTAGGGACTGGTCTCATCTGGACTCTTACACAGAGGGAGCACTATACTCAATAGGACATTGGGGCACTCAAGAGAGCTTTCATGTATAGCATCTCGTTTATCAACATATCAAGCAATACCAATTGTGTTGAGCACCAGCATCTCTGAAATCGCCTTTGTGAACCGAGACTTCTTCTTGTACAACAATATTCTCACTAATTCTCGCCAATTCTCGCCATTATCCATTGCCTTACAGCTTGGCCTTTGCCTCCAGCTTCTTGCGGTCCTTGGCAATTCTGTCAAAGAATATCTGGCCGCTATCGAGCCGCCTCGAACCTGCAGGCTCGTGAGAAGCCACAATGATGGGTTTGCGAAGGTCCTCCTACAGCATTACCATTAGCGTTCGTTCTTGTTCCCAACTTGTCTATCAGCATACCTTGATCAACCCCCAGCTCCCTGGCGCTACCTTCGGCCCCTCCCTCTCTCCCAACTCTATCGCTCGCTTCAAGACTTGCTCGGGCTTGATGATCTCATCAATCAAGCCGATTTTCAACAACTCTGGCTGTGTCCATCGCCTCGCGAGCATGGTGTCTCGGAGGTGCTGGGGGTTGGGGATGAGGACGGGGAGGAAGGCGCCGAAAGAGTTGGGGAGGGGGGCGCCGAATGTTACCTGTAGATCTGCGTCAGCACAGACAAAAATTGAAGGGGTAAGGAAGGGCATACTTCAGACATGCACATCCAGCCTTTTCCTGAGGTCATGATGCGATAGTCACAAGCGAGTGCGATTACCATACCACCGGCGAAGGCTACCATAGAGTCAGCGATCTAATACTGAAGCGGTAGTGATGGTACGCGCCATGTCCATTGAGAGCTCCGATAGTGACGAGAGGGAACGTCATGAGCCTCCATAGCACAGGATCAAACACGTCTAAGAGCTAGCATCAGTATCATATCTTAGTACTTGACATCCACAAGCTTACCTTGGAAGAAGTTGTCGACCTTGAGCGAGCCCACATAGTCCAGTCCATTACTGAAGAATCTCTCACACCCACTCGTCAATACTAACGCTCCAGCTCCCTTATTCTTGTAAGTGCTCCTCTTTTTGGGGTCCTGGATGCCCCCGCCAGCGTTGCGCCATTCTAGCTCGACAATGTCGAGGGCTTCGGCGAGCTCGGCGAGGAGGGGTGGGGTGAGGCGGTTGTCGGGGGGAGAGTTGAGGGAGATCTGCCAGACGGTCTCTGAGGGGCGGGTGAGGGATAGGAGGGGCATGTTGAGGTGGGTCGGGGAAAGGGGAAGATGAAAAAGACAGTAGAGTATAGTATATAAGTTGTTGACCCGGGCCGGTCTGAGGCCGTCGCAGGTGGAGGCACGGGACCAGATCACCCTTCGGCCATCGCCGAATCGGTACGATCCAGGTACGATCTCTCGCAATCAGGTTCAGGTAGACATAGGAAACAGTTGGGAAACAGCATCCACCACCATGGCAGAAGATACCCCCCTGCTCCCACAGAGCACCAACGACACCCCCACATGGTGGACAGCCCGTCGCAAGAAGCTCCTCGCCATCACCCTTCTCTCTCTCCTACTCGTCGGAGCCGCAGTGTCTACGGTCATCACTGTCGTCGTGAAGAACCGGGAGCCGAAGGATCCGCTTGAAAGGGCCAAGTTTTACCTCAAGAAGTAACTCTCACCAAGTATCCCTGGCCTTGTTCTGACTGCAGGCGTATAGAACCCCTGTGATCGATGGGCACATTGACTTGCCCGAGCTGGCCCGGTCAGTGTATGGAAACGACCTGGACAAGTTTGATCTTCACAAATCCACTGTAGGTTCGATGTGCACTGGTATCATGGAAGCTGCTGATAGACCGGTAGCCTGGCCACCTCGATATCCCTCGGCTGAGGCAGGGACAATTGGGCGCTTTCTTCTGGTCAATGTACGTCCAGCCTCGGCTGTGTGGGTGTAGAAGTATCCTGACCCTTCTCAGCTTTGTTGAATGCCGTACGACCAACGGCGAAGACTTCCTCTCCCCCACATTTGAAGTCCGAGGTCTGTCTCCAGCAATATCCCTGTAGTCTCTCTGTGCTGATACCGTCTTGGTCCTTTGTAGACACTCTGGAACAGCTTGATGTGGCCAACAACATCATAGAACGCTACAGCGACACCTTTGCCCCTGCCCGCACCGCCGACGATGTTGAGGCTGCATGGAAATCTGGCAAGGTTGCTAGTCTATTTGGACTCGAAGGCGGGCATTCGCTTGGAAACTCTTTGGGCGGTATGTTTCATTCACTTTGTCCAGAGACATGAAGCTGAATATCGCGTGTAGTTTTGAGGATGTACCATCAACTGGGTGTCCGATATATGACTTTGACCCACAGTTGTAACAACGCCTTTGCCGATTCGGCCGGTATCTTTGGAGACGTCGAGGAGCGCTGGGGTGGACTTTCGTGCGTACCCGTTCTTCATCCATACGTACCGCCTGCTGACAGACACACCAGACCTTTCGGTAAGGAGCTCATCCCCGAAATGAACCGTCTCGGTATCTTTGTCGACATCTCCCACGTATCTGACAAGACCGCCCTCCAAGCTCTGTAAGTGCCTCCTTCCCTTCCTCACCACCTCGTCATCCCATCTGACGTACTTGTAGCGAGCTCACCGAGGCCCCTGTGATCCTCTCCCACTCTTGTGCTCGACACTTTAACAACATGTCTCGTAACGCGCCTGATGAGGTCTTTTCCAAGCTCGGTGATGGAAAGGATAAGAATGACGGTGTCGTCATGGTCAAGTGAGTGCTACTTGCTTCTACTCTTTCATATGTACAGGGCTGACGAACTATAGCTTCTTCCCAGTGTTCGCTTCAAAGAACCCGGATGAAGTTGACGTTGCCTACATTGCTGATGAAGTCGAGTATATCGCCAAGGAGGCCGGTAGAGCCCAGTGAGTGCCTCTCCCGTGTCATCCCTTGACAGACCTGACACTCTCCGAAGCGTTGGTATCGGATCAGACTATGACGGTATCGAGTCCACTCCCAAGGGCCTGGAAGACGTCTCCACATACCCCAACCTCGTGCGTACTCTCCCCCTAAAGGCGCTCCTCTGAAGAGAAGCTGATTTCCCGTGGTATCGTAGTTTGCCGAGCTCATTCGACGCGGATGGTCCAGGTCGGACCTTGCTGGTTTAGCTGGTGGGAATGTGCTTCGCGCTCTTCGTGGTGTGGAGGAAACTAGCAAGAGGTTGAAAGGTGAAGGGAAGGGACCGAGTATGGCTAAATATGAGAAGAGGAAGGACCTTGAAGGAGGAGGGGAGCTCTAGGTGGTGGTGTCATGGACTAGAAATAGATATCGAAGTTGAGCTCCATGTGGATGCATGCAGCAAGTATGTACAGTTGTGGAAGGCTCAAGATGGCGGGATTCGATACGCTACATGTGTCGTCAGATAGGCGCAGGTGGGTCGGTCTGCCGAGGCGGCGCCGAACGAAGGTGGGAAGTAGTACGTCGTAACTTGTGCACATGGGTCATGAAATCATGACTCGTCTTTCCCACAAACTGATATCCTACCTTATCTTGCATTCTACGGCAACATGGCTGAAGAAACACCCCTCCTGCCTCCGCACGACAACGACGATGCCGCTCTTGGCACTAGGTGGAACGCCCACGGCCGTGGTCCCAGTCTGAGCTTGCTGGTTTAGCCAGTGGTAATGTACTTCGCGCTCTGAGAGGCGTCGAAAGTGTTAGCATGAAGCTGAAAACGAGAGGGCCCAGTATGGCCAAGTATGAAATGAGAACGGATTTAGATGGACAACAACCTTGAGAGAAGCTGGATGTCAGAGTATCCAGAATACCTCGTAGGATCTGATGCTGAGCTGTGTATGTATTTGAATGACTTGTGCGTACTAGAGCCCAGTTCGAGTGAGCAGGAAATCATGAAAGTATCACGATGCACACGATTCATTAGACTACAACACCCGAGGGTATATGTTCTAGCGCAGATTTACTCACCCCATCAATCTCGCGCACACAAAAGAGAGTTCTGGAAACATTTTCAGATCCAAAGGGTAAACGAGAGAGCAACAGAAAGAAATAAGAGATGAAATGAGATATGTATAGTCTTCAGTACACTAGACTCTCTCCAACCAACCAAAGACCACTCCTCTATGCCTCCACTGGAGCAGCTTCCGGAGCAGGGACAGCTTCCTCTACGACCATCGGCTCCCCAGTCGCCTCCCCGTTGACCTCTACACCGTTCTCCACAGGCTCGGGCGCTAAAGCTGCAGGGGCTTTCTCCGGCGACTTGGCCTTCACATTTGAAGGCTCCCGGTGGAAAAAGTCTTCCGTGCCAGGGGTGAAGAACATTCTGTAGTTACCGAGAGCAATCTTGATCTCCAGCCCGTCCTTGGCGTCGACACGGGACGGGGAGATGGTTGGCTCGCGTTCTTGAGTCTTGGCGACGTTTCGGCGGAGGAAAGGAGCATCAACGCGTTTTTGAAGACCTTCGGTGGGATGTGTCTAGAAATAGTGTAAGCGTTGAACTTGGCATCGGCATGAAACATACCAGGGCAAAGGACTCGATATATTGGGCCCATCGCTCTTGATGGTTATCCGCATCGTCGACAGTCCGATCTTCTTCGCTCAGCAATTGGATAGTAAGGGTCTCCTTTCCAGGCAACTATGACCTTGGGTCAGCAATGAAACATGCACATGACGCAAACTTACCCATTCCATCTTGTAGAGCCCTTCGTTACCGCCAAGTACACCCTCAGCTTGCATTCTATAGGCAATCTGGTTCTTGGTAGATGTCCTGGGGTTGGCCCGATCGCGTTGTAATAAGGCATGCAGCTCTTGGCTCTTGAGGTCACCAACAATGGTCTGGATCTGTGCCATGTCAATTTTTGAACCCCTGGACGAGACATATCGACTCACCTGTCTGACGATACCGCCAATGACCTTGTCCAAGTTGAACATCAAATAAGCCTCGTTGGTAAACATCAACCTCAAAGCGTCTTCGAAAGCGCCAAACTCGATCTCGTTATCAAAGTAGCGCTCCAACAGTCCCAAGAGGTGGGTGTAGTAATGCTGGGCAGGGTTGTCGCCCTCGAGTATACCGAAATATTGGGTGACGGGGTCAACGAGGCCGAGTTTGACAGCCAAGGGGTTGACAGGGCGTCGCTTTTCGGCAGCAAACTTGGCGGCGATAGCTTTGCAAGTTGTCAAACGAGAGTAGAGCATCTGTTCTCATATCAGCTGAGCCCAATATCGAAGACTGAATATACTTACCTGGAAGTAGCGGGCCAAAACGTAGAAGTTGGTGTTGGCGAAAAAGTTGGCCTTTCTCTTGGGCTTGCCGCTCTCCTTCTCCTGCTCTACCCCGACAGAGCTCCTCCTGGACAGCGGCTGGCTCTCCAACCCATCAATCTTGACCCAAGTCTGCTCGCTCGCCTCGGCACCGGCCTTGTCCTTTTCGACTGCCTCTGCCACCTCCTCGGGATCGACGGGAGCGGGCAAAGGCGTATCAGCGCGGTCGCCATTCTCCGTGAGAGGAGTAGCGTCACCAGACAATGGCTCGGTAGGAGGCTGAACATCAAACTCTGGGCCGGGAGTGGTGACAGACATTTCTCGGCTGGCAGTGTCGCCGGCGGCCTGCTTCAAGAGCTTCTTGCGCAAATCGCTGGCATGACGCTTATCGCCCTTGCCCTTGTTACTAGCGGTAGTGCTCGCAGTATCACCATCATCCGCGCTTCCCTCCTCTCCATCAGACTCGTCAGAGTCATCATCCGGCGTCTTTTGCACGGCCCCATCTCCAAACTCGGCATCAAATTCTTCCTTGTTGAGCATGAATAGCAGCGGCACAAATTCTCTCAAGAATTGCTCTACCCTCACCTGATCACCCGAGGCCAGCGTGGTGCTCTGCATACGGTCGAGATAGCTGATGATCAGCTTCATCGAGTCCTTCAGCACATCCACATCCGCAAAGCTAAACTCCAACTGCGGTCGGGCCCTCCACATCCTAGGGTCAATCAACCCCGACCTCTCATTCTGCTGCTCGGTCTTGCGCAGCTCAATCTCGTTGATGAGGACCTTGGCAGGGGCAACCTTCTTCTTGTCGGTCGCCTTGGTACCAGAGTGCTGATAGTCGAGGGCTTTGTAAAAGTTTTTGCCGTCCTGCTCGCGCCAGAGACGGTTCCACTCCCTTTGGGCCCGTTTCCACTCTTCGTCCTTTGCCTTGAGACGCTCGAGGACGATGGGAAGAGCCACCACGGGGTTGTCGTGCAGCGCTCGGATGACATCCGGGCCAAGCTCTTTACCATACACCTTTTTAATGATACGCTGGTAGATCGACTTGCTCTGGCCACCGAGACCCGCTTTGAGGTTGAAACTCGACCTCTCCTCCGGGTCCATCGTCTGGATCTTGTTGTTCAGCGGCTCGAGCAGAGCGATGGTACGGAGGTTGGCCTCGATATGGTAATCATACTCGTGACGCTCTTCCTCGGACTTGTGGAGATTGTCTTCGAATTGATTCTTGCGGTGGGACACGAAGGGGGCAACGTCTTCAGCGTTCCAGGTAGGGTGTGCCACCCAGTCGTCGTTGAGAACCTCCCAGCACATCGCATCCCGTCCAGTACACTGGAGGTTGATTTCCTGCTGCCTGTAAGCTTGTGATCAAGATGTAATGAGGGGAACTTACAGAACGAGGAAGTTGTCGGTAACTCGGTCCGACCTGGTTGGCACCTGGCAAGTTCATGTCTGGCTTGACCCTCTCCAACATCGGTGTGTTTTCCACCACCAGATTGTCAATCCCAATCATCCCTCCAAAGCCGTACCCGCCTTGCGTCGTAGCAGGATTGGGCGGGATCCGGCCTTCGCTATCCACACCCACAACACGCTGGAAAGTGGCCCAGACCTCGGGGGCATCGCCGATAAACAGTTGAGCGCGGTCCAGTAGGGTCTTGGTGTCAATCATATCTTGGACAAAGAGGTTGATGAGTTTCAAAAACTCGTGGTAGACAACCTTGTCGTCGATAAACTTTTTGACCTTGTCAAAGAAGGCGACTTCATCAGGCGACGCGAGGGTCTGCTGCTGAGGAGTAAGAGTAGCAGGCTCAGTGTCGTCGATGGGGCTCTCTCGCTGTCTCGCGCGTTTCCCGGGCCCGCCTTTACCCGCTCCAGAGTCGACCGTTCTGCGCTTCTTCTGCGCCGTCTCTTTCCCTTCCTTTGCTGCTCCGCGTTTCTGGCCACCAATCTTTTCGTTAGTGGCCGTCGTCCCAGCAGCGACCTGCATGAACGATCCCAGCCCTCCAAAGCCTGCCAGCGCGCCGCCAGAGCCGTTCTCGGGCAAAAATTGCTTGAACTCGTCAAGTAGATCCGGGGCATTGTTGAACAGCTTGGTGACTTGCTCATACACCTCCGCAATATCCCTAGTGTCACGCTGATACGTCTGCAAGATCTCCAAGAATTGCTTGTAAGTCTCTGGGTCATTGTTGAACCTGGTCTTGATCTTGTTGACAAAGGTGATGGCGTGGTTAAACTCTAGGATGGGTGCTCTGTTGCCGCCTTGCTGGGGCTGCGGGGCTTGCTGAGAGTTGCCATGGGACAATCCGCCAGAGGCGAGGAACTGGGCCGCAGAGGGTGTAGAAGGGCCAGAAGGAGGCAGAGGGTGCTGGGCGTGAGGGGGAAGCGGCAAAGGCCCCGGGCCCTGGTTCTGCGACGAACGGGCAGGCGCGCCGCTGGTGGATTGTCGGCTCGTGTGTTGGACGCCCTGGAAAGGTGGAGGTCCACCAGCCAGATGATTCTGAATGCTATTGATCGGAGGAAGCGGCTGGCCTGCGGGGGCGGCGTTGGCGGGGGTGGGAGCAGGGTAGGGCGCCGACGACTCGGCTCTGCTCTCACGGGCAGCCTCTGCCGCCTGGGCAGCTGCCAGGTCTCGAGCCTCCCGTTCTCTGGTCTCGATAGCGGCGGCAAAGTTTCCGGGTATTTGGCTCACCGTACCGGCAGGAGTGGTAACAGTGATGAGCCCCGAGGCATCGCCTTCGCCCCCAAAGCACTCGATACGGTATCCTGGTGGCAGGAAAGTGTTGAAGCCCTGGATGAGGGAGGGATGGCCGCGGAATAGCGTCGAGACGCGGTCAATGACACCGGGGGTGTCAATCCTGGCGCGGAGTTAGCGGAAAATTAGGGGGTTTGCGGAAGCGATGCGACATACACCTGGCCCTTGAACTCTTTCATAACATCCAGGAAGCGGTTGTATACATCTGGCTGGTCGTTGAATTGGATCTGCAGGGGCGTGGTCAGTATAGGGTGCATTTCATGGTAAAAGCTGGCGCCGGTGGAGGTAGGTGGAGGCAGTTTCGGGATCCTGGAGCAGGCTGGCGACGGCCATCCCATAGTGTCGCCACGCTCCCATCCGAGCCACCCACTCCGTCCACTGATGCACGCTCCCCACGACGGGGGTTGACTCACCTTGACCTGGTCGAGATAGGAGAGGGCGTCGCGGACATTGAGGGGCCTGAGGTTGTTGTTCCCTCCCGCTGCCTGCTGCTGCCAGGTGGGGGAGGGGCGCTGTGAGCCGTTGGAGTGGGATATGGTGGCGGTGGGGGGAGGAGGGGAGGAGAGAGAGAGGATGTTGGATGATGTGGATGATGGACGGATGAGAGAGAAGCGGGCGAGGAGTGCGGGTGGAGGGTGATTGATTACGTACGCCCGAAAGCGCCGACGTGTCACGTGCCTAAGCGCGTGCAGGGATGTTGTTGTATTAGGAGTCTTGTTCTTGGAACCAGGCAGCGTATACAATGTTCGCCATCTTCCAGAAGTCATCCTACCTCGCAGCATACACCGTACACTCCCCCGCCACCCCCAACCCATCCAGCACCCACCTCCCCTCCCTCGCAGCCTCCACCTCAGCACAGAAGACATTCAATGTCGGCCTCTGGAAAGTCATCCCAGCCACCCACAAGACCACCGGGAAGGAAGTATCCTTATGGATGCTCGAGAAGCGTGTGCTCGATGGTATCAGAGCGGGCACTGCCTTTGGTGGGATACCAGGTAAAGACTGGGTCATCGAGCAGCTGAAGAAGGAGGCCTCTGCGCTCTCTCGCCTGCGGCATCCTGATATCCTCCACATGGTCGAGCCGCTCGAAGACTCGCGGTCGGAAATGACATTCATGACGGAAAGAATCACTTCGTCCTTGTCGTCTCTTGCTGCTGATGCATCGGCCTCGAGCGGTTCGTACAGGAGCGGCCGCCCACCAACAGGCGAAGAACGCGGCCAAGGCGAGCTCGACTTGGACGAAGTCGAAATACAAAAAGGCACTCTCCAAATCGCCCGTGGTTTGTCCTTCTTGCATACCCAAGCCAAAGTGGTTCACTTGAATTTGGGATTGGAAGCGGTAGTCATCAACGCAAAGGGCGATTGGAAGTTGACCGGGTTGTCGCATACGACTCCACTGAGCCAGCCTGATGGGTCGGCGACAAAGTATGTCTTTCCAGAGGTGGACGCGAGGCTGCCGCCGCAGGTGCAGTGGAAACTGGATTATCTTGGTAAGTTTACCTATTCTCTGGTGGTCGAGTGCTGACCGGCATTAGCCCCCGAGTACGCTCTAGACAACTCTCTCAACCAATCCAACGATCTGTACTCCTTGGGCTGTATACTCTACGCTGTACACATGGGCGGCAAACCGCCTTTCGAAAACCGCGGCTCCATGCAAAGTCTCAGAGAGAATATAGAAAACAAGCTGGTCACCCGTGAATGGGCGAGTGGAAGTAGATGGGATCGGTGCAGCTCAGAGCTGAAAGGTGCGCTTCCTTGACTCTACCATTACTTGGCTGACGATGCGCAAGATCTTCTTCCTCGGTTATTGACGCGGCACCCCTCTACAAGACTGTCTCTCCCCTCACTTCCCCCCCACCCGTTCTTCTCCTCCCTCGCCATATCCACTCTTTCGTTCCTCGACCCAACTACATTCGCCTCCAAACCGAGAGAAGAGAAAGCGACATTCTTGAGAGGACTCGTGAGGGTACTACCAGGGTTTTCTGAAAGGCTGAGAAAAGGGAAGGTTCTGCTTAGTCTTCTGGAAGAGGTAAGTAACCGCCGCTTCAGAAAACCGGCGCTGACCTCTAGTAAAGATGAAAGACTCGTATCTCCTGCCGTTCATCCTGCCAAACGTCTTTGAAATATCGAAATCACTTAGCAAAGAAGAATTCAACACTGTCCTCGTCAAGCTCCAACCCCTCTTTGCGCTCAAAGATCCTCCTCAAAACATGCTCAGTCAGTCTCCCACTTGTACGATGGTAGTCTGCTAACTTGTGTATAGCACTCTTGGAGCACCTGACTCTGTTTGAAGAAAAGACGACCCCCCAAGCCTTCCGCGACAACATCATGCCCCTGATCTACAACTCCCTCGAAAGCGAGCACCTCCCCGTCCAAGAACGCGCCCTCAAAACCATCCCCCACCTCACCTCCATCCTCGACTATGCCACCGTCCAAAACGTCCTCTTGGTCAAGGTTGCGATCGTATTCAGGGGCACGAGGGTACTGAGTGTCAAGGTGCAGACGTTGGAGTGTTTTGGGGCGATGGTGGGGACGTTGGATAAGGCGACTTTGACGGGAAAGTTGGTGCCGTTGTTGGCAAAGATCAAGACCAAGGGTGAGCTTACTCATCTCTCACGCGCTGGGCTCAAGCTGACGATGAAATTCAGAACCTGCTGTAATGGTCAGTAGATCGTTGAGACTTGAGATGTATACTGACAAAGAGCAGATGGCTACGCTAGCGGTGCATGAAGCGATGGGGTCGAAAGTGGATAGAGAAGCTGTGGCGACGTTGGTCTTGCCGCAGTTGTGGTCAATGTCTATGGGTCCTTGTGAGTTCCAACCATGTCTGAAAAGGTAGTTATGTTGATTTGGAATAGTGCTCAATGCGAGTCAGTTTGCAAAGTTTATGGCGTAAGTTGGCCCGTCTTGTACGAAAGCTTGGTTTCTAACTAGGTCATAGGGTCATCAAAACGCTAGGATCTCGTGTCGAAGAAGAGCACTCTCAGCACTTGAAAGATGTCGGCCGTATAGAAGCCCAGACCGCGAGCCTGGCCGCTGCAAATTCTGCCGCTCTCAACGGCGGTTCAGGTCATAACCAGGGCGGAGAGGTCGACTTTGAGACTCTTGTCCGTGGCTCCAATTCCTCCCCCGCTTTGGGCTTCAATGTCAATAGCACGAGTACTCCCGTGGCTGATAGCTCGACCACTATCACCGATCCGTGGGACGACGAAAACTGGCTCAGCCAGCCATCTGACGCGGGGCTATCCTCGACTTTCCCTTCGTTGAGCGTCAACAACACTGCTAGCACCTTCCCTGGTCTTTCTGCACCAGCCTCGCCGAAACCACCGGCGACGAATGGTATGGCGTCGTTGCAGCCTACAAAGCCTATAGGGGCTCCAAAGCTAAAGGCGAAACCCGTCCCGGCGGCCTCATTCAATTCATCTGCTTTTGCGCCACCTCCCTCTGCTCCTTCGACGTCCACGACGTCACAGCCGACATCCATGTCTTCGCTACCTCCTCTACAGCCGACATCATCGTCGTTCGGGACGTTGCAGCCTCAGCAGGCTAGTAGGACGCCTTCCTATACCTCTACCACGGCAGGCTCAGGTGGAGGAGGAGGACCGAATTACAATATATCTCTCTCCCCCCAGCCTCCCACTCAGAGTTCTTACCAGTCGTCCCCACTATCCTTCATGACACCACAACCTGCCCAGGCTACGCGCCCCCTACAACCATCCCAGCCTTTACAACCGGCTCGACCTGCAATACCGACTATGCAGCCGGTGGTGTCTCCCCCGCCGGGATGGTCTAGCGGGGTGATGCAGCCCACTTCTGCGCCAAAGCCGACGTGGGGGAAGGGCGCTGCTGCGAGTGGGGCATCGTCGGATTGGGGTGATTTTGATCCGCTCAAGTGAGAGGGGGTTGGTGTGTGCTTTGATGTCGTGTATCTGAACGGGATCAATGTAGCTAGGACTTTATGGCATAATGACTTGGTGGTGCAGAGCCACATGCATAGCATACGACCTGTCTCCCTGGCTAAACACAAGCTCCACGATTGAAATAGACATATCAATCAACACCCGCTTCTACGACTTTTCCCTTCTCGCGTCCCCCTACAGTCACATTCGGGTACACATCATACTTCCATATAACCATCTCTTCCAACAGATACGGTCAGAAATCGGGTCGGACGAAAGGGGCAATGTGATGCCTGTCCTCCACCAGGTATCCTCCCCAGGATCAGACGGCCAACAATGTTCTCAGACGTCAAAGCGGTCTTTGAGAGGGAATGAGGAGTATGGGAGCTTGTCTGCCCAAAGGAGCCTATCCTCGAGCTTTTCAAGTGACTGGTACAGACTGGACAAGTGCTCGGGCGCCAGCTTGAGTTGTGTGATTGCAGGATCTTTCGGCGGCTTCGGTCGGACAAGGAATGTCTTGGCTGCTGCAGAAGAGACGGCCCTTCTGGAGGGTCCGGTGGTATCGGGCAGGCCCTGCAGCCCGGCATTGATAGGCGAAGAGCCCATAGAAGGTGACTCGCCTGGGAGGTCGTTGGAGCGTGCTTTTGGAGGGTTCAAAAGACGATAGGTGGCGGGGGATTTTTCGTTCAACTTTCTCCTGTTCTCCACAGCCAGTTCTGAGCGATCGATCACAGTACCCGTGAGAGGGTGCTCGTCCCCACATGAATCATCATCCTGTTCTAGACCTCCCAGAAGGGTCTTGTGAGCGAGAACAAAGGCTTTTGTGGCGTTTCCATCTCTGGCGCCGTCTCTGCCTCCCATCTGAACAAAGTCGGGGATGTTGCCTGCACAACCGTAAACGATCGTGTACTTCAATCCCGGTACATCGCTCTCAACGGGGAAGGAAATTTTTACGATGAGCACCCGTATTTTGCCTGGCCCTGTTGCCGCCAGAGTAAATTTCGGCAGCATCAACAGGGTAGCGCCGACCCGGTGACAGCCGGCCTCAAAAGCTTCCAGAAACGCAGTCTTGCTTTAAGGCAATCATCTGTGCTTTTCAAAAATATCGCCATCTGGGGAATTTCAGAGGCGTCTAAGCAGGGTTCTTGGTATTTGATGGTGGTTGATGGCGGTTGACGGGTCATAACCAGCCAGCTCAAAGACGAGAGCGAAAAGGTCCAGCAAGGGTATTTGTGGCTTTTCAGTGGCTCTAATCTACACCCGAAAGTCAGCTTCACGTGTGTTGGTGGCTTGTCAAGAGGATGTCACTTACGTAGTGTGGAAGCTCGACCCTCTGTGGTCCTATATTGACCTTGTACTGGTCTTCCACAATGCTGGGCTCATTTGAGTCTGGTGCCATTCTGTGAGGCTGGAGGATCAGAAGATGAAGCGAAAGTTATTGGTTGGCAAGCAGTAGAACATGCAGATAGTAATTAAATCAAGGGCGCCTCAACAGATTCCACGTCACATGTGTATGTATATGTGCTGATCGAGCAGTCTACCCAGGTCAGTAACCCACAGTAGTTACTGCTGCGTGAAAGTTACTCAACCTGACGGGGTCAAATCTTCATCTCCACAAAATTCCAACATCACGAGATAATTTTTGAAGTGGAGCAAGTCCGCAAAACTTTAACGCGCCTTCCCTATCGGCATACAACCGTCTCTTCCCATAAATTCCTCAAGATGGCTCCCAAGCGATCTGCCCCTACCTCCAAGGCTTCCGCCGCCCCCAAGAAGGCCAAGTCCGCCGCTTCCAAGCCTGCCTCCAAGACCAAGGCCCCCAAGGGCGCCATCGACACCGTCAAGGACACTGCCGCCTCTCTCATCGACACTGTCTCCTCGGCTGTCGACGTCGCTGGTGACATCGTTCTTGACGATGGTGCTCCCGCCCCTATGGAAGAAGCCGTGAAGGAGACTGTCGACGTGCCGGCCTTGAAGAAGAAGGGCAAGGAAGTCAAGGGCAAGGCGGGAAAGAAGGCCGTTGAAGCTGTCGAAGCCGCCAAGCCTGTCAAGGGCAAGACCACCAAAGCCGCCAAAGAGGCTGCAACTACTGTTGACAAGGCCGCCAAGGACCCCAAGAACCGAAAGCGTGCTGAGGACTTCATGGATGCTGCTGGATCTGCCGCGAAGAACGTCGCCGGCAAGGTCGGCGAGGCTTTGGGCGAGACTCTTCAGCAGTTTGGCGAGGCCAGTGGTATGACTGAGGCCACCGAGGGAACTGCCAAGAAGGGCAAGAAGCAGGCTGGAAACAAGGCTGTGGAAGTGAAGGAGGCTGGCAAGCGAAAGGCGAAGGAGGCACTTGCCGGTGCTGAGCCCGTAGCGAAGAAGACTCGCTCCAAGACTGCGGCACCTGCGCCTGCTGCCGAGGACGATGATGATGACGTGTCTATGCACGGATTCTCTTCGTCTGATGGCGAGGCTGACTCTTCGGACGACGAGTCTGATGCGGAGGAATTGGCGGTTGCCGAGGCCGGGAGGGCTGTCGACATGACAAATCTGCCGATGGTGGCTCGGGATGACAAGAGTGTCCAGGCTAGGCTCAAGCAGGCGGCGAAGAAGAAGGTAGGCTCATTGCGCTGATCTTCTATGACTTTACTGACTTTGCACAGGACACCCAAAAAGGTACTCTCTACGTTGGTAGGATACCTCACGGTTTCTACGAAGAGCAGATGAAGGAATACTTTTCGCAATTCGGAGATGTCACTCGACTGCGTTTGGCTCGTAACAAGAAGGTGAGCCCTTCTTCTTTTCCTATGAGCAAGATCTGATCGGTAAATACAGACTGGTGCTTCAAAACACTACGCCTACATCGAAATGTCTTCCCAATCCGTCGCCCAGATCGTCGCCGAGACCATGAACAACTACTTGCTGATGGGTCACCTCCTCAAGTGCCATGTCATCGCCGCCGACAAGGTCCACCCTCAACTCTGGGTCGGTGCCAACAAAAAGTTCCGCAAGGTCCCCCGCGCTCGTGTTGAGAAGATGAGGCATGAGAAGGAAAGGACGGAGGAGGAGCAGGCCAAGGCCAACAAGAAGCTTTTGAAGAAGCAGAACCAAAGGAAGAGCAAGTTGCAAAAGGCTGGTATCGATTACGAGTTTGAGGGACACGTGAGTTTGCGTTGCTGCGCGCCCGTAGACGGTGGCTGACAAGGTGTGTAGCCTTAGGAATCTTGCATCGCCGAGTAAAGAAGACTTGCCGGAGGAGTCATATACCCCATAATTGCCCTGTAATTGAACAAAATGTACATTTGCATCCATGAGCGGTCCCATTCATCATCACCATCTTTGAGGGGTACCTGTACCCTCATTGCCATATGCTCAAGATTAGGAGGCTAGCAAGGCTATGCGCACCTACGATCCAAAAACTCGTTCCAAGACACGGGCAAATCTGGTTGCCCGTGATTCCACCTCGCCCTTGGTCGCTTGTGTCTGTGCATTCGTCAGCTCTGTGGGGTATGCCATCAGGATTTTTGAGCGCCCATATCTCTATACAAGATCTGAACATGGACAAACGCACCCCACATCGTTCGCGATTTGACGTGTGCGCGCAGCCACCAACAAGCGAGCCGGACTCCATGAGCCGGAATCCATGGAGTCCAGTCTTCTCTGTCTTAACTTGTTCCCTCGCTATCACTACGGACCGAGGGTCACTGGGCACGGACTTGGCCGGATAGACTCCAGGCTCAATGAGGCCCTTATATATATACTCAGCGGTACATCCGCAGGCCGAGATTCTTCCCCTCGAAAGCCACCCGAAGCTGTCCTCCATCGATATGACAAGTACCACAACTTCAACACCTCCAGGTCCTCTCGCCTCCAAGTCGTCCAAGCTCATTATCGTGGGCGGTGGAGGCACTATGGGGTCCTCAACGGCACTTCATCTTGCTCGAAGAGGCTACACGGATATTACGATCATGGACGTGTATCCCATACCTTCCAGCAATTCGGCTGGTATAATGATCTCAACAAGATGAGGAGTGTTCACCTCTACATGCCCGAGATACTTGATTGACTGATGTGGCTTTCAGATAGCCAGCGCGGATGATGTAGACGGCTTCGCTGGTTGTACAGCCATGTGCTGGGATGCCTGGACGACGGACCCTCTCTTCAAGCCCTTTGCACATGAAGTCGGCAAGGTATGTTTGGACCCCTACTATGGTGTTGTGCATCGGAGCCTAACTCTGTTTGGCTCAGTCTCACTGTCGAAGGGGAGGATGAGGAGCTTGAATACGAAGAACAAGTACAAACGGATGAGCGACCTTGGCCGTGAAGACATCAAAAGGTTGGATAACGTAGACGAGGTTCGAAAGGCTGCACCTCATCTCGCCAAAGCCGATATCGCTGTAAGTAAACATGTCTTCCATGAAGCTATCTTGTTCACTGACATGATAGGCAGGGATGGAAAGGCATTCACTTGTACAAGAGGCGGTTGGGTGGCAGCCCCAGATGCTCTCGATGCTGTGGGTCGCGAGCTTCAAAAGGTTGGCGTCAAAGCCATCTTTGGATCCTCTGGCACTTTTGACTCCCTTACCCTGGGTAACGACGACGAGACAGTCAAGGGCGTAAGGGCCAAAGACGGCTCTGTAGTTGAAGCCGATCTGGTGGTCGTTGCGACTGGAGCGTGGACGCCTGCTCTTATCGATCTCGAAGGTCAATGTGTCAGCAAGGTGAGTCTCTGGATACATATCAGAGCTTATATCGTGGCTGACAAGTCTCCCATAGTGCTGGTGCTTCGCTCATATCCAGCTGACGCCCGAGGAGGCTGCCGAGTTGAAAGTCATCCCAACAGTGTATAGCAGCGTGTACGGGTTCTTCTTTGAACCTCGCCCCGACAATCACCTTCTCAAACTCGTGAACGAGTTCCCTGGGTACACCAACTTCCAGTCATGCCAGCCATTTGGATCCTCTACCGTGCAGCGCATCTCTGTACCCAGGTCTCATGCCGATCATCCGGATGACACCATGCCTCAGCCCTGCCTTGAAGAGATTGAACGCCTCGTTCAAAAGACTCTACCTCATCTTGTGGGACGTGAACTCATCAGCAAGGCTATATGCTGGTGTACCGACACTGCTGATGGGTAGTGGCTCATCTGCGAGCATCCGAAATGGAAAGGGGTGGTCGTAGCCCCTGGCGACAGTGGCCGGACCTTCAATATGCTGCCTGTCGTCGGTGGACAGATCGCCGATCTGATTGAAGATAAGGTAAGTATTGATCTCATCATCAATCGATGAAGGAACGCTGACTGCTGCTGGTAGTTGTCTGATGAGCGACGCCATGCTTGGCGATGGAGGCCTGGGGCTGGCGACCCCAAGGGAAAGGGAAGACCGGGTCCTCGAGCCTTGAATCTTTCTGAAGTAGAGACTACCTGGCAACAGGATTAATTATACATAGCCGTTCTGCTCCGTGATGGCATCTAAAAGCACATTGCATACGGAAAGCTATGAAGTGTCGCCCACCTATGGACATGCTCGAAAATACCCAAAAAAACTCCTTGTGATTTTCTATATGCCCATCTTCCCCACGAAGCCGTCGAAGTCGAACATAGGCGGCTGCCCTCTGCCATCCTCTCCACCACCAACGCCTCGCTCTCCATCCACAGCCCACGCATTACCCCCAAAGACTTGGTCACCATGCCAATCCGCACCAAATCCCGTATCGTTGTTCATGTCGATCATCTGCATTCCGCCCATGCCTATGCCTGCCCCCATACCAAAAGCGGCCGACATTGAGAGGTCCATACCTGGCGAGAGAGGCCCATAGTTCGGAACCTGAAGCAAAGATTCGGAGCCGAATGATTGGGCTTCAGTTGTAAACTCTGCAGCGTGAGCTGTCGGCGAAGTGTTTAAATTGGAACCCGACTGTTGGAAGCTGTATGGATCCCCGAACGAGGCCATCGTCGAAGCCTGGTGGGCATAGAGTCCTGGGACGGTATTGCTTTCGAAGGGACCACCTTCGAAAAGGGCAGCCACAGTCTTGATAGCGTTCCCCAGACCTGGAGAGAAATCCTCTTCCGATGGGGACCAGCGATCTAGCCCAGCCACGCCCTTTCTTCTCAGCTTGACGCCTCCCGCCAGATGGCTCAGATCATCCTCGTCTTCTTCCCCTGCTCTTGCCGGAAGAGGAGGTCCTTGCCTTGACATGCCATTCATGGCAAATACTGGGACTGCAGACGTCAGAGAGTTCAGCGCTCTTTGACGGAGGCGAAGGAGCATCGGAAGGCCCTTCCTGGCACGGCAACCCTCGCGGGCAGCGGCGGAGATGTCGCAAACAATGGACATGGCCTGGAAAGCTGGAGTGGCGTAGGCACAAGTAGGCGCTTGGATGGCAATCGCGGCACTATTACAACACATCAGTATACTATTGCAAGACCAGGGTGAAACTACTCACAGACAAACAGCCGCCGAGAATGCATGGAACCAGAAGAACCACCATCTAGCGATCAGCCTGGGATTATAGATTACCAGTGCCTTCACCAGCTGAACGATCTCAAGTGCACTGTCGAACAGGGCCAAGAAACTTTCTCCTAATTTGGCATTACGGGCAGGGTCCTGTGGGGACTCCTTCAGGGCTCGCGCAAACAGTGGCCTATTCAAAAGAAGACGAGTTTGAGCGATCTGTAGTCGGATGGCGAAACGGTGGATGACGAGGTGCGATTCACCCTGGGAGTCGGTGGGCATATCTAGAATTGGGACATCTGGCATTAAGTTTGCAGGCAAGTTTTTCTTGTCTGCGGCAGTAGTTAGCACGAAGAGATCTGTATTCTAGTTGACCATGCTGGAGCCTTACAGTTTTGCAGGTCGTGATCCAGGTCGATGACCACAGAGAATGACACTGGCTCAATCTGAGTTTGAATCTCGATCGCGCGCTCCATGAGCTTCATGAGCTGGTATCTCGACCTGTGGACTAGTGGAGACATTAGCATAACTTCTCGGGGCTGCTGCCAGAGACTCACAGCCAGTCTCGTCCTCTATAAGCTCCAGCACTTCCGGCAGCTTTGTGTCTGACCAACGACCACTCGTGGAAGATGGCCTCCCAAAGCATAGTGACTGGTACTTGTCTATAGACTACCGTAATTCCAGTCAGCAGACATTATCGTTAGCGAGAAGATGACGTACGACAATGTCCCACCAAGCCACCCTTCGCTCCTCAACCTCATACTGCGACAGGCCGAAGTGAGACCCATCCCGATGCAGCCCAATCTATGACAAGTGAGCTTGATCCTGAAATCAGTAACCGTGGACTCACACTCTGAGCAACCTTGATGGCTGTGCCCAGGATCGGCCAGAACACCTCAGCACCATTCCCGCCTGCCCCTCGTCAGCCCTCACCTTTCATAGCTTCAGGAAACCTCACTTTTGTCGTCGAGAATGTAAGTTCCCATCAGGTGCAGTGCTTGTACTGTAGCAGGACTAGCCTGCTGAGTGCCCGATGTTGAGATGCAAGCACGCCCTAACAGATAGAGTACTTCGCTTCGAGGGTGATCTGTGGGATACGATCAGCTTTTGTCAGACGAGTCAGGTATTGACTGACAAGGAACTCTGTTCAGATCGTACGACGCCCCCAGCGCCATGACAAGAAAGACACAGGCAAGCTTGTGAGCATTTACTGGGGACTCGGTGTCATACGCGTTGAGGATGTGATCGTTTTCAAACATCTTTCGAGGGATAGGTTGGTATCTGAAGTCGATTAACACTGATTCAACACGATAATGGAACATAAGAGACTCACTGCCAGTTGACATTCTCCCAGTAACTCTCGACTAACGACCTGCCCTCTACGTCGTAATCGGGCAATTGAGCTCGCAGCCCCTCAATGTCATAAGACGCTTCACTGCCTGGCAGGAGAGAATATTGTAGCCCGGGAGTCTGATCTGGATTCATGCCCGGGATTTGTGGATTCTGTATAGGTGAGGTGAAAGCCTGTCCAACATAGGAGGTGTGCTGGCCGCTTGACGAGCGTCGAAGACCTTGCTGAGGTGCCCCTACGCGTACCTCATTCTCTTCCTCGTCTTCAGACTCCTTCTCTTCGCGAAGGTATTCACTCCCCGCAAAACTCCCAACAAACTTGGCCTGTCCCTCTTTGCCTATAGTTAGCATTCCGAAAGCAGCTTCCAGCCTGTCCTCGTGTTCCTGATCTCGAGGCGCATGTTTCTTGATGGGTGGGGCAACTGATCCCGATGTCGAAGATGCGCTCTGGGGCTGGACCGTAGCCCACGAGGACTCCTTCGGATCCCTAGGGGCATATAGATAAGGGGTGGCGAGAAGAGGATGGGGTGCAGTCGATATTTTAGCTTGAAGTTCCGCAAGGGCCATTTCTAGCTCATAGATGCGTTCATGTAGCTATATCACAAAAGTCAGCTTTCGATGCAAGAGCTCTCTTTGGGTATCCATACCTCTTCGGTGTTTGCCAAGATAAGCCGTTTTCCCTTGCCTGTCTTTGCTTCACCACTGGGGCAAATTTGGGCGCATCCTCTCCGCTGGCCTGACAGGGTTCGGATCAGTCCTCGTCCTCACGCCAGACGCTTACTCACAAGTAGTGCACGGCCATACTCTTGAGCACTTCAGTTTGAGACTGTCGCAACACAGTCAGCTTGACAATCGCAATAGAGGTTCCTATCAGCGGATGCTCACCGGCGGCACTCAGCACAGCTGAAGCTCTGCTTGGGCCGTTTCTCTCCCGGTGCTCTGGGTACAGCTGTCTTGCCCGCTATCTTGTTCCCTCCAACTCCTGCTGTGACTGCTGCCGGGGGCATGTTGGATGATGGGGAAGCAAAGACAACGAGGAGATGCAGACGAGACAAAGACGAGATAAGCACACCGCGACTGCACCGCGACAACGCGCGCATTTTCCGAACCTCGGCCTTCCTTCTGCCGAAATCCGGGGACATCTAATCTATCATCTATGAGAGCAGTCGTTGGATAATGCATAGTGCATACGGGGCAAGAAAACATTGATTATAAAAGCAGACACAGTCCAACTCCTCGTACATCTCCATACATCGATCACTCTCTCGGTGCTCGGCCATTATAATCTTTCCCAACCTCCACAGTGCTATACGCGCAAGCAGACGTCAGTCTAGTTCAAAGCCCACAGTCGCAGAGAGGCTTACTAGTTGCCAAAGCAGTCATATGCAAAATCAATCTCCTCGATTCGCTTCTGCAAAGCAGAGACCACAGTGTCGAAAGCGCAAAGCCCGTCCTTATTCCACTCGCAGCCTTCGTAGCTGTCGTGGATGGGAACAACATCATCATTACTGTACCATTGTCAGCTGCCGAATGTATCTTTAGATGCCATGACCCACAGGATGAACCGAATCTGCTTTGTGGGCGCCAAGTCTGAGCATTCTACCACCTGAGCCACAAGATGCGTGGCAAAAGGCACCACTTTCGATGCCACGAACGAAGAGTTCTCTACCTCTTATCTACCGGGAGAGGTCCAGTCGAGTATAGTGCTGTCAAATTAAGCGCGGAGAGAAAGTCGAGGACAACGACTTCGTGTGTGGCATCGGCATAGATGGATTGATTGAGCGGAAAGTAGGTGGGGTCGCTGTCCAAAGTAGAGTTCAGAGCAGAGTCTGATGTGGTGATCGGCGTTTGGGTAAAGCGAGCCACATACTCCTCCAGGAACCCCTTACCTTGGGCTGCAGCCACAGGGGAGCCGAATCCTTGCTCATAGTAGAACGTGAGGTCGTAATAGTACTCAAAGTTCTTATAGTCTTCCTCTGTGAAGACCTTGCAGAAGACGGAGTAGCCCAGAGAGACCGTCTCGTACGCGCAGAGCTGGAGCATAGCAATGATGTCCTCCGAGTCAAGCTCAAGGCCGGATAGCTGACCTTGAAGCCTGTCGAGAGTCCCGTTGAAAGCACTCTGAGCGAATTGGGCAGCGGCGGTGCTCCCCAGCTTGCCCCGGAAGTTGTTGGCGTTGGTGCAAATGGAGTAGGGAGCGCCGGTGTTGTTGACGCCGTCGGCCTCTACCATGAGCTCAATGTTGACCTCGTCGAGATACTCGGGTACACCAAAGAAGCCGGCTGCAAAGTTGGCGGTAGTCTTGACCATCCGGTCCTACTCTGCATCAGATCATGATACTTTCTCGGGTCGAAGCCAGTACTTACTTGACTCTCTGTCCTGAAGACAGGAAGCGTCCCTTGCTCCGTAAAGTTGTTCAACAGTATCCCATACTGCTGCCTATTCGCCAGCCCAAGACTGAACTCTTGGAGTCTTCCGAAAGGCGACAGCAGCTCCGCTCCCAGCTTGTACGTCCACCCATTCAAAAAGTCCAGCTCGCCCTCAGCAGTCAAATTCGTAGCATTGGCGAGTTTCTCGGCAAAGAGTGTCGGGGCAGCGCCAGAAATGGGGTATCGCGCACCATGTCGATAGATGATATGGACCTGAGTGATGGAGCAGTTTCCGGGTACGAGCGGAGACGTATCGTCCAGCCCAAAGTCGGAAGACGGCACAGAGTACCAAGGGGACAGATTACCCCAGTGCTTGAAGACATCAAAGTCGCTGTCGCTTTCTTCGAGTGGGTCTTCGACGACAAGCGGAAAGTTGCCGGTAGCGCCAGTGTTGGAAGCATAGATGGCTGCTGTGGCTGCCGCTCCGGGCTCGACACCCGTGGGAGTGGGTCCTGCGTAGCCTACTTGGGACTCTGGCCGGAAGAGCTGAGAGTTGACTTGGGCTGGGTCAAATCAGAATAGATCAGCGCAAGGTATTGGATAGCCACTCACTACCGTTAGGCGGGAACACATCAGAAGTCGTAGAGCCCGTGCCAGAGTCACCGACGCGTACCTCGATGACAGCCGCATTGACGAGACCAGAAACCAGGCTGGTGAAGGCTCCCACTACGGCAAGAGAGGAGGAACGCATGTCGAGAGATGGAAAGACATGGGAAATACGATTGGACTGGTCCTGGTATATATAGTCCGAGAGCTTGCAATGGTTCGGCCCGAAAGATTAAGTACCTTAATAAGATCGACATCCCCGTCGGTGTCTCGTGAGCGTGCGCTTCCCGGTCCGTTAGCGTATCGGGCGTTCCGTGCCATATTCTTGATCACTTTTCTCTCTTACCACATGGCGCGCGTGATCTGCTGACCGAGATGTCTCTCGTCACATGGAACAGCCAATGGACCTACATGGATGGTTCGACACAAGGTATACCGCGCTAAGCTGTCAGCAACCCAAGAACTGTTGTTCGGCCTTCCGATTAATCGGCTCTCCTCAGTGTGCTGACTTCAAAACTTGCCGTACATGAGCGGTAGATGATGTCCGAATCGGGAGCAAAAGGCTTGATGATGCGTGAAGGCGAAAAGACAAGAGTCATACATCTATCGCATGTGAGATGCCTCTATTCATATAAGCTGCTGTTCTATACCTGCGATCGCGTCTTTTAATGTATATCCAAACTTCTCACCGAGGAGGACCCCAAGATTATACTGTCCTTGCCCACCAATGGGGCTTTTGGTTCTTTCTCGAACACTTTATACTTCCTATAGCAGCACCCATATCGAAGATCATCTTAGTTTCGAGGAGCTCGGCCGTTGTAATCATGGCCAGCCTCGACAGTGCTACACACCTTGATTAGCTCAGGCGCACGATATGGAAGAAAGTGACGCACTAGTTTCCGTTACAGTCATAGTCAAAGTCGATCTCTTCAAGACGCTTCTGAAGAGCAGAGACGACAGTGTCGAAAGCGCAAAGACCGTCCTTGTTCCACTCGCATCCTTCGTAGGTCTTGTCCAAGGGAAGAACGGCGTCGTTACTGGAGAGCAATATCAGCACAGACAAAGAACAGAGGCTGTTGACAATCACTCACATGATGAATCGGATCTGCTTGCTAGGAGTCTGATCAGAGCACTCGAGTACTTGAACGACCATGTGTGTCGCAAAAGGCACGATTTGAGAAGCCACAAACGACGCCGAGTCATCTCGCTTGTGGATAGGAAGAGGCCCGGAGCTGAAGAGGGCAGAGAAGTTGAATGCGGTAAAGGCATCGAGCAAGACGACTTCGTGGGTAGCGTCGGCGTAGATGGATTGGTTGAGTGGGAAGAAGGTGGAGTCGCTGTCGAAGGTGGCGTTGAGAGCAGAGTCGGAAGCGTTGATAGGTGTCTGAGTAAAGCGGGAGACAAACTCCTGGAGGAACCCCTTGCCCTGCGCCGCCCCAACGGGAGAACCAAAGCCCTGGTTGTAGTAGAAAGACAAGTCGTACTGATACTCATAGTTTCTGAAGTCTTCCTCAGTGAAGAGGGGGCAGAAGGCAGAGTACCCAAGAGTGTCGGTCTCGTAAGAGCAGAGAGCAAGCATGCTGAGAACATCGGAAGTGTCGATAGTGATACCATCAACCAGCTTTTGGATGCGCGCGACAGTCTCGCTGAAAGCGTCCTCGGAGAATTCGGTAGCGGCTGTTGAGCCCAAGCTGCCTCGAGAAGCAATGTTGGAGTTGGGGCACGTCTCGTAGGGAGCACCCGAGTTGTTGACGCCCGGTGTTTCAACGAGAATCTCGATACTGACTTGGTCGAGGTACTCGGGAACGCCAAAGAACCCAGCAGCAAAGTTTTCGGCGGTCTTGACCATTCGATCCTATACGACATCAGCTCCCACACCAGGTTGCAGCGGGTGGAACTCACTTGAGACTCCGTCCTAAAGACGGGCAATGTTCCAGCCTCCGTAAAGTTGTTCAACAGTGAGCCGTATTGCTGCCTGAAAGCGACACCGAGCTCAAAGTTCTGCAACCTCCCGAAAGGCGACAAGAGCTCAGCACCGAGCTTATAAGTCCAGCTATTGAGGAACTCGAGGTCGTCCTTGGCCATGAAGCTGCCATTCTGGGCTGTAGCGTTGGCGAGCTTGGCAGCAAATTTGGTGGGCCCGGAGCCGGAAGTGGGGTATCGCGCACCATGCCGGTACAGCAGGTGGACCTGCGTGATCTCGCACTGCTCTGGAATAAGGGGAGAAGTGTCGTTCAATCCATAGAATGACGAGTTGACAGAGTACCAAGGCGAGAGGTTACCCCAGTACTTGAAGACGTCAAAGTTGTCGCTGTTGGCGTCCTTGGGCGGTGAGGCGGCGAGGGGAAAGTTGCCGGACTTGCCGTCATTGTAGGCATAGACGGAGGCGGTAGCAGCAGCTGCGGGCTCGACACCAGTAGGGGTGGGACCGGGGTAGCCGACAGCGCTTTCGGGAGGGAAGAGCTCAGAGTTTACCGAGGCTATAGGGCAACATGAGCTTCTTTTGCGTCGAGTAGGTATTGCTATACTTACTGCCATTAGGAGGATAGACATCAGAAGTAGCCGACCCCACATTGGCCTCGGCAGAACGCTTCTCTACCACGGCAGCGTCCGCAAAGACGGGGAGCAGAGCAAGGAGGACAGCGGTACGCATCTTTTGTCGTTTTGTCGTGTGATCAAGAGAAGCTGTAGATGTCGGAAGGCTACCTGGGGATTCTCCACTATTCCAGTCACGACATAATATACCAGTATCATGCCGAGACACCATCATCGGCGGTCCGACATCCATCAACGTGCAACGTGCGCCAGGCATAATGACCGAGCATTGGAGATGGAGTCCGCTTGTCTTTCTCGGGTACCTGACCGCGGGGTGAAGAGAGGTTACCGCAAGGGAACGTTCGAGTGCCGAGACTGTGTCGAGAATAGAACAGGATATAACCCTTGGCGTATGGCGAGAAGTGGGTGGAAAGGGCGGGACGGGCCACGCGCACGTTCGTGCCCTTGAAGCCGCTCTTCCACGCTCTCACGATAATGTGCGGTGTTCAGATCCCCCCGACTGGGACAGAGGGCATGGTGGGTGGATCAGTAGCGACACAGGCGCGCGTGTCATTGATAGATGAGGACGAACAAATCAATCTTTCGTCTGTGCAGCACGCGTTTCGGGCTTCCGTCTCTCGTCCAGCTCCATGTCTCCGCATGACCCGACCCATGATCTACAGTCATGACATGACTCTGATGTATTGGCCCAGCAGAAATTCATATTCGTATATGTATTAGAGATTTATCCAAGTAGAATTCCTAGAGAAGCAAAACAAAGACAAAGGCCCTTCACTGTCCAACTCATCTCGAACGTGAGTAGAGATTAGGTTTCAGATATTATGATCCAACAATAGTTATTCGTCCGCTAAAAGATGACAAACAAAGCAATCAGTAAATGTGATTTCGAGGTGTGGATACAGAAAGAAAGATGCAGGGTATCGGATCACGGGGGTCGAGGAGACGGATGGTTCAAAGATTACTCTTTTTTGCCACCAGCAAAGTTCTCTGTGAATCGGCTCAAGAGACCCTTCCCCTCAGCAGGAGGTGTCTCCAACTCTTCCGCTGGTCCCCCATCCGGACCCACGCTCTCGCCAGCGACAGATGACCCGACACCTGCACCTTCTTCCTGGACTACAGGAGCAGTGGATGGAGCCTCACCAGTTGTGGGCTGCTCACGGGCAGGAGCCTTCTCTTCTCGGCGCGACAAATGGCGGCCAGTGTCAGAGGCAACTTCGGCTTCGGGAGCGAGCTCGGGCTTCTCCTTCTTCTCGACCTATGTAGACGTCAGCGCAAGAGGGATACAGAATGGAGTAATACTTACAGCGTAGCCGTTGGGTCCAACTTCGACGGGGGCACCGCCGTGAGAGTACGCGGGTACCTCCTCCTCGGCAGTGTGCGCCTCATCCTCCAACTCTTCTTCCTCGTCCTCTTCGACAGAACTTCCCTCGTCATCTTCTTCCTCTTCGTCATCCTCCAACTCTTCTTCAGAATCGCCGTAACCGACAGCCCTGACAGCCTGGGTGATGGGACCTTCACGCTCCATCTGCTCACTGGCAACGAGGTACCTGGCGACGAGCATACGGAGGTCGTTCCAGACCTCCATCATCTCCTCGTGAGACCTAGCACGGAACGTAAAGGCAGTGTCGCTACCTCGGAACAAGCCTCGACCGCCAGGGGTCTTGCCGTAAGCCGAGGTACCGTCCTTGCGACCCTCAATGTGGAACTTGTGCGACTTGGCAGTAGCCGCAGAAGAAGGGGGACCGAGGGTACAAGCGGGGAGGAACAGAGACCAGACGGGGTGGGTAGCGGTAGAGGGGTCGGAGGAAGCATACTCGTGGAGGTAACCGGCAGGGGTAAGGACATAGAATCCTTCCTTGTAGGACTTGGTGAACCTCTTCTTGCGCTCGAGCATACCAGAGTAGACGGGAGTGACGGAGGGGTCGCTCTTTCCAGGGTAGTCGATGAGATCGGGGTTACGCAAGGGAGTTTCGGGGTCGAGGAGGTGGTCGGATCGGGCAGCGAACGAGATCCATTCTCGGTCAGGCATGAGCTGAGCCATGTTGACACCGAGGTTGCGCCAGGTCTCCTGGACAGACTCGGACATGCGGGCCTGCCACTCGTCGAAGGTAGACCAGGCAGACTGGATGGAGCGGACGATGCCCTCTTCAAAGTGGGCAGAATTTTGCTGCATGATGATGATGGATTTTTGGAGAGCATTCTCTTCGTTGACCTGGGCGGAATTAGCACGACATCACCGATATACAGCGCCATTTACTCACCTGCCTCTGGAGCTGCTTCAAGACAGCCTGGTTGACCGCGAAAGGGTCCTCCTTGGAACCGACCTGCATGGGAGTGTTGTTGACCGAGTTGATCGCCCTCGCCAAGTCGGCGATAGCCCTCGTGGAAAGCTCCCTCTCCTTGGCCACGCTGGTAGCGAGCTTGCCAGTGTCATTCTGCACATTCTTGATGTGCGCCTTTATCTCGGTTCTCAACTTTTGCAAGTGCTGCACGATGGAGGACTCGATAGTCCTGGCGAGAGAGGCGTGGGAATCTGCAATCAAGCGGGTCTTGTCTCGGATGGTGTAAAACACATCCTGCATACCGCCTTCACCGAGGAACTGGTTTCCGGGTCTGAAGGGAACTTGGATGACGGCACCGAGCTTGGTGAGCTCCTTGGAGGTGTTGGCCTCAATGTCGGCGATACCTTCGAAATAGGCTGCGGAGAAAACAAAACTGTCAGCGGGATCACCGAGGGGGTGCATCTGCGAGGCTGAACACACCTATGAGCATCTTGACGATGCCCTTCCAAGCCTGGAAGCGCTCGATGAGGATGTCTGAGGGCTTGAGCTCATGGGGGGCAGTGTTTTTCTTGATCTGCAAGGGGTCAGCGAGTGGCTCGGCCAGGAGAAACGGGGACTGACGAGGGACTGATTCCTGGAGACGGAGGAGCCCGCCCTGGAGGTGGTGCGGGAGAGGGTGTCGAAGTGGGACATGGATGAGATGCAGATGAGAGAGAGATGCTGCTTGGCTGTGCCGAGAGAAAGGGCTTTTATAGGGCGGGACAGAACGCTAAATCAGGTGATGTCATCGCCCAATCCGGCTATTCACCCACGACAGCCCATCCCGTGTGGCACTTCAGCCCCCGTCACCATGCCATAATAATCTTGATTGGCACATCGATTGCATGTATCGCCCATATCTATTACAGTATTATATGTAGCATCTATCTAAGCACCCTGCCTCACCATCGGCACCTCGCTCCCCGCCATGCTCGCCCGCGGTAGGTCCCCCTCCACCGTGCTCATGCTCTGGTTGTCTTGGGGCATGTATGCGTGCGTAGGGTATCCGTTTGACGAGTAGCCAGCAGCAGCAGCGTATGGCCCTTGCGCAGAGCCATACGCCCCCGATGCAGCTCCCGAATTGTAACCTCCTGCTGCCGGAGCAGCACCAGGAGGCACATTACCGTACGCCACCGGCGCCTGGTTCACCTGGCCCATCACCATGTTGTCGCTGCTCGTGGCAGCAATACCAGCGCCATACCCTGCCGCCGGATGCGCCGCCTCGGGATACCTGGGAGGCGAGTGCTTTCTAGGGTTGTTCCTCGCCAACATTTCCTCTTGCATGACCTTCTCCTTGTCTTGCCATCGCTCGGGGTACAACTTGAACGCACGACGACCGGTAAAGTCGTGGCCCTCGCCGTGGCGTTCTTGCCACTTGGCGACTTGGCGCATGTAACGAGGGGAAGACTTGCCAGCAGGCCAGAGGTCGGCGACCAGGGTCAAAAAGTAGAATGAGAGAACAAAGGCGACTGCCCATTCAAGAGAGGCGGCGGCAGAGGTGATGGTGTTGCAGGTGTCGGCAGAGTAATTCCTGTAAGCGGAAGAGTTACCACGGCACTGTCAAATTTATTAGTTGTATCAACGGAAGCTAGAGGAATACTCACGACACCGTAACAAGCACCGAATGAGATAGCCAACAGAATGGCAAAGACCACGATAACGGCCTTGATGATAGAGTTACGTCTCAGAGACTTTCGGTCCGGGTGTTCGTGATGCAGGCACAGCTGGAGATCCAATTAGCGACATTCTCATTGTCGATTGAGTTGACTCACCACCTCGATACAGTGGCACGCAGCAGAGATGGCCACTCCGACAACAAAGACCACGGTCATGATCCAGTGTACAGTCCCATGCGTGAAAGCATTAAACTAGTCGCGGCGTCAGCATGAGGTGCACTTTCTTGTCATGAGATTACTGACCGCAGAGAGCAAGATCAGACCGACTGATCCGACGACACACCAAAAGATGGCAGCCCAGTCTTGAAACTGTTGTCAGCGCACAGCATCACGACAGCGCAGCAACTCACTGAAGAAGATCTCTCTCCTCCTCATGTCCGCAGGCAGCCGCGAGATATGTCTCAGCCACCGCATAGCAACGAGCGACGATATATAAAACCTGCCCCATACTCGTCAGTCTGGTACAACCGCTTCCTTGAACGATATATACTCACGCGGCTACACACGCACAGATACAGATGAACAGTGTTTGGTGCGTTGCACCAACATCACTGATAAACACCACGCTCGCCTCATCGCTCATGTATCTCGGCTTGCCGGCGACAACCCAGAGAATGAGGAGAGCGAGGATACCGCCAAGCCAGGTGCCAGCGGCGAGGAGGGGAAGGATCACATAGGGGCCAAAGACTGGCATGACCAAGCGTCGTTAGCGCGACCGCCACATAGGTTGACAAAGGAGCAGGCCTGAGCTCGCGAGTTGGGCGATGCGAAAACGTACAGATGTGGGAGGTGAGGGTACGGGTGTTGAGCCACCACGGCAGTCTCTTTCCATCTGCGCCTCTCATATTGTCCACCGAGTGCTGTACGGTCGTCTGAGCTGGCAAATTTGAGATTTAATCTGTGCCTCCGAGGTAAACCGATGTTTGAGTGTTGTTGATATGTGCAGGACAGGAGTAGAAGGGATGTCAAGAAGGAATGATGATATGGAAATATTTATCCTGTCATCGAGAAACCGCAGCATGCATCAGCATGACGGTGTTCGGCCAGGGAGTGATTTCAAAAAACTCGCGCTACGTAGACGTCACCCTGAGTCCCTGTCACCGCACACCGGCCGCCGCCCATCCCTCCCGTCTCGTAGTCGTGATTGACTGTATGATGCGCGTTTACGTACAGCCATGTTTACATACTCTTCCACCAAATGTGATTATTCTACAGCACGAGTACGCCTTAACGATATTATTATCTTCTTGTCTCTTTGCATGAAAAGCATCAAAAGCACCTTCTGCTGGCCGTCGGGCTTGACTCCAATTACGCAGTGTCCTTCTTGGGTCGACCTCGGCCCTAGCACAGCAATAGTCAGCAAATCTGTGTCTTTTACATGACCGACATCTTGCCCGACATCTTGCCCGACATCTTGGTAGACCACAGCTCACCGAACGCCCGGTAGCGAGCATGACTCACCTTGGACTTGGGCTTCTCTCCCACCTCTTCAGTAGCCTTCGCGTCATCTTCCTTCTCAGCTTCCTCCTTTGCAGCCTTTGCACTCTTCTTGGCGGGCGCCTGGGTTTGCAATTCAGCGATGAGCCAAAGCACCACGTGATTTTAGAAAGACTCACCTTTCTCTTCTTCTTTGGCACCTCCTCTTCCTCCGCGTCGTCCTCTACATCCTCATCGTTGGGCTCCTCCTTCTTCGACTTCTTGACAGGGGCCTGTATCTTGATTAGTAAATGTAGACAGAAACTGACCTTCTAATAGAACTGGTTCTCTGGAGACTCACCTTTCGCTTCTTAGGAGCGGCCTCCTCAGCATCCTCGCCATCTTCACCCTCGTCCTTTTTGGCCTTCTTACCACCCTTCTTAGCGGCGGGCTTTTTGGCCTTTGGCTCGGCTTCAGCGCCTTCGGCGTCTTCGGCACCCTCTTCGACCTTTTCAACCTTGGCCGATTCGGGGACATCCTCGGGGCGGACTGTCAAAGCCCGTCAGCATCAAGCTTCAAGATGTAACTGTACACTGATGACATTACGTACCATGTCCTTCAGCCCAAGCATTCTTCACCTAAAAAGAGATCAGCGGAAGATGATACAACACACACAAACACTTGCCTTTTGCTGCAGATCCTCACTGTCAACAGAAGAGAAGTTGTGTAAGCTTGAAGGCCCTTTATCTCCATCCTCCTGCGCCATTGATTTTCTCCGACGTTCCCCATGTAGTGATGGGACTTACGACAAATCCTCATCTATGCACCATCGTCAGCCACCGGCCCAAATGTGTGTACAAGGCACAGACTCACACCCATCAAGCTCCTCAGCCTCACTGAAGTCTTCCTTCCAGTGCTTGATGACTTCAGGCGTCACGCCTATACAATCCCCCATCAGCCAACACTCAAGCGTGGTATGAGAGTGAGACTGACAACCCCAATGGCGCCACTTGAAACTACCCCCACGGCCTGGGATCTCGACCCAGACACCGAGACGGAGCTGGCCCTTGTCGATCTTGGTCTTGAAGCAGGGTTTCTTGCCTGTGGGCATGAAGATTTAGTGGTCGACTCATGGGTGTGCGGGAGAGGGAATGAAGCGCGTGGAGGGAGGCATACCGTTGCACAGAGCGCGGCCGGTGGAGGCGAGTTCGAGTCTGTAAGCGGGCATGGTGGGGGTGGAGTAACGTATTGGGAGACGATGGTAGAGAAGAAGAAGAGAAGCAGAATGGGAGTTGTTGATGGATGGCACACAATTCTGACATGACGTGGGTTGACGCGTCGAGTGATACGCCTAAGGCGCGCACGATCGAATGGATAGTTGGTTAGTAGTTGTCCTTGTCATGCCTACTCGGCCATACCAGTGGTAGTACCTGTACCCTCTATGCATGTTGACTGATGTCCAACCCCGCCTCTCGTAAACATCGCTACTCACCGCAGAATCAGATCATCCAAAAGTCTCGACCGCCGCGTCGAATCTCAAAGTCTCGCGTTGTTTTCGTCTTTCCATCTCTCCCCACTTTCATTCTCGTCAGCCAGTCTGCGCCATATCTCCTCCTTCCCGCTCTTCCACGTATATCGCCCGGATACCATCGTAACTACTGGCTAGTACTAGCCGGTTCTCAGCTCGCCACTGCATCCCACGGCACCCCACAACTCGACCTGACGACCAGCGAGGGAAGACGACAATTGTCTTGACTGAATAAAAACGTCCTCACACATCTCTTGCGATATCTAAACATCTATTGGATTGATCTGGCGTGCATTGCAGGTTTGTGCCCCACTAGCTCAGGGCCACCAGCCACACTGACAGCGCAACAATAGGGCAATTTCCACCATGGCAGGATCTACTACCACTACAGACCCCGCCTCTCTCCCTCTTCATCCCTCCGCAGACCCTCAGGCAGCCGAGTCTACTGTCCCGGAACCTTTGCTTGTGGAGGGCGAGACCGTACCAGATGATCCCGAAGAGACATTGAGTAGCGAGGACTCCTTCCCGCCCGCCGCCCAAGCCCTCATTGCCTCCCTCCGCTCGCAGCTAGGCGCTTCCGAGCAACACGTGTCTACCCAAGCCACCAAACTCTCCTCCCTCGCCGACCTCGCTGTCGAACACTCCCAGCTCAAAGACCAGCACGCCTTTGTGTCTGCCGCCAAAGAAGCCGTGGAGGCTCAGCTCAAGGAAGAGGTCAAGAAGCGGGAATTCGCAGAGGAGAGCGTAGAGATGCTCAGGGGGCAGGTGGAACAGGCCAGAAGAGGCGTCATGGCTCTGCAAAAGCAGGACGCCGATAGGAAGCGAATGAGCCTCATGAGCGGTATGAATGGGTTGGGGCTCGGCGTACCCCAGCAAGGAGAAGAGGAAGTATTGGCGAGTACGAGCGAACAAGCTGCCAAAGATGTCAAGGCTTCTAGGCGTACCAGTATGATGGCGAGATCTCATCGCAGGATCAGCTCTCAGTCAGAGCCCAGTGAGGTCAGTGCCTCCCTCGACAGGCAGTCTTTAGTCTCGCCCAATATGGCTGGCCAGGCCCGACTTGGCGGCCTGCGCGAACTACGCTTGAGCTCCACCCCTCCTACCGCTACTCACCCCAGTCCTAGTCCTCCTGCCCAGCCCAACACCACCCAGGCTAGCTACTTTGACGAATCAGTCACCCAAGCAGCTCTCCAATCTGCTGTCACTGCTAAAGCTGCCGCCCTCGAGGATGCGAATCAACTCCGCTCTCAACTTCGTCAACTGCAATCAAATCTAGCAGAAAGCGAAGAATCGCGGATAGCTACCGAAGTGTGTCTGAAGGCTTTGCGAGAGTTTATGGCTTCGCACGAAGGCGGGGAGGGTGGTGAAAGCGCAGCGGAAGCGTTGAAGGGCATCTCGCTCCCCCCTCTCCCCACCGACCGAGACACTGACGAGCCTCTTCAGCAAGAAGCAAAGGGTTCCGGCTGGGGTTTCAAGCTTTGGGCCACAGGTGCCAAGTCCCCCTTACAACCCCCGAGTGAAGCCATCTCCCCCGGTCGCTCCCGCGCTGCTTCTATCGCCACTTCCAACACCCACATTTCGCCCCTGCCCACGCCTAATGAAGAGGGCACTCCTTTGGGTCTGAGCGGTTTCGTGAGCAGCTGGACGAAAGGCGTCAGCGCGGCTTCACCGCAAAATGCTACCTCTCTCAATGCTGCCCCTGTGCCCGCCCCTGCGAACGCGAAGCTTTCCGTCGGGGGCGGCGGGATGGGCTCCTTCTTTCGTCGCCGCACCGCTGAGTCTGTGAATGACAAAGAATTGCCCGCCCCGCCGATTGCAGAAGACGCTGTCGATATTTCAAGCCCTGTGCTGAGGACGGAGGAGGATAAGGAGGCGGACAGGAGGAGGAGTAACGCGACGACATTGAGCGATCTGGAGGCGGAATTGGGGACGCCGCATGGGAGCCTGGGGGCCAAGCCTGATGGGGAGCTTGAAGGTGCAAAGGTCAAGTTTGGCGAGTTGGAGAGGCTGGATGAAGTCGAGATATAGGCTCGTGCTTGAGAGATCTCTTTTTGGGTGTTATCTTGGATTATTATAGCTATACGATTGTGTACATTGGTACCATTCACGATCTGTTCTAGATGGGTCTATGCGTTATGAGAGACGAGCGTTATGATTGACAATGCTGCAGCTACATGCAAAGAAGTATATGAATCACCGGCACATGATGTGGTTATTGCTCAACGTCCATCAACTCTTCTCCAAACAAGCCGCCTTCCATCTCGCCAAGCACATAGTCGAGCATGTAGCTCTCCTGGACAAGGTTGTTCACTCGGTTAAAGTGTCGCTCAGAGTAGGGAATGAGACCCTCCAAGAGGTCCTTGATGCTGATAGGCGCCGCAAGATCAGGTCTAGCCTTCTTCTTCTTCTTCTTCTCCGCATCGGCGTCTTCAATCTCCACGTCCTCATCGTCATCATCGTCAGCGCGTGTAGGTATCTTGTTTGCAGACTCGAAAGCCTCCAAGATATCTTCCGCGCTTCTCAGCTTCAGCACCGTATACAGGATGATCTGTGCCACGGGGGCTGTGCGCGCATTCGCGTTCCAGTCACGCACAAACTTCAATAGCCTCACGAGGTCAACACCAGGGAGCGTCTCCAAGATCTGGTCGATCTCCTTGCTTCCCGTCAGGCCTTGCTCCTCTTCACTGACATCAGGCTGACGCCCGTTAATGACCGTGGAGAAGAGGTTCAACAGTCGACCAGGCTGAGCCATACTGAGGGCCAGAAGAATGGCACGTCGGTAGTCTTTGAGGGCGACATAGTTGACAAAATCTTGTTCAACTTGAACGGCTTCCACGAGCTTGGTGTTGGCCTCTGTCTGGTCGAGGAGGGTGGTGTCGTGCCAGATGGTAAGAAGGGAGTCGGCACCGGCGGAGAGGATGGTGGCTTCGTCGGAAGATGTGGCAAGAGCCCAGATCTGAGGAGATCAGCATTTGCTATTGGATTTCAATGCAAGGGACGTACCTTGTCCTCATGGTTGTCCAACGTCTTTACACACTCTTCGTCCTTGATATTCCAGAGCTTGACAAGCCCGTCAGATGACGAGGACACCAGTTGTTGACCGTTAGACATGTAGCCCACTCGAAGCACAGAATTTGTGTGGCCCTCGAATGTCTGCAAAATTGTCAGTTTATGAAGAAACGTGAAAATCTTGAGCTCACCTTGAGACATGTAAAGTCATCCAAGCTCCACAGTTTGATCGTCTTATCGGCACTTCCACTCGCCACAACCTTGTCATTCCTGCTGAACCTCACAGTCCAAACACCTCGCCTATGCCCGTTGCAGGTACCCAGATTCTTGAACCCTCCCTCAGCACCTTGTCCTTCAGACTTGGGCGGTGTGTAGTCGATAGTATAAAGCTTGACCGACTTGTCTTGCGAACCAGAGACGAGGAACTTGTCATTGGGAGCAATGTCGAGCGAGTTGATATCCTTCTCGTGGGCACGCAGAGTAGCCATGGATCGAGGTCTGATGGGCTCCGATGAAGGAGAAGATAAGGAAAGAGGCGAGAGATCCCACATCTTGATGGTCCTGTCCTGACTGGCTGTAAAGAGGAATTTGCCTCTGCCAGGCTCGTCCATTTTGCGCGAAAAGGCGACGGCACCGATAGACTCGGCGTGTCCTTCACAGACAGCCACACATTGCCATGTGAAACCATCTCCGCCCAAAGTCATTGTGGGCACCCAGACACGAGCAGTGTGGTCTTTGGAGCCAGTCACGAGCCACTGATTATCCGGAGAGACGTCAAGACAAAGAACCATATCGGTATGCCCCGGTAGTAAACGAGCATTGTGTGATGCTGTGGAATAGATGCGAAGCTGATTGGAGTTGGTAGCGACCGCCATATGCGAGTGGGGGATGTCTGACGTATCCGGCAGACTAGATGAAGCAGAAGATGGGGCGGAGGGGTGGGATAGGAAGGCGACATCGACAATCTCGTCGTTGAAACCAATGATTTGCCGTGTCGGGAGTAATGTCGAAAGAGAGTGGAAGATGATGTTCTGATCGGCGTGGGTGGAGACCAGGGACGAGTCTGTTGAAGAATAGAGGACTGACAGAACGCCGTGTTGCTCATCCTCGTCATCATCCACTTCATCGACGCCCTCGACACCTTTCATAGCCGCCACTTGTACACCCTTGAGCACATCCCACACCCTCACAAGACCCTTGTCTCCTCCAGTGTAGCAGAGCCATCTGCCCTGGGACGAGCCGTGAACGTCTTCTTCCTGCGGTAACAGTCCAAGAGATTCGATTTGCTCCTGGGCAATTATGGTTTGCACCAGCTTGGGGCCTGTCGCCTTGCCCTTGCCCTTCTTGCTACTTGACGCTTCCTCCGAAAGCATATCCCAGACAAGAACGACTTTGTCTCGACCTCCCGTGACAGCCCATTTGCCATCCGGAGTCACAGCAATCCCTCGCACAACGCTGACATGTCCCTCCAAGACAGCTTTCGGCTTGACCGAGTTTCCACCACCAACGACCCTCGCATTGATATCTCTCAGATCATACACCCTGACTCTCGAGTCGGTTGATCCAGTCAAGAGCTCCATTCTCCGCCTCTCTTCCCCAGCAATAGTCGGGAAGTTGAAGTGCAAGGCAGACACGGGACCACCATGTCCTCTAAACATGTGCGTTACATATCCACCTTCGAGGTCCCAGACCTTGACAATACCGTCAGAGGATCCAGTGGCCAAGAGTGTGTTGTCGGGGGAGACGGCAGAGACGAGGATAGGGGCATTGTGGGCCTTGTTGAGAAGTCGGGTGTAGGTGAGAAAGGGAGGTTTAGGAGTGGGTGTCAAGGGTGCTGAAGAGGGAAGGGGATAGTATCGGACTGTCATTGACATGTGAGATGTCAATAGGATGGGAGGAGAGGTGTGGTAGCTCAAAGCCAAAGAGGAGATGGCTGTGCCGTCCTAATTTTGACATTAGCTCAGTTTATGAGGTGTTTATGAGACTTACACCTCGTATTCTGGCAATAGCAAGACCGGTATGAACCTCAGTCACGAGGGCTTCCTCTCCCATGGTGGTAATGAGCCATTGACCATCTTTGGTCAGCAGGACAGGACCGCCAGTATAGATGGGCGCGATTGAGCGAGGAGACGCTCGGAAGCTGCATTTTGTAAGCGATTTTCAGCCACAGCAGCTGTGTACATACCTCGATTTGAGAGACTTCTTGGGGTTGTATCCGCTCATGGTGGACGTATCTCCTTTTCTGTTGATTCTGCTCTGGTTGTAGCTGGAATCGGCCTCCTTGCAGAAGTTTTCAAAAGTGCAAAATAAATGGAATCCGACCATAAATCAAATGCTCCCCCCATTTTGGGCGTCTCTCAGTCTTCAAGACGCGTCCGGGGCTTTAAGGCAATCGCATTCCCAAAGGACAACCAGATCAATTGTGACGAGTCTGCAATGCAAGGTTCAAAGAAAAAAATGGATGCGCAAACAAATTCATAAACAAATCAACTCGGCCGACTATGCTCGGTAGATCTCAAGCTGCGATATGGCCGCCAGCCGAGGGAAGGGACTCCTCACAAGTCGCCAACACCATCACCCCTATGCTATCCTCCCTCCTCCTTACATGCTCATCCCGATCGCGCCCCCGCTCAGCACTCGCACACTGGTGTGCCCCTCCCCGCGCTTGGCGCTGAGCGGGGCGATCTCGCCCGGTGAACATCGTCAAATGTCTAGAGTTGATATCAGCTTGCAATCCTTATCAGCGCAAGAGCTACGCACCACTGTCAGAGTCACTGTCATAGAACTCGTCCTCGTCATCTTCGTTATCTCCCAAGTCCTCGAAAGCGACCTTGTATCTCAAGATACCGCCAATACCACCGAAACCCTTGACGAATTGAGATCCCTCCTGGGACCTGTTGGTGATGAACTCGAGCTGAGCACCGAACTCGCGGTACTTTTCAGCGAACCATTCGAGCAAAGGCTGGGGCTCGGCAGTCTGCTCCATCTCGAGACCGGTAGCCTTGTCCATAAACCTCTCACGGTCCTTGTCACCAGGGTTGGAGAAGACAATGATCTCCTCTGCGATCCACGTTAGGATGATACAAGCTGTTGGGTAAACCACTTACCACCAGCGGCGTTACGCAAAGTGTTTCGAATAGTGTCCAAGTTCTCCCAAACAATCAAAGTCTCCACAGCTCCCATGTCGAGACCCTTGAGAGTGTCGACGATACCAAAGCAGTACTTGCCAGTGTCGAGGGCGATCTCGTCAAAGTACTTTTGAACGAGCTTCTTCTCCTGCACAAACTTGACGTTGGCGAGAGAGTCGGCCGCAAGCTCAATGGCCTGGTTGAAACCGTTTTCGCCACCGTAGGAAACATCGACGACCTTGACGACCTTGGCGAGCAATCTCGGATCAAACAAGTCGGAACCGCTCAAATCGGTCTTCAATTCGGCACTACCGGCAAGAACGAGACCAGCAACGTTGACCTTGTCGTTGGTGATAAAGTGCTGGACAGCAAGTTCGGCAACTTTTCGGACGTAGTTTCGACGAGCTTCCTCTCGGAGACGGGAGAAACGAAGAGCAGATTGACCACCTCGACCGTGCTTCTTGGGAAGGTCGACAGTGAACTTGTGGACAATATCTCGGGTGTTGCCGGCCAGGGTACCGAAAAGAGAACCGTTACCGTCACTGTAGCATTGTAAGTAGACGCTAGCGGATTCCGCAACGATTCAGCTCACATGATGATGAAACCCCATTTGGAGTCGTTCTCCAGGAGCTCTTCAAGCGCCTCAACGTGGAATCTACTGTCACACATGTACAAAGAAGTGTTGATGGGCTTGAAGGGTTCAAGGGCGAACGAGATCTTCTTCTCCTTCCCCTCATCGTTCAGCACGGTTCCGACAAAGACACAAAGACCATTTGTGGGCACTCGGTTGTAGAGCTTGAGCTTTTGTTGAGTGGAAGTAATGGCGGAAAGGACAGACAGTCTGAAAGGAATCAGATGAGTTTTCCCCATCGAGATGTCCGCCACCTACCGGTTGACACGAGACTTGATGTTGGAAGCGGTACCGTATTCCGTGGTCAACATGCTCGCCGCCTGGGAGATCTGAGACCTAGGGGGAAGAATGAGGGTGATACAGGAGGTACCGGCACCTCGAGAGTTGGCAAGCATGGTGAGGAGCTTGCGGTACCTCCATATCTAGATGCGCGTTAGTGATACACGTTCAGATGCGCGCGGTCTAGCTTCGCTCACTTGAATAGCTTGGTCGTGGGCCTGATACAAGTCAGCAACGTCCTTTGTGCTGGATAACGGAACTGACCTCGTCGCTGGACATTTTGGTAGGCTCTTGTGGCAGTGGCCTTATGGATACTAATGGGAATGGAAGACAACAATAAAAGTCAAGAAGCCGTCATTAGATTTCGGGCGAGACGGGGAAAATTCGAATGTGGCAGGTGTGGCAAAGTGTTACGTAATTGCCATAATATCATTATTGATGGTGGTGGTGGCTGGTGGCGAGCTGCCGCGGCGATTGATCAGTCACCCTGCATCATCTTCAACAACAACACCAGCCATGTCCAACTTCACAGAGGTCGCTTCGCCCGAACACTTCCAGGAGCTTCTCTCAAAAGACCTCAACAGAGTTTCCGTCCTCAACTTCTGGGCGCCATGGGCCGAGCCGTGTGCTGCCTTCAACAAGGCCGTTGAGCAAGAGGCAAAGCAATTCCCTTCAGCCCTTTTCCTGAATGTGAGTCTTCATTCAATGCGTATCATGCCTGCAATATCCGATTGCATGGCCGCCCAAGCGGTGGTCAAACTCTGGGTCAAAAACAGGTCACGATACCGCTACCAGTTCTATTTCGAAACTGGTAATAGGAACAGAGCTGACACGATCATGAATTCTTTCATCTATTATCTTGGTCTTCCTATATCAACACCCTGTGACTATATCGGAAACAGATCGAGGCAGAAAATCTCGCCGACATCTCCGAATCATTCGATATCGAAGCCGTCCCCTCATTCCTCCTCCTTCGTGTAAGTCATGATTCCGCCTTCTCACTAGCTCGATTTCCCACCGTAGTCTTCCGACCGCCGTTCCCATCTCCTCTATCCCCCTTCTCTTTATTTACGTCACACGCCGTAGAACATAGTCTCAGGGGATCTTTTGATCTCTACAAGTCTTGGGAGATCAAGAGACCTTCCTCAGATTGACTGCCTGGAACAGGTATCGGGGCTATTCTGCGCGGCGCTCGAGTCATCCTTTGTGACGCCCTTTTTTCCTTTGGTTGGAAGACGGTCGAGATGAAAACTCCGTCAAGGGGGGGGGGGGGGGGGGTTTATATGAGGACGTCTAGCGAAAGGTCGATTGCAGCACGCATCACCGCCACTTTGCTGTTCACACCCATTTCCCCGGGGTCACACGCTGGAGTTGTCATCACGATATTAGATTGCTGACACTCTCTGCTTCATTCAATATTTCCTCTACACCCCATCGCTACACAATGTCACTCCCGTCTGATGTCAATAAACCCGAAATGGAACGGCGGGCTACTGCACCTCCTGCACCTTTTGCTGGCAAATCACCGTTCCCCGCTCCTGCATCACGGTTCACCCTTCGTACCCCTCTCCAATATCTATCGCAATCTCCCACCAATTCGGACATATCGATGATTTCGTCGCCTGCGTATTTGTTGCCTACGCCACCGTCGTCCGCCGCCTCTCTTCCCAATGATTCGCCCTATCCCAATGACCGTATGGCCATGATGAACCGAATAAAATCCTTGGGCTCGCAACCCAACTCTCCAACGAATATCAAAATACCCAACTATTCCCGATCATCCTTCACCTCCAACCCTGCGTCGCTCAATAATTCTACCGCGTCGCGAAATAAACCTCATATCCCGTCGCCTCTTGACAAACTTGACTATCTCCACAATATCCCATCCTCCCCTCCTATTTCTGACCCGGGCGTTCTGCTCCATTTGCCACCGACTCCCAACCCCGACGCTGAATTGACTCCGCTTGCGTCTCCTTTTGCCAATCTCCGCTCGTCGTCATCTTCTTCGGGTGGTCAACGTCCCATCGTCCTTGCCTCTCCTCCTCGTCGCCGGGGATCTATGGGCATAATCACTGGGCATGGTCCACGACGCGGCTCTACGCTTGCCAACGAATTGACGGACAATGACGCTACTGTCAATCACGAATTTCCAACGGACGATCCATCCGTCTCCCGCGTTCCGTCGCCTATGCAATCGCGGCGACAATGAAAACTTGTCAACAATGACCCGGGACTACCCGCTGTGCATCTGTATTCGGTGTCTTGTACATTGATATTGTATATCTTGTAAACCAACAGGGCCACACCCTCTTAGCTCGCCACTCTGGCTCCGACGCCGCCCTCCTCCACTCCCTCCTTACCCAACACGCTTCACCCGCCTCTGCCTCTGCCCCTCTTTCAACATCGTCTGCTCAACCTCAAGCGCCCGAGGCGGCCCAACGCCCGAGGACCGAGGCCGAGATTGTCGCTCGGTGCCACGAGCTGATGAACAAGCACAAGGTGGTGCTGTTCATGAAGGGTAACCCCACGGCGCCAAAGTGTGGTTTCTCGAGGCAGACTGTGGGTCTTCTGAGGGAGAAGGGTGTAGAGTTTGCTTGGTTTGATATCCTGAGTGATGAGGATGTGAGACAGGGACTGAAGAAGGTCAACGACTGGCCCAGTACGTTTGTTCCCCTTTGCGCGTGACGCTGTCACTGACTTCCAATTAGCTTTCCCTCAAATCATTGTGAACGGAGAGCTTGTCGGTGGTCTTGATATTGTAAAGGAAATGATGGAGAGCGGAGAATGGGACGAGGTGATTGAGGGCGAAGATGATGATGAGAAGGCCGAGTAGATGGAGGGTTGTCGAGTTCATCCATTTTTTGGATTACCGTAGCATCTCATAGGCGCTTTTGGCCTGCTGTAGATATCCGGGCATTATATTTGCGTTGTCTGGCCGTGATGCACACTGGGGTCATAAACTGCAAGTCATGCTCTATTTGGTGCCTTGATTGAAAGTGGAGGTTGTTGTGGCCGCCAAAGATTTCAAGAATGGCTTAAAATGGCCAGCGACCGCTTTTGCATCTTCAACTTGCTTTCAAACGTCAGTGGGACTGTCTAGAACACTAGACACATAGTCAACATGGCCCACAACCAGCCATACCGCCCACAGGGCCAACAAAGCCACGGTCTCCCAGCTCGCCCCGCCTTCGCCCCTTCCAACGCCGGTCCTTCAACCCAGAACGTTTACCCCCAAGCACACCCATACATGGCCTACCCCCAACAAGGCTTCTACCAATCCCAAGCCCAAGCAGCATACGGCGGATACCAAGCAAACATGTCGGGCGGCTACCCGGCCGGCGGGTTCTACCCCATGTATAACCCCTTGTTTCAGCAGATGCCAATGCAGCCTGTCGCGAATGCCGAGGGGTATTCTTACTCTAGCGCTTACTTGGGTAGCCAGACTTCTGCACCCAGCGATACCTCTGCCGCTGTAGATCCCCCAGCGAAGAAGCAGAGGACGAATTACCCCCAGGCGAGCACTGGGCAGAGCACGAAAGCGTGGAGGAATTGCTCGCAAGCGGGATGCAAATTTGTGGGTCCCGGGGACCAGGTGGAGATACATGAGGAAGACCGGCACTTGATCTATGTACCTGGAAAGAAGGTCGTGAGGAGTGAAGAAGAGGAGAGGTTTGCGAGGCAGAAAGGGTGAGTGCTGCATTCTGCGTCTGGGCTCAAGCTGACCTTCTGCTTAGACCTTTACCTCCTATACAAGGCACTTCCATAACACTGAATACGCCTGAAGATATCGAAAAGTGGATTGCAGAACGTAAAGCTCGTTGGCCCACAGCTAAGCGGCTGCAGGAAAAGGTTTGTTGCTCAGATTCCATGTTGCTGGGACATTGCTAAAGCATAGTGCAGGAGGAAGAGCACAAGTCTGCTGTAGAACGGGGCGAGATACCTCAAAATGGCAGAGGAAAGGGCCGAAAGCTAGCCCCGGCCGTGATGGCGGAAGAATGGGGCAGAGAAGCCAGACCCATGGAGAACGCGGGCGTCAGTAGAGAGCGAGACGGCATGAGGGGGCGTGGGAGGGGCAGGGGAGGTGCGCGAGGCAGCGGAGGACGTTTCGGTGGAGATGAGAGGCCAGATGTGCCGGGGGGTCAGCGGCAGCAGAGAGAAATTATTCCCACGACTAGCGAAGTGGCCGACGCTGCGAAGTTACCAGCGCTGGGAGGATACGACTCTGCCGCCGAGGGTAGCTCTAGCTCCAGCTCCAGCTCCTCTTCTTCCTCAGACTCTTCTTCCGACTCTGATTCATCCGACTCCGAGTCTGAAGCCGAGAACGACGACAAAAAGTCCTCTCCTGCCAAAGCTCCAGCAGGACCGACCAAGCCGATCTGCAAGTTCTTTGCCAAAGCTGGCCGATGCAAGTTTAACGACAAGTGTCGTTTTGCCCATGTTGCTTCGGAAGGCTCTTCTGCCCCTCGAGCTGCACCCTCGCAAAAACCCGAGCTTGACAAGAAGCAAGCCAAGCAGCCGTTGCAGAAGCGATCAAACCCCTTTGATAGGCCTAGTATACTCGGTGCTGTAAGTTGATTGAGCTTCTCATCTAAAATGGAAAGCTAACTTCATCTCAGCTGTTGGCAAACCCTATTCAGAACACCGTGTCTCAACTATCACAAACGATACGTTTTCTCGTTGCCAACGACATGCTACGAAACGTCGAGCTTCATCCTGGACAGGCAGAGGATGAAGAGCGGGAGAGGAATAAGGTGACTGTGGTGGGAGAAGGGGAACAGGAATCAGACGCGAAGCTTGAAGAGCACATCAATGAGAAGGTTGCAAGAAAGGATGAGAAGCCTGAGAAGAGTGTCGAGGACGAGAGGCTTGATGGACAGGCGGTGGAAAGTGGGGTAGAGAAGGATCTCGAGTAATTTACGACCTGACGACCTGAGACGTCTACGATACGAAGCGATGCAGCCACATGCACACATCTCGAGGCCAAAGGGGTGCGATGCATCCCATAATAAGGAGTCACAAACACATAGAATGCATGATCCCTGAATCCTGATTCTTTCTTCGTAATATATCACTTCATAACTTTGTTTAATCGTGGCAACTAGAGAACAATATACAGCACTATACTGACTTGGTGCAAGCACATACGAAATTACTACCATATACTGTTACACAAAGTAGAACCCATACCCTAGCACATAACAGATCGAACTTGATGCTTCCCTTCCAGAGATATCTCCCGAGAAGCGCTTTTTTAGTCCTTGTGGCGACTGATGACTTCAACACCCGCAGCAGACGATGTTGTCCTAGAAGGCGTTCTATCAACCCACCCTCCTTTGGTCGACATGCGTGCAAAACGTACCTGACAGCATCAAGCTCTTCCTCATCATCATCGTCGTCAAAGTCGCCATCCTCCTCCTCTTCATCCTCGCCTCCCTCGTCTTCTTCGTCTTCGCTTCCAGAGCGTTCATTGGCGAATTGATGGTCTTCGGAGAATGGGTCTGTGAACGGAACCCTATCCTGAGCCTTTTTGGCCTTGTCGGAAGGTACAACCATGGTCTGTTTAACAGACTTTTCATTGACAGTCTCTGAGATTGTCATTCCTCTCCCGTCTTCCTCGGCTTGCCGACTCAAGTTGGTAGGGCTATCTGTCCCATCATGCGGTGAGACGACAATGGTAGGCGAGTGCGAAGGGAGCTGAGCTGGGTCGATATCGGGCGTCTTGATATCTGTTCTGACGTCCAACGCGGGTTTCCCCGAGTCTTCTTCGAAAGAAATCTTCGAGCTTTGCGACGAAGGCGACAATCCGCCGCTATGCGACGCGCTCTCCGTCTTTTGCACCTCCCCAGCAACCTGCAAAGCATTCTCTGCCGACCTCCTCTTCTCCCTCTCTTCCCGACGCTTCTTGACCCACGCCATACCCCCACCAGCATCTTCATCCCCAAGGAACGCCCCCCTCCCGCTAGTCTTGGCCACCACCGGCGCTCCGGCGCCCACGCCCGCCGAGCCCCACTCGACGAAAGCAGGCTCCAGATTTTGCCTATACTCTTTCTCCCTCTCTGCAGCTTCGCTCGCTCGGCGGGAACCGTATACCCGGCCATTAAGCATCTTGACGGGCGCCGGAGACGCGCCGAGGGACGAAGACGGCCGGGCTTCGAATGAAGACGTGCGGTGGTGGCCCGAGGAGGAAGGCTTCAGAGTCGGGGATGGCGGGGTCTGGATCTTGTATAGAGAGTCGGGGCGATTGGCGGAGAGGAGGGAGCGGGCGCTGGCAGGGGTTGTGCTGAGCATGTCTTTTTTGCGTTCGGTCTCAACAGTCCATCGGAAGGGCGAGCTGTGACGTCAATGAGCTAATGTTGACACTTCGTTCGTAGAGACGACTTACCTCCCCATGATACCACCAGTGCTCGAGCTCCTGGTGAGCGGCTCGCCCTGGTAGCCACCGTCTTCCTTGTCCTTGCTCGATATCGGATTCTTGCCTCTCAGCAGCTTCTTGGTGCCCTTCCACCCGCTCTTCAGGCCCATATCTTTACTCCAGCTACGTCCCCTCTTCATCCGACTTTCTTGGTCCTCGTCCTCGTCGTCATCATCATCATCGTCCACCGCATACTCATCGTCCATATTCTGCAATTCGAGATGCCTCCTCTCCACTCCATCGGGATCAACGCCACTCCGTAAAGCCACATTCCTCCCCGTACTCAGACTTCGCTGGTACCGCGGATCAGGCAGAGGCGCAAACCTTATCTTGCTGTGCGTTGCGCTGGACGCGCTGGAACCCAGTACCGGAGAAGTAGCAGGCGATCCCGAAACGTCCAGTGATCGCCCGCCGGCAGACACAGGCGGAGGCGAGAGGATGCGGACCGGCTGTGAGGAAGCGTGTGCGAGCGAGTGATTGCTGCCACTGCCGCTCCCTGAAGCAGATGCGGGGCCAGTGTGGGAATGGGAGGTGTCGATGAGGAAGGGGTCGGACGGGCGGCGAGCGTGGGCAGAGCCATTGCGGAGGATGCCCCCCCGCGGGTGGGCGTCGGAGGGGGCGTAGGCTGGGTTTGTGGGGATGAGGAGGGAGGGGTGGGGCTGAGTGTCGACTGACATGTTCTGGTGGGATTGGGCAAGATGGATGGCAGTTAATATATATCCCCGGGAGTTGCAGGAGTATGGAAGAATAGTTGACGGCAGAGGTGATGTCACTAGACTCTTTCGGGCGGGATGTTGATGGCCAATGGGTTCTTTGGTTCCCCTGGATGGTGGATGGGCGTTGAATCATTCTCATTCTCATTCTCACTCGCTTGCCAGTGGCGAGGGCGGGCGGGAAGCAAGGGACATCGATCGCTATGAATTGCCACGCCAAGCCATCCCGTTATCGTCCTGCACTGCCTGCGTACATACAGCAAGATGCCCTGCCTCCGTTCCCGCTATCCCCACTCTATGCATACATGTATGTACTGCACACCCCTACCCACGCCAAGCCCCCGATGCATGAGACCGGGGTATTCCGTCGCTGGCTGTAGCCCTGTAACCGGCAGATCCAAACATGGCGCCTTCGCTGTTCTGGCCCAGGCACACTCCTCCATCTCCTCATTGCTAGTCACGCCGCAACCTTCATTCGCCGGTATAATTAAACAAGATGTCAAAATAGGATACTAGATCGTGTATACACTCCACCTCTACAGCTCTACTCGCCACATACACTGCGCACATTGCAAACACTCTTCCGTCACGTCCACAACTTGGTCATCTCCATCCCCAGACTGCCGGCCACCTTCAGAGCGTCGACGGTCAACACTTCGTCCCTCGTCGGGTCATCCGTCTCTCTCACAGGAGCATAGTAGAAGCCCATAATGAGCACGACGTATCTGCACAAGAGTCAGCTTGCTACAATACACGCTGAGGGGGACGTACGCTAGAACCAAGATAGATCCTCGATGGTAGTTACTCCTTGCCTCGATGTAGGTGTAGGTTAACAAGAAGATGGAGAGGATGATGGCGATCACGTCCCAACGGGGGAATATCAGACTATCATACTGTCAGCCTTGTCCACCACAGCCTATGTCGGAAAACGCACGTAAACGTATCAATCACGTCACCCATCTTGTCAGGCTTATACAGCGCACTGAAAGCTACCATTGCAGGTATCTGTAGTAGGCAGACTTGAAGAGCGTATGCTGAACCGATTTCCATGCTATATGATTGTCAGCGTCATGCCCAACAATGAACGTCGTCGACTCACCTCAGCGCGATATTCCCGTTCAGCGCGAACGACATGGCGTTCATAAACTCTGTCGTATTGGGCACCAGCGCAAAGAGCGTCAGACCCAAAAACTTTTCATCGATCCCCGATCCTTGCATCACCACATCCACCACATCCACCAAGATTTCTAGTCATTCTCTTCAGCACCTGCGCCTCACTGTGACACCGAAAAGACTCACCAGCAATAATGGCATACAACAATGTGCACCCCAACAATACTCCCGCACTGACCCCCCTTGTCCAACTAGGCGCTTCATGTCCTCCTCCCTCCTCTTCATCCCCCGCACCATTCCCCACATGTGCCCCTGGTGCAGCTTCATTCACCGCAACACCTCCTCCCTCCCCATGCCGATGTTTCCTCTCAGACCCCACAATCGACCCCTGATGCCTCAGCGCACTAACAGTCGCCACAGCTACCGCCCGCGTAAAGTCTTCGGTCGTCAACGTGCCCGGCAGACGCATGGGCGTGAGGTTGTTTTGCTTGGCGGCTTGGTCGAGGCCTTCGAGGTATGGGGTGTAGCCTGCAGGGAGGGTGAAGGCTGGGTTGTTGTTGGGTACGGATTTGACAGTGCCCGGGACGGTGTAAGGCCCAGCTGAGGGTTGTCCGTCGTCGTCTTTGGGAAAGCCGGAAGGGTCGAGGCGAAGGGTTCCGCCCTTGGGGGAAGCAGTAGCCGGGATCGGTTGTCCGTCTGTGGTCGAAACGGGGATCACGGGAGAAGCCGTGTGGGGAGGTTTTTGTTGTTGATGCAGAGGCAGTAGATGCTGGGCCAAAGCTTGGGGAGTGAGGCGCTGGGTGAGCGTCGCTTTGACGGCGGGGTGGACACCGAGGGCCTGGTGTTCCTCTGGCTTCAGAAGCTGCTGGGGGTTCTGCCAGATCTGGGTCGCGTGGGTTCGCAAAGAGAACCAAAGACCGATCAGGTACGACTGGGTGATTGTCAGTATACTGCACGAACCGGGAACCTCGTGACTTACAAAGAGAAGGATGGCAGCACAGCCATACATCAGCGTCTTGACGTTCTCCTGGTAGAACGGGTCCAGTTCGGGGTCAGGATGCTCATAGTAGCAGTGGTTGCACATCCACACGTCTTCAGGCTTCATCAACGTGGTATGTCCCGTCGTGCCGTTGGTCGGGGCAGGACATCCCTCACAATGAAGCTCAAACTGCAAAACATTAGCTCAAGCGCAATGAAACGAAAGGAAACTCACCGAGCCGTATGTTTGGTAAAACATGGTTGGCGTCAAAGTCCCGATAATGGCCATGATCAACATTGTACTCGTCACCCCCGCACTCTTGGCATTGAATTTCTGCTCCTTCTTCTTCAACGCACCCGAACACATACTAGCCCCAGGCATCAACAAGACACCCGCCAAGATACTTCCAATGATCGACCCTTCCACCAATCGTCCCTTTCCTTGCATGAGGGCAATAGAGTAGAGGATGATTTCAATGATGGAACCGAATGTGGCGTTGATGACTGCACCCATGCCAATCGACGATTGGGCAGAGATGGAGGCGACGGCCATGCCAATAAAGTATGAGAGGGGAATGACGGAAGCGAGGGCAAGGACAAAGATGAGGGCCTGCGAGGTGAGGAATCGCAAAAGCGGAGTGATGGGCTTGCCAATGTGCTCCTGGTGCTCGACAAAAGGAAGCAGCAGCATGCCGTCGATGATTGTGAAAAACACCAGAGGGAGGAGGTTGATAAACAAGATGTTGACACCTCCGACAGTATACTTGTAGTACTGGAGACCGACCGCTCGGTAGGTACACAAGAGTACAGTCGAGGTAGGCCCGGAAGTGGGAGCCACTTGCCCAGCGTGGAGTCGCGCGCGTCGCAGAGTAAAGGCGGGCGACTCGTCCGCCAAGGGATCAGATTCCTCAGTCACATTGTCGGAGGAAGGATGAGGTGTAGGCACTGGCACTTTGGGCGCAGCCCTAAAATTGATCTCCAGAGGACGAGTATAGAGCAGGTTCAGGAGTTTCCAAGTGAGCTTGGCCATGGGGATCGTGACGACGAAGCACCAGCAAAGCACACAGACAAAGAGCATGACGGGTACTATGACGAGCAGGAATGTAGGCCAGTAGACCAGCATCCCCAAGCGCTTGGCTTTCTTGTTACGGGGCCGCCTAAAGCTGCCGCCGCCCAAGAGAGCAGTCCTTTCACCATTGTCCTTGTCTTTGCCCTTTACGTTGGGGGCAAAAGACACTGCAGGTTCGGCACGCACGGTGCTCGTCGAAGGAGCGTCCGGAGAGCTGGTACCGTCCATATCGGGCCTCTGCGTGTCCTTGACTGTGATACCCGACGAAGCGCCCGACACCTCTCGTCTCTGCGCTCGCTTGCTGACAGGCGATCCGCTGCCGTTGACAGCACCATACTGCCCATTCCCTTGCTCTGCATCCTCATTATCCCCGTCGCCCTCCGTATGCTCATCATCCACGGGCCCTCCTTCACCCTCCACGTACTTGCCAAACGGCCATCCGATGTACCACGCCAGACCCCTAAGCGTCTTGCCATAACCGCCCCTGCCTCCGCCTGCTACTTCAGCACCGCTGACAAGCAGAGCGACAAAGAGGCAGATGAGGGTGAGCCACCAGCCAAAGACGACAGTCCAGATGATGTTGCCAGGAAGGAGATGACGCTCGGCCGCGGCGGAGGGGATGGAATGCAAGGCAGATTCGGCGTTACGGGTGACTGATCGAGACTTGCGGTAGAGCGCTGGTTTCCATATGGGAAGACCGAAGGGGTGTTCAATGTTGATCGCCTATACGAATGAGGATTGCACACGTGAAGAAGAGACTGACTCACATCTTGACGATCTCTCAAGGTCACACCTTCATCCGTCTCGATCTCTTCTTCGTCGTCTTCATCAGAGTTGCACTCCCTGTCACCAGTCTCTACACCGATCACATCATTCACGATATCGCCGACCAAGCTCGCACGTTCATCAAACTCATCTTCGTCCTCATCTGCCACCGAGGAATAGATAGACGCAGGACGCAGGTCATCGCGCGGGCTGAATCGGCCGTCCCGAGGGGTCTCGGTACCCGAGACACTTCCGGGATAAGGAAAGTAGTCACCGTCGCCAGCGAGTTTCCGGGTGGAGCTGACTTCTCGCACTCTGGACGAAGGCGCCCGGTGCAACGTTCCCTGCTGAGCCTTGAAGCCTTGGCCGGGCACACCCGTCGGTGGGTTACTCGTCTCTGGAGTGGTCCCTTCTTCAGCTAGTCTTCTACCCTCGACCTCTTGTTGCTGCCTCTTCTTCTTGGCACGCCTTTCCTTCTGACGCTGCTTGATAAGCTCCGCGCCGCGATCTACATCCTCCTCCTCGCCATTCTGGATCTCTGAGCGCTCTCGGCTGCTGCTGTGATGGTGGAAGAGGGGCGGTCGAGCTCGAGAGGCTGAACGAGAACCAGTCCCCCCACCAGTAGTCTGAGAGACTTCGCGAGCACTGTTGAATCGCGATCCCCGACCTAGACGGTTACTACCCCCGGGATTCTCCCGCGCGGCAGGGTTGAAAAGCGTTGTTGGCGAACCAAAGCTGCTGCCAAGCGCTGTCTGCTGCGGTCGGCCACGAGCACTGCTCCACCCGCGTGGAGTAGATTCAAAAGAGGTGTTGCCGGGCCCTGCGGTGTGGGGGTAGGAGTGGGGGCCGAGGTAGTCTTCGTCGTCTGCCGAGGAGTAGGAGGCACGTGCGGGGGATAAAGCGGGACGGCCTGTGCTGGGGGAGGCGGCGGGCGGTGGCTGCTTGGGGGAGGTCATGTCAGCGATGCCCCCGACATGTATAGGACGAGAATGGAAAAAGAGATGAAAGAAAGGTTGTGGATGCTAGGGACAAAGGGAACATGGTGCAAGGTGACAGCAACGCGCTCGTGCTCGCCCAGGCCCACGCGTCCACCACGCGTTTCATTCGACACTCACCAGTTCATTTCTGCTCGGCCGTCCCTTGCCCAGCTCTTGCTGCTGCTGCTGCCCACTGTGCGTCCGCCTCTGCTCGGTGTGCTGGCTGGGCGTGCCTCCGGGAGTGTGCCCGGGCGAAACACCGACGGCAGAGGCAAACACCTGAGACGATGTGGGCGGGCGAGCGGGGGTAGCGTTGTTTCGGATAGTGGGGGTCGGGGAGGATGAGGAAAGGTATTCTGTGTTGACGCTCGACGGGGTGGACATGGTCCGAGGGGAGCTGTATTGCTCCAACGTGAGTGGTGGACCGCTTCCACCTGGCGATGGTAGGGTGTAGTAGGTGAGTGGGTGTCTATACGTTTGTGGATACACTGCTCTGCGTAGCCGGGTATGTATATGCTCCTGAGCGTCGTTCTCGTCGCCGGCAGCGTTGGCACTGACCATCGGCCACCACCGCCATCGCACATCGCCGAGAACAAGAAGACCCCGCGGCTCAGGATTTTGGCCAATGCATCATCGCTCAATTCGTATCTCAACCTCTTCTTTACATTTCCACCTTATCCTCGCCCTCGCCAGCATCCCCACCTCCCGACGAGCCGCTTATCCTCTCTCGCTTTCGGCCACCCGATCAATCTTTTGGACCTTGGACACGGCTCTTCATTTCTGCTTGGCCACTGATACCACACGAAATGGAGCAGGTGCCGTTCCAAGCCCTGCGTGGCCATACACATGGGCACGGTTGCTCATGGCCACCCAAAATCGTCTCTACCAACAGAGACCTCGATCTTACTTTGTGCTTTGAGCACGCCATCTTGCTACCTGCACCCCTCGTCATCACCATTCTATTGGGTCTGGCGCAGGTGATCAGAATATCCCGGAAACTCAAAAGGAGTGAGGCAGAAGGGGGCTTGACGTGGATCAAGAGGTCCAAGCTCGGAGAAAGAATATGCGTGACAAAACTGGTAAGTGATAGGACTCTATCACGGACTAATGTTGATTACCTCCTGCAGCACTTTCTCGGCGCAGCTGCTCTCTTTTCGGTCGTGTCGTTTGCTCTTTCTTTGAAAGACGTGGCTACCACACCCTTGACATCGGTTCATTACCTGCTATTGTCGTTGACCTGGTTCACCCTTATCCATCTCACAAACTTCAACCACCACACCTCGCGCACATCATCCACAATCGCCCTTCTCTTCTACCCTCTCTACGTCGCTGTCTTTCTAGTTCGTCTTCGCACGATCATCATCACTGGGCAGTTGTCCTCTGGCCTCACTCAGTCTACTTCAGGTCGATTCATTCTCGCCCGAGAGTCTTTCTGGTTCATCAGCATCTTTGTCGGTCTCGGAAGCTTCCTCCTCGAGTTGCACTCTCCAGAGAAAAAGTGGCAGAAATGGAGAGCTCCATGGTCGAAAGAGGGCAAGATTGCTTTGCTCGATGAAGACGAGGATGAGGAAGCCGATATTGTAAACGACCTTCAAGGCGGAGGAGCTGTTTACGGCAAGAATGTCTATGGCGATGTTGAAAGCCCTATCTCAACTGCCAACATCTTTGAGATCCTCACCTTTTCTTGGCTTACGCCTCTTCTTTCTCTTGGTACCAAAAAGTTCCTGGGTGAAGAAGACATGTGGGCTCTTCCCCATGAAGACTCGGCTGAATCGCTTTCAAACCTCGTTGCCAGCTCTTGGCAAAAGGAGATTGACTCTGTCAAGGCCGGCAAGAAAGAGAAACCTTCTCTCAAGCGCGCTCTATTCTCGGCATACGGTCTGCCCTACGCCATTGCCGGTCTGCTCAAGGCTATCTACGACATTCTCAATTTCCTCCAACCTCAGCTTTTGAGGTTGCTTTTGGCCTTTGTCTCTAGCTACACCACGAAGCATCCGATGCCTCCTGTTGCGGGTTACGCCATCAGTATCTTGATGTTTGCCATCTCCAATCTCGCGACGGGTGTCTTGCATCAATACTTCCAGCGATGCTTTACCACAAGTGGGTACCCCCTCGTTTCATACCTCACACTGCTGACTTTACGTAGCTATGCGCATTCGAGGAGGTCTCGTCACCATGATTTACCGAAAATCTTTGGTTCTGAGCAACGGAGAAAAGGCTGGCAGGACCACCGGAGACATTGTCAACCTCCAAAGTGTCGACGCCGTGCGTATCGCCGACGTCACACAATACGGCCACATTGCCTGGTCCGGCCCCTTCCAGATCCTCATCGCCTTTGTATCGCTGTACCAGCTTGTCGGCTGGCAAGCCTTCATGGGTGTCGCCGTCATGGTCGTCAGCTTGCCCCTCAACACCTGGGCCTCTCGTTTCAACAAGCGATTCCAGCGCCAGTTGATGAAGATCAAGGACACGCGTACGCGTACCCTGAACGAGATCCTAAACAACATCAAGTCTATCAAGCTGTATGGCTGGGAACAGGCATTCTCTACCAGGATCTTCGAGATCCGAAACGCCCAAGAGCTCAAGATGTTGCGCAAGATTGGTCTCGCCATGGCTGGTACCAACTTTATCTGGCAGAGCACACCGTTCTTGGTGGCTTTCGTCACTTTCGCGACCTTTTCCCTGACCAGCGACAAGCCTTTGACGAGCGAGATTATCTTCCCCGCCATTTCTCTCTTCCAGCTCTTGTCTTTCCCCATGGCCATGTTTGCCAACATTATCAACTCAATCATTGAGGCGACCGTCTCTTGCAACCGTCTCGAAAGTTTCCTCGCGGCTGAAGAGCTCGACCCCAATGCGCGAACCCTCATTCGACCTTCCGAGGATCCTCAAGGGGAGCCAAAGAAGGGCGACACCGTGATCAACATCAAGAAGGGTGACTTTAGGTGGCTTGAAGATTCTACCGAACCCATCTTGCAGGACATTGACCTCGATGTCAAGAAGGGTGAATTGCTTGCTCTCGTCGGGCGGGTGGGTGATGGTAAGTCGTCGCTACTCGGGGCTATCCTTGGCGAGATGACTCGCTCAGACGGCTCCGTTACCGTCCGCGGCGAGATTGCCTACTTTTCCCAAAACTCTTGGATTCTCTCGGCTACCGTCAAAGACAATATCGTCTTTGGTCATCGATTCGACAAGGGCTTCTATGAGCAGGTCCTTGACGCTTGTGCCCTTAGGCAAGACTTGGCAGTCTTGTCCGAAGGCGATCAGACCGAAGTCGGCGAGAAAGGTGTTTCTTTGTCTGGTGGTCAGAAGGCCCGTATCTGCCTCGCCAGAGCTGTCTATGCTCGTGCCGATATCTACCTTCTTGACGACCCTCTTGCAGCTGTCGACTCTCACGTTGGCCGACACATCTTTGACAAGGTCATTGGTCCCAACGGTTTGCTCGCTGGCAAAGCCCGTATCCTCTGTACCAACGCCGTCACCTTCTTGCCCCAGGCCGACAGCCTCATCATGCTCAGGAAGGGTATCGTCCTCGAGCGAGGTACCTATGCCGATGCTATGAACAACTCGGCGTCAGAGCTGTACAAGCTCATCACTGGTCTGGGCAAGCAATCTGCCAAGGAAGAAGGATCCGGGGCTTCCACTCCTACTGTGGTCGAAGAAGCTGTCATTGAAGAGCCTGAAGGCGTGGAAGACAGTGAGGAAGCCGAGATCGTTACCGGCGGCGAGTCCCCCAAGCAACGCAAAGCTTTCCGTCAGCTCAGTCACTCGATCATGCGCCGCTCTTCTGTCGTCTCCCTCCGTACCTCCAAGCGCGATGCTCTCCGTGACCTTCGAGAGAGCGCCAAACCCAAGGAGCATTCCGAAAAGGGCAACGTCAAGCGCGAGGTTTACAAGCAGTACATCAATGCGACTTCCAAGATCGGTCTCGTCGCGTTCCTGCTCTTTATGGCGCTTGGACAAGGTCTTGGTGTGATGGGCAACTTTGTCCTGCGTGACTGGGCTGGATCCAACACTCCCAAGTCCGAGGCGGAAGACGATGGCACACATCACATCAGCAAGTACCTTATCCTGTACGGTCTCGTCGGGTTCTCCGGTGCCATTTTCAACGTCCTGAGTTTCGCCACCTTGAAGCTTGTCTGCGCTCTCAGGGCGAGTAAGACTTTACACGACAGGTCTTTCAGTGCTTTGATGAGGAGTCCCCTCTCTTTCTTCGAGCTCACCCCGACTGGGCGAATCTTGAACCTGTTCTCCAGGGACATTTTCGTCATTGATGAGGTTTTGATCATGGCGCTTGGAGGTTTCTTCCGTACTGTAAGCATCACCGGACTTGAAGATTGAATGCGACTAACCATTGTGTAGGGTGTTTCCGTCCTGAGTGTGGTTGTCGTCATTGCTTTCGGTGCTCCTGTGGTCTTGCTTGTGTTTGTGCCACTGGCGATCATCTATCGAATGATCATGAAGTGAGTTTGCCCATTCCATAACACCGTCATCGTCTGACGATTCATAGGTACTACCTCGCCACCTCTCGAGAGCTCAAGCGTCTCGACGCCGTCTCCCGTTCTCCCATCTTCTCCTTCTTTGGCGAGACTCTTACCGGTCTCGCCGTCATCCGAGGATACGGCCAGAAAGAACGTTTCATCGCCAACAACGAGGCTCGCGTGGACCGTAACCAAGCTTGCTATATGCCTGCAATGACTATCAACCGATGGCTCGCTGTCCGCCTCGAAGCTTTGGGTAGTTGTTTGATGTTTTCCACCGCATTGGTCTCTGTTGCGGCTTTGGTGAACTCTAGTGGGGTCGATGCGGGTCTCGTTGGGTTGATGATGTCTTATACTATCTCTGTGACTGGATCTCTGGTGAGTCATGGTGGTTTTGGGCGTACAGTTGCTGACATTCCCGTAGAACTGGCTTGTTCGAAGTGCTTCCGAAGTTGAGCAGAACATTGTGTCTGTTGAGCGAGTGCTCGGATACTCTCAATTGCCGTCCGAGGCTCCCGACTTTATCGAGGATACCAAGCCCGCCCAGGGCTGGCCCCAGCAAGGATCTATCGAGTTTGAGTACGTGTCACCCATTTGTCCTTTTTCCAAGCTTACCGTCTCCGTAGCCACTTTTCCATGAAGTACCGCCCCGAGCTCGACTTTTGTCTCCGTGACGTCTCTCTCAAGTTCAACGGCGGCGAGCGAATCGGTGTCTGCGGTCGAACGGGTGCTGGAAAATCATCCCTCACCCTCGCCCTTTTCCGCATCTTGGAGGCTGCCGAAGGCAGGGTCCTGATTGATGGCGTTGACATTGCAAACATTGGGCTTCACGATTTGAGGAGCATTGTGTCCATCATTCCTCAGGATCCTCAGCTGTTTGAGGGTACTCTCAGGTAAATACGAATCAGGGGCATCCGGGATTGGGCTAACAAGACACAGAAACAACATCGATCCTACTAGCGCGTCTTCTGATGCGGAAATCTGGCATGCTCTCGAGCAGGCGCATCTCAAGGACCATGTCAGCAAGAGCATGGGAGGCACACTCGACGCCGAGATCTCTGAGGGCGGTAGCAGTACGTCCAACTCGTTTCCAGGTTGATGAGTAGCTGACGAACCAATAGATTTGAGTGCCGGTCAGCGACAACTTGTCTGCTTTGCCCGAGCTCTTTTGCGAAAGACCAAGATTCTCGTCTTGGATGAAGCTACCAGCTCTATCGACTTGGAGACCGATGAAGCTGTTCAGCAAATTCTTCGTGGGCCTGATTTCAAGGGCGTGACTACCATCACTGTGAGTCTTCGAAATGGATCTATTCAAGTCAGCGCTGACTCGACTGCAGATTGCCCACCGAATCAATACCATCATGGACAGCGACAAGGTGCTCGTCATGTCTCAGGGCAGAGTCGGAGAGTACGACACTCCCAAGGCGTTGATGCAAAAGCCAGAGTCCTTGTTCTGCTCGCTCGTCACTGAAGCTGGGCTGGCGCAGGCCGTTTAGAGTCGTGTAGAATAGAAAACAAAGTCATATTAATGCATGGATAGTATCTATCGCTACATGACAGTGCATAGAAGTGAACCCATGCTGCGACACGATTGACATTGTTCGTATCATCATAAGCTACGTTTAGATCATAACTACTTGTGACTGCTCATCTCGAAAGCCAAAATGCTAACGATCATTGCTGATGATCGTGTCTATAAAAAGTCTATGATTGCTATTGTGTACAACAGGTGAGACTGACTCTATCCCCCAAAATGCCATTACTCTCTCCCCTGCCTCGACTATCTCCCTCCCAGCGCAATCTTCCCACCCTTGACCAACCCCGCCGACTCGGCATACCTCTCCACCCTATACACCTGCGCCTTATACCCCTCCAAAAGCCTATCAATCCACCCGCCTTTTGGAAACTTTTTCGCCCACTGGTTATGCAAGTGGATCGTATAGATATGCGACGTGCGCTCTTCCAACGCTTGTCTCCCCGATTTGCCTCCTTCCCCATCATCCCATTTCTTCCCGGTAAACGACCCCGGGTCAGGCAAGAATGGATCGGGGAACCGGTTATCCAACCGACAATTCCTGGGATCACTGAAACACCATGGGAGGACGGCAAAGGGGCGGACGCCGGCGGCGATGAGGTGGCGGTGCAGTTTGGCGTAGAGGTGCGAGCCCCAAGTGAAGGTGTTGGGTTTGGGGAGGGGGGAGGTGGACATGATGTTGAATGCTTCGCAGAGATAGGGGGAGGAGGCGTGAAAGTGCATCAGGGCGCCGTTGAGGGAAAGGTATGGTTTGTCTGTTTTCGACATTAGCTTGAAATCCTTGAGGTGTATGAAGAGACGCACCATAACAATCCCACTGGGTGACCCATTCTTCTTCTGTCAACGGATGCAGATCCCGCGTCAAAAGCTGGTCCATATCCATCCATATCCCCCCATAATTCCACAACACCAACAACCTCACCGCATCCCCATCCACCCACGCCCGCTCGTCGTATATCCCTCCATCACCCGTGATGCCCTTGATGACATTTTCGACGCCTGTGCCCTGGGCGAGCTCGGCGAGGTGGACTTGGCGGATCTGGATGTACTCGCCCCATCGTTCGAGGAAAGGCTTGACGTGCGTATTCGCAGAAAGACTTTCGGCACCGTTCGTCCATACTATAAGGGTAGAATGTGTGAGGGGCTGAGTCGCCAAGAACGCGAGGAATGTAGCTGATTGTCGTTCCCCAAACGAAATCAAGTCAGACCGCCAATAAGTGTGATAATACACATGCTCGAGGGCAGCTTCAGGCTCGGGTTTGATGGTGGAAGCAAAGTCGTAGCACGACATGCCGCGTTTCAGGCTCGTACCGGGGGACAGCATGTGTCGCCGGGGGGCTAGGTGTTGCGTCATGTTGTACCGTGGGGAGGGGTTGTTGAAGCAGCCTTTTAGAGGCTGTAGGGAATCGATCTCTTCGGCAATCCATTTGCGCGAAAAGATGGAGAATTCGAGTTGGATCTCGTACGTCCGTTTCCAGAGCACGAAACCGTACAGCAAAGCAGCAAAGAGGGCAAAGATCAATAGACATTTTGACCTCCGCCGTCTAAAGATCTGGGGGATCGTGAACCACCCGCTCGGCTGTGTTCTCCGCCGGCCTCCATGGAATGGCAGGGAGAACGACCCCCGCCCTTTCCGTCTCTTCTCGCCAGACCCCGAGGCATTCAACAATTCTTCATCTTCCGAAATGGGCGACGGGGCGCTGACAGACTTTCTCCTCGAACGAGCGGCGTTGTAAGGGTCGCTTTGGTGATAATGGGCGTACCCATTACCGACACCCGAATCCATCTCGAGAACGACGGGGCTGTCGTAGATGATTTGTTGGGTGTCAGAGAAGGGCGAGACGGATGTTTTGATGATGGGTCTGGGGACGGGGAGTTTATTGTCGGATGGCTGTTCGCGAGGATTGTCGTCTGAGGGTCTTGTTGATGGGGGAGATGGGTTCCTGCAACATGTCAGCTGCGATTCGCTGCTGGTTTGCTCGGTCATGGTCATAAAGATGACGAGGGGAGTCGCGCGACAGGGAAGAGATCTTTTGACACTCGAAGAGGGGTACTCGCTGGAAGCAACACTGGAACGTTCCCGTGCTCTGTCAAGGAACATCCAAGCTTCGTTTCCTGACTCCTGGACCAAAGCGAAGGAAGCGATGGTTGTCACCTCGACCCAACTCGTCATTTGAATTTGATCAGAGATGTATGATGGGTGTTGTCTCTTCTCAAAGACGTCGTTGTAAGAGTTGATGACTTACCACTGCACGTCTGACCACGCTCGAGTACTCGTGCTGTCGCTCTGGTTCAACTCGCAGCACAAGTGAGGCCATCGCATCGAAAACAACATAGTGCCGTGCCTCTGACGCCGCATCATAGGGGTTACGTAAGGGGGGAGTGCCACACGGCTTGGGGCGGGGTTATTTCTGGGACGGATGACGAACGAACGCTCTTCTCTCGCTCTTCTCTTCCTCCACAACATCACCATGTCCCAAGCTGTCCCCCCCTCCTGGCGCGTACGTAATCACTCCCGCCCCGCCCCGGCCAAGCTCACCCCCCGCAGGATCTCGGCAAGTCCTCCTCCGACCTCCTCCTCAAGGACTACCCCATCCAGGGCACCTCCCTCGAGGTCAGGACCCTCACCCCCTCCAACGTCGCCTTCAAGGTCGCCGGTACCAAGGACGCCAAGACCGATGCCATCACCGGTGACATCGAGGGCAAGTACGTCGACTTCAAGAACGGCTTCGTTTTCACCCAGGTCCGTCCTTGTTCACTCTAGCCCAGATTTTGGAACTGACGCGTCCAAAAGGCCTGGACTACCACCAACGTCCTCCGAACTCAGCTCGAGCTCGAGAACCAGATTGCCAAGGGCTTGAAGTTTGACCTCGCTGCCACCCTCAACCCCGCCAAGTCTACCAAGTCTGCCATCTTGACTGCCATCTACAAGCAGCCCTCTTTGCACACCCGTGCCACCGTTGACCTCTTCAAGGTATGCCTTGAAAACTGCCTCCTTACTCGCACTAATCTATTTGTAGGGCCCCACCTTCACCGCCGACACCGTTATCGGCCGTGACGGTTTCCTTGCCGGTGCCGAGGCTTCTTACGACGTCCTCTCTGGCGCCATCACCCGATACGCTGGTGCCGTCGGCTTCTCTGCCCCCGAGTACGCCGTCACCCTCCACGGTCTCGGCAACCTCTCCACCTTTGCCGCCTCTTACTACCACAAGGTCTCCAAGGATGTTGAGGCCGGTGCCAAGGCTGTCTACGACACCAAGTCTACCACTGGCGGTGTCTCCCTCGAGGTCGGCGCCAAGACCTACCTTGACAACGCTGCCTTTGTCAAGGCCAAGATCAACAATGCCGGTGTCCTCTGCCTCGGTTACACCCAGGCCCTCCGACCTGGTGTCAAGGCTTCCGCTGGTCTCGCTATCGACACTACCCGTCTCAACGAGCCCACCGCTGGCCAGGCCGCCCACAAGGTCGTAAGTAGACTCTGTATGGATGTTTGTCGGACTGTGCTGATTGATTTTGCAGGGCGCTTCCATCGTTTTCAACGCCTAAGGGATTATGGGACAAGAAAGAAAGCAATTATCTCTATGCAAGCTTTGCAGGATAACGATCGACGAACGTGCTGGAATGTTCCATGACTTTTGCTAATCCATATTTTCTGTGGACAAGTCTGCGCCTCGTGTCGCTTCCATGGCATTGACTTGTTCCCTATAGAGCCTGTCTGTAGTGACCCACCCTACTCACTCTGTAGGTACACCACGAATAGCTGCTGGAACCGGATGTGCCGCTTTTCAGGGCGACGCGCGCCCTGCCGGCCGGTCGGCTTTAACCGGGCCGATCACGCGACTTGTTCTTTTCTTCTGGAAAAAGTGTGAGTACTCGTCTCTATCACATCTTTTCCTCTTGTGGCTTTTTTTTTTTGCGTGATGAGAAAACTACTCAGCTCACTCCGAGCATAATGTGCTATGAGGCTTCATTTATTTTAATTAGACACTGATCCATCTACTTTCCTTCCGTCTTTTGAAATTGTCAATATGATCTGTTGGACCAGAGCTGACGAATCGGTATATCAGGTCTCTCACCGTTCTTCAGCTTTCACCGATACCGCTACGAACAATCCGCACACCCAGGTAGTGAGTATCTTTCCATCTCCTATTCCCTGCTCGATTCTATTGCCCTTTTTCCTCCTACCTTTGATGAGAAATTTCCAAGACTACGGTCGCCCCGAGCCCTTTGTGCAATGAGGCTTCACTTTTTTAATTAGACCCTGATACATCTACATTCATCTCCACCACTTTACCAAATCGGTTTGTTGGACGCGAGCTGACAATGAGTCTATCAGGTGTCACTCCACATTTGCCGGAATTGCCCACAACGTCGACACATTGTGTTTTCTGTCATTGTAAGTTCATTCGATCCTGTCAATCTCTCTGCGATTCTTGTTCCTTTTCCATGTATGATGAGAAAACTACTCAGCTCACTCCGAGCCCGATTGTGGCTATGAGGCTTCATTTATTTAATTAGACCCTGATCCTTCTTTTCATTCCTGCCATTGACATTTACTTTTGTGATAATCTTGTTGGGATGAGGCTGACGATTTGGAGTGTAGGTTTGTTGTCCAGTACAAGTAAGCAGGACTGGCCTATACAACCATCAACAGGTCCATATACGTATCTATACCAGTTGCCTTGTTCATTCTTTCATGGATACATACAACTCTACTCTATATGCAAACGTAAATCCCATATATCATGACCAAATCAAGCTTCCTTTGTCAAGAACTTGTCCTTGGCCAAAGCTGCGTAAGCTGGCCGGGCAAGAGAGTTCAAGGCGACCCTAGCGTCTGTCTTGATATCTTCAATCAACGCCTCTGTCATGAAAAACAGTCAGCAGTGTCACAATGCACACATAGTGGAGGCTTACCTTTGGAGACATAGTTGAGCTCTGGGCGGATGTAGCCCAGTACGAGGACGCTCATATGATGCCCATAAAAGTCGGCTTTGAACGGGTGCATGATATGCACCTCCTACACTCTTTCATCAGTGGTCGTCCTCGGTGATACGAACAAGAGAAGAGGGAAAGACTTGCAGCAGTGATCTTTTCATTGTTGAAGTAAGGATTCCACCCCACACTCATCACCATCGGCCACACCTTTTCATCCTCCTTACTCCACCTCTGCGCATGATGCTCGGGCGGGTAAGGCGCCGTCACAGTTGGTAACGGCTCCAATACCTCCCCACCTACCCCCCCGCCTGGTGGGGGGGAGGATGCTTTGGATCCTGGGAGAGATGTGGTGGGGGTTGGGAATGCGGAGGGGAGAGGGGTGGAGGTGGAAGGGTGGATACGGGCGTAGCCGTAGTATATACCCGTCATACCGAGGGAGTTGAGAGGATCTAATGATTCATCTGGAAGGTTCGCTGATCAACCAAACGTCAGCCTCATTCATTTCCTCGATCTCAGCTCGGTAGAAATGCGACGTGACTTGCCAGTGGGAATCCCGAGAAACCTCGCACCACGGCCAAAACCTTTGGTGACGGCGCCTTCCAACTGCATGGGGTATGGATCCTCTGGACTATCGGGGCCGACGATGCTCGGCCTGCTCTCCCGCGAGACGGGGGCCATGTCTGCTTTTGGGGGCATCGCTGTCAGTATATGTGGTTGTGTGGCACCTGGGGGATGAGGTGAGGCATGGATAGAAAGTTGTAGCAGCCGCTGGCGATAGGGCACGTAATCAGGCGGCGAGCGCCGACCCTTGGGACGCCGAGGTCCGCATTCCAGCGATCCGGTCATTTCCTCGACTTTTTTGGATGGGCACTCGATCATCTACGGCTTCTACCATGTCTCGCTTCAGAACCGCAACGAGATATATAACCTCTCTGGGGTCAAAGAGATCTCTCCAGACCGCCACGCAATCACTACCATTGTCTCTTCATTCGACCTCTCCCCTCATCCGACCACATCATCAGCACCATATCCAATGCCTCGCAAAAGACAAAGACTTTGCAATCTATACCGATTTTCTCAATGTTGAAGAGCAAGAAGCTTTGATTAGTATGGGACTGGCAAAGCTGGGTAGGGCAAGGAGAAGACGGAGAGGCAGGCCGATCAAGGCAGAGGAGAGTCAGGAAGTCAGGGATGGTATACAACGGTTGTTTGTGGGTGAATACGAGTTTGAAGAGGTGTGTATAACCCTCAAGAGAACAGGAGCCTGCTGATGAGGTGCAAAGGGACATTATGACTCGGTCATCCATCACTTTCGCGAATCCCTCGTCTCCATCCTCCCTCCCTCCCCCTCGCCTACTCTCCTCCGTACCCTCGCAAAGCTATACAACATCTTCCCCCTCCTCCCGTCCCCAGTCCCTTCAGATCCATCCGAATCCGACCTCCCGCCCCCGGGTACCCACACCCATTTCCTACATCTCTCGCCAGAGGGCGATATAGGACCGCATGTGGATAACCTCGAAGCTAGTGGGAGGGTGATTTTGGGGCTGAGCTTGGGCGCTGAGAGGACGTTGAGGCTGGTGAGGAAGAAGGGAGAAGGGGAGGATGGGTGGGATGTGAGGTTGCCCAGTGGTTCGGTGTATATCCAACGGTAAGATTCCCCAGTCTCCGCGCATTCAACCGTTTAGCCTTTGCTGACCTGAAATGTAGCGACTCGGTCAGATACAATTACGAACATTCCATACTGCCATATGACGACAAAGGTTCCATTTGGAATGGAGAGAGACTAGAGAAAGGTCATCGGATGAGTGTCATGATTAGGGTGAGTTGGACATCTTTCTTTACGAAGAAAGGTTGATTACGATACGGCATGAGTCACGACCGATGATGTGTGCCCGTTCGGGAACGGCCGGTTACGAGCCTACGAATTGTCGTCGTGATGGTGTTTGTTTATGAGTATGCTGACAGAGTACTCGTCGTTGATAGGATGTGCCTTCTCGACCTCCGACATGAAGGGAGTATAGCCGGTTGCATTGAGCCTTCAGGATTCCTCCAAAGTCCAAAAACCAAGATGCAATATGCCCCTTGGGAAACAGAGGGTCAAAAGCCCGTGAGAAAGAATGGGTATCATACTTCTTTATACATTTCGGTTCGTGCCAAGGGCGAATATACAATATGCCTACATTCTTCCTTCCCCTTCTTCCAAATCTGTCGTACAATGATCAACAGTAGCAGCACGCGTAGCGCAAGCGGTTTGTGGCGCCATAAAAAGAATGATTTCGTAATGAACCATGGTGGTGTGTGAAGAATACAGATCGGTACGCGTCCGTCTTATGACAGGTGCGCTGGCTTGTGGGCGTGGAGCTCGATTGTTTCTCGGAGGTAGTAGGCGGCACTAGCGGTGGCCATGATGGCGATGGTCGCAGGAACAGGAGCCTTGGTCTTGACGGCCCGTCTGTAAGGTTTCTGGTTAGCGATTTGCTCCGCGATGTCTCCCGATATGTCCTCCGATAGGGCAACTCACCTTATGGTGGGGTACATCAACGCGGCGGAGCTCGCTGCAAGGAAAAGAATCAGTACTGCGATTGGATGTGCGGAACTCGACGGGGAAGCCTCACCGGTAGCTGTTTCGAGGCCATAGTCCATACCGTCACGGATTCTCATACCACTCAAGGCCATGATACTGCCGATGCCCAATGAGCCGACGAGGGAGGGGACCGAGGAGAAGCGGGCGTAGGCTGTGATACCGCCGAGGATGGTGACGCCGGAAAGCTGGGGGGGCGCGTAGTCAGCACCACTGAAGGAGTTACGGGATACCCTAGTGGGGATGACGTACAAGGGAGACGGGCTTGCTGGACTGTGGGTGGTGAGCGTTGGAGTGGCCTGGCTGGGGTGTGCTTACCATGGTGTTGGGTGGGGCAGGCAGTGGAGTGGAGGCAAGTAGAAGTAAGGAGTGAGAATAAGATAGCATATCAATTCGTCAGTTGACAACGACAACGCACACCCGGCTCCTCATCCGCACTTACCCGGCAGCGAACCGAATTACACCGATCTCATCCAGCGGCCATCCCCGCCACCCCTCTGCACTTCTTATCGACCGACCGTCGCTGTATTCTGCATCCGTATTCTGCATCTGGTCGATACATGCACATACGTTGCTACACGCTGGACGGGTACCCCTAGAGGCAGCACATGGGCGTTTACGCTAGGAGCCACTCTTCCCCAGCTTACGTGAATCAGGGAGCGGACTCTTCAGCCACAGCCACCGCGGCTTATCGGCACCTGATTCGTTCGCAGTACATCTACGGATCCTCAACACGGATTTCTCTTTTGATACTCCCCCACTGAGTACTTGCAGAATATGGAAAAGCAATCTCGACCTCCAGCATTTGGCCCTGTCCGAAGGCAACGCCTGGTGAAGAGCTGTGGATTTTGCTATCGACACAAGGTATGTCCGCTTCGGGAGATATGACAACTTTTCTGACTATGGGTTTGTAGGTCAAATGCGACAAAGTGTTCCCTTGCTCTCGGTGCTCTTCCCGCGGACTCGGCCATCTCTGTGAACAGTTGTACGTCAAGCGTTCTTATCTCCTCCTCCACGTCTAAACATGTACTACAGGACATCAACAGCGGACGGCCAAGCCACCACATCATCTTCAGCATCCAATAGACAGCCGACGATGGCAGAATTGATCGAGGAAAACAAATCGCTACTTCGAAAGGTCAATGCCCAACAAAAGATTATCAATGCCGTTTCCGGCGACCAAGGCTCCTCGCATGCGGATGAGCTAAGGCATCAACCCTTCTACCCCGAGTCGGCAACCTACGAGCCTAAGCAGGAGGTAGCGGAACAAGATGCTGAGAGGGGAGAGCAGCCCGACTACCTATTTACCATCCGAGAAGTGTACGGCACGGCGCCCGAGTCGGTCCTCGAGGCAAGTTCCCATTGCATATCTGATTGTGCAAAGCTCACTCTCTGGTAAAGCCCAAATTGATCTTTACCCAAGATACCGAAGCAGCCCGTCGCTCTCTACTCGCAATCGTCCCCACGCAGTATTCCCATTACTTGGTACGCCACCATTGCAAAGTATTGCACTGGGTCCATGCTGTATTTCATATCCCCACGTTCTTGAGCACGCACGACGGGTGGATAGCGAGTATACAGCGCGGGCAGTTGACAGATCAGTCTTATGACTTTTTGTCGTTGTGTGAGTGTTTTGATCTTGTGACTGGTTGTAAGCTGATCAAAGCAAGACTTTGCCATTATATCTGCTAGTCTATACTTTCTTGATGAGACAGAGGCCATGGGGCTAGGTTTGACCAAAGGTGTGTTTTTATCTGGCTCCCGGATACTCGTCCCCCACTGACCTCCTGGGTCTCATAGATGCTATAAAAGCTCTCCCCCGGTTATGGTTCGACATCTCCATCAACTGCCTCCATCTCGGCCAATACATGGTCCGCTCCACCATCCCCATCCTTCAGACCATATGCGTCTTACCATTAGTAGCTCATTCGTTCGGGTACGTGCTATCTCACAGTATCACACTCCCAATGCTCACCTATCTCAGCATGTCGGCGTATCTCTTCTCTCTCCTGGAACTAGCTTTCAACATGGCCAAAGACCTCAATTTTCATCTTCTAGCCGACGAATCGATTTACGCGGCTTCTCTCGGGAATGTGGACTCTGAGATGGGAAAGAGGATATGGACCTGCTTGGATGTTGCGCATTGGTGAGTCCCTCCGGTCAGTTTCGTGTGGAGGCGCTGACTTTAGAAGTATGCATCCGAGTATAAGTCAGCCTTACGCTCTGCTTTATCCCACATCACGCACTTCACCACCAGCCAATGTCGACGATGCCCACTTTTCAGATACTGTGCCTGCAATCTCTCGGCCGTTATATCAAACAACCGGCGTCACCCAGTAAGCCCACCCCCCAAAGACAAAGAAGACTGAGGCTGACAATCCCAAGCTTGATTTCCATGGGTCAAATCGCCAGCCTCTACCGAGGTTTCAACACCGAATACAACAAGGAAACCACAACCTACGCCCGCTTTCTCGTCGCTCAAAAGTATGGTCAAAAAGCCGGCACCATCCTCGATTCCATGCCCGAGCACCAGCCCCGGCCCTTTGAGCAGTATCATCCGATCGTGGCTACGGGGGAGGCATTCGACTATCGGCCTTGGTCGAGGTTCTTGTATTCATCTTTGATACCTCAATGCCGGATCCATTTCTTTCGGTGGTTTCTCCGTCCGGCTTATGGAGATGATCGATTTCGAGAAGCACGGAAAGTGAGTCGTGTACTTGCAGAAAAGAAATGGGGGTCACAGTTGACGGTTGTAGATATGCTTGCAAGCTTCTCGGGAGATCATTGAACTTCGCTGTAGACCCATCCCGCCTCTCTATCAAAAGAACTGGTACGTGCCACCTATGTCTCGAGTGCGCCACGCTGATGATATCGTCAGGCATGTATCGGTGAATACCATCATGGCAGCTACAGTCATCGCAACAGAGCTCCTCCATGGGGGCCACGAAGAGTCGGTAAAAGTCGGTTTCAGGACAGAGATCAATACAGCTATCGAGATCTTACGACATACCAAGACTACCAACACGATCATTCCGCGAGGCATCGAGCTGCTACAGCGGATGTTGGCGGAAGAAGCTGCAGCGGCTGCTTGGACGCAGGAAGGGTTCTGGAATAGTCTCGCAGAGATTTCAGCGGATGAAGATCTGCTGGCATTGTTGCTCGGGAATGGTAGTAGCTGAATGCATGGGACGACATTTATGAATATAGTTCTGCCCCGGCGAGCTTTAGAAGAGTCGAGTTTAGTTTGGGGAGGGACGCAGGGATGCCAGTGTCGTATGGACAGGGCTGGCCGTCCTCGCGGATCTTGGGCTCGTGCGGTCTGGAATAGATGGCGGCAAAGGGGACGTGGGTGGTACCTCGGTAGTTCTCGAATGCGACCTTGCGGACTTGTCGGTCTTCGTCCGAGAGTAGTGAAGAAGGAGCCATACACACATCTGACAGAGTATCAGCATACTGGAGCATGGAGGTTGAAGAAGAGCTTACAAGTGACGACTCGGTCTCGTTCTCCGTTGGGCCTGACGTTGTAGTGCATGGTCCTCGAATCCCACAAGATGAGATCCCCGGGCTCGGCACAGACTTTTGTCCACTTGCATCCGCGAGAGTAGAACCAGTCTTGTTGCTCGTCCGTGAAACCTGTGCGGCATTAGAAATGTCACGATATGGGCTAAGGGTTTGACTCACCATACCAGTCGAACGGACCCCAGGTCTTGTAGGTATCACGCCCGTGGATGTCAAAGAACTCTTCCACAAGCTGGTTGCTACCCTCCAGTACCATAAGACCGCCGTCATCAGGACCATTGTGGTTCAGGTTGACGATGCCTTGGCAGCAGTAGAACCCTACTCGGTGGTGAGATTGACTATTGCCCTCCGGTCAGTATGTCACAAGTCACTAAGGCTTTTCAGGTAGTGTCGACTCACTCCATGTGTTCCCATTTACCAGCATCTTTGACGTCGGTTCGTTTGGGCAACATCAAGCAACCTCCGTCGAAGGAAGTGATGAGCTCGTCAGTCCCCCAGACTTTGGCAAAGGCGTCGATGACTCCAGGCTCGCAACGAATGTCCCAGACCTAGCATCACATCAGCATCGATATCAAAGAGGATAGATTTGCTCACAAAGTCCAGGTGAGCGAAGCCATAGCCATGGAACATTCCGCCTTTCATATGAACCGGAAGGTGCTCGTTCTTCCACGTCGTTGGGTCATTCCGGTCAAAGCCGAGTGGGAAGCTCTCCATCCACTGAAACATGCGCTCGCGATATGACAACGCCTGATCAGCGGGAATAGCCCCTTTGACTACAGCATAACCCTTGGTGGAGAGCTCGTCCCTCCAATCGCCAAAGACAGGCTTGTCGAAGCGTTCGGCAAACTTGAACGGCGGGAGTTCAGGCGGGGGTGTGGATCGGTTTTCGTATATGCTCTTTGTGGTGGTGGCGACGGGCATAATGAGTTATCTTTGAGCGTCATTTATCTTTGACTACTCTTTACATATATATATATATGCTTTGATGTGGTGCCCGTTGACTATCTTAACGCCGAAAACTCGGGTGGAAAGTCTGCTCTGCTGATGTTACTTACGAGCGAAAACCCGGGTGCCTGGGCTATCTTGATGGTCGCTGTTAAGAGCGAAAACTCGGTCGTGAGAGATAAGCATGCAGATATCACTCTATATGATTGTGCTGTTAATGAGAGATAGCCTATCGCCTGTAAGGCATTATATATACATACATCAAGAACAGTCGTCGACCCCAATGAAGCTCCCGTCTTGTCTTCTCGTATAGCAGCGACATGTCGTCCCCTGTGGTAATGTGGCAATCCATGTGAGTGCATGTGTGCCATTCCGGTTAGCACATCGGCTTTCGCAACCAATACTGACATTGCATTATAGCCCCAATGCTGTCGACGTGACACCATGGCCCAAGAATAGAGGTCTCTTTCAACTCTTTTACTACTTTTCCATTCTCTGCGTTGGTGAATTACTCATCGGCTATGATGGAACCATCACCGGAGGTCTGCAAGCCCTTGCAGGTGAGCATAAAGTGTCGAACTCGCTCTGTCGAGTAGCTGACAATGGCCACAGAGTGGAGAGGGGACTTGGGTAATCCTGACGCAAGCAAGATCGGTCTCTTGAACGCTGCCGCTTTCATCGTCGTAAGTCACGTTCATAGCCTTTCAAGAAGGATGAGCAACTGACCTGAGCTTCTTCTAGGGTATCTGCATGGGCCCTATCAACTCCTGGGTTGTCGATCGCTTCGGGCGCAAATTGCCCATTCAATGGTTCTCTCTGACGATGATCGTCGGTACAATTATCGGCTGCATCGCTGGAGCCAAAGGTGGTCAGACTGGTTACGCTCTGTTTGTGGCTTCACGAGCGGTCATAGGTGCTGGTATTCCACCATTCATGATGACTGCTTTGATCATGAACCAAGAACTGGTAAGCTCTATCTCGAGTCGGCTTCGCCTGTGGTATGTCAGCAAGCTCACGCTGCTGCCAGTCTCACCCTCGATATCGTGCACTTTGCTCAGCTCTGTGGGATTGCGACTTTATCCTAGGTTCGACCATGGCCAGTCTGGTTACTTTCGGCACCAGCCACATTACGGGCTCATGGTCTTGGCGAGTACCCTACATCCTTCAGCTTCTTCCTGCGACCTACATGCTAGTCGCCGTTCATTTTATGCCCGAATCCCCTCGTTGGCTCGTGGCCAATGGTAAGTTCATTATCCCTCCACATCCCCGACTGGCAGCGTGCTTACCGATTGGGCAGGAAGGGAAGAGGAAGCTTTTGAATTCTTTGTCAAATACCACGGCAACGGCGATCCCAACGACGAGCTTGTCGCTTTCGAGTGGCAGGAAGTCAAGGAGACGATCGCTCTGGAAGAAGCCAACAGGCGCCGTAGCTGGGCTGAAGTACTCCGCATGCCGGGCAACAAGCACCGGCTTTGTCTTGCTGCTCTTATGACCTTTATGCCTCAAGTGAGTTTGTTCATTCGAGACGGAGAAGACACAGAGACTGACGTGATACCTAGATGAACGGTTCAAACATCATCTCATACTACTACTCTGTTGTCCTTACACAGTCTGGCATCTCAGGGGCCGGTACAATCACTGGTATCGGTGCTGGGCTCAACATGTGAGTCCTGAGTCTCTAGAAATGATACGGCGCTCATGTATCAACAGGTGGGGCTTCGTCTGTCAGGTTGCAGGAGTGTGGGCGCTTCACTCTTGCCGTCGACGGACCATGGTTCTCTCGGTCTGGCCCCTTCTCATGATCGGCATGGCAGCTATGGCAGCATCTAACGGTGTCTTTCAAGTGTCAGACCAGAGTAACCATGCTGCAGGGGTTGCATCTGTTGTCATGGTATGGCTTTACAATGGCCCTGCAAACTTTGTCTCGCCCTTGTTCTACTCGTATCCTGCCGAGATCTTGAGCTACTCCATTCGGGGTAAAGGAATGGCGGTCTGGAATACTGGTCCGTTGACTGACTGATCGCAATGGGGTAGTGCTGACATCCTCTCGAATCTTCTGAAGTCAATCAAGCATGGGGCGCCTACGGTTCCTATGTCAACTCTATCGCCCTTGCCAATATAGGCTGGAAGTACTACTGTGTCTTCATCCCGATCCTTGCGGTGCAGTGGGTCGCGGCGTACTTGCGTAAGTTGTTGGCAGGCTGGTAAATCTCATGATGAGCTGACCTCTGTTCAAAGTGATGGTTGAGACCAGATCACTCACTCTCGAAGAGATCGCCATCGCTTTCGAGGGTGCCGACGCTGCTGTGGCCGTGGTGGACGAGCGGCTTCGAGGGTTGGACGACAACAAAAGTCAACTGGCTGCTGATGATGAGAAGAAAATCGTGCCTGAAGGCTCAGGCAACGTTGTCATCAGCGAGGTGTAGGGGAGTGCAATGCCTCAAGTCCAAGACGTCCTTCTTCTACTACCTCCGTCTCGTCTGTTCTCTCTTAAGTATTTGGGTGTTCTATGTATGTTTTCATCACGTCCATGATTCCATCGGACCATCATCAGCTGCCGGCGACGGCGGAGACCGATACGTACGCGTTCGTTATCAGTCGCTTCCCTGCTTATCATTTGGTGCACCACATGCTCCATCCCGTCTTTTCGTCAGCCGGACACACTAAGCTCAAATATCGCCCTGGCTGACCTCAAGCATCACAATATCATTTGCCACAGATATGGACTTCGCTCTTCCACACCAGCACCCGCACTTCAGACTTGTCTCAGGCGTCACAAAGTTTGAGTCTGACATCGCGCCGCCTTGCCCGACTATCGATAATACTCGGTATCGCCCGCCTGCAGAAGCTCGACGGTGGGAATTTAATTTGACTGTCTACGACGACAGAGACGGCTGCTCAAGATAAGGTATCTCCGACTGTATAAAGAACAGGGATCCTCGAGGATCGCTCTTGCATACCCATTACCATACAGATAATTGGCCGACTTTGGCTACTCACCTTCTACTTGCCAAAGCGACAGCAAAATCCGCAACATGACCGGTGGCTCCTCTCATGTCGACTGGAGGTCTATGTAAGTGTCGTGTCGCCTCGACAAACCCAAGGTCTGCTTTGACTGTCTCCAGTCCAAATGCAATCGACCACACTCCTTGGCCGAAGAACCGCGGTCTGTCCAAACTCTTCTTCTTCTCCTCCGTCCTATATATGGGCCAGTTCTTGAATGGCTATGATGGAACTATCACTGGAGGTCTCCAAGCTCTGCCTGGTATGTATCTCAATTTAGTCATGTGATGTCTACTGATCAACCTGTGACAGATTGGAACAAAGACCTGGGGTACCCGTCTGCTGGGAGGATAGGATTGCTAAATGCAGCTTCTTACATCGTCGTGCGTACATACCTGCCTCCTCTCTGACCGCACAATGCCGGCTTACTTTTACGCGTCACAGGGTGTTTGTATGGGACCGCTCAACGCATGGGTGGTCGACAAATTCGGGAGAAAATGGCCTATTCGATGGTACGCTCTCGCAATGATCGTGGGCACCGTCATTGGCTGTGTGGCTGGGTCTCAGTCTGGCAACACGGGTTATGGCTTGTTCGTGGCATCAAGGGCTATCATCGGATCGGGTGTACCCGTATTCCTGATGGCCGCGCAGATTGTCAACCAAGAGATGGTGAGACGAACGCACATATGACAATGGCCAGGATGCTGAACAGAGGTGTAGGCACATCCGCGATTCCGTCCTCAAATGGCTGCCTACTGGGATTGTAACTGGGTATGTCCTGTCTTTGCTCATGTGCAAGCTCCATACTAAAGGAAGAACAGGTTTTGGGAAGCACCGTGGCTTCCTTCATCACCTTCGGCACATCCTACATCAACTCTTCCTGGTCTTGGCGTATCCCATACCTCATCCAGCTCCTCCCCGCCCTCTACATGCTAGTCGCCGTCCAATTCATGCCCGAGACCCCACGATTCCTCATCGCCAATGGCAAGGAAGAAGAGGCTTACAGATTCTTTGTGGACTACCACGGCAACGGAGATGAGGAAGATGAATTGGTCAAGTTCGAGTGGAGGGAAATGAAGGAGACGATTGAGATGGAGAAAGGCGAGAAGCTGGGATGGACACAGCTTTTGAAGACACGGGCGAACGTGCATCGTCTGGGTTTGGTAGCACTGATCACTACTATGCCTCAGGTGAGTAGCCTCCTGAAGAGTTGCCGACAATGACTGACCATGTTCACAGCTCAACGGTAGCACGATAATCAGCTACTACTACTCAGTCATCCTCACTCAATGCGGTATCACCGGCGCCGGTCAAATCACTGGTATCGGTGCCGGGCTCAACATGTACAGTTTCATTCTCCAATGCCTCGGCGTCTACTCTCTCCGCTACTTTGGCCGTCGATCCATGGTCCTCTCCACTTGGCCATTGCTCATCCTCGGTATGGCGGCCATGGCTGCGACGAGTGGTGTCTATCAGCATTCAGGGCAAAGCGACAAAGGAGCCGGGATAGCAAACGTGGTGATGGTCTGGCTGTATTCGACGCCGTGGAATTATGTGTCGCCCATCTTCTACTCGTATCCGGCCGAGATCTTGAACTATGAGATTAGAGGGAAGGGTATGGCTGTATGGAATACTGGTCAGTGCCATGTTTGACAAGCGGGGTCAAGTGCTAATGTCTGTATGTCAGTCAACCAAGGATGGGGCGCCTATGGGTCTTATGTCAACTCGATCGCGTTGGACAGCATTGGATACAGGTACTACTGCGTCTACATTCCCATTCTCGCCCTACAATGGGTGCTGACCTACTTTTGTAAGCTGGTCCATTCTTATGATGTGTTTATGTGGGTCTTTCTAACACTTGTCTATAGTCATGGTTGAAGTCAAGGGCTTGACTTTGGAGGAAATTGCGACAGCTTTCGAAGGTGACAATGCGGCTGTGGCCAGAGTCGACGCGCGGTTGGCGGAAGGTGTCTCTGGAAATATAGGAGAGGGAGACGATGACGAGAAGAAGCTGGGTCTATCAGGGGCATCTGTCATTGCTCCGGTTATCTAGTGCAGCCATGCTGCTAGTATATGTGGTATTGTGCTTTGTCCTTTTCATCTTAACGTTCTATATGACTCGGTACTACCCCATGCTATCAACTCATCAGCAGTCCACTAATAGAATCACCAGGGCGGGTGTCACGCTTGGGTAGTGCCCTTGGCGTGCTGAAGAGAGTTTTGTTATAAGGGGCAAAAACCTTTTCGTTATTGTCGCATATGAAGAAGAAGAACTATGAAAAAGACTCTGATATGTGTATAAACTGAGAGCACGGTCCACAACACACAACTAATCTACTGAATCTATTTGAATGAACGAATTACACAGATGACTCCTTTAACCATGACAGCGGGGGGGTGGTGGTCTCAGCTGTTGTGTTACAGTATGTTGGAAGAAAGGATTGCGGAGATGGCCGCCGGACGTTCGCGCTCACTGGAGTGTTCCATAGTGGTTTCCATATGTCTTCTTCTTCTTCTTTATCCATGAAACCTTATAACCTTTACAACATCAGCAAGGGTGAGGAAGGATGTTGATGGATAAACTGTGCGGTTTTGGTACTAAGTGAGGGGCGTTCGGAGACCACATGGGGACAACACGTTGCCTGTAAAAGCCAAGCGAAGTGGATGATCTCGACGGTAGGACCGTACAGGACGAAAACAGTCGAGACCACCATACTTCCGCCACGCGCTGCTCCTATATGCAAGGATACATGATGATATGAATGACTACTTGACTCACCTTTCTACAACAGTGCGACGCAATCAAGTGAGTTGCTAGAGGCATGACAACACAGTGAAGTTCGGTTCCGCCATCCACTTCTACTCATACTGTAGATGTAAATCGGAAATATAAGCTTTGACTCGCTCAGCCACTCCACTTCAAGGCCAAAAGCACCTTACAAGTCACTGGATGAACATGTCATTATGATACTAGATCGCAAGTTACTTCGTAATACTCTACTGTACTCGTAGTCGGGCTCTACTGTCCCTTTTTCTTCCGCCAGCCCCCCACCGCCTCCTTCATGGAACTGGAAGAGTCCCGCAACCTGTCCAAAATACCCTTCCAGGGACAATTCCCCTGCTTATCCTGCACGGAAAGCCTTCTTGGTGCCAATCTCCGGCTTGGCAGTCTTCTTGCTAGCCAAAGACTTCTTGCCGGAGGCGCGAGCAATAGATGCGCCGGTGTTGCCTGTTTCGAGCTTGATCTTGGGGAGCGGTGGGTGTGAGGAAGGCGAACACGAAGGGGTGAGTGAATACACCATCTTCAATGAGCCTCAGCTCTCATCCAGGATGGGGACCGTCTTTTGGGAGTTCATCAACATGGTCACCCAAAGCGATGCCTTATCGAAGAGATCTCGCGGCTTTTGGCGAACTTCTAGTGTGCCGAAGAGCGGGAATCCCGATTGGGTGTATGTGAGAAGAAGAGATAAGATAGTCGCCGCTTTTGCAGAACCGAAGTTGCGAACCGTCCTCACGGACTGCTCAGACCCCGCGGCAAAAGTTCAACAACTCATGATGGAGCGGAGGCAGTGAAGCATCGCCGTACCTGGTCACCGGGCCATTCTTGCCGATAGGAAGGCCGACGCGAACCACGTTTGGGGTGAGTGGATCTCGTTGTAAAGGAATGAAGAGCTCGTAAGAGCTCAAAAGATGACAACAGACGCTTTTTTGTGCAGTTGAAATTCTTCCCACAACTACCAATTATAGCGTCAGCCAGACGATCTTGCAGCTGATACCGGATGGCCCTACCTGGGAGCCGGCATTCGCCCAATGCTGTAGCCCATTTATGACTTCACCATCTTCTTCAACCACTCTGAAAACACCTTCGTCCGACATGACCACTGCCATCCCGCCCGACTTCGCCGCCTCCATCATAAGTTGTTAAACTTTTGTCGCGGGTGAGCTGTCCGTGAGGACGGTTTGCAATTTCAATTCTGCAAAAGCGGCGACTATCTTGTCTCTTCTTCTCACATGCACCCAATCGGGGTTCCCGCTCTTCGGCATACTAGAAGTTCGCCAAAAGCCGCGAAATCTCTTCGATAAGGCATCGCTTTGGGTGACCATGTTGATGAACTCCCAAAAGACGGTCCCCATCCTGGATGAGAGCTGAGGCTCATTGAAGATGGTGTATTCACCCCCCTCTTCGTGGTTGCCTTCCTCACACCCTTCATAATCGTCACCCGTTTCCTCATCCTCATCCTCATCCTCATCCTCATCCTCATCCTCATCCTCTTCGTCCTCTTCATCCTCTTCGTTTTCCTCATCGGCCAGGAAGGCCTGTTTCAGAGAAAACTTGTATGCGAGACCCCTTGGAGCAAGTTTGTGGAGAGGCACAGCATCGTCAAGGGCCTCCTCTAGCCCACTGTTCAGACTCGGGTCCAAAACAAACCGCACACCATTGCCCACCGTCCTCTTAAAGATATCCTTTGTGTGATCGGTAGGGGCGCGGGTTGCAGCCGTCGAGATGGAACCGTAGTCCATATCCTCGGGGACGAAGCTGGCCAGCATTTGCCGAGTGGTGATGTCAGGGAAGTCGGAGGGAATGGGAGGGAGGAGATGGGACTTGGGCATTTTGGGTGGTGAGGGGTGAGGGGTGTGGGTGCGAGGTGTTGGTGCAAGGTCTTTGGGGGTAGTGTAGGAGAGAGGTGGCGCGTAGAGTGTGGAGGAAGGGTCTTCGGTTGTTGCAGGAGTTGGAGGATCAGTACTGGGGAGACAGCGTGGAAACAGTTGATGGAAATGTGACAGAAAGAGTGGAGATACACGTGATGACACGGACGGACGCGGTTTTCCTCAAATCGCCAGAACCATTTGTACCACAGGGCTGTGCATCGGCGCCCAAAATCAAATCGGTACGTGAAATGGAAGTGCACTAGCCGTTTCCGAACCCCAGCATGGCTTTGACCTCCTCCATCTCGTCCGCCAGCATCTCATCCCCCCATGCCCCATTCGACGCTCGTCTCGCGCCCTCAAAGTCGATGATACACAGACTACCATCTGCACGCCGACGGATGTGGCGGCGTTTGATATCACCATGAATGATCCGAACGCTATGCAGTGCTTCGTAGAGTGAACAGATAGCGAGCCTTCAGAGAGATTATCAGTCAACGTTGTCCTAGTAGTAAAGTCACGCAAGGAACTCACTTAGTCTGGAGAGGAAGCAGCGGCAGATCCTTGTCCTTAGCACAAACGGCACTGCCGACACGCTCCAAAATCATAAAGTTGATCTCCCTGCTTTCCCACTCTCGACTGACATACATCAGGCCCCGAGGAGCTCCAAAACACCGGGGCACGATATGGCCTTGCAGGCCAGACAGCGCCCCCCCGTAAAGCTCTACCTCCGCTTCCCAAGCATTTACCGCCTCGGCACCTGTCTCGTACCCTGCCCATCCTTTTGCATCGTCAAAGGTGCTGGGACGCATGATCTTGACGACGAGCGGGGGCAGATCGTGAGGATGATTGGCTGGAACTTTGGAAGTGAGGGAATAGACATCAGAAAGGCGCCCCCTGTCGATCATCGATCCTATAGAGAATTCGAGGTCGACTGCTGAAGAAGCATCGATTGGCTGGGAGACAGAGAAGGTGGGAGAGGAGGACAAGGTGATGGCAGTTGTGATAGGAGCTTCTTTTCGAGGAGTGGCGCGAGGGGTGAGGGGAGGATCGGCGAGGGGAAGCAAGGGTGGCGACGAAGAGATGCTGGTACAGTCCTCGAAATGGGGGTGTGCAAGGTCCTTGTCAATCCATCCATAGATAGATGAATCGGACAAGCCAACAGGGCCGAAGAAATGATGCGCCAAGGAGCGCCCCGAATCAGACAAAGAGCAGCCATGGAAGTGAAGGCGAGCCCACACAGACTATTGTCGAGATCAGCGCTGTAGCTGTGGTTACGGAGATCAAGACACTCACGGGATGAGCTGAACCGCTGGACCTGCGTCCGCTCTCAAAGCGATCCTCACTGAGATCTTGCCCCTGCTTAGACACCCTCCTTCTCTTGGCCTTCCGTTGGTTGTCTGCTTCTTTGCTGCCTCTGATCCCGGCCCATCTACACATACTTGTAAACACTCCCACCAAGGTCCCACCCTCACCCTCGCTACTTGCAGTCTCGATCTTGAGTTTGGGGAGAGGCAGAAACGGTGGAACGTGGGATGGGGTTGGGAGGGAGAGAGTAGAGGCGATGGCGAGCTCGAAACATGTCAGGGCTCCGTCACCTGCACCTGTCATCCCTGCATCTCTGACAATCGGCAAACCAACGCGCAAGATGTTTGGCGCTGAGCGGTCCCGTTCAAGTGGCAGAAAGATTTCAGACGAGCTCAACAGCATGATATTCGCCGTGTCGAATAGTCTGTACTTTTCCTAGAACTAGCCTCAATGTCAGTAGCTACTCTTGCAGCCAGATGAAGCACAGACCTGCGCTATGCAATTCGCCCAGTACTTCATACCCGGGACCTCTGCTCCATCTTCCTCAACAACCCTCGCCCGTCACGATAACCCGCATCCCTCCTGGCTTTGACGCCTCTTCCAAAAGTCGCTGCACTCTTCCGGCGTGCTCGGCGGTATCCCTGAGAATGCTGGGCATTCTGGCTCGACACAAGCCCTTCCTGCCCCCCCCCCCCCAAGGAAGTTGCGCCGAGCCAGGCTGGGCATTATGGTCTCAGAGAGTGCTTGAACCTTTCCATCTACCTTCCGGACACAAATCCAGCTACGCGCCCCACCATTCTTTGATTCACATGACCGCCACTCGCCGCGGAGGTTCTTGTCAAGGCCTTTGCTCTTCAGGACAAGGTTTACATATCTCCAAAACGTCTTCTCCATCGTGTCGGAGGGATCGCGCTCAATGAAGATAGGCTCGATAGGCTTTGTATTTTTCCCTTCATCGTAAAACTCGTCCAGAGCCTGTTTCCAGAAGATGGCGGTCGTCAGTTGCTGTGAAGCAAGGATGTGAGCGGGCAAGTGATTATCAAGAGCCGCGAGGAAGTTCATATGCGGGTCCTTGATAATTCGTACACCGTTCCCTTCAGTCTCGGCGAGTACGTCGACGGAAGACACCGTGGAATCGCGGGATACCTCTTCATCGAGAGATCCGAAGTCGATGGCGTCGGGGACGAATTCAGCCATGATTTGCCGGACGGGCACGCGCGGCATGTCGCCGAGGGGTTGAAGGGGTGAGAGGGGTGGTAAGGTCTGAGGCATGATGTTCCATGCGACGTGTTGTGCTGGTAATAGATGTAAGCTGATGCAAGTAGAATTGCTGGTGGCCGGTGGATTGTTGTCTTGGGGCTGTCGCTTTTGTTGAGTTTTTTTTTTTAAAAAAAAAATCATTATAGATTCTATTGATTCATCAGATCAATATTGTTATTGAGACGTAGAATTTGACTGCTCAAGTAGACTACGAGTACGAGTACTGCACGAAACGAAGCCTTCCACATTTACCCCGAAGGATAGCTTCTTGCACTTGTATCCACATGACCCCGGCCCCGTCGAACGACATGATCTCCTCTGCAGCCCATCGCTAGCCGAAAAGACAGATGGGCGAGGTTCTGCCGTGGTTGGGATCTGTTACGTTGTTGGTGGCGGGTAAAAGGGACAACCGACTGTTGATCGATACTGGCTGGGCATGATTGGATTGCGTGCTGTGAAAGGGTGAGACACCAAAGTCAGTTTTGGCGTGTTGCTCTCGCTGTATCGTTTGTTCCTTCCACTGTTCTCAAACTGCGTCTTGCAATATCGACGCAAGCCGAAGCTGTGCGCGGAGACGAGGTTAATGTATACATCACCAAACAACTCCAACTGCTAAATGTCCTCTAGCCAGAGAAAATTTAGGCGGAAGCCTTCTTGGTGGCGGCACCACCCTCTCGGAAGCCGTTCTTGAATCGTCGGTTGACGTCCTTGAGGTGAGACATACGGCCGGTACCGCTGGACAATGGGTAAGCGATGGACAGAGTAGCCAGACGAGAGCAACGTACGTGGTCTTTCTCCTCTTAGCCTTCTGGCCCCAGTTGAAGGACCTCAACTTGGCAGCGGGGTAACCACACTGGGCACAAGCTAAACAGAAGGTGCTGGTCAGTTTCCATGTCATCCCCATGATCCACACCCAAGCTGGCTTTTCCGTCTCCCCTGCGACCGCCCAACGATTCCTCAAGCAGCGGCCGAACGGCCACCGCAAAATCTTTCCATGCTTCATTTCCCATTCCTTCCGACCATCCTCTTCACAGCCAGCTTGGGTATCCTCCGCAATGTTGATGACATACTGAGCTTCTGCTTGTGGAAAGACCTGTCACCACATCGGCGGCAGAGGGTGTGGGACTTGGAGTGCCTTTTACCGCTGTTTGAGGGGTCAGTTACGGTCCTTGAAACAGCCATCAAACGCCAACGTACAAGGAGGGGGTACCCTGTTAGTTGGGGGAAGCGACCAGGTCAAGAAGAGAGTTGCAAGACCTTCCGTCAGCTGATATCCAAAGGATATAGGGGGTTGTTATGTTATACGTACTTTAGTCTACAGGCAAAGTCAGCATAATTCTTTCACAGGACACACACCCTCTCTGTCTCTGCTCCTTCCTGGGTCGGATACGCACCATTTTTGAGGATTAGTTGTGGCTTGAGGGCTGGTAGAGGCTGGCGTCAAAAATCAATCATGAACACCACCACCCAGAGCCACCGGGAATTTCGTCCAAGCCAGTGTGGCACTTTTGATACCGCAAGATTTCGGCGACTGCCGCCCCGGCCGCCGATCATTGACGCGACGGAAAGCATGTTTCTATGTAATTCGTTGTGTCTTGTGCATGTGAAAGCAGAGCCATGTCTACACTACCACCACTCAAGTCGTTCTCCCTCACACACATCCTCTACGATCCCGCACACCCACTCTCCATCCCCCTCACACTCCTCTCCCTCTCCCCCATCTTTCTCTTCGTCTCCTACTTTACGCTCCTCATCTTCACTCGACGCTTGACAATAGCGCTCCTTGCAGGTGGACAGCTGATCAATGAAGTCCTTTCCTGGGTGCTGAAGAGGATAGTCAAAGAGGGAAGGCCGTATACGGGCCATGGAGAATTGAGCACGGGGTATGCGTGGCCGTCAAGCCATGCGCAGGCTGCTGGATTTCTGGTTGCGTGGGGTTTGGGATATGCCTGGACCATGGACAAGAGAAGCACAAAGCTGCGGAGTCATTCATCGGAGACGATTAGAAGGTGGAGGACTGGGACATACGTGCTTGGACTGATTGTCTGGTCTGTAGGCGTCTCCTACTCCAGGTATGACCTTTCTCTCTCTTTGCGTGCTCGAACGCTGACGCTAAATCAAGGTATCACTTGCATTACCACTCTCCCTCCCAAATCGTCGCCGGATACCTCGTCGGCAATGGTTACGGTGCATTGCACTTTCTTTTGTCCGAGTATTATCCACTGTACCACTCCACGTCGCTTCTGGCGAGATTGCGCCGTGGTGTAGAGTATGTCTGGGAAGGCGTCGGTGGTGTGGGAGGATGGAATCTAGGAGATGCTGAAGGCGGATGGGGGGAGGGTTGGATGCTGGCTGAAGAAGCGGACAAGAAAAGGACATGAATCATCATATCTCATTAAGCTCATCGCCGTGTCCGCTCATCTGAGGGGTGCTTTTCGAAAGACGTATACATGTCATATCCTACGTGTTGTCTTCTGTCATCCTGCCCTCTCACGGTCCACTGCGAACGTATACACTTTCTAATACACTTTCTACCATTCGACTTCTGCCTACATGCGAGGAGACCGTCGGGCGCTCGCTTCTCGGCGCTCCCCGCCCTGGCGTCATGGTCCTCGTCGAGACCTTCTGACTGCATCACATCGTAGCTTTCCGCCATCTTCAGCATCACCTGACCACCTTCCATCCAGCACTACTGCACCCTTGAACTTTGAAAAGTAGAGACTTGCGTACGTGATCCTTCCGGGTGCAACCGATCCGGAAACCTCCAAGGCCCCAGCTGCGTACTCGTGTGAAACAGTTCGTATGTCATTCAGTGCCGACCGGCAGCCTCGCTCGGAGCTTAGCTTATACTTCTTCAGTGGCCAGTGGAAGGCTACGCCAGCTTTGGTTATCCGACCATTCCCGAGTGGTTTTCCATAAAAGTCACACACACGCATGCGAGCCACCTTTCTTCTCCGCTCATATAGGATCTCAACGACAACTCTTCGACCTATTACCAGCAATCTACCACAGCAACACATTCGAACAATGACCAAACAATCCGCTCAACAAGCGCAACAGCCCGAGATTCTGGGGACGGAAGAGTACAAGACGGACGCCAAATGGTTGAAGCTTGAGAAGATCAATTGGAAAGACCAAGATGGGAAAGAGGTGACTCAAGACATATTCTTAGAGTTCATGCTGATGCTAGAGTCAGAGAGCTTGGGAAGTTGCCAACAGGTCCACCAGGCCCAAGGGCGGAGTAGATTGTGAGTATCCTTGCGGCTGGACGAATATAGCTCATACCAAAGCAGCGGTACATATCCTTGCGCTTCTTCACCACCCCAATAAGCCGACTTCCACGATCATCATCGAGCAATACCGCCCTCCTGTGGCATCTGCCGTCATCGGTATGTCCCGCTCGCGTCTTTCCTGGCATCCACTGATTCCTATGGCAGAGCTTCCTGCCGGTTTAATTGACGAAGGAGAGGACGCTGCGTGAGTCGGGTTTATTTGATTGGGTTCTATAATCTGATGGTCGGGGGTAGCACATCAGCCCTGCGAGAGCTGCACGAAGAGACAGGTTATGGTGGTGGGAAACACGGGGGCGAGGCTAAAGTCGCCCATATATCTTCAGTGCTCGCCAAAGATCCCGGGTACGTCGATGCCTACCTTTCACTCCCAATGTACTGACGTGCACACAGAATGACGGGGGCAAATATGTATCTGGTGACGATCGATGTGCATCTGAGTGAGAATGATCCGGAGCCTGAGCAGCACCTCGACGATGTAGGTACTCTGGCCGTCCCCTCGAAGATTCCTGCGGATGAACGGGAGGTTGACTTGGTATCAGGGCGAGCACATTGTGAGGAAAGTAGTCCCTCTAAAATACCTCATCAGGCATCTTCAAGGTACGTTATCTTCTCTATTGACTTGAGCTGCATGTCTTAAATGCATGCTCGTACAGACTACGCCAGAAGAGGCTACACAGTCGACACTATTTTAGCTTCTATTGCTACCGGCTGGGAGCTCCATCGTCGCTTCGAGTCTGAATAGTGATCCTTGAAAGGAAAAAGACAAGTCATGGTTCTGAAAAGTCGTTTGAAGAGCAAATGTGATGTCTGTGTTGCCTTTCCTTTGACTGATGGAAGAGGCGCAATGAGAATGCATGTCAGTTCTATCATTGGATCTCATCCCCTTCTTGCAGGGCCCTTCCTCGAAAAGGAACCGAAGAAGACTGACAAGCGTGTGCATGACGGTCTGCTTCGTTGTCGTTGAGCAACATGAGAATGGAAGTGACTGTCTCAAAGTAAGCTTCGGTGGTGAAGATGACGATGGCAAAGAAGAAGCTCAAGAAGATCCTTCGGTCGAGAGATATAAGACAAGGGCAAAGAGGCTACAAGGTTATCCCCCTTCTGAGAGGGTTGGGCGAATCATGGCAGATAGTACCAGCATCAACACCCACAGCGTTCACACACCAGTCCCTACCTCGCTCCGGGACCCACTATCTCAATCAAGGCACTCTCAGATATTGTCGTCCACTCCCTCCCTCTTTGGTACATCTGTCCCGTCTCGTCTTAGCGGCCGTAGTATCACGCAGAGTGAAAGTTATGTTGAAGATAAACCAGAGGGTCCGCCAATCGGAAGTCCGCCGGCCGAACCGATGAGACAGGCCAAGATTGACAAGATTGAGGTTCAAGAGGTTTCCAACGGGATCGGGGGAGAAGATTGAGTAAAGCATAGTCACTCCAATGAAGACTTGATATGATAGCCTGGGCAGCCTGCGAGGGATGACTGAAGGGCGCAGAACTCGACGGGGTCGCAGTTTGGCGCATGCACAGACTCGTAGCAGGAAGAGCATTGTGTCTCCATGTCCCATTCCTAATAGTACAGACAAGCCCATCTATACACGCGCCCAGGACTCGCTATAAGGGCGACTGCTCCTCCTTGATACCCAACATCCTGTTGACCTTCTCCCGCTTGGTCTTCCGGAAGGCTTCCACCGCTTCTCGACCCTTCTCTGAGCGGTGCGCGATAAAGTCGAGCTTCATGGAATCTATTCTCTCTGTTGACATACTGTAAACCTGTGTCAGCACCCCCCTATGGTAAGAGGAGTAACACACAATCCTTTCATGCAATCTTGCATGACTCCGAGTTTACCTTTGCAGGCAAAAGGCAAGGTGAATGTCCTGCCAGTAGCACAATCGGCAAAGTCTGCTTTATATCAGATCATGTCATTGCTCTGGTACCGCGAGAATCTCACCCTTAACAAAGCTATCACAGTTCTTCAGTGCTTGAGACTTTGCATCTTCCATGACCTGCATCTCTTCTCGTCTTGAAAGGGCCTCCATATTTTTCCGTCGGGTCTTCGGGTGTGGGTATTGGATGGGCGTAAGCGCGTAGGTGTTATGTCGAGGCAGTATTTGGAGTTCGGCTGTGATAGACGAATGTATATAGTTTAATGGGATATGAATGTAGAGTATTCTGAATGTTGGAAGATTGTTGTGATGATCGATTTGACCTTCTGCTGTCAAGTCGTGACGTAACAACGGCGGCATCCGTTGCCCGCCTAGATGCGAGATGCGAGCTCGAGTGAACGGTCTGAGCATCTTCAAAACTCGCCCACCCCCCTGTCGGCCCTCGGAAAAGAGCTCAAATACCGGAAATGAGCACCCCTTTCAAAAGAGCGGTCGCTCGTTCGCTCCTGCAGAGGCAGCCTCAAAACGGCGGAGTCCATCTTCGCCGCGCACTCGGTATTCCAGGTATCCCATTCGTCACAATTTATCGCACCTTTACTGACCCATACATATAGCTCGCAGCTATGCTAGCTCTCCATTGACCAACCCAAAACCTCCAAAATTCGGTCAACCCCATCAATCTACCCACCCACACCTCGTCCGTCCCGGCGAGTTGACACCTGGCGTACCAGGAGAGGAATATGAGCGAAGAAGGAGAAAGCTCATGGAAAGTCTTGGGGAGGATGCCAAAGTGGTTATTATGGGTGGAACTGTCAGGCTGATGTCCCAGAGTGAGTAGCAATCCTTGACGAAATGTGATAAGCTGAAAGTTGTGCAGGTATATTGTGCGTTTGACTTTTGGTCGAAAGAGCGAGTGGTAAAGCTGACAAATATTTCGCAGCTATCGATTCAGACAATGTGAGTTATCTTATAGCTGTCAGAACACTTAGACTCATCATTGAGCAGCTACCGACATGTACTACTTGACGGGTTTCCATGAGCCAGATGCCACCCTTGTCTTGGGTACGTATTGCGCACATTGCCTTATTAAATTGCTGACTCGAGGCAGAATCTAAACCTTCCATACCAAGGGGCTACAAATACACCCTATTTGTTCCTCCCAAAGATGCTCATGACAGCTTGTGGGAAGGCGAGCGCGCTGGCCTCGAGGGTGCTACCTCAATCTTTGGCGCTGACGAGGTAAGATATGATGCCCGTTGTACAGCGTCCATTCTAACAAGACCTGTCAGGCTCATCCCAACTCCTCGCTGTCCTCTTTCCTCCCCGGTATCCTCTCCTCTGGTACAGTCTATGCCGCCCTTCCACCCTCTCCTTCTCCTTCACCATCCTCGCAACCATTCCAGCCCCCTTCCTCCCGGCGTCGATCTTCCCTCCTCAAACTCTTCTCTCCAACGGCCTCCTCCACCTCTCCCTCAAGCGAGTTCCAAGCATCCGACCCTCCCCACCTGCTCCTCGCTGGTGCTTTATCTTCCGGACGAGTTGTGCCTCTGGACAGATACATCCAGAAACTCCGCTTAGTCAAGTCCCCAGTAGAGATTGCCTTGATGAAGCGAGCTGCAGAGATCAGCTCGCGGGCGCACGAGAAAGTCATGAGAGCTGCGAAGGCTGGGGGAAGAGAAGCGGAGCTGGAGGCTGTTTTCGAGTTTGAGTGTGCTATGAAGGGGAGCGAGAGGCAGGCTTACGTGCCGGTCGTTGCTTCCGGGTGAGTCACGCAAGGTGTTGTGTCTTCTACTGTATACTGATGTTGCATATTTCTAGTGCCAATGCTCTGGTCATTCATTACACCAGGAACGACTGCACTCTAGATGAAAATGATGTGAGAATTCGCTGTGTAAGACTAGTGGCATTCACTGATTAAAGTTGACAGATGGTCTTGATCGACGCGGGCTGTGAACACCACATGTACACCTCCGACATCACCCGCTCTTTCCCTGTCTCTGGCCGTTTCACCGCTCCTCAGCGCGACCTCTACGAAGCCGTGCTCAACGCTCAAAAGGAATGTATCAAGAGGTGTCAAGTGTCGGACAGAGTCAACTTGAGCGAACTGCATAGAGCGAGTTGTGGACTGCTCTTGGAGGAGTTGAGACAAATTGGATTCAGGTTGAGTGTGGGAGATGTGGAACGGACTTTGGTAAGTGGCCGTGGTTGGCTTACCGAGCTTCGAGCTAAATGACTTTCATAGTATCCCCACTTCTTGTCGCATCACCTGGGCTCTGACTTGCACGACTGTCCCACAAGAGATCGCAACGCCACGTGAGTTTTCACGTGTCGCATGTTGGAGGACGGCTGCTGACCCATGAACAGATTGGTAGAAGGCAACGTGATCTCAATTGAGCCAGGAGTCTATGTCCCTTACGACAATCGTTTTCCCAAAGCTTTCCACGGTATCGGGATTCGAATAGAAGTAAGCACGGGTACTCTATATTGCATCCCAATACTCATACAGGGTTACAGGATGAAGTGGCATTCCAAAAAGAGGGACCTCTGGTCCTGTCCGCGAATGCGCCGAAGGAGATTGCCGATGTCGAGGGAGCCTGTCAGGGACTTTTGGAATAGAACAATCATGGCAAGATCATCTGCATTGGACATGCATCAAGTATGTCAAAGAGGAGAATGTGAAGAATGGATGGGTTACAATGTAAATGTTTGCACATGGCTCAAACGCGTACGTATCGTCGTGGCTCAGATTTTCTTAGTCATGGCTCCTTTCATCTACTGGTATGGCCGGCTTTTGTACTGCTTCAAAGGATAGGTCCACTCGTATGTGCTTTCACCCATTGCGGCGCATCGCATCGCTTATAGTAAGCAACAGACTTGCAAGATCATACCATACACCGCCTAATAGCGAAGAACCTCATCAAGACGTCAAGGGCCAATAACGCCCGGTATGAACCCGACCCGTCTGTGAAGTGCGCCCCCACTGCCTGTCTTTACTGATATCGAAATCCTCCTACTATTTGGCATATTGATCGCCCCTTCATACAATGCGACTCCCTGGACTGCCGTGGGCGGGATTTAATCTCCTTCGTTTGGTCGGCGTGGTCTTTATCATCTGGGCATTTGTAGCACAATTTATCGCGCTTGCTAAGTGAGTTTTCATTGTTGCCTTCATGGGAGATATGTCACTGATACGAACGGGCCCGATCAGCAATCTCTCTGCTAATTCAAGATCATCTGTCTCGACTACTTCGCTGACAACCTCCGAATCTTCTTCTTCGTCCTCTTCGGATGGTCAGCTGGTAACAGCGTCTTCTACTATCGATAGTCAGTGGGGAGCATCGCCCAGTTCCCCATCAAGCACCACCTCTCTTGCATTAGCAACTTCTGGATCGATCATCACTAAAGGACAAGGCATCAGCCCCGCGAATGCTATAGCGGAGGACGGCAAATCAGGCGGCCAGATGATCAAGAGAGCAAAGGAGACTGACGACGGCAATGAGACTTCGGCCAACTGGGGAATGTCAAGTATACCCGACCAGCCTGGGGGCATCACGTCAGTGAACATTCTTGCACCCTGTCCTTGTCTGATGAGATACTCTAGGTTTACGATAATATCGAGGTTGATGATGGCCATCGTCCTCGGTCTCCTCCTGTGCGGACAATCCGGCTGGCCCGAGATGTTCTTGTACAAGTACGTACCTTGGCTGGGGCCGCAGTCAACACCAATTTGGCTGGGTCTGGTAGAGGTGGTGGTGGCAATAGAAAACCTGCGTGTATAGTAAGTTCAAATATAAATCAGTTGCTGAATCTTTGTTGATGTGATGCCTGTGTGTAGTGCTAAGAGTGTGGTCCTCATTTCGGCTTGGGGACTGTTTGCGGTCGGACTGTTCAATCTTTTAATCGTACGTGCCCTATCAAGGCAGCCCTGTGACAGCGACTGACTACTTGTATAGGGCGCAGTATTGCTCTACTTGGGCAGACGCCTTCCCAAATCGCCTCCTGCCCCCTTATACTTCAACATGTCCCAGCGCCCACTCTTTTGGACGTCATTGCCCCCTTGTTATCGTCAACTGTGTGAGAACGCGTATGAGATCGGACTCGATGAAGATGAAGAGGACGAAGAAAAGTCTATCAAGTCTAACCATCATTCCACCACCCATAATCTTACCCTCGCGCCGGCAGCGCCTCTGATGGGAAGGCCCAAAGCGCCTCATCAAGACGTCACTCGCGGCGGCTATCCCACCTTTTCGGGAGGAGGGCCGGCAGATCCTGGTAGACAGGTGCCTACGGGTTTCCTCGAGCGGGCCAAAGACGGCAGACTTCTCAAGTTTGTGAACGAAAACGGACAGGAAGTAAGCCCACAAGTGCAAACGAACCCGAGACCGGAAGAGTTGGGTGCCGAGAGGGGTCATCCGCGCCGGATTGAACCCTCTGGTTCGGGTGGAGACCGAAAGGAAGTACGAGTCATACAGAATCGACTGCCGCCGAGAACGTACTCCAAGGGGAGAACACCTGCAGCTCTGAATCTTGACGGAACAGAGAAGGCTATGGCTTCAAGGAATGCGCCTGACCAGGCTGCTCCAAAGCCTCCCCATGTCCGCCCGATACCAAGACATGTCCAACAGGCGCGTGACGAGATGACCAATAGTCTGTCTCGCGTCAACTCTAAGCGCCAGTCAACTCTGTCAAGCGTGTCGACCATATCTGCCACCAAGGATCTGGGACCACAGTTCCCATTACCTCCCACACGCTCGTTCTCTGCCGACTCTATAAGCTCATTGGGTAGCCCCAAGCCGGCGGTGACACAACCTTCCGGTTCCGCCACCACAGCGCGTATGCATAGCAAACGAGGTAAAGGGCCCCCCCCAAGAGAACTCGATCTCCCAAAACCCAAGGAGAGAGGAAAGTCTCGACCCGAGTCAACGGTACTCACGCCCAAGTCACCCGCCATGAGTGTGCGTGAGCCACCTCTCACGGCGCCGCCTCTCTCTCCTACCCACAGTCAATCAGGCCCATCGATACCACGGCCTCTTCCTCAACATAAACGTTCGGCCACACTACAAGCGCACTTGTCCGGGCCTCCCGGCAATTTGCCGCTCCGCTCATCTATGGCCCCGTCCGCTCTCACTCGATCCGAGTCCTCCAGATCGGCCAAGGGTACCAGGCTCGCTCATGGCGTCCGCTTCATGGACAAGGTAGAGGAACGGTCTCCCTCTCCTCCATGTACCGGGCAGACCGGGACGACGACCGCTACCACAGTCACGACAGAAGGCTACAGCGACGACGATGAGATCACAGCCGAATTAAGGAGTCCAGCAAGGAGAGGCGTTAGGGTCCCTGGGACCAACTTTCAGCTTCCAGCACTGTCATGGCCTGGCCTGGGGTCGGCACGTAGAGATTCATTTGATCATGACAGTACACGAGGAAGCGTCCTCTCGGACAGCTCACTGGAAGACTTGAACACTAGTTCGAGTGATGATGACTCGCTTCCGTATAGGAAAGAGACAAGCGCAAAGCCAAAAGACGCCCAAGATAGGAAACGAGCCAATCCTTCAGCCTCGAAAAGGCCGAAGACTGTAGCGATATTGGGCGGAAGTTATCTTGATGGCCGTAAAGAAACACGAGAGAGGAGGCCTTCTAGCATGAGCTTTGATTTGAGGTCGTCCCTAGGGTGAAGATGTGGATGTGATGTAGCATCTTTCAAGAATGTTGTAAATCTGTCCCACATACATGCGAGCCCGCTACACTCTCTATTATCCTACTCAATGTCCAGTCATGAACGGGTGAAGCAAAGCATCCCTCGGCGTAATCCTCTTGGCCGGGTCCAAATGTAAGCATTTGTCCAGTAGATCAACAAAGCTGAGCAACTGCTTGAGCTCGTCATCCTTCATCTTCAGCTGCTCGGACGATGATGGAACGAGACGCGCTCGAAGGTCCTTGGTAGGTTTGTTGATGACGTGGGTCTTCAGCGTATCCTAAAAGCTTGTCAGCTTTATCCTCTCCTGCGTTCGTCAAATCAACCTACCTGTCCAGTAATCTTGTCCTTTTCGAGCCCTATGAAGTTCATCGCCTCGTCGAAATGCATTGTCCCAAAGCTCGCCTTCTTGATCATTCTGTGGTTGATTTTCCCCTTCAGCTCCATCATGAGCAGGAGCATGTGGTTGTTGGATCGGCCAGGGAAGAGGATCTTGCCGGTGAAGAGCTCGTAGAGGGTACATCCGATGGACCACATGTCAATGGCAGTGTCGTAGGGTAGACCAAGGACTATGCGAGATTAGTATCCCGCCTAGCACAGTAAAGAGAGACATACTGATTTCAGGGGCACGGTAGAATCGAGAGACAAGATAAGGTGTGATTTCACCTTCAGTGATCTCTGCTGCAGAGCCAAGATCACAGATCTTTAACGTCGTCTTGTTCTCGGTCACCTGTGACACAAGTCAGCCATGCACATTGTTATGGGTACTGTAGAATGACTTGCCAAGATGTTGTCCGGCTTGATGTCGGCGTGAACAACTTCACACTTGCGCATGAGGGATAAGCCCAAGAACAGCTGATGGGCATACGCTCGTACAGCGCGCATGTTGAGACCAACGTTGTTACCGAACCGTTTGATGACATCTCTCAGATTCATACTACAGCCAGGCATTAGCATTATGGACCACGAACGGAAAGCGTCATACACACCTCAAACTTTCCGTGACGATGCAAAGATGGCCACGATGTTCAAAAATACGATCAAGTCTGAGCATATGCTTTTTGTCATCGGGGTCGGCGTCATTGAGCTTCTTGAGGATCTGAGCTTCTTTCCTCCCTGAGATATACCTGCAATTACATCAGTCATATTCCCAACGGTGGCACCAAGGGACTCACATGCTCTCTTGACTTCTCACAACCTTGATGGCCACCTCCTTCCCAACCACATCTTGCCTTCTCTCTTGACCGACAGCTTTCAAGACCTTCGCTTTAACCACCGCAGAGAACATTCCCTTGCCGAGGCTGATCGTGATCTGGTATCGACCATCATCGACAATCTCCCCGGGAGTGATACGGTAGTATCCGTCCGCATCATCAACATTGTCGACGACTTCAGGTGCGATGGTACTAGCGGGCTTATTAATAATCTCTTCTCGGGCCCCGGCTTGTCCACCATTCTTCAGCCTCCTGACTGTCACCTTCTTCTTTTTCTTTTGTTTCTCGTCATCCCCAAACGCATCAAACATGTCAAATTCGTCGTCTTCCTCGTCATCCACTTCGATCTCTACCTCTTCCCACTCCTCTTCCTTTGGTGAATCATCGTCTTCGACCGTGACAGGTTCGCCTACGCCATCGGCGATCTCTCGAGCAGTGGCGTTCTGCGGGTCGGGCTTGACAGCTTCCAAGTCTTTCTGGCGCTTTTCGTGGTCTGCAAGGGCTTCTTGGGTGGGATCGTAGTCTGCAGCCGAGACCGTCATGTCTGCGTGTACACCACTCGGCGTTTGGGCATCTGGCGGAAGAGGCGCAGAATCATTGGAGGCAAAAGGGTGTTTGGCAAGATCGAACGCTTTGCCTTGTGGGGTATGCGCGAGTGAAGGCTGTTCGGTGATGGTGGGAGTAGCACTCGGGGGATTGCTGGATTGGATACCGAGATTATTGAGCATGGGCGTAGCTGCTATCGGACTGTCAGCCAATGATTTGTCGCTGCAAGCTAGGGACTTGCCTGTGCTAGTCTGCAGACCCGTTCGCGTCCCACCGCTTGTAACACTTTCCGCCCCACCGCCAACCTCATTCACTACGACATTCGGCACCGTTGGCTTGCCACCAGTGGCTTTGAATTTGGCCATGATCTCCTCACGCTTTCGACGTCGTTCTTCCAGCATCTTGGCCGGATCTTGCTCTTCCTCAACCACTTCGGGCTCGGGCTCGGGTTCTTCTGGCTCTGCTTGGAAGAATTGGTCCATACCGGCTTTGCCTTGTGGCGGGGCGGCCGGCGGAAGCTTAACAGAAATCTGTGGCGCGGATGGCGACGGCCGAGATGCGTGAGTCGGGGGAGGACCGCCCCGGAGTTGCTGTCCTTGCTGTCCTTGTTGCCGGCGTGGACTCAGCGGTCGCGGTGGTCTACCACTACAAACATGCACATGAGCATCCACTACATTACCCGACTCAAACAAAAGATACTCACTCGTCTTCCCTCGGACGCTGACGGTCATCATATCTCGAATCTTGTCTGTAATCATTGCGGTCACCATACCGTCGAGAATATTCTCCCCTCGAGGGCTCACGTTCACGATAATCTTCTCTGTCCCTGGTGGAGCCGTGTCCCCCACTTGGGCCTCGTTGATCATCATAGCCCCGATCTCTATCATAATAGCCCCCGTAACCTCCATGGCGGCCTCCGTTCATCTCACGGCGATCACCATATCCCCCGCGGCCCTGGTCTCTATCCCTGCGTCCGTGATCCCTGTCCCTGTCTCGAGGTGGGGCGCCATCGTCGAGGAACGCATCCCGCCAGTCTCTTGGTTTCTTGCGGTCTGACCGGTCGCTTCTGCCGCTGGCTGAGTGCGCGTCGTCGGCGTGGGGGCGTTTGATACCTGAGGACATGGCAGGTGGAGAGGAAGGTGTGAGAAGTCTTTTCTTTTTGGAGATAGGAGTGGAGAAAGGGTTTACTGGGTGTATTAGATCCAGCTCAAAGTTGAATTGGGTTTGGATGAGAAGAAGAAGAATGTGGAAAGAAAGAGAGATGGATGCGAGCGTCGATGAGCGAGCTGTGAGCGAGGTGCAGTGACTATTCTTAACAGTATCTAACATGCGTAAATACCCATCTTACTGACATACTTACATCTCTCTCGCAAGCTTATCTTATCTCAACACATCAACATCCAATGCCATGACCTCAAGCAACCCAGTGTAGGTCCTATCATACCTCTAATCCACTGCTAACCTCCTCCAGCGCGTGTGTCCAGTGCAGATTGCGCAAAGTTTGTCCCATCTCGCCCTCTTACCGACTCGGCCACTGACATTTAGACTCAGTCCAAATGCCTGGGCAGGACAGAGAGCAACGGCTGTATTCGATGCGTAGATGCCGGAATAAACTGTCAAGTCGTCCCCCACAACCGCGGACGTAAAGCAGGTGTCAAGCAAGTTGTCATTACATTACACTCGGAGGCCGGGCATCAGCTGACTCGCGCCGTTTAGGTTGTCTGACGAGACTCTGGCCAGCATTCGGGGCAAGTATGCAGCCAAAGCTCATGAGAACAAGGGGGGCAAAAGAAGGAGAAGTCCAGATTATGGCCAAGAGTCCGGTCCGAGTACGAAGAACAGCAAACATGTGGCATCTTCATCAACAACAACCCACCAGCCGCCTAGCCTATCGCCTCTTTCAACAACCTCTCCCAGCAGTCTGCTTACCATACCCGGCTCTTCCACCAAAATCCCCACCTCCTCAGTCAGAGTCAGCTCCAACACACAGGCAGAGATCGGACCGGCTGCTAGCCGGTCATCGTCTATCGCCAGCCTGTTTGCACCGAAAAACTCGGAAAAGGCCGGGCGGCAAGGATTGTCGTTGTACATGGAGGACCCGATCACTTGTGGATTTGTGGATGAAGCAAATGGGAGGGAATTGTATGCATTGTGGGTAGCCCTGGGCCAGCGTGTGCGTGACAAGCTGATATGAATGATGCAGTTCCATGCAAAAGTTGGCAGACAAGACGTTGTTTGTCTTTGACGTCCATCTGCATACCTATGGTTCGTTTGAATGCCGCTGGCCGTACAATCCACTGCTAATCCAGCCTCAGAGTATGTGAGACATCAACCAGGCTTCTTGTTCTGTGCCATCCTCGCGATAGCCGCAAAGTTCCGACCAGACATGATGGACCCCATGACCCGACAAAGATGTCTGGCACTGGCAAAAGACCATATGCTGAGAGTCTTTTCAGACTATGAAAAGACTGAGGAGACTATACAGGCGCTGTGAGTCTATGTGGAGGAAGGCTATGTCCGAGCTCATGTCTGATGATAGATACATCATGACCGAGTATAAAGAAGCAGAAGACGAGGACGGCTACCTTCTCCTCGGTATCGTACGTACCAACCATACCCTTCTTGGAGCCGACACTCATACGTTTCGGACTTAGGCATGCCGCATAGCATTAGACCTAAATCTGGTCCAGCCTCGGCCAGACTTTAACGAGAGGCAAAATCGAAGCAGGATACGAATATGGCTAGCTCTGTATGCTGCCGACAGAAGGTAAGATCTCACGGGAATTTTGGGTAAGAGAGTCTCGGCTGAACAGTTTCACAGGTATAGCTACCTTGGACAGACGGCCAAGCCTAGTATGATGCCGCACGACCGCATTCCTCAGCTTTGGTGTGTCTTCTCTGTGTTTCCTCCGAGATCATTGCTGACTGTCCAAATGTAGCAAGGCATTCACCAAATCACCGACCTGTCTAGATATAGACCACCTCATAGCCAACAACGTCACTTTCCGCCACACCCTCGCCTCGCATATGGACGCTATCGAAAAAGATAATAGCGACTCAATACCGGGAGAATGGAAGTTGGATTTGAGGGAAGAGTATTATGCCATCGAGAGAGAAGGAGAGGAGTGGGAGAGGGGGCAGCCTGTGAAAGGTGCGCTGGATCTCCACCGGGTTACACAGGCATGGAAGCTGATGTCTGTGGGGACAGAGCTCGAGACGCCACATGCGAATCTCGCCGCCCTTCTAGCCAAGGTCATCGTGAGTCTTGACATCCTCAGCATCGATGATCTCGCTCACTCAGACTTTCAGATCGCCCATCGCTGGGTACACAGATCCTTTCGTGATATAGGTTCCTCCAGAGACGCTGAAGCTCAGGAAAAAGAGCGACGCGAGGCCCTTGCTGTTTGTATCCGAGGCAGCTTGGGGTTGTTGGAGACGATGACGAGATATCCGGTGGATGTATTAAAGTATGGGTCGGGTAAGTCTTGTTCAACATGTCAACATGTGGCTATGCTAAAGTCTGACTGTAGATTCAACACATCTGTACTTTGCATACGCCTCGTTCTTCCTACAAAAGGTGCGTTATCCCAGACCTGTGTCGCTCGAGGCTTGTGTCGAGCTGGACTCGAAGCAAACTGCAAAGTCCACGAGCTCACATGTCTCCCAGGTGTTCGACACCCAAATAGCGTCCATCATGCTCGACCGCCCCTCTTTCGCCTACATGTACGACCTTTTCAAACGCTGTGCCGAACGCCTGGAACAAGCTTCCATCTCTTCAACTCATACTGCGGCGTTCCATGCTGCTTTTCTGCGCCGACTGATGAGATCTTGCAAAGATATGATGCAGGATGTGAATGAGCAAGGGCATACGGGACAGGGGTCGACTTTGGGTGGTGGTGGCGAGCCTGATGTTGGTATCCTGCCGGAGGCGCCTTCTAACGTGCCCCTTGAATCATTTGAAAGAGAGGTGCCTCATTCTACGTGAGTACTCGTATACCTTTGGCAGTAACATGCTAATTGACAACGCAGAGCACTACGATCATACATTCCCGACCCTGTCCAACTCCACATCCCAACACCCCAAGACCTCCTTCCTCCCACATTCGACATGCTCCTCGAACCGCTCACGAACGATATACTGGGAGACAGCATTACTTGGGATGATTGGTGGCCGATGAGCGACATGTTTGGTGGGGCTGGGGGCGGGAGCGGTCCTTTTGATGGTAGTGGGAGTGGATCGGGGGTGTGGTAGGGGTGGAGTACTAATTGTACTTGAGTTGTAATTGTTGTCAATCTTGGGTTTTATGATCTCTCTCCCGCAATAACACGATATCTAGTGCCATGCACCAACGAACACCCTTTGCATGCACCTGAACATGGCTGAACACGAGAATGCAAGAGAAGAGTGAAAAAGTGCCACACCACGAAAATCTCCGCAAGTCCGAAGCGTCGCTCGCCTGTATCGACAGCCTCCCTGTACATCCATCGTCCACCACCCCACTCGTGAGCAGCCCCCTCCGCCCCGACTGCCCCCAACTCACACCCTGCTAGACAAAACACATCAACAATGTTCGGTCTCCGCGCTTGGCCCACTCCCGTATGTCCTATTCCCCCTCTTCGGCCGTATACACCGATATCTCCTACGCCTTTGAACCGCCAACATGACGGAGAGTGCTCGGGATGGGTTATGGATTAAGAGGATAGTAGGGGAATGGGGCTGACAGAAATGGGCTTTTTTGTAGGTCGTTAAGCCTCTTTGGCCCTTCATGGCTTCCGGTGTCCTCACCATCGCTGGTGTCTGGGCTCTCCAGGACATTGCCGTCAGCTGTAAGTCTTTCCTTACCCACTTGCTGTTTTTGAGGCTAATCATACTGCAGCCCCTGACGCCCTCAAGGACCCCAAGAACCCCTTCGGTACGCCCCATCTCAAAACCCCAAAGACCCGGCTCTGGGCGCGTATACAAGAGAAGGTGCTGACAATGTCTTTGTAGCTGCCTCCAAGGCCAAGCAGGCCGCTCACTAAATGGAGAATTGCCCCCATTTGTAGTGTGTTGAAATGAAGAAATTGAATTCTGCAAATGTTCGCACTGCGCTGGTGGATGACCTGCTGTTTGGAATCTAAAAGGAGGGAGGAGGCGAGAGAACCTGGGCGGGGACGACGGATCATACTGACAGCAAAACGATCATCAAGACGAAATCATGGGAGGATGGGAGAAGTCTGGGGTGCTCAAGAGAGAGACGGGATCACGGAATTGTTAAAGCCCGAACGAGATACCGTACCATGGCAAGACACCGACCAAAAGTATTAAATCGATTAAATACAACAATACATATAACCAACGCCCCGCCTCTACCAAACACTCATCTCCCTACTTTCCCGCCCAATCACCAAAAACCAAAGCAGCAAACCCTTCAAACTCTGACACCCCCAACAACCCCTCCACACCCCCATCCGGCACCCCCTCCCACACGCCCTTCCCCCACTGACTGACCACAGGCAAACAATGCGCCAACCTCTTCTTCTCTTCTTGCCCTTCCCCTGACCCTCCATCGGAGTAGAGCTGATCGCGGAGGGAAACGAGGATACTTTGTGTGAGGGAAGAAATACCTTTTTCGAGCAAGTAGCGCCCGTCTGCAGAATGGAGGTGGGAGAGGGATTCGGAGAAGAGGGCTGCGAGGTGGGGGGAGTGGTCGGTTGGAGAGCGGGGGAAGGGGGTCCGGGTGGCGGGGGGGATGGAGGTAGGGAGGATGTTGGGTGTAAAGCTGGGACGTATTAGAATTAGGATCTGTGGCGTGAAGGATGATTTATGCAAGACTTACTCGAACAATTTTGGGGTTTCGTCAGAGGAGGTCGTGTTCATCTCGACTTCTGCGCGCACATCTTTGAACAACTGTTCCCAATCTTGAACAGTGAGCTCCTTCTTGAGCGGCAGCCTGCAAGAATTAGCCTGAATCCTCTGCTGCAGATCGTCGACTTACGACCCAAACACTTTCTGAACACCCTCACTAACCCTCTCCGCCACGCCCTTCCACCCCACATTCAAGATCCACCATGAATACGTCAAAAACACCCTCTCGGCGGCCTCCTCCTCTTCCTTCTTCAGCCTCTCCATCTCTCGGGGATTCATCTCGCCTACGAGTTCGGCCTGGTTCTTGTCGCCCGAACTCGAACTGAGTAGAGGAATAGAGGGGAGGTAGGCAGAGATGGTGGAGGGGATGTAGGATGTAGGGTTAGGAATGTAGGATGTGGTCGATTCGACGAAATCGGAGAGACCCATGTTTTCGATCGAAAATGACGAGAGCCAGCCTGCTTTCTTCTTTGGCGGGTCGACGGAAAGACCGGTGAGGGTCGCTTCGGACGTATTCCGACGGGGCGTCTGGCACCCGTCCTCTTCATCCTCTTCACCAGCCTCGGCAGAGGCGCCTTGGGCAGTGATGGAAGTCTTGACATCTTTTAAATAAGTATTGCGCGCGAGGATGGCAAGCTGGGAAGAAGTCAAGAGATACAGCATGGGCACGAGATACGCCGTCGTCATTGTCCGCGCGATACTCTGGATTTTGAGGTCGTTCCAGAGCTCCTTCTTGCTCTTTGGCGGGGATAGGTGATGATGAGGTGGGGAGGGGGAGTGGAAGTGGCTGGATTGGGAGAGTTCGGAGGGGGGAGAGGGTGAGTTGGAGGAGATGTCTGTTGCTGGGAGAGAGATGGATTGTGATATGATCGATGAGAGCTATCACTTCTGTCAGCACTTGTTGACGAGACACTGAGGTATAGACTCACCCCGTCATCCGTCTCGGGCACACCCACAGACCCTCCCACCATATACCCACTCTCCGTCTCCGTCTCCGTCTCCGAATCTCCACCCTCCGCCCTCTGAAACTCGCTCGCCCAGCTTTCACCCACCCCCGGAGCACTCGGCACTCTAGGGCTCGACTTGCTATGCCTCCTATCAATGCTCCCCGGGTGCTTGGGCGACGATTGTGTGCTTCCTGGTGTGACTTGCGCTTGCTCGGGCTTTGAGTCACTTTCGTTGTGATGCAGGTGGAGAGAGTTTTCTGCGGTAGTCTCTTGTCGAGACGAGTCGACAATGGATACAGAGTCTGAGAGTGAACTGTCTCCTGATGTAAAGTTCTGGAGGGATTGGCTGGTCTGTTCGACGGGGAAGACTTGGGATATCTGGGGACGGAGTGTGGGGAGGAGGGCGTAGAGGGTGAATGAGATGTTGGAGATGAGAGACGTAAAGTGGTTCTTCAGGCTAGAGACGGTTCATGTCAGCGGTGGATGTTAGGGGAGAGTGATACCCACAGCTCGTTCTGTTTCTTCTCCTTTCTGGCCCTGAGACGGCTCTCGTTGAGTCTCTCTCGGAGATATGTGGCGAGAAAGTAGAAGGTGGATGCTGTGCCGGCGAGGAAGAAGAGGCGGCGGAGAGTGCGCTGCCAGGGAGACCTCGCTGCCATTCTGTTCTGTTCTGCCCGCTGAATACTCGATGAATACTCGATGACAACTTTGAATACTCGTGATGGATATCACAGTGTACGTAATCACATCCATCGAAGACTTCTTGTTTGGCTCCCAACGCTCGCTTTTGGCTCACTTTCATCAAATCACCTCCCAGGGCAGCATCCAACCCAGCATGCCCTCCAACATTCCCCCAGATGCCAAGGTCAGAATGGCAAACGACCTCCGCGCAGCAGTCCGCGAGCTCAGAGACAGGGGGCTCATGGTAGCAGCAAAATGGGCTTCAGAGCTCCTCGCCTCCTTACCGAAAGAATACCGCTCAACACCCAACCTCGTCTTTTCACCCCCGCCCCAGATGTCTTCCTTGCCTCCCCGGTCACCTCCGGGACATGCGAGACCTTCGATAGGTGATTTCCTACCCTCACCTGGTCCTGGTGCCTTCTCGGGGGGTGTAAAGGGGCCTGGTACGAGGGGGCGGACGATGCACGGGATAGAGATTGAGGAGGAGCTGGATATACTGGATGAAGACGAGTTTCAATTAGCGAGGGGTTATTTCGATTTGAAAGAGTATGATCGGGTGGTGTGGGTTTTGAGGGATGCAAGGGGTAATCGAGCGAGGTTTTTGAGATACTACTCCATGTACTTGGTAAGTCGCCTTGACCCCACAGAGTCAGACTAACAGTGCTCCAGTCTGCAGACAGGAAAGCCCAAGAATCCCTCTCCCATTTCCTCGATACGAAAGAAGAACGGACAGCGCTCTACCCCGCCATATCTGCCCTCCTGTCCGAACTCAAAGATGAGACCGACCCTTACCTCACTTACCTCCGCGGTTTGTGTTATATGCGGCTAGACCGTAAACCGCCTGCGATGAAGAGCTTGATGGAGAGCGTGCGGGCGAAACCTTATAATTGGAGTGCTTGGAGTCAGATGGCGCAGTTGGTGTCTTCTGCTGATATGGTGCGCTATCCCCCTACTTTGCTTGGTTTAAAAAACTGACATCCTTACAGTTCATTTCACTGAAAGAAGAACTTCCTTCAACGCCAATGCTCACATTCTTCGCCATATGCTGTATGCTGGACCTCCATACGGCGACAGACTTGGTCATGAGCATGATCAAAGAGCTTCTCGAAGTCTTCCCTGCGAGTGTACACCTCAAAGCCCAGCGCGCTCTGGTCTACTATCACATGCGAGGTATGTCTCTGCCTCTCTCTCTTTCAACTCGAGACCTGACAATTGGGTGGGTGGTTAGATTTCGAAACAGCAGAAAGAGAATTCGACAATGTCCAAAAACTCGACCCATACCGCATGGAAGAAGTCGACATCTACTCCAACATGCTCTACGTTATGAACAAGCAAGCCAAGCTGGGCAAGATTGCGCACGAGTATGCAGAGATAGATCGGAATAGGGCGGAAGTGTGTTGTTTGATCGGTACGTCTTGGTCATCCCTCGGTTTGCAGGGGCTGATGAGGGACGTGACAGGGAACTATTATTCTTCGAGATCAGACCATACCAAGGCTATTACCTACTTTAAACGATCTCTCATGCTGAATCGCGAGTATCTACCGGCATGGACGCTCATGGGGCACGAATTTGTCGAGCTCAAAAACTCTCATGCCGCCATCGAAGCCTACCGCAAAGCCATCGGTACGCTCTCCTCCAAATCACCAAGATACGTAAACTGATTAAAGAGTATAGACGTCAACGCCAAAGACTACCGCGCGTGGTATGGCCTCGGCCAAGCATACGAGCTCCTCGACATGCCCATGTACGCCATTGAATACTACAACCAAGCCACCTCCCTCCGCCCCTACGACTGCCGCATGTGGACCGCCCTCGCCACCTTATACGAATCCCTCCATCGCTTACCCGATGCGATCCTCGCACACACGCGCGCATTGTTGGGGGCGGATAAAGTGCAGACGATGACGATATTGTTGAAATTGGCAGGGCTGAGTGAGGGGATGGGCGAGTGGGAGAAGAGTGTGGGGTATCATAAGAAGATCATTGCGCTTGGGGAGAAGGAAGGGATGGGCGGGCCGGCAGAGATGGCGGGGAGTTATGTGGGGGTGGCAGAGTGGGAGATGAGGATTGTGATGGAGCTGCTGGAGAAGGAGAGGGATAATGCGAATGGGGAAGAGCTGGAGCGGCTGAAGTTGGAGGTGAGGGATGCGGATCTGGCCATTGCAGCGCAGTATATAGAACGGGTGGCACAGACGAATGCGCCCCAGAGAGACAGGGCAGAGAATCTGCTGAGGGCCTTGAGAGGCTATGAGATGAGAAACGTTGTCGGCTAGAAATGACTTTTACGACAAACCTGCATGAAAACACATGTGAATGAATTTACAGAGTCGTCACTTGTCGATGCATTTCTTATTCATCTATTCTACTAACGTTGGTGTTCCGCCGGTATGATAGATGCTACAGATGAGAGGAAATTGTTGTATGTACTGAACCAAGACCCATGATATATATATTCAAATGGCTAAATGGGGAGAGAAATTGGGTTCTACTAGTAGGACAAACATTGATTCGAGAATAGAGAACGGTATAAACGGAGAAAGTAGAGATAGGAGAGATACGCGATAGGAGAGATACGCAGATTCAATGATGAATGCCGGGGGCTCGTACAGGAATATGTATATGCGCAAAGGAGACCCCAAAAAGTGAGAGAAAAGAAAAGACACTGCGACTGGGTCAGCTCTGAGATGACAAATGTTAATGACGGGCTCACTCTTACTGCAGCTCTCTAAGCGCCGCTACATTTTGGCGCACCGTCCCGAAAAGTCTAAAGACGTCGTCATGGGCCCTGACGAAAGGCTGGTTCCAGAAGCCATACGCCTCATTATCGAGCAATTCTATGAACGTGACAAGCAGACCCCAAGGATGAGGGCGCTTGGCGATCGTTCGCTCGAGGAGAATGCGGGCAATTCGCTCAGGGATGGCAGACGAATTCTCCGGGTGGATGCTCATGCCAAAGAGGAAGAGGATAAAGTGGATGAAGAAGAGGGTATGCGCGGAGGGATATCGCAACTGGTCGGAGATGACATTGATCATGTAGTATTGGCCTAGAAGATTATCAGTGGACGACGTTAGATATGTAAGAAATGGACATACCCTCGGCGTCAAACGCGTGAGCCAATCCAGCTAACATGGCGACTTCAGGCGCCTTGGCGTCAAACTCGACAATACCAGTCTGTTGGTACTTTCGCGTGACCGCGGTGGTACCGAGGTAGAAGACGGAAGCGTGCATCAACGTGTGGTTCCACGTGATAGTAGAGGTTCCCTGAGGACCAAGGCTCTTGACAGCGATCCTGTTCTTCAATTCCGCCACGATGGCAGGAAGAGGGGGAACGCCACTCGATACAAACTGATCGATGGCAGCCTTGACGTTGCCGTCGGCCAAGGCACCGATATAGTCGGATCGGACGGTAGGGAACTTTTGCATCTCGGGCACGAGTTGGTCCAAGCGCCTGTAGGGATCCGGAAGAGGCACTTCCGTGGGCGGGAAAGCGGCGAGAACAATGTTTCGCATCTGGGTGCAGTGGGGCGGGATGACGGTTGTGAGGGTGTGGTAAAATTCGACAAGGAATTCAGGGAAGTCGTGCAGGAGGAGAATGAGCAATCGTACTGTGCCCTTGAAGATGGACTTTGCTGAAGGAGTCATCTCGTCGGATTGCAGGAAAGGCGCGAGGAACCTCAGCAGCCACATCACACATCGATGGAACTCTGGCCATCCCTCGTCCCTTTGGGTCTTAAGGAGCTTGGGCATGAAGAGACGGTGAGAGATGATGGAAAGCCAGCCAAAGGCAAATCGAGGCGCATACGTAGGCTGCGTGATGCCCAGGTTGTTGGCCAAGTGCTTGAGGCAGCCGAGGTACGTCTCGGGAAGAGTGTACTCGAAGGCAGACAGTTCACTCAGCATGCTAGTGAAGAATCTCGTCCAGGGGCGTTGGTTGAAGTCCTCGCCCATGGCAAGCTGCCTCTGAACAAGAGAGTACGACATGATGGTGATGATCTTGTTGTAATAGTAGACAGCTCGGCTGACACTAGTGCTGCCAGACTTGTCCCCATAGTTTTTGACAATGAGGATGATGAGCTTGGCAAGAGCATCGACACCGTAAAACTTGGGCGGGACGTCGGTGGCAAGCTTGGCACCATCAAAGTCGACAGCTGTGTTGATGGCCGTGCGATAGAAGGCCGAAGAGATGTCTTCTCCGCTGAGGATGCCCTCCTTTTGCAAGTAGGTGATGTAGGGCACAAAGGCAACCTCGGGGCTCTTGCCAGTGCTGAACACCCGGACCCACTCCAAAAAGTAATGGGCCAGTCGCTCTTGCAGCTTGCTATCGACGACAGTTTTGGACTTGTCGTCATCATCGGCCGACTGAGGCTCTCGGGGGCCACGAAGCTCTTCGAGCAAAGCATCGGCAGCAGCAGTAGAGTGACCAGCCTCACGCGCCTTGAGAAGCGACGCCAAACTGTGGGAGAAGGCCTGTCGAGGAACAAAGGCTTGCTCAGAGACAGAGCACTCTCGAATGAGCTCGGTGATGAAATCGATGACTTCGGGAGGGAAAGAGCGGAGGACGATGTGCGAGAGAGCGAGGTCTTGCTCTTGTACGCTGACGGATTGAGCGCGGAGGAGGGTGACAGTGACGGGGACGTTGAGCTTCCTCTGCATACATGGTTAGCGTTGTTTGATTTGAGATAGACAGGGACGTACCACATCCTCGGCGTAGATAAGCCACTGCTTCACTTCCTTGTTCACCTTGGCAGACAAATCACAAAGCTGCTGCAACAAGAACACGTACACCTCCCTCGCCAACTGCAAGGATGATCGGTAGAGAAGTTGCACAACCTTTTGCGCGATAGCCAGTGTGGTGTTCTCCCTGTGAATCGACTGGTTGGCGATGATGACGATACCCCGAATGAGGGCGCGAAGTTCGTGATCGGCAGGAAGAGCAGCCACGCTCTGGACGTTGGACTGCGCAATGATCTTTTGGATTTCAGCCGCAAGCTCGTGGAACTTGTCGATGCTGCCCTGGGGAGGGATAGCCTGGGGAGAGGCAACCTCATCGACAGCTTCGGGGAAGACAGGTCGAGGGGAAGGAGCAGGCTTGATATCGCTCGAGACAAGTCCATCATTGAGAGCAAGGTTCTGATAAGCAGAGGAGAGGTAGTCGCCATTGGTAGCCTGGCTCGATATCATCCTTGTGGGCTCTCCAAAGTCTTCGTAAGCCCTGAATTGCTGAGCGGTGAGTCCACCGGGTCGGAGTTTGAGCGGATCCGGGAGAGCCGTGTGCGAGATGACGACACCAAAGGAGGCGCCATCCCAGAAAGGGGCAGTAGATCTCGAGTTCTGGTGGGCCTTTCGAGCGGCATACTGCGGGGCAAGGTTGACATCAATGTCCTTGGCAGCCTTCTCCATCGCCGCCTTCTTCAAGACCGAACATGCCACATCCAGGTTCTGATTCACAACACCGGCAATCATCACGTCGGGCATAGTCTCGTCGGTGTAGCCGTTCTGTTCCAGCATAGACTTGACATTGTTAATCATGCTCGAGCGCAGAGGCTCTTTACAAGTTACCAACGCCAAGCTTCCAGCAAGGTTCTGCACCATCATGTGGGCAGCCTGCCTCATCTTGATAGCATCGGGCTCGGTACCAAAGTCCTTTTGGATAAGGTCTCGAGATGAGATACCAGCAATGGTGACGGAGCGTTCGATGACGGGAGTGATAATCTCGCGGATAGCCCGGTCGATCGAGTGGTGCACAATGCGCTTGAGGGTGGGGGCGGTGAAGATGGGGTATTCTTGGTTGAAGATAAGGTACTCGGGCAGCTGAGCGATGAGCTCGTCGACGCGCCTGGCCAACGCATCCTGGGCAGCTTGGACGGCTTGCTCTGACTGCATTTGCTGGATTCGGGCATAAGCCTCGTTTCCGGGCAAGTCGCTGAGACGCTGAGAGCCGTTCATCAACTCGCTTGTGGCGCGTTGCAGCTCCGCATCGAGCCTGTTGGGCACCTCCTCCTGGGGCGGAGGGGGCGGGACGTGCATACGGAGGAGGTTGGAGGGCTCGAATGAGCTCAGTTCAACGCTCAATTTGCTGAACAAGACTTCGATCTCAAACTTCAAATTAAGCCGGAGCTCACCAAAGTGGTAGAACTCGGACAAGAGTCGCAAGATCGCATTGAGCCAAGGGTTGGGCGGGTGGAACACTACCGAGTCCTTGCACGCGGCGAGCAGATTGCAGACAAAGGGTATGGCAACAATGAGTCGCTTGGTGTCGTAACCCTGAATCAAGAGATCCTTGACAGAAAGCTCCTTCAACCTGACAGGCTTGTTTTGCGCAAGAGTGATCCGACCCAGCCACATGGCCATCGTCTTGAGTACCGCACGTTCGGATGCGGAATTGATCGTGGCTTCCGAATTCAGCAGCTCCCTTGCCTTCCTGTATGTCTCCCAGAGGACATGTCGATCGAGGATAGGAGAGTCGAGCTTCTGGAGAAGCTGCATGTAGATTTCGTGCCGGTTCTGTTCGAGACTGACTCGCACGTCGATAAAGTAGTGCGCAAACCAACGAGAGTGCTGGTTCTCAAAGAGCTCGAGGAGCGATTTCGCCTTGTCTTCGTAGTTGGTGGGCGCAATCTGGTTGACATGGAACATGATGGCATCTTTCTTGCCCGTCTCGGGCTCCTTGAACTCGTCATCACCTTCCTCGATCAGTACAGGAAGTTTCAAGGCAGGGAAAGCGAGTTTGACGCCGCCTTGGAGATCGAGCTCCTCCCGTTCGACAAGCGCTTGCTGAATGTCATTGATGAGGACAGGATGAGATTCGTGGAGCGCAGGGATCTCGAGAAGGGAGCGACAGAGGCCGGGGAAATCGACCAAAGAGTTGCGCAACACACTGAGCGCATTGATACCGAATTGGTACAGGGGCTCATGGGGTGGTGTTTTGCACGCGTCCAGGACGTATCGGGTAGCGACAAAGGCTGGAGTGTCTTTGATGAGTCGGTAGTCGATTATGGCACCGAAAAGGAGACCCGTCATGGTCAATTCCTTGGGAGGATAAGACTTGACAAACTTGTACTCGTCAAAGAGTGAGTGAAGAGCATGAGCAAAGATGTCTTGCTCCTTCGGGTCGTCCGACTTTTGGAAACTCTTCAACTCATCTACCACCTCATCCAGCTTCAATTGTCCACCGTACATTCTCTGGTAAATCTCATCCACCTTGTCCACGACATCTTTGGCAAACTTGGCTTCGGCAAAGCCTTGTTCTTGTTTGCTGCTGGGTCGAAGGTTCAGGAGACGGGGGTGAAGGATGAGGATGTCGGTACGGAGATTCTTGAAACGCCCGATATCTTCTCGAGCAAGGTTGGGGGCATTTCGGACCACGCGGATAAAGATGGAGTAGACGGTGGGTCCAAGAGTAAAGAGCAGGGGAGGCGCAGTCTCTGGTTGGTGCTGATGCTCAAACTCGAGTCGGATTTTGTGTTCCACAAAGTCAAAGATCTCCTGGAGGAACTCTTCTCCCTTGATCTCAATACCGTCCGCCAGCCATTGCTCCAAGTTGAGAAGCTCGCGATTGGAAGCAAGTGCGGCAACGTCGAGCACAAAGTGAAAATTGTCTTCAATGGCTAAAAGTCGACCGAGAATCTATCAAACAGTCAGTCATGTCCAAACATCAGCTTGACGGCGCACCTTCAATTCCGAACCGATTTCCACAATCCGTCCAAGGTTGTTTTCATCTTCCCCATAAAACTCCAACAGCACTGAAAGCAGGTTATCCGGGTTGATTTCCCACATCTGATGGAAGACCAGAGCAGACGAAGTGATGTCGGTAGGCTTTGTTGACAGGTACATTGCCAAAAGCCGTGTCTGCTGGACCACCACGGGCGAGGGGAGGGGTTTCTGTTCCATTGTTAGCTGCGCTAATGCACTTTCGACGTAGCACTCACGGGTTGCTTTTCTAGCGCGATCAGAACCAACTCTGGGGCCAACTTGGCCGCCTTCTCCAAGATCTCTGTCGCCCTCCTTCCAATTTCCGCTCGCTCTTCTCTCTCTCTCTCCGAGTGATGGTCTGCCTCCGCCAAGGCGCACGCATGCACCAGAATCTGAATCAACCCCAAAGTGTTCCACAAACCTGCTCCCTGCAGGTCTCTCGCTTGCTGACGGGCCGCCTTGCTCCAGACCTGTTCCGTAGCAGGAGGATCGACAATTCGCGCATACAAGGTGGATGGGGGCGCGGATGGCATTGTAAAGATGGGCATGGCGTCGGGGGCAAGGTTTGTGAGGTGGGACAAGACAGATAATAGCGAAGAGATGTTTTCCCAGCTGGGCGAGTCGAGATTGGCGGGCAAAAGACCTGCCATCGGCGGCACCGGTATTTGAGGTGGAATGCAGATAAGGGAGACGAGAAGGGGGAGAGAAGAGGGATACGCCGCAATAGTCATCGGAGTGTCAAAAGACTTGATGACGTCGGGCCACGAAATAGCGTCCTGCAAATGTGGTCAGCTTTAGCCATACCAACAAAACAAAGACGTACGATAGCAGACAATCCCTTCACGACACCATGTAGATCAACGGCACGCCCGCGAGCAACCCCCTCGCACAATCCATGCACTACGTGACACGTCTCCTCTGTCACCTTCTTCCTGACCTGGTCTGGGGTGCCTTCAAACAGCCACGGAGTCCACCATCTCCGCGCTAATGTTTCTACGGTCGCGTCGTCCTGCGTCATGGCCTCGCCGAGCTCAAACAGGACGTCTTCCAGGGGAATTGTCCCAGGCGATCGGGGTGGTCCTGCGACGCTGGCATCGTTCACTGGGGGTACTGGAGGAGGATGAACGAGGCCGCCGCCGCCAAAGCCTGGGGGCGGGCCTGTCCTGGTGACCCCGCCTCCCAGCCCGGGAGGAGGGATTGACATGGGCTTGGGTGTTACTGAGAGGGTATGGGGATGTGCAGGGGTGGGTACTAGATGTCCATGCGGGGGGGCTGGTGGCGTCGGGATGGGATGGGACTGGTCGTGGGAGGGATGTTGGATGATGCGGCGGGTGACTGGACTCGAGCTGTAAGTGAGCGTGAATCACAGCCAAGCAGTGCGCGGCGGGGATACGCGGCAATATCCCTGTGGCGCTTCTCATTCAACTCTTGCTGTGTGTTCCCTTGTGGGTGTGCCCTGATGCAAGTGTTCGGGATGCTTTCCATGGGCCCCTGATACCCCATATGCGTGACTCATAGGCGCATCAAAGTCACAGCGTCCCAGAAACCAGCCCCGAACGGTATATATTCCAACGCGGCAAACATTACGAGTACGAGTACGAGTACGAGTACGAGTACTCTACAAGAGCATCCGTAGGGTAACATAACTGTACTCGTACAGTACAACACACGAAAGTCAGGATTGATATTTATTCTCATAATGTATCATGCATGTCGCCCCCTGATGCAGGCTCTGGGTATATGCAATCAATGCTATATGTGCTGCTACCATATTCCTCTTTATTCGCTATCGCTAGTATCCACATTATACGCTTTCCCTCTCCTGGGATCCCCATCCACTTCTCCCTCACTCTCACTCTCACTCTCATCTCCTTGGTCATCATCAAGGTCACTCTCACTGTCGCTGTCATATTGGCCATGCACCTTGGAAGGCTTGACCTTGTCTCCTCTCATCATGGCCATCTGCCCGGCGAGAGTATCCTCGTCGGGTTCGGAGATGTCGTCTCCTTCATAGTCCGAGTCCGACTCTAAAGGCGCTTCCTCCACCTTCAACTGCAGAACAAGTCAGCAATAGTCACACGAGTTTCAAAGACATACCATCAGAGGCACCTGCACATCCCCACCCAGAAACGTATCGCTCCTCAAATGCACCACAAACGAGTACAAATTAACCACCGGCATCGCCTGGAACTGCAGCTTGAATTCTTTCGTCTCGCCCGGCGTCCCATCCTCCTTGGGGAGAGGGATATCCGTAATCTTGATAGGGGGCACCATGACCTTGTTGATCTTGGAGTCGCCCAGGAGCAAGAACCACTGGGGCTTGCGAAGCTGGGGCCAGCGGGGGGTATGGGCAAAGCCGTTCACGGCAGGGGCAGCCTGTTTGGCCACCTTTTCCTTGACATCCTTGACACTAGGCGTACCGTTCTCGCTAGCTTCCTTGACGGCAGCTTCGATCGAAGCAACGTCGTCATCTACCTTGGCGCCCTGGGGACGTTCAGAGGGAGGAAGCATCTGGATAGGTTTGGCGCGGGCGGAAAGAGGAGTGGTGGGATAGACGTATCGGAGCTTGACGACCAAGTTGCAGATGGAGCTGGGAGTGATGACTTTCGAGTCCTCGACTAGATTCCTGTTAGCACGACTCTGTTCAGAACAAGAATTGACGCACCTTTGTATTCGGCATCGACGACTTCCAATCTTGGCCAGTATTTTGCGACCTCAAACGCCTCATCATGTCCCTCCCTCGAACTGACCCACTTTTCAAGCCACAAATCGCCCTCGGCCTTTCTCACGACCTGCTCCTCAAAGGCCTTTTCGAACGAAATACCGGGAAGCTGAGCCAAGGGATACACACCCGCCGGCACCGCTTGGACGAGCGCGGGCTGGAGCTCAATGCACCGAAGCGAGACACCAAGCCAGCTGCGGGTCTGCGAGATATTGTTGAGAGCGTTCAAAAGAGGAGGAAGGACACGCAACACAGCGAGCTGGTCTACGCGCATCTCGGAGTCGGTAATCTCAATTCGCAAGAGATGCGCCCAAATCAGAGCTCGAGCTCGACGGTCGGCCCCGCTGGTCACAGGGACCCTGCTGGACTTTCTCATGATTGGGTCTTCCTGGATAAAGTTTTCCGCTTTGACCTTGGTGATGGTCTCTTCCAGCTCTTCCACCTTGCTCTGCTTGGCCTTCTTCGTCTTTTTGTCGACTTTGCTTCCGCCTACGACGGCAGCGACTTCAAGAGAGGCAGCAATGATGGCAATGAGATTGGTAAAGTCGGTGTCTTCCTTGAGGTGCTGGAAGAAGATGTCGGCAGTGGCGTTGAGGATATTGTCCCGGGTGAGACGACGTTGGGTGAACCACCATCGGCCAACAATCCAGGGGATTCCACCACCAAGCACAATGCCATACACGGCAAGAACGAGGATTCCATTGTTGCCTTCGACAATCCACTTGGGAATGGCAATCTTGTCTTCTCGCTGCTGAGGCCCGTCTGGGTTGCCGTACTTGGCAAGGTTCTCGCGGGTGACCTCGTCAGTCAGAGACTTGTAGGCTTTGGTGATTTCGATGTATTTCTCCTCGGCCTCTTCTTGCGTTTGGTTCTCGGCAAGCTTGAGTTTGTCTGGGTGGCTATAACAGATAATTCAGTCACACATCACGCGCCAAGACGGAATACTGACAATTGCAATGAAAGCTTCTTGTAGTGCTTCTTGATCTGCTTTTCCGTAGACGCGCTACTCAGACCAAGAATCTCAAAGGGGTTGTACACTGTCCCGCCTTGAGCCTTGGGAGCAATTGCCAGGTTGTAGATGAGGTAGCCGAGGAAAGTCCAAGCAGCAAGCAAGAGAAAGACGCGTTTGATGCCTGATGACCGCCGGGATGATTTCTTGAGCTTGTCTATGCGGGCGGGTGATTGTCGGCATTCGGGACAGGGGCAAAGTGGTTTTGAAGTATCTGCGGTGCTCTCGTCAGCAACATACAGCGCCGTACACTAACACATCACTGACGCTTCTTTTTCGGTCTGAGGGACAAGAAGGTCCAGGGTATGAGAAAGAGGGTGAGGCATGTGACGCCAAAGTAGCTCGCGAGCGAGCCGGAGTCATCGTACGAGATGCCTGCCATTTTGCGTAGTCCCCTGGGTGGCAATGAGATGCGTGGTACTGCTCGACTGGACCTTTGCTCGGCTGCCTCGACGTGGCGGTGGACGGTCGGCGCGGCGGAGGGTGCCGCTGCTTCCCGTTATGTGGGGTGGGGAATAACCCGTGCGCCAAACGCGGAAGAAAACGGCTCTTTGGATTGTTGAACCCTTCTTGACCACCACTCACTACCACAATGTTCCGTGCCGCCGCCCGCTCCGTCCGACCCGCCGTCAGGGGGTTCTCCACCGCCGCCCCCAAGGCCGGCGAGAACGCTTTCGTCGCCAACAGGGAGGCCACCAGGGCCCACGCCGCTGGTGAGTAGCCGGTCTACAGATGGGGCTCGAGGGAAGAGGGATAGGGGAGAGTAATGGGGGATTGCTGCCGGACGGGGGCTACAAACAACACAAAGGCGGACGTTCGAGGGACAATATACTGACCGACAATCTACAGAGACCACCGACCTCTGGCGCAAGATCTCTTTCTACGTCTGTATCCCTGGTGTTATCGTCGGTGCCCTCTGGACCTACAAGATTGAGGCTGCCCACGCCGAGCACCTGTAAGTTATTATGAAAGCATATGAAGGGAGGGAGAAGAGTGAAGCGGTGAAAGGCGGACTTGCAGAGCTTTCGCTAACTCCGTCACAGCGCCCACCACCCCGAGGACTTCTCCGAGAGGCCTGTCTACGACTACCTTAACATCCGAAACAAGGTGCGTACTCACTAGCACTATTTATCTCTTTCGTGAACTGACTTGATCACGATAGAATTTCCCCTGGGGCAGGCAGTCTGCTTTCTTCAACCCCGCCGTCAACGTCGAGGTCGGAGAGCCCTAAATTCGCTTTTCTGTTTTTTGAGAGATAACTTGTCTCGAGGGATGCATATTGGTGACTAGGAACAAAAGGTGAATCGTTTAACATCGTGTCTGCAATACTGGCATAAGAATCGTTCGCCCTCGGTCGAAGTCTGGCCTTGTCATTTGTTTCGCCCATCAACATCATCACCTTCAGCTGTTTAAGAGACATTGGCGATACAGAATAAGCTTCACATTTGCTCTGACTGGGCCAACAACCGTAGCGACGGACTGTGTTGAGTTTCTAATAGATATGATGTGGACTACAGAGAGGTAGGAACCCAGAAAGACAGATAAAGAAATGCACAATGCAATAATGATAGGTAGTCCTATGTGCACTATACTGGTTATACCCATGCTTCACCTCCCTGCAAGATCTCTACTCATCATCGTCCTTATCCCAATCATCATCGTCATCCACCTGTCCCACCGGCTTGTTTTCTCCCTCCCCTCCCTCTTCGCGCTTCTTCGCCTCGCTTCGTTTGGCACTAACAGATGCCGGAATAGACGGCACGAATGGAGCAGGGATGACAGGTGTGGTCGTACGCGATGGGACTGTCGAGTTCAGACCTGACCCGCCGGCTACAGGCGTAACAGTAGTCGACAGCCTACTCGATCCACTACCACTGCCACTACCAGCAACGATACTAGCTGCAGTACCAGAAGACCCCGCAGTTGTTCGGCCCCAAGGGCTAGCAGATGTAGTCACCAACCTGGTTTGGCCTGCCTGGGAGGGGTTGACAGCAGCGCTGAGGAGAGGCTTGGGGATACGGGTGTCGATTCGACGGCGGATCTGGACGGAGCGGTTGGGCTCTTGGTCGATCAGCTCGCGGGTGAGACGGTAATGGTCTGCGAGTGACATGACAATAGTTCGCTTGGACTCGGGCACTGGTGGAACGATGAGTATATACCCAAAAGACAGATACCATGACTTACTGTGTGGAAGGACCATACTCTGCCTGGGCCCCTTGAAAAACTCTTCAAAAGTGCTCTCGACCATCTTGACAAACTTGTGGTTCCCAAGGGCAAAATTCTTGAGTTCATCTTCATACACCTCCGCATTCTTGTCGCCAGGCTGCTTGATGCCCAGAGCATCCGCCAATCTCGCATTCCTCTGCCTGACCGCGCACTCCGAGTTACACTTGAGCTGCTCTGCCTCCCGACTCTTTGGCTTGAGAGTGGAAGCACCACAAGAGGTCCTGCTCAGGAGATTACCGCAGGAGCATGTTTGGGTGACGATGGCCTGACACGGTTCGTTCTCTGGGCATCGCTTCGGCGCATGACACGCCGCCGTGCAAGAATGCTTACAGATACTCTTTGGCTTACCACACATCTGAGCGCAAGGATCACACTCTCCGGGTTTGTGACAGAGCTTCTGGCATCTGTGGAAGCCACAAGAAAGCAGCTCGCCACATGCTTGACCACAAGAGACGCGGTCTTGAGAGCAACGGACGTTCTTGACGTGCTGTTCTTTACCACAGGCACAAGATTTCTCGGTGAGGTACGGGCAGGGAGGGCATTCCTCGTTCTCGTGGCATTGGTGGGCAATTTTGGGGTGGCCACATTCCGGAGATGGGCGAGTGCAAGGGAATGGGCAATGAATTTGAGTGCCGCACGCGACAGGGGGATAGATGATTGTTCGTCCGCAGTGACAGATGAGCTGTGGATACATTAGCATTGTATATAACCACTCCATTTCTTACTTACCTCATCGTATGAAGCTTGTAGACACCTTCCACAAGGACCCTTGTGGTCGGGCTTGGGACAAGTGTGGCGTCCACAGCTCAACATCTTGCCGCACGTCAAATGACATTGATGAAGGTCGTCGTTGGTGTATATGTCATTATCGTCGTTACGTTTCTTTTTCTGAGATTTGACTTGTCCCCACAAGGGACAGCATAGACGTCCGCATTCGTGTCGTCCACAGCTAAGAACGATCAGCAAAATCCTTGATCATTATTCAATATCATCCTCACTTTCTTAGAGCTTTGCAGACTCGTTCACAAGTCACTTCTCCAGTCCCGTTTGCCATTCTCTCTCTCAAGATGTCACAAGGTACGACCAGCTGGTTCTGCCCACATCGGCAAGTCCGCATCACTTCCTCGTGACAGGGCGGGCATTCCCCGGTATGACAGTTCTTGGGGCATGGATGACCGCAGGGTCGACTCTGGGGACAGCGTTTCTTGCAAGTGGGCACAGGAGCAAGACAGTCGGGACGAGGGAAACCAGGAAGAGATGAAAGGGGCGTCGCGCCGCACGGGCAATGGGTGATGATTTCGGGAGAGTGAGGGCACACCAAGGCAGCGACTGGGTGCGGGTGACAAGTCTGCAGTCGTTTGTCAGCTCAAACGTCGAAAGTTTGTGATAGACTTACCTTTTGACACTTGTGCTTTCCACAGTCATAATACCTCTCACAAGACTTTCCACAGTCGAACCTCCCTTCCCATGTCGTCTCAATACCATCTTCCAGAATCTTGGCACAGATCTTGACATTGCTTCTGCCCCAGCCGCATTCGACCTGTTTCTCTTCCTCGCCACAATAGCACGTGACGCTCTCCATTTCCATACAAGGTGCACACGGGCCATAGTGACATAGCTCTTGGCATGCGTGATCTCGATGACCGCAATGGAGTTGTCTATCACAGATGTCGTCACAGACAGGAGAGAGCGCTGCATTGTTGGAGGTGGCAGAGGAGCATTTGACCGTCATTGGTATATTGTGAGAAGGACACGGGACAATGAGAGCCACATTGCAAGGTGGGCAGGGCCCCGGGTGACACGGCAACGGGCAGCCATGTCCACACTTGGCCCTCTTGCGACCACATGAGTCTCCGCATGAGTGAGGGGCGATGGTAGAAGTCGGTGGATGAGACAGTCGACCACAGAAACATTTGTATTGACCAGGCGGGTCTGTGCGCCTTTTTTGACACCCGGGACACCTCCATTGAGCCTCTCCAGGTTCCTTCAGCCCGCTCCTGATCTTTTCATCTTCCTCTCCCAGACTGCGATTCGCCCAATCTCGGATACACTCCAGATGGAAAGGAGTGTAACAGGCTGAATAATGGGTGGACGTAGCTGTAGAGCCGGTGATGGGGTTGACATGAAGGGTGGCAGATGATGAGGGCTCTGGTGGTCGATCTGGTGGTAGACAGCACCATGTCTGCTGTGACGGTGTTATGCTGTTGAAACACTAAAAGTTGTATGAGTCTCTGCTTTTATACTCGACGAGACTACGCACAATGGGACACTCCACGAAGGGACGGTTCTTGAGACCTTTCGTCAACCTGGTTACCAGATCATCCGACTCTTGTCCAGCAGATTTCTTGGCCTGCTGCTCCGCTCTGACCACTGCTTGAGCCGGATCCTCCTTTTGCCCAGGCTTCATCGTCTTGCCCCCTTTAGGGTTCATTGACGTGAGCTTTGTAGATTGCTCGAACGCGGCTCGTCGACCAGTAGCAACTGTAGGGCCTTGCTGGGTGGTATCTACACCCTGATTTGGCTTCTTTCCCTTTTTGCCCTTCTTTCCAGTTGTCTTGGCCTCCTCCCTCTGAGCGGTCTTCGGCGATGAAGGATGCTCGTCGAGATCAGTGGCCAAAAGAGCGGCCCCTGGAACGAAAGAGAGAGCAGCGGCGTCTAACGGCGCAGCTTCTCGTAACTGGGGAACTCTGACAGAGTTGAGTGAGCGCATCAGAGCTGGGGAAGGTCTGACTGTGTTGTTGACCGCCGCGTTCGGGAAGAATGGCTGAGGCGACCTGAGTTCCACGACTTCCTCGGAGAACCCATTACTGGCACCTGCCGGGCGCATATTGCCTTTCGAGCTATTGGAAGGGCCCGAATGGTCGCAACCCCTGCTGTGTACGTGAGACTGCTGGCCGTTGGTCGCGCCTTCACCATCTGCGTGGGGATCATATGCGAAGCTAGGGACGCTATACTGCATGCCATGATAGCCCGTCGGATGAGAGTGCTGCGGATTGTGACGTTGGGGATAGCGCCCATTCTGTCCTCGAGACTGCGGACCTGCCGTCCGGGCATTCACTTCGCGACGTTCTCCGGACGGGGTTTGCGAAGGACCGTTGGTGCTGCTGCCGGCGTCCTCCCAAGGGTTGAGGCTGTAGTCTATCTGAAGCTTCGGGGGCGCAGAATCAGAAACACCATCACCATTGGGACCAGGCGTCTCAGTAGACCGATCAATGGCTTCTGTCCATCCTTGCTCAACATTTGGCGAAATTTGAGCTGACACAGCAGAGCTAGAATCCACGGGAAACTCGGCCGGCTTTTTGCCCTTCTTTCCTTGAGCTCGCGCGAAGGAGTTCCTCCTCGAGGGAGCCTTGGAAGCTCCCCTAGAGTTTGAGGCAGAGCTTCCTTCAGCGGTTCCCTGCTGAGTCTCCCTCCCGTTTCCCTGCTTCTTTCGCTCCCCTTGTCTTCCGTTTCTTGTTGGTGCACGACCTCTCTGCCCTTGTCGTCTACCATTCTCAGCTCTCGTGGTCTGTTCAAGGAGGTAAGAACCATCCCCTGGTCGCGACGGTCCACCAGAGACCGGAGCAATGCCGTTGGGCGCTGGCTTCCTCGTCTGAGAAGACTCGGAATTCGTAGGCTTCGACGATTCTGCCATGACTGTACAGTTCGCGATAGTAAGCTCAGGCAATCCGTAGGTGGCGAGAGGCGAAAAGTCGAGTCTCGTGTTGTCGCTATCCAGAAGATCGACCAAAGTCTTTGTGGATGTTTTTGCCGGGGGGTAGAATGCTGGGTAAGAGTCCGAGACTTTTTAGGATTGTAGAGTCGCCCGCTAGAGCCGGTGAAGTGAAGAATGAAAGAAAATGCGAACTGAGAAAAAAAAGACGACGGAGTACACAAATGGACGGCCAAAAGAGCTTCGGAGCCGAACGGGATCAAATGCTGCTCGATAAGACCGCTGGTGGCGAGTTCTACGGTCAGCCATATAGAACTGGAAATATGTATAGATCGACCAAGAAAGTAACGACATGAGGATTATTGAGGACAATGCCTGCGTTCATTACGTATATACAACATTGAAGGCGACGTTATGGCGCCCAGTAGAGCCCTAGCTATGGACTCGCTGTTCTCATTTGCTCTCATCTGCTGTTTTCTCGTCACCTCCTTCCCCGTCAACTGCCCCCCCCGATAACGACGTCGAAGTTGCTGGAACCTTGGCCTTTGCTGACACGTCGGCATCTCTCAGACTAGTGGAGATAGTATTGGGGGTTTTCCCGACAAACCAGGCTGGCACCCAACCTCTTTCTCCCGTGTCATTCCTGATACTGAAGAAAGGTCAGCTCTGAAGTTGTCTGCAGACAAGCGACCTACACGTAGCTCCAGTGACAGTACTTTTTGTATACTCTCACTTTCTCTCCTTCCTCCAAAGCCAGCTCATCGTCGCCTTTCGCTTTATAATCCATTAGAGCAAAGCCAGCATAACTGCTCGACGTGATGTTCGAGGGTGGTATGGGCAGCAATCCGGGGAAGGCAGATATTTGACCATCAGGCGAGGGCGATATGAGAGAGACCGGTTGACTGAGTTCCAGTATACACCCTATTATAAAGTCAACCAAGAAGACATAGAGTTGATACGACCAGACCCACCAGCAGGAACCCAACCTTGGTCGAAGCTATGCGGCGACCCCGTCCCGTCGATATCTCGATTTACAATATACCACCCTTTGCTCTTGCTGCGGATTATATATGACGAACCAACAGGAACGTCAAACTCATCCTCTCTATCTCGACAATAGCTAAGACATCGTCAGTCTATGTATTTCACGGTGATTCAAGATTTGCTCACGGATATATGGCAACGCCATATGTGACATTGATCGTATTCCCGTCAGGGTCTATCAGCTGGCCGTTGGTGGTCCGACTCCCTCCGGCACTCTGACTCCCATCGCCATCTCTCAGACCTGGACTAGGCAACTCTGGGAACGCCGCCCCATTGGGCGTATGTCCATCTTCTATTCGAGCGATAGCTGGTTTAAGGGTGGTAGACTTGATAGGGGACACGGAAGTATCGGTGGCTGGTTTGATCTTTGGTAGGAGCGAGGCGGTTGTGGAGGCCGGGAGGCCAAGCTTCTGAGCTTGTTTGGTGTGCGCGACAAATACTGGGGACTTGATGTCCTTCTGTGAGGATGTCAGTGATCAAGTTTAAGCGAGTGGCAAAGTCCTACAATATGCCTCAACATGAAAACAGGCTTGTGGCCAGTCTCTTTCAGTTTCTGGAATAGCAGTAAAGGTTTCTCGTCATAACTCAAACACCTCTCTGCGCATCATCAGCATGTGGACACTTGACCCCGCTGTCAACTCACCAGTAGACTCTCCAGTGTTGTCATAACATATAAATAGCGCATATAATCTCCAGTCGTCGTTGATCTTGTACTTTTTCAAGGCTGCAGGTAGCACTTTCCAACAAGGATCTTCCAGTGTGACTCTGAACGACTTGGCAGCTTTCCGCGCATCATCCTTGGCCCTAGATTTCTCTTTATCGGATGGCGCCACAGATAGGTTTGGTGATGGCCCAGCATTCGGGAGGGATGAAGATGAAGTCGGAGCAAGAGTGGAGGATTGTTTGCTGGACGAGGCGGACAGAGATTGGCTCATGCCCGGAGGTGTGGTACCAGGTGATGTGGCAGTACTTCCACTTCCAGCACCAGCCGTCTCCGATATAAGCCTGCTGACTGTCGACGGCCGCGAATCTTTCCGTTCCATGCCGTGCGGCGTTGGGGATTCGACGTTATAAGAGGAGGTATTGGTGGTGGTGGGAGTGAAGCTGTCTTGGAAGGTGGTGGAGTGGGATGATAGAGGAGCGGTGAAATTAGAGGACGAGGCCAAAGAAGCGGGGAAGAGCTGGTCGGGACGTGGTTTGGAAGTATCCTGAACAGCCATGAGCACAATTTGATGTTTGACGTCCCATACTCACAGGCCCATACTCCCCGTTTTGCTTCATCTCCCTCCACTTCAAGCTCTCTGACCGTCCTAGTCCAAGCCCAGACAGCTTTTTAGAGTCGGCGCCTGACAAAGTGTCGCCGTCGTCATATTCTCCGTACCGAACAGATATGCCTTTCTCCTCGAGAATAGCTTTTAACCGCTCATGATCTCTTTCAATAAGCGAAAGCCGTTCATCTGTGGACTATGAGCGTGGATTCGAGCAGTACAAGGGCCAATCTCACGTTGCTCCCTCACCATATCTACCAGCCGCTCGGTATCCTGCCTCTTCTGTTCCTCCACCTCTACACCATGAGACATCAGCTCCGCATCACGTCGCATTCAAAGCTCAACTCACCCTGAGGTCTCCATTCTTCCTCCCCTATCTCAATGCCCTGATCCTCCTTTAGTTCGTAGACTGCCCGTAACAGTGCCAAGCGATGGCCAACGCTGCTGATTCCAAGGTCTTGCAGTGTTTCGAGGTCTAGCGCAGCTAAGACATCACCTGTGATCCCTTGCTCTGTGCACCTTGTAAGCCAAAACTCCGATTATTACGGGCATATGTATCACTGAGCACTTACCATGGATAGCGTTGTCGTACTGTCCGAGTCCAAGACTGTCGAGATATGACACGACGGCGTTCTCGTCCCAATCAAGCAGTGACATGGGCGGAGACGCTGATTTGGGAGAGGTGACGGCCATCGTGTATGGGCGTCGGGAGGGCGTTGTGATCTGCCAGTAAGGGTGCAAGGACACAAAAGACAATAAAGATGAAATATGAGAGGAAGACGGTAGAAAGGAAGAGACGAGTGGCTGGGTCGGCGGACGCGTCAACAACGCAAGGTGACACTCCCGCAAAGTGGCGTTGGCTGATTGTTGTGGTACGCTCGTTGTTATTATATCTCTTCGTCCAAACATCGTTGAGAGGCATTCTGCAAATGCAAACCTTGGAGTAGGTCCCGTTATCTGAGGAAAGCTCATCACATGCATGCACAGAAAAAGTATTAATATGCGTCTCCGACTGCTCCAGCCCTCTCTCCAAGATACAGCTTCCTCATCTCGTCACCCAACTGCAACCTTCTCTTCCCTTCCAAGTAGTACATGGTCTCTTGGTATGTAGAAGGGACAACCATCTTTCCAATAGGTTCTCTCCCACCCTTGGCCATGGTGAAGAAGAATGTGTTGGTTTCCCGTCGGATCTATCGGTCACCCAAGCAATCAGCAGCGGACACACAACATCTTGGCGAGAGACTCACCCCAGTTTCGACCTCCTCGACTTCGGCCTTGACTACTATATGCACCTTTGCCTCTCCGTCAGCGCCTTCGTGAGGCTGAGTGGTGTTGACGATCTTGGACGTGAGTCTCAAGACGGCTCCGATGGGGACGGGCAGCTTGAAAGTGATCTGGTCTAGGGCCAAGAAGCGGAGTGGGCCTTGGGCGAAAAGCGAGGCGTTGGTGAAACAGAGCTCGCTATGACATGTCAGTCATGACACCCCGGCTATAGGCAATGACTCACAAAGCAAGGCGCATCAAGATACCACCAAAGACCTTGCCGTGAAGATTACGATCTTGAGGGTGCATAAGCTGCACGGTCTCAATCTGTTGGTTCATTAGCGATGTTTGAGTAGCAACGAAATCATGGTGCCTACTTCTGTGTCTTTCATCTGTACAATTTCTTGGCCGTCAATCTTGCCATCCTTGGCCTCTTGCACCTTCAACATAAGCTCGTGGAGATCTCCGGCTTCCTTTGATGATGGCTGGAAGAGATCAATCTTCAGTGGAGGTCCAGTGAGCAAGTGTCTTCGACTTACAGGAACCTTGTCCAGGGCGTTCAGAGCGGTCGTCTTTCTCCTCTTCTGATGCTCTAACCTTGATCAGCATTGACGACGGCTCAAGCTTAGCACGACACTCACCGTCGCCAATGGCCCACAGAATCTTCTCCTCGTCTCTGTCCACAGCCAAAGGCGGAATCTTCCTAGCCTTATGCGTCTTGGAATCCCTGCAGACCATCACGAATCGCCCCAGCATGAGTGTCTCCCAGCTACCATCCGTATTCGAGCCCTCCATCTTCACTACCACCTCCATACTCGAGCTTCCTGTCCAGGTCACAAAGCCAGAAAAGTTGAGGTCTCGCACATTCTCCTTGTTCAGGCGGCCAAACATGTCTAATCTGTCGGCGCTGGCTGTGGCGAGGTAAAGGCCGGCTTTGGCGGATGCTTCGTGGAAGGCGGGGGCGGAGGAGCTCGTTGGGGTAGGGAGGGCATGGCGGTATGCGACCGCACCGGCCAGAGAGTCGAGGTCTACGTCATGATCAGCACAAGTCTTCTCAGTGATTAGCCAGCTCACGTTCCAACAGCTTGCCCATTCCTATTCAGAAACATGTTAGCGACTATCACACGCATCCCCTTATCTTCACTCACTAAAACCTCCCGAGGTATTCACATAGCGGTCATACAGGCCCGCATCGCTAGCCAAAGGCAAGTCAAAAGTAGTATAGCTTTCGCTCATATGCTTGGGCCCCAAAGACTTTTGCGCCTCCTCTACACTCTTGGCATCAACTTCGAGGTCATCTTTTGATCCTTGACTAGCAAGGTTGGGCTGAGAAGCGGATAGCCATGGAGCGGGCAGCGCTCGCATGACGAGGGGAGAGGGGTGGTTAACATTGCTGGGAGAAGACTCTACAAAAGATATGTCAGCGACGCCTTATTAGCTGCCAGTGCTACTCACTAGCAACGGAAGTGGTAAGTTTATCGATCTCCCGCAAGTCGTATAGCTGTTTGATAGGGCTCGCTGAGCCACTGATTGCGCTTGGAGCCAACCTGGCAGCGAGCTGAGAGTTATGCCTGGTAAAGGCCCAATGGAGCGGGCGGGGACGTATAGTCCCTCGGAGTATGGACATTCTCGAATGCGGGTGACTCTAAATGAGCTTATAGGACAAACGAAAGGCAAAAGACGAATGCGACTGCGAGAGACAAAAAAGACCGAGAGGCTCGCACAGAAAGAGAGGATCCGTCTTCCGCCATCATCTCTTTCTGTTTGTGCCTGTAGATCGGCAATCTTCGGTCCGCCGCCCGTCGGCCACGGTATCGGATGACGGAAGATCCGGGAGGGTGAAGGAGAAAGCTATGTGGTGTACATGCAGTGCTGAAGATCGTTTGTGCTTTTTCTTGTAATGACAGAAATATCGATCGGAAACAAAGGTCTAGTAAAACTCTGAATCTCATTGGTCGAAAGAAACTTGGCATGGCTTTGCGGCTCTGAAGAGGTCATCATTCAGACAGTTGGTGTTCTGCGATGCAGCACATAGATACGCTCTCGAGCAGACTTGATCAGACGGCAAGGGATGATCGGAGTTTCGGCTCAAGACTTCATACTGCGGATCATGGTGGCAGAGTTGGACTTGGTGGTGGTGTTTTCAGCTTGGAAAGCCGCCCCAGAGCTATTTGTAAGCGTATCATTCATGTGACCCTCAAGGCTGATCTGTCTAGGTCGAGAACATCTACGTCAAACAGGAACACCGCAAAAAAGGCCTCGGTAAGGAATTCTTCGCCGAGATGGCTGCGGTTGCTAGAGACAAGGGATGCGCTCGTATCGAATGGAAGACTCACGAGGTAGGCTTCCTTGCCAGATCGTCGTATGTACCTGATATCCCATCAATCAGGACAACCCACCCGGTATCACTTTCTACGAGAACGCCCTCGGAGCTTGCAGGTCAGACACGACCGACATCATGAGGATCGAGCCTGCAGGATACGAGGGGATCATTGAAAGATTCGGTGGTCTGTGATACAGTACATACATACACTTTGAAGATGATATTGTTGCGTTTATCAGGTTTCACACACAACACTCTTGTCACACTCAAGCAGACTCCCACCAATTGCCTCCCCTCCCACCAGAGCTGGTACGCCCCGCCTCCGCACCTCTATCCCTGTCCATACGTCGACTGCCATCTCCGCGCCCCGTTCCGCCCACCCTCTTACCTCCTCGCCTTACAATGACGCTCAGACCACTACTGATTCCCTTTCGCCCTCCGCCCGGAAACTCCTGCTGCTTCGACTTCTTCTTGCCTGTCCTCTGGCCATTTGTCTTGGGGTTGGTGTGAGAAGAAGAGGAGGGGAAGAGTTCGGGGGCAGAGGTGGAATTTTCTTCGGCCGAGCCTTCCTCCTCGGCGGGGGCGGCCTCCGGTTGAGCGCCCTTGTGTTTGTTGCGGTAAGCCTCGGTGAGGTGCCAGACGGACTTTTCCCATTCCTTCTTGAACAGCCGGTAGATAGCCATTGTCACTCTAGCATCGATGACCTAAGAGGATGTCAGTGTTGGATCAGTCTAGCGAGGAATGGGAAAAGCGTACAGAAGAGTGGGCACCAGTCTGGATCTGGATACCAAGCAGTTGCTGGGAGGCTTTGGCCAAACCCGGGCGTTTGTTGTTGAGCTTTTCACGAAGACCCTTGTACGCCTGCGTATCGCGGGTCAACGGTCCAGGGTGTGCGAGCATCAGAGCCTACATCATACATCAGCTTCGCCCCTTCAACGAGTAAGACGAAACTCACCTTCAGATCATTCTCAATAGCATGCCCCACCAATACCTTCCCCTCCAGCAGCTCCGCCACCTCCTTCCCAACATCTGCGAAGTCCCTCCCAGTGATCAGATCCTGCGCCCTCACGCCTGATATCCAAGTACGATAGTCGGTCACCGGTTCGCGGGGCTGGACGAAAGTGTCCAGGATGATGTGGCCGTGGTAGTTGACGATGGATACTCGGGCGAGGGCAGACTCGGAGCCTTGGGGTCCGACGCCGACCATTTCACAATCGATTGCGAGGCTGTAGGAGCGTGAGTTGAATATCATACGCTGTACAGGCCAAGGCGTACTATTGACCAGGACTAGAGGCTGCGTCAGCGAGGATCATACCATTGACAAAGGTATACGCACAGCTTCTGACTCTCACTTAAGACGTGGTTACCCATGACCATATGCCTGAGCTCTTCCACAAAGTGATCGCCCGATGGGTTCTCCAAAAGCACACATGGCTCTTTGACGGTCACATTGCCTCTCATCATATCTCTATGCGAGGGCACGGGCTGAGGCAGTCTGGTAGCCTTGTCAGTTCTTGAACAGCAAGCAATATTGACACATACGAGATGGTAGTCTTGGCATTAGCAGCCACTTCCACGCGACCCATGTATTGGCCAATACCTCTCGATGGGCCAGCATTGGAACCAGACGAGGAGGGAGCGGACTTGGAGTCACGCTTGTTTCGTGGATGGGAAGACGTTCTCAATTTCGATACAGACTTTGTAGGGACGAGGTTCTGTGATATGTTGAGTCAATTTCGGAAAGAGGTGCGAACTGTTGATACTTGCCTTCTGGAGTTGGGCCCAGTTGCCGCTGGGTGCGGTCTTAGTCTGAGCAAGTGTGAGCAGCGAGTATTCAACTCGAAAGAAGTGGTACTGACCTTGTCCATGATGATTTGCCAGACGCTCCTGAACATGCAACAGCAATCTGGTATGGACACTGAATGTGACTTTCAGCGTCCAAAATTCCTTAAAGTCGCGTTTGTCCGGCCGCGAAGGGCGACCGGACGTGTTCCTAGCCTCGGTGGACGCGCCGGACATTGCCACTTCACAAATGAATGGCCACTCTCCTTCTCTCCACGATCCAACTTGCAAAATGAGCTGCGCAGACGACCTCACCACAGAAGACCTCAACGGGAACGTCACTGCTGAAGTCCTCGAACGAACCTCCGCTGGGGAAGGCAGTACCACCAACTTATGGAGTCATATCGATCGGGACAAGTAGGCTTACACATCTTTGCTCGTCGGATGGGAAGCTGACCTTGTCCAAAGCGTGACCGGTCTGAACTTGGACGACCCTTTGAGTGCTCCTAAGCTGATCAAGCCCTGGGACAATCGTCTGGATGAAGAACAGATAGTAGAGTCTGGCGTGGACGACGAAGTAAGAGTCAGCAATTAGATGGAGGGTGCCCAAGCTGATACTCCCGTAGCTGATAATACACATTCCGTTCACATCCTCTGTCCGCTTGAGGACTCTTGTTCTCAAACCTCCAGCCGCGGACCACCCTCACCGCCCGACACGTACCCGCCTGTATGCCAACCAGATCCACTGCCCGGACTTTTCAGATCTAGAGTCTATGACTCCCATCATGGACATTGATACATCACAGCCCGCCGCTGGTGTGAGAAGGCTACCGGATGGCCGAAGGGACGTGGAAGAGTGGCCCCTGAAAGTGCAAAAGCTGGCCAACGTCCACAGTGTGACTTTACTCTTCGTAAGACCATCTGCGACCGCTTGGCGCAAGCTGACTCTCATGTTCAGTCTGAAGCCGCCACTTCGCTACGCTCGTCCATGTACTTTGTAGGGTTCAAAGGCGTTGCGCCAAAGCACGAAATGGACATGTCGAAGTTGGGACGTGTGCAGAATGAGAACGCAGCCGACAAACCAGTTGATGGAGTGGCGGAGAGGCAGGGGGCGAGTAATACGACGACTACACGGTAATAGGGGTGGTGCGAATGAGTGTATGATACTGTAACATATGTAGAATAGTTGTAATAGATGCATGGTGTTCTAGGTGACCCGATATGACCCTGACTCCGTGGCACAGCTTGGGGATGTGCAATTAACTTATAAGTTACGTTGTGGTGTGGCTTTGACGCGACGCGGCGAATTTGACGAGAAGCTGAAATTCCTTCCGTTGTGTTTACACAATCGACCTGTACCAATAACACTATACTGCCCGACCACTGAAGTACCACTGACGCTCATTCACCCGCCACCGCTTCCGCACAACCAGTCGCCCACCATCACACCCCTTCCTGCCGTAAACGCAAAACAAACACCGTTGCTGGACAACCGCCGGGACGACCCCGGACCTCACGACATGGATTATAAGGGGAAGAACAGGTTCACAATCTCAGACTACGTTTACGATGAAGAAGAGACTCGAGCAGAGTCGAGCCAACAGGGGGCAGCATTAGCAGCTCTCGCCCAAGCCAGATACCATCCTATAGAAGAGAAGCAGCAGCGCGGGGCGCTCAGACTTCATCGTCCACAAGTGAGTCCCATCAAGCCGAAAAGGGCACTGGATGGCCATCTGACGCTGTCTTAAGGTATCCCCTGCTATTGAAGCATATTCGAATCCTCTCTCTCCCCAACGCTCCCTCGCCCGCTCCTACTCTACCGATTCGAACGAGATGTCCGAGACAAGATCAGACGAAAACATACTCCAGCCTCAGCGCTCAATATCACCACCACCCCCCCCGCGGGCCGGGCCAGGGATGATGGAGATGCTGGCGCCCCGGTCACCAATGTCACCAAACCCCTTCGATTCGGCTCAGTCGAATGTTGCCCCACGCTCGCCACACTCACCGTATTCACCTACAATACCGTACAGAGTGGATATGGAAGCGGGCGGTATAGACCTGGGAGACCACCGGTCGGAGAGGCTTTCGGTTGCGAGCGACAGGATGTCAGAGAAGAGAGACAGCATGGTGGGAAATAAAGAATCATGGGCGGCTGTGGATTTGTCACACTCCCAAGCGCAGGCTAAAAAGAAACAGTGGTATCACAAAGTGCGTCCTGTTGGATCTGCTTGGGAACGCTGCTTATCTACCACAGGTTATACCCGGGACAGTCTATACGAGAATCCTCCTGGCGACCATCATTACAGAGACTGTGATTGACTTGACCATAGAAGCAACCATCCTCTATAGGTTCAACGAAGAAGTCAAATCGACTTCCTCGACCGATCTTGAGTTGGAAAACAAGCGCCGGTTGCCCATCTACCTCATCATCTTTGGTCTCGCCCAGTGAGTCATATCCACAAACTCTCTAGCATGCTCTGACGCATCGTAGTCTCTGGCAACTGGTCCTCGTCTCCATCGCCATCCGCATGAAGAACACCGTCCAGGTCATTGCTGTTACCGCCTTCAATTTTGCCTTTCTCGGCTACGCCATCATTCAGATTTACGAACTGCGCAAAATCCTTGGCGGAACCAGTCTATCTGAAGGCCTGAAAGGGAACGACACTGGGTCAACGCTGATGACCATTCCCTTGAATGTGTTGACGGCGTTGATCATTGCGGTGGTGGCGGTGTCTTCAGTCGGGCTGTTGGTGCTCTCTGTATTGCTGCGTCGAGAATTTGGGCGAGTCTCTCGCAAGTAATGACAACAAGTGAAAACTCTGCTGACCATCGAGCAGCTGGCAACGCTACCGCTTCCTGGGCGCCGACCTCATGATCCGCGAATACTACTTCAAGTTTCAGATCTTTGAGTGTATCTGCTATTTCGGTGCCTTCTTCTGTGCTGGTTTCGGCATTCAGTTCATCTGGCTTGTACTCAACCCGAGTGATGTCGAGTATATCATCACGTGGATTGCGTTTCCGCTGTTGATCATATTTTTGGTCATTGGACGATACGCCGCCAAGTATGAGAACGTTTACTTCATGGTGCGTCCCATTCACTCTCTCCGAGGACAGGTCTGACTCACTCATAGTCTGCTTTCATCGTCGGTCTCCTCACCGGATGCGCCTACTTCATCTTCAAGCTCGTTCGTATCTGGCAACAACGGACCACAACCTACAATCACCTGGAGAAGAGCTTGACCGTGTTTGACGCACTGAGTCTGGCTTCTTTGATCTCTTGTGCAGTTTGGGGCGGGACGGTATGGTGGAATTTCGGAAAGGGGCTGAAGCAGGCTGGTGAGTGGATGGTCGGTGATGCAAGAGCGAAATGCTGATAATTGATGCGTAGTCTTGGCTAGGCCAGGGGCGAGAACGTTCTGGGGCGGTGTTGTTGGTTTCTTCTCCAACGACAGTGTTGAATCTTTACAAAGCAAGGAACAAGATTTCAGTATGTCTGACAGGCGTATTGTCATTGAGTAGTCCCTGTCCGTAGCCTTGATAGTTCAATCTACGTTATCGATTATTTTTTTTTTCGGTTTGGGTTTGAGGAAATTTATGACTTGACGATATTGCGACGGCCGTGCCCTCTGGCACTCATGCCAAGGCCGCTAGACGGCCTGGTTCTCTTTTGTCTATAGCAAGCAGTGCTCCTCATGTCAATCAGATGAGGTCATGTGCACTGAAATATGAATAATCATGTAGTAAAAGCCGCGATGCCTGGCTTGACACGATCCCCAACACGGGTCGTGGCCTTCCCCTGTCGCGCCAGTCGCTATGCGCGATGTCGTACTGGTACTTTGCTCCGATTGCTCATGTGACCTACCCTTTGACCGCGTGCCGGGATTCACAGCAGGCAGCAGCAACCCACAATTGTAGAGGAGCAATGCATACCAACAATCTGCCAACCATCCGCCAAGCGTACGAGTATATGACTACAACGACATTAGCTGACGAGGATGGTAAGCTACGTGCTATCAGGGTATCGTGGTCGTCAACCTTTCCATCATCTCTTCAAACATCAAAGGCCATACCAAAAAGACGACGTTCTCCTCCTTTTACTACGTCGGCTATGCTGTCGGATGTATCGTCGGTCCTCGTAAGTATCCCTTCCTTCTTCTTCAGAGTAATGAGATGTATGGAGAACTGACCCATCCTTCATCAGAGCTCTTCCTAGCCGAAGAGAAACTCCTCTACCGAACAGCTATGCGCGCCATTGCAGGCATGTACGGTGCCTATATCGTCTTGATGCTCTTGTTCACTTACCTCTGCTGGCGGGAGAACAACCGCAGAGACAAGTTGGCCGAGGAAGGGATGGAAGAGGCCCAGCCTAAGCAGGCAGCCCACTTGGACAATCAGTGGGGTGTCAAGGATCTGAGCTTGAGGTATGTCCTGTAGTAGACGGATAGGCACAGATGTCTTGTGGAATTGTGGGAGGGTCACGTTGTACGCGGTAATTAAGTTGGAATATCTTTGGGATTAGGTCATGATGCATCTCTTGTGTATACTCATCTGTATCTCGAAGCAGAAGTACAATCCGGCAGCACGTAAATGATAAGATGCATACTACAACACAAGTCAAAGAACACCAACACGATCTCTCCCTCATCGCTTGCTCTTGATCTGTCTGGCAAACCTGTTGAATTTCTTGTTGTCCGCCTGTATCCTCGACACATGTGCCATCTCTTCCGCATGATGCTGCGTTTTGGGTTCGGGCACAACACTGTATTGGATATCCTGTAATTGGAAATATCAGTACACAGTCTCACAAGACAGTCGGAAGTACTTGCCTGGACAACCTGCAACCTCGCTCCCTTCTTGTTTGCATTCTCCGCCAAAGCAGTCTTGAAATCGAACCTCTTGACCTTCTTCTGTCCCTTACTACCACCACCTCCATACCCAGTCTCCTCCCCTCGGCTGTCCCCGCCCAAAGCCTGCTCGACCTCATTCTGAGTCTCGACATATTTGGAGCGGTAGTTGGCGGGACGCTTGATGATGGGACGGGACCATGCTTGGACGAGGGCGTCGGCTTGGCGGTTGATGGATGGAGTGACGCGTTTGGTCTTGGTGTAGAAGAGGACGATGGGGCCGAGGCGGCATTCTTTGAGGGTTGTGGTATCGAGGTCCATCTGGATGAGGGGTGTGAGCATTGTGATGAGTAAGGGGGGGAGAGAACGTACCTTGGGAAGAACTTCAAAGATGGCTTTTTGGATACCAACACTGGGCAGACTCTTGTCAGGGAGAGGTTCTAACCATCGCTTGACAGAATCAAGCACCCCGTTGTCAACGATAGACTGCCATAATGTGGTACTAAGACGGTTCAGCCGAGCTCGTGTCACGCCAGAGCAATAACCTACTTTCTCAAAACATTCATAACCTCGTCCAGCATGGCCAGCTTGGCGGTACCTGGCATCTTTACCTTGTTGGCGGCTTCATCCTTGTCGGCAGCAGCCAGCATGCGGTCTCGAAGTCGGGCACAAATCTCATCGTGATAGCCATCCACCACCTAGAAAAGGGTCAGCTCGTGATAGATCCAGCGCGGCGGTAACGTACGTCTACTTCATCGTCTCCCTTCTTCTTCTTTCTCACAGCCTTTGGCTTCTTTCCGATGGCGTCTATTCTTCTTTCCAGGTCCACCCGTCTTTCTGCTCGGAGAGTGAGCACAGCTCCATCCGTGCCGATATCAGACTTACGAGTCTCGGCATCAAGAGCAACCTCATCTTCGTCCTCTTCCTCTACTTCTCTTTGTTTTCTCTTCTCGCTCTTCTTCTTACTCTTTCTTCTCTCCCTGTCGTCGTCCCCCTCTTCATCCTCTTGATCATCATCTTCGGCCGACTTGCGTCCCTTCTTGAATGAAGGAATCTTGGCAGCACTCGTAGCCGTCGCAGGAACATACGTCTCCCCTTCTCCTCCCTCCTCCTCTTCTTCATCCTCATCCATCCTCACATCCCCTTCCTCATCTTCCTCATCTCTCCTCTCCCTTCTCACTCTACGCGCTCCTTCGTCATCCGAATCATCATCATCCGATCCTTCTCCACCAAAGACAGCATCGTACATGGCATTTTGCGTATCGGTAGGTTCGGCGGCGGGGGCTGGAGAAGGCGCTGCTTCGGCCTCTTGCTCTTGCGCTTGCTCTGGCTGAGAGTCAGCTTCCGGTTGCGGGGAAGGCGAGGCAGCCGGAGGGGTCAGGTTGATTTCAGGTTTTGGTGAGGCAGACATTTTGTAGGTTGGGATGGGGAATGTAGACGTGAATTGTTGGGATTGGCGGATCAGTTGCAACTTGCAAGAGGAGAGTCAAAGAGCGCCTATTCGTGTTAGGCAAAGAGGCGAGCGGCGATCAGCGCTGGTGACTACCCCTCATATCTTCAAGAAGTAATGACGGGGCATGCATGAGCTGGGAGATGAGAAGGCTTTCGCATGCATGCATGAATTGGGGACCCATGTAGGGCTGTTTCCACTGGAGCGACGACATCACAGGAGTACAGCAATACACTTTCGAGACAAGATGACGTGGAGGTCGACAAGGGAGCGCTATCAATCGTTATCACTTGCATCTCTTCATCTCTTTCTCTTACGCTACCATGTTCCCCAAAGACCACCCCCTCTTTCCCCCCTTCCATTTCTACAAGTGGCGTGCAGTGGACGACCGCGTCCGAGGCGGCTCCTCCGTCTCGCACCTCGATCCTGTCAAGATCGACGTCCACGGGCACGTCAGCTCTGTCGCTCAGGACGAGATTGAAGAGATGGAGAAGAAGGGTCACGGGGGAAAGGACCACCTCGCTGGTAGATTCTGGGGCAACTTGGGTATGTGTAGCCGCAAGCAAACAAGAAAGTGCGCTGACCAAGGCTTATCGCAGATATCAAGACTCTCGGCGGCGCAGGTTTCGCCTCTCAAGCCTTCCGCTACGGCCCCGCTCCTCTCCGCTTTCCCCGTCACAAGTACTCTGGTATATCCATCACTGCTCTCGCCGACCTTCTGCGGTCGGTGGACGAGAAACACCCTCACCCCGAGAACTTTACGTTCGTTCTAAAGACGTCGCCTACGGCGCATATCCCCAAACACCCCAAGACGCCCGCACCCCCTCGCGCAGCGCAGTTGACTTATCAAGTCGAGTTCAACATCTCCCACGGCGGCGCTTCTACCCGTACACCCGGGGAGAAGAAGTTTACATTCCCGTGGGGCGAGTTCAAGGCCACATACCGTGGTCGGGAGATCAAGAAGGGCGACCCTCAGTGGGTACCGCTCGATACAAGCAATATCTATGAGGTCAGCTTGATGTGTAGGAGTGATTTCGGGCAGCAGGAAGGTGACTTTGGGGTGATTGTGACCGATATCTCTGCGGTCGAGAAGGGCCAGGAGGAAGAGGATGAGGATGAGGGCTGTTGGAGTGGAGTTGTGGGTTGGTTCAAGTGGGCTATAGGCGCGGAGCGGGGTATCCGATTGGAAGAAGACGAAGATGAGTTGTGCGAGAAGGCATAATCATAAAAGTACAACAAGCATGTATATCATCTACTCATAAAATTCATCTGAACCAACAAGCCCGCCAGCCCTTCATTCCCCGCACATTGCCGATAGAAATCCATCGCCAAACAGCCCCTTATCCTCGTTCCATCTGCCATCCACTCCAAGATCGCTCTCGACAGTCTCGTGTTTATCCCCTCCACCCCCAGACCCCAGGCGGGCCAGCCAAAGCCTTTGGCGATGGTAGTAGGGAGGGATAGGGGGAAGTATGAGGCGGAGGTGTAGGAGAGGGTGAAGGAGGGATTCAGCACCGGGGCAGCAGTCAACGTGGGTTTGAGATGTGCCATTATCTACTTTCATTGTCAGCTGAGGTTGTCGCTCCTGCAATCTACTTACTGTCGCAAACTTCTCCGGTATGGACAAGAAGGTATGCACCCGATACCAATCTTGCGTCCTGACCCTCGTCCCTCCACAATCCCACTCGAACCCTTCCTTCTTGGAGTCTGGCCACGTACTCGGATGTATTCCCATCCCGGCCGGCCACTGTCCCTCTCCTTGTTCCTTATCTCGATCAAATCTCGTCATCAACATGCCCTTACCCCGTACCTCTCCGAGTTTTGGTATCCGTTCTTGCAAGAACCAAAACTTTTCGATATACGGCTCGAAAGCAGAGTAGACACGGGCAGAGAAAGATGGGTGGAAGGGTGGAGATTCCTCTTTGAGGCAGAGGATGAGGGTCTCGGTTGGGTGGGCTGTGAGAAAGTCGTGGAGGACGGATAGGAGAGCTGGGAGGGAGGATCGCTGGGAACGGGGGCCGTGGTACACTATAGACATGAGTATCATATACCTCGCTATGAAGAAATACTCACTCAGTAGCTGGTCGTCTACTACCCGCAAACGGACGTCCAAGAACCGGACGCCGTCGAGCAGCTGCTGCTCTATGGTGGTGCTCGACTGTTGACACTGTGATATCGGATCTCAGAGAGCTATGAGTCACAGAACACTCGATATTATTGAAGATTACTCACAGCCATAGAGAGCGCAAGATTCATGAGTGCCCGCAAGGGTCAACAGGCCTAGAGGCGTCTCGTCAGGTATAAGAGACATAAAGTCTGCGGTATTCGGCTCATCGAATAGCATCAATATGTCCCTTCCGCCTTTCTAACCTCTAGCTTTAGTATCCTTCTCACCATATGGGGCGCCGACGTACCAGAAGACGATAGGCATGATACCCGCCCTTGTTTTCTTCCACCCCACCCCCGTTAGAAGAGGCCCAACGGGAGCGGCGGTCGAGATGGGCAGCACGTATCTTTTCCGTCCCTTTCGAAGAGTATCCACAGTCCACTCTCAACCGCTCCCATCCATTCTTCTTGAGCGACTTGCCAGGCGCTGTACGCAATGCCACTTCGCCGACTGAACCATCTTTGCCTTTGCTCGAAAATCGGACGACGAGGCTATCTTTAGCACGGCGAGATGCCTGAGAGATGGGGATGATGTATCGCCCGTTCTCCTCGCTGAGGGACAATTGCTGGGAGGAGATGGAGACCAAGTGGATGCTGATGTGGGGTGCTATGACTTCCATTGTGGGTGGGCGAGGAGAGATGTGGATGGGAAACAGGTGGTCCTACTTTGTGGACTATCGGCCATGATGCAGGGTAGTCACCGTGCGGCGACCGCCGAAATGGCAGATCCGGATGTCCTGACTATCCGAGATCTCTAAGATAACGCATATTTCTCCTTTCATCGTTCCAACGCCTTCGAGCGACAACGATTGCATTCTTGCACATATATACTTGATACTTCAGTCTCCTGGCTACCCAAATTCACCATGCCCTCCGCTAAGCCCTTGTTCAACACCACCCGGTGAGTACAGACTCCTGATCGGTCAAATCCGAGCGCTAATCATGTTTGAACGTGAAGCCTCGAAGGCAAGACTGGTATGCTTCCGACTCACGCCCCAGCTATCACATACTGATAAACCGTCTCTAGTCGTGGTTACCGGCGCATCAGGCGGTATTGGCGCTGCCACCGCTGTGCTCTTCGCCCGTGCCGGCGCCAACGTCGCACTCTTAGCCCGCCGACAAGACCCCCTAGACGAAGTTGCCAAGCAATGCAAAGAAGAAGGCGCCGAAGGGATCAAGATTGTCACCAAGACGCTTGACGTCACTGATAGGAGCGCGGTCGATGGGTTGTTGCCCGCTTTGAAGAAGGAGGGGTTGGAGAGCTTTGATGTGTACGTGTTGGAAACTTGCGTTGTGGGGGTGATGGCTGATATTTCGGGGATAGGCTCGTCAACAATGCTGGTGGAGCTATTGGGACAGAAAAGGTTGGAGGTCAGTGCTCGAGATTGTGTGTCTGCTTTCCCAGTCGCTGACATTGACCCGAACAGAAATCAGTATGCTACTTGGTGAATGAGTAGATCTGGAGGAAGCTGATGATGACATAGCTCTCTCGGACATTGACTATATGATCTCCACCAACCGTAGGATCAAGTCTTTCCTTGCATTGAAGACATAGCTGACCTCTACCAGTTACTTCCCTCATGCAAGTCACCCAAGTCTTCCTCAACGAGATGAAGCAGACCAACACCGGCGTAAGCCCCTCCTCTTTACTTTCGAGACCCGCTGACCACTACACAGCACATTATCAACATCGGATCCATCGCAGGTCGTGAGCCCTACGTCGGCGGATCCATCTACTGCGCCGTCAAGCACGCTGTCAGGGCGTTCACCACCTCCCTTATGAAGGAGGTGGTCGCTACCGGGGTCAGAGTGACGGAAGTTGCCCCGGGATTGGTGGAGACCCAGTTCTCGGTGACTCGATTCAGAGGTGATGAGGGTGCTGCGAAGAAGGTCTATCAGGGGATGAAGCCTTGTGAGTAACGTCGAGTATGGTATTGTTTGAAGCTGATGATTGTTCGCAGTGCTTGCGTGAGTGCTCCGCTGTTACATACAACGATGGAAGTCTGGCTGACCATCATTGTAGCGAGGACATTGCTGAAGAGGTCGTATGGTGTGCGCTCCGACCTCCTCACGTCCAGATTGCCGAGCTGTGTACGTCCCTTCCCTTCGCCATGTGCACTACATGCTGACATGTTCACAGTGGTATTCCCTTCGCAGCAGGCCGGCGCCACCATCGTCGCCCGAGATAGCTCATAGAGCATTGTCGCTGCAGATTGAATGAAGTAAAAGTCAATGTTGGGAGCATGCATGAGATGTGGTTTTGCGTTCACTGTGAGCAACCGATCTGCTACATCTGTCAAAACATAGGCGAAAAAGGAGACGTCACAGAATAGAGCAATGTGGAGGGTGTGTGCTTCTTGATGGGGATTCCTATATAACCTCCCCTCAAATTGTCTTTCTCTTCTGTCCCCGCTAGCCGCTTCAAGGTCCTTTGCCTCAAACGTTGACCTTTTCCCACAGCCCCGGGATCTGCGAGATCCCGCTATGGCCTGGCCGTCGCCCTTCCGGCCTCATGTGCCTTTGGATTATCTGGGTTGGGTCGGTCGGGGTGGTGCTTACGCCATGCTTGGTGTGACTTCTCCCCTTCAGATTCGATGTGGTGGAGAACGAAGTCATACCATTGTCACGATATATCTACATCTGAGGTCTCCATACCTAAGCAAGGCGATACCACAAAGTCGATACCACAAAGTCTGAAAGCCACGCCCTTTGGGCCCTGGCCCCAAACCCTAGCCCGCCCTACACCTCCTCTCTCTACGGCCTTGTCGTGACAACCGTGCATTTGATACTCCATACATCTCCAGAGTATTTCCCCATATGCGATACTATTTCCCGTTTTGTTTTGCTCTTAAATTCCTTGCTCCGTAACGCGCTCCGTCCCAACTTCCAGCCTGCTGTCTGCCAACGCATCGATCGCATTTGCTTCCGTCCTGTTACGTACCGCTATGGGGCCCCGGCTGGCTGTCGCAATCTCTGAGTACCCGACGGCTTTCCCAGTCAATCGCAGCTGCAAAGTGGCGAGATCGCATGCATGCATGGCTGGCCCAGGTGGGTTCCCCTCTTCTCCCTGCATCCTCCCCCTTTTCCTGCAGCAAAATTGAGGCCGGACTGGGGAGTTACGCTATCAGTCATGTCGAGATGGTCCCTGAGAGTCCGCCCGAGATTAGCTGCAGCCATCTCCTCCCACTTCTCATCTCGTTTTCCATCCTCCTCTTCTCCTCTTTCTCCCCCGCTGACCCCCTCCGCCCCACAGCTCTGAGAGCACCCCACCCAGCCCTCTCTGACTGTACCCACTTCCCCGACCACTACTCGCCACCCGCCCCCGGCTTGGCCGCTGCTTCCCGCCCGCCTTGCTCACAAGGTAAGTCGTCTTGACCAGCCTCTATGTCTCAAGCATAGGGGCTAGCTATTCTATGCTACGCTCTAGCCTGCCTCCTTTACGCATCAGGCTCTTTCACGTACATGAGTGCTAATCACGAGGCGCAGGACCTTACCGCCTCGCCACCCCTTGCCGGAACAGATAGCGGCAGCAGGTGCGGATACCACATAAGTGAGTGCTGCTCAAGTCTTCTTTCCCCGCGTCTTGTACGTATTCGGTGCCCGTATATAAAGCAGGTGCCTTGAAGTACACTGCTTTGGGTGGGCCCGTTTCCATTGTCGTAGTGCCCTGGCACGGCGGCAGGCTGCTGGCGGGTCCGTCCTTTATTGTATCTCTTTGCTAATCTTCTCCATAGTTGCCTACTCAGGTATCTGGACATACGAACGAGACTTTTCTTCTCCAACTCTGGGTGTGAATAAGATCTTGTGAGTCTTGACACATTTTGGATTCGGGCCGTATCTCGTGGTAACCCGCTGACTTGCCCTCACAGCCCTCTGAATTCCACTCGCCTTTGACCAGAAAGCAATACCACCGTCAAATAACCATGGCAAGAATAAATACTGACAATTCTCCCACGACGTCAGTCGGGTCCCTACCATCGCCCATGTCGGACGACGAGTTCTCCAACCTTTCCGACTCTTGGATGGAAGTCGAGACCTCGTCTATAGGCCCTTCCACCTTTGACGGTCTTAGCGACTCTAGCTTTGACTCCAATGACCACGACTCTAGAAGTGAAGCGTCCAGCTTTGACTCTGCTTCTAACGATGGCCGGGAAATTCACAGCGAGCCCGAGGATGTGGAAGCCATGTCCGAGGTTGAGGGAGAGACTCCATCCCTGATAAGCGGTTCCTATGACCTGGCAAGCAGCAAGCTTGACGGTAGCAAAATGGGTTCGTCAGTGGACACTATCCAGCAGTACTCCACTTCCTCGTCTCAGGTCCGCCTCATCTTTCCCGACCCGGGATCTTCCTTCTCCGCGGCGACAGCAGGGTCCCACTCCGGTCTCTTGTCTGGGCAGAGTCCAGCTTCCTCCATCTTTGCTCCCAAGCGCCCTCGATCTCGCGGCCAGTCTACTACCGAATCGGACGAGAGACTGCAAGAGAGCATCTTGTCGAACGCCTCTGCCAAAAGGAGGAGCTCGAGCCCGCTGAAGAGCGAGTCTCGGGAGAGGTCCAGTAAGCTGTGGTCTTTGGATAAGGGCGAGTATTGGTTGTTGGACAGTACCGAGAAGCTTGGAGAGATGGAGAAGATGAAGGAGTCGAAGACGGTCGTTGACGAGCCTGAGGCGCTGTTCACGGTGAAGGCTGCGGAGACGGAAAAGGACATCGTTCGGGAGCTCGAGACTCGGTCAGTGCTTAATTTCGACGCCTTGTAAATCGCGCTGACAGCCGCAACAGGTCAAAAAAGAACGCCATCCTGACCGTGTGCGCCATGCTCGCGCTCGGCGTTGCTGGTCTCTACACTGGTTACAGCGCATCGATGTCTAGACCCTCTGCTGGGCCATCCGTCCTTCCCGTTCAGGCCCCTACAGACATGGCCAGACATAACTTCTGGGACCGCTTGTCTGCTTCTATCCTGACGCCTTCGGCTACCGAGGCGCCCCATATTCCCGACTCGACCAATCCCGTCAAGAAAACCGAAGAGTATCGCTTGATCAAACAGGCTTTGTCTACCCTCAACGAAGCCCAGCACAAGGCTCACTCTGTCTTTCATACGACCCCTCCTCCGTCTGCCCAGAGCAAGAGTGCTGGTGGGCAAGACAACTCATTAGCTGTGCGCAATGAGAACGTCGCTCTGATGACACTCGAGCTTACCAGGAAAGAGGTCATGGTGCACAAGTTGTTGCAGAAAGTCGTGTCTGCTTCGCGCCCTGCCAGGTCCAACATCGCCTCTGCTGCTGTCAACTGCACATGCGACCTCTCGACTTACTACTCCACTCAGATCCTCCCCCAAATCATGGGGTCGTACACCCGCACAAAGGCGTTGGCTTTATCAGCGTACGACACGTTGATGCGGTTTTTCTTCAAGGAGGTGGAAGAGGTGTTTGATGTCGGCAGACAGATGTTTCAGGCATCTGATGCTGCGGCATCTTTGGTCGTCTCCCGCGCTACTCGTGGTGCCCGTATCCTCCACACTAACCTTACCCCATACCTCCATCTCCCATCCTTGTTCACCTCACAAGGTGCATCCAATGTCACTCACGAAGCTCTCGATGCGCTCTCCGAGTACGTCGAGTCCACCATGGAAGGGCTCGTGGGGACGATCGGGCAGGAGACGAGGGACATGCAGGACAAAGCGGAAAAGAGTATCAGGAAAGCGAAGAAGGGGTTGAACAGGGTTATCAAGGAGAAGAGGTTGGAGAAGGAGAGGAAAGTTGGGAAGGAGAAATCCTTGGTCAACGCGGTGGACCGCAAAGGTCGCGATCTCGCCGACCCGAGGTCACTTTGTGTCAAGAATGGGGGATGCTTCAAGAAATTCAAAGGCACCCAACAACAGCCCTAGACCAAGACAGCAAAACAAATGACATTTCACACGGACATTGAAGGTGTATCGAGTAAGTATTCTCTTTGGGCCTCTTTTGCATTGTAATTGTTGTGTTGACACACGGACCGGGTAGACCTCCGGTCCCAGAAATTGTTGTTGCTTTTGGTATCTCCTTGCATGGCCACCCTTCTCCCCCACTACTCAATTGTGATTGTGAAATCTGATTTCTGTAACTTTTCGTTGTATGTATGTTTGTTCTTCTATGATATTACCCTGAACGCCTACACGATCTACTTGTAAAGCCACCGAGCTTGCTTTTTGGGCATCCCTAAAAGGGTTCTTGTTATATTCTTCCCTTGTTTCCGTATTGCTTTTCACTTGTTGTGTGTTAGATATTCACCTTTGGTCTCTGTTGATATGCGATTTATTTGTCATGCGGTCTTGCTTGGTGTACTTTTTGTGGTTTTCGCAACAATCCACGCTACATCTTCCAATGCTAGATCATACAACATGCATATGCATTTATGCCTCATATAGATACCCGTGTCTAAAGTGATACACAATGAGCGTCGGTCAATGTCAGTCTATGAATATGGCACAGGGAACAAGAAACAAAGGGGTCAAATGTCCGTGATGGAAGACATGCAGCACTTCTCTTGAGAATATCTAGAAGCCGTGTATCTAGAAGCCGTGTAAGAAGACTAATCTTCGTTTTCGTGGAATGGCCAGGCAACCGTGAGTCGCGGAGGCAGACCGTCGAGCTTGCCATACCCAGAGTCCGACCACCATTCGTCATACTATGAATCAAGTCAGAACACCAGCCTATAGTGTGATGGCAATTACTCACCTCTTTCTGGGCATCCTCAAGCTCGCCAAGCATCCTGATAGCGTAAGGATGGAGTCTCTTGTCGTATCCCTTCTCCTGTCTCAACTTTTCCTCCGCCTTCTTCTTCTCTCTTTCCTTCTCCCGTTCACTCGCCAGCATGGCCTCTAGTGCATTCGCCGTAGACGGTGGTAGCAGACTGGAGCGCTTGGAAAAAGATTTTGACATGTGTGGGCTTTGAGGTTTACGGGGGCTGGGTGGAGGAGGTTGGGAGTTACGCCTGGGGCTAGTAGGAGTGGGAGGAGGGTCAAACGCGTCACTTCGAGGCGACATGGCAGGCAGATCAAACTCGAATGTAAATGCGCCCCTAGAACGTCGGCGTTCAGCCCTTTCACCAGATGGTGTAGTCACGATGGTAGGGGGCTTGGGCTTGCGATTAGGCGGCGTAGAAGGAGAGGTGGTAGTAGACTCAGCCGCAGTAGACGCGGTGGCACTACTAGCCTGGGAGCTCTTTGGTGGCGTAGAGGGGGGCACAAGAGGAGAAGGTTTTGAACCTTCGCTGAGTTCGCCTTGTTCCTGCCCAGGGCTATCGCCATCCGAAGAGACCGTTGGGCTGCCATCCACACCGAGGCTGACACTCTTGTCCTTGTTCTTGTTCTTGGAGTTGGTCTTGTCCTTGTTCTTGAAGTTCTTCTTCAACCATTTCGCTGCCTTTCCAAACTTGTTGCTCCCCGTCACCGGGTCAACCTCCACATTTCCTCGTGGCGCATCGATCGTACCCATACCCAAGCCAAGGAGGCGTTCAGCCTTTTCTTGTGATCCCTTCTCATTTGGTTCTGGAGCAGGTTCATCCGCGACCATGGTGATCGTAGAACGGCTGCGAGGCATGCTGGGTTCTTCGATCTCCTCGCGAGGGCTCACATGAGAGATGCGTTTGTCTGGAAGTGGTTCGGAGTCAGCTGCTCCAGGTTCGAGCTCGTCATATCGGCGTTTGATGCCTTCCAGACGGGTCTCTAGAACTTTGACGGTTTGGACTTCGATTTGCCAACCAACACTCTTCGAGTTGGCGGCTTCCAGATGTCCGAGTCGGAAGACCTACAATCATCAGTATACGGCTCACCAGACATAATGACAACTTACGACAAGCCTCAGGACGTAGCTCCTAACGGAGTGACTCCAGAACAACAGCAGCCTCTCAAACAGCTCCTTCTGCAGCAGCAGATCAAGACACAGCTCCTTCCTGTCCTCCGATCGGGCGGTCAACACTTCCCAGTGGGAGAAGATGAACGCAATAGCTTTGACAAGAGTCATCGCATGCTCCGTTTCGGTGAGAATGATTCTGAGCACGTTGATCAAGAATGGAACATCGACAACCGTGTCAAGGCGAGTGGGGACACCGGGAATGAAGCCATATGGTGGATCAATGATACCGTCAAGGAGGTCGAATAGACAAAAGACCCCCTTGGGGGCATTGAGAGATGTCTTGGTGATGAGATTCTTGGTCCAAAGATCAATCATGCCCATGTAGAGCTGAGACATTTCGCAATCGATGATCACTTTACCAGCCGGTATGCTGATCCTCTGTTCAGAGAACGTCAAAAGTGTTTCCGTCAACCTCCGATTGGCAGTGACCAGCACAGGAGGTTTGGCATTCGGTGCTTGGAGAGCACTCTCTGTAGCGTCAAAGTTGGAGGACGTCGAGCAAGTGGTCACCGCGTTGACAGTGTTGGCAATGTACGAGTACAGCTTCTTGGCAAATGCTGTCGACAGATGAGCATAGCCGGGAGCGCGCATGAGGATCCCGACTGGAATCGGTTTGTTTTGCGCTTCAAAGTGTTTGACGACAGGGCCGAGATAATGAGCCAACTGTCGGTGATACGCTCGGTAGAAGGACGGGAACAGTTCAGAGTCGTCGGATTGCCATCGTCGAAGCCAGTAACCTGGAGGGAACAAAAACGCTTCGCGCTCTTCGTCTGTTTCGAATTCTGCGGTAAATGCGTTGAGACGAGAGTTGTAGCTCATGACATTGTCGAATATCAGTGGTTGAAGATGCTCGGGGTATTTTGGCTGAACCTCGGCCCTATGATATTGTCAGCGTCGCTCACTGAGTCTCAGAGGATACTCACGGGCAATCAACATTCTCGATATTTCCCGCAAACCTCATCAAAGCTCCCTTGGGTAACGATAGGACCGTCAGAAGCTGATGGGCAACGTGCGGAACTCGGAAGAAGGCAAAAGCCAAGAATCTCCCGCTAAACACCAATATGTTCTGGAAGACACCCCGTCCTCCAAGCTTTTCCATAACGAAACTCATACAGCGGACCATCATCTGAGTGATTTTAGATTGATGGTCATCCGAGAGCTGGAGCGCTTCTTCAGAGAGACAGATGCTACAGCGAGTCAGCTCACTATTAGAAGAGTAAAGAGAGATCGATTCACCTTTCAAACAATGCCGCGAGCGACTCCAAAACCGCCCCTCGCTCATCCACCGGCCTATCAAACCTCAACTCCGAAATCAACAGATTGATCCACCTCAAGAAAACGCTCCTCAAAACCTCATAATCATCCTCCTTTGCCACATCATACGCCCTCCTATCAGCCTCGGCAATAAGAGGCACCAACTCTGCTCTCAGGCTTGCGGACCTGTCTGACGGCGATACACCCGCTTCGGGGTATTTGAAGGCCACACGGATATCTTCGGCTTTGGAGGCGAGAGCAGAGATGGTGAGGTGTTTGTCGGGGATGACGGGGGTGGATTTGCTCAGCAAGGCAAGGGTGCGTTGACGAGCGATGGGCTTGGCTTTGGGCGGTGGGGGCGCGATGATAATGGGATTCGGTGGTGTGATGTCAACCGGAGGCGCCAAAGTGAGCGCTGGTGGCGCGATTCTGGGAAGCGTCACTGTCGGAGCGACGGGAGACTTTTCTTTGGGCGGTAACTCGGGAACGGATTTGGGAGCGAGGGTCGTAGATGAAGCGGTTATGCTCGAGCTGCTGACGTTAATCGCAACATCTCCAAGCGTAGCATTGCTTTCCCGGGGCGTCACGGGGAGAGCAGGAGAGGTGCTCTCATGAGTGGAATCTGTCGAAGTGATATCATCCGAGGACGGCACGTTGGGAAGGAATGGAACAGCAGAGGGCGAAGGGCTTCTCGCTGACTGAGTAGGCATTTCCGAAACGGGCGCAAGACGACCGCCAAACACTTCATCATTCTGCCTTCTGGCCCCAGGCACTGGTGACCTCGAACTCACAGTGCTCAAAGCCAATGGAGACCCAGCTTCAGAGCCTCTCTCGTGCAATGTCCACGATCTCTGCAGAGTCCCAGGAGACGTACTCGGCCTACCAGGTGATCTGTAAGAGTGCGACCTCGCAGGCGAATGTTTGGGTGATGCGAGGGGACTATTACGTTCTCGACGAGGAGACGACTTGCGCGAGCCACTCGACGGAGAGAGACCGTAGAAATCAAACTCGAGTCCAAAGTCGAGGTCAAGCTGGGGCAGCTGTAAACGCTGGGCGGATGGGAGCCGAGGAGGTGTACGAGGCTTGTTGTCTGCTGTAGCAGGTCGCCTCTTCTTTGGAGAGCTCGAGGCGAAGAGCGGGGACTCATCAATAGAGAGCGAAAGAAGGGGGCTGGTGGAGGGATCAAAGACGGGAGTGGTAGCTCTTGGCACATGTAGCGAAGCTGGTGGGGAAGCTGGAGGGGTTTTAGACGGAGCTGAGAGGGTGTTGGGTGAGGGGGAAGGTGACGGCCGAGGAGGGATAGGAAGTTCTCTAGCAGGTGGATTTGTCCGCGAAGAGGCCGGGGATGAACTTGATTGCGCCGTTGGGGTCTTGCCTCCATCATTGCTGGAGAATGTGGAGATTGATCTTCCGTCGTACAGTTTCGGTGTCGGTGTCGTCCTCCCTGACCTTCCCGTGGTCGATTGTTCCCATTCTCTCTGGGATGAATTGGACGTCACCCTACTCTCATAACGATCTTCCGGCATCGGGGGAGCCTCTTCCATCTTTTTGCTCTTTCCACTAGCACCTCGCCCAAACAACGCTCTCAACGCCGCCGTACTCTTCTTCTTCATATTCGTCTTGCTTCCCGAAGGCCGCCGTCCCTCCTCATCTCCAGACAGACCTCCATCAAGATCTCTCACGACGTCAAGCGACTTGGTGCCCGAGACCTGTCTCTCCATGTCAAACGACTTTGACGGAGCGCCTGTCGACCGTGAGGGACCATGCCCCACACCCAAGGCACCTTGCTGAGTCTTTTTCCACTTTTTCTGTGCCGTGGTGGATGATTCTGCGGGGAAATGATTGTGCCGAGGTGGGGAAGATGGTACGTCTGCGGGCGGAGCAGACATGGCCCTGCCATTCATCGAAGGACGATCAGAGGTCATCTCTTTGAGAGGCACCATCGTAGGCTGTTGCTTGCCTGAGTTGTGAGGCTGCCCGTAATCGGTAGGATGAGATTTCTTCCTCCCCGGCGCAGGGTAAGACCTATGATCCAGCACATCCGCAGCATCCAAGCTAGGCCTTCTCATGAATCCCATATCCGCACTCGGCCTCCCTCCCATGTCCGTACTCGGCCGGCCTTCCCTGCCCACAAAAACGACTGGCGATTTCGACCCCGGCGCCCTGGGGCGACTGGATACTCTAGGTTTCAGACGTGGTCCCTCTGTGGGGCTGTCGAGTGTCGTGGAGAATAAAGGACCCTGGTTTTGGGTCTGCGTCACAGGCGCGCTCGACATTCTCGGACGCAGTTTCAGGGGTGCAGTGGCCGCATGCTGAGCAGGAGGGTTCTGAGGGAGGTTTGGAGAGTATCCAGAATAGTGTTGGCTCGGAGGTGGTGGTGGGCTGTGGGAGGGGAGGCCGGGGTTGACGACTTGTGGGTGGGCATAGGGGTGAGTCTGTGTAGTGATGGTAAAAATGAGCGATGTGCTGTGCTGGCCATCAAATGGTCGCCGACTTACCACTTGGGGACGTTCGAGCGCGTCTTGTGAAGCACGACCTTCTGCGTATGCCCTCGATAGTACTGATTGGCCGGGGGGGTTTCTGGGCCGGGAGGACGTTCGTCCAGCTTTTGGTAGGGTGGCCGGCTGGGCCATCGCTTGAGGCTAAAGTTGACTGTTTTGTGCCAAACTTGCTTGGTGAATGCAGAGAAAGAAGGCGAGCGCGGCGGTGGGACGAAGAAGGTGACTGTGCCAGCATTAATGACCATGCGTTGATTGACGCGCTCCGTTGTCCTCCCGAGGTGTTGTCTGACAACGCTGGATGCGGGGATTCACGCGACGTACCTTCAGCCGGACAAAGGGACCGGGGGACGGGACAGGCGACGCGGGGGCTGGGGAGGAAAAGGCGTGGCAGGGGGGCAGAAGGGGCGAGAGAAAGAGAGAAAGAGAGAAAGAGAGAAAAAAGGGAAAGACAACCAAAAGACACAATGGCATGGCACATCATAGCGCACGGGCGACTACAAGATCCTGTCTGCTTGTAATGGGTGTCCCGATCCTTTAGAGTTGTGCAGATCCATTAGCCGCTCTGGTGACAGCCACGCGAGTCGCGACGCGTCCGTTTCAGCTTTCGGACTGCGGGACGAAAAAGGTTGTTCGAGGGTTGTCTCCATGCTCTTAAGGCACCTGCCAGTTGCCACTAGTCGTCCAACCGGTGGACGATGACGGTGGGCGATCTTGCACACAGTTCGTTCGAAAGCTATGTTTGTATGCATTGGAACAGATGCGTGGAAGAGCGAGGACACAATTTGAGCGCTTACACAGCTGCCCTCAGTCTTCACTCTTAATTATCGTCCCTTCCTCTCCGCTCACGAGTTTCAAGTCTCGACCTTCTCCCTCTGTTCTACTGTAGATGACTAATCCTAGATATCAAAGATGCCCTTCGCTCTTCTATTAATTCTGCCCTTTTACACTCGCGTCTCGGAGTCACCGGACAGAACGCTACTCTTCTGCGCCCATTCAGAAGCCCGTAATTCCCAATCGAAGCTCGAGGGCGGACCATCGCGTGTGCTGACAAGGCATCCAGTGCTTCAAAGTGCATACAGGAAAGGCCAAGCTCCGACCGGCCGGCGTCAGCTACTGGTTACCTTCAGCATGTTGAGTGATGTGCCTTCGATTCTGTGCTGCAGACCCATCGTCACATTCAGCTTTTGAGCCATAAGCCCTAAACCGGAATACAGCTTTGGTGGAAAATGGAAAAGGTCAGGCATGTGAGACAATTGTTATGGAGCAAGTCTAGTCTCGCTTGATCCCTCCTGTATATAATAGTGAATGATCTGTTCGACGATTTCTCTCTGATCTCCGGCAAGCGGGCATACCTCTCTTGATTGCCCAGTGTATACGCCAAACGTGGCAACTCGAGATAGCAATATAGTAAGATTGATGGGTCCTGTTGCATATGGCCGACCGTGTCTATGTTTTGAGTCTGATAGGCAATGGCTATGAGCGGCACTTGAGACCGTCAAAAGCAGTATCTGAGGCTAGTCTTGACTTGACTGTGGGTCATTCAAGTATAAAGGTCAAGTATAGTGTCCGGAATCAAGCTGTGATCGAGTCGAAGGAGGATGGATAGCGGTATTGATGATAGGACCAAAAGATGGAGCGATTGCTTCGTAGCGAGCTCTATTCGCGATGGACCCTTCTCTTGTCATTCGAGTGGATACAAATAAGTAAGGTCGTCCAGATGGGTGGCATGAGATGAGAATAGGCAAGAAGAGCAGAGCACAGATGAAAGAGAAGATGAGCGCATCGGAGTTTTCCGATAAATCCTACGCCGCGCGCGCCGCAGATCAACTGAATTATTGCCGAGCGTCATTGGAATCGCGTTGCATTTCCCATCTCATCCGCAAAAAGGTATCCAAAAACCACCCCCCGTCCTGCCACCCGCCCACAGAGCGAGCCAGCATGGCTCCAGTCAACTTTATCGTCTTTGGTGAGCTCCCCCAGCTGCCTGTCCCGAGGATTCTCGCTAATCTCAAACGTCTTAGCCATCGCTCACCCTGTATGTCCGAGATTCCATACGATGCGAGGCTTGCTGACCCCACACTAGTCGGAACTCGAGAGTCTGAAAAAACAGATTATCTGGAAAGACGTCCGGCCCATCGAGGATTTCACCGAAGAAGATGCTGCAGGCATTATCGACCACTATGTGACAGACGGCCTCTGCCTCCCCTCGGCAGAGAATTGGCTCGATAACATCTGGAAACTGCTCGATATCTTCTTCCTTTCATCATCCAACCTCCCCGGGGCTAGAAAACAGGTCGCCGAGCTGCTATTCCAACAGGCGTACGACCACGCCGAGCCCTTGTCGCAACCCCGAAACCAGCTCGTAGCCCAGGTTATCGTCCCCTTTCTCGAAAAGACGCTGGCACCCATCACCGACGACTACTTTCGACAACTCGCCCTTGAAGTGCTGGTCAAAGCGGCTGTCAAAGAGACGTTCGAGAGGGATGAAGAGAGACGGCAGGCAAGAGCGACGAAAGCAGAGAGTGAAGTGCAGGAGGAGGACGCTTCTGCCATCCCCAGTCAGGAGGTGAAAGATGCTGCGGCCGGTGGAAGTTTTCACACGATACGAAACATGATCATCTCGCTCTCGTCAGAGGCGATGTGTAAAGAGGAGCCTGCCGCGCCGTTGAAGCGGGAGATGGAGGCGTTGTCATCACCACCACTATCCCAAAAATCACCACCTTCCCTTCCAAAACCCTTCCCTCAGGGCAGTTCCGCAGCATCCGTCCCGAAAGAACCCCCCCATCCCCGAGAACAAAGCGCATCTCAAAGTTCATCTGGATCTGCCCTCAAGGGTCTGATGAGCGCCTTGTCACCGCCATCGCGCACAAAAGAACTCCCGTCGGTCGCTGCCCCTACCCCATCACTAGCGACTGCCATCGCCGACGATTCTCCAGAAGACATCTCTCCTCCTCGAAAAGAGTCCACTCCGTCCCCAGTTCCTCCCCATGCCGACTGTCACTCGTTACTAGCGGTCCGTGCGTTGATCACCATTTTCAACCGCCTCGCCTTTTCCCCTCCCCATCCATCCTCGACCGGCTCAAAATCCATCCGCTCACCAGCTTCGTCAAGGTGCATCACCATATACAGAGATCTACTTGGTCTTTTGCATCCCTGCAACCAGCATGGCGCGGGCGACGCAACGCCCACATCCCGCGTCGCTACCGTCCGCGCCAAATGCCCCCGTGCGAGAATAGCCATCCTGCAATGGCTCCTCCGCCTCCGTGCCGACCCCAAGCACCGCATCTACCTCCGCACCAACATTGACAACACCATCCGGCCATTCGCAGAGACGCTATGTCGGACAAAAGAAGCTATCGAAGCGCAAAAGGCAAATATACTCGCAGATGCCGAAGAGGCTCGCGCGAGGATCAAGGCCAGGCAGATGAGGGAGTTTGGAGTGCATAGAGAGGGTGCAAGGGAGAGTATGAGGGAGAGGACGATGACGAGCTCGACGACTAGTAGTAGTCGGAATCGGAGTCGCTCGAGGCCCCCGGCGCATATTGATGCGAGGGTGGCCGATTTGTACAATCCGCTCTGGCAGGTCCCAGAGTCGATTGAATTTGATCTTCCTGCCGACAACCTTCCCAGTGAAGGGCTTTTGACGTATGATCCGAATCACCCGTCACTACGAGTCAAGGATGCGCCAGCGGTGGAGGGTGTGTGGTTGCCCGTCTCTGAATACGTCGCTTGCTTGAATGAGGTCCTCAGGTTTGAGACCGACTGGGAGGTGGTGTCGTACGTCTTGTGCTTTTTGCCCCTGCAACTCGGCAACAAGCTGTTCTTCCGCGGCGCGAGGGCCACGAAAGAGGTCAAAAAGCTCCTCAAGGTGCTGTGCGATACCATCCCCCAGGATAATCGTATCGAACGGAGGTGCAAGCACCACGCCTTTATCAAACGCCCCAACGTTAATGCGGCCGTCTTCCAAGCTCTCACCATCCTCATCAGTCACAAGGATGTGCTGGACAGCAAGGAGTGCGACACGTTGATTGTCGCGTTCGAAACTTGCTTGGAATCAAACACTATCGTAGCAAAGCCTTGTATCCAAGCGCTTACGCTGTGCATTTTCGAACTGGAGCAGCCGATCGGCAAGAGGCTGTTGTCTATTATCAGCAAGATGCGTGATATCAACTTGACCTCTGGTATCGCCGTGCATCTCCTCGAATTCATCCTTGCCCTCGGTCAACACACACCCCTGTTCCGAAACTTCACCGACGCCCACTACAAGGATGTCTTCACCCTCGTTATCGACTACATTGCCGAGCACAACGCGCGGTCAGACGAGTTATCTGATATGACGGCCGACAAGCGCGAGAGTTACACCTTGTCTCAGCACGTCATTGGTCTCGCATACCACTCCATCTACGTCTGGTTCCTCGGTCTCAAGCTTGCTTTGCGACCCGAGCTCGTCAAACACATCATCTTTAAGCTTTTGCAGAGTCGTTCGCAGAGGGTGGCAGTTGATGAGATGGTAGAGGTGTGTTTGGACTGGTTCGCGAGGTATACGTATAGGAACGCGGACCCCAAACCTGCTTCATCTTTCTTCTCTGAAATTGTGCTGCAGAATCCAAGCCCTGTTCTCACGCCTATGCCCGAATCAGGCTCGGAAGAAGCTGCTGCTCAGCCTCCAGCCGATCCGATCAAAAGACAGAGCTGGTTCCTCGACGGCGCCATCATTACCATCATCACACACGCTCCGTCCGGCTGGGCTAGTATCACTTCGACCAGGCCGACGGGTGCTACGGAGGTCATGGCGAAGATTGACAATGTGCCGCTATCAGGCTTGGAAGAGAAGGATGTCGATGTGTTTGCGTTGACAGATGAGCTGGTGGATAGGAGGCAGGAAATTATGGAGGATGAGAAGATTGCTGTGAGTAGCCTTACTAATTGTGGGAAGCAGAATGCTGATAATTACCAGACGGCGTTGATGAAGTCTAAATCGACGATCTCCGAGACCGATGACTCGTCAGAAGAAGGGCTATCAGCGCTGCAACGCCGGAAACATGACGCTGTCGACCCCGCCTACCTTGCCATTGAACTCCTTTCCTCATACGCAGATACCGGTGCCGACAGTCCAATCGGTAAATTCGTCCCCGACGAGTCCCGATTCGACCGTTCTCTGCGCTCTTTGGAGGGTACCCCGGTTATCGACACTGCCAAGTTCGGTGTACTCTACGTCGGCCCGGGCCAGACAGATGAAAAGGATATCCTGGCCAACGTCGAAGGACCCTCCCTCTACCAAGCTTTCCTCGCTGGCCTCGGTCAGCTCATCAAGCTCAAGGGCCAAACCGACGTCTTCACCGGTGGTATGAACCGCGAGGACGACTCTGACGGCGAGGTAGCTTATGCCTGGTGGGACGACCTGGTTCAAACCATCTTCCACACCTCCACCATGATGCCCAACAATGCCCTCGACCCCAAATTCGACAGGAAAAAGAGGCTGATAGGCAATGACTATGTCAAGATCGTCTACAACGACTCTGGTCAGGATTTCAAGTTTGACACGATCAAGACCGAGTTTAATTTGATCAATATTGTCATCTCGCCGCATACTACACCCGAGACGCATGGGCCTGTACCACAGCCCGAGACACTCGCTGCTGCAGGTGCCAACCACCCCGGCGGCGGACCCGAGGGTGAAGGCTATGTCGTATGGGGCCGTGATGATTACTTTAAGGTCATCCTCCAACGTGCTCCCGGAATCCCAGATTTCAGTCCTGTTGGCAAGTTCAGAATTGTCTCGAAAGAGATGATGCCTGGGTTTGTGCGACATGTGGCGTTGATGGCGAACGATATGGCGGCGAGGTTTGCGCATATCAGGAATGCGAGGGATCCCACGGATGCAGAGTATATCACGAGCTGGCGAAGTCGGTTGAGGACGATGAACAGGCTGAAGGCTGCGTGAGTCGGACGCTTCTTTCATGATGTATTGTGCTGACCAGATTGCCGTAGTCTTCCCCCTATAGAAGAGCCGTATGAGAAGATCACTAGGGAGAAGCGGTTAGAAGTGATAGAAAAGTACGTCCAGCATCTCTCCTGCGCCAAATTTGGCTGATAACTGTATTCAGCATTGCTCGCTTGATAAGCCAGCGAAGCTCTTCTGAGGAGCCTTAGGGGGAAATGTCGGGGTGATAGGAAAGAGAAAGGCGCTTGGACAAAGTGTGATGTGAAGATCTTGTGAATAGGCACTAGCTATAGCCCTCCCAATATATTGTATCCATTTTTCATGCCACCATGTTCTAATGTCACCGGAATCTGCGCTTCGATATCTTCTAGGGCTTCTTGAAGTCGTCGATGAGCTTTTGAATCTTCTCGTCCCCTTCAATACGCATGCCCTCCCATTCAGATTGAGGATCGGCTTGGAGGCACTGGGTATAGAAGGCAATAGACGGCTCGTTCCACTGTACACGCTGATCAGCACGAAAACTTTTCGGATACGAGCAATGGAAACCAGCCTTGAGGACCCTCCATTCCATGCGTTGACAGCCTTTCTCTTTGGCGATGACCCCGAGCTCGCCGAAAAGCCGTTTTCCGAGGCCGAGGTTCCGTTCGCTGGGTTTGACGTACAGGTCCTCTAGCTGCACCTTCAGTCAGCACTCGCAAGTATGAGTTTAGCATACAGGAGACACTTACGTAGAGACCAGGTGCAGCCAGCCAGGTAGAATAGGTGAAGAAATACTTCACCACTCTCATCAGCTCATCACTTTGCATGGCACTTCCACCAAACGCACCAAAGCCATCCCGATAGCTTCGCCTTTACCGGCAGCATCATCCTTCGGTAGCTTGCGGGCAATCAAGCATTCGGCGTACTTGTCGTCGAATACTGCTTTGGTCATCTACACATAGGTTCACGAGTGAGCAGGTATCAACAGATATCGAGCGAGCAACGTCAGAAAGGTGATGGGCACTTACGAGTTCGGGAGTAGCCTTGACTTCATGTTCAGCCTTTTCGTAGATTGCCTTGGTTGTGCAACAATCAGCAGCAGTTTCGCGAAGCGCATTGATACTTCACTTACTAGCTCCCTAATGAGACCCAGTAATTCGGGCTACAGTGACATCAAGTCAGGTATACAGCCTTCCACCACGCCAAAGGCCCCTCCCGTGCTCTGTTGGACTCACTACATCATCTCTGGTAGCGGGGATGATCTGGATAGGCATGGCGTTTAGTTGAAGTGTCTCAATTGGCTTTGTACAGAGTAATGGGAGGTTTTATGTAGAGATGACAATGGCAGGATAGATCAGGGACGGATGTGGTTGCACAAAGTGGAGGTCGACCGGGTATATATCAATCGCAGGGCCCGGAAGCTCAACGAAAAAATCTCGGCGGCTCCCAAAGATGTGTTGCCTGCTCTTATGGATGTGCGTCAGATCAACACGTTGGACAGTGCAATGTTACAACAGTGTTCCATAAAAACACACGGAAAAGCTACACCAAATGCTTTGATGCATATCCCCTCTACCCAATAACAAGCACCAACGCTTACTCGGAGTCCTCGGCGTCGAGCTTGCCAGCCTTGTAGGCGGCAATCTTGGCCTCGACGTTGGCGAGTCGCTGCTCCTTGGTGAGCTTCTTGGTCTTGTACTTCTTGGACTCCTCCTTCCACTTGGCGAGGTCGGCCTTCTCGGTGGGCTTGAACTCGGGGTTCTCTCGGATGGCCTCGTAAGCGGCGGAGTAAATCTCCTCAATGTCGTCAGATCCAATACCGTCGGCAAGGTAGGTAGAGAACTGCTTCTTGAATCTGAGAACGATATCAGGACAAGAACAAGTTATAGAAGCGAAGATACTCACCGCTCGTCGTCTTCCTCCTCAAGGGACTCCATGTACTCGGCGACGTGGCCACCGGTGATGTACTTCTGGAGGACCTCGGCGTCGATCTCCTTGGCCTCGGGGTCGAAACCGGGGAATCGCTTCTCGTTGTGGGGGATGAAGATACCACCGTCGGAAGCACCCTTCATGGCACCGAAGACTCGGGCACCAGTAGAGGTCCTTCGGAGACCGACATCGAGGAAGACCTTGAAAGGTCGGGGCTCGTCATCACCGAGAGCCTCAGTGAGCTCGAGCTCACCGGTGGGCTCGGTAACACCCTCGTACTTCTCGGCGAGGCCGAGCTTGGTGAGGGCTCGTCGGGCGACGAGGAGACCGGTAGCGTAACAGGCGGTCCAGTTGGTGAGACCGTGCTTGATACCGTATCGGGGGAGCTCCTTGGAGGTAGCGTGGGCGAAGACAACGTCACCCTAAAATATTGTCAGTCGTGGGCGCACGGTACATGGCAGAAAACGAACCTGGAGCTTGGCGTAGACGATCTGGCAGATCACCTGCTTGTTGGTGATACGGACAACGAGCCTGTACTGCAAAGATCGTCAGTTGAATTCTCTCGTCATATAAACATGAAGCTTACCTTGGGGGAAGCGTACTTGTTCTTGGCCTGAGACACAAGAGCCCTCCTCGCTTGGTAGTCGGTCTTACCCTCTCTCCTCCTTCGGGGCTTAACCTGGAACCTAGAGAACTGAGAACAGGTCAGCAGTCGTCCTATATAATCCCTTTTTGTATCCCTAGCACGCCAATATTCCTCCCTGAGCCCTTTTTCACTCCCCGTGGCCCGTTTCCCGTCGCTCTTCCTCCCCCTCCATGGATGTCGATACTCACGTAGGCAGAGTTCTTCTGGACCTTGACGAAGGGCATTTTGGTGTTTTTGTTTGAAGTCTGGAGAGAAGCCTCCTACTTTTTGGTCGTTTGGCAGCGAAACTCGAAAATGCTAAAACGCCGCGACCCACGTGTTGTGGCGGCATTTCCGGCGGCGGTGACCGAAAACGCGGCCTGCCGATAGTCAACTCAACTTTGGTATATAAATTCACTTCTGCATATATATATATATATATCGAGATCATACAATGTCACCCCAGCCATCCGAACAGCATACTCTTGACGCACCCGCGCTCGACAAGCTCTTTGCAGCTGCTATCACCTGTCAGTCGGGATACAACTCACGATGACACCGTCCACTGATAAGCCTGTGGCATAGACCGCGATAGAGCGTATGCACCATACTCCAAGTTCAGGTATGGGAGTACAATGTTATAAATACTGCAGGTACTGACTGAGTTTGTAGAGTCGGTGCTGCTCTCCTGGGCTCTGACGGCCAGGTTTACGGGGGCTGCAATGTAGAGAACGCTTCCTATGGTTCGTCGCACTGCATATGCAGCTAGATGTCATTGACCATCACTGTAGGAGCTGGTATATGTGCCGAGCGTACTGCTATTACAAAGGCCGTCGTGAGTGTCTTCTGAAGAAGCATATTGACCTTTGCTGATCCATTGTGACAGAGCGAAGGTCAAAAGAAGTTCTTGGCTGTAGCCGTCACTTCGTATGTTCTCATGCTACTCGCTCGGGGACCCTTCTCCCGAATGGAGCCTAACATCTGTATCGTAGTGATATCCCATCCCCTGCCATATCTCCCTGTGGCATCTGCCGCCAGTTCCTCCGGGAATTCCTCGAACCCCACGTCCCAATCTACTTTATCTCTGGCACCTATTCCTCCACTTTTCACAGCGGTGGATATCCCGACTGGCTGGGTGATCTCACAGGAGAGGAAGCAAAGAAGCATGTCAAGATGATGACGATGGAAGAGGTGTTGCCAGAGAGTTTTGGGCCGGATCATTTGGGGCTCGCTGTAACAGATCAGAAGTGAGGTGGTGAGTGGGGTAGGGCAGTAAAAGTCATTCACGCAGTTGTGTCACAAAAGTCATGTATTGTCACTAACTGCTCTCGTCCACGAAGTAAGGTATTCGGCAAGCAATTGAGAACAACATCATGCTCCGATCCCTTGGATGCCTTGGCCAACATCCTCCATGTCATCCGAACACAGCCGCTATTCAAGGATACGTTCCACGCTGTCCACTTTGTTCGCACCCTGAAGCTATGGGTTGCCAGCCTTTCCCTCACCAAAGTGCGTTGGCTGGTCATTCACAGTGCATGCCAAGGCTCCTATGTATCAAGTTGGCCCTCACCGCAACAACCCGGGTTTTCTCTCGTGAACAACTGGCAAATGCAAAATGATGCAGTCTTTAGAGAACAGCGAATCTTGTATGAACGCTAGAGATCAAGAAAAATTCTACTCTACAAGAATTTCACTCGATAAAACTTGCACACCCTCAGATACAGTCCATGTGCTATGTAAACTTCCTCTCTCCTCTCTCTCTCTCTCTCATCCTTTTTGGGTTTTGTGGGTCGTTAAAGTTCGTTAAAAGTGGGTTCGTAATCATGAAAAAAAGAGTAGCTCTAAACCACGCCTTCCTTCCATACTATATAAGCAGCCGCGGGTCTCCGCCCAAGACACATTTATGCACAAACGTAACTTTCGTTGGTCGTTTCGATAATGAGAAGAGGGAGCTGTCGTCAAAGATTGCCTATACACAGGATCGTGTTCTCGCTCCCTCCCCCCAGGGTGTATCTCGTGATTGTGCAGTGAAGTATATGATGTCGTTGAAGGAGAATCACTGATTCTCCGACTGCTGCGAGGAGAAGGTGGCTAGGGGTTGGGATGTCTGGAAGGAGCCTTGAGTAACGGGAGGGGCGGAGGGATAAGGCTGGCTGGGCATGAAACTAAAGTTTTCTTGCTGCTGCTGCTGTGGAAGCGCTTCTTTGACCTGAGTCTCCTGTGGGCCCTGGGACTGCTGAGGCGCAGTGCCAAAGACACCAGTGTAAAACAGCATCCCGTCCATCTGCTCGTCTGCCGCATAACCCGGCGCGGTATTTTGCTGAGATTGGATGCTGCCGCTGCCTCTCGCGCTCAGGGGGGTGGGCGGGGTGAACTGAGTTTGGACGTTCCGAAGACCAGCGGAGCGGGGACCGCTGGGCGTACGGAAGTGCCCTGCCTCTCTGGTGGAGACGACCGACGCCGAGGCATGGCGCTCATGTCGGCTGGACGACGACGTCGGCCTGTCAGCCGCTGAAGGAGCAGACATGCTCAACTGCCTTGGCAGATGTACGCCGCCAGCAGAGGGCGGCGGCGGCGGCATATCCAGCCTCATACCCTCCACCTGCCCCGTCATGGACAATGGACTATCCAGCAACTGTCCTTCACCACCAAAGACAAACTTTTGGTTAAACTCGTCCCTGCTCTGAATAGACTGGACGCCAGGAGCATTGTGGTACGCGTGGTACATTCTCCCGCCCACGGGATCGGTCCAAAGAGCCTTAGGAGGGGCGTTGGTCTCCATGATGGGGAAAGCACCCTGACCCGTAGAAGGCGTGTGGATGGACGAAGTGTTGGGAGATCCAGTATCGTCCTTGACCATAGCCCCCGCAGGCACAGCACCGGGTGTGTCTGAAACACTCCACTGAGCGCTCTCGATGACTGCCGTCATGGAAAGAGAAGACAGAGACCGTCCGCGGCCTTGAGCCACAGAAGTCAATGGTGAATCTTGCGGTTGGTGCTGGGCATAGGACGTCGACATGGGAAGCGTGTTCGGAACGCGGGCGTAGCGCACAGGCATGTTGGACACGGGCGTAAAGATGTTGGGATCGGGGAGGCTCGTACGGCTTCCACGGGGCGACTGTGATGCAGAGGGGGCCGTCGACGGCTACTCTCGTCAGCACAGGTCTCTCACTATGATCAAGACGTACTCGAATGCTATCACTGCCAAGCGATATCTTGCTCATACCCCTCTCCAGCTTCCACTTGTCATATGCCATCGCGATATTGTCCTTCATGCTCGACATCTCTTCGATGCCCAGACCCAGACGCTCCCGCATCAGCACCGCATCCTCGCTGTTCGAACTGGCCGCCTCATGCACAATGAAGGAAGCAAAGTACTGGCCCTCCGAAGACGCGCCGGTGAGCTCACCAGTATCCGCCATGCTCAGCCTGCTCTGATGTCGAAACTGTTCGGGCAACAAGGGTACAGGGGGCGGTGTGAGTGACCTCGACTTTTCCTTGGTATCAATCCTTCTCAGCACTGCTCCATCCGATGAAGTACGCTGCAGCCTAGGCCGATCGTCCTTTGCCCAATCAAGCGCTGCCAAGCTCTGCACGCGCCCAAAAGAATTTTCTCGCGTGGCGCGAAACGTATCAGGCTTGGGCTCGGATTTGCGGCGCTTGGTGGGGGGAGCAGGACCGACGATGGGTTGCGAAGTAGAGTTAGAGTTGGGTGGGACGGGGAGACCGGTCGATGAGGAGATTTTCAGCGTGGCGCCTGTGGGGACATTGCCTGACGATACCCGGCTAGGACGGACAGGCCGTGTGGGTTTGTTGGCAGACAAGTCAAGGCCGCCCGCTCCCGCTTTCCCTTCTCCCCAGTAACTCGTCCCATTGCTCTCCAAAAAACTGCTTGGTGTCGAGACGGTGGGCGAAAAGAATGCGCCCGGGGACGACTGGCCGGACTTCTGGCCAAGCTGATGGCCGGAGGGCGAGATGGAAAAGTAGGAGCTACTGGTGCCCAGAGGCGAGTAGGCGGAGGCCGGGGAAGGGACAGTAATGCTAAGAGAGTTTTGCGAGCCAGTATATGATGTGTTGCTAGTACGACGCCCCGAGGGCACATCGTCTCGGCTCTGGCTCTTTCCCTTCATAGCTTCCTACAATCTTTTAGCCAGTGTCCACCTTTTGTACTGTGGTAGACTCACTTCTCTGGCCTTTTTGTCTCTCTCCCGTTTTCTACGCTGCCGTTCTCGGCCCATCTCTCGTGCCCTCTGCTTTCTCTTTGCTTCCTTGCCATCTTCGCTACCCTCCCTGAACTGTTCCACGTCGGGGGATCTAGGCCTGCTTGCTCTCACTGGTGGCCCGGCATAGTGCTGTAATGGCTCAACAGAGACATCCAACGACCCACCTGCCGACCCAGGTGAAGGAATCATGGGCCCTGTCCGCCACGTCGGGCTCGCCATATACAGACTCTCCCCTGACGTGCTTCCTCCCGCATCACTCGCCGTCCTATACTTTCTACCCTTTGTCGGTGTCGGCTGCGTCACCTGCAAGCATGGTACGCCATTCAGCTCTTCTGGCGACGCCGGACGAGCTGGCTGGGGGGGATAGTAGAGGTGCTGCTGCTGGGGAAGAGACGCCTGGTGGACGAAAGGATGGGGTGCGTGCCCATGCGGCGGTGGCTGCTGGGCTTGAGCTGAAATGTATATAGGTCCAGAGGGATGAATGGGGCCGTGACCAGCCTCCATCATGGTGCTGGAGTCGTTATAGAATTGGTTAAGCGCGGGCATAGCTAGAAACTTTTGAGTGAGCTAGTGCAAGGAGGTAGAGGAGGCGTGGCGTAATGGGCGTTGCAGCAATGAGCGTCCGATTGCTGCTCAAGTGACTACTGTCTTCCTTCCAGACCATTCTGAGGGACCCAAGCAGCCGGTGTAGCGCAGAGGGGTAGTGTCTGCGGGATACCCCGGACGTCTGCTCGGGACGATCAAGACGTGCCCCGCGCGAGGCCAGGCTCTGACCCCTGCACGCTGCGATGACATTGGGACAGATCCACTCACCTCGCTCATGCAACCCACCCTGGGGTCTGCTTTTGTCGTGTCTAGCACGGACCGGGGGGGGGGGAGGACAGCACAAAGAGATCCTCGATCTTGGTTTTGAGCAACGCGTCTGAGACCGGCCTCGGACGCGTAGAGCCTCGTGCTTGCCTCGAGCTGGGGAGGGATATACAGGGCACTGGCGGGCAGCAGCGGGTATGGTACAGTGGGAGGTGGAGAAGAGGATGAAGATGCAAATGAAAGTCTGGAAAATGCCGTCGCCCGAACGGGGCAGGGTAGGATCGGATACGGGCCCCTGGCTTAGAGGACCCCAATTCTGACTTTTCGGGACTGGGCACGAGATGCATGGCACTTGGAATACTGCGTCCATTTCGTACATCGCTTGCTGCATTCCGGACAGGGTACCGCCCGACGTAGGGTCGAATGCAGCTGCCATTGTGCGCGCACCGCAAACTTGCTCGGTTGGCATGTCTCTCCATCGCTCTCCCTCCTGTCCGGCCCATCGCTCGACAGTGCCGGGCGGCACAATTGCCCATACTGTCAGGTAGCCCAAACGGCCCATCCATAGCCCTTGCTTCACTCAACATGGGAACGTAATCGTGCAGTAAGTTGGCACCAAAAAAACTCCGGAAACTCGGGACGGGTTCACGCCCGATGGGTTACAACTTTTGGTTCTGGCTTCCACCTGTCCCTAAACTTTGATCGACCCTTGGGCGTTTCCGCAGTGTAGGGGTGGGTTTGGCTAGGGAGGTATCGCTCTTTTACCAGAGATTGCAGCCCTATACATGCGCCCCTTGCGTATGTATCGTGGAGCCGGATGGGATCGACATTGCACTCCTCGTGATGACACAGATGCATCATATCCGGTGTCTGTCCCGTGGACTTGGGGACTATCAAGGTTGCTCCGAGTACCTGGCGCGTACACCAGCATTCTGGTCTGGCACCCGCTGGCGATCTTGAGGCGCAGGCCAGTATTAGCCCTGCAGCTTGGCCCATTTTCAGCTACCAACGACCAGCGAATTCCTGACTCAAGATAAAAACAGGAGAGGAAAGGTCCCGGACGGATCGCCGAGCTACACACGGCGGTCGGTTTCGATCTCTGCCTCCTCTTGCATCGACCGACTGTACCTGGCGCTCTTTCCTGTCGCCCAGGGGGTCTCCATGGGGCTCAAGCCTTGTCCGTCTTTTGTATGCACCAGCCTGCCTTGCTCAGAACTAAACCAGACCTCTTGCGCTCGACCGCCCGCCGTCTCCCGCTTTCTGCTGGCAACATAAGCTACCGCCAGACTATGTACGAATCATCGACCCACTGCACCGCTCGTCGACATGTCTGCAAAAGTCAAACAAACATGTCATGCTCGTGCAATGATGCTCTGACCGGTCTTGCGTCGAAGGTTGAGTGATCCCTCTGGCGGTGCACGGAGTTGCTGGCTCGCATCATCCTCATCCGGTGTCTAGAGTCCGTACTTGCAATGTCACCTTACCCAGAAGACTCGGTCGAGACTGCGCGTAAGCACTCTTCCCCACTGGAGCACATCATCGTCAACAGAAAGAGCCGACTTTACAAGCCGCAAGTACCTGAGCGCATGGCTCCTCTGCTAGATCTGTTATCAACGCTGGGCGCGGACATGTGATTGCAGGGATTCAAACCCCGTGTTCCCGCGCCTACATACTCCTCTTTTGCTCACTTTGGGCGCTCTAGTTCCTTTTCACCTCTATTTTTTTTAACGCCGCTCCATTCACGGATAATTGTCCGTGCCCCGCATGCCGGATTCGTACAATCCTCATCCATCTGCTCCCTCTTCCTCTGTGACAGCGGCCACATTGCCGGTGTGTGGGGGGGGTCGTAGATCGTAGGTCGTAGGTTGGGTGGAGATGTTAAGATTGGTGCCTTCATTTCCGACAACGTTGGAGGGCTTGAATCTTCCAATGCAGCTCTTCATCTCCGTCGCCAATCCTTGATGACAGCGTCCGAGGCTAAAACGCCTCAGAGGTACGCGCTTGCCCGTATGTACCCAAGCAGTCTGCCACATCATTCAGTGTCGCTGGATGATGCAAGCAATTCAGACGGCTACTGCTGTAGCACAACCTGTAAACCGGTCACAGAAGAAGAGGTATGTCGCCTGAGTTTCAGCGTGATACATAGGTCCAAGATAAGAAAAGGATTAGATAAGATACGTATCCTCTGATTCATCATCATCATTCCTGTCGTCTTCTTGCGTGAGAGCATGCGACGACTATCTTGCGACGACTTGCACAGGCCGCAGCGCAGCGTGCATCTTTTCTTTGAACAAGAAGTCGTCAAGAGCAGGGTAGAGTAGTGTGTCAATGGCGTAGTCAAAGTCCAGCAAGGAGATACCCTCCCGACCGATAATGTTCTACAGTGACTTCTCTCATTAAGGACAGGCACAAAACAGGGGTTTTCTCAGCCGCCCTCCAGCTGCCAGCCTGCATAGCCTGTGTACATACTCCTTCCTCCGCAGACTTTCTCGGTCAAAGGAGGAGGTACGTTAGGTCATAGTGAGGTACACAATGATCGACCAGACATCCCGGACAAGGCGATGCGGGCGGCTTGGATTTCCGGGCTCAACGACGGCACATGGCCACATGAGGATGCCGTGTTTCCATTTTTCTTGTACGAAAGAAAAGATCTGAGTTCTTGCTATCTAAGCTTCCGAGACCTGTACGTACATACATAGCCTGTAGGAGATGTGCGAAGACACGTAAAGCTCCACTTTGTACGAATACAAGGGCAGTGATGGACGAGCCAGGAGCCATATACAACTGCGACGTCCGCCTTGGAGTGTTCCGACGACCCAAGGACTCTCGCTTGTGGAGTTGGCCAGCTACGGTAGATATAGAAACCTCGAGTGCCTGCACCCGGACGGATGCATATCGCCGAGACACCGGGCACATCCGAATACGACAGAGGTTGGATCATGGATAGGTAGAAGGATAACGGCAGCACGTCCCGGTCGGAGGTATGCCGTCAACCCATGCCGTTGCACTATGCTTCGACCAGCGTCAGGCCTCAGGCATCAGCTCAGTACGAGTACTTAGCAAGATAGTGCGTCGTCACCATGTGGTAAAAGAAGATAGTGCGTTTCTTCTTACTTTTTTTTTCTCCTTCTCAATCAACGATCCGGAGCACTCGGCACTGGCTGCCGAGTGCAACGGATGTGTTGATCATGCCTACGTATACCTCTAGCCAAGCCGTGTTGCCCCGAATCGACCGTGTCCCACTTGAGTGTGGTCTGTGGCTACCGATAGCTGGTTAGCAGGATACACCCGGGAAGGCCTCAACGTCAGTAATTGTTGCCGAAGCGAATGATGCCATCACTATATGCACCACACTTGCGGTAATAATGAGGTGCTGCTCCTTTCGGTAGTAGCACCACAGAAAGGAGATCCTCAGTTACTCTTACGACTTTCCAGGAGCATCCCAGACATTTGTTGGATGAGTGATGATGTCGAGATAAGGGGGCGCGTACATTCGGTACAAACGCCATTCGTGGCCCAATTTCTCTGTTATGGACGTCCGGAGCTTCTGGCGAGTGATGAGAAAGAGTTGTAAGTCGCGTCTCTGCCCGTTATGTACAACGGGACCATGAGCTTTACGTTGAAGCTGCGTTGAAGCAAGCGGGGGCCACATCTCAGATGTTATTGTTTGCTACAAACTCAAGCATTTCACACCATGCCTCTTGCTCTTGGCACTGGTTCTACAGATTGTGTTCTGTTTCTGGCGAGAAGTCTGTCCCTATACCAGGTAAGCGTCGAGAGTGGAGTGTGTGCTCTCTCGTTTGTGAGTGAGCGGTTGGCACGTTCTTCTTGTTCTTTGTCTCTGGCAGGTGATATCAGGTGTGGTGTTCTCTGGTCTGTAAACCCACAAGCAACATGCAAATGTACACGACCTCTGTCAAGCCTACCGGCTAGGTTTGGAGGACTGGGGCTTCTACCGTTTAACAAAATTGCACCGTTGGCTTACAAGTCAGCGCAGGAAGCCTCCGACTCCTTTCTCGCCAAGATCGACCTCATCCATCTCCTCGACCCTCCCCCCACCCCCACCCCCCAACGCGTACGGTGTGCGAAGCTGTGGTCCGAGCAGCTGTCTTCTTTCATGGAGGCGGCGACCCAGCCTGAGCGAAAGCACTTGGTCGAAAACGCGTCGAAGCTCGGACGGTCTTGGCTCCGCCAGATCCCCTACTTCGAACTCCTCCGTCTTTCCAACCACGAGGTCGCCGCCGGCCTCCACTACCGACTCCTCACCCCCGCCTCTTCCCCCGTCTGCTCCGCCTGCGCCAACGAGTCTGACCTCGGTCACGACGAAGTCTGCCGCTTGCGCGAGACATGGTCTATCCGCCGACACGACTCGATCAACCGAGTCTTCCAATCATACCTCTCCCGTGTCGCCGGCGCCGTCGTCTCTCTCGAGCCATCAACCCAAGAAGGGCGAAGGAGGAATGATCTGAGGGTACGAGGAGGAGGAGGTGCGCTTCGGAACGCCGACTATGACTTGAAGGTCTACGGTCTCGAGGATAAGCACATGTACGTGGTGGACGGTAGAGGGAAGCCAAGCGGGATGGAGTGGTTGGATTGGGTGCAGGGACGGATCGTGGCGTGGCTGTCGAAGAGGGATGAGGAGGTGGTCAAGAAGGCGCCGAGGATCTACGGGGGGGCGTTCCGCCCCCTTGTTCTTTCTGCGGGTGGTCTGATGAGCGAGGCGACGGCGGTGGAACTTAGGAGTTGGAGGAAGGGAATGGAGAAAGAGGTGTGGCAGGGGATGCAGAGTCGGGTGGGGATCGAGTTGGTGAAGGCGAGAGCGAGGACGCTGTGGATGTGAGGGAGTAGCTAGAGGCGAGGAAGGTTTTTTATTGACTTGGCGAGTATGGCCGTCTTGTCTTTTTCCTTCTGTCCGACATCGCCTTACATAGAGCCTAAGTACATAGAACTGATAAGACTTACAAGCTCTATGTAACTCTCTTCACCTCTGGAATATACATATCTGCTTGCCAGGGTAAACCATACAAGCAAAGAACGGGGCGAAAGAACCGAAAAGACGGTCAGTTGAAAGAAAAGGGCGTGAGATCCTCGAGATCCTTGTCACATTTGAGGGGTGCCGATCCCCGCAAAGTAGGCATTTCCAGACTTTGCAACCCAGCCCGTGCCGCGCAGCTTCGGCATACCCATAGAGGGGCTCCCAGAGGGGCCCCGTGGGCCAAATGTGACCCTTACATCCGAGGGTAGAAAAGACGGCATCAAATTCGAGTGGAAAGAACAATAGGGTTTTCTTACAGTAGTTCAAGTTTACTTTGCAAGCTAAGCTAGGTTGTGCTCTTCTGACCCTTCAGGCATCTTGATCTTGATCCTGCAACGTCGTCTCTGCCCATTCCATCTCTGAGTCGTACGCAGGTACATATCCCCCGCAGATTCATACCCCGCCGCCCGCTGTCCCCCCACTTTACGCGCCTGGGTAACACGCTCGCCCCGCCACCAAAACGCGCTCGTCCCTCCACCGACAGCGCCGTCGCCGTAGACGATTCCTATCACCGCGTTCTTTCCCCAACTACCGCTCTCCAGGTAAGTCAAGCAGCCCCCCGCCCCACGACGCGTCCAAATCACCCCAGGAGGCCACCGGCGTCGGCAGAACGCGCGCCGTCGTGTGCGCGGAGGGACGAGGGAAAGGGGATTGTCATGGCAGCTGTACCCTTGACAACCCCTGCGACCGCGACCGCGTGACGCATCGCGCTGACAGACGGTCCGTTTCTCTTGCAGGTTCAGCCTCTCTTCTCCGTATATCTTGCCTGCTCCTGAGACATCATGGCTGCTACTAGAAACATCAAGTGTACGTCGTCGGGCGGCGTCAAGGCGGGATGGCTGCTGATCTGAGGCAGGTGTCGTCGTGGGTGATGGTGCGGTCGGAAAGACTTGTCTCCTTATCAGTTACACAACCAATGCGTTCCCCGGTGAATACGTCCCCACCGTGTTCGACAACTACTCGAGCCAGGTCATGGTTGACGGTTTGACCGTGTCCTTGGGTCTGTGGGATACTGCCGGTCAGGAGGATTACGAGTGGGTCTCCGCTTTGCGCTGATATGCCGTGATGGGAGGCTAAAGTGCGCCTTGGATGATAGTCGACTCCGACCACTCTCCTACCCCCAGACCGACGTATTCCTTCTCTGCTTCTCTGTAGTCTCTCCCGCCTCTTTCGAGAACGTGCGAACAAAGGTAAGCGTAACTGGGTCTTTTGATGGGAGGGATCGTATGATGAAGTATTTTTCGGATGTAAATGCCTTCGGGCGCAAGTCCGAGAGCGCAAAACCAAGTGGACACCTCCGTTGCCTTCCTTCTGATATTCCTCTCATCTCTTGCGTGTTTCGTGAGAGCTGTCGCTGACAACTGGGCTGTAGTGGTATCCCGAAATTCGACATCACTGTGAGTACAATCTCATGTCCATATTATGTCGAGATTGACCCTTGTACAGCCCCCGGTACTCCCATCATTCTCGTCGGCACCAAGCTCGACTTGAGAGACGACCCCATGCAGGTCGACAAGCTGAGGGAACGAAAGCAATCTCCCATCACCTTCTCCCAAGGGTCCGCCATGGCGAACGACATTAAAGCTGCCAAGGTATGTGCCACCTTCTGAGATTGTGGATGAAGATACTGATGGCGGTTCAGTACCTTGAATGCTCCGCCCTTACTCAGAAGAACTTGAAGTCGGTATTCGACGAGGCTATCCGGACCGTCCGTGCGTACACCTCTGATACCTCTACCTGATGATGTACTGATGTATCATAGTCAACCCCAATCGACGTGCGGGCAAGGCCAAGAAGGGAAACGGCTGTGTCCTCATGTAAATTGCCTCCCACCACCACAACACGTCTAGCAGCCCACAGGCAATGTTTCTCCGTCTACTATAGAGTTTGAAGTTAATCTTCGATCAAGCCCAAGCGCTTTTTGCGATTTCCTCACACCTGGACCCCAATCTTTGATTTCTTGATCGTTGATCGGAAATATCTGTACCACCAGCTTTCCTCTTCCTGAATCCCATGCGATGAGCTCTGGCCGTGGTGTCATGTGGCTTCTTTCATCTGGTGGTATTCTACCTTGTTTGCTCTCTCCTTTCTCATTATCTGCCAGTTCTATCTTTTTTTCTCTGTCAATATTGAATGATAACGATGCCACGAACTGTGAGAATGAATGCATCTATGCCGCGAACATTATTATACAACTGTACAATCTGTCAGCAAACATCACAGAGACACTGATGGGCACCTAATCACCAATTATAATTATACACCTCCCAAACTCTACTCCTCATCCTCCTCTTCCTCGTTCTGTGCTTTGAGACTCTGCATCAAGCTCATCGACCTTATCAAGAACGGTTTGAGCTCTGACAATTCTAATGGTGTGAGATTCGTCACCTTACAACCGTTAGCATATGCCAGGGGGGCAAAGAGAGAGACTTACTTGGAGATAGTCACTTTGCAATACGTCTTCGCTTTGGAGACCGAAGCGAATCTTGGCCTGGCGGACTTCTCTGATGTCCTTGAGAAGCGAGCGGACTTGTGTAGCTTGTGAGATGTCATCGAGTGCTCTGAAAGATAGTATTATTGGCGTGTATAGGAGCATGAAGCGAAGGATTGCTTACACGTCTAAAAGGACCTTGCTGATCTCCATAAACCGCCGCGGTAATCTTTCAAACCCTTCCGAGTTTTCCTTTTCATTCTTCAGAACCTGGAGTAAGTTCTCTACAGTCCTTCATCAGAAAAACGGTCTTTGTAGAGGGCGAGACATGGACAACTTGCCGACGGAAAGCCATTCTGGTGGCACGATCCTACACTTTCTCTTCTTCTTCAAACTCAATCCCAACCATATGGGAACTCTGGCTGCAGAAGGGGGATGAAATGGTCCATAGATGCCCTAAACGCCAATACGTCAGCCGTTCCAACTTCCGTACAATTCAGAATGAGTAACGTACGCTCACAAGCCGTACGGGGGTCATGGAAAAGAGAGGCACGATGTTGATGTGGTCCTGCTCAGCGAGAAAGGTGAGCTCGTCAGGGGTCAGACTTTTCTGGAGGGACTTGGGAAGGGCCATGGTGTGCGAGTTGATGTGGTTCAGCAGTCGCGTTCGCGTTTCTGAGTGTACGCGTCTTTGATAGCGATGGATTTGGTCCCGTCGAGCCTGGCGCTGCGCGTAAGATTTCCGACTTTCTATCTCTCTTTCTGCATCCCATCTCGCCCACATCCACCCCTCTGAACTACCCACCATGCTGCGCGAAGTCAAGGTCGGCCTTGACGGCGGTAGCGGAAGGCCCGGCACTTTTTACGGTCTCTCCCACCGCATATGGCTCCTCATCGGTATCGTCATTGGCATCTTTACCTTTTCGCGTCTCCTTCTACGTGAGTGTTTCCTACTCGACTGCAGACTCGAATTTTTAATGAAATTCAGCCACTTCCGACTCGTCTGCATCTGACGCCCTTCTCTTGACACCCAAGGATTACATCAACGCCTCCGCTTCCGATCCTGCCCCCTTCGACTTTTGCCCCGTCTTTGGTCCTGGCGACGATGTGGCCACTCGACGTGGCCAGTGGGGTCTCCTACGCTCCCGCCTGCACATGGGATCGGGTGCTCGCGTCCAAAAAGTCGTGCAGAAAGCCATGGCAGGTCTTCCAGTCACGATCTCGGTTTTGGGCGGCTCCGTCTCTGCCTGTCACGGTGCAGGCGACGACCCCGTTTCGCCCAAGTGCTACCCAGCAAGGTTTTTCAACTGGTGGAACTCGATCTTTCCTCATCCCGACTCTGAGATCACGAACGGAGCGTCAAGAAAGACGGATTCGGCGTACTTTGCGTACTGCTCACAGCACCACTTGCCAGATCAGACCGATCTGGTGATTCTTGAATTCGATGCCGAAGATCCAAACGACCCGGAGTGGCTGTCGCATTTTGAGCTGCTTGTGAGGAGTATTCTGGTGCGACCTGATCAGCCGGCTGTCATCATTCTGGGACACTTTGCGCCTCAGCTCCAGGCCCAGAATGGTTACGCGGGACCGGAGCTGCTGCATACCGTCGTGGCGCAGTTCTACGACATTCCCCATATCAGGTAAGCTCATTCTGTTTTGTCTCCGTATGTTGCTGACTGTCTGCAGTGCCAAGGGCATCCTCTACCACGACTACCTCCTTGACCCGCAAGACGCTCGCGGCAAGTTCTTCGCTGACCCCATGCTTGCCAATCCCGATGGTCACGAGCTCATCTCCGACCTCCTCATCTCTTATATGCAAACCCAAATCTGCTCCGGTTGGGCAGCGACTATGGGACACGCTTTCGACGTGCCCTACATGGGCGCGCCTCCCCCATCCTCTGGCATTGACCCGGTTCTTGCCGGCAACAGTGCAGTCCCGGGTGAGGCGGACGAGAGCGAGGGTGGCGGAGCTGCCGCAAAGCAGAGGGCAGTCAAGGTGCCTTCTGCGATGTTGACCTCTAGGCCGAGCGATATTTTGAAGTTCAGAGAAGTCGCGCCGTACTGTGTGAGCGCCAACGATCTGCTGAACCCGCTGCCGCCCTCGCACTTCTACGGCTCTGGTTGGCACGCTTATCACCCGTCAAAGGGGGCGGCGCAGGAGGAAAAACATTATTGGTATGCCGAAGTGGGAGGGAGTAGCTTCAGGGTACATGTGACTTTGAGCGCCGGTGATGTCGCCATCTACTACCTCCAGTGAGTCAATGCTGCTTACAAATCGTACTGGCACTAACGTACGAGTAGAAATCCTGAAGAGACGCCCCTGGGGAGAGCAGCTTGCTGGGTGGACGACAATGTTGCCGGAGCGGTCGAATTGAGTGGTATTTCAGATGTGCACGGCACGACTACCACGTGAGTTCCCACGTCCACCTTGCAGTCACGAAAGCTCATCAACGACACAGATTGACCTTGATCGACGAGAATGTGGCACCAGGAGAGCATTACGTGGAGTGTACACTGATAGGCAAGGAGGGACAGAAGACTCCGCCTTTCAAGATGCTCGGCGTGTAAGTCTAGTTATCGAGAGCTGACTCATATCACCGATGTGCTGACACGATATATAGGTTCGCAACATGATCGGCACAAAAAAAACAACAAACAATATGTCTTCGTACTTTTTACTTTCGTTTTTTCTTGTCGGCGTCATACTTGCCCTTTGTGTGTACCTTCGCATGGTGTTTATCTAGAGTTCTATGTTGGGCAATGCAACTCAATATTGTCTGGTCATTATACGCGATCCGGGCGCTTTGTTGAGCATCTGAGGGCTAGATCAAACAAGTTCGACTGATTGATTACATTGCTTTCTTATGTTGCGTCTGACTCCAGAAAGATGAAAAATGCCCCATGGCATATCACTCCTACTCTTCATCGGAAACCTCTCCCACATTCTTGTATCTGAACAGCGCCCGCTCACGTGCCTCCTTGTGCTCAACGATAGGAGCAGGATACCCCAGCCTCTCGAACTCGGCCGAAGACAAATGGTTGTGGGGATCATGGATCGCCTTGCCCTTGACATCCTTGAGCTCAGGGACCCAGTGGCGGACAAAGGATCCTTCGGGGTCGCATTTCTCGGACTGAGTTATAGTATTGAAGATCCTCTGCAGACATAAAATGAGTCAGTAGGCGCGAACACATGGGTAGGCATGTGGCTTACGAAATAGGGTTGGGGGTCGGTTCCTGTACTGGCCACCCACTGCCAGCCGCCATTGTTGGAAGGCAGGTCACCGTCAATCAGACTCTGCATAAAGTAGCGTTCGCCCAACCCTAAACATAATTCGCGTCAGTCATTTCGTCAGATGTGTGTCGGCAGGTAAGCTTACTCCAATCCAACATGAGTTCTTTGATCAAAAAGTTGGCAGTCACCATCCTCAACCTATTCTCCATCCATCCCCGGGCGTTCAACGCTCTCATGGCGGCGTCGACGATAGGGTATCCAGTCTTGCCGTCTTTCCAGGCTTGTAGATTGGACTCGGACGTCTCCCATTGAACGTCCGCGAGCTTTTCCTGGAAGGGGCGACCCATGGAAACTCGAGGTGAAGTGGTCATGACCTGATAATACGTTAGATTATGATTACAGTCTAATTCGATGGGACTTGCCTGGTTATAGAAGTCTCGCCAAGCAACCTCTTGCACCCACATGCCCACGCTTGTCTCCCGTCCACTCTCCAACTTCCCACTTTTCCCCAACTTCTTGGCTTCATTCAACACTTGCCTCACGCTGATGACACCACTAGCGAGGTAAGGGCTCAGCTTGGAGCTGTTATTGCCATCTATCAAGTTGCGCCCTTCACCATAGTTTTGGATCCTAGAGTCTTTGTCGGAATTCTCAGCGTCCGGAGAGATCGGCGGAGTGTCACCGAAATTGTTCTGCTGAGCTTTAGTGTGCAAGAATCGGTCAAGGAACTGTGCTCTCTTGTCAGCAATCGAGCCATCCCGATTGAGCCTTGCACCGACTTGCCTCCTTGGCTGCCTCGGTCCCCTCTGGCCAGAGCTTCGCCATGAACTCTTGATCTCGGCACTCAAAACCTTCGACTCTCTCCGGTACTTTCGTGTCGAAGAGCTTGGAAAACTTGACATGCTTGCGGACAGCCGAGTCGTTGGCTTCTGGCAAACGCGACATTTCGAGCAGTTTAGGCTCTTCCTCAAGTATTCTTGCCCATACTATACCAATGTCAGTTCATTGCGATGCGTCAATCAATCAATCAAGAGACAGAGCCATACCTCTCTGCCAAGGGCTGTAAACCTGCATAGGTTTGCCCGCCTGGGTAAAGATTCTGCCCGGTGGTACAGCCAGTCTATTATGGAACAGTTTCACTTCTATCCCTTCTTTCCCAGCTAGCTGGACAGTCTTGATATCGCGCGTCAACTCATCGACTTCATATTCGATGTTACCGAAGAGATGGGCAGCTGAGAGGGAAGGGAGGATGTCGGTGATCACCTTTCGAGGGATGGTGAGGCGTTTGTCGTAAGACTTGACGATGAGGGGGATGTTGAGCTTGTCAAGTTTGCTCTAATGAGATCCCTGTCAGCCCATGGGGGCCTTAGGGATAGAAGACACAAACCTGGACAGATCGCAGATTCCGGAGCATAAAGTCGATTCGCCTAGGACTTCGATCATGCCAATTATAGTCTCCCGGACTGAGTACTGCGAGGACCAGCAGCGGTACGCCAAGCTCCTTGGCCTTCTGGGAGGCTTTTGATAGAGCGATATTATCCTCGACTGATCAGAGTCAGCACATGTCTACTACAGACGATTAGAGAGGGGCTCACTTCGGAGGTCTTCCATCCTCATCCAATACACCACACTCTCCCCTGCTTCCTTATTTTCCTCTTGCTGTTCAAGTGCTTTGTACAAGCGTTGAATGGGAGAGTCATTGTCCATCCGAGCAGCATCCTCGGCCGTGGCTACCTTGCCCTCTAATGAACTCCCGTCAGTCTACACCGACAGAGTAGGAAGAAGCGGAGACTTGCTGATTTCGTACGCATTCTTGTGCTTTTTCGAATCGGGAGAAGCGACACCCTCGCCTGATGGGGCAGGCCTCTTCTTCTCATTGCTGCTCCCGCGTTTCTCCTTCTTCTTCTTGTCTGTCTCTTTCACATCCTCCTCCTCTTCATTCTGGCTCTCTTCCCCGGAAGACTCGTGGTAATCAAGGGCGGGTGCCGATTCGGCATTCTCTTCGTGCGCCTGAGAAGATCGGGTAGAGACCATAGTGGATATCTACTAGCTTTGAGATGAATAAAGTGGGCGAACGGTGATGGATGATGTGAGCCGCGGGATTGTTGTAGTGGTCGAAATGGTTTCAAAGTTGAACGTCTTAGTTCAATCGCTCTCTCTTGAGACGATATCGAGGAGAAACGTCAGCGTGTGGGGGGGGTACTGTATATATACTACGCCGAGAAGAGGAGAGGAGGATGCGGGGGATGGAGTAGTAGTGAGCATCGGCAACGACCATCGGCGGGATCTTTGACGTCACGGACGCGCGACGGGAGGCCGAAAGCGCGAAGAGCATGCAGCGGACGCCTCTCGAGATTGTCGACAATTGTCGACGCTTGTGCAAACATTTGCACGGAAGCAAGGAACCACATCGACATATGTATATGCATCCTAAAGCTCTTCATGTACAATTCCAGTATTCTCGCTCTCCACCTCTCCCGCCCCTGGAGCCTCTTCCGGCACCGGCTCAGCCGCCCCTTCCTCGTCCTCGACCGGTTCGTCCACCTTGACGATTTCCTCCACAGGCTCTGCTTCAGGCGCCGCCTCCACCGGGCTAGCTTCTTTACCAGCATTCTCAAGAACGGCCTTCACTTGAGCTCTCGCGGCTTCGGCTTTGGCGCGTCGGACTTGATCTCGACGTTCGGCTTCTTCGAGTTTGGCCCGACGGCGGGCAGTCTCGTCTTGGTCAGGTTTGGCCTTGGGTTTCGGGGAAGATTCTGATTTGGGTGCTTTCTGGTCGGGGGTATCTTGGGAAGAGGAGGAAGAAGAGGTGAATGAGGACTGAAGCCATTCGAGAAGAGAGTTGAACTTGAGGATACCTGAACCCCCTATCAGCTCCGACTATCTATATCTGGTATGGGGATATGCCTCACCGTCGTACTCTACGAGCTCTGCCCTGTCTGCCCCGGCTTTCCAGGCCACCACACGTGCGGTATCACGTGTAGCATCAGCAGGGTCAAAGATCCCGAGGGAGGAAAGGACATCGTGGGAGTTGGTGTCGCGGACGAATCCCAGATGCATCTTGACAAGAGTCAGTACAGGTATACATACCGAAGTGGGAGTTAAAGCTTACCTTGCCAGAGTATCGATGAGCGAGCACTTTCCAAAGGAACGGGATCGATGGAGCAGATGGGTGGACGAGGAGAACGTGGGGGAGTTCAGTCTTCTACAGTGTCATGTCAGTACTACTTGAAAAGCTACAGATAGACACATACTTCACCCAAGAAGCCCTCCAGACCAGGTTCCACAGCACCCTGCACTCTCAACTTCTTGACCCTCTCCGGCACCAAGCTCTTTGCATACTCGACCAACGGCCCCCTCTTCCTCTCTCCATTATAGTCTTTTGCGGCACCTTTGCCAGCTTTGGGGAAAGCCTTGATAGTGGGGAATCCTTGGATACCGTATTCGGCACAGAGAGGCTTGTTGGAAGCGTCATCACAGTCGACGGCGTAAAAAGGGATGAGGGGAGAAAGGGACTGAGCAGCGGCGGTATATTCCGGCCCGAGATTCTTACAGTGTCCACACCAGGGAGCCACGAAAGCGACCATCTGATACTTGTCAGCACAAGCTGCAGATATGGTAATCACACTTACAGCAGCGTGCTCGTTGGCCATGACTTTTTTGAACGACTTGCTGTCGAGATGGAGGACTGGCTGGGCATACATGCCCGCATATGCGAGCGGGAGGAGGGCCGCTGTGAGCAGCACTGTGAGCTTCATCGTCGCGTGGATAGAACATCTCTACAGCATCTCGACGTGGCAAGATGGACGACCGACGGCCTCGAATGCGGGGCGGGGATGTCCGCCGTGATAAGAAAAGCCACGTCCGTCGAAAGTGGTGGCACTTTTCGCTTGGAGCATTTTCTCGCAGCTTCCCTCTCCATCTACAAAAGGGTGCATGTTCTTCGCCTCCCTTCGCATCAACACCCCCAAGCACACCGTACTTTTCGCATTCACACCCTTCAGGGCATTTTCCACCTCCTTACCTACCCCCGCAAAGTTAAAAAAGATGGCCCCCAAGAAGAAGGTCGTCGAGGAGAAGAAGATCAGGCTCGGTAGGCCCGGTAACAACTTGAAGGTGTGTACTGTCAATCAGAACGAGATCATGGCTGACGCTAGCAAAGATTGGTATCGTCGGTCTCCCCAACGTCGGCAAGTCATCATTCTTCAACACCCTCTCCCAAACCGACTTGGGTAAGGCTGCCAACTTCCCCTACGCTACCATGTAAGTTCGTGTCTCGAACTGTAGATTGTACATGTCTGACGGTCCTATAGCGACCCCGAGGAGGCCCGTATCCCCGTCCCCGACGAGCGATTCGACTGGCTCGCTTCCGTCTACAAGCCCACCAACAAAATCCCCGCTTTCCTCACCTGTATCGATATCGCCGGTCTTACCGCTGGTGCTTCCACCGGTGCCGGTCTCGGTAACGCCTTCTTGTCCCACGTCCGTGCTGTCGACGGTATCTTCCAGGTCGTCCGCGCGTTTGACGACGCCGAAGTCATTCACGTTGAGGGTGATGTCGACCCCCTGCGTGACATGCAGATCATCAGTACCGAGCTGAGGTTGAAGGATATCGAATGGGTTGAGAAGGCTTTGGACGGCTTGAAGAAGGTTTCCAAAAACTTGGGAAGTGTTTCGTTGGCCGACAAGGCCAAGAAGGAGGAGATTGTGCGTATACGCTTTTTCGGCCGGTGCTCAGTCGCTTACCTTGGTCACAGGTCACTGTCGAGAAGATCCTGCATACTTTGGTCGAGGAGAACAGGGACGTCCGAAAGGGCACTTGGTCAACGAAAGAGGTAAGCCCGTTTCCACTGTATTTCCATCCATCTTTTCCCTCCACTATAAGTGATGAATCAGCGCATAGCGCTATAAACCCAGCTCTCCGATTAATATATGAGCCGAAATTTGTTTTTTTTTATACCTCTGACCTACCTTTACCCTCTGTTCAAAATTCTAGTTCATTGAATCGACGCTGACTTTTCGATTACAGGTCGAGGTCATCAACCGACTCGATCTCCTGACGGCCAAGCCCATCACCTACCTTGTCAACCTTTCCGAGCGTGACTACGTCCGAAAGAAGAACAAGTGGCTCCCCAAGATTAAAGCTTGGATCGACGAGAACAACCCTGGAGACCCCCTGATCCCCTTCTCCGTCTCTCTCGAAGAACGTCTCGTCCGCATGGCTGACGAAGAGGAGAAGGCTGCCGAAGGCGAGGCCCTCGGTCTCGGCCGCAAGAACCCCTCCGCCTTGGGCAAGATCACCACCTCCGGTTACTCTTCCCTCGACCTTATCCGATACTTTACCTGTGGCCCCGTCGAGGTCCGAGCGTGGACTGTCCGAAAGGGTATCAAGGCCCCCGCGGCCGCTGGTGTCATTCACTCGGATTTCGAAAACAAGTTTGTGTGTGGTGAGATCATGGCGTACGAGGATTTGAAGGAGCATGGGTCTGAGGCTGCTGTCAAGGCTGCCGGCAAGCTGAGGCAGCAGGGTAAGCCTTATGAGATTGTTGATGGTGATATCTGTTACTGGAAGGCCGGTCAATAATTAGACGAGGGAAGTTTAGAAGTCATGACATCACAGATGCAATATGTGTAGCAGTATGCTCTTTTTTCACGCCCACGGGTTCATGCTCTTGTCGAGGCTATTGCTACATACAGATATCACGGGTGACACCTACATGAAACATCAGGCGGTCCGTGCGCAAGTGGACAGTGGCTTCTTTGGCATATGGCCTCAGGCTCTGCCAATGGGTGTAGCCTTAGCCCCCGCACGTGGAAAGCAAGTTGGTGAACAAGTAGGCGGCGACTTGAAGGATGGCAACGGCGTCCATCCACATGCCCTATCTTGAATATCTAGAACGAAGACAGCAGCTCTCCTTAGTGGATGTTGGATGTTGAGCTTGGTCAATATCTTCTGGGCAAAGATGTCTCCAAGAAATGGAGATGACTCGAGTATCTGGAAGTCGATGAACTTGCCCGAAAACTGGAAAAGTGAGCAAGAGATTCAGAGAATAACTATAGGTGAGCTTTGGAGCGGAGCCAGATGGTCTTTACGCACTGACCATACAACAACATTCCATGGTGGAAAGGCTTGATGTCATCATCCGCAGAATGAACTGTCGTGTGCAGCATGCAGGTTACAGTACTGATATCATGCAATTGAGGATGGGAATGAGGTCGAGATGACAGAGCAAGTCGATCACGATTTGGGGAACAGTCAGTAGTATAGACCAATTGGCTGATGCTTCCCGTGATGATCTTCCTAGAGGTGGGGTATTCTTTGTTACCAATGCTGGTAACTCGGCAATAATGTCGCGAGACTAGACGATGGTCTTGCCTCGCCCATACAGATGCTACTCCTCATGTCGAATCTCAAAAGCGTCCACAGTCGCCGAGCTCTCCATCATTCTCACTACCGATGTGAGCTCGGCAATGGAAGCCAGTATACCCAGTATAGTCATAAAATACATCTTTATCCTTCGAGGCTACTCCCTAATTCCCGGTCTTGCCATTCACCTGCCTCAAACAGTGACACCAACTTCTATGGGAGGACGGGGAGCATCCACCTGGGTGTCCTTAGGGTTGGCTTCAATGTTGGCAATGGGATCTTCTTTGGAAAGGTCGACGTGGTGGATACCATCCTTGTCAATGAGAATGACGTTAAAGTCGAATTTGATCGTAAGACCTATAGTCTCTCATGAGCCGCTGTCCTTTACAAAAGTGTCGCCACGGGGCCAAACTCACGCTTCTCAGTCTCATCAATACACTTTCTCAGCACCTCCACACCTTCTCTCTGGTCCATATCCTCATTCCACCACTTGTCCATAGTACTCAGACTGACGTAGACACCCATACCGTGCGCGGCGTAGGGGACGACAGCCTTGGTACCGAGATAGTCGATCCAGTAGAGGTGGGGTTTGGAGGTGGTGGTGTCGAAACCACCGAGGAGAAGGTTGACGGCGTAGGGCTTACGGGAGCGGATGGATTCAGCCAGTGTGCGGCGAATCCATGCTGAAGCAGGGTGGGGGAGAAGGGGGAAGTGGTGTCTGCAATCCCAAGTCTGTCAGCCATATCCCACCTGCGACTGGTGCAAGAGCATACCGGATGTTGTACAGACGCATGTTGCGCTCGACAAACTCGGCAAAGTTGTTGGTGTCTCCTGGTTCACCGCCGTAGGCCATGGCGAGGTGGGGGCCGAGGGCCTTGATCTTGTTCTCGTCCGACTTCATGCGGACGATGGAACGGCCTGCGCCCATGTCTGAGGCGAGGATGACATAGTCTTTGCCTGTGCGGGGTCAGCGCTGCCCCCTCTACCCCATCCTGACCTACCTGTGATACCGAATGAGCACTCCATGGTGTTGTATAGCGGTGAATGCGACTGACAGTGACGAGTTGAGACGCGCAAGCTCGTGAATGAGCGCGGGCTTACGTAATCACAGCGGCGTCCTCCACGGCGTATTCTCCTGGTGCAGTGGTTCCAGCGATGTTGAGGGGATGCATCTCCCGTTTCTCATCCACTTCTCTTTCTCTTTCTCTTTCCGATATCATTCAACCATCCGGTGGCGCATCCTCGACGAGTGACTCGGCAAGCCCACCGTTCGACACCAGACGCGTCAGCTCTTTTGACGGGCCTCGTTAACTATTCCAGCGCATCTGTCTAATCATCAAATCACCCAACATGGAATCTCAAATGGACTTGGAGCCGATCACGCTCCTCCTGCAGGAGGTGCAGGCCATCACCTCGAATATGAGGCGTAACCAGAGATGGGCAAACAGTACCGCTTCCTATGGCTCCCACCAGTCGTCTCTGCAACCGGCACTCAACAACAAGCTCTTGGCTCGAGCTGCAAGCCGAAGGGGGAGACCAAGTGCAGAGCACGGGGAGAAGGGTGATTTGATGGATGGGTTCATTGAGCTGAGACGGTTGTTGAGCGCCGTGAAAGGTAGGTTTAGAGTTTATCTACTTGGGACATGTAGGCTGACTTGTATTCACCGTAGACATCACTGCTCTACCACCTATAGACCTCATCGCTCCTTTCCTTGCCCTCATCCGGTCGCCATCCACCTCCGGTCCCATCACAGCATTATCTCTTACCTCTGTCCATTCTATCCTTACCTCCATTCTCCCGCTCTACCTCACCCCTGCACCAAAGACATTCTCCCAGTCCATGCCCCTCCAGCTCGCATTGGCCCACACAACATCGGCCCTTTCACAATGTCGGTTCCCAAGCTCATCTCCCCAGCAGGACGAACTCGTCCTCTTGCGCCTACTGCGGGTGATTGAAGCGCTCACTCGACCCATTCCCTTGCCGAGCGATGGCCCGACGCCATTTGAATTGGGCAACTATCTCGATTACATGGGCGACGAATCTGTCTGCGAACTGCTCGAGGTGGGCCTTGGGATGCTGGCCCGAGCCAGGCTTGGCGAGGGCGTCAGGTCGACTGCCCAAAATTGTGTGCAGGCGATTGTGAGAAATGCGTTCAGAAAGCTGAGGAGTATGAAACAGAAAGACGTGGAAAAATTGATGAAGGACGCGAAAGAGTATGAGACAAAGATCGAGGCGAGGGAGACTGCTCTGAAAGAAGCTGCTCAGAAGGAGACTACTGCAGCGAAGGAAGCAGAGAGACAAGGAGAATCCGATGCTGAGCCGAAGGAAGGAGCGCAGAGGATTTCGGTGACCATCGAAAAGGTCGATAATGAGCAGCCCAAAGCCGAGAGATCTGGATCCGAAGGCGAGGAGCCTCTCGCGCCCATGTTTACGCCTTACGGACTCCCAACAATCCTGGAGCTCTTGCGTGTTCTGATGGCATTGTTGGATCCTCACGACAATAACCATACCGATACCATGCGTCTCTCTGCGCTGGCTATCTTGAACACTGCGCTAGAAGTTGGAGGTGTGCATCTCGGCAATTGGCCCGAGCTGAGAGAAGGTGTTCGGGACGAGGGCTGCAGATACCTCTTCCAGCTCACCCGATCTGATTCCCCTTCCCTTCTCGCCCAGTCACTTCGAACAACTTCCACCCTCTTCTCCACTGTCCTTCCCCATCTAAAACCCCAGCTCGAGTTATTCCTGTCATACCTCATTGACCGCCTGACTCCACCCACTCCTCCTCCACAACTGCTCAACGTTCGTCCAGACTCTCAACCTGGTACACCTGGGGTCGGCGGCCCTACTACTCCTGGTTTGGAGACCACACTTGAACCGAGCAGTGCTCCTGCAACTCCCAAAGCGCTTCTCCTGCCCCCAGCTCCTCACGAGACTCGCGAACTCATGCTCGACACCCTTACTCAACTTGCTCTCCGTCCATCATTCATGGTCGACTGCTGGGTCAACTTTGACTGTAATACCGATAGTGAAGATATATTCGAGCGGTTAATCACTTTCCTGACCAGGGGGGTGTATCCTCAAGCACCGCCCAAGGCGGACGGGTCTAGTCCGTTCTTTGAGGGCCTCGATAGTACTCAGTTCTTGTCCCTGGAGATTCTGTTGGCGTTTGTGGCGTCCATGGCGGACAGGTTGGAACAAGGCGATGCGCCGTGGCCGGAATCTGCCCCCAGAGCCGAAGATCTCACTTCTGCCAAAGAACGCAAGTCTGTCATCCTCGCTGGTGCTGCGCAATTCAACGTCAAGCCCAAGAAGGGCGTTGCTTTCTTGCTGGAGCAGGGTGTCATCGTGCCCGACCCTACAGGCGAAGGTTCTGAGGAGGAGAAGCAGAATCTTGCTGTTGCAAAATTCCTGCGCTGGGGTCCTAGGCTGGATAAGAAACTGGTTGGCGAGTATATCTCTGGCCCCGACAAGGAGCCGCTGCTCAAAGCCTATATCGGTCTCTTTGACTTCCAAAGCAAGAGTGTCGCAGACTCTTTGCGAGAGCTTTTGGAGACTTTTAGACTTCCCGGTGAAGCTCAGCCAATTGCCAGGATCACCGAGACATTCGCCGCTCATTTCTTCTCCTTTGCACCCCCAGGCATTGCCGACGAGGATTCCGTCTATGTCCTCGCCTATTCCGTCATCATGTTGAACACTGATCTGCACAACCCGCAGAATAAGAAACGGATGACACCGGAGGATTACAAGAAGAATTTGAGAGGTGTCAATGGAGGCAAGAACTTTGAAGAGGCGTATCTGGATGAGATTCATGAGAGTATCAAGGAGAAGGAGATCATCCTGCCAGAGGAACATGTGGGACAGCATGGGTTTGATTTTGCTTGGAAAACTTTGATGCAGAGGTCGAGGACGTCTGGTAAGTCTTATCACTTGAAAAAGCGAGTGTTTGCTGACTTATGCCAGGTCCTATGATCATTTGTAACACTTCGATATTTGACGAGGCAATGTTCAAGCTTGCTTGGCGGCCTCTTATATCCTCCATCGCCTACGCTTTTACAATGTCTGCTCAAGACGAGCACGTCATTCAAAAAGCCGTCACGGGATTCCGTCAAGCTGCTTTGCTTGCTTCGACGTACCACCTTCCAGAGGTATTCGACAACATTGTCCAGTCCCTGTCCAATGCTACAGGGTTGCTCGATGACACTGAAGACGGCTATCAGATGGACAACTACCCCGTCGTCAAGAAGGAAGGGCAAGAATTGACAGTCTCGCCGCTGTCGATCAAATTTGGTCAGAGCTACAGGGCACAGTTGGCGACTGTGGTGCTTTTCACCATTGCCAATGGCAACGGCTCAGCCATGCGAGAAGGCTGGCTCCAGATCTTTGAAATGTTCCAAACCCTCTTTTTACACTCGCTTCTCCCTGCACCAATGCTCCAGATGGAAGACTTCCTCGCCGGCACATCAACCATTCCTCTCAAGGCAGCTGCCCCTGCGCCCGCCCCCGAACGGAGACCAGAGGGCGGTCTCTTGTCGACTCTGTCGAGTTACTTGTTGAGTCCGTATGGCCAGGCGCCGGAAGGCGTGGTGATGGAGGCCAGCGAGGAAGATGTGGAGAATACGTTGGTGGCTATCGACTGTTTGAGCTCGTGTAAACTTGAAGAGCTCTATGCTGAGATACTGTAAGCATTACCCTGTGTGCTTCAGGCCAATACTGATGGTATGATATAGAAACCTCCCCGGAGAAGCGCTTCTTCCAGCTCTGCGAGCTATCCGAACCCTGGCAGAAAGTCGCACCACCGACAAGCTCCAGTCTCCTACAGAGCAGCGGGGTGAGACTGGTTCTCCTGTGTTGGGGGCAAGGTTTGAAGGACAGCTGCCTTATGACCCAGCTTGCGTGTTCCACTTGGAGATGATGGTTAGTTTGGCTAGTAAGGGGACGCAACACATTGCGGAGACATGGTGAGTGCTTCCGAAAGTAGATTCCGGATCGCAAGTGCTGACTTTCTAGGCCAATCATCTTTGAGTACATCTCGCAATTGCTCTCCTCTGCGCAATCCTACAGCGTACTCCTCATTGAGCGTGCTGTCGTTGGCCTCCTGCGTCTTTGCTTGGTCTGTTCTGATCATGTAAGTCTAGTTTGCATCCTACGACATTAGCTTACTATTCCATAGCCCGAGCTCCGTGACCAGCTTTACATTGCCTTGGACGTCCTCCGCTCGCTCCCTTCCACAGTTCTCAATGCCGTATCCGAGCAACTCATGGCTGGTGTTGCCCTCGTTCTCGAGAAAGACGCCACTGTTCTCAAATCCCAAACCGAGTGGAACCTCGTCATTGCCCTCTTTAGGGCGACTGTCGCTCACCCCGAAGCGAGCAAGGTGACTCTCGAGATTGTGAAAAAGATGGCTGCCTCCGGTTCCGTCTCTGGGGACGGAAAAGGTGCGGGTGTGACTGTGGACAACTATGCAGGAGTGGTGGCGCTTTTGGACGAGTTTGCGACCCAAGCGGGGGCGGCGGCTGCGGGAAGGCAGCAGCAGCAAAGGAGGCCTTCACTTGGTGGACCTCCCTCTGGAAGCTTGTGAGAGGTTTTGCTTGTGGTTTTGTCCGGTACTGACAGTATCAGGGGCCCAACGGTCGAAAGAGGGTTGTCGGCATTGGACTCTTTGTACGAGTTGCGGAATGTGATTCCTGCGTTGATGGCCGCGAGCGATTTGACAGAGCACCAAGGTACGTGTCTGTCATCAAGCGTAGAGACGATTAGCTGACAGGCATTGGCAGCTTTCAACGCCTTCTGGCTCCCACCTCTCCTTGTCATTGGCAAGCAATGTATCAACGGCTGTCGGGAAATCCGCCAAAGAGCCATTACATACCTCCAACGAGTCCTTCTTTCCCCTCAAATTCTCTCTGGAGACGAGTCTACACTCCCCACTGTCTTTGATCGTGTCCTCTTCCCAGTTCTCGAAGAGCTCTTGAAGCCTCAAGTGTACGAACGGGACCCCAAGGGACTGGCGGAAACGAGACTGAAGGCTGCGACATTGCTCTGCAAGATCTTCTTGCAGTATGTTGTCAAGCTCGTGGAAAGCGGGAGTAGCGAGGCGGTGGCCGGACTGTTTGTCAAGGTGTTGGACAAGCTGGAGAGGTTCATGCGTGGTGAAAGGGATCTTCTTGTAAGTCTCGTGATGGCTGCCAAGAAAAGTTGACTGACCATGCTCAGAATGAGGCGGGTGAATCACTCAAGAATGTCGTCCTTGTGATGAACTCTTCCAACCTCCTGTTGGCGCCCACAGTCGCAGGTCAGCCTGAAGTCCGTACATCAGCCCAGATAGAGTTGTGGGAGAAGAGCGCAGAGAGGATAGAGCGGGTGCTTCCGGGATTCTTGAGAGAGGCTATCCCGCCTACTGCTCTTCCTGCCGAAGCGGCGCCCCAGCAAGCTGCTCCTGCTCCAGAAATCAAAAGTGAAATCGCCGAGTAGGCAGAGGTGTGCTGGGAGGCGTAGTTTGGAAGGTCAAAAGGGATATAGTACTTGTAGCAACTTTTCATTCTTAATGCATAAACATAGACCTATCGAAACTACCCCTCGATGTAGACGCTTCCTCCCGAATCATGCTTCCTAGGATCACCTTCCGCCTCCCATCCATCCCCAGTCCACAAAATAGCACAAGGCGTACTAAACGCCTTCTCAACCCACTGCACCTTGTGTCCCTTCTTCCTCAGCCCTTCCACCTGCTCCTCCGTGAACCCCTTGACCTCCACACCCCTTACATTCGATCCCCTTTCCACTGTGCTCACGTTGGGCAAGATCTGGTTGTGCAACCTGGGGTTGGAAAGGGCTTGGGCGGCAGAGTGGTTGTATGCGAGGAGGGAGAGGGCGATCTGGGTGTTTGAAGAGATGATTGTACTTCCGCCGGCGGCCCCACCTGAAGCGTAAACTCTTCCGGAAGGATGGGTGATGATGTAGGGGCAAGAGGAAGACAAGGGACGTTTACCGCCGGCCACTGAGCGCACATAGTCAGCCAATAGTGTAAATGTGTCTGCGTTCGACGGACTGACCGTAGTTTGTGACCTGCGGTTCATATCCAAATTGGTTCGGTCGACCTTCCACCGAAAAGTCGTCCATCGAATCGTTGAGGACGAATCCCCAGCCGGGGACCATGATGTGTGATCCGTAGTTGAGTCCTACGGTGGTGGTGACCGAGATGGTGAGGCCGGAAGAGTCTGTGGTTGTAATGTTGGAGGTGCCGGCGTCTGTAACAATCTCCACTCTGCAGACATGTCAGCCTTTGTTGGATGGGTATAGTATGCGCTTACTTGGCAGGTTTATAGTAATCCGGGTCCTTGGTCTCCTTATCATCAATCATCCCCTTCCTCCTCTCAATATACTCCTTCGTCAACCACTCTTTCTGCTTCTCTTCAGCATCATCCACAAACGCCGGATCACCGAGGGCTGTCCGCTGACCATAAGCCAGACGGAGGGCTTCCGTCAAGCGGTGGAGGTCGGTGACGGTGCCGTAGCCTTCGGGCTCAAAGCGGGAGAGCATGGACATGGCAGAGAGCCAGATGGCGCCTGATGCTGGTGCAGGCGGGGCGTACAGGGTAAAGTCTTTGTATTTTGTAGATAAGGCTTCGCGCCAGATTGGCTTGTAGTCTATTGTGTATCAGTGAATTAGTACACTTGGTAGTTTCTGAGCTTACTCTCGAGATCATCCACTGTCATCAAGCCGTCCCTATCTCGCACAGCCTTCACAAGCGCTTCCGCAATCTCACCCTTATAGAACGCCTCTGCACCTTCCTCGGCAATCTTCCGAAGGGCCTTTGCCAGCTCGGGTCTCTTCCATATGCTTCTTTGCGGGATTATGTGCCCGTCTGGCTGGATGAGGGACGCGTAAGACGGGTCTTTGTCGAGCCATGTGTCGCGGAGGTTGGTAGAGTTGGGAGGGTTTGCTTCTTTCAATGTATACTGCAATCACATATATCAGCCACGGTACATGAGAGTATGATTTGGACATACCTCGTACAAGTCTCCGCCGAATGCAAAACCATTCTCGGCCAGGTCGATGCTCTCTTGAAAGAGCCGCTTCCAAGGCAACGCGCCGTATAGCTCATGGAGCTCGGCAAACCCACGCATCTGGCCTGGGACGGCTACAGCCAGACCGCCTACGGCTGTCGCTTGTGCCGGGAGCTTCTTGAAGAGCTTTGCAGTTACAGCCGCCTTCAGCGCAAGCGCGATATCAGTCAGATCAAGTCTACTCCAGGTTGCCGATAAGATAGTCTCACCGGCGCGCACTGTCGAAAGTCCAAGCACTTTACGGCGCCCTCAGGGGACGCTTCCTTGAGCACAGCAAAGCCTCCACCGCCGAGGTCTGAATGGTATGGATTGAGGGTGTTGACGGCGATAGTGGTAGCGATGAGGGCGTCGACGGCGCTGCCACCTGCGGCGAGGATGCGTGTGCCGATGGCAGAAGCGTGGCTGTGTTCTGAGACTACTGCTCCCGAGGGCATACTGGAGAAATATGGCGTGCGAAGGTTCCAAGACGCGATGTAGATGTAGATGTAGATGGGCGCGAGGCCGGCCGCCGGGGGATACCAGTACATCGATACAACAGTATATCTTCGGGATGCTCTCCGCTATACTTGCTCAAACTCGTCGCTGCCACTCTCGCTCCCCTCCTCGCCGGCAGCAGCGTCCTCTATGGGCAAGCGTTCAGACGGTTCGCCGGTAGATGAACCCTTCTCTCCGTCCACTTGCGCCTCGGCATCTCCTTGCTCGACCTCCATCTCGTTCTCCTGTCCCTTTGCCCCTTCTTCCGTCTGCCCCTTCCCTAACCCTTCCATAGCAGCCTCAAGTACACCCTTCCTGCCTGCACTTATCTCTTCCCGCAAGAGAGCCTTCTCCTTGTCCCGTGCTTCGACCAGTCCTATATCGTCGGATAACAGGAGGAGCAGCTTGAGCTCATGAGCCATATCGCGGACATTCAAGGCGGAGCGTATCAGGGACGACGTCTTGACTGGCAGGTGCAGAGGGAGTGTGGTTGCCGTGAGAGAGTTTGGCTGGGTATTCGAGATCTATGGTCCATCAGTGCGGTCCTCCCTCCAGAATTTGATAACGGACATCAGCAAGCTGCACCAACTCTTTCAATCCATCAACACACGCCTCTACATCCTTGTCGATCCTCTCATTCCACCGATCATGCTCCTTGTCGAGCTTTACCTGCGCACGCTCCTCGAGTGTGAGGTTTTCAGAGCCGTCGGGGGCGTCGAGGGCGGAAGCTCGGGGTTCGTAATGACGGCGCCGGCCGAGGGTTGCAGAGGGCAGGGAGGAGGGGCGGAGGGAGTCTGTTCTGAATGGCTGGGACATCTTGAGAGCTGAAGAAGAAAGGCGAAGGAGGGTCAAAACAATCCATTCGCATTACGCTCCTCGCGCGGTGGAGGTCGTCCACTTTATTCTCTTGCACGATTCACTTTCTATCATCTCTTTCTCTTCTTTCTCCTCTATCCAGAAACCCCCCTGTACACCTGGGGCATGCTTCTCAAGCGTCTCCACACAAAGCTTCCCCCAAACCTCGCCCCCTTCATCCCCGAACTGGAATCAGCCGGCATCAAAACCACAGAATCCCTCATCTTCACCGCCCCTTCCACCATCCTTGCTCTCACGAGCACCATCACCCATGTCCAGCTTCAACAACTGGTCTCGGTATGTATCAGACTTACATCTGGAGGGATCATGGCGGCGAATGAGATGGAGTATGGGGATGTGGAGGGGCCTTGGAGGGGGTTTGGGGTTAAGGGTTTGGATGAGATGGTTGAGAGCTGGGATGGGGTGGGGGTATTGGAGATTGCTGGGCCCAGAAGGATCGGAAAATCGGTGAGAAGTAATTTAATCTGGATCCTTGACTAGAGCTCATGATCGGTAGCTCCTAGCTCTACACGCCGTTCTCAGAACTTTGGCCGATATTCCTGAAGCGTCATGTGTGTGGCTTGATACCGAGGGGACGTTCGCGCCGGAGAGAGCTGTGAAGATCTTGGAGCTGTGGAAGGTCTCAGTGAGTTCTTGTTGTTTGTATATCCTACAAAGTGCTGACCCTAGCGTGAAGGATCCACATCATATTCTTCAAAGAATATCGGTCACGCCGTGCTTCCAACTCGACAACGTCCACGGCGCTCTAGAGTCGCTCAGAGTGGTATCTACGCTCCAACAGCCCGCAGTCGTGATATACTGATGACCTGGGGTAGGCCTATGAAGCTATTGATGATGGGCCGCGCCCAAAGATAGTCGTTCTCGACACCATATTCACCCATTTTAAAGACCGCTTGACAAACACCTCCGCTCAAGGTGAGCTCTGATCCGCGAACCCGACGAACTGAGAAGGTCTGACGACGGTGTAGGGCACGCAGAGCTTGTATCTCTCATGGAAGATCTCTCTGCTCTATCTTTCGCTCATAACCTGGTTGTACTCGTACATCCTTCCCCTTTCCTCTTCTTCAGAAACACGTGCTGACCCCAAAAAAGGTCATCAACTCCACAGTCACCTCCTTCCCCACCAACCCTCTCTCCGGCTTCAACAAGACCAACATCAAACCCGCCCTCGGGACCGCCTTCACCTACTGCACCGATGCTACGCTGCTCGTGCAAGAGACGGGAAAGGTTTTTGGGATGATGGACGAGGAAGAGCGGGAGAGGGTACGGAGGGCGCCGGGGTTGAGGGCTTTGGTGGAGGTTGTACGGAGTAGGGTTTCTGTGAGCCCGAGTTTCCTTTTTTCTTTGGTGGTATGCAGGAGCTGATGATATTCAGCCGACTGGGAGATGGGCCGTTTTTGATACAGTGAGGATTATCTACGCTTTCGAGGTGGGCGCTGACTTTGGTTCGTAGGATGGTGTGAAGCTGTACGACGTGGCCCCTCCTCGGATCGCCCCGCAACAGCGCCAAGGCTCACCGCGGCCGCTGCTGGGACCTTTGAAGCATACGATGATACCATGACGCCCGTTGAAACGTCAAAATGCCAAAATGTAACTTGTAGCAGAGCAACATTGCATTCGTGTATCTTCAATGTTCTATCTTCTCGACAGCTAACAAGTCTACATGTATGTTTACCAAACTCCTTCAACGCTCATCGGACTGACCATCTGCATTCAGTTTACCTAAATGTTTGCAGAGACCGAGATGTAGACCGTGCTGATCGCGATGGATATCAGCAAACTAAACTTTCCCATGCAAAGATGCAAGCTCACCTTTCCCGATCCTCAACCTCAACCCTATCCGGCCACATCACCCTCGCCCCCGCATAAACCTCTTCCACCAGCAACCTCCTCACCCAATTCCAAACCACGTTCCTCCGGCCGCCTTTACTTCTGATCACATGTTGAGGCACGACGTGGGAGACGACCTTGCTCGCTTTGAGAATCGAGCTGACGCCGGTGAGGGCGAGGGAGGCGTTGGAGGCTGAGCGGGAGGCGAGGGGGGTGATGAGGTGGACGAGGTCGTCGGTAGAAGGAGGAGTACGGTCCAGGTAGCCCATCCTGGAACATTGTAAGAAAATGGTGGTATTGATAAGCGTGCTAGCGGTAATAAGACTCACCTCATTGTGACGCTAAAGAATCCTTCCAGCGAGCGCACTTTGTTGACGACATAACGGTCACTGTCAGGTATTATGGTCAGAAACACCTGAGACGCTTGATTCTCAGCTGCCGTCGTATGCATCCCGCCCTGGCTGCTGTGACCCAGTTGGTCCAGAGAGGTAATGGTTGCACATGTCGCCACCTTTTGACAATGTGAAATCAGAGCCGGGGCAGATAGAAAGAGGTACAGAGGAGAACCAAATAAATATTGCGTCTGTCGCCTCCAGTAGTAGGCGCCTCGTAGCGTCGTAGGCTGTAGCGCCGGAGACGTCCTAAAGTGTTGCAGCAAGCCCAGCAGGCCCTCGAAGAATGCGTGTGACGCAGTTGGTGACACGGATTGCGTGGTTACATAACATGCATGGCGACCGAAGCCCATAGAAAGAGAAAGATATAAACAGATGAGCCTCATAACGGTTTTTTTGAATCACTAAGAACATGTTAGTATGGAGCCCAATATAAGAATTGGGTAGACTTGCCTCAGGGAAAGCCTTCACCACAACCCAGATCGTCAAACCACCCAACGCAGCCATAAGCGTCAACATCCCCAACACCACACCGATAATCATCAGATACGGCGTCGTCTGCTGACTCTGGATCGCCTCATACCTCTTCCTCGCCTCCTCATCCTCATCCAGCTCCCCACCGTCTCCCTTGATAAGACCCTTTGCCCTCAAGTCGGCCATGAGCTTGTCTTGACGGGCTTTTGAAGCGGCCTCTTGGGCTTTCTTGGCGAGCTGGAGGAAGAGCGCGGCACGGGCGTCGTTGGAGGTGGGATCGATGGCGGACTTGACGTGTCCTTGGCCTTGGCCGGCGACTTCGATGAAAGAGGGGTAGTGGTGCTCGGACCATTGCTCGATCTGAGTATTGTCAGTGAGGCCAGGTTGAGAGATGGGCAGGACGTACCTTGCCGCAAGCGATGGAGAGCTTGAGGAGGTTGGGGTCGTCCTTCTGGACCTTGGCGTGGATCTTGCGGGCGTATTCTCGGAAGACGTACGCCACATCTCGAGGGTTGGTAGCACGCATAATCAGCTACACAACAAGTCAGCTCCGCTTCATACCATACAGTCCATGCATACCCTGACCGTCTCGCCCTTCCTGATCTTGACATTCTTCCTCAGGATGTCGGGGTTCATGTACGCCCTCTCCAAAGTCGCGATGGCCATGACAGCCGGGATAGCAACAAAGTTGAACACACTCTGGCTCTTCAACAAGGTCATGTAATCCAAAGCATCCGTCGCGTGCCTCAGCGCATCCAAGACCATCTCACTCGCCGCAAACATCGCCTCCTTTTCCCTCCCAGGCTCGATTAACTCCTTCATGGAGTTGAAGCCATACTTGCCCCAGATAGCCCTCGGCCAAAAGCCTCGGCCGTCCACGACGTCTTCGTGCAAGTCGCGGTAGATGTTGGTCTTTTGGAGAAGGAGACCCATAGAGTTGGAGAGGGTGAGCTGGTCGGCGATAAAGGAGCGTTCCTTGCCAGAGGCAGCAAAGAGGCCGGAGAGACCCTCGCCGACGAGACCGGCGACGTAGTGGCAGTAGAGATCGTAGTCGGCGATGGTGTTGACCTCGGCGACAGGGGCTTCGGGAGTAGCGAGCGCGGCAAAGTCGGCCATACCGGCACCCATCTTTTTGCAAATGTCGGCAATGACGGCTTGGTATCTGCAAGACACATCAGCATTTAATCTTCCACAGATCTCACCAAACTCACGCGGGCTGAAGCAGAGTGAACTCTATCTGGATGTTGTCAAACTCTTCCAATACGATCCTGTCCTTCTCTGTAGACTCTTTGAATGTCCATCCCGGTTCGTAGAGCTTGGTGTGCATGATCCTCAAGAGAGGGAGCTTGACATCGTTGGAGATGGTCATGTCGTCTTCGACAGTGTCGAGCGCTCGGAGCACGAGGTAGAATATGCAGACCTTTGATACGTTAGCTCCAGCTCAGAAGCATACAAGCAACGTACAGTCCTGGCAAGGTCCCCCTCAAGCTCCCTGATGACCCTAGCGAAACTTCGACTGGTCAAGTCCAAAAAGTCCCAGCATTTTCGCATCGTGGGGCGATCGTAGCAGGTCGTAGGAAGCTCGGTCACGTCAGTGATATCCCTGTGGTCCATCCAGATGGCATAGTTGACCATCGCACGGGTCTCGGCCTGTTTGCAGTCAGTATATGTGGCCGCAAGAGTCAGCGGAGGGACGGACCGGGTACCTGATAGCTGGTGGGGCCGTGAGCAGGAGCGCGGTGGTGGGAGAAGAGGGGCTTACCATTGACGATGGATGTTGCGGAGACCATGTTGGATGATGTTGAGCAGGGTTGATTCTTCTGCCCAGTATATATATGTGCACTGGAGAAAATACGGCAAGCCGTGGTCGGCGAGCCAAGCAGATGGGACGATGCGCGACGGTCTTTACGTAAACACCCGTCGGTTCTCCGCCATAACATCATTGCGACGACGGAGAGCTCTTGCAATGCACAACTTTTCTGTGGTCAGGATACCAACTGCCTCTCAACTGATCACCAGCTAGAGCTGCCAAAAATGACACGGATAACTACCCTGTTTATATTCTGTCTATCCCTCTTTCTGCTCGCTGGACCCGCGTCGGCGGCAATCTTCGACGACCCCGGCCTCTCGTATTGTAAATGTACGCGTCAGCAGCTCTACACTGAACGACAAGCTGAAAGATTGTAGGTGTATGCTTTACGAACTCTACCATCATCCCCTTGTATCGGCCAGAAAATCCAAAGAAACCATGTCTCTCTTGTACTCGCCAATTCTGTCTGGACCAGAAACTGGCGATATGCAAGGGCGCGGAGGTGCCAGAGCTCGATACGGATGTGGGCACAGGTACTGAAGGAGATGTAGAAGCCAGGTGCTTTAGTATGTCGTCTCGAAACGGGTCAGTGGGCAATGCTGATGAGATGCAGAACGCGATTCTCCGAGAGATCAGCTCTTTGTCACATTCTTTTTGCTGATCGTCGTTGGTCTTCTTCTGTATGCCGCCATCAGGTCTAGGTGAGTCTATCGACTCATTTGAATCCCTCACGGAGGCTGACTCTATGCAGATTACGCAAAGCCATAGAAGAACGAGGGCGACCTACAGATCTTCGTCAATGGGCCGAAGCGCTCATACCAGAGCCTTTACAGCAATACTCGATGGCATTCCTTCCCGGAGCTCAAAATAGGGGAGACAGAGCTGGTGGAGGAATGCGAAGCGCTGGGGGATCAGCAGGAGGTTATACACCAGTAAGCGTGGGTAGTTGAGCTGCTGCTGTAAGGGTTCGTACATGTATATCAAGTTTTCTTTGGCGGTCTCTGCACAGGTAGACCCGAGAACGTGTTGAAATGTTTACTCTCTTTGTCATCGCATCTCCTTCACTGACACACATGACTTCCCAAGCCCCATTACAGACACTATACAAGTACATGCCGACTAACGTCGCAACCTATAGATAGACGACCAAAAGCATTACGCCTTTGTCTTCTTCTTGATGCCCAGCAGCTTCTGCATCCCCTCTCTTTTCCTCTTTGCCTGAGCAGGCGCCGCCGACGGCCCAGTAGTGTCTGGGGCCTTGCCCTTCGCCGCCAAGATGCTCGCCACCGTCGGTTCCCCAGCCTTGCCTAACGCAATCTTCCTCTTGATAGTCAACTGCGGTAAGGCAGTATCCTCAATATCGCCGTCTGCAGGACCGGTTTCGCCATCGGGAGTTCCATCTTCCCTCTTGAGAGCGGGAGGTGCAGGTCCAGAAGAGACTTTGGAAAAGTATTGCTTGACAAGAGCGTCGTCTTCCTCTTCGTCCGCCTTTCTGCGAGCTTCTTCAGCAGCAGAGATTTTCTCGGCGTGGAGAGCGGCCAGGAGAGCGTCGGGATTCTTATCGGCGGTTGAAAGCTCCACTCGAGCATTTCGTTGTCTAGAGCCAAAAGTCAGTAACGCCCCGTGGGAACGGTGCTGAAGGGGGACATACCTAAGATCCGCCAGCTCGTCCATAATCTCCATCTCTCTCTTACTCTGCTCCTGTGCTCTCTCCAAGTCCGCCATCGCATCCTTGCCATCTCCCCTGCCCTCGATCAGGTTCCCATCCGAATCATAATCATCATCATCCGCTGCGTCGGGCATTTTACCAGCCTTTCCGCTGGGGTCATTTTCGATCCAATTCTCAAAATTACGGGTAGCGCCTTGTTCACAAGTATAGTCGGCGTTCTTGGGATCAGTCTTGAAAGTGATCTCGGAGGAACACATGGGACATTTCTATGCCCTGTCATCAGCGATGACTCCCACCGAGACAATCTTCTTCCACGCACAATGTAGAACCTAAATATCTTGATCCCATAGTACTCTTCTCCTTGAGCAGTCTCTTTCCTAGCATTAAACTTTTTGCCCTTGTAGACGTATTCTCCACATCTGTTGCACCTCATGGAGAACGGCGCCATCAGCCGAATGACCTGCTGGGGGTCCTTCGGCATCTTGCGCCGCTTGATCTTGGACGGATCAAAATCCGGGGGGAAGCTGGACTGTGGTTAGCATGTTGTTGGATAGAAGGCCAGGGCAAGAAAGGGGAACTTGTGGGTGGCAATACTCACTATTTCTGTAGATCGATAACATCGACAAGGGTTTTTGGTCAGCATGCTTTGCCAGTCTAAGAGTTGGAAGGCTCTACTCACGTTCAATACCTTACGTTCCGCCATGATGTATGGTGCCCACCAGAAAGCGGGTTGAGAAGAAAAGAACGATAGCCAGTCCCAAGAACACCGACCCCGTAAGAGGTGGTGCATAACCGGGGGCGCGAATAAAAACCAGCGCCGGTATATAAGCAACGCGCCCAACTCGTCAACTCGCTCATTCCCCAGAATCGCCACAAAATCATCCAACATGGCGTCCGAGGACGATGCCCTCTCCTCCGTCACCTTCGGACTAGGGCGCATCCTGCAGGACGCCGGTGTCGATCCGTCTTCCCTTTCCTCCTTTCTCGGCGACAACAGCGAATCGACCAAAGGCTTGACGCAGGTGGAACTGTCTGACGACGACAATAATGCCAAGTTCGAGGATGATATCTCGGATGCAGAGCTGGAGGGAGGGGAGGAGGAGCGAGAGCAAAGGGCGAGGGATGGAGAGGCGCGAAAGAGGGAAGAGGAGCGATGGAGGAAGAAGGGTTTAGAGTTGATGAAGCAAAGCATGGCCAAGGAGAAGGCAAAGAAGGAAAAGCGCAAGCTGGAGGGTGCAGAAGTTCAGGAGGAGACCGAGCTCGACAAGGTGCTCAAGATATGGCCAAACTTTGCCAAGGGTAAACCTCTACGGATGACAGAGGTGGTCTATGAAACACCGGCAGAGCTTGGGATGTGGAATGAAGAGAGAAAGAAGAGACGGATAGAAGAGGGTGGCAAGGAAAAGCAGGCTTGTGAGTGCTATACACTCAGACTGTTATGGATGTTGACATTGCACAGATACATTCACAGTCGCTCCTCCAAATCCATCCCTTCAAGCAACCTTCCTTCAGTCCTCCCTTCCTCCAATTGAGCTTCCAAATACCAATGCTCCCAACTACTCAAAACCGATCGGCCGGTTCTTTGACAAGAAATGGGTCAAGGAGGCCAAGGAACGGAGAAGACGAGATATGATGGTGCAGCCACCTGCCTTAAAGCCGGAGGCCGAGGATGATGTTGAAGAAATACGGCGGGACCTTGATGTGGTTGATTGGGAGGCTGGGATTGTATTCAATCCATTGTACGTGTGTGCAATCATCTTCCAGGAATTAAGCTGAGGCATGTGCAGAGAGTTGCCACAAAAGCAGATAGACATTCTCGCGCCCCGCAACAACTTTCTCGAGTCCGGCGACTGGCTCTCGGACATCATCTGGGACGCAACACGTGTCGTGCCGGAGCTTGTCGAGAGCGAAGATGAGGATGCCGATCAAGCTTCCAAAATTCCTTCCACCAAGACTACCAAAAAAGGTGCCATCATCGCTGCTACCAAAGACGTTGTACTCGATCCTTTCAACATCTCGAACGACATTCTATACAAGGCGTCGGAAGGCGCGAAACACATCCGACAGACGTTTGGTGCTATTGAAGTATTCCATTCGCAACCTGCAAAGGTGCTTCAGCTGCCCTTCGTGAGTCACGCTCGAGAGCATACTCCGGTGGTCACTGACATTGTCATAGTACAAGACTACTTTGACAAAATCCGAAGCTCGTGCTTGGCATCGCCCCCCCTTACAATTCCCTACCGGTGTTACACTCACCTTCTCCAAACTCAAACACAATGTCTCGGCCGGTGCCAATGTCAAAAAGAAGACAGTGTCCGATCCCGGCGAGAAATTCAAGACTACCAAAGACCTCACGCTCTCGGAGCAGGGCACTTTTGTGCTTTTGGAATTCTCAGAAGAATACCCACCGATCATGAGTAATTATGGGATGGGGACGACGATTGTCAATTATTACAGGAAGAAGGATGATAATGACGATAATCCGCCAAAACTGGAGTTCGGACAGACGTCGGTCTTGAATCCGGGAGATGCGGAGCCGTTTTTGCTGGGCTATGTGGACAAGGGCAAGACGACCCAGGTCATCCACAATAACCTGATACGAGCCCCCATCTTTGAGCATAAGCCCGAGACTACCGACTTTTTGTGTATCAGGTATGTCTCTTTTGACTCGCTTTCGATTGATCTGACCGTATGGGAATAGACAAACCGTCAACGGGCACGTCACATATCACATTCGCCCCATCAAACACATCTTTACCGTCGGTCAAACCGTCCCGAACGAATCCGAGGTCCATGGCCCCCACGCTCGTAAAAATACGAACACTGCCAAGATGCGCCTCATGATCATCGCCTGGCTTCTTATCAACAAATCGAAACAAAAGCGCTTCAAGATCGGAAAGCTGCTCAAATACTTTCCGGATCAGACCGAGCTGCAAATGAGGCAGAGGCTGAAAGTGAAAGGCAACGAATTCTTGATGTATGCGAGGGCGCCGGGGCCTAATCAGGGGTACTGGATGTTGAACCCGGACTATGCTTTTCCTGATGAGAGGCAGCAGGTGTTGGAGATGTGTCCTCCAGAGCACGCGTGTCTTTACGAGGCTATGCTGGCTGGTGCCCGACATCTTTACGATGCGGGATACAAGAAGACGGCTGAAGGCGGGCACGAAGATGAAGATGAGGCGAGCTTGGACATCGAGCAAAGGCTGGCGGTATGGTCGACGACGCACAATTACAAGTTGGCGGAAGCGCAGAAGGCGTGGTTGATGGTCCACGGGGAGGGAGAGCCGACCGGGAGAGGCGAAGGATTCAGCTTCCTGAGGGCAAATATGAAGAATTACTTTTTGAGGAAGGGTGAGACTGAGCAGGGTAGGAGGCGTGAGTTGATTCCTTTGGTTCCTCAGGCTTCAACTGACCATATTTGCAGTGGAAGCAGAGGCAAAGGCGGGGGGCAATGTTGTCAAGATCTCCAACGCCGAACAAAATCGTATCTACGAGGAAGAAAAGCGCAAGGTCTGGGATTATCAAGCTGCTGCCCTCTCCAATCCTACCCCTCCCGGTATCACCTCGGATGAAGAAGAAGCTCATCGCATTGCATCAATCCCCCTCATGCCAGGCCTTGCACCCAAGGTGGTCAGGGGCAGAGACAGTTCAAGCCGAGCTTTCTCCAGAGGGACGTCATTGGCATATACGCCGAGGGACTTTGATAGTCCGAGAGAGAGGACCAGATCGCCCAGTACCTTTTCAATGGACGGGGCGGAGAGCAGTCACGCGGGCGGAAACCCGTGGATGGGCAAAGTGCTCAGGATCAAGAGGATGGTCAAGGGGAAGGCTCAGTTTGATATCATCCGAGACCCAGCTGTCATTGCCAGTTACATGAAGCGGGTCGAAGAGAAGAAGATTGATTACTACATGAACCACCCCGACGAGCTCGCGCCCACCGGTGATGCGGAAGAGGATGCGATCAGAAAGGTCGCGTGAGTGTCTTATCTTTTACTGCAGGGCCTAGCTGACAGGCTTGCAAGTTTGCAAATGCTCCTCGACAAGAACAAGCTGAACCAGCAGAGACGTCTGATGCGAAAAAAGTACCAGTCAAAGACGCTGGAAACAGACAACATGGGTATCGAGGGTATAGACCTGGAGGGGAAGAGAAAGTGTGGTGCATGTGGCGCTATCGGTCATACAAGTACGTATCAACATTGTGTCAGACCAGGAGCTGACCCGAGACGCGTAGAGGCCAATCGCAACTGCCCCATGTTTGGTGTCAACACCGGTCCGGCCTCAGTCGGTCCTTCCCCGTCCAACACACATACTCCCGGGGCGCCCAACTCGGGCTATGGACCGTATACTCCGATAGACTCTGGAGCGCCATCGAGTCAGCCCCAGCAGACGTCTTTCAAGATCAAGTTGGGCGGGGGGCATTAGGGTGTGACCTGCAGAAGGAGGGACATGAAAGGATGGACACTACTCAGTCATGTGTGAAAGTATAATGTACTAGTCGCTTCTGGCATGTATTCATTGCAATTTGACATGCATGGCTCTTTAGCAATTCGCAACAATCTACTCGAGTACTCGTACAGTACAGCAGGCTCATGAAAGGGAAAAGAGCCAAGCCAATGAGGATCGCCGCCGGCGTCCCGAGAGGCACGGCTGACTGTGACTGACGACGTGCTGCTGATAAAGCAGCTTTGTAAAGCTTTGCAAAGCATATTCATCAGCCAGCTTGTTCAGCAGCCGATCCTGTTGGATATATAATCAGCTCCTGCATCCATGAGAAGACAATCCCCAGACTCGACGAAATAAGCAACATGAGTAATAGCAACGAAAACAACAAGGTCGTCCTCATCACCGGCACTTCCCAGGGGTGAGTACTTTCACAAAGGGTGACATCTGCTAACACACCTTCAGTGTCGGACTCGGACTCGCCAAGAGCTACCTCGAACGAGGATGGACTGTCATCACTGCCATCCGAAGCCCCGAGAAGGCTCCCAAGCTCGGAGGCAAGAGCATCCTCGTGAAGATTGACCACTCTTCCCTCACCGACTTTAAAGACGTATGTTGTCCTTTCATAGCTTGCGATCCATACTGACTGAGTGGCAGGCGGTCGAAGAGCTCAAGACCAAGCACAACATCACTCACCTCGACACCGTCATTTCCAACGCTGGCGCCAACGACAGCGGCTCTCTCCTTTTGGAAGCCGACGCCGACGAGTTCGACTGGGACTACAAGGTCAACACTCGTGGCCCGTTGCTCCTCTACCAAGCTACCAGGCCTCTCTTGAAGGACAATGGAACTTTTGCCGTCATCTCCAGTCTTGCTGGGTCCATTACCAGGGACTTTTTGTGGGAGAAATTCGGCCTATACGGCGCCAGTAAGGCAGCTGTGAATTACCTTGTGGGTCTCTTCCGCTTGGCCCCGGGTCGTTGTACTGATGATGTCGTCAGGTTCGTACCATTCACCACGAGGAGCCCGCTTTGAAGGCTTTCACCATCCACCCCGGGATAGTTGATACGTACGTTGCTTGAGCCCAATACTTCCGATTTTTTTTTGCTAACACTAGCCGGGCACAGTAAGATGGGCCGCGAGGGTGGCAGCAACCGTGGCTGGGACGCTGCGCCTTCCGAGACTGTCGAGGGAGTCGTCCGTATGTCTTTCTTATTGGCTCTAGTAGATACAGCGGCTGACTCGCACTATCATAGCCGGTATCACCAAGACCATCGATGATGCGACCAAGGAGGAGACCTCTGGGTGGATGTGGATGAAGTAAGCACAAGTTTTTGCTCTGCTGGTAGATCCAGGCTGACCTGTCGCTCCCATAGCGATGGCACCAAGGCCCCTCTCTAAGAAAGCGTTCTTCTAGTAAAAAATCGATCTGCAGAAGTAGCGGTACATAGAAGAATGAACGAGGCAATAATTGACGGCGCAAGTGAGCCCCGGAAGACCGAGCAATTGAGCCGCACGCCGTTCTTCCATCGACTCCGTCGATCATCTATTCGTTCTCATTTCTATAAGGATTCATTCATCCATATCCTAACCCCATCCTTCACCCTCCTGTCATCTTTTCACAATGCCCGACCCTGCACCTCTCCCCGTCTACCTCATCAACGCCTTCGCCCCCACCCCAGCCTACTCGGGCAACCAAGCCGCCGTCGTCATCTTTCCCTCCGACACGCACCCCAAAACGCAAGATGAAGCCTTCATGCTCTCGTATGCTAAAGATTTCGGTTTCTCCGAGACGGCGTATCTCGTGCCGATGCCTGGCAATGGAGAGGGCGGGGTTGGCAAGTATGGTTTGAGGTGGTGGACGCCTGGGGTCGTTAGTACTTGGCTATTTATGAGGGGGACATGGCGGCGCTGATGTAGTTATAGGAAGCTGCGTTGTGCGGACATGCGACTCTCGCATCGTCTCAAGCCGTCTTCAGCACAAATCCGGATATCACCTCCATTGAGTTTTTCACGCGGTACTCTGGCGTCCTCACCGCAAAGAGGATTGAGGACTCTATCGTAATCACTCTTCCTACTCTGTCCAAAGACACTTATGCTGCGTTTGGGAGTGAAAGCGCCAAAGACCCAAAGAAGTTGGAAGAGGCTGCAGACGTTTTTGGCTTGAAGACTGGAAATGTCGAGTCGGTTGAGACGTACAGCTTTGGGGACAGGACGTCGCCCATTGTACAGTTGTCTCCCGAAACGGATATCACAAGAATCGATGTCGTTTGGGACAAGCTAGTTAGTTTCTAAGGGCTCCCGTGGTGGATTGCGGCTGATATGAGCATTAGCTGGCATTCTCTTCGGGCTTGATCATTGTCACCCAGCTTGCCACTGATCAGCCGGACGACAGGCTCCATATCAACACAAGAGTCTTTGCGCCAGGACTCGCTATCCTGGAAGATCCCGTGGTAAGTGGAACAATCTCCACCCAGCGCCATCAGATTGACCACATCTCAGTGCGGCTCGGCCCATGCCTACCTCTCTGGCTACTACCTCGCCTCCCCTAGAACCTCGGAGCTTCTTCCACAGAAGTTCCTGGAGGACCCGAGCAAGGTACTCATCGGAGGCAACCAGCCGAGCCCGCGTGGGGGCCGAATGACCTGCGCTTTGGGTGAGGGAAATGCTCGCCTGATTGGGAAATGCAGAGAGTTTGGGCGGGGCACGCTCAGTGGGGTGTGAGTGGACGTTGTGTGGCTCAGGTTGTTTTGAGTTATGCATCCCCATCCTGTCCATCTGTCCCTCCCAGCCCTGAATAGCGCGGCGGTCCGAGCGACTCGTGGTTTCAGGTCGTTTTCCTTTTGTCCTCTTGCATTTCTCTTTCCATCCACATATCATAATCATCCCCCAGGACTGGCTATCCAGCTCCTGGCATCGAGCAAGTCGTATAGAACACAAAGCAGAGCTCAGGACAGACCCCTCCCCACCCCGCCCCACCCCACCTGACGACCACCTGAAACCTCCCCGAAAGAACAGCGCTGGACCGTCCACAAAATGCCTCCCACACGCCCCGACACCCCTCCCAACGTCCTCATCCTCGGTGAGTCTGAAGCACATAAACCAGCTGGGCATGGAGTATCAGAGATGCAAGAGCATAGCTGACCGATGTGCTCTTGATGTCATTCCGGGTGGTCTCTGCGATTCCTGGCAATGCAGGCGGCACTACAACTGTCGCTCGAGCACTGGCACCCTACCTCCTTGATCCCAAAGACCCAAAAGCCGCTGTAAGCTTTGCCTCATCGCGATGACAACTCGGATAGCTGACCATGCCGCGCCAGTTTGTCCGCCTGGCCGACCGCTTCTCCATATCTCCACCCTCGACATACATCGACAAGCCCTTCCTCTCCCTCCTCCCCGAGTCCATAGGCGCGGACTCCAAACTCGAGTACAAGCAGGTCAACTTGGGCAACGTCGAAAAGCATGCCGAGCTGTTCAAACTCCCAAAGGAATGGAATGGCAGGGAACTGTATGGGGACGAGGTGGAGAAGGGATTTGATGTGGTGTTTGATCTGACTGGGGATACGAGCTTTGACAAGCCAGAGCTTGTGAGTGGATTCCATGGCTGGGACTCAAGCTAATAGTGTCTACAGATCCAAATCTCCCACACCTACCAAGTGTCTTTCTCTCTCTCCACCTCCGCCGCCGCCCTCTCCCCATCCCTCAAACCCAAAGCCTACGTCCGCCTCACCTTCCCCTTCTACGAGATGAAGAACCTCCCCTCCTCCTCTCCTGGCCACAAGGAAGAAGCCGACCTCAAGCCCGACGGTGTGCGGGGTGTGTGGTGGCATGAAGTCCTCCGAGGGCTGGGCCGGTTGGCCAAGAAGGAAGCGAATGGAGAGCTTGGGGGGCTGAAGGTGGGTGTTGTGAGGTGTGGGGCTTGGTATGGACGGGGGACTTGGGATGGGGAGGTTGTGCCGAGGGTGGTCGCTGGGCATGTTTACCAGTATCTGTGCGTTGCTTCAAATCGGCTTGGTTCTGTGCTGACGATGTTGCAGGAAGGAGGAGATGAAGTTTCTGTACAAGTAAGTACATATCTCGAGAAGAGACTGGCATGCTGATACTTGACAGTTCGGACCTCCGAATCAACACTGTCCACTCTTCAGACATCGCCCAAGCCCTCTACCTCCTCGCACTCTACCTTCTCCAAACCCCCTACGCCACCATCCTCCCCTCCTCCCCTTCCATCCCCTTCCCCTTCGCCCCACCCTCCTCCGGCAACTCCATCTTCTCCTCCAACTCGAAACGCAGCAGCTTGTCTGAAACATGGAAGACAGTCTCCACCATCGTGCCTAAAGAAGAATCAGTCCGCCTGCCGCTGTTCAACGTGGTTGATGAAGCCGATTCGACGCAGGGCAGTTTGGCGAAAGTTGTTGCCGAGACGTGGGGGATCAAGTTTGGATTTTTGAGCTCGACGGTGGCTACTTTGGTGCAGCAGTTTGCCAAGACTGATTTCAGTGAGATGGTGGAGGATGTGAATGAGATGGTAAGTGAGACTTTTCTTCTATTGGTAACGTTGCTGAAGAGATATGTAGCACGTGCAAGCATGGTCCGACATGCTCTCCAAATCCAACCCGCCTATACCTTCATGTCCCATCACTCCATACCTGGACGAACACGCTTTCAGAAGTACGTCTCTCTTTCATCTCGCTTGGACAAAGCTGACTTGTTGTGCGTAGAGCGCTCGATTTGCCTCGACGGTTCTTTGGCAAAGACCACTTTGGGCTTCAAGCCGGCCCACCCCACAGTTGACGTCGGCGAGATTAAAAAGATTGTCAAAGAGTTCCAAGACGACAACCTCTGGTGAGTCGTACGCCTTCAGTCTGGTACTTGTTTGCTGACGATCTATCAGGCCCAAGTTGGAGTGATGGCCCTGACGATGTTGAGCGATGAAGGCGAATGACTACACGATCAGAAACGAAACTCCTAATATAATTCGCTACTCTTGTTGATTCACTGCTCGGCATGTATATACAGATTGTCCCATGAACGCATGTATATACATATTGTCCCATGAACGAGCAAGTGGCTGTGGAAGACGTGAAAGCCGTACTTTCAATTCCAGCTGACGTTGCAAGGTCACCTCAATGCATCTGAGAGAATCAATCGCTGTCGTGAATGAGCCTCCCAATCATATACTTGTTCACAAATACTTCAATCATGCATGTCCTTATCTCAATGCTGGGTATCCACCGATCTTAAAGCCTCTCGATGACGATAGCAGAAGCAGCACCACCACCGTTACAGATAGCAGCCACACCCTTCTCACCCTTCTTCAGCGCGTGCACAAGCGTGACCACGATCCTACATCCAGAAGATCCAATAGGCTATCCAAGTATCAGCTTTGTGTCTCTTTCGCGTGAGATGGGGAGAGGGACGTACGTGACCCAAAGCGACGGCTCCACCCTTGACGTTGATCTTTTCCCTGGGAATACCCAAAACCTTTGTAGCGGCGATACCGACGACGGAGAAGGCCTCGTTAAACTCCCAGAGGGCAATGTCGTCCTGAGAGACACCGGCGTGTTTGAGCGCGAGGGGCACGGCGAGGGTGGGGGCGGTGGGGAAGTCGATAGGGGCACAAGCCGCGTCGGCGTAGCCTTTACCCTTTTATCAGCCATGTGCATATAAAAGTGGGGGGGGGGGGGGGGGAACGTACCGAGGATCTTGGCGAGAGGCTTCAAACCTTCCTTCTCGACGACCTCTCCAGACGCGAGCACGACAGCACTAGCACCGTCGTTCAAAGTCGACGCATTCGCAGCCGTCACCGTCCCATCCTTCTGGAACACCGGCCTAATAGTCCTGAATTTCTCCTTCAGAAGCTTCTTGTAGTCTTCATCCTCCTTGACCACAACATCGCCCTTTCGGCCCTTGACAGTCACGGGCGCAATCTCATCTTTGAAAGCGTTAGCGGCCCAGGCTTCTTCCGCGCGGGTGTAGGAAGAGAGGCAGAAGTCGTCTTGGTCTTCGCGCGAGATGGAGAGCTGCTTGGCAGTGTGTTCGGCGCAGTTGCCCATGGGGAACTTGTTGTAGACGTCAAAGAGACCGTCAGAGACGAGCGAGTCTTGGGCGGTGACGGCGCCGAAGGGGGGGTTGTTTCGGGGGAGAAGGAAGCTGCAACAAAGTGTGAGCTTGTGTCGTGAGAGAGTGAGGGAGGGACGTACGGAGCTTGGGACATGGATTCCATACCACCAGCGACCATGACACCTCGCTGTCCGAGCTGGATGTTTTGCGAGGCGAGCATGATGGCCTTCAAACCGGACGCACACACCTTGTTGATAGTGGTAGCATCCGAGCTCTCGGGGATACTACATGGCCGTTTTAGCCCTCATCCGATTGCAATAAGAAGCTTGAAACCTACCCAGCACCGATACCAACCTGCCTAGCAGGGCTCTGTCCCACACCAGCCTGGACGACATTACCAATGTACAGCTCTTCGATCCTCTTGGGCTCGAGGCCGGCCTTCTCGATAGCGTGCTTGACGGCGGTGACACCGAGCTGGGGGGCGGAGACGGTGGCGAGGGCGCCGTCTTTGGCGCCGATGGGGGTACGGGAGGCGGAGAGGATGTAGACTTGGCTGGACTGCGGGGTGTTAGAGTACGCCGGGGTGAGGAGGGGGGCTGACCATTGTGCGGGCTGAGGAGGAGAAGCGGCGGGAGAGAGATGGAGATGGAAAAGAGGATTTGAAGGAGAAGGACATGCTGAGAAGAGAATTGGGGAAGTGCCTCGTACGACGCGAAAAAGGGTCCGAGCGTGGGTCTCCTCTTATTATTTCGAGGACAGTGATGCATAGAAGAGAAAGAGAAAGACAATGATACAAGCGTGCCCCTTGCCCCTGTCTGCTGCATTACGACTTGAGCGGAGAGTATGTAGGGCCATGTGCCAGTCTATTTTACGGGTATCTCTACCCGGCGGGTTTACGTGGGCAGGTATCAGACTGCGTTCGGGTCAGCTCTTGCCAAGGTGGGGAGAGAGCGACGTACCGTATTTGCCAAAGAAGGGGATCAGACTTTGGGCGAGGGTGTAGGAAAAGACGAGCTTGGGGCCGACCACGAGGATCTGCATACATCCAATCAGCCATTGCTTTTTGCTTTTTCTGGCGTATCTCTGCCATTCAAGCGTACCTTGGGAGTAAGACCCTTGAAGAACGCTCCCATACCCTCCGTCTTGATCATCTCTTTGATAATAGTCGCACCGCCGACTTGGGAGCCAAAGTTGGCGTTCTGGATACGGGTCTTGACAACGTCCAGGGGGGCGGCGACGGTGATGGAAGCGACGGCGCCGGCGATGGAGGCGACAAAGTCTGTACGGGGTAAGTATAGGTAGATGAGAGACGGTTAGGGGACGTACTTTGAGACCAGGTGGCAGAAGAGTAGTCGGAGAGGTTGAAGAGGAACTCTTTAGTGACGGCAGAACCACCAAACAGCTACTTTCTCGTCAGCTCTGCCTTGACACTCTTGGGCAAAGAGACGTACAGCGAAAGACCCAGGGGCGTTCCTTGCCATGGTCCATCCCCATCCTCGGTAGAGCGAAGCAATACCTTCTTCAGTGACGAGCTTGACGAGACCTCGGCCTCGGATGGCGTCGGGGTTGGTTTGCATCTTGATCTTGAGGACGTCCAGGGGGAGGAGGACCTGCGAATGGTGTTAGTGTAATCCCGATGAGCCCGGGGGGAGGACGCACAACTTCACCAATACCAGTGAAACTATTGGTTCGATCAGCATCACTCAACTTTACTTTTTCAAGAATCAAAAGAATACGCACGATCCAGCAGTAGCATGCATCAACATCCCACCCCACTTGTTCCCAAAAGTGCTTTTGAACCACCCTCCACTGTTCTTGTCAATCACATCCCTAAACCACGGCTGCCCGCCAAACTTGTACACCCGCTGGGCAATCTTGTAGCCTGCAGCATAGCCGAGACCGGGGAAGAGGGAGAGGAACTTGGTGCCGATGGGGGCTTGGGCGGCGGAGCGGAAGATGATGGTGTTGAGGGATTGGCCGGAGAGGGCGGTCTTGTTGGACATGAGACGTTTGGCGACAGTGTCCTGTGCAAGGTCAGTCGCGTGCTACGTCTTTGTTTGTATGCAAGTTGTGGCATACAACAGGGTGGAAGACCATCAACTCGGCGATACCTAGCCCAGCATCAGCTCTTGCCTTCTCATAGCTATTCGACTACTCACCAGAAGCACCTGAACCGAGGATACGAGCGGTACCGGACTCTCGCTTGCCAAGCTTGCCATCAGCAGGGGGGGACATGTTCTCTCTTTTCTCTTTCTATGCGGGGCAGGGGGTATAGGGGAATGCAAGAGGCGCCGTAAATGATAGAGGAGATGGGCCAACTTTTTGTAGAGGCACCGGGAGTACTTTTCTAATCAGAAAGCTAATCACTAGTAATATTTTGTAATGGCCCCCTCTGCCACGCCCGGCGTTCTTCGGAGGTAGGGAGAGAGCCATCTCGGCCGTCAACGTCGTCTTCGCTGTCCACTCCCCATCATCCACCATGCTCCCCTCCGCCGCCCGCCGCTCCCTCGCAGGCCTCATCCCCCCAAAGATCGCCACCCCCGGCGCCGTCGCACGTCCCCTTTTCTCCCAACAAAAAACGCCCAGAACTGACAGAGTTACAATAGTCCTCCGGCACCACCTCTGCCCGTACCGCCCAGGTCATCGACTTTTACTCCAAGCTCCCCAAGGGCGCCAAGCCCGCTGCTGAGAGGGCCGGTGGTATTCGCGGCAGGTACTTTGAGGGCAAGAACGCTTCTGGGTGAGTTGGGAATCGTATTTTGGGACTAGCGCGGTTGGAGAGAGGGATGAGAGCTGACGTGTATCACAGCAAGCCCCTTGTTGCTGCCATTGGTACCCTTTTCCTCCTCGGTTACACCATCGACTACAACAGTGCGTTTGGTGTTTCTTTCGGCATTGTTCGGGTTGCTGATCATGATCATTTATTTACCTCCCTGCCATCATTCCTTATCCCTTACTACTCACTACCCACCGAATTCACAACACCTGCCAACACTTTCACCAACAGTGCACCTCAAGCACCACAAGAACGGCCACCACTAGATCTTTTCTTGATATCTAGCCGGGTCAAAACTTGTAACAAGGAGCGAAGGAGGGATGAATGTTGGAAAGAAACACAAAAAACCCCTTTTAGAGGATGCAAAGCATACAACTGTTGAGGATTTGGCTGATGGATTGGGTGTTTGGGGGTAGGGACGGTGGAATGAGGGTCAATCTTCAGAGGGGAGATGGACTGGGGCGATTGGGATGAGGAGATGGGCAGGATCTGGGAAGGGTGATTTGGTCATGAAAAGGATGGCGGGGTTGGCATGATTGCGATGGGAGATTGACGCAGCGCCGACTCTCAAAGTGCTCAGCCATCAAATCTCTGGCTAAACTTGCGACCCCGATCAATCTGTTCCCACCTTGGCCTGACCTTGAATCGACATTCCCAGCTTACTCTATCAACCCGCAAAGCGCGCAACTAACCTCAAATCGATACTATACTGATTATCTAACTCATTCCTTGGACGTATTCCTTTCACATCAACCCTGCCCCCTATCCCCAACGTATCTCCACATGGGAGAACCACAGCCCATAGGTCTCCCCGGCGATATTATCGGCACCCCTCTCGCCCCTCTTGCGGAGAAAACATCTATGAAAGGACCCCGTCCCGATCTATGAAAGGTGGGGGGGTATTGCATTTTGAAGGTCCGCGGGTAATGGTAAGGAGATGAAGCTGATGGGGTCGGATGGTGCTTCTGTGGGCGGCGCGTATATAACACACACACGACTTGTTCATGTTACCCCAGACACTCTATCACTCTAATCTTACCACCAGCCATGTCATACCACGAATCAGACAGCCGCAGCCCCCCTTCAACATCCCCCGCCGACCAGAGTCATGAAGACAACCGTTCAACGCTTTCGTTCCTATTCGAACGTACCTCATTGAACGATTCGGACGATATCTCTCATCCTGCAAACTACAATCCCAACCAGAGGACACCATACCCCAGGCGTCGTGAGAGCGGAGCCGACTCGCCGACATGGGCTGGTGGTGAACCCGACGAGACTATTTGGATGTCTTATACTGCTGAAGGAGAGCCTTTCGTACAGGTGACTTCTGTGGGGAGTAGTCTCCGTTCGCCCCCGGATGCGGACCCGCAATCAAGTCCGGAAGAAGAAGCCGTCCATATCCATCTCAAACCCGTTTCTGAGCCAGACCAGGTCGACAACGGCCAATCTGTAAAACCAGACCCAAAAAGACCAGCCCTCTCCCGCCAATCCCGTCTCTCCCAGCGCTACGTCAGCACCCTAGCCAGCATGGGCTACACCTATTCCCCCGGGCAGGGCACGTCCCCCACACCGGGCAGTTCGGCAGCGTCGATCAGGTCGAATGGGCGTGGGAGGGAGGTGGAATATCAGAGTACGCCGAATGGGGCAATTTTAGATGATCCGAGTGATTCCGAGGTGCTCCGGAACCTCTGGGGGGAGGAGAGGAGTAGGGGGACGGGGGGACCGGCGCGTGCTACTAGGAGAGATTATTTTTCATAGAGATTCTGCATTCTTGTGTCATCCCCGATGTTACCTCTCTCGTCACCGTGTTCATCTAGTCACATGATATTCAGCTTATACGCAGAGGTCGGGAATAGGCAGATCTCCGGCATCACTCAACTCTTCGTTCTGTCACGATCAATGCAAGTCATCTCGCCTTTTTTACTGATCCGCTTTCACTATAGTGTTTCCCCTTGATATCCATACTCTTAATGACCGAGCTGCTGCAACGCCCCATCCATATACCTCTCCCCAACAGGCTTGGCCTTTTCGATCAACGCCCTCAACTCCTTCAACTCTTCCTCGCTCAAATCCACATCACCTCCCTTGAAATTCTCTTCCAACCTCGTTCTGATCTTCGTTCCAGGAATGGGGATAGCACCCTGGGCGATGAGCCAGGCCAAGGCGAGCTGCGAGGGGGTGGTGCCCTTCTTTTCGGCGAGGGCGCGAAACTCGTCGACGATGCGGATATTGTTGGGAAAGTTTTCGGGCGACCAGCGGGGGAGCATGCGGCGGAAGTCGGTCTCATCGAGGTCATCGAGCGACTTGATGCTGTTGGTAGTGTCAGCGTCGCTCAAAGGGTGGAAAAGAATGAGACTTGCGAGCCGGAGAGGATACCTCGGCCGAGAGGAGAGTAGGCAACGACAGCCACGCCGAGCTCTTTTGCGGCGGCGATCAGTCCGTTCTCTTCATAAGTGGTCTCCCAGGGAGAATACTCGATCTGGAGAGCGTCGATCTTGGCAACTATACACCGTGTTAGACGCATCCCACCTTGATGTGAAGAGATACTCACCCGAACAAGCCTTCCTCAAGGTCTCAACACCACACTCGCTCAACCCAATGTACTTGGTCTTGCCAGCCTTCCTCAACTCGTCAAGGGTAGTAACGGACTCTTCGATAGGAGTGTTGGGGTCGATTCGGTGGAGGTAGTACAGGTCGGGGTAAGAGCCGAGTCGGTCTTTGGTACCCTCGATGTAGGCTCGGATGTGTTCAGGCTTGTTGGTGACGTTGCAGATCGTTGTCATGGGGTCCTGCCCATCCAAGCACTATCATGAGGGTCAGCATTTCCATGACCTCGATCTATAGCGTACGCACGTCGTAACCACATTTGGAAGCGATAAAGACCTTGTCCCTGGTACCAGTCTTCTTGAAAAAGTCGCCGATGAGCGATTCATTGTGACCGGCACCGTACAAGACGGCAGAGTCCCAGAAGGTACATCCGAGATCGATAGCCTTTTGGAGAGTCTTGTGGGATTCCGTGTCGTCTGCGGGACCGTAGGCCATGGAGAGGCCCATAGCTCTGCGGATGAGAATCAGCCGCCATATCAATTTATGAGTGTGACGCGTCTGACCCAAAGCCTGGGACGGGGACTTGAATATCTTGGAAGGGAACTGTCTTGACCATGCTTGAATCTGTGGCTCGATTTTGGTGAGAATCTGGAAGATGGGAATTATATCCACCAGATGTGACCGTCCGCTTCTTATATGGACGAACACACAATGACGTAAACAGCAGTGTCATATGCCTCGCCAGACCATCGCCCAGCCACAGCTAGTTTAAAGGGAGAGACCGGTGGGCTTGCGTCGAGCCAGAGAGACCGGCGGGCACGGTATCTACTAGGCTGTGAGCCCGCCGGCCTTGCAGAGCGTGAAAAAGTCAGGAAAAAGGTGGAGATGGTGGAGTCTCCGGAGGTGAAAGGTGGAGGTAAGGCTGCTGTAGGGAAGAGAAACAAAAGAGAAATCAACGTAGTAAAACTGGCAATGCTTCCTGATGTCTCTTCGAGCATCAGCTGGCTCACCAAATCACGGACAGTCTTGAAAAGGATCTCTGGGGTCTATCGAGAGATCAACACAACACACCCTTCCAGTGTCACTCTTTCTACATGCAAGCAGTACTGGACTATAGCTGACACGTCATCGTACTCAACATCTTTGATACAAGCCATGATACCAAATCATCTCGAGTCCATCAGAGCGATCCTTGGCCGACGTAGCATGGTAACTCAGAAGTTCGCTTTGGAACCGTCACTGAGCAAACCAAGTCAGCCTGTGTTCCCAAATCGCTGAAGGCCTGAAGCGGCTCATAAGCCCAAATCCAGACTCACGGGTTCCACATCCACCCGGAGGTATCTTCCTTGGTGCTGTCGTTGATAACCTTGACGATACCAGCTACGCGCCACAAAGAAACAGCTCTCGTAAGCACCGGCGGACAGAGAAGGATGAGATGAAGTGACAAAAATGCGCTTACGGATAACATCATCAACAGCACTTGCCTCGACAGGAGGCTTGCCGAAGGCATCCCAGGCCTCGCGGGCGGACTTGCTAGAGACGTGCTGTCAGTAACGGGGTGCTCAGCAATTAGCGATTAACATACGTGTCGACCGATCCCGGATCGATGGTGAATGCTTTGAGAGCCGGCTCCTCGTAGTGAATGGTACGAGTCTGAAACGTAACATATATCAGCGGTTGCGAGCACAATTTGACACTGACTCACAAGGTAGTTGACTGCCGCTTTACTAGCTCCATAGAAGCCAATAAGCTCCCAAGCAAAAGTCCGCTGCAATGACCCAGCAAGACTAGAGATGACCACAAAGGTTCCATTGTCCTTCAACAATGGCCTGGTGGCCTGGTAGAGCACGAGGGGTCCACGGGTGTTGACTTGGTAGACATAGTCCAAGTCGGTGGAGGAGGCGTTTTTAAGAAGGGCACCAGGACCACCGGTTCCAGAGTTGGCGATGACAATGTCAATTTGGGTGATGTTGTGTTTGGTCCTGAGCTCCTTGACGACCTTTGAGACAGGGTCAGTATGCTACATGTAGATGAGAGGGACTACGCACATCATGAAAATCGGTCAAAGAAGACTGATCAGCCTTGACTGTGATGATGTTGCCTCCGAGTTTGGGAGTCTTCTCGGGGTTGCGATTGACGCCGATGACAGTCCAGCCTTGCTTGAGGTAATGTTTGGCGATACCCTCGCCGATACTGCCAAAGCCTCAGCACATATTTAGAAAGAAAACTAAGTGGGGACTCTCACCCTTGAGAAGTACCGGTGATGAGGATGACTTTGTCTTGGTTGTTTGAGGTCATTACGTGAGATCAATAACTTGTACTATGTATCTCGAGAAGGGGGGACGATGTAGCCATATATATGCCGTGGCTCCCTTGCATTGCTGCTGGGCTGACTGATAGTTTAGAGATGTTGAGGTAAGCTTCACATGATGACGAGGATACTTACTCAGCTGCAAGCATGATGACCGTCGGCTACATGACAAACCACTTGCGCCGCTTCTGTCATCGCTTCCTTTCTCGACACAGTACGAGTAGAGTACTCGGTCCCGTGACAGATTCAACCAGTATTGATTTTGATTCTTCGACGAGGTTCTTCCATAGCGATATGTCGATTTGGTATACATGTAACTGTACATTTTTTAAGAACATAGTGAAATCTAGACGGTGCCCAACAAAGCGCTCGTCATGGGCCACCATCCCACGAATTCCTCTTCCTCTATACTGGTAGCTTCCACAGGCGGCAAAGCAGTATCCATATGGACATCAACCCACCGGCGGGTGAGGGCGCCTTTCTGAAGCAGAAAGTCGAGGATATCGACCAATTCCAGCCTGTCAAAGATCGAGCTAACTCTTCTGGCGAGTGATCTCTATCAAACTATCAGCTATTGTGACTATGATTCAAGGCTTTGAACCAACCTGGTTGATGCCCGGACGGCTCGCCAAATGCGCTATCACCGCATTGCATCCTCTCCTCCACTCTTTCTCCATCACTTTCCCATAAACATCCACCCATCTCCTGGGTTCTGTCGACCTGTCCGCATCTGCCCGGTCCTTTGATTCGTAAGGCCTTGTCTCTATACACCATGCACTCCAGTATTCACAATCGATGGCACGGGCGGTATCGTAGCCTCCCCAGAAGATACGGGACATGGGGTCTGAAGAAATTCGAGCAAGAGCATGGGCGAGCTGACGGGGGACAAGGTCGAGGAGAGCAAGCAGACTGGGTTTGCTTATACCCTCCTGACCCGCAGACGTGATGGCGCCCATGACCGATGTGACGATAGAGTCGTCGATATCAGGGACGATATTCCATTTTGCGGGAGCTTTACAGGCATCGGGCCTGGGCAATGGAATGTCAGCAAGAGGCGGTGCCGCCTTCACGCGCGTGACTTTAAAGTCGAATTCGTATGCGTCGTCGTCTATATCGCCGTGAGCTAGTTTTAGGGTACAAGATACAGCTTCGACATACTCAGCTTTCGAGTGTTGTAGTGAGGGATACGGATAGGAGGACAGTCTTCGATCTTGAAACTAAAGTCGACCTTGAATCATTGTGAGTGACCATTGACTGACAGGTCCGATATCGACTCACTTCTTCGTTCGAGGCCATACTCAAGAGAGCGCCAAGTTCGCCGGGCTTCCCGATTAGAGGCCATTCAATACCTTCCGCTCCTGCCATTTCCAACTTCTTTTCCATCTGCCCTGCTTCCGTGAAGAAACTACCAGGAAGAGGTCCATCGGACAATTGCTGCCATCTATAAAGCGAATTAGTACGATCGCGATAGATTGCGGGAATACTTACTGATGAGTAAAGTCGTAGCGCCTCCCTCCTGTCCCGGCAACAGACCCCGAGCCAATCTTCCGGATGACAGTCTTATCCACCAGGTCGGCAATGATCTTCTCGTAGACGGGCTCCTGCCAGAACTTGAGAAGACGCTGTCCAACATGAGGGTCATACGAGATCGATGGCGTGGCAATAATAGACTACATTCCATTCAGCATACAGCTCCACACGCAATCATCGACGTACCTTGAGCGTAGCGGTCAGTTTGCCAGTATCCCGGTCATTCTCGACCAAAGCCAGGTCCATGATGCTCTCCTCTTGGACTCTGGGCATGACAAATGATGTGCGAGCGAGGTGGCTCACATGGAGATCCTCAGCCATCTGAGAGTCTGCAAGAGTGTCAAAGGTGTGATTTTTGGTCTTGATGTAGGAATAGTCATGTTGCTGAAGAAGGGAAGCTATGTCCGCGGGGAGGTTTGGGGCATACTCCGTCTGGCGAACAGGAACAGATGTCGCGAGAAGTTTTCTGCAGATGTTGTCAATAACACTCTCTTGAGAAAGAGGACACTCACAGATTCCGCTTATCAACGCTTTTTCGGAAATACTCCAGATGGGCCTTGATGTCGAAAGCCACAGAACTGTGGATATTGTCGTCCGGCAGCACCTCCGTTCCCCTATGCTTCATCCAGATCTCGTACCAAGCCTGTTCCAGCCTTGACAAGTAGGTAGCCATCCCTGGCTCAGAGACGATGTGGGTAAGCCGGTTACGGAGAGTCTGTGAAGAAGCTTCTGGAAATAGCGCTGTCATGCACGCCCGGCCTCGATAGTTGTTGGTTCTTGAACGTGCTCTAATGATGGCTTCGCCATCGATGATGAGATCGTCGTCTTCGGAAGACCATTTACGTCGGATACGCTTGGCGCCACTCGCTGCAGAAGGGCCAGCGCCCGAAGCTATTGGAATGGGTGAGTGTCGAATATGGCAGTCAAACGACGCTACTTACCAAAAGAATCGTCCACTTTCGTCGTTCTCTCTCCCCGGCCCTTCTTCTGCCTCACAACCTTTGGTGCAGAGTCTTTCCCTTGCAGCTTCAACGAGACCTTTCGCGAGGCCATCAAAGACTGCCGTTCCTCTCCACTCATCCCTCTACACATTTCCCAGACCTTGACCCAATACGTAACCTGCGCATCTGGGACCGATTCCTTCTTCCCGACGCCTTTGGTCCTCTCAGTAAGGAAATCGAGGAGCTCTAGCGTGTAGTCTATTCCTTGGCCCAAAGCACTAGCCTTGACACGGTCCTGCCAGACTTGACGCGTAGCGACTTCTTCCTCCGCCAGACGAGCTTGGATGCTTTGACGGGCCTGCTCCCGGCGTTCAGTAGCTCGGACAGCGATTCGACGGAGCTCCTCGTCACGATGGGCAATCACCTGGACTTGAGCTTGCATGAGCTGCTTCAATTTGGCTTCGGCAACGTCGGGAGGAAGGGCCACATCCCAAGCGAGCTGCTTGATAGTCTTTTCACGAAGAGTAGCTGTGTGATGATCAATGGCGCTCTTGAGAGCTGTTTCCTGGCGCAGGCTGACCCATGGCTTGTCTTCCCACTTCTTCGCGTTCTTGATCGATTGGGGAAATTTGGGTGTGACTTTATAGACTTTGGGATAGACAGGTATGAAAGGCATGGCTTCTTGGACAGAAGACGGATCCACCCTTTGTACGATATCGATGGGCAACGCAACGAGGGCGGCTTCTCTCAGATATTTCCAATATCTTTCCACTTCAATCGCTGTCTTGACTTGAACGATTCCAAGTAACGGAGCATCTGGCTCAATGGCCAGATGGTACACGGGGACGTAGCTATGAAGCAGATAGTATGGCGACAAGTCCATAGTCGATCTCTGGAAATCTGCATCTCCGGCAGAGACCACTTTGGCGCCGCCCGCTGCGGCTACGAGGGGAGTGACACAATTCAGAGCGTCCAGGATTTCGAACAGGACAGTGAACCTTTGGGATCCCATAGGATTCAAAAAGGGCTTGCTGAATGTGTCGATCTCGGCCGGTACGTCGCGCACTTTGATCTCGCGATGGGCAGGGTCTTCAAGCCAAGTTGCAACGTGCTCTTGGTATGCCGTGTATCGCAGCAGAGCGAACCAGTCACCGATCCGTATATCTCCAATGAGTTTGGCCGTTTCGAATATTGGGGGCGACCTGGATATCATACACTGAGAGTCGGGAGAGGAGGCAATCTCGACAACGACGCGGTGCAAGATAGCCGTACGGATATACCGTTGTAGCTTGTAACCATAGAGCTGAGGGACCACGTGGGCACTCTCGCGCAAATGAAACTGCCTTCCGTCCGTAAAGTCGACGGCCGATCCCTCGACAGACTGGCCATCGTACCGTTTCGTAGGATGGGAAGGCCGAGCAAAGTCAGAGTACTTCGCATTGATCAAAGTAGGTTCCTTGGTACCAGGCTTCGGAGGCGCTTGTCGTTTTGCTGCTTGTTCCCGGATGTAGGCGTTCAGTGTATCATCCGGCAGGTCGGACACGTAATAGAACGTTTGATCGATGTGTCGCATGAAGTGATCGGGAAACTTAGTTTTGGTTTCTCTGATCCGGTTGTCCCCGATGAGGATGTTGAACATGCGCTGAGCGTAAGTCGGGGTCGTGATGAAGGCCTTGTCTACGCCCTGAGTCTTCGCCAGGTAGTCATGCAAGACTTGGGGAGCGTCTCGCTTTTTCACGGCACCACCAAAATCACGAATGGCATCATAGAGCTGGGTGGCGCGGATAGCATCCCCAATGCTGGGTGTCCCACGAGATGCTTGATCAAATGTCAACACGATCAAGGGCAAACGAAAGACCAACTCACTCATCTCTGCGCCGGTATTGACCTTCCTCTTCTTCTTTGTGCGCGTGGCAGACTGAGCAGCGACCTCCTCATCGACTACGCTGACGACTGGTGTTTGAGGTGAAGCTGGAAGAGGCTGAATAGTCTGTAGGGGTGTGACAGCGACGGAAGAGTTGCCGTGATCATCTTCTTGATCTTGACCTTGAGGGGTAATCGCTTTCCTCTTCCTCCCAAGCTCTTTGACCGCAATTGATCTTGATGCGAATCCAGCAGGCTCAGCAACGTTGGCGTTCTTCTCAACACTGATTCTTTCGGCCGCGAAAGTCTCCGACTCGATGTCCGTACCGAAATGGGGGGAAAATTCGGACAGCAGACTAGATTCGATGCTAGGGATACCGTCTCCAATGTCTTGTCCCTTTGACTTGGACGGACGCCCGCTCCTTCTAGGCGGTTGGTCCAGGTCTGGAGTATTGGAAGCACCGGTAGCGGGAGTGACTTTGGCAGGTCTACCTCGCCTCCTCGGAGGTTTGACGCTTTCAGTAGCACCGGAAGCTTCAATGGGAATGACATCACCGGCGGTCGTCTCGGCGACAGGAAGAGTTTGAGAGTTTTGCAGATCAGTGGCAGCCGATTGAGACATGTCACCTGTATCAGGCAGAGTGACAGTAGGATCTGCCGCGCTTTCGAGGTCGGGCAAAGGATTTTTGCGAGGTCTGCCGCGGCCGCGTTTGGCACCAGTGGTTGCCGGCTTGTTCTTCGGTGGTTTGCCAGGCTTCTTGGGCGGAGGGGGCGGGCTCTGGGATTGGTCATCGGCTGTCGTTCCAGATGGGCCGCTCTCGGCTTCTTCGCCTGCTTCAACATAGCTCATAGTCGTCTTTCGCCTCTTTGACGCTCTAAGACCATCATCGCCATCTTCCTGAATTCCGTCACCTCGAACGCCATCACCAACAGCCCCGTAGTCACTGTAACCTCCCCCTCCGACCAATGACCCTTCCATCTCCAGAAGCCATTTGGGCTTTCTCAGGGTAGCAGACCGCTTCTTGGCATGAGGGTATTGATCGTAGAAGGCCGGAGGACGCCCTTGGTCGAGCTGCCATTGTTCGTATGGGGGCGGAGGCTGCTTTGTTCTCGGATTGAAACTGTCGGACGCCGGATAAACCAGACCTGTAGTCCAACTGAACAACAGGATATCGGGCACATCCGGATGGTGATACATATCACCACAGACTCTGCGTTCGCGTCCATGCTCGCCACCACCCTTGATGTCGTTGTAGACTACGACATAGGACTTGGGACGACCTCGGTTCTCGGGCTCACAGGACTTGGTCGCCTGTCCACCTTGAGTTTCGCGCTTCGAGGGTCGGCCTCTCTTTTTGGGCGCGGATTTGGTTTTGCCCGGCACATTTGGCATCCTCGCCTCCAGATCAGAGTCTGTAGATCCTCTTTCCACATAGTCGATAAACTGCTGAGTAGAGCGGTAATAGTGGGGAGGCAAATCAAGGAAGTGACCGGATGAGGAGGGCTCTGGCTTGACTTTGTGCTGGTGGTCATGTTCGGCAAAGAAGGCAAGGGCGTGAAAGCTCGTGAGATAGTTGATGTAAGATTGTCTGCCGGTAGAAATCACAGCGCCATAGACAGCAAGAGCCCAAAATTGATCGGGGAACCGATTTCCCTGTTCCCCGCAGATCATACCGAGAATCTTTTCGACTATCCTCAGATAGACAGAGTTGAGCTTGCGTTTCAGTTCCTGTTACAAGCACGTCAGCAGATGCTTATGGATGTAGAGCCTTCAGACTTACACCACGGACTATTCCTTTGGGAGCGTTGGCAATGAGCTCCAGAAGCTGACGTTCCAGAGTTCTGGTGACCATGACGCCCGGCATTGGTTTGTAAAGAGGCAAGCGAGCAATTTCTGAGCAGCGTCAGCCATGAGCTTGGGCGTTTGAGCATACATACCTTCGATTGACTTTTGCTCTTCCTGCACCTCTTCACGGCCCACGACCTCTTGATTCTGTCCATACTTGGCCAAACGCAAGCACAAAACTTGTTTCTTGCCATCGCCAACGAGCAGATTCTCGACGACGCCAGCATCGACCATGTTGGTAATGACCTTTCGTATGGCTCGGTGTTGCTTTTGAATAGTCTTGCTTCGCCAACCCTGCAAAACCCAGATCAGCATTGTCATACGGAATGGGAGGACGACTGACCATAGCATAAATAAGCCCCCGGTATCTGATGAGGTGATTGGTGAGTTTCGGGTGATCAAGGATCCTCATGATCCTATCCTGCACCATATGCGGCGACTTGATATCCATATCGCTGATGGGCGCCAATCCCAGATCCCACTCCCCAACATCCTCGTCCTCCGCATGCTCCTCGTCTTCCTCTCCCCCGGCGATCTCTTCTTCTTCCTCCCTCTGCAAGTCTTGTCGGAGCGATGCGGCTACGTCTGGGGGAAGTGTGTTTTGGAGCTGAGGGTTGAGTCGGCAGAAAGAGAGGTACTGGGGGTTGAGGTGGAGATATCTGAAGTGTACGATCATGTTGCTGCTCGCGTTTCGGTCTAGGAACTCGACTTTGGCGCTGTCATATAACGGTCAGGATACGTAGAGAGTAGTGAAGAGGAAGATCAAACTTACACCAAACCGTTGTCTACAAGCATGTTCATCCTCGAGTACCAATCACCACCCCCGAGCAGGCCGACCAGTGACATGTAGCGGATACCCTTTCCGCGGGCCATCGCCACCAGTTGGAGAAGACTCAGAGCGTCTTTGGACAAATTCAGAGTCTATTGCGGGTCAGCAATCGCCAAAAACAAGAGCATTGAACTTGACCTACTCCTTGATGCTTGCCAGTGAGCTGATAATGAATCTCTTCCGTCGTACACCTCACTCTCAGCCTCGAACCCCACTTCTCCTTGAGCGCCTTGAAGTCACTGACGGCGACATTTCCGATACCATTGTATTGTAACCCATCCACCTTGTCCAACACGACGATAGGTGTCTTGAACGACAAAGTTTCAGTGTCATCCGTGGCTTTCCCTTTGCCTTTGGGATCAACCTCGGAAACGACGGCGATGGGTCGAGCGGTGAGAATCACTTCAATGTTGGACTGAATGACTAGAGTTTGCCAGATGTATTGAAAGGTCTGGTCATCGATTGGGTTGATGATCCCGGCGAGGTGGGCTTGCAGGTCTGAGGGGGCGGATCCTACATTGTTCGGTCAGTTGACATGTACAAGGGTCCTAGCACACATCACCCAACATTCTTCCCAGCACCTAGGTCTATCCACCACACGGAGAGCGCAGGCAACATTGGAATGGACATCCACCCCCTGGCCCACTATCCCGTGAAGGTGGTCGACCTCCACCTCGCGCGTCCAGCTCTCGCGTCACCCTGACTTACCAAGTACTCCATCAATTCCGATGTACTGGATGCTCTCCTCGATTGCTTTGTACAGCTTCATGCTGCCGGGTGCCCTCCGCTCTGAGTACTAGAGGGCAGGCTGGAAGTTGGATGTCGGGGTGTCGGGATGATGAATTAATGGGATACCAGACAGAAACGCAAAATCAAGGGGAAAGAGGGCATGAGCGGCAGTCGAACTCGCGACACTGGGAAAGAGCGGCGATAGGCGTTATGCGTGTGGCACTTGTCCGTGCTTTTTGAAGGTCGTTCAACTTGCGAGCCGTCATGCTCAGTCATGCTTCAACGACACCGCGTAGGCGCACCCCACGGCCCCAACCTTCAAAGCCCGACCTCACGGGCCGATATGCATACGATCAGTCTGCTCAGTGATGCTCTATTAGCATACATGATGACTAGCTCTCGTCTGCAGCCTCCCCATCCGGTTCCTCGTCAGTCTCGCTCCCTTCCTCGTCGTCCTCTCCGCCTTCCGCATCCCCTCCTTCCTCTCCCGCATGCTTTGACAACCTAGCCCTCCTCCTCTTTGTCCTTCCTCCAGTAGCAGCATATTTTCGGGTGGGAATAACAGCCTCAAATGCAACCGCCCAATCTTTGAACTTGAGATACTGCACAAGGATGTCAAAGACCTATGTGGTGTTAGTGATGTAGTTTGCCAGACGCTCGCTCGACTCACTTGGTTGACGGTCAACACTTTGCGAGTGGGGAGGTTGGCAATGTAGGACCCGATAGGCAGCCTTGCGGTACGGATCCCAAGTTTCTCTGCTTTGTCTTGGCACAAATTCTGTAGCTATCATCAGCCACCTGCGCACTTTGCCATGTCATGAAACACACCTTGTACCGGTTCCTGTCGACAATGCCCCCGATGATGTACACCTCATCCTCTGACAGTGTTGTGATTTCTTCTTCGGCGTCGGCTGAGAGGTAGACAAGGGTGTGCTTGCCGGGGATCAAGTCGGGCGGCAGGTTTGGACCTGTCAGCCGGCTCAACATGGTCTTCTCCAACATAGTGTTTCCCTCGGCTTCCCCGCCAGCTCCAAGACTTGTTTCTTGTGTCTGGCCTTCTTGCGCTTCAGAACCTTGGAGTTGTCCCTGCAGTACGTCCAGGCCTTCATTCCACCAGTGGCACCGAGTCCACTTGTCCCAATTGGAACTGCCCATCCGTGCCCATAACCTGGGGGATGCAGTCGGGGAGAAAGTTGTGTGGATGACGGTCCGGAAAGGATGTTGAGCTGTACGGTTGGCAGAGTAGAGGTAGCCTAATTGTTGCGCTGTTGAAGCGATTTCCTGAGCAGTATGTCAACACCTGTCGCCCAAGAATCTATCACACAAACCTGGTCCGCCATCAACTCGTCAAAGCCCAAGTCCACGACAACGCCGCCCTTCCAATCATCTCCCTGCTCCCCTTTATCCAATCTCTTCTTCGCCTCCTTCCTCTCCCTCTCAATCTGTCTCCTTCTCTCCACGATGGCCTTGTCCGCCTCGCTCAAGGTCCCAGCGGCATATCCTTCGTGTAGCTCGGCATTGCGTACACGTCTGCGTTCTTTCTCGGCTGCTCTTTTGAGTGGCTTTAAGGTCTCCATCTTGGCCTACGAGCATAGTCAGCAAGGTGTCTGTTGATGTGTCCAGACTTTGCGCGCCGCACCTGTTTAGCAGCCCGTTTCTGAGCTTTCTTGCTCAAACCAGCAGCAGACTTGTCCCCCGCAGTCGTGGGGGTCGTAGATGGCCCAGCGTTCATAGCTGCTTCTTCGTCGATGTCCATAGTGTCGATGTCTTGGTTGTATATGGAAGTTAAGAAAGTTGTTGACCATGCGAGAAATTCATAAAAGGTGGAGGTTCTCTTTCGGCGGTGTCCGGTTTCGGCGCGGTGTCGATGATGAGCGCCGGAAACCATTTTGACCTATTTCTTCTTGCAATTCACTAATATCATTTGAGAATAACTTGATCCCACAAGAGTCCCCTCTTGTAAATCGCTTTTACTTCGCTGAATATCACTGGTCGCCACTGTCCCTCACCGCAAGAACCTCAATTACAAAGACGCCGAAATGTCTGACGCCCGATTACGTCGTGTCCAGAAAGAGATCAAGGGTAGGTCAGCAGTCAGCTCTCGCCATGGCATAATCTAACCTCTCCGACGTAGACTGTGCAAAGGACAAGACGAGTGGTATCGCCATCGAGAGTCAGTGCTTTCGCCTGGCTGGCCTCGCGCCCTTGCGTGTCGTTGAATTGAAACTGAAGGTCGCCTCCCGTAGTGATTGACGAGAACCCTTTCCATCTTGTTGGCGCTTTTCCTGGTCCCGTGAGTGTTCCGCCCATGGTTTCATGAGCATGAGCTTACTTTATCTGTAGCCCGACACACCATATGAAGGAGGTTATTACGAGGTCGTGCGTCAAATACTCTCCTGAACGAGGCTCGCAGGGCATAGCTAATGCTCTGTCTCCAGGACATTGTCATTCCCGATACATATCCGTTTCAGCCCGTCAAGATGAAGTTCATAACGTAAGTCGGCATCGTATCTATCAAGATCACCGCTGATGACCCGTTGCAGGAAGGTGTACCGTAAGCCGTTCTGCGTTTTGATGGCTAGTTCTTGCTCACCTGAATCTCAAAGATCCCAACGTTTCATCTGCTAGCGTGAGTCTCCGCTATACATCACATTTGTCTATGCTGACATTTGTCTAGGGCGCGATCTGTCTCGGTATGCTAACAAAGAGTCAACCCCGATTACGATGCTGACCCATATCACAGACATTCTCAAAGATGCCTGGTCACCTGTACGTCCATCCCATCCTCTACGAATACCATGCTCATAAGGACAATACAGGTCCTTACCCTGAAATCCACTCTCATATCCCTCCAATCCCTCCTCTGCGAACCCATTCCCAACGATCCTCAAGACGCCCAAGTAGCCAAGCACTATCTCTCCGACCGCGCCTCGTTCAACGACACAGCCAAGCACTGGGCTCAGGCTTATGCTCAAGCCCCGGTGGGGAAGAGCCAGGGTGGAGCTGCGGGTAGCGGGAAGAAGGCGTCCGATGCTGAGTTGGCTGGATTGACTGAGGAGAATGTTGCGTCGTTCACGGATATGGGTTTCCCTAGGGATCGAGTGGTGAGTGGAATTTGATTTGATCTATACTTGTTCTGATCCGGTGCAGATTCAAGTGTTGAAGAGCAAGAACTACCGAGGCAACAACGTCAACCCTGCCAACTACAACACTGTAAGCGAACTTCGTCAATGAGAAGACCAACGCTGACTAGACTCCAAGGTACTCGAGGAACTCTTGAGGGAGTAGACGACGTACAATGGAGGCTAGGGAGCGATCGCGAACGCAAGTGCAGCAGCATCATAGTCAGACACGGACCCTTCATGTAGCATCAAGAACATATCGTTTCACCAGGGCCAACGGATGAAGAGAGGGGTGATAGATTCATGCCATATGTCGATATCTCATTATTATGCTTCTCCTTTCTCATTATATCTCGCCGGCTATCTGGCAGCTCCAGGGACAGACTTCCAAGCGTCCACCTTTGCGGCATCCCCGCTTCTCTCAGCCGCTGCGATCGTCGCCAGTCGGCGAAGCTCAAGGGTTCTTCTCTTGTTAAAGTAGTCCACCTTTAGCATAATTAGTATCGTCTAAGAAATTGCCGTGCGAAATGTGGCTTACCCAAGCCTTGGCACAGCTCCCCTCGTACGCTTGCCTCTCTCCGTCACATACACTCCCCGCCACCACATTGCCCTTTCCATCCCTCTTCACTTCGTCCCCGGCTTGCAGAACTTTGTTTTTGTCTAGGCACCCATGGTAGATATCTCTCGAGGCCCAGCATTGCTTGCGCTCTTCCCTCGTAGGGGCAGGCTTCTCGATCTCTGCTTCAGAGGATGAGGAGCCGAAACCGAACATTGTGGGTGGGTAAGGTGTGGATTCTTTTGGTAAAAGTAGAGGGATCAACTGTTGATATGAGTTGAAGAGGAGGGCTCTTGAATGTTCTGGCAGGAGATCTATATGTCAGAGAAAGAGAAAGTCAAGATGATGGAAGTGGAGGTAACGGAATCAAAATCCATCCATCAAAAAGCCCGTCCATCTCCTCGAACATTTCGCGCTCGGCTCAAAATCACCCATACCTCTCGACTTCTCCCAGAACCACGCCATGCTCGCCCGTCAAGCTATCATCAGGTCTTCCCAGACTCTTCGCCCCATTGCGACTTCTTCATTCCGTCCCCTCGTACTCGCCAGGTCATTCCAAACCACCCCATTCTTCCGAAACGAAGCTCCTTCAACAAACGCTTCCTCTTCTTCTTCGACCTCTGCTGCTCTGGCAGAAGAGCCTGCTGCTCCTCTGGATGCCGAGTACGAAGCTCTTCTGAGGGGACAGGCTGTTTTGGGTGAGGAAGGCGAGCTGGAAGAGTTCGTGGGCGGCCGAGAGAGGTGGTACCATGTGGCTAGGAGCGAGGGAGGAGAGTTGCCTGTCTATTCCAAGTTCAGGAATGGAGGTCAAGTTACTACTCTTATTCGCAAAATCGAAGTAAGTGGAACATAGATGATGCAGAAAGACATTCGCTGACTTCTTGTCTAGGGAAGCGGTGCTGTAAGCCAGACGTAAAGCCTATAGGGTGCCAAGCTAACGTTTCTCCTTCAAGACACTGAGAGATCAGTTGAACGAATTTTTCCTGGCCAACCACCTCGACCCCTTCACTTCGCCCCCAAGAGCCACGCTCAGACCGACGAATGGACACATACAGATCAAGGGGCATTATGTTGAGGATGTGAAGGATTGGCTGTCTGAAAGGGGTTTCTAGGGACGAGAAGACAGATCTTGGGCATATGCACCTGGTCTATGCTTGTAGCAGCGGGTGGAAAGAGACAAATGTGCAACGTTTGTACTGTCCAGCTGCCCTCAATCATCTTGCATGCTCGCATCCTATTCCCACCTCACGCCAATATCTGCTCAATTGACGTCTCTCTAGCTGAGCATACACTCTCCACCTGGTTGTTTTCACTCTCGAGCCGTTATACACGCTCCACTCAGATACTCATAGACTGGTATGATGACTCTCAAACATTGGTGTTCAAACAAATGACAGTCGAGAGTGTTGCTTAAGCTTGGCTGCACATCATGGCTAATCTTGGGGCTGTAGGCCAGGACATACGTCGACGCAATTGAGAGCTTCCAGTGATGTACACCTCTTCGCACTAATGAATTTCAACGACATGCAACGATCTGCCACAACTCGACCGCAGTCCCATGATCGAGACAAATCAAGCACCCGCTCGATCCAACGCAAAAGTACATGATGGTATGCCATACGAGTACTGATTTGACGTGTCTATAATATAAAACTACTTGTATGATAGTATCAAAAAGAGCACCGGCTCTTTTCTCCTCCTTCGCTCTCGACTTGACTATCGCTCTGCGTAAGAAGCCGCCCACACTCCCCCTTCTCTTCTCTCCCCGTCGAACCACTATGGGAGGATGTCTCCCGGAAACAAAACAACAAGATGAACGTCTATCTCTATAACGAGTGAATACATCTATTGCTTTTTGTCAGCTTATGGGCAAAGAGATGGGCGTGAGGGATGACGTACATTTTTTTTGGCGAGGCCACGGGCCTTTCTTTCCCAATGCCCCCGTTCTCACCCCTTAATGGGGATACAGCTCTCCATAAGCAGGAGGCAGATGCACCTCTTCATCATCCTGAGCTTCCTCTTCTCTCCCCGGTACGGACCCGCCATCAAGATGTCTGACGATCGTCGTACCTCTTCTCAGCCCACCCTCTCTCACCGACCTCTCCCGATCCAGAGCCGCACCTCGAGCTATCAGAAGGGCGTCATCTTCCGTTCGCCATGAGCGGTCAGAAACCACAGAAGGCGAGGGGTGGTTGAGGTATGGACCCATGAATGAGCCGGAGCCGGTGTTGGGCTGCGGAAGGGATGGAGGGTCGGCGAAAGGAGAAACGAGGGTACGCGTGGTAGAAGAGTATGGGGTGGTGGCCGTCAGGAGAGGGTTCCACCCGCTCGTGCCTGAGCCTGGTCCGGAACCGCCAGCAGAAGACGAGTCGACGGCAGTATATGCCCAGGTACCCTCGTCAGAAGGACCGGACGCGCTCTTGGTGTCTACCGCCAGTGTGGGCCGCGCAGACATGGCGATCGTATCGGAGAAGTGCCCGTGGGCGCTGGAGGAAGTCATGGGAACAAAGGTTCCCAGATCCCTCTCCGAGTATTCAGAGTTGACGCCCTCACTATAAGTGGACAAGGTACGCGCGTAAGACGAGCCGTCTTGAGCGAGCATGTCAAACTCCGAGTCGTCAGTGTACGTCGACTCGGACCTGTGACGCGACGTAGCAGGCGTAAGAGAAGACCGAGGTGGGTCGAGGAAGGGAGATTGGTACGAAGGGATCGGGTATGCTGCGGGCCGAGGATGGGTGGGGAGGACGACCCCGATCGTTTCACGCTGGGACATGCGAGGGGGCGACGGCTGTGGCAGCAAGCTCCTCTCGGACCGCAGCTGCGCGACAGCCTTTGGTACTGGCGTCTCGATCCTCTCCAACGGCCTGCCTCCGCCCTTTTCCTTTTTGCGCTTCGGGACCGCGACGTTCCCCGGCATCTTGTTCATCCTGCGTCGACGGCGGGTGTACAAGACGATAAGGATGATGGAGCCGACGACCACGAGGGAGGAGACGACGGCGATGGCTACTGCAGCACCGATGGTCAGGGGTGGACGCCGGGTGGATGGGGTGGAAGAGGTGGTAACAGAAGTGACGGTCGAGTTGGCTACGCTGCCGTCGATCGAGGCAGAGGTTTTGGGGCCATAGTCTGTGGCCGAGGACGCGGCGCCAGTGTAGGCAGCCTCGTCGTTGTGGGTGCTGGTGGCAGGGTCTGCGGAGGACGGTATGGGGCGGCTGGTGGAGGATGAGGCGACGGCAGCAGACGAGACACGGGCTGTCTGGTAGTAATCGAAGATGTTGAGGGTGTGGGGGTGGTAGGTGGACATGGCGGGGAGGAGGAGAGAAGAGAGAAGAGAGAAGAGAGGATGTATACAAATACAGATGAAGAAGAGAGATCAGATGCTGCGAGATGTACGGAAGACGTCTGGCCACAAAAGCAGCACCCCCTAATTTAAACAAACAGCCCCTGAGAATTCCTGCACGCCTATTTCCTCTCTCTCCTCCCACCCACGACCCTCGACCGCTGCGCCTGCCGTGCACTATGCATGCACATCGGGGTGCCTCTGCCACATACATGTATGCATCGAGGTCTCCTGCTGTTGCACTGCTGTTGCAGCCGCCTCATTGGCAATAGGACGCAGTCCCTGCCGCCGTCAGTTTTTCTTTTGTCCGCTATATCTCCTGCGATCCCACGGGTCTTGCACGAACCCTGGCCCCACTCCTTCGCAGCTGCCAAGCCCACTCGAGAGTATCCTTCGCAGCAGGCAGCATCACTTGCCTTCGTTGCCCGTCGCCCGTTCCCAAATCTCACGGCACCCCTCTTTCATAAACGTTCCCGTCTCAGCGCGTCATAAGCTTTGAGCTTTGAGCTTGTGAAGGTTTTTCGGGCGCGCCTGGCCTTGCATCTCCCCTGTACTTCGGGATATACATGGCATGAGCGGACCATGCACCACTTTGTCGCGAGCCCCCTTGCTGCGCCATCTTTGCCCTGTCGATGTGCCATCGCCAAAAAGCAACAGCTGGGCAATTTCAAGAGGCCGATCGAACATTTTGAAGGTGCTTCTGGTGACTAACGTCCTCTTAACATGACGCACTAGGAACCGCGCATTTATTTTGTCTTTTCTTCCCTTCCTGCTGCCTGCCCTTTTCGGCAATTGAGGCAAGCCACTGACCTCGTTGCCTCACGTCGCTTGCAGGCGATGAGCATGTATCTGTAGCAATGCCGAGACGACACCTTTGGCATTCACCCTGTTCATGTCTCTCAGAACTCAGAAGCCCTGCATTTCTACTACTCCGCACTCCTGGCTGATCAATAAATATCGATCCAGGTTGTATGGACTCCTTATGCAGCCTCATTTGCAGCAGTTCTTCTCTTTAATGATCTGTCGAGAGGCAGAATAGGCAACATCATCAAAGAGACGGCCCCGTGCGCCAGCGCTGACCATAGCACCAACCATGCTTTGTTTGGTCTATAAAACCACGAAGCCTGGGCGAGCTGTTTTCCTCTTGTCCTGCTACCTACAGGCATGGGACTCCAAAATAGGGTAGAAGCATGGTGCATAGGCCTACGGAGCCAGCTATTCCTCGGGCTTTGTAGTGATGCAATGATGGCTGCGACGGCCCGCCGGCCGTTGAGTCGGTCATGTCTCCTCAGTCAGACTATACCAGTGGCAGCAACATTTGAAGGACATACCTAAGTATACCGGGGTCGGACTCCTTGTGATCTATTCCAAGTCGTAGATACGTTTATACGTTTAGAGCTAATCATGAAAGTACGAGTAGAGTACTCGTATATACATAGATCCTTTACCTCTGTTGATTGTGGCAGTCGGTCGGTCGCGTCGTCGGTCGGTGGTCTTCGCACGTATGTACATATATGGGTGGCGGCTCGAGCCCCATTGACGCTTTTAGCAGCTGGGTACAGACAGCAGGTGGCATTGACACGCTCAACAGCTGCCAAATGCGAGCACGAGCATTACATGAACATTAGCCGACATTCATTTGGTTGTTACGTTAAGCTGCGGGATCAAATTTCGCTAGTTTGTTGACATTTCCCTTTGAGCACTTTGCATCACCCATTCCATTCATCTATACCTCTCTATCTTCCCTCTCCGACCCCCTCCGCCCTCCAACTCAGCCCCTCGCCAAAATACTACATTTGTCGCTCTTTTCCGCCCTCCCCACCCAGTTCCCCACTCTAAAGGCGCGCACGGAAACAATCGGTAATAACATCAACCCCCGTCATTCCCATCTTCCCACCTCCCCTCGCCATTCAACAAATAACTCTGTTCTCTCCATAATCGCCCCCTGCTTTTCCCGATCTGTTCAAGTATATCCAAAGCCACCTGAAAACGTGATACACACAGCCGCCTCCTGGTCGCGTCGCCCTTGTCGCGCTTTCCTGTGTACAGTGCGCCGCCTTGATCCCCGTAACATGGCTGAACACTGACACTGCCTCTCCAGCAACTGTATCATAGCCCTCCTCAAAACCCAAAAGTGTATAATCCCCCAGCGACTCTTGTTCTCTGCAAGCATCAATCCTATAAAAAACACCTCGGTTTCGAGGGGCTCGCTTAAAATCGGCTCGTTCTTCCAAAAGTGCGATGGAACATACAAACGCCGAAGCGTCCTCCAGCAAACACCCAGCCCCCTCCCACCCCCGCAACAATCTCTCCCTCTCCCTCTCCCTTACGGTTCCTAGAGATAACTCTCCCAGGGGGAGCAGGGGCAGGTCGGCAAGCCGGCGGCGAGATGCTAGGAATGAGCCTGCCTCTGCGCGGGGGTCTGCTGTAGATCTGGTTTTGCCGCAATCGGCTGTATCAGCGGGGACCGCGAGGAGTGGGGGTGGGAGTCTGAGGGTATCAGAGAGGGCGTTGAGCCCGAAGAGTGGGAGTGAGGCGGGTGGATCGAATGCCAGTAGGAGACTACGGACTGTTCCTCGTATGTCTCATCTCTCTGCTGAAATGCAGAAAGCTGACTAGGTGAATAGCTATGGCGATATTTGAGCCTCCGACTCCGCCACCTTCTGAACAACCCCTCCCGCCAGCCGAAGGGCAGTCTCCATCAGCTGCCGCAGACCCTTTCCCGACCATCACCACCGCCTCTTCCCGCGCCATGCGTTATCGCTACTCTGATTCGTCATCCAATCAGTCATCTGCCGACGACTCTTCCTTTGATGAGACGCCTCCTTGGTGGACATTTACCCAGAGGGGAATGGCGAGGATCAAACACAGGACGCTGAAACACAAGCAGGGGCAGAGCGGGAAGGAAAGTGATAGGGAAGATGAGGGAGGTCTGACAGAAGGAGTGACAGAGGCAGAGTCGGGGAGAGAGGAGGGGAGACCCAAGAAGAGAACGAGCTATTTCAGCGCCTCGAGGAAGAGTTCCAAGGATACACCCGGTCCCTCTGGACGGCGGACGGCTTCACCGTCACGTATCCTGGGGTATAATCGAAATTCGGCGTACAGGGCTGACTCTGTAAACAATACCACGCCTTCCTTGAAACTGTCGAATGCGTTCAAGAAAGGGTCAACCACGAGGCTCCAGCCCGTGGCGACACATTTACGTCCGATCAAGTCGAATCACGGAAATGAGAGTCAGACTTTTGGCAGGCGCAAGCCGCCTCTGAAGCGTATGGACTCTGCTCCTGCTGCCACTTCTTCCCCGACCTCTCCAGTCTTTCCGTCCTCTCCCAGCCCGGGGCTGGCGACCCTCGTCGACCAGCCTTTGCGGGATCCCCAAGCGCCGATCGTCCTTGGAGGGGAAGTGTCAGGAGCATCGCCCACTGCTTCGCCTACAAGACGTACAGCGCGGCGGCAGCTCACAGCACCGGCCTTCCCACGCTTCTTTAGAAGCCGAGATACAGGTACCGGGGACGAGCAGTCGGAAGAGACAGACCACGAACTATCCCCTCTAGCCAGACCCCGTCCTCGCTCAACCCTCACATCTACTTCCATCCCCGACCCTGCTCAGACCAACTTCAACCTCACTCCAGGGCAAGACCCGAACGACCCTTCCAACTCTCCCGGTGCTCTCAAATACAAACGCAAAGGTTCCAATCGTCTGCGTATCAATCTACCCCCACCGCTCACACAGCACTTTGCAAACAATTTTCAGAATGGGTGGCCGCATGCGGGTAGTTGGCAGGATGCGTTGTATGGGTACTATGAGGAGCCGCAAAAGATGCGACAAGGGTCGACGCCAGCTGGGGGTTTCGCGTTCGGTGTGACTGAGGAAGGTGCCGCTGGTGCTGGGACTGCTTCTGAAGGAGAAGGGGGCAGCAGAAAGAAGAAGAAGAAGAAGGAGCGGAGAATGAGCTCTAAAGCTCCTGGGATCCAGTCAATACCTCCCAGTCCGCACGAGGGTGATATAGAGTCATCCGCCGAACAACAACCGCCCGTGACCGCCGGGGGAAGCAAGAGGACCAAGGCAAAGAAGCAAAAGCGATTTGAGGCCATGGTACCGCCCACGCCTAGTGGTCTGGGCTTCACGCCGAGGCATAGCGGAGAGGGCTTGGGAGAGTATCCTTGGAATGGGATGAATGGCGAGAATGATAGAATGAATGGATCCGGGGAGAAGGCCGGGAACGAGGCAAATGAAGAGACGCTGCGTGCGGACCAACCTCGCGGTAATACCCTTGCGCTCTTACATCCCGATCCGGCTCATCTGCGTAACAATGCCAATCTCGCTCGTCACACCTCCCGAGCAACAATCACTGACACTACCGTGGATGGACACGACTCCAACTCTTCCGCGTTTGGCTATTCTCGTGGTGGCAGAAATGGATTCCGATTGTTTGGAAAGAGACAGAGGCCGAATGAGAAACGGATGGATCTGAATCTTAGTTGGAAGAAGAGGTGGAAGAGAGTATTGTTTCTGGACGCAAGGGTCACTATCTGGGTGAGGTTGATCAATCTGATCGTGGTTGTGATCGCTCTAGGTATGTCCTCTCAAATTTGAGACATGGCAAAACTGACAATCTTCAAAGGACTATCAATCCAGATTCGTCTCAACCTCATCTCCCTCAGCCTTCCCGGCGTCCTCGGCTCCTCTACAACCCTTATCATTTCCTACGCCACTACCACCATCTTCCACGGCCTCATGGCCATCTACCGAGAGTACTTTGGCAAGCCCATCGGTCTTTGGGGGCTTAGCTCCAAGATGCTGTGGGTCTGCCTCGACTTGCTTTTCGTCGCCCTCTGGTCCTCTGCATTGAGTCTGTCAATCAACGACTTGATCGCGACACCATTAGAATGTTCTGCTGGTGCGGCCTGGTGGAGGAATGGGCTAGCGTCAGATTATGCCTCGTTGATTGCCGAATTAGAAGAGTCCGCCGAGGCGGTCGCCAATGCTACCCTCGGCGACAACTCTTCTTCGGCAACAACTGCCATTTCCGACAATCTTCTCGGCGTCACTTCTCCCGACCTCATCTCCACCTCCCTCGGTATCACTCTGCCCACATCCATCACAGCCTCGCACCTCGCGAGACAGGTGTGTCGTCATCAGGCAGCGTGCATTGCGTTGAGCGTGTTGGCGTTGTTGCTCTACGGCGGTAATATGGTGCTCAGTTTGTTTAGAATCTTTGAGACGGTGAGGAGAACTGGGAACGCTAGTAGAGCAGTCATTGTTTGATTGGGCGAGGGGAGAAAGGGGAGTCATCTGCAGACGTCGGGAAAGGAGCATACACGTCGACATACACAATCTTCTATAGTGATCTTTTGCATAATGACCATCATGTCGTCCCATGAGCTTTGCAGCTTGCAGGATCATTTCTATAGCGTCTCACTCTGCAACGAGCCTCTGGTACTGATTCGGCATGGTGTACGGTGATGGACACGCACATCACATATCGTGCATTACATCCTAATCTGCTTGTTCAACGATTTCCTGACTTCCGCAATTCCGCTCACATACACACTAACCTATTACATTGATAGGAACCGACACATTCACCACTAAGATTAATTATTACACCTAAAGTACAGAATACTTGATTGTGATTGATGAAGAAAGACTATGAACAAAATGCTTCTTATTGGTTTTTTGTGTATGACAATGGATGCAAAACGTGCCAGTATTCGTGTTTCGTTGGTGATTTTCTTTTCTTTTCGTTCGACCCATAGTAGATTTTCAGAGTTGATTCTCGTGATGGAGTGGGGTGTTGCAGCATCAATCCACGAAGCGAAGAGGCATATACTCGTCGAGTCGACGAAGGACATTGGCCCACTGGTCTCTCTGCTCGGCGTCTTCGAGATGGACCCAAAAGTCGACAGCAGCCTTTGTCACGTCAGTAATTGCTTCTCCACCATGAGACCCGACTCACCGTATAGACCACCAAGGTCCTTGTGTTCTTGGAGACCACACTGGACACCTTCGTCGCAAGTGACCCCTTGTCCCCAAAGACAGCCTCGCCCCTGGAAAGCTTCATCTCTTCCCTCTCCCTCTCCCTCCTCTCCTTCTTCTCTTTACTCTTGCCTTTGGTCAAGAGCTCGCCCTCTTCGGCGGGATCCTCATCGGCTTTGATGAAAACTAGGCGAGGAAAGTCTGTAAGCAACACCTGCCTCGGTTTCCAGGACCCGGTGAAGGCAGGGAGACGTGAATTGACAGCGCGAGTGTCCAACCTGTTGGTACAGAGTATATTCTCATTGGGGTGAAGATATGGTGCCCTGAATCCATGGTCAGCGGGGAGAGCGCAAAAGTACCTAGACACTTACCATTTGTTGATCTCCTCGTCACTCAAAGGCTCTACACCCCAGAGACCACGTCCCACACCTTGGTCGGGCTTCTGCCCATGCAAATGCTCTGGGAACCCACTCGTACTCGTTCGACGCATCCCATGCAGTCCCGCCTTCTTCTCAAACCTCAAACTATCCAACCACGCCGCAAGCGTATTCCTCGTCATCCCCGAACTCTCACTCCCATGACTCAATCCTCGCCCCTTCCCAAGCTTCCTCCCGTTACCCTTCTTGCTCGCCTCGCTGCTGTCTCGAGAGTGAAGAGGTTTGCTGGTGTTGTAGGCGTAGGTAGGACGGGGCGGGTCGAGCTGGTTTGAGTTTGTGGGGGTGTAGACGTTGCGATGATCAGGGTTGTCGAAGCTATCGACAGCTCGGGCGGCAGACTCGGCGTCGTAGAATGGTGAGTGCCTCAGCCCAGTATGATGGTCAATGCCGGGTTCGACATCATCATACTCGTACTCGAAGCCGTCTCCGTCATCATCAAACACGCCGCCAAAGATGTCGTTCATGTCGACGTTTGCGAGAGTGGCAGTGGGGGCGCGCATACCCGTTTGGATATCGGGAACAGGACAAGTCCAGATGGTAGACCAATCAATGGTTTTGAAGAACGGGTGGGATTTGAGAGCCGTGGCAGTCGGTCGATTGGCGGGAGAAATATTCTGCACAAACGTAAGCCGAGCTATTCGATGCCACTCATGGACACTCACAAAGATGGAGTCGATCATGTCTTTTGCGTCCTCGTCGAACCCTTCAGGCCACTCCATCTCCTTCCTGAGTACCCTTTGGAACGTGAGATAGTCTGTGGCACCCCTGAAAGGCGTCTTGCCAGCAATCATCTGGTAAAGGATGACACCAATGGCCCAGATATCGGCGCTTTGCAGACAGTCAGCTTGACCTCAACTACTACAGAGGGGACATACGCAGTATCCGCCGGATCATCTCTGAGGACCTCGGGACTGACATAGTCCGCACTCCCCACAAAAGACCTCTTGCTCCCTTGCTCTTCTTTGTCGATATCTTTCGATGCTTGGGGAGGATCGATAAAGATTTTGGCACTACCAAAGTCGGATATCTTCGTACGGAGATCGTCATCGATAAGGATGCTAGAAGAAAGTCAGATAACGGCCTCTTGGAAGAGCGAGAGACGTACTTTTCAGGCTTGAGGTCACGGTGGATGACACCGACCTGGTGCATAAACTCGCAACTGTCCACCATCTGCGCCGCATAGTATCTGGCAGTGTTGATGTCGAAAGACCCCCACTTCCTGATCAAGCCATACATGTCGCCTTGCGCTGCAAGACTCATCACAAAGTCTGCTCAAGCATCAGCAACCGCTTTCCAGGCTGAACATTACGACTCACAAAGAGCGACTCTGTCATTAAAGGTCGAATGAAGCTTGATAAACCCAGGATGCTGCCTCGCACGGCCAGATGGCACAACGGTCTGAGTAGACTTGGCAGACTTTTCAGAGGTAGCGAGAGACTGCCTCCTCTTCTTTGGCGTTCGCGGGGGACGGGCACCGGGGGTCAGAGGAGGTGCGTCGGAAGTGGCCAAAGAAGAGGAGCGAGAATCCATGGCACTCGGGGGAAGAGAGGGCAAGGCAGGGCCAAGCTCTACGACTGGGTTTTGCAATGCCTGCGGACTGTCGTGGAGCGACTCGTGACCTTCTGCAGATTCTTCTCGCACAGGAGAAGGTGGCATTGACCTGCCTTCCATTTCGGAGATGATGGGAGTGGGCAGTAGCACCTCGTTCACCTCTGGAACCATCTCGGGAGGATCGGCAGACCTGCTAGGTCGCCTGCCAGCAAGAGCCTTGCCGCTACCAGGAGACGGCTGGGCGTTGGTCCCGGTGGAAGCAGCGAGAACGGGGGACGAGCCGGCACTGGATGTTGTTGCGATGGAAAGACGATCGCGAGAATGGCTCTTGCCGCCGCTGGTGGGTGTTGTCCCAGTCAATGTATGACCAGAGAGGTTGGGAGATGGAGGAGCGATGATGTTGACGGAAGATTTTCTGGGTTTGACGGTCGTGCTGGAACTGTTTCCTGCACTGGAGGAGCTCGAGATTCCTCTTCGGTGCCCCCTCATCGGTATAGGTTCAGAGATTCGAATCATGGCATCACGTTCGACCATGGCGTATTTGACTTTTTTGTGTTTGACGAGGAAGGATTGGTCAATGACCTTCATGGCGTACTTTTTCGGAGGGCGCGGCGAGGTTGGAAATGTCGCTTCGTGTGCGGGGGCGACCCGGTAGACAGTGGAGAATGCCCCACTCCCGATTTCTTCCTCTTTGATCCAGTCTTCTGGACCAGGTTTGTGGCTGCCGGAGCCATTGGAGGAATGCGACTGTCGTCGATCGCGGCCTTGGGAACGACTCCTGTTGCCATGGGACCTGCTGGTCCCTGCATCAACAGAGAGAGTACGGGGCTTGCCGTCCAATGGGCGGTTCGAATTGACAGGGGACGAAGGGGCAGTCAAGCGCCCACGAGTGTCAAGAGGCGATGCGGCACCTGATCCCGGATGGCGCGTATGGTTGTGAGGGTCTTCAGGATCAATAGATATGGTTACCCTCAAAGGTGCAGAGCCATCCAACGTCGCATCCGGTGCCGCGGCAAAAGATGCCCCCCGAGGAGTCGTAGGTGATCCGCCAGCGCCTTCGTGTCTTGGCCTGGAGCGGTTCGTCAGGATCGGAGATGGAGACGCCGAGGAGGTAATAATGGAGGGCGGAATGGGATATCGAGGCTGAGGACTTTGGCTGAGGTTTGCAGCGCTCGTCACGGTCCGGGGACCATTTCGTGTCCACCCGCCGCCTCTTCCGCCTGCGGGTCCAGTCCTGGGACCGTCATAATGCGCATCGTCTTCGGCGTCGCTGGCATTTCGGCTGCCCATCTGCGACTTGTCGGTGGCGGCTGTCCTCGTCTCTGGAGGAGGCGGGCGCATGGGGGCGGCCTGGATGGAGGAGGTGGAGGATACGGAGGAGGAAGAGGGGTTGCGGGAGATGGTGGGGGAGGCGAGCCTGGAGCGGAGGGCGGCGTTGGAGGGCCCTGTGGGGGAGGGCGGCGTGAGGGATACCGCAGCCATGGCGGGTGGCAGAATGTTTTCTGAAGAGAAGAGAAAGGAAGAGACGATGGAGACGGAATGACGGACGGCGGTACATGACAACGGAACCAAATTCAAACCGAAAACGACTGATCCACCCGCAAGCGGCAAGGAGTTACGTTGGCCGATGTCTCTATCCTACCATGCTGTCAAGGAGAGGACGTCCCCCAGCCACAGCTGGTTCCGGCAAAAATCACCTCCGTCTCCCGTCCGGGAAGTATACCTCTTTGAGGTGAAAATTTCGAGCCGTAGGGCAGTGGTCAAAAGCCGAAAGAGTAGCTTACCACAGTCTCGGGGCGTCGTCGATTAACGTCATTGGGTCAGCAAGGGAGGTGACTCACATCAGCAAATAATCTTGGGAAAATTCAAGAATGTGGACCTTTACGTTTGGTCTCGAGCCTTGGGACATGTGCATAGGGGAGTTCGATCAACGCGGCTAGCCCGTCGATGACAAGACACGAGTCAGACACCGGAAGAAGAGGGTACCGCCGTTTACTCATAGAGAGGATGGTCAACGGGTTCCTTGTACGGGTGCTTGTAGCTCTCATGCAGTTCCGCCAGACCGAAAATCATACGTGTACCACATGTTGCCGCCAAGACTAGTTATTGCCCGCTGCTAGTAGTATTTATCCACCACGCCTGTCTCTCAACCTTCGCCCGACTCTCTTGCTCCCTCTTCTTCCCCTTACTAGCCTTCTCCCGCTGCAATGGCACACCCGCATTATTCACCATAGGAAAATATCCAACATGATTCAAACCCGTCCTGTCGGTCTGTGGGATATGTTTCCAGCCGGGCGGCGGAAAGACATGGCTCTGCGGGTCGTAGCCTAGTTCTTTGAGACGAGCGATGGCTTGGGCAGAACGCCGGGAGCGGTATGAAGGTCGCGTGTCGGGCTGTCTGGTGGGAGATGGTTCGGTGGTGTTTGTTTGAGAGTAGGGGTTGTTTGGCTGACTGAAAGAGGTGACGGCTTCGGGCTGGGTCGGAGTGGCGTCCGGTTTGGTATGCTGCCTACAGAATGCTGGTCAGCCTACTGTGCTGTAAGTGAAGCCGACGACCTACCTCTGCTGCTGCCTAAGAAGCTCTGCCTGTGCGGAAACTCTCGAGTAGTAATCATACCTACAAACCAGGGATCAGTAAAGCACACAGATACGATGAATACTGTTGACAAACCTCTGCTGCTCATCCGGACGACGACCATCCGCTTGTACGGCGGCATTCCTCGCATAGTACACCTGGGCGACAATCATATCGCTGTTTGGAGATCTCATGGTTGCTCTTATGACTTGAGTGTGTATCTGTAAGAAGAGAAGTCTGAAGATCATGATACAACAACGCTCCAATCTACATAGTGCTCACGGAAACATGCCAGTGGCCACCACGGCTGGCGGCGGATGAAGGGTCGGATACGGCGAGATGGACCACTAGCTGTTTTGCGGAATCCAGCAATCACATGCGAGCCTTCACCTCTTTCCCCCCGTTCTGAAAGCATCAGGTTTTCCACATGCTTGCGCTGCTCATCGCCATGGTATCGAGTGTGCATGAAGTTGAAATCTTTTCCTCCATCATCACACATCGAGCTCGGTGATCCGAGGCTGCACTGCACCAGAGTCGTTCTTCGAAGTATCATCGCCTCTTTCGAACGTACTTCACTGGCCCCGTGATACTTGTCAACATCGTACATCCATGTAGCGTACATACACTGACAGACATGCGAGTCGCACATGTCGTACCCCATTCACCGCAAAGCCGACCCTCCTGCCGACGTCCTCCGGACCGTACATGCTGTGCAATCAAGAAGCATCTCGACAAGACCATCAGCTTCTTCTCGCCGGCGACTGAGGTATCCAGTGCCCATTGCTTCTCGTTGTCATTCAGCTTTTGAATGATGCAGCTCCCTCCGGACCGACAACTGCCCCCCATCATTTCGCTGCCCGGCCTTCTTCGGCGACGATACGACGAGCGGAAGGCTGTGTGCGGAAGTTGACACCGGGCCGCTGGACAGAACAGAAGAAGAGGTGTGATGATTTGCGACATGCTGAGCGGTGTCACCGAAGAAGAGGGTGGGTATCATGTGGCAGGGTATATGCTGCACTGCGTCAACTCACAAGGCCGAGAGGTATACATACCCCCTGTTGCCCCTTCATCCATCTTCTCCATCCCACACGCCCACACCAATACACACCTACTATAATCCAACCATGCTCTCTCTCATCGCCCTCCTCCCCCTCCTGGCCCTCACCTCCGCCACCCCCCTCCCCCGCTCCGACAAAGACTTCTACCAAGGCGTCAAGCTCAAAAACGAAGTCGGCAACTTCGCCTGGTGCCTCACCCCCTACAACGAGCACTGGCACGACGGTACCAACCTCACTTCCAACTATTGTTCTGAGGGCGAGCTTTGGGATATCCATAGGGGGAGTGGGAGTATACTTGTGCATGGGACGGAGTGGGCTTTGGATTCGGGTACTGCTAAGGAGGATGGGGATTGGTTCAAGGTATATGTCTCTTTTGCCCTGTTAAGATTTTAGGTGGAAGGCTGACTGGTTGATATATAGATCTGGACCTCTTACCCGGGTATCGACGCACAGTCTTGGTACTACACCGACGACAAACACATTACCGTCTTGGGTGGTACACAGTGCATCCAGGAGACCATCAGGGGTCCTCGCTCTTTCGGTACGTATTCATGATTCATTTCGTGGGCGGGGGGCTGATGAGTGTGCAACTCTTAATAGCGTGCAATGACGACCCTTACCAAGGTAGGTTGACCGATTTTCATACCGCCATGACAGCCACTGATGCCGTCTTCTCAGTCTACACCATCGTCTACCCCGGCGACGAGGAGAGCAAGGAGTGAAGAAGAACTCGACCTCTATAGCGATTAAGTGTTTCCGGATTTCGATGTCTTGTGATACGTGTGATTGAGTATATCTTTACATGCAGATAATGGACAATCGTGAAGCTTTGTAGTGTTGATCTGCTTCTGTGAAAAGGAAAGTAAGCATCCCAGTTGGTGTGGAAGAGGTATGACGTTTGAGAGATGTCCTTTGAGCTCAAGAAAAAGAGCGTCTTATGATTCCAAGTGTGACAATTGGTACCTCGATGGATATAGATGCATGGTGCTATTTCGCTGCAGTCGGCCACCGAGGGAGCCCCCAGCCATGCTGGGGCTTGATAAGCATCCTCACTGTGTGCGAGATTTAATGTCGACCAACAGTAGCCACGAGTGGGACGTATAGCTATATCTGCCAACAGACAAACCCGAGACCCTCTCCAACAAGGACAGAGCTCAAAGACAAACAGTCTTTTGTTGCGGCGTTGCACATGAAGCGCGTTCCGCCTTTCCCATTCTCGCCGCCATTTACCGTCTCTTCTTCCCCTTCTTCTTGAAATCATCCTCATCCTCGTCCTCTTCAACCAACTCTCCCCGAGTGAGCTCCAACTCGACCAGATCTTCCCACTCTCTCACTCCATCCCACCGTTCACCACCACTCGCCAGGTCTCGCCATGCTTCAATGCTGTACTTGGCGTCGTCGAAGGAGGTGGCGGGGTCGAGTATGGTGGTGGTTATGATGGTGAGTTCGGCGAGGTGGGATGTGTGGAGAGGTATTAGGGATGATATGGAATTGACTAGAGACATGATTAACTTCAGGTATGTTGATGATACGAAATGCTGAGCTCACCGAAATGTTCAAGAGTCCATGTAAGCCAGAGCGGCTCCACGAATATAAAGTCTGAAGTCTCTCTAGAGCATGCCCCTAGTAGCACCTTGTCTGCCTGGTCCGCGAGCTGATTCAGCTTGCCAAGGTTGTTATCCTGCAGCACACCATGAGCAGATGTCAACAATGTCAAGCGGGCGCGGTCTTACCAGCTTGGCCATGGCAGCTTGGAGAGCTACTCTGTGCCCGTATAGATCTGAAAGGTGAGGTCCTATTTCTGGTCTTTCTGGCTTCTCTTCTACATCCAACAGATTACTTTAACGCATGTCAGCTTCAGCACAAATTTCGCGCTCATAGCACTCACTCCATCTCTGTCGTCTCGTCTATACACCCCTTCGCGGCTTTATATCCCTCCAATATTATGATTTCGTCCCATGTTCTGATAACATTCTTTACTTCCGTGATGACAAGCTTGAGCATGCGGTGGTGTGTCGTCTCCGTTTGACGCAAGGGAGTCGCAGGGGCAGGCGAGGGAGATGGTGAAGGAGAGCTTCTTGACCGGCTGGGTGTCGAGAGGGATGCGAGTCTTCCAGACATACTGGGACTTGTCCGTTCTTCAAGGATTGAGTTTACCAGAACACAGATGCTTGATGAAAGATGCCAACTTTTGAATCTGCATTCGTTGATACACCTGCAGCCGAAATTTTGATCCCGCTCCCGTGCCGAGTTGCCACCGTCATCCGATACTCCCAAGCACAACCATCTCTTTCATCTGTATCTATATCCCATTCTCAGTACCCCCTGGACCCCAACGAGTGACTTCATAGCAGCACAAACGCCGCTCAAGGACACTCACCATGTCCACGGCAAGAACCATGCTTCGGCGGCTCCCACGGCCCTACCTGCACAACCGCACACGACCACAGCTCAACACCCGGGTCGTCACGACACCTGCGGCGAGACATGTCCATGTCAGGGCCATATCGTTCTCCACCATCCCGAGAGCTGTGGCTAGAGCTTTCAGAATCCCGTTGTACGGTGCCGCCGTCGGCGCGGGTGGAGTTGGATATGCAAACTACAAGCTCGAGGGTGAGCCGAGAGATCTTGAAGGTTGGAGACGTGCTGATTTTGGTTCAGGTGTGAGGAATGCTACCTCAGAGATGCTTTCCAGCGTCCAGGACACATTCTCGTCAGCCTACGGTTCCTTGGCCGACACTTTCTCAGTCACCGCGGATCTTGGTTCCCAACTCGGCTCTTCTATACAAGGCAAACTATCGGACACTGCCTCGGGCGTCCAAAATGGCGCTGATTCCTTCCAGCAAGGGACGAAAGACTGGTGGGATGCTTTTACGTCCCAATTCAGCGGAGGGCAAGACAAGTCTCATAGCGGTGGAGGCAACGAAGGTGGCAGGAATTGGAGGCCAGGAGAGGGGCCAGGAGAGCCCAACAACAACGGTCCTAGTGGGGAAGAGGCGCTTATGGGACTTGTTGGTGCGGCGGCAGTGTCGAAAGCGGAGGAAGAGGCTTCTGACCCATTCTCGTCTGGTGGCGGAGGCGAGCACCAGCTTTTGCAATTGACCAGAAAGCTCATCGAGGTCCGGTCGGTATTATTGAGTGTGGATCAGAGCGACGCTCTCAAGCTGCCTTCAATTGTCGTGATTGGGAGTCAGAGCTCAGGGAAGAGTAGTGTCCTGGAAGCCATCGTCGGCCACGAGTTCTTACCAAAGTGAGTCCAAGTTACTGCGTACAGAACCCGGCTCATACGTCTGCAGGGGCGACAACATGGTCACTCGTCGACCAATTGAGCTGACCCTCATCCACACTCCATCCAGCGCTGCCTCCTCATCTACAACCCCTGCAGAGTATGGTGTGTTCCCTACCATGCCTGGTATGGGCAAGATCACGTCGTTCTCCACTATCCAAAAGACCCTCACCGACCTCAACCTTTCTGTCCCTCCCGAGCTTGCCGTCTCGGACGACCCCATTCAACTTCAGATCCACTCCCCGCACGTCCCTGATCTCACTTTGATCGACCTTCCAGGGTATATCCAGATTTCGTCCATGGACCAACCCGAAAGTCTCAAGGACAAGATCTCATCGCTCTGTGACAAGTATATCAGGGAACCAAACATCATCCTCGCAGTCTGTGCTGCCGATGTTGACCTCGCCAATTCCCCTGCTCTCAGAGCCAGTCGACGAGTCGATCCTCTTGGCACGAGGTCCATCGGTGTCATCACCAAGATGGACCTTGTCAAGCCTGAACAAGGCGCCCAAATAATCCGCGGCGAGCGCTACCCTCTACACTTGGGATACATTGGCGTCGTCTGCAAAGCTCCTCCTACAAGTGGAGGTGTGATCAGGTCCTTCATGGGAGACCGAGAGTCACCAAACGTCACTGGTGCTGTCCTCAAGCGAGAGGAAGAATTCTTTGGCGGTGAAAACTCGAGGCATTTCAACGATAAGCAGCTGTTTGGGACAGACACCCTCCGTCGTCGATTGATGGATGTGCTCGAAACGAGCATGGCTTCAAGCCTGCACGGTATCAACAATGCCGTCCAGCTCGAGCTGGAAGAAGCCAGCTACCAATTCAAGGTCCAATACAATGACCGTAGAATAACCTCTGAATCCTACATGGCCGAGACCATCGACGCGCTCAAATCCCGATTCAAAGAGTACACTACACAATTCACCAAGCCGGCTGTCAGGTCAAAGCTGAAGCGAATGCTGGATGAAAAGTTGATGGACATTCTTGAACAGTTGTACTGGAATGACCCGAGGACGGTAGACTTGACCAAGCTTGGGGATGACAGGCGGGTCACGGGTGATGATTTGGAGCCGTACTGGAACTACAAGCTCGAGACTGCTTCCTCGCTCCTCACCAAATCCGGCGTCGGGCGAGACTCGACCACCCTCGTCGCTGACGGTCTCCGTCAGCTCATCAGCTCCATTGCCACCGGCGAGCCTTTCACCTTCCACCCCGCCGTCACCGACCGCATCACCGAGTTCTCGCTCGGTATCCTGCGTGAGCGCATGGGCATCACGGCAGACCAAGTTGAGAATTGCATCAAGCCCTACAAATACGAGGTCGAGGTTGACGACCGCGAATGGGCTTTGGGTCGCGACAGAGCGGAGGAAAAGTTTGGGGAGGAGATCAAGAGGTGTGAATCAAAGATTGGCGAGATCAGGGGAAGGGTAGGGGGTGCGAGAAAGTTGGGGGGACTGTTGAGGCATGTTGGAGAGCTGGAAAAGTGGGAAGAGGAGAGGAGAAGGAGGAGGCTCAGTGGTGGGGCTACTGAGGGTGAAGACACTGGTGATGCGTCAATACTGGATGCCTACAAGTACTCTCAGGCCCAGATCGTTGACGGTGAGTATATCTGTCTGGTGACCCGATCGTCAATCTGACAGATGCTTAGGTCGCAACGCGCTCCTCCTCTCCAATCGCCTCGCCATGCTCAAGGTCCGTCAGCAAGCGTTGCGATCTCGCCGCTGCTACCAAGGTCCCGACCAATCCGCTTTCTGCCCCGAGGCATTCCTCGCTGTCGTTGCCGACAAGCTGGCATACACGAGCACAATGTTCATCAACATCGAGCTGTTGGAGCAGTTCTTCTACCAGTTCCCGAGGGAGATTGACTCGCGGATCTTGTATGATCTGAATGTAAGTCGTCCCATTATTGTCGAGGGGAAAGGCGCTGATCGCTCGGCAGAGAGATGAGATTGCAAAGTTTGCGAGGGAGAACCCGAAGATCAAGCAACACCTTGACTTGCAGGAGCGAAAAGACAAGTTGGAGCAGGTTCGTGACTCTTTCAACAACGACCATGCTCTTTGTGCTGACCTCAGATACAGGTGATGATGTCCTTACAAAGCCTCGTCAACCTCCAAAAGGACACTAAACCCTCTGCAACTAAGCGTGAAGGCTTGTTCACCAAGTTCTTCTAGAGGTGCAGTGGCGGGAGACGACGAGGTAGTGGGATCTGCTATCCCAAGTGGTTCTATTTTTGACTTCTGATTTGATTTATCTACGCTGCTCATGATATGTATTCTAATGTACGACTGATACTCTCTCAAAGCTCTCAGATATCGGTGATCTCTGGAGACCTCTCAATCATGCGGAGTGGGCCGTTTGTGTTCACTGACCATGGATTTACGTTCTCGCATCTTGCGGGCCGGTGTTCAAACACAATATCGAGGTGCCTTTCGACCATGTCCATACCATCAAATGATGCAAGTAACCCCGAAGTCAACGCAAGCGGACCCAAGAAGATTGGGGAGAAGATCGGTTGAACGGGCTCAGCCAGTCTTTCCTTCACATTTCTATCATGTGAGAGTCCCTTTCGGAAGAAACAGACTCTTGAACTTTTAGGAGCTACGAACGATAAGAATCGGGCCAGACAATCAGCCTCAAGCCGTTCTGGTGAGTCTCCTTGATCTTGCTTCTGTCGCGGAAATGCCCCACTCCCAGGCCCCAGCAGTTGCCTCGCGGATCCCAACCATGTACCAACTCTAACGCTTTCTTCAAGTCTTCCGAACAGTAAGGAAAGCACCAGGATGAAGACGCGAAGAGTCGCGATGATCCGCGAGAAACGGTCATGCATGATTCCAGCAGGTGGGCATGGGCAGGACCATACGGCGCACAAGGCGGCACCTTGAGAAGTAGGGACGATAACGACGAGGCTCGTAGTCGTCCAGTCTCAATCACAAGGGGCCTATGGAGGTGGAAGAGAAGCACAGATATGGTCCGTCAGCTGCAGACGAGGATCAATGGGTGCTATGTAGCATAGACCCGCTCCAGAGCACATAGATGTAGGCAGCAGGTTGGGCGTATACGATAGAGTTCCAGGCGTGTACAGAAGATACCTTCCTATAAGTACATGCATTTCCTTCTACATGCGGAGGGGCAGTTCGCAGATGCTCCTATCGACCGGCTTCATCATCACCACCGCCGCCATCACCGCCTCCGCCATCGCGACGCGCCCAACTCAATCCTCACTTTCATTCACAACCCATATATATCCTATCTCTCCTTCTCAGCCGCCAGTAATCCCCTATATTCGTATCATCCTCCCACTGCCCTTATCGACCCCTGCGACTCGCTAATCCGATTGCGAACGTGCATTGAGATTCCCGGCGCGACACGTTCAAAACCGGCCCCTGGTGATCCGCATATCTGGCTGGTGACTGACCCTCTATTTGTATGTCCGTACCTCCTATTCCCTCTCAACTTTCAACAGCGATACCATCCATGATGGACGATCAGGACTGACATCCTCCCACAGATCCTGCGTGGGTATATAAAGTATCGAGGCGGCCTCAGATATATCTGCAGTGATTCCTGTTGCCTACGACTTGCCTGTGGTTAAACTTTGACCTGCCTGGCATGTGTCTTTCTCAATCTCGCACTACCTACGTCAACAGTGAGTCTCTTCTATGTACTGAGTATGGCCGGAGCTGAATGCGTATCAGCCGCCACTCACTTTACCAATTGAGCGCCATCAAACACCCCTATGCCCTCCAACTCCTCCGTCTCTCCCACCAAACACACCCTCCCCCTGCCTCTTCACCATGCTCACTCTTCCGCTTCCGGCCACCCCCACTTCCCACACCTGTCCCACTCACGTCAGACTCCCAGATCCGCCTCCCCTGTGAAGAGTTCCACGCCCTCAGCGACTATGCGCAAGGAGCACAGTGGCACGAGTGGGAGGGGAAGTGTGGTGGAGGACATGCATGGGGGGCTGGAGCCGTCCCCTACCCTTCATAGGCGGGTTAGCATAGGAAAGACCAGGAGCAAAGACAAACGAGAAAAGAATCAGGAAGAGGAGAGATCGTCTGCCTATTCCTCGTCACCGACTAAATCGCCCAAGCGGAGGCCAGGCGTAACCATCACCACTTCGAAAGATGGCATTTCACCTACACTACGTAGAAAGCCGAGCAAGGGGAAGGAGCGTGATATGGACCGCGAAGCGTGGATGCGGCAGGTCGGCAGCGCCACGATCAGCCTTCGTGCTGGTGCCGTCGAAGGGCTGGAAGATGATGATGACGATGATCACGACGACGGATCATCTCATACCAGTCGAACCAGCCGACCCAATCGTCCCGCCTCGTCTTCATTCTCCCAAGCTCAAAGCTTGCACCGAATTCACAATTCCACATTTTCAGCTCGCCCTAGGGCTCGTCGGGCGAGGAGCAACTCACTCAGTGCCGCTTCTCGTCCAACTTCCTCCATGGACGGATCTTTCTACCTACCCCACTACTCGATGGATCAAGAGTACTCTCTACCCAAAGGAAAGGGCAAAGGCAAAGACGATAAAACGCCCAAGCTGGAACTGGGGTTGGGAGATGCTTTCGACAATTCGTTTGGGGAAGCTCTTCGTCTGGGGACCGAAGGCAAGGAAATGCCTCTACCTAAGGAAGCCTTAATGATGCTCTCTCAAGCCAAGGAGCAACTCGAGAATACTACTGGGGTAAAGCAAGGGCGAAAAGGGAGTATCGGCATGGGGTTGTTCAAGGAGAGTCACGCAGCTGCTGGGTTGAAAGCAGAAATCAAGAAAATTGAAAAGGAAAAGGAAAAGGAGAGGGAGCAAGTGATTGAAGAGACAGAAGAGGAAGACGTCAGAAGACCTCGAGCGAGAGCAGAGACGACGAGCTCGCGCAATACCGACAAGACCCTCGGCGCCGATCAGAGCCCGAGCTCTCCTTTTCCTATTTGTGGCCCGTCGCAAACTCATTACCCTCCTCGTTCGCCTTCACCGTCTTCTTCCGCTGGCCATGTATCTCCGACGGAACAAGGCGACGAGAACTATCAATATGTGGACGATGATGAGCAGTTTGACGAAGACGATGAGAGCTGGACAACGACGAGCACAGAGTCTTTCGAATCTGATCCGGATGCGAGGGATTGGATGAGTGACGGTGATTATGAGGATGGAGAGAGGGAGCAGGAGGACAGGATGACTGTTCCACTGCTGCCTTTCGGCCATGCAGTGGGAGGGCATAGCAGTATCTACAAGTTTACGAGGAGAGCTGTCTGCAAGGTAAGTCTGCATCGCTGTTATATGACTCTCACTAATTTCAATCAGCCACTGGTATCTCATGAGAATATCTTCTATGAGGAGGTGGAACAACTTGCCCCTGCCTTGCTCCCCTTCATTCCCCGTTACTTGGGTGTCATGATGGTCAACTATCGCCGATTCTACCTCTCTTACTCGGGCTACACAACTCCCGTCGACTCCCCTCGCAATGTCGGATCACCTGAACCCTTCTCTTCACCCGCGATTGCCCCCCGGCCGATGTTGCACCAGGCTTTGACTGGTTTCTCGACCGCATCCCACGCGTCGGGCCATACTCGTGAAAGTGTCGAAATTCCAGAAGTCTCGTTAGACTTTAACAGGCATGTCGTCCCAGAGTGGCTATTCCGGGGCGAAGACAGATCTCGAGGTCGGTCGGGATCCGCAAGGCCCTGGGAGACTTCCGATGAGGATTCTTCGCGAAAGATGCCGCGCCCTTCGTCGACCAAGTCGCAAGAGTACGCGCGATACGGCTCTGGCTCTCCAGGAAGTTCATGGCATTCTTCAACTTTCGGAGGCGGGGGGTCACCCAGCCTTCGAGCACCTGCTCTAAGCTCTCCGGCTGTTCCGAAAGTCATCAAAGAGAATGTCGTCGAAGAACCTCAGACTCCTGCCCCATCCCCTTCGACGTCGCTTCAGCAAAGGGGCGCACACCTGCACCATGCTTCTTCCACCCCCGCTTTCCACCGCTCCCAGACCAGCGACCCCACTCTCAGTACCACTGGTCTTAATTCGCCACACCCGTTCGGTGGCACCGGCTCCACCACAGTCAACACAAAGCTCAAAGACCACGTCTTTGCGACCATCTTGAAAAAGCTGAGGCGCAAAGGTCTGGGTCATAGGCATGGCGACGACGAGGCCGATGATGAAGGGGATGAAGGATATGGAGGATCGCTGAGGGGTTCAAGGAGGTCGAGGAGACATTTGTCGACGTCAACGAGCGGGGGCGGAAGTATGGATCTCCGTCAGCAGCTCCAAGGGGATGATGGCATTCGTCGGACCAAAAGCGATGTCATTCTGACCGACCATCGCAACCCCTTGGCAATGTCTACCGGGAGTGCGCGGGAGCAACAACGGCGTCATGCAAGGGACGACTCGGAGGAGAGAGGGATGTTTGATATGGAGGACCTGGATGACGAGCTGCCGACTTTGGAGATCAAGAAGAAAGATAGAAAGGTACCACTGGGGAATGCCTTGCATCCTATGACGACTGTCAAGGATGATGGGAGTAGCACAAAGCTGGCGGAGCCAGAGGCTGCGTCTGCCCCACCCTCTTTGCCACGATCCGCTGTGCCTTTCCCTTCTATCACCCAGCCCAATTCACCAACAGAGTCTCAGCGGGGCGAGCTCAAGAAAGAGCTCTTCATCTTCATGGAAGACCTCACAGGTAGACTCAAACATCCTTGCGTCCTTGATCTCAAGATGGGCACCAGGCAGTATGGGTATGATGCGACGCCCTTGAAGAAAAGAAGTCAGAGGAAGAAGTGCGATACGACGACGAGCAGGACTTTGGGTGTCAGGATGTGCGGAATGCAGGCAAGCATTTTGTCTGTTTGATTCGCGCGTAGCTAACAATGATCTCAGGTTTGGTCCAACGAAGACCAATCTTTCGCATCCCAGAACAAGTACCGCGGCCGTGAGGTCAAGACTTCGGAATTCACGTCCGTCATCCGCGCCTTCTTCTCTGATGGCGACACACTTCTCCCTGACCACATACCCGTGCTCCTGCAAAAGTTGTACGACCTCGCGGCCATTATCTATCAGCTCGACGGCTTCCGGTTCTATGGCTGCAGCTTGCTGTTCATCTATGATGGCGACAAGGAAGTACAAGAAGGATACAGTCGCAAGATGGGAGCGGATAGGCTGGGATCTTTGCCGGAGGAAGATGAGGAGCAAGGGCAACGCGGCAAGGCTTCAGCCCAAGACATTCAGCGCCCGGCACGAGATGGCATTTGGCAATCCCACGAGCAGCTCAAGGGGCAAGGCGATGGTCGAAGTCGAACTGCTTCTCGCCGTGCCAGCTCTCGGTCTCGATCGCGAGGACAAGACCAGCCGCACCCCTTGTCCTCTTCCCACAGCAGTGCTCGCCACCAACGCAGAATGCGAGGTGAGGTGAATGTGCGAGTGGTCGATTTCGCCCATACGACTACCGGTCGCGACTTTGTCCCCTTCCCCGCCGACCACGTCGATCCACCCAACGTAGGCAAAGGGTACGACACCCAAATCGACAAAGCTACCGGTCTTACCATGGCGAGGTTCCCACCGAAGCATCCGGGCAAGCCTGATATGGGGTTCTTGTTTGGCTTGAAGAGCATTTGTGATAGCCTGGGAGAGATCTGGAGTGAGGTCAAAGGCGAAGACGGAGAGGAATTGCATGTGAAGGAGAATGCGGATGTGTTTGAGATGGCTTTCCCCACTGGGGCAGATTTGAGCATATAGACAGGGCGTTCCGCCTGTTACTTTCACGGTTTCTGATGAAATTATCATAACGTACTCGAGAAGAGTGTATCGAAAAGTAAATACGACACACTATGGCTTGGATTTCATATTTAGGCTTACAATTTTGTAATAGCATCTTACATATGCATCAATACGTGACTTGAGAGTGAAGCCATTGATCTGAAGATAGTAGGATCTGTTACAATAATGCATGATAGTTTGACCGTTGCTATCCCAAAAGTACATGATTCTATAGTTCACATTATCCGCTTCCCTTCCATAAATCCCGTGAATGGACTTTCGCAATCGTTCTGCGCACCCTTATCTCCCTGGTGACAACTCCCTACCCCTGCCTTCTCTGCGGTTCGTAGGTGCCTTGGGAGCCTTGGAGAACGCAAACTCGCTACATGGCAATCGTCAGCAATGGACTCCAGCAACTCCGCAACTCCAGCCAGATCATGAAGAGCAGGGGTTCACCCAGGCATACAAGTGCCTCATCTGTGACGAGAGCAAGAGAGAGTAGAGAGAGACTTACGTGTGGATGGTTTGTTCGAGGAATTGAGTCCCGTCCGTCTCAGCAATAGCCTTCTCCGCCTCTTGTCTAGTCTCGTACTCGATCAACGCGTAACCCTATGACACTCATCAGCATGTCTTCCACTTCTATCTCTAACCACTACATGCCATCCCGCCATTACGCCAGACAACCCTGTACACCCTCTTCCACTTCCATCATTCACTCTCAAACCAACTCTCAACTCACCATAACATATCCCGTCCGTCTGTTCAGGGGCATGTTCAAGCCCTTGACAGGTCCAAAGTCGGCGAAAAAGTCTTTCAAATCTTCTTCGGTAGCTTCCTCGTGGAGGTTGGTCACGGAAATGATCCATCCTTCGACAGCTATATATCACCGCGATAATCAGCTTCTGGATCTCTTCTCACTGTTTGAGCAAGGGGATACGTACACTTGGTGGCCCAAGAAAAGTCCTTGCCGCTTCCATTCATATCAACGTCGGCCATTGTGAGATGTTATCGTTGGTAAGGGGTGTTGAGAGGTGGAGGTGAGCCGAGTAGCGCGTTTTTAGAGCTTTTGAGGTGATTCTTTTTGGGGTATATCTGCGCGCCGGTGAGAGCGATGCAGGGGGCGGGTACGCGTGGTGTTTATAGAGAAAGGGGATATAGATGTTCTCGAGAGACCGCTTGTAATGACGCTTCAAGCACGAAGCCATAGAGCAACGGAAATATGCGGCGATATCCACTCGTGGCGCATCTATCTTCTCTCTCATCGATGTCTGTCTTGTATTGCATCGCTCAACTCGGAATTATTTATATGATTCATATTCGTCACGTTCGTCTCAGTCATCATCTGCGCTGCACTAACCAATCTCACTAACCAATCTCAGAAGTACATGTCATCTCGCTTACAACACCTTCAACGCGTGCTTCTCGTCCTTATCGATGGCCTCGAGCTCGTGGTGCTCGTAGAGACCAGACTCTCGGACAGCACGCTTGGCGTCGCGGGTAGCGTCGATCTGGGCATTGGCGATAAACTTGGCCTTGTCCTTCTCGGAAGCTAAATGAGGGTCAGACGGGCTCCCGGAAAATGAGCCTGACTGAACACTTACTAAAGGGGAGCTTCCTCTCTTCAACGAGCTTGACAACATAACCAGCCGCCAATCCCGCAATCACCTGTCACTTTGGTCAGCCTCGTCTTCACTCCGCAAGCATACTCCTACTTACCTCCTTGGACTTGGCGTGAGTAATCTTGGTACCAGCAGCATCATGCGACCCGTTCCTCTCGAACGCCTTGAAGGCCTCGTAGGCAGCAGCGGCACCGACGACTTCGTGCGTAAAGTGTGCCTTGCGCTCGAGGGGGGTATAGCCCTTGATGGCGAGGAACTCGGCGCGCTGCTTGGAGAGGGGGTGAGTGTCGTGGTGAGAGTTGATCTTGGCTCGGAGTTCTGGGGAGAGTGAGCGGGGACTGTGGGTGTTGCTGGGGAGACTCACTGTCAAACATGGTGCGTGGGTGTTTCTTGTGAAGTGGTAAGGTGAGAAGAGGGGGATTGTTGGCTGATGGGAGAAGGAATACGCTTCCTCTCTCCTCTATATATACCGCGCCGAGCAACCCACCATTGTCCTGTGGGAACTCTCCTGTGACGTCAATGATGTTCTGTGCGGATGCATGACACGCTGTCAATCATCCCTGCTGCGCCGAAACAGGGTACACATGACAGGAAAGAGGAGAGTGGCGACAAGGTACCATCACATGACCTCCACTTCACTCAACCACTTCAAGCATGTGTTGTTGTTGCGTGCCCATGAGGCAGAGTACGGGATAGTAACCATATGAGAGCCGATACATTTCTTCGTTTCGTAAGATATAACACTAACACTAACCAGAAAACCCAAAAGATATATAGAGACAACTTGACTTCTATTTTTTCACTGCACTTTCCCCATCGCACCCTACTCTCCAATCTGTACCAACACCTCCACCTCAACATTCACCCCTTCCCCTCTCTTCTCCAGCTCATCCATCATCTCGCCCAACGTCTTTCTGCCCGGGGCGAGCTTGGGAGGAGGCGGGATGAAGAAACCTGTAATGTCCCGCGGGGTACTGGGCCGACGCGCGACGGAGGGGCTGGCGGGGGAAGGAGGGAGAGAGAGGGTGGTTTTGGTGCTGATGAACTCGGCGAGGGCGAGGTTGACACTATCGTCAAGTCAGCTTACTCCCTTCTGGATATCATAGGTAGACTTACGGCTCTTGATAGGTCAGCGACATCCACCTGGAAGGGGCGGTACCTTCAATCAACAGACGGCTGGCCGAACAGACCCTCCCCTCGCGGAACTTTCGTGCGTTGATAGCGTCGATAGCCTTGGTGTAGATATTGGCAGGAGGCGTAGGATTGTCAATGAAGGATTGCTGTAGAATATCAGCATGAACCTGCGTGATAATGGGCGTACTCACTTCAATGACCAAAAGAGGACACAAGAGCTGTTCGATCTCTTCTTGCGTAGGCAGCTCATTCCTCGCCTCCAACAAATCACAGTAATACGGTAACGCAAACTCCATCTATGTCCCTATCCGTTAGCCTTCCTTGTCCCGTATAGCTGATCGCTTGAATGGACGCACCTCGCCAGAGTCCAGCCTCGCCTCCGCCATCTGCCCATACTCTTCCGCCAAATCCGCAATCACAGGATTCCCCTCCTGATCCGTCAAAAAGTCGATCGAAAACTTGTTGAGCGCATAGATCGCCTCCTTGTCTTTCTCAGCCACTGCCGCCTTGAGCGACTGTCCCCTCAAGTCATCAGCTCTCAGTCCTCTAGGGTTTGAGGGAAGAGGGAACTCACGTCGATCCATTCTTTGAAGGCTTCATCTAGAGCGACAGGTTCGTGCTCTGTCAGGGGCCCGACTAGTGCCAGGTTTTCACAAGATTCTGGGTGAGCGAGGACGAGGCGCAGGGCACTGAGGCAGCCGGAACCGACGCCGACGACATGGACTGGCGCGACATTCAGCGCTTCCTATCCCACTCGTCAGCCGTGTGCATAGGTATACAGGGGAAGGGACGAACGAGGGCGAAATAGATGGCCTCGGCCGCGCGGTGCCATTCATACCTCGCAGAAGGCGCAGAATCGACATGGCTCGAACCGTGGCCGGGCAAGTCGATAGCGAGCAGATTGTAATTCTCATGCAGCGCTGGTTCTTCAAATTGCGGATAACTACTCATCCTCATCAGCAATCTGTAGATAAGGGAGGAGATGGAGCTCACAAGATGTACCCGTCAATCCAAGGCGGATGACAAAACAAGATGGTAGGATACGCCGGGTCGATGGTCTCTGCCACCTGGTTGGACGGGGTGGACAGGTGGTATGAGAGGGTATAAGGCTGGTGAGGGGCGAGGGAGATGGTAAACATGTTGATAGGGGACATTGGGGGGGTGGGAAACGGGGTGGTGGTGTTGTGATTTATACTTGTCAAGCGTGAAAGGAAGGTGGGAAGGGAAGAGTGGTCGGCAGGTGTAGGATGTCGCCGTTTAAGGAAGAGGGATGCTACCGCGCTACTAGTAGCTGTGGTAGGGCAAAGAGAATATGTAGATAAAGTCTAGTCCAACAAGAGTGATTATCGGTTCCGTTGGAAGTCGTTGCCCATGTGCCCGGGGATGGTCTGGGTTGAGTGCAATCTGAGAAGAAGAGAGAAAGACGAAAGACAAAGAAAGATGGCGCAAGTCGGGAAAACGCACTACATAGCTCTAGAGTCCGTCCCTCCCCTCATTTGCATACCCCACCAAATCAACCCCAAGTGGCTCCAAGGATCCAAGGGCCATGCACAAGGAGAAACGCCTCTTTTCGCAGAAACTGACTCATGTGCTGCCGCCCCTGTTAGCTGGTTATTTGGTGCTTCGGAGATGGCTGCGCCCGATGATTCTGAGGTTATCTCCGACAACGTGCTATTGTCTTTCCTTCATCCGGGGTGGATCATGTGGCGCTGTAGGAGGGGCAGGGTGCAGTGGGGCGAGTTCAGGACGGGACTAAGGCAAGAAAGGATCGCAGGAAAAGAACAATAAGAAGTTGAAAAGGCACGGTCGGAGAAAAAAAATAATGGAATCCCTTCTCTGGATCTGTTATCGGAAAGCCGACGAGGGTTGTCGCTGCTTGGGCGGTGGGTGTACAGCTTGCGTCACGGGAGGTTACAATTAGGAGCTGGAACTGGTTAGGGAGGGGAGACGGCGTGACGGTCTTTGTGATTGTTGATGTTGCTCGACCTCCCAAGATGAGGACTACTTCTTGGACTCTGCGCAGACATCTCTGCTGCCTGTGCACCCGAGCTCCTTGTGCATCCATCTTCTCGCTTGAATAGAGCTGAAGCTTGCTTGCGTGTCTTTTGTTCTTTTGGGGCTTCCGTCGCCTTCTTGTCTTGTACCGCTTGGCTGTGAGAAGAGGCACTGAGAAACGCCAACAACAACGGCTCGCCACCAACGTCAGACTTTGGAGGCAATCATGGCTTTGCTAGCCATTGACTCTCCGTTATCAGATTAAGATGGGGTCATGAGTAAACTCCAGCAACATCCCAAGACTGTTCTCTGTAGTAAATTCAATTTCCACTGACACTCTATACCGCCGCCGCTTCCATCGTCGTCACAACACTTGATCGCAGGATCGCTAGGCCGGTACCACTTTCAGCGTCGGATCCCCTGAGCAAGACAATGGAATGCCTGCGTCGGTCTGAGACGGGCAAATCTTTGACCGCAGGGCGCCAGGACGCAGCAAGATTCCAGACAGACATCGCTGGCGGCTAACCACGCGCCATGTTGAGTGATGAGTCGTGTGGCGCTCATAATAACAAAGGGATCGGCGTAAGGATCACTCTCATGATTTTCGGGTTTGAAGCACATGCAGAAACCAATAGCAAGAGGATATGGTCGCATTAGGATGGTGATTAGGATCGCAAGCGAGGCCAGACTAATGAGGATTAGAGATAAATTTGCTCCCGCTAATGGGTATTGCGTGCTCTTCCCGAAAGTGCATTCCCAACTGCCTCTCTCTCGCTCTCGCCCACAAATTGCCATGTCCTTCTCCCGCACACTCGCACACCGCTCCCTCCGCGCCCTCACCGCTGCCCCCCTCCCCGTCCGGGCCACCCCTCTCCTCCTCGCCAAAAGGGCATTCACCACAGCCCAGCCCCGAAGGATGGTCGTCTCCCAGACCCTCCACGAAGCTGCCGACCGCAAGTCCAAGCCCTCCGTCTCCGAGTGGGCCAAGAACCCCATCGTCAGCTACGAGGAGCTCAAACCCATCACTGAGCAGCCTTCCGACGTGAGTAGATGCAGACGGGGTGGGAGGCAGTTGCTGATGAGTGATGCAGAACATTCTTGTGGTGGATGTCCGTGAGCCTGATGAGGTTGCCCTGGGATCTATCCCCTCGGCTGTAAACTTGCCCCTGTCCAAGCTCAAGGATGCTTTGGACAGCAACTTCAACCCTGGAGACTTCCAGCGGGTGAGTCATCTACATCTTATGAAGTCATCTTATGAAGTCAACATCTCGCTGACTCGTACTCGCAGGCGTTTGCCTTCCCCAAGCCTTCACCCGACCAGAACATCATCTTCTTCTGCCGCTCCGGCAAGCGATCTGCAAACGCTGCCGAGCTCGCCGGTGAGAAGGGTTACAAGTCCATCCGAAACTATGTCGGAAGCTGGTTGGACTGGTCCAAGAAGGAGAGCCAGAACAAGGACGAGGACTAGGGTCTTTTCTCCTTGCTGTAGCCATGAGGGGAAGCCATTGTGTGAAGGAAAGGGTCAGAGGCAGGCGAGTGCTTGTGTGCTTGTACTCGAGTACTGTACAAAGGGCATGAAAATGTGCATATAGCTAAAAAGAAACACTCATTATCATCATTAAAAGGAATGTAAATCATCATGTCGTCAATACTCGTAACGGGATCGTTCTCTCAACATCATCTCATATCACAAACCCCACGAACACTCAAAACTTCTTAGGCGCGGTACCCCTCAGGCCTGTTTCTGTATCGCCTTTCTCTGAACCACCCGATAGTCACCAGGGGCGGTGTAACCAGCAAGATCAACCATCCGATGATGACAAGCACGAACGCAGCACCGTAATGCGGGTCGAGGTTGTCGCGCTTGAAGCGGTGGTGGGCAGTACCAAAGATGATGACCACGAGCAAGAATGAGAGTGTAGCAAGGAAAGTGGTCAGATTCTGAGGTACCTATTAGCTAGACTGGAAGAGGTGGTAAAGGACGTACGGTAAGGAAGAAGGAGCACATGCCACTCCTCAAGTCCATGATACTGTGCATCAAGCTGAAGAATGCGAGCGTGCCGAAAGCGGCGGTAAGAGCCACGAGCATCAACGCCCCGGTAGTGTGCTCATTTCCAGGGAACCAAGGTGACCAGTCGTATCTAATACCCTTGTCAGCTCGAGCATCCCAGCATGATGGAGGAAAAGACGCACCCGACATGCTGATAGCACACCGTCCCTGGGTATCCCGTGTTAGGTGGACCGGCACACCACCCAAAGTTGCCGAATTTGACGTCGTTCTCCCGAGTGTGGATGTAGTGGATCCCCTTGATGAAGGGCACGCTGAACGCAGAGAGCCAGAAGAAGAGAGTGGCAATCTACCAATGGCCATCCAAAAGTCAGCGGCAATCTTTGGAACGACGCGTGGTGAGGAGGCGCGACGTACAAACATTGCCACTGCGGCGAGTGAGAGGGTCAGAGGGGAACGGCGGTTGGCGGCGACCATCTTGGACTGCTTGGCTTGAAGGCTTGAGAGCCGAGAGAAGAAGGGCGGTTGATGGTGTCTTTATAGAAAACGAGGATATGCGGAACGGCGAGGAGAACACACCCCTTCTTTATAGGCGTGGTCAAGTGAAGTTCCTCTTGCTGATGACACGTTGAGGAGTCATGGCTGGCCATGACGTCTTGCCCTGCTCGTTCCGAGCAAGAGATGAAGGCGGACTTTGCAGGATGAAAGGATGTCGGGTGAGTCGTCTGTAGATGCTGACGTCAAGGATTGTTCTTGTTCTTGTTGCAGCAGCCGAGTGCATCCCCTGCGACAACACCAGCCCCAGATATAGTCGGGAGTTTCACATCCACATGGCAGAAAACGTCAATTGGACAGACATGCAAGTTGATCGACCGTTGATGGGACCTGGGAGATAACTCAGATGACGCAAAAGTCAGATCAATCTTCTTTTGGTTCCTTCTTTGCTGCGATGTTCTCGGGACAAGACAGTTCGTAGACGTTTGCATCAATCGTTATAACTTTTACAACATTGTTTCGTACTGGTCATGACCCCATTCTTTTTCGATTGTTCGGGACCTTTGCTGTCCAAGTCGGATGCCTATACGCATTGGACCTGGTCTGGACGCTGGTCGAAGGCGTCGACCACCTCGATCCAACTATCCAACCCCCTCAAAATCCGAAATCCGAGGGGTCTACTCTTTCCTCCAAACCCTAACCCCTCCCTTCCTCTCATCCTCATCCTGCGCCAAATCAAACCCATCCCACCCCTCCCAAACTTGACCATACCCCAGCATCTCGAACGCCTGTTCAACCGTACTCTGCTTCATCTGTAGCCCAGTGTCATCCGTTTCGTCCGTGAGGAGGAAACCAGATCGTGAGAGAAGCTCGCCAAAGAGGATGACATGGGAAGGGTAGGAAGTGAGGTTGGTGAGTGCGTTGGAAGAAGGAGGAGCGGGGAAGGTTGAATAGAGGTATCCGACAGGGTCGGCGTAGAACAGTTCTTGTTCGGTCTGGTATGTACTGGCATCGACTCTATGATACTGTCAGCATGTCATGTGCACGCAGTACTGTTAGAATAGACTTACCCGACGGGAGGTTCACAAGTCAAGAACCATCCCGGCACATCCTCATGCAAATGGCTCATCCACGGCACACTATGGCACGGCCCCAGCACCACCAGCCCTTGCATCTCCCCCAGCTTCCCACTCCGCAGTACATCCATGACACCCACCTGCGCCGCACCATGCCACACATTCAAGTATACAAACGGCACAACACCAGCAAAGAGCACCGTGTAAAAGGGAATCTTGTCCATGCGGAGGTACTGGCGGAAAGAGCGGACGGGAAAGTATGCGCCGAGGATGGTGGGGGTGTAGGAAAGGGAGAAGGAGGGGATGGCAAAGAGGAGGAGAGGTGGGAGGAGGGGGTGGAGGAAGCGCCATTCAGAGTGAGGGCTGAGGGAGAGGGTGGTGATTGTGAATGTGATGGCACGGGCGAGGATAGTCATGCCCTCTTGCCTGTCATATTTTGACAACGAGGCAGGTAGGATAGAAGAAGGGAGTAAGGCAGCAGCGAAACCTTTCGCCCACCAGATCCAGATAGGAAAGAGCATGAGCGGCAAGCTCTGAGTGAGGTGGTATAGAGGCGTAGTGCGGCCGTAGAAGGAGGAGATGTCGAGAAACAAATTTTGGTGGATGAATGTCAGTAGTGGAAAGTACAGGCGTCCCGTCATGTAATAGTCAAAGCCAGTCGAGGCTGCAAAGACGGAGATACTACGTAATGTCAGCTTGACGGCGGTCACGAGTGGTGCCCACTCACAAACTCAAGAATGCAACGACAGCGACTGTGACGGCTGATAACAACCCTTTAGATCTGAATGATCTGTAAAGCAGGTTGATCCCTAAGAACGTCCAGAAGCTCAGCATTGTAGGTCGAACACAGATAGCCAAAGCAGCTAGTCCGATAGATAGCGCCAATCTATCCTTATGCCTGTAACACCCATCAGCCTCACTCGCGATTATCGACATGTGACAACATACACAGGCCACCTTTCCACAGCCGGACCGGTCCTATCCATCACCACATAGTCCAACTCGTTGACCCCCCAAAAAGTCGCATCCGAATCCTCCACGCCCAAAATCTCCATCTCCGCTTCTTCTGCCTCTTTTGCACTCTTGCCGCGATTGCCTACAGGTATCAACCGCGCTCCCCTTTTGAGGTCTTCGATATGGGTGGGGACGGGATGGGGTAAAGGAAAGTAGTAGATGGCCATCAAAGTGAGGAGAGTCTCGGGAGAGGTGGATAGGGCGCGGGGAAGAAGGTGGGCATTGAAGAGGGAGGTAAGAGAGAGGAAGAGCTTTGTAGCAAGTTAGTCTCTATCCTTCGTAAAGCAGTTCTCCATGTGAACACTTACTGCCGTTGGGGCCGATCCATGTCCAAGCATCTTGGAAGACAGTCGATATGTGTAATAATCCGTCAGGCCCGCGACAATGACCCCGACTATTCTCGGCGCCAAAGTCTGTCCTCGGTGATCAGCACGGCACAGGCTCTACCGAGAAAGTTCTCACAAGCATGACTCCTTGATCAAGTCCTGCACTTTGAAGGATCTTATACACTCCGGTAAACAACCCAGGCCATATCCACCCTCTCATCCTCCCGCCTACAACTGTTTCATCCCACCACTTCTCCACTACATCCTGCCCTCCCAGCCCCACCGCAGCTTCGACCACCCTCCGAGGCAGGTCAGTCCATTCCCAAGACAGATAGCCATATCCAAAAACTTTCTGGTGGGCCGGCTCGAGAGCTTGATAGAATTCGTCTGGCTGGAAGAATGTCTGAGGGAAGGGGAGATGGAGGAGGGCGCGGATGAGGAAGGGCGTGATGAGGGCGTAGGGGGGCATTCAGTCTTGGCTGGGGCAGTACTGGATATGGCTGTGTCTGGGTGGAGTAGAATAAAGTAGTGTCTGCGAAAAGTGAAAGTGAGGAAATGGAAGGATGTTCATCTGATGACCTGGCGACGATAAGGGAGTGGAGGTCGCCGCCAGTCACACGACCTATACAACAGTACTTAGTAAGCAAGACAGCCCTTTGAAAAGTTCACCGATCAAGAGGGTCTGGTAATGCAAGGTATTCTGGTGACGTTATTGTCTTGAGCTGCGAAGTTGATGCAACAGATCAGAGCAGAACAGAGGCTACAAAAGTTATGACGAACGGTTCGGGTCACCGAGCAAATTGAAGTTTGTTGGAGAGCAGCTCTTGCAAGATACAAATGAAGAGAAGGTCAGTACAGTCTCTTGAGCTCATACACAGTATAATCCAAATGACTTACTTCATAGTAGTTCATCGCCGTCGAATGCCCCGACAGCTTCAACAAGCCAAGTGGAGGCCACGGTGACGGTATAGTAGCGGCGCCCACGCTTGTCAGCCCTGATTACTGTATTCAGAGCCTCTTCCTCATGTGATAACGCATAATTACTTGCCCTGCATTGAGCATACTGTTACATATGTAGACAGCACTTGGTTGATCACAGAGCAAGTGTACATAAACCGCGGCCCTCGGGAAGCTGATTCATACAGCGGACAGGGGAATTTTGTCAGCGGTGCGGCCCGCGGCCATGCCTACTACAGCTAAACAAGCGTCCATTGCGCCATGGTGTGCTTACTTGACATTCTAGCTGATCAACCATAGATTCAGCTGATATGCTACTTATATACCACACATATAGATTGCGGAAAGGATATCCCATTCACTGTCGAAACAGCTCTCTACAGTTAATCTCACGTCATGACCGGGACCTCAAACAACCAAGACAATGTTATCTTCATCACTGGTACTTCTCGAGGGTGAGTGCCGCTTTTTACTTCTTACGTGTATATTGAACCATCTTCCAGTATCGGAGAGGGCATCGCCAGACACTACCTCAAAGAAGGCTGGACCGTGGTCGCTGCTGTTCGCAGCCCCGAGGCGGCTCCCAGACTCGAAGGCAAAATCATCACTGTCAAGGCCGACCAGTCTTCCTTGACTGACTTCAAGGATTTGAGTAGTCTCCCTCATCATCACAGACCCCACTGACTGTCTCACAGGCCGTTGAAGAGCTCAAGACTAAACACAACATCACCCATTTCGACATTGTCGTCGCCAACTCTGGTGTCGCGGCTTCCGGAGCCTTTCTCGCCCAAGCCTCTCCCACCGAGTTTGATCACATCTACAAAGTCAATACCCGTGGACCTCTTGTACTCTACCAAGCCACTAGGCCGTTGTTGAAAGACGATGGTACTTTTGTGGTCATCTCAAGTCTTGCTGGGTCATTGAACAAGGATTTCCTTTGGGAATATATTGGTCTATACGGAGCCAGCAAAGCTGCGGTCAACTATCTCGTGAGCTGGTCAGAAGCGTTCCAAAGCATATACTCATAGCCTCTTCAGACTCGTACTGTCCACTATGAGGAGCCGGCTCTCAAAGCATTCACTATCAACCCTGGTGCGGTCGACACGTAAGCTTATCGATTGTTCTTTCGCTCTTCCTGTTGCTGACAGCACCGCTCCAGCAAAATGCTTCGAGATTCCTTGGATGCCATCGGCAACCCACCTGTCGAGCTAGATGCTGTTGAGGATGTTGTCCGTGCGTACCTCGTTCTCCTCCTCTTACCGGCCGTCTCTGCCCAGAGCTTACTGGTGACTTAGCTGGCATCGTTAATGTGATCAACACCAGTACCAAGGAAGAGACCTCTGGGTGGATGTGGAACAAGTGAGTTGTTTCTTCCAGAGATCCATTGAGGTATATAAGCTGACTTGGGCAATCCAGGGATGGTACCAAAGCGGACTTTTGAGTGCTGTTACGTCCATCATCGATACAGTACTCTAGAGAAAGAGTACATCTGATTGCCTCGAGATGGTCTGTAGATTCGTGCTTCCTGAATTACAAACTATGCAAAGGGTCTTGATGATATTGTCTGAGGGTCTGATAGCCGACACCGTGATGAAGTCATTCAGACATCCCTCTGGAGGGTCAGGGGTGCAGAAAGACCCACCCTTCGGAGTGGAGATTTAGAGAACTTGCGCATCGGAGTAATACGCTATGCGTCGTCTCTGCTGGTGGTTCCCCTGGCCAGTGGCTCGACGCACCTTCGGCCAACACTAAGCACCGCAGGCATGCTGCAGGTCGGTCCCAGATTTCTCTTCAAGTAACGCACATATCGCCGCCGGGTGCTTCAAGCCGCGCAAGTAATGATGATGACCGTCGGTCCGGCATTTGATGATTCAGTAGTGTCATTCCCTCAGTCATCCTGGTTGCAGCAGAGTTTTGTCATGTCGCCGACGGTCATCGTGTCTTACAGCTGAGCAAGCATCGGTTGCGCCATGGTGTGCTTGCTTCACACTCTAGCTGATCAATCATGGTATATTCAGCTATATATATCACGCTTTGATAAGCTGTGAAAAGGCTTCTTCATCCCCTGTCAAACTAGCGCATACAAATCTACAGCCAATCTCACGTCATGACCTCGAACAACCAAGACAAAGTCATCCTCATCACCGGTACTTCTCAAGGGTGAGCGTCGCCACTTATTTTTTTTTCTATATAAAGTATCTACTGATCCATTGACAGTATTGGCGAGGGGATCGCCAAACACTATCTCAAACAAGGCTGGACCGTCGTCGCTGCCATTCGTAGCCCCGAAAAGGGTCTCAATCTCGAAGGCAACGTCATCACAGTCAAGGCTGATCAATCTTCTCTGACCGACTTCCAGAATGTGCGTAGCCCCGTATAACCAAGAGACCCACTGACACTATCCCACAGGTCATCGAGGAGCTCAAGACTAGACACAACATAACCCACTTTGACATCGTCGTCGCCAACTCTGGTACCGCAGGTTCTGGCGCCCTCCTCACCAAAGCCTCCCCCACCGAGTTCGACTATGTTTACCAAGTCAATACCCGTGGACCTCTCGTGCTCTACCAAGCTACTAGGCCACTGTTGAAGGACAATGGGACCTTTGTGGTCATCTCTAGTCTTGCTGGGTCATTGCAGAGGACTTTCTTCTGGGAGCATATCGGTTTGTATGGAGCTAGCAAAGCGGCAGTCAACTACCTCGTGAGCTACGCAAGAATCTTTTGTAGCATATACTGATACATCATTGAGGCTCGTACAATCCACTACGAGGAGCCCACTCTCAAAGCATTCACTATCCATCCTGGTGTAGTCAACACGTGCGCTCACTGGTTACCCCTCGTACTTGTTCAAATTTGCTGACAGCATGTCTCTAGCAAGATGGCCCGCGAGTCCTGGGACGACTTTGGCAAACCTCCTTTCGAGCCAGAGACTGTTGATGATGTTGTCCGTAAGTGTCTCTTCATCTCATCCTTCTCTGCCCAGTGCTTACGGAAGCGTTTTCACGCAGCTGGTATCGTCACATTGATCGACACCAGCACCAAGGAAGAGACTTCCGGGTGGATGTGGAACAAGTGAGTCCCCCTCTGCATTATAAACCGTTATAATCATTTGGATGTATGGGCTGACCTGTGTCGCGCAGTGACGGCTCCAAAGCGGACTTTTGAGCTGCTAAGTCGACCCAGGATACCTCTGCACCATCTCAAGATGATCGGATCGAAGTGTGACTTATGTGGAAGATGGCGAGTGTTGTGATGCATCGATGTCAGTAACGAATTTGTATGGTCGTCCTGTGTATGTAAAATGTTAATGAAGGAGTAACGCCTCATGCGACAGACTCAGGACTCAAGGAGTACTCAAGTAGTACTCAGCGTGTCGTGTTCTCCATGACACTAAGGAGGATCGTGTGACATCTGGCTATGACGAAGCGGTAGGTGCTACTTTCTCTTCTCTTGCTTCAGATACCCGGCTTGCCGTCGACGTCTCAAGCTCTTTTGCGACCTCCAAACTCTCCCTGTCTTCTTTCCTCTGCGCCACCCATCTTCTCGCTTTGATCCACGTAAAATTTGCTCCTCGCTTTCCTTGCGTCCACAGAATCCTCGCCACGGTCCCCGTCAGCCCACCGAAAGCAGCTGCTACTGGCACGAGCTTCCAAGTCTTAGGATGCCAAGTCATGGGCGGCACCTCGATCTCTCTCCACTTCGTAGGCGTCAGCCATCTCAGCGCTGCCAGCCTTGAAGGCTTGATAGCTTCTGAAACGTCTAAAGCTGCAGTATCCGCTTTTTCGGAGAGGATGAATCGGGTAAAGTCTCCTTGCGTTTGACCTTTGGAGAGTTTCTCCTCGAGCCATCTCAGGGGCCTCACATCTTGAGGTTTGGGAAGGGATGTGGTGTAGATTGAGAGGACGCTGGGGAGAGGATGGGGTATCGTGTCTTTGCTGAGAGATGGGCGCAGCCGACGGGAGAGTCGGTCGGCGAGGAGAGTGTCTGTGAAGAGCCTGTCGCCTATCACGAGTATCCGCAGTTCCTCTGGTGAAGGCGTCTGCTTGACTATTTGAGGTTGTATGTTCTCCTGGGACGGTGAGGTTTTGAAGCCATCCACCCCTCCTTCTACCACCTTCTTCCCTTCACTCTTCTCCTCGTGCCCGTTCGTCGGGGCGGCACCTAATAACGGCCCTTCAAGCTGTTTCGCCAGCCTTTCCCACACTATGGCCTCATCTAGCTTCTCCTCCTCCAGCAACTTCAAACCAGCGGAAGCGATATCATGCCGCAGGGTGTGCGGCTTGCCGAGTTTGCCGTCAAAGTAGGAGAGGATGTTTTTGGAACAGCCGGGTTTGGGCGTGGCATGTAAGAGGACGGGGGCGCGGAGATGAAGGGAAACGGCTTCAGCCTGTCAGTGAATCAGATCAGCTCCAGTCTCGAGTGGATTTGTGAGGACGTACAGCTATGCCTCCTGGATCTTTTGATGTACCAGCCGAATTTGAAACCACAAGAACGCGTCCACGGTCAAAAGTAGCCAAGAGATCTTTCCAAGCAGTCTGCTCGTGGTATGAGTGAATAGACTCTTGCATTTTGTCAGATCACACTCACTTCGTATGGTTGCCAGATGTAGTCCTTGTTGGGTAGTGTCTGAGTACATGTTTCAGTAGCTATACATTTGCGGAGAGACAAGACTTGCCAGACAGTTGTCCTTGTCTATTACGACCGCATTATATCCTTCTCTCTTCAGAGCCTGAAAATCCACATTGGCGATACCTAATTGCCGATTTGTGAGACATGACTCTTCAAGCGGTTCACCCAAGGCCACTCACTCGGCACGCGAAGATGCGGCCGCAAAAGGGTAGGCCGGAAGAGAGCCGTCAGATAGATGAAGGCGTTGGAGACGGGGGCCATGTCCCGTTGTCTCTAGGTTGAAGAGGCGTTGAGAGTGTTGGCAACGGATGCGTAGCAAGTTGCGTGGAGAAGAACAAGAGATGGGCGTGGACAGGATCACAGGACGCGGATGACTGCACTTGAGATTTCTGGCCAGGCACGCATCGTCGCTGTTGTTGAATGTGGCTGTTGACCTGAAGGACCAAGCATGAGGACCAAAGCCATCTGAAAAGGATACGTCGAATGTATACATATGGTACATCTATAGTCGGAAGCCCGTATAATACGCGTGATGAGAAAATCATTGTTGAAATGTACAAAACCCCTCGCTGTCTATTCCATACTCAACGCCTCTTGCAACCCAGCCACTTCCATGACTCCTCCCACCAGATGCAAACTACCAGCCACAAGTACAGTCTTGTCCTCGAGATCTCTGACGATCTTAATGGCGTGCTGGATAGAGGGAAGAGCGTATACCCGGTCGGCAGGGAAGGAAGGGTTGAGGCGAAGCCAAGCGTCGCGGAGAGCGTTCTGGGTCGCGAGTTGAGAGAGGTCGTTGGGGTCAATGGCCTTGGAATCGAGGTCTGAATATACCATCAGTTGCGTATCCAGCCCATCGTCAGAACTCGACTCACCAGACTTGAAATGGCCATCGGTGTAGGTCACGTTGGTACAAAAGATGACGCTGTCAAACTTGCTCGCAACCTCATCCCTGTTTCTACCTCTAGTCCTCGCACCAGCCTCCAAAAGCTCGACCAACAAGCTCTCCGCCGCTCGGCCACCACTGCAGTTGAAGATCAACACCTCCGGTACCTTCTTCTCCAGCCCCCAAGCCCATTCTCCACAAGACCTCAACGACTCTACGGTGTGCGCGCCATCGAGCAACCAAGTGGTCTTGCCTTGCTCGACCAGCTGACATCTTCCAGGCCAGTGTGCGGAGGCGAGGAGCTTGATGAAAGAGGCGGGGATGAGGGAGGGAGGTTGAGCGGGCTGGAAAGGATAGTTTTGGAGAGTGAGGAACTTGGAAGAGAGGGCGACGGCGAGAGAGGCGTTGATGCGTTGGTGAGCTCCGGGAAGACCCAGAGGTGTGGGCTCAATAGTAGGGACAACCTCAAAGATCGCCTTCAGGAGAGGAGAGTCAGCCATGGCCATGTGTCAGATATTGAGTGACTTACGCCGTTCGCCCGAGCTGTTTCCTCCAGCACCTCTCCACCTCGCTCCTGTTCGACACTTAATGCCGGTATACCCTTCTTGTAGATTCCTGCCTTGTTCCTAGCAATTTCCTCAATCGTGTTGCCTAGTACTGCAGTGTGGTCCAAACCCAGCGAGGTGATACCGGTCACAATAGGCTTGGGCACGATATTGGTCGAGTCGTACAGACCGCCGATACCCACTTCGAGGACGGTAGCAGAGACGCCGAGGGAGAGGAAGGTGTGGAAGGCGAGAAGGGTGAGGAGACGGAAGTAGACAGGATATTGGGGGGTCCGCTCGGTAAGGGGCTGATAGAGTGGTCGGTCAGCAAAGAGCAACTCGGGTGGCTGCAAACTCACCTTGGGGTCCGCCTCAAGCCTATCCCAGACTTCGAAAAAGAATTTGGAAAATTCAGTTTCGGAAATGGGTTCTCCGTTCACCCTGATCCTTTCGCGTACAGCACAAAGATGAGGAGAAGTGTAGAGACCAATCTTCTTCTCTGGCATATGGGCGCGAAGGACACGCTCGGTAAAGGCTGAAGTCGAGCCCTTGCCCTTGGTACCGGTAATGTGCACAACATTGAGCGCATTCAAGTCCTCGGGCTATACACGTATAAGTAGGAGTTACCTTAGAGTGGAGAGATATTCACCTTGTAGCCAATACGACGAAGATAGTCGTGCATTTCAGCGACCGCATATTCGTTCAGCCGTCCACCAGATTTCCGGATAGCTTCGATGCTATACACAATTGTCAGAACAACATTCCATGGTCAGTGATTATCTCACGTGGCAGCATTGGACTGGCAGGTGTTGAGCAGAGAAACCGCTTCCTGCAGGTCTATCAGCACGCCGGGTTGGCCGCTGGGGACGAGCCACTCACGCTGTAAGTCCTTGTGCTCGCCATTCTGAATAACCTGCGCGTCGGGAGCATCAACGAGAATGGAAAGCAGAGAAAAGGGAGTGTTTTGTGGCGGTGGATTTGTTTACACAAGCTCAAATGATTTCCAGTCAAAGCGCACTTTCAGCTATCGCCAAGGCACGCGCCAAAGTCGATTGCGCCAAATCTGTCCACTATAATGCCACCGCGTTTTCACATGACTCTGACTCAATCAGGGTTGAAGCACAATGGCTTTCGTTATCCTGTCTGTGTACTCGACTGTCCGATGAAAGTAGTCCGATGAAAGTATGTTACAGATTCATTTTGTATACAGCGATGGGCGAGAAACAAGATCGGCTACTAGATGCTACGTGATATTCCCAGACGGACAAGACTACTTTTTACTCGTTTCCTTTTTTTATATGGGGGAGTAGTCGATGTCATCTGAGGAAAGTAGCATTGTAAGAGTCGAGAATCGCTCGCACAGCCAAGGCGTCTTCAGAGTGTCCGCCAGTAGTCCAGAGGACAGGAGACTTCTCGAAGCTGTAGAAGATCAGCAACTGTACCCATGAAAGACAAAGGGGATACTCACCCGTTGAAAGTGCTCGCAGCGCACAGAGTGTACGCCCCCATCTCACTCCATCCGATCCAATCACCCACATCCATACCCCTAGGCAAATCCACCAACTGCCTCACACAATCGATCGAGTCGCAGGTAGGTCCCCAGACACTGGCCGTCTCAACATCGGTGTAACCCATCTGAACGGGGAGGTCGACGTCGACTGCCACATTGGGCAGAGGAGGGAAGGGAGGCTCGACCATGGCGCGCTCGTGGGCGATGGTGAGAGGGTGGGGGTGGACGATTTGGTGGTCAAACATGATGCAGTTGAAAGAACCGTAAACGCCGTCGTTGATGTAGTCTGTGTGATGTCAGATCGATACATTTCGTTTTTGAAAGTAAAACTTACACATCACGTCAGCAGACTTGGCCTCTTCCTGAGCAACAGCCTGAGCCTGTTCCTTGCCGGCCTCGGCTCCAATGGCTCGACGAGCGGCAATGATAGAAGTCGCCAAGGTGAACGCTAGGGCATGTCAGGTCTGACTCTCTTTTGACAATGGAAAAGACTTACCACTGGACACCAAGAATCGTCCAGGCTCAGCAATAATCCTCACCCCGCTGCTCGCAGGGAAGTAGAGCTCAAAGCTATCGTTCAACACCTCAGTCATCTCCTTGAACGTCTCATGCTCAAACCCTCCTCCGATATCCAACAACCCAAAGTCGTACCCAGCCTCTTTACCCATATCAAACACCTTTCTCGCGCGCCAAACGGCATCGGCAAACTGCATCGGGTCCTTGCACCCACTTCCAACGTGGAAGGAGACACCGATGACGTTCAACCCAAGCTGGCGGGCGAGCTTGAGAAGACCGGGGCACGAGTCGAGGGGCGCACCAAACTTCAAGCCAAGTCGGCAGAGCGACTTGGAGTCGTCTGTAAGGATACGCAAGACGAGCTTGGCGTTCGGGTAGATCCGCTTGATCTTGTAGAGTTCGTCGGCATTGTCAAACGTCATCATGCTCACGTCCTTTTGGGCCGCGGTGCGGATGAAGGAAGCGGGCTTGCAAGGGTTGGCAAAGATGATCCTGTCCCCGGCCGGCGCAGAGGGAAGCGCGAGGACCTGGTTGATCTCGGACGAAGATGCGCAGTCGAACGAAGTGCCCATGAGGGAAAGCAAGTGCAGCACCGCAGGAGAAGGGTTGCACTTGACCGCGTAAAAGATCTCGACACGCGAACCGATAGGCGAAGCGCGCCACCGCTGGACAGATTGGTAGACCGCGCTCAAGTCGGCAGCAAAGAATGCAGACTCGTCCAAGTCGACACCGGTGCTAGTCGCGATAGTCTGCTGTATAAGCTGGTGCACCGGCATATCGACCACGTTGGCGAGGGCAGGGTGGGCGTCGTCGGTGGACAACATGCTCGCTGTCGTCGCTGGCGGGGTCGGGAGGGCCATGTCGGGCACGTACGGCAGCTGCGCCGAGGGGTCAAGCGTCCTGACCATATTGTTCACAGTCGTTCTCGACTGGAGGAAGTTTTGCTCGGTCCATGGCGGCTGCTTGGAGAGGACCGGGGCGACCGGGGCCATGTAGTTTTGGGTCAAGGTGGTGGTCATTGCGAATTGAGGGGGCAGGCGGCGAAATGGGTTTTTGGGATGCGGAAGTCCGTCGTCCCGAGGGGTTTTCTATGCCACCTGTAGCGCTTTGTCAACACTTTTCCTTCATCCCCATGTCCATCCTATGTCCATCCCGACGACTCTTGAATTATCTGACCGAACCGGCCTGATTCCATCGAAACGCGCAGAATTTCTCTTCGTTCTTTCGAGACCGGGACTCACAGTCAGGTGCAACGTGTCGGGGTCACACGTGCTACGCTTGAGAGGGTTGGGTACGACGGCTCTAGGCTAAAAGGCCTTTTTGTACAATACCAAGCGTAAGGAGAACCTTTTGTTGGACGTTGAAAGCAAACACTCGTTCGGCCCGTGCGCTGCCCACCGAGAAGGGAGCGGGAGCAAATTCGGAGAGCGTCATATTAGGGTCTCGGCGTTTTGTTTGGGTGTACGGGAGTACGTGTGGCACTTTGGCTGGTGGACGCGACGTTGAGGGATGTAGATGCACGTAGCAGTCTTTGGATAGACAGTTGGCCACTCGATGGTCTGGACACGGATGTAGCCAAACCCTCTTGAATCGTTCGGGAACACGTCTCTGATAGAGCTTCTGAATTATTTACCCCATCGCTGGGATCTGGCCTCGCTGGTACACGACAGTCAGTCAGTCACACGACCCATCTTAACCGAAAAGTATGACTAGCGACATGTCCCCTTCCGGCGTTAAAGAGGGGCTAGTAGCGGAGTGTACATGGACAACCTCTCTTGTCAGATTCATTAATTAAAGCGAAAGTCTATGAGGATAAGGGTTCGGTGGCGTCGTGTAAATTGACCCACTGGTCGGAACGCTTGTTCTGGCCCTCGCGCTCTGCGTCAAGACTCAAGAGAGTTGTGCGAGTCACACGCCTGGGTTCGACATGCACCTGTAAGTTGTAAATGTGCCGGATCTTTCATGAGCGTCCAGCGATGATGAAAATAAACGCGCACCGCCGGCCGTCGATTAGAAACACCGTCGTTTATTACTCAACCCTCACACAAGAGCTCCTGTGATATGCTGTGGCCACCTTTCATCATTACGGTAGGGTAGTCTCTGGTTGGCCTCTGCAAATGTTTATCAGATAAAAACGATGATACCGATATGTAGATAACCATTCGAGACCATTTATTTGGACTGTGGGCGATGTCATCATCGCGGCGTGCGCGGGCGTTATAGAGATCTTGAAACCCGACTGATCGAGACGTTGTCCCTTTCGGCGCGGACTACCATCTCTTGCAACATATGTATGGTGAGAAGCACCAAAGACGTCGTTTCATGTGTCAGGAGCTATCCCAGCGACCAGCGACCAGCTTGACTAGTTACGTTTCAACGTCCTGATCGCGAGAGTAATCCTCCCGCTCACACCGCCTCAGCGAATAGACCAACCAACATGTCCTGTCTCCTTTCACCACGGCCCTTCTCAATAAGCGAGGGGGCGAGACATGCCTTGTGAAGAGATGTATGACGATGGTGGTATTCTCTAGGATCTCTTGAATCAACCTGAAGAAAAAACAGGTATCGATCACTTCCATCACCTGTCCGGTCTGTCACCACAAGTGCCGACATGGCCGACACATTCGGCACCCAGTGCACCCAGCCAACTAATGTACATTCTTATTCTCTATAGCTCTCTTCCATTTGCGTGTTGAGCTCCCTGAAGATGCTTCTCGGCTATGACGATTGGATTCCCGTCTGTGGGCAGACCTCCCGTCGGTCCCCTTGCACACACGGTACATACATACACACGTGTGGTACAACATGCGCAGCCCAGGACAATGAGCATCACCGAGAACCGGGATAGAACTAGACAAGGTTGGTATCCCCGGGAACGATACCGACGTCAACCGGTTACCCAGAAAATTGCTCTTACAGAGCTACCCCCGCGCATGCAGCAGGCCCAGGAGGGCCCCCTCGGTTCCTCCATGTAATCTGTGATCTGTTCCTTGCAGGGGTCCGGGGGATTTTAGATCTGGTTGAATCTAGATGACGTCTGGATTAGGTTTGTTAGATTGTAGAATAGCGCGATGAAATCACCAGCCACAGCGGATTCGCCTGGAACATGGGTGCCGCAGTAGTGGCTGCGTGACGTCACCGCAACTCACTCCTCTCTCCCTCAACCTCCCTCACAAAGGAAAGGATGTATGCGATGCCTCCCACTTAGCACTGTGCTCTTCGCCGTCTTCCCTCCAGTCCCCGTCCTCTGCTTCCAGGAGATGTCCCAGTAGCAGCCGCGCCGAGTGACCCGTCCACGTCAACCACTGCCAGTGTCAACTACTGCTCGTCCCCCTCCCGTCTTCCCTACTACCACTCCCCTACCGCTGCTTTTCAGGATTCCACCGTCCTTCACTCCCCTACCGCCTGGAGCACCCCGCCACTCTTGTCCGTGTACCGTCCTCCCTCCCAGAGCGTACCTGGACACAACGCGTGATCTTTCTTTCCCAAAAGGAGTACGCCTCTCCTGCTTGTTTCGCGTCACAAGGTGTATCCCACCGTTGAGCGCGTCCTCATCTGCATTCCACCATGGGCGGCGACCACAAGTGTCCTGTAAGTGCTCTCCCGTATCTTGTTAACACCTGCCCTGGCATCCTTGGGAAAGAAGGCGCGGCCGATCATCCTTTCATCATGCGAAGGCTATCTTGGACGACTGACTGACGGCGGTCACAGCTCTGTTCAGCCACATTCACTCGACCCCAGCACGTCGGCCGGCATCTTCGAGCGCATACCGGCGACAGACCTTATGCCTGTAAAGAGTGTCCTCTCAAGTTTGCTCGAAGGTGAGTAACCATCCTGCTCGTGTGAGGTCATGCTGATGCCGTACAGCGATCTCTTATCCCGTCATGTCAATAAGGCCCATCGCTCGCCTGATGTTGGTCCGGTCGACAAGAAGACTTCAAAGAAGGGAAGACGCAAGTCGGTACCTGCATCTGCGCACTCCAGTCTAGAGCGAGATAAGATCATTGCAGAGCAGCAGCAACAGCAGCAGCAGCAAGATTATCAGCGTCAGCAGGCCTTGCAGCAACAGCAGCAAGCGCATGCGCAACAGCAACAGCAAGCTGCTCGTGAACGATCACGAAGCGAGAGCCACGTCATCCAACAACCCCAACTTCAAGCCCAACGCATGTACCCGCATCACCCCCTCCTCGCTGTCCATCCCGTGCCTCCCGCTCAACCTGGTGTACCGCAAGAGTCGTGGAACGCCAACCCGAGCGGGTCCGTGGGTACGTTCGGGATGATGACCATGTCGCCTCAACCCACATACGGCCCGAGCGTGGGCAGACCGATGCCTGTCAACCCGCCGGTGCATAGTGCCACATACCCTCTCCAGCCATCTTTCGACCCGCCCTTCACCGCGCAGCCGCTCAAAATGTCAGGGTCTATGGATCAGCATAACCCTTCCCAAAGCATGTACGAGTGGGATACGAAGAAGAGGGCATGTGATCAGTGCAATCACTCGAAAGTGCGATGCGACTTTGCCGACCCATGCCGTGAGCCAACTCTTTTTTTTTTTCGGGTTGGATGAAAAGCTGACGTCATACAAGTCCGATGCAAACAACGCAACCTTACTTGCTCATACCGCAAGCCTCAACGACCTTCCTCATGCATGGGTCCGCCCTTGCCTCCTGCGCAAGTGGCGCCGGTCCCCAGCAGCAGCCCGTCGAACATGTCCATCTCGCCTCACAGCAGTAATCAGCCGTCTCCGCAGTTTACCCAAATGCAGATGCCGAGTATCGCCCCGACAGAGCCGGTCGTCTATCGTAAACCGTCAGTGTCGTCTTTACCCCCCAATTTGGGGAATGTACCGAATCCGAACCCGTCACCTGTCATGTCGCATGGCCCTGCACACGCTATCGGCGGCTGGGGCTCTTTCCCGCAAACGACAGTGGGAGGTACGTGGCCTTCGAATATGGTAGCGCAACAGTCTCTGTCGTTCGCGGACAACACTGCTCCTGGGAGTATTACGGGTCAGGCATTCGAAACCTCTCCCAACTCGCTCGACGTGCCTCTTCCTGCTCCGGCGTCTCCTATACCTCCCAACGCGAACGCGAGCGGCAAGATCTCACCGGGTCGTATGGGACTGTTGCAAACGCCGTCGTTGGTGAGCAATACGGATAGCCCTTCAGAGATGGATGAACCCGTCGAAAGACGGGGAAGCCATAACTCTGCAATCAGTGCGGCGTCTAGTTCTGCTCCTGCGCCGTTCTGGACAAAGGGTAAAGGCCCAGAGGGTACACTCGGTTTCCAGCCGAATATGCCCAACATTCACACACATCAAGATATCTCTCCGTCGCATTCGCAATCCCAGCTGCCGTTCCTCGCAGGCTCGGGCTCGCAGCTGAACGACCCCCAGGGGCAGCAGCAATGGCATATGCGGGACAGCTTTTCCGGGAGCGACGATACGAGCTCCATCCTGTCTTCTTCAGTAACGTCGAGCTGCATGTTTGACCCTAACTCCTCTGTATCTGGTGCAAGCGCCGGGCATCAACCGGGCCACGCCAGGAGGAGGTCGAGCCAGACTGCCTGGGCGCACGCTTTGGAGCAGATGACGCTTGGGGAGTCGCAAAAGCAGGCTCTCGCCGCGAGCATGCGCGAAGGCAGCGAGTCAGCCGTTTCGGCCCATTCAGAGCTGTCGCCTGAAGGCGGTAGACAGCCTGCTCAGCTCCAGCCGGAGGGACAGCAGATCATGCCGACATTGTCAGATGTCAAGGATCTGTGGAAAGTGTTCATGTCAGAACCTATGGACCTTACTGGGCTTGCGCCTGTGGCGGAAGGCGATGGGTCTGGGATGGACTTGGACCATACACACGAGATCACCCCGAGGCCAGGGCTGGGCAAGAGGACGCTGTCAAAGTCCAACTCGATGCCAGACTTGCAGTCGCCCATGATCAACGGCCCCAACTTCTTCTCCACCTTCTTAAACGGCCTGACGCCGAAAGCGAGTGAAGCGCATGCGTCGCAGTCTTACATTGGGGTGCAGGTGCCTTCGGAGCAAGGGCACGGACAGGGTCCGCAAGAAGGTGGTGGGAGTATCCCGGATATTGGGAGTTGGAAAGATCAGATCCAGCAGAGGCAGTCGTCCTTCTCTCTCGGTGCGCCTGGTTCTCGCCTTGGCAAGAGCAAGTTGAAGGGCAGCCAGAGCGCTTTGCCTCTCGATACCGCTGTGCCACCGCCGAGCCGACCGTTGCCGAGCGTCGTACAGCGTACAGCACTCGACCAGACGCTCGCGCCAGAGAGGATACCCAGCTTTGGCCTCACACCGGGTCTGGAAATGTCTACCAACCCTCATCTCGCATCCAAACTCTTGCAATCTACCACTCCAGCTCTTACAGGCGCCGCTGGACTGACATCGGCCGAAGCCCAGGCGGGGAGCAAGCGCATGGCGAGTTCATCATTGGCGAATGAGCATGGCAAGCGTGCGAGTTTCTCGGTGTGGGGAGAAGAGGAGCCGGTAGCGGGGGATGAGGATGTGCAGGATCCGGCGACTGGGGAGCCCTTATACGCGGGCGCGAGGGATAAAGTGCCGTTGGCGGGGCAGCAGCAGGGTTTGGTGCAAGGTTGGGCGGCTGCTTAGTCTCAAGGGGATAGTTTCGCTGTAAGCAAGCTGGTGTTGATATCATCTGAAGAAAGTTGAGTCGTTGAGTGTTACCCATGGCTTTCTACATAGAGTCTCCCCTTTTCCCGTTTCTCTTATCATTCCGTTTCTCACAACTGTATCAATAGTCTCTAGTTATATCTATCAAAAAACCAACACTGTAGCGTAGAAGTAAAGAATGGATTGTGATTCGAAACCTGCTCAGCCAAAAGTTTGTGTCCGTATTCATATAAAGGGTGGCAGCATATGCATGTTTCATCAAGCCATAGCAGAGCCGATGGGTGATGGGGTCCACTCTTCTGTCGTCAGCCGTTTCCAGCCAGGCAACGAGTCTGAAGGTCGGGAGGTTGTTTCACGAGGCGCTTGTCGGGCAGGAGGATTCTGGGGCGACATTTCAGAAGGCTAGACGATTGATATAGGACCTTTGCTCACCTGTCGTTCGAATTCCGCCAGCCTCTTTTCCATTTCTCCCAATCCCTTTTCCAGCTCGTCATCATCTACATCCATAGCGAGTCCGTCCAGACCCTTGTCCTCTTCTGGGTCAGGCAGAGCGCTTGAAAGACTGTTTATCACGTCGTAGAGGTTCTCGTCAATGTTGGCTAGTGATTCGTGGAGGCGAACCAAGCTACCAGAACGTCAGCTTAATTGATAGGTAAAGGACAAGGGGACGCTTACATTTGGTCATCGTGCTTGTGCAAGAGCGCAATAGCCAACCGTCTGTATAGAATTGTCTTCTCCTCCGCGTCAAGTCCCAAAGCTCCTTCAACCTCGGCGTCTTCTCGCCAGAGGTAAAGTACCCAAACACCCAGACCCCATCTGTAGCTCTCCTCTTCTTCTCTAGCATCGTCCTCCTGCTGCTCGCCTAGAGTGATCATCTCAGCTTGAGCGTTGAACCCGAGTCGACCAGCTGGCAGGTTGGTGGAAAGGTCGGAAGGGTTGAGGAGGAGGTCGAGGATGGAAGTGGCGAGGAAAGAAGGGAAGGAGGGGGTGGTAGCCGACAAGTGGGTCAGGAGAGGCAGCCAGATCTTGAGAGACGGAGTAGGAGGCAGAGAGGATTGGGGAGAAGCTCGTTTTCTGTGGCGGATTAGCATTGGCTATCATGCCTTGAGTTGACACTTGCCTCTTGGCGAGCGGGACAAGACTGCCCACTTCTATCAAGCTTTTGATGATCCCATCGACCCCCGACACCTCTCCCTCGAGATCTCTCCTGACCTTTCTCATCTCCAACCCGCTCACATCTTCCTCTCTAACTTCCTTCTCCCTCAAACGGGTCTTCATGACCTTCTTCCAGCGCCGCAGCAGACTGTCTATTCTCTTCTTGGCCAATACGTCTCTTTCTGACATGACGCCATTTAGATTTTGACCATTGTTGTAGCTCAGAGAGAGCAGAGGGAGGAAAGAGTTTTGGTGAAGATAGAAGATACACTGTGCGATAGCCTGTTGTAAGAGCGGTAATGGCGGTAAATCTTCGTGCGTCGCTCGGTGACGGAGGGCGATCAACGAAGGGGGAAGGCCGAGACTAGCAGCCAAATGCGATATAGGCCTGGCGTATGAACCAGTCTGAAGAGGGTCAACGAGGCCATTGACAAAGCGCACGATAGCCATGGCCATCATCATCCTCATCCTCTGCGACTCTTCCGCGCCTCGAGGGGGCGGGAAGGGCAGAAGCTCGGCAGCTACTAGCGAATGAAGCAGATGAATGAAAGCGGGGCAGGAGGGGGACGAAATATAGATGCTCATCTATGACCGATTAGTGGATATACTGTCCGGAAAGGGGGAACATACCCTGGCGAGTCCTCTGCGACGACTATCAAGATCGGCCCCGGGGGCAAACAGATAGTCATAGAGCTCGGACAGCTCTGCGTGGGATGACCAGAGGACTCTTCGGGCTGCTTTCATGTTGTTGGCGTGGTATGCAGGTCTTTTGTCGTCTTGTCGGAAAAACAACGAACAAAGAAAGTGGAGGTCTGCATCAGAGATATTTTGTAATGCACTTGAGCAACATTTGCCTCCGCTAATCAGGCATCAGCCCGCCACGGGCGGGGTGGCGGGCCAATAATGCCGAAAGCGATGGAATACCATCTGGATTATCTGGATTCTGAAAGATACATATACACCCTTCTCACTCGACTTCTCACTCAACTTCTCACTCAACTTCTCACTCAACTCCCCAACATGGCCATCACCCACGCTAAAGGTACGGTGCTCTGGTATGCTCGAGGCTGACAATGTACAGGATACGCCATCGACAGCCCCAAGGACTACCCCGTGAGTAACCCATCTCCCTCTTCTCCCTTGTCTGACCCGGCGTAGAACTTTTACTTGAAGGAGTACGAGCTCGAGCCTCTCGCCGAAGACCGCATCACTGTCGCCGTCGAGTGCTGTGGTGTCTGTGGTTCCGACCACCACACCGTCTGCGGCGGGTGGGGCCCCTTCCAGACCAAGTTTGTCGTCACGGGCCACGAAGTAATCGGCAAGATCGTCGAGGTTGGCGACAAGGTCACAGAATTCAAGGTCGGTGACCGTGTCGGTGTGGGAGCCCAGGTTGGCTCTTGTGGCGAGTGCAAGCCCTGCAAGGGTCCCAACGGTCAGTCCATTCTATATCTGACTTGGTCCAGAGCTGATGGAAGCAGAGAACTACTGTGTCAAGCCCGTCCACGGTTACAACTCCCACTGGCACGATGGCTCTGAGCACCACGGTGGTTACTCCACCCACGTTCGATCTTCCGAGCGATTCACCTTCCCCATCCCTGAGGCCCTCGAGTCTACCCGAGCCGCTTCCATGTTGTGCGCTGGTATCACCGTCTTTGCCCCTCTTGTGAGGAACGGTACTGGTCCCGGCAAGAAGGTTGGTGTTGTCGGTCTTGGTGGTCTGTAAGTTGCTTCTTGTGATGATGCAGAGCGCAAAGCTGATAAGGTTATAGCGGCCACTACGCCGTCCTTTTCGGTACCGCTCTCGGGGCCGAAGTCACCGTCTTCTCTCGTACCGACGACAAGAAGGAGGACGCCCTCGCCATGGGTGCCAAAAACTTTATCGCCACCGCCGACCCCAACTTTGCCAAGGGCCACGAGCTCGAATTCGACCTCATCATTGTCACCGCCTCTTCCAACAAGCTCCCCATCAACGACTTCCTCTCCCTCCTCGACATTGACAAGAAGCTTGTCTTTGTCGGTTTGCCCGAGGAAGGTTTGGCCAACATTACCAGTCAGGCTTTGAGCGGTAATGCTGCTAGCTTGAGCAGTAGCCACTTGGGTAACAAGAGCGAGGTCAAGCAGATGCTCCAGCTCGCTGCCGACAAGAACGTCCAGCCTTGGGTCGAGGTTCTCCCCATGAAGGACGCTACCAAGGCCATTAAGGCCGTTGAGAACTCTACTGTCCGATACAGGACTGTTCTCACCCAGGACATCGAGTAGGGGTTTCAGGGGTCGAAAGCGGAAAGACTATTAGAAGACATGAATATGCAAGGGGATAGTACAACTGATCAATGCCAACAATGCTATAATGCTTGCCTACAATATGCTACAGATGTTCAATCTCTTCCTCTTCCACCACAGCCTCAAGCTTGACTCGTCCATCGCCATGCTCGTGCAAATGCAATGTCACCCCGCTCCCGCTCTTACTGAGCTCTTCTTGTTTGACTTCGAGTATCGACTTTAACGCTTCCTCTTGACCTTCTCCTTGTGGCAGAGGTGGGATAGAGGGCAAAGAAGATTGGAGGTACATATCCAAATGGCCGTGGATTATTCGCTGAATATCGGTTTTAGAGACCGGATATTCTTGAAGTTGGTCTCTCTGATTCTCCTTGTCAGCTCCGGCTTCTACATATAAATCAGAATGGCGTACAAAAACAAAGTAGACTCCTTTGGTGGTCACTCCAAAGATGTCTTTGAACAGGTCGTGGGTCCGAGGAATGCCTCGCAGTTCCAAAAGCAACAATGTCTGCTTGCGTATCGACTAAATCCCTTCTGTGAGTCTTTGGCATTGTCAGAACGGTGATCATGGCTCACAGCTTTGTTATCCAAAACCTGTTGAGGCACCCTGACCCTCTTCCTACCACTCGCCTCTGCTGTACCAACTTCATGCACGCTCGGCCCAACTTCACTTCTACCCCCAGCAGACGACACCCGGCTCATACTGGGCGCCATCGACGACGCCCTCTTGCCGAATATATCATCTTCATCTCCTTCCTCATCTCCTGGACCTTGCTCAAAGGCAGACACCGGCGGTACGGATTGGCGCGAGAGCGACGGTGCTCGGAAAGAATGTTCAGAGGGCGCAAGGCTCGACCCGCGTTCTTCCTTGACACGCACAGAACCTTCTCGATCTCTTCTTTCCACCCGATCATCTAGACGAGGTTGACTGACAATCTTCCCCGCCCGTCTCTTCCTATCCTCCTCTCTCCCAGCCTCACCCAGCCTCGCGCGCTTCTCTCCCCTCCTCCCGGGTGTACGGCCCGATACAGGCGCTATCTGTCCGCTTTTCCCTTTACCCACCCCCACGCCCATGCCAATACTCGGCACAGAAGCAGAAGGCGGCGGGGCATAGATGGAGGGTTGAGTCTGGGATGTCGAGGAGGTGCGGGAGAATGATCGGGCAAAGGGACGGAAGGGTTTTTTGGGGTCTGCTGGTATGAAGAGGGGTGCTCGGGGGAGAGGTTCTCCTGGGCGGATCTTCTTTTCGCTCGGGGGAGGTGGTGGGGGTTTGCGCCGGCCTACGAAGAGACGCAAGGTGCTTTCTGAGGATTCTTTGGAGAGAGAAGATTGAAGTTGACCGTATACGAGAATAGTCGATTTCAGAGTGTTTTCTGCCAACTCATCAGCTCTCGTCAAAAGACGCATAGGGTGGTACACGCACCAACTTCCTCGTCGCCTAGCCCGATGACGATAGCCTTCTTCGTCCTCCCATTTGCCGACAAAGACCCATCTCTCCCCAGTAATCCTATCACATACCCAGCTAGCAGCGGCGCTTGCTCCGAGATTGACACCTGGACTCCGCTACCGGCAACATCTTCATCTTCTTCCAATACCTCGCCGTCGGGCAGATCGACGACATCACGAACTTGGAGATACTTGCGTCCGCGCATAGACTCTAGAGACAAGCACAGGTCGGTGGTACCGCCTGGAAGGGAATGGAACGGCGAAGAAGGGGCAGGAGAGAATGATGGTGGGGGTGTGGGGAAGGCGAAGGGGTTTTTCGAAGGTGTTGGCTGTGGGAATGATAGTTGGGCGAAGAATGTTATGCCTACACCAAAAGTCAGATATGTTCAGTACGCTCAAACGAGAAACAGACCATCTAGGCGCCAGCCTTCTTTTCCAATTTCAAGCCCACCACGCCATAGTAATCTCCAGCTTGTCCGTGTCCCCTGAGCGCTGCCGAAATCATTCGGAACGCGCTTCTCAATAGGCGTCTGACAGTCGCCCGGTACCAGTGTCGCCTTCTTTGTAGAAGTTGGCAAGATGGCGCTCTTTGCGAATGACGCTCCTTCCGTAGCTAATGCTGGTTTGGCAAAGGGGTTCCGGGAGGGAGAGGGGGCCGGGAGGGATGTCATGGTCGATGGGCCATAGGTTGTCGAAAGTGGACGCGTTCTATAGACGCGTCGGGCAAGTCTTGATGTGGCGCTGCCTGGGATGCTCCTGTTTTATTGAAGCTGCGTTAATACCCCCGGAGCCTCCAGTAGATTATAATGAACTGCGAGTAGAGTATAGCTTATGCATACAAGAAAAAAGAAAAAGAAAAAGTGCAAGATCTCATGCAATTAGAAAACATTACGTAACATTCCCGAATGCGCTCTCGACCTCCTCGATCTTGCTGTTGTGAAAGCATTCATCTCTTTCTCCCATTCTTTTGTCTTTCATCTCTCCCCGTACTGCTTCCTAATAGCATACAGCCATGGTGATATCCATCACAGAGCGCTTCCCACATGCTGACACCCCCTCTAGCTCCCGCTGTCGCTCCTCAATGCCGCCCAAGGCAAACCCATGGTCCGTCGCTTTCTCTCGGTCAATCCCTTGCGTCACCACAGCCCACTGATACCTTTATTCGTAGCTGGTGGAACTGAAATCCGGTGTCACATTCAACGGTCATCTTGTCGACTGTGATTCATTCATGAATGTTACGTTGCGAGAGGTGTATCAAACGTCGGCGGATGGAGATAGGTTTTGGAAGATGAAGGAGATGTTCATCAAGGGGAATGTTGTGAGTTTTCATTTCATCCTTGGTTGGAGGTTTGAAGGGATGCAGGGCACGAATGGGTCAATCAAGTGAAAGGGAGCAGACACTGACTTCTGCCTGTAGATCAAGTACTTTCGCATAGCAGACAACATCCTGGAACAAGCTGCCGAAGATCAAGACAAGGCACGAGCAGCGAGCCGTCAGCGTGGCGGCGGTAGAGGCGGACGAGGTGGACCTGGAGGTCGAGGTGGTGAGTCTTGTCTCTTCATTCACGTTTTGAGGATTCGAAAAGTGGGAGAGGAATAGTGCTGACTTTCTATGAAGGACGTGGAGGACCACCAGGCAGAGGCGGTGGAGCTCCTGGGCGAGGTGGTGGACCTGGTGGACGAGGAGGGTTTGCGCCGAGGGGCAGGGGAGCGCCCAGGGGTGGTGCGCCGCGACCATGATCAAGCGACCTGTCTTGCAGAAGGAAGAATATCACGGAAACGGGGAATGTGGGGATTGGTAGCGATAAGACAGAGTGAGAACAGGAAATGTGGATCAAGGGTGTTGCCACCCATCAGCCTCTCGTTATTGGGCTGTCATAAAGTTATGCAGACAGCTTTAGCTCTATTGCTATACTCTCAGTCAAAGATCCCCGAATCATAATCTTCTCCACCAACTTTCTCCACTTTACAGGTATTCATCAACCCTTGATTCCGCTTTGTTCACACCCTATTCTTTACCAGCAGCGACATCAGGGTAGACATCGAACCTCCTCTGCAAAGTAACAGGAATGTTCCTTCGGGTGGTCGCGAGCTGCTCTGGGTCTGCATCGCTCCATCAGTATCACGTTCAGCCATTATGGGTACTTCGAAGAAAGACTTGCCGATATCAGCATACAAAGTCTCGGGCTCATGGCCGGCTTCGACGACGACATCTCCAACGGGGTTGACAACACTCGAGTGACCATACTGAGAAAGCATCAGACGTCTATTACACGTCTCGCCCTTGTTGAAGAAGCACACTCACGGCTTGGTAAGCAGCATCAGGATGCCTGGCCGGTGAACACATGGCAACATAGATCTGGTTGTCCACAGCGCTATCACACCATGTCAGCACAATTCTCTCTCTAAACTGTAGAGTCGATAGGCATACCGAGCACGCTGCAGAAGAGTCCAGTGCATGGGGCCAGTGGTGGTGTTGAAAGCTGCAGGGTAGATCATGGCAATGCAACCTTGACGGGCAGCGATCATGGTCATCTCGGGGAATCGCTGAGGGCGGCTCAGTCAGCACTTTACCAGACATAGTCACAATGACTAAGTCGAGAAGAACGTACAATGTCATAGCAGATACCAAGACCAATCTTGCCGAAGGGGGTGGTGAATGTGGTAAGATGGGAACCGCCTGTAAGAGTGTCTGATTCCTATCGGACCAATATCAGCTCTGGCCGTGAGCTTGCGTGTCAAAAGCTAACCTTGAAGGTCTGCTTGCCGGGAATATCGATATCAAACAGATGCACCTTCGAGTGAGTCGCCACAAGGGTTCCTATACGTACAATTCAGTGTCAGAAAGACGCCTTGACCTGATAGACGGTTACACGCACCTTCGGGATCGTAGACGGTGCATGTGTTGTAGATGTTGTCGGTCTTGTCATCCTTCTCAGGGATGGATCCTTCACACGTTAACCTTTCAGCCTGATGTCCGAGACGATCTATACATACCGCCAATCAACCAACACCCGCTACTCCTAGCCATCTCCCTCAGAGCTCTGACAGTCTCTCCCTCCCCTCCCTCCTTCACCTCTTCACTCCACTTGCTGCCCACCTCTGGCACCCTCTCGCTGTATTCCCTAAAGCTGCTGACAGCATACGGGCTGTTCCAGATCTCGGGCAAGACGATAAGCTGGGGTTTAGGGTGGGAGGCGGCGGCGGCAGCGACGGCAGAGCGGGCAGAGGCGATATTGGAGGATTTGGAGGATGTGAGACCGCCGAGCTGGAGGAGGGCGAGACGGAAGGGAGATACTTGAACCTTGGCCATTTTCGCGACTTGGTGGATTTTGAGCAGAAGAAAAAAGAGTGGAATGGTCGCAGATGCAGCATCGTCGTAGGAGATAGCCGGTGTGCCTGGAAATGAGGTGATACAGAGGTGTCTTGACGGACAATGGGGTACATTGCCATAGCATAAGGGTATCATAACATGTCATCACATCTGTTACTAACACGGGCTCGAGCAAAAGACTATGGAGAGCAAACAGAATCTTGCGAAAAGAAGAAGGCGCGCTAGAATGCAAGGTTATGAAAATGCGGTCGGGAAGTAAAGAGAAAGGATGAAAAAGGTCTATTGTCCGTCACAATGCAGAAAGTACGATACAGAAAGGCGAGATACAGAAAGGCCAAGCAGCCGATCCTCGGAGCCAGTGCCCAACTGGCCGCCCCTGGGTCTCCATCTCCCACGCGCAGATAAGCAGCAGCTTAGAGCGCGAGCACACCCAGACCAGCGCCGACGGCACCGACAGCCAAGGTCATCCACGCGCCAAAGACACCGTCCATTCCGACGGGCTGAGCCCGTCTGTGACCGTCATTTTGAGCAGCGGCAGAAGAGTAGACGGCGGCGTTGACGCCAGACTGGTACGATTCAAAGTCGGCGACGGAACCCTGGGCGACGTTGGCAGTGCCGACAGTGGGGATGCTAAAAGTCTGTCAGCACAGGAAAAATTGTTGATGTATCGCGTACGTGGTGGTGGGAGCGGTCCAGGTGTAGTATGTCCAGTAACCGTTTCCAGTGTCGACCCAATAAGTGGTGGTCTTCATAGGCGCGTCACTTGTAGTGGAAGCGACGATTCGTTGACTGGAACATCATATCAGCAAGTCCTTCTAGATCTCACAGGGGTATCGACTGACGTGGTGGTGTCCTGGTCGGCGGAGGTGGTTGTGGAAGTAGAAGTGTCATCGTCGCCGCCAATGGTGCTTATGGTAGAAGTGACGGTAGCGCCCCGGGCGTTGGTGTGCCGAGAGAGAACCAAGGTGTTTCCATCCTGCAAGTTCCTGATCAGCAAGCGTTTCTTTACGTTTCAATACGATGCAGGCGGCGGCCAACACGCGTCTTGACGACCTACATCGACATCGAGGGTAGTAGTGAATCTCTGCGCAACGGCAGAAGACGCGAGAAAGAGGGTGGCGATCAAGGCTGAACCGGAAAACTTCATGGCGAATTGGGTGCTGGGGTATGTCCAGTGGCAAGTGTTTATTGGATGCTGATCGTCGGACTGCGGGGCTTTGAAAGGTGGCCAACAGTGCGCAGTAGGCTACGGACGCGAGGGGGTCGGGGTGGGGGTCGGGGTGGGGGCTGGGGTGGGGGTCGGGGTGGGGGCTGGGTATGGATGGGACGGGGCCGAGGGAACTGGGCGGTACAGGGAGATGTGGCAGAGAAAAACAGCGAGATGCAACAGATGCACGTCCAGTCAATCAGCGGGACCAAATGTTCTAATGCCATTACAACCACAGCACTAGTCTCTTTTCGGCGTTTCAGCGTGTGTGGCAGCGTCACGTCATCAGATGGCTTGCGTTGAAAGAACAATGGATCATGGCAACTGATTCAATCCCGGGGTCCATCGGGCCCTGAGCAAGATACCTCGTATACACAAATCAAAACAAACGTCTCTGCCTATCCTTCCAGCTTGTCCAGCTCTAGTCTGTCCCTCACAAGCCGCTCGTAGTACTTTGTCATTTCCTCCCAAGTTGTCCGCGGAGCGAAAAATACAACGTTTGCCAAATCCTCTTATTTGGAACGCGTTAGCTCTTTGCTAAACGGGTAGCAGATGAACGACGCACTTTTCCATGTCGCAGATATTGACGCAGTTGCAAGCCCTGGTCGAAGCCCCATGAGTGACCAGTGATGATCGTCGGGCGTCTGCCTGCCTTTTGACACTTCCGGGTTCAAAGGGTCGATGAGCCAATTTTGTGTGTCATAATCGAGGAGGTCGGGATACATCCTTCCAGCAATATCTGCACCATTGATCAGCCACGCATCCCGATCATCTGCAAACAAGACATACCGCAGACGTCAGTCATGGTTTCTGAATCATCCGGGTTGAGCTTCCTATACCGGAATCCCTTTGGCGGCGTGTATGCCTCTACCACTGGTTTCTGGCCCATGCCTTCCTCGCCTGTGGCCGTCACCAGTTTCTCAACATCCGACTTGCTCTCAAGTTCTTCAAGCTCAAAAAGATCTCCATAGACAATGCAGCGATATTCCCGTTTGCCTTCGGCGCTGAGCTCTAATTGTGGCACCACGCATATCTTGCTATTTTTCACATGTCAGCCTAGTCCTCAGACGTACAAGCGACTCACCGGATGATGAGAGTCATACACCTCGAATCTGACCCATTTGACCCTTTCAGCATATGCGACTCTGAAAACAGCTCTGCCCGCGACTTTTTGATCCTGACCATATCTTCCAACCATATTCTCTCGCCGCCCGAGTACAGACCCTGGTACAAGAACAATTCGTGATTCTTGACAGCGATGTGGTCTTCTTCCGTCAGATCAAGGTCGTCCTCCAGAGGCGTGATCTTGTCCGTTTGGGTCCAGCAAGACGCTATACTCTGCAGACCCGTGAGCAATGTTCCTCTTACCAATGATATCTACTCACAGATGCCAACCTGATCCCGTACGCTAATCGCATCACAATGACATCCCAGTCCTCCAATTCCTCAAATTTCAAGGGCTTGCCCCATTTGTCACCCCATCCCGGCAAAAGCTTGATCATCTGCTCAAACTCGGACCTGGTCTTTGCGCCCGTCGACAATATCTGCTCTGCCGCCGCGTTTGCACCTCTTCGCAGAGCAGCCATCGCTTGGTCTCCAATCACGTCATACTGGTCCAACCCGCCTTCAAACAATCCTGTTCCTCCCAGCCACGGCATGAGATCCTTTGCGTCTCTTCGCACCTCCGTCTTAGGGTCCAGACAACCGAGTGGCCGGATGTGGTATTCGATATAGTGCAGAATGACCTGGGTCATGTCGCCGTTACGGGTGGTGGTGGAGAGAGTGCGGACTCTGTGGTCATAACTGCTCACGAGACCTGGCCACAGACCGATAGGACCGACGCCTTGGGTGTCGGTCCCGGCAGGGGCGGTGAAGGGGCCGCACTTGAACCATATGAGCTCACCGCGACCTGCGTCCAGTCAGTTGACACGCCTACATATCCGTGCAGGAACTTACGGAAACGCTGGCCCGAAAGCAGCTCGTTTGCGCGATCCGGCACGGTAGGCGGTATTTCAGGTCCCTCCGGGTCTTCAATATCATCGTCCAAATCCGACATCTGCTCCGTCAACTGCCTCTGAGTGCGCTTTCTAGGCGTGTTATGATGCCGGTACTCGATAGCACCGAGAGAGCGGCGAGGGCGTTTGGCTGCACCGGGGGCGGAAGACATGGATGCAGCGGCAGATAAGCGGGAGCGTTTGAGAGTTGCGGGCAAGGATTGACGGGAGGATCTCTTGGATTTGCCGTACGGACAACCGCACTATATCGTGATGAGCAAGGTCGTTGGGGCGAGGAGGTGTACGCACTTTCTCGTGTTCTTCCAAGGGTATGGAGGGATCAAAGAGCCAAATGGCATGTTGTTCGAATTCTCTGGTGCTTCGGAACTTGTGCAATCGTCAATCGTGTGTCAACATCAGCTTCAGGACATACTCGAAGGACCGTTGTTGATCCCTGAGCAGAGTTAGTATATATTCCATACTATGGTTTTGAACTCACATATACATAGTAATCAGTTCTCAGGGACCCATCCCCCTGCCTCTTTCTATGCGCATACACCTTATAACCGTCTGGCAGAGGCATTCTCTGTTTTGTCACTGTGTGATTCGCATCAGCTCTATTCACCTCGCTGCCAACAGAACACTCACCATCCACATCCAGCCCCAAATGCCTGCAGAGGACCTCGGCAGTCTTCTGTTCGTAGTAGACCCATCTGCCATCAGTCTCCGGTACTTCTTGAAAGTACCAATCTGTGTCGCTCGGGGCGGATACTTGTGGCCAACGTGAGGGGTCGCCGTCTGAGCGGGGCCATACGAGGGAGGGGTGGGATGGGGAGGTGGGCATTTGATTAGCACTGAGCCATAGAGCCCCAGAGTTCCGAGATGGTTGACGCAACCACATTCGTTCATAATTATTGTCCCTCCCCGTAAACAGCAGGGACAAGCATATGGGCGGCGGACGCCGCATAGTGGAAAATCGAAAAAGGCGTCAAGTCAGTGACCTCTCTTTCGCACTTTTAAGAAGCAGAATCACAATCTCGATACGGCAGTCCCCTCCCAGCCACCCGGAACTTCTCGCATCTAGCATAAATCGAAACAAGCAACAAGTATGATCGGGTTGAAGGGTGTCCTCAATGTGAGTTTCAAGCGACTAAATTCCCAATGATATGCTGACATGCTGCAAGGTCATTGACAACACTGGCGCCTTGACAGTCGAGTGCATCAACGTCCTCAAAGTCAAGACAAAACTCAAGTCCACCGGTTTCGCGACTGTCGGTAAGTATCACTGCTGGGTCGAGCGGGGCGCCATTGACTTGATTTGTTAGGCGACGAGATTGTCTGTGTAGTCAAGAAAGCCCGCCCTATCCCCACCAACGAAGTAGTCAAGAACCCCAATGCCTCCTCCAACATTCAGAAAATCCGCAAAGGTGACGTCCGTCGCGCCGTCGTCGTCCGCACCAAGAAGACTCTTCAAAGACCGGACGGCTCGGTGGTCAGATTCGATGACTCGGCGGCGGTGCTGCTGAACAACAAGGGAGACATGTTGGGCACGAGGATAGTCGGAGCTGTGGCTGGAGAGTTGAGGAAGATCAGGGGAGGTGCTGCGGGAGCTGGTGGGAGATGGGGCAAGATATTGATGTTGGCGCCCAAGGTGAGTCTGTGCCGTGTATAAGCTGAGGTCTTGTGCTAATGAAGTGATAGGTTGTGTAAATTGTACAAGATAGTATCCGCATCATTCTGCATCCGTTTATGACCACTCTGCTTCCACAACGTCCATCCAAACGGCCGAACCATTGAAAAAGTGCTCGAAACGCAAGATCTGGGAGTGCCTGATTTCGTCCTTCGCAGAGGCATATCCTCTATAATTGCTGGTATCGAGGGGTCCTGTGCTACCGACATGCTTGGGAAGATGCGCCGATGGCGGTTTGCCGTGGCGACAATCTCATTAGGCCTATTCGGCAACTGAATCCACCTTGCATGATTTCAACAATTGCTCGATGGATGGGCGATTTGGCGCTTGAGGTGAAGCTCGACGAGGCGCTGACTCTGGTCTGCTTTCATCACAGTGGTGGCCATGTAGGGTGCACATGGGAGACCTGGTCGATAATTGAGAAACGCTGCAAGTTGTGCATGGAAGTTTCAAGCAAGATAACTCATACTCTCTGCAGAGCTCCCATCCGCACTCGGCGGTTCCCAGAGAGCCGGATGTCGCTGATGAGCCTTCGAGATGTGGAAAGAAAACAATAAGAGAGTATATGCACTCAGAGATTTGGCAGGATGACCAAGCTGAGGGTGAAGATGATTACGCGAGATATCAACAACGGCCAGAGTAGATCTGCCACTGCGGGAGGTTGTAGCCGTAGAGGCAGCAGCCGGTGCATTGGCGACGGAAGGGGACGATAATGAGCCGCATTCAAGTGACTGAATAGAGTTTGAGGGTATATTGGGATTCGAGGGAAGAGATGACCCTAGGTTGGAAGTGGAAGAAGCTTGATGGGCCATTGAATGGGAGCTTCAAAGGCGCCGAATGTGGCGGGATGAGGACGGCCCTGTGTCTCAATGATAAGGTGCACCGTCATGTAGCACGGATAGAAGAGAAGGGATCAATTAATTGGAAATCAGGAGATGGCAACAAAACGAATGGAGAGCAAGCCAGGAGCAAGCTAAGAGACGCCCGAGCACGGTTGATCAGGCAGAATCAATAGGCTCTTGAGGCCGCCACCACCGCCGGTTGCACAAAAGTCACCACGATGCGAAATGATTGTGCTCTTGTATACATCTGGATTGTTATCTCTTGACTGAGAACATGCACATGCAATATTATAGAACCAGGAAGATGTTCAAGTGCCACTCTGAAAGAAACGCCGACAAGTTGTCAACATCCGCTATCAGTCAGGCACGGGCGGCACTCGCCGATGATAATGTTTGTTGAAGGAGCCAAACAAAAACTGTTGCTTTTTACCCATTCTTGAAGACTTTGGCGTGCATCCTCCGTTACCGGAGGAGCGGGCGCGTGCAACGCGTGGTATCTGGATGTGATAGATACTCGGCTATCGATGTGTGAAGTATGGGGAGGATCGGGTCTAGTGCAAGATATGTACTGTCAAGTCCACCTAGGGTGTTTCGGGGCGTTGACGCGTCGGGGTCGATAGGTTGTTCTTATCGCGCAATGCTCGCGAGCGGTGCCAAGTGCAACTATAACAATTGCTGCAATTTCTATGATACACAGTGCACCACAATCCTACAAGCTTTCAGAGCCCAGGAAGTCATATTACCACATACAGGAAGGAACCAACCCAAGGCTCTCGGGTGGCCGCTTCTGTGCTCCGGGCTTGACTTCTTTGGAAACCGCTCAGCAATCGAATGGCCTATGTCTCTCGCACCAGCTGTTCAGCCCATTTGACATCAAGCAGACATCCTGCAGATACGCATGTAGCAAAGGCTTATAGCTGGTTTTATACCGACAAGCACGATAAAAGTGGCGGAAAGAAGAAGGCATATAGGACGTGTAAAGATGACGAGCACCCTTCGATCATCCACACGCTTCTTTCTCCGGTATCGACTCATATAATTTCCCGTGTGCTTCTGGCTCTACAGACACCTTCGACATGACCTGGTATACAAGGATCACGAGATACGAATGCTATTCTCAAGGGGTATCCAATCGGGATTATGGGGCGAGCGCGATAATGCCGAGGCGTCGAGGCGAGGAGGTTTCCAGGCACGTGACCTGTTTTGTTTATATCAATTTCACCCCTTTTTTGCTATGCATATGACCGCCAGAGAAATTCATGAGGTAAATGTGCTTCTTCTCTGTAACCTCAATTTTCTAAAACGCCTGTATGTGGCTTGTGGCGAGAGCTATCGAATTTAGAAATGAATGGGGGTGTTTTTGGTGTTTTTTGAAACTGGCGCGGGGAATGGATATAAAGCTGGCTCGTCGCCCGCCTCTTCTTTTTCCCACCCACCTTCCATCTTGATCAAACTCGTGCCACGCCGCTCTCAAGGTATGTTCCCCTTTCTGGCATCTTTCACCCGAGCCATAGCACCCCTCCAGCCCCCCACGAGCTGCACAGAGCATACACTGACATCCCTCACTTCTGCCGCGTCTTTCGCCATCCCATCACCCGCAATGACAGCTCGCCACTACTCACCTCTTATCCAAACCAAACAACATCCAACCACAACAACAATGGCCGTCAAGAAGACCACTACCGTCGCTGCTTCCAAGAAGCCTGCTGCTCACCCCACTTTCCTCTCCATGATTCAGGTAAGTCGCTTCCGCGCTATGTTTTGTCTGGAGCAGCGCCCACCGAACAGGGACTGCGGGTGTGTTTTGCATCGTCGCTTCTCCGCTTTGACGCCTCCAAGCTTCATTAGATCTGCAGACAATTCTGCTGTTTATGATCCATGCGTGCTTTGCAAATCTCCAGCAGACTGCCTGCTTTGGTAACTCCATATCAAGCACGGTCAAAAGGAGCTTATCAGACATTCGTCAACCGCCGCGCGGGAGCCGTCCTTCGCTTCGCGTCGTTCTTCTTCTTTCCCTCTCTTGCTCGATGAGTAGCCTTCATCTTCTCATCAGCTCAATCTCGGCATCTTGTGCATATCCCATCCACGAGAATGGGATGCATGGATGTTGATCGGCACGTCGATCAACATTTCACTCAACGCCCCTGTTATTTCCTTTTCGGGAAGGTTCCGCGCCTTCAAAGGATAAAAGCCAACTGACACATTCTCTTTTGCAGGAGTGCATCACCAACAACAAGGAAGATGTCCGCAAGGGTGTCTCCAGGCCTGCCATCAAGAAGTAAGAACATGCATCCCTCTACAAGCCGCATCATGCTAACAAGTCTGACAGGTACCTTGCCGAAACTTTCAAGCTCGACATGAGCTCTGCGGCAAACATCAACAACCTCAACAGCGCGATCAAGCGAGGAGCTGAGAAGGGCGAGCTTATCCTCCCTTCCGGTACTGCTGGAAAGGTCAAGAACGCTCCCAAGGTAAGCCTCTTCTCGTACATCAGAATGCAATCTGACTTTTTAATAGCAGAAGAAGGCTTCCGACGACAAGGAGAATGTCGCCCCTACCACCAAGAAGGCTGCTCCCGCTAAGAAGGCTACCACTGTCACCAAGAGTGCCTCCAAGCCCGCTGTCAAGGCCGCCGCTCCCGCTGGCAAAAAGCCCGCTGCAAAGAAGGCGTCCACTACCACCAAGGCTGCTCCTAAGGCCGCCCCCAAGGCTGCTTCTACTACCAAAGCCGCCCCTAAGAAGACTGTGGCGAAGAAGGCTGAGAAACCTGCTGCCAAGAAGACTTCTGCGCCCAAGAAAGCCCCTGCTGGTATGTCCCACAGCCTCCTCTATATGTTGATTAGCTTACTAACATCCAATCACAGCCAAGGCCGCTGCTGGAGCGAAGAAGACCTCTGCGCCCAAGAAGGCCCCAGCTGGTGCGTTTGATCCTCTTCTTAATATAGACATACTGACGCCTCATTATAGCCAAGGCTGCCGCTGCCCCTAAGAAGGCCAAGAAGGTCGCCACTAAGGCTTAAGACTGCTGCTCGTCTCCCTTTCCCTCGAAGTGTTTGGGTATAATTGGCTTTTTATTGTACACTACAAGTTTCGATTGTCTATAGTACGCCTCTGAGCGGAAAACTTCGTTTTAGTCTTTCTTCATTCAACAACACGAGAATATGTGTATGTACTGTACTGTACTCTCTTGATCTCTATGCGCGGCAACACGTCACCAAAGTACATTATACATGTGGGCACGGCCTCCATCACACGAAGTTGATCACAGCCATTCAATCGTCTCAAGAGAGACTCCCATCCCCAATAATCCAAGCCCCAACAACAGAGTCCGGTCCACCCCTGCCCATGTCGGGATGGAGAACGACAGCTTTAAGAAAACGCTGTAGCCGGATTTGCCGATCTTCGAGAAACTTTGGGGAGAACTTGGCTGGAGAACTGGTCAGCTGTGCGCAGGCTGTGCGGCGGGCTACAAGTGGCGGACGTACTCATGTGCAGTTTACCCGGTAAAAGGGGTATGGCGCTTTGCAAATACTATACTCCCTCATTATGAATCGGTTCCATTTGAGTATGCTGATACTTACGGGATAACGCCTGACCAGAGCTGATCGTAATGACTCAAAGTGGCTATATCGTCTGAGAATGTTGATGCTGCCTCCCTGCTCCGGACAGTAGTCAGCCGTGCGTGTTATGACCACTGTAATTTACGCACATCCACAAGCTCCATATCGATGTCGTATACTGTTCTTGAACGTCATTCTCTATCGACGAGCCTGTAAGAGAAAGAGAGAGTCGACTTACCCACATACGCTCCGAGCTTCCCCACATCCGTCCAGCTTTTGCCTCCAACAACTTTCCAGCCTCCTATGACGACCTGTTTCCCGAACACTCTCCTCTCTTCATCTCCTATATATGTTGCAGTGTTCACCCTAATTACGCCTCGTGGGCTGCGGGCCCGGGTAGTGCTGAGACCGGCTTTACGGGCAAGGTCTTGGCTGTGCATCGAGAGGATGTCTCTCAGCCCCAATATAGGTCTCTGGGCAGCAGCATCATCGTCCAGGTGAGTGTTGTTCTGATCGAAAGATGCCTCTTCGTATGAGAGGGAGGAATGGGTCGAAGCTGCCGGCGAGGTGTCAGGGGGCTACCTTCCTTAGGCTATGCCTTCAGAGGTCGCCGAGGTGTAGAGACGAAATGGTCTGAGAACTCGAAGTGAGTGGCCAGACCAATGCCGAAGGAAGATAGCGTTTGTGCGAGAGTGTTGAGTGAGAGAGAGAGTGTGTACTAGAGAAGACAACAATAGTGGATCGACGGAGTATCTACTGCTATGGAGACACGTCCTTATATACCCTGGCACCTCAAGTCTGCTTACTCATCGTATCCTCCGTCGAATCCTCTAGAGTCAACTACATCGGCGAACCTGGTGGCGAAAGAATGTTCTCGAAAGTGGTGGAATGGGTTTGCTCTCTCTATCTCCGCGTATTTCCGTTATTGCCCGCAAAGGCTTAGCAAGCATAGAGCTCGAAGGCGGTGCTGGTGCAGCTCGGCCGTGGAGGTAGAACGGATGGATGTTATAGCCAGATGGTGGCAAGATGTGGGGTTGACGCGGACGTCGGAGGTGGAGGTTCGGGTGTTTGGTTCGTTACTTTGGTCAAGTGGCAACAGCCACGTGACACGAGGGGGGCAAGAGTACGAGAGAGGAGGAGGAGGCGAGTGGGAGGGAAGTCGGAGGAGGTGAATGGGGCATCTTGATACTTGTGTGTTCTAGCCTTTGGCATAGGCTGGAGAGTTTGGCTGGAATGTCATGTCTGCTAGTTGGCAGATATACAAAAAGGACACAAACAGAACACTGGTCTTTCGTCGGCAACGGCCGAAAGGCTATACGACAGGAGGTGCAAATTGGCTTATATTGATCAGGTATCCTTCGAAGGACGCCATGCACTGGGCACAGGTAGGCAGCAACATGGCAGTGGTCATCATGCCAGTGACCAAATAGCACATCTCGCATGCTGAGTCTCATTCCTAAGACTGAACACGGTTCTGTTCTTCGGAAGGTCGCTGTACTACTGTACTCGTACGTCTCTCACTTGCGCTCACGTGTATCTTGCTGAGGTAGTAGAGGGCAGGTCGAAGCATCTCTCAAGAAGCTTCGAACGCATTACATTGATCTTCTGTATGTCTACTGGTGGGACTATTCTGCGTCCATTCCGGAGGTGATGCTTTCATTGAAAGACCTTGTAAAGAGCGGAAAGGTCCTGTATCTTGGCATATCAGATACACCGGGTTTGTACTCACTTCACTTGCCAGGTTGTCAGCTTACCCGGGTATAGCTTGGATCGTAGCTCAAGCAAACGAGTATGCCAGGCAGAATGCCCTCACTCCTTTCGCAATCTATCAAGGGAACTGGAATGTGGGTAAACGTGATATGGAGAGAGATATCATCCCCATGTGCCGAGCCAACGGGATGAGTGTCGGTGAGTTGTTCTGTTATGAGCTTGATACTGTCGGGTAATATTGATACCAAGCTCAGCAGCATGGGGCTTCTTGGGTCAGGGCAAGTTCAAATCTCCAGACGAGTTGAAGGATCAAACCTATTGGAGAGACGGTGTGCCCCCGACTGAGGCCGAGCTCGCGGTCTCGCAGGTTCTCCAGGAAGCAGCGGACGAGCTTGGAGAAGGCATCAGACCAGCAAATGATATGTTGAATACACCGGACAAGTGGCAGGGTGCTGATGGTCTGGATGTTAGTGGCCATGGCTTGGGCGAGACATGTTGTAGCAGACATCTTTCCCATCGTCGGTATCAGTAAACCCGAGTAACTCCAATCCAACATCGAGGCAAGTGCACCAGATGGTTCTAAACCACATGTACTCATACTTTTCATAGGCTCTCAAGATAGTCTTGACCGAAACCCAAATTCAAAAGCTCAACAACGCTACACCATCTGCTTGGGGCTTCCCATTCGACCTGTTCGGACGAGATCCGCATTATCTGCCGGGCGGCAAGCCAGAAAGCTATGGTATGAAGTCTGTGAGTTGGAATCTGTGTAGCCTCGCTTTGTCCCTGCTGATCACCATGTGAAATTTACGAAAATGCCTTGAGATGATGCGATGACGCAGAGCCTGCGTGGTAGATGTGTCACGCACAAGTACGTGTGAGTTGTTACATGTAATAGGCGTTGGGCATACGAAGAGAAGGACTACCGGCATGTTGCAACTCCTTTACAAAGTACGAATGGGGTATCCATCCCGCATTCGCAAGCTCCATTGCGAGCCCCGCCCCCGCCTGCGACTCAACATGACGAAAGAGAAAGGTCTAGATTCAGTCGATTCGGGGTCCCTTCTGTTTCCCTCAATCTTCTTCGAAGCCTGTTTGACGGGCTCCAACAGGGTCGCACGCGAGCCGTAAATTGTCACCGCCCAGCAACAAAGAACCCTCCCCGCCCTGTCCCTCTCAAAGCTATGAGATTTCTTCGAAAGGGAAGGGTCTGGGACGAGCTCATTGTCTACTGCCACGACGACTCTTGCCCTTCATAGATGACTTCCAGGACCATATGGGGGACTGCTAGGCCTCGGCGAGGTTGGAGTAGGGGCACAAAGGTGCATTGGAGTGATACAGGAAGAGACGAAAGGAAAAGACATCGCGACCCGGGTCAATAGAACGACTGACCCGCCGTGGTGCGCTCCACGAGCAAGCTTGATCTTCTGCTGCACACCGATCGTCGTGGACATGCACCAGTACTCCTGCATAACGATACATACTCCATAGGGATGGGCACGAGAATGAAAATTGTGCATGCATTCGAAGCGTGACAAGAATATCTGCGGCGGGAGTCGGTTTAATAATTAAAGTAAGTGGTGTCGGAGTAACTCATCTTCCATTCCATCGATCGACCCTTTCCCCGACTTTCCATCTTTCAATTCGCATTTCCATCCTCAAGTCTCCAACATCCCGCCCCCAACGCCGGCCTCATCGCACGCGCCTGCCTCCCAGCTACATCCACATACTTTCAGCCCCCGCCCACTCCCACTCCTTCACGGGCGCGGATAAAATCTCTCGCCCCTCTCCTTGCCACTCGCCTCGCAGCCCACAGCGCATCCTCACTGGTAGTCTGTGATGGCAGAGCGGACGTCAGGCAGTGGCGACGGAGTGAGCCAAGCGAGCCCGAAGTGTGAGTCTCCGTGGTCTCGTCGACTCTTGTTGACCCACGCTGACTGTCCCCTATTAGCGTCACTGGGCTCGGATGACTATGCTTCGCAACTCTCGCCACCCCCTCCGCCACCCGACTTCAATCCGCCAGTAGAGTTTCCATATGACTCCCCCGCAGAGACCATCGCTTCACCTCCGGTTCCCGGCGGTAGCCCTTCTCGGTTTAATTCGGGCTCGAGCAGCGGTACTGCAACCGGCTCCTTCTTTCTTCCCAATATCGAATACTCTCCCCTCCGCCCAACATCCCCATCAATAAGACGGATATCCAGCGAGAGCGTCCCTACACCGGGCTCTGGAACAAGCTCCCTCTCGTCAACAGAAGGGGGCGACCATTTGCAGGAGATGCGCGAGCGGCTGGTATCAGAGGCTTCGACCGTAACAACACCGTCTTTTAGTCGGAGTCGCGCTGGGTCAGCATCCATTCCGGAGCCTGGAATGGCTACAAGACAGAGCTCCTCAAACACTGATCCGGGGGTAGCCAATGAGTCGGTGTTTGATGAAAGTGCCGAGGACAGTTATGAAGGGGATCAGGAGCGGCCGACGCAGCGGCGGCTGAGCTCTGGAGTGCTTGCGCGATTGGAAGAAGATGCAGAGATGCCCGCTGAGCATGCCTGGGATAGTGTGGTGAGTTGTAAGAGCTTGAGGTATGTCTGTACATCGCTCATCCTCTTCAGTGGCCGGCAGCAGTCGTTGTACGCCACCGCAGTAGCACCTTGGCGCCCTCCTCCGATGCTGGTCCTTCACGCTTCCCAACCGCTCCGGTTTCGCCCTTTGTCACTCCATCGTTCTCTCCCTCCGTCGTATCAAACAGTACAGTGTCAAGCGCCGGCCGACGGCCCTCCTCCCCAAGTCACGATGCGTATCATCGCAGTTCACAAGATAACACAACGTCCCCTACGAGAATCATGAGTGGACAAAGTTCAGGCGGTTCCTCACGGTGGTCGCCGAGAGTGAATGAGGGTCTCGTTTCGCCTACGTTCGGAGAATCTGGGGAGGAGCTAAAGGGTGACCGTCGGAGAAGACGATCAATATCAAGTGGGGAGGCGGCGCCTTTGCACGCGCCAAGTCCATCGACTGGGCCCGTACCTATTGCCTCATCGTCAACGAGCAAACATGGGAGGTCTCTATCGACCTCGTCGTCAAATACACCCTCTGCGTCAGGATCTACCACCCCTCAAACCGCAGCTTCACAAAGTTTTGCTTCTTCGACACTTGCAGCTCCTGCAAACAAGGGTCGAACAAGAGGTCACTCTCTTTCCTCGGTACGCAATGCGTCCAGCCTCAGTCTCCCTGTCGAATCGCAAGCTCGCGCACCTTCCCCTCTCGCCCACCTCGCACATTCATCGCATCCCTTGCATTTCAACCTTTCCCCTAGACCGTCACCGCGAAGCAGCCCGAGAAGCAGCCCGAGAGTGGCCCCGATGGGGTCCCCGCCTATTGAACGGCCAAAAATGAACGACAGACTTGGGAGTGGTCAAGAATCATCTTCCCTTCCGCCCATCGCCCTGCCGCCATCCATCGCACCTCATATCCCGCCTATCGATCAATCTGTCCACGCGTCTCCCGTCCACCCTCGCTCTCCCTCACCTCCCTTATTCCTTCCCCTCGCCCGTCCTGCCGTCCTGCGGCGTGCTATCAGCGATTTTGACGATGGCAATAAGCTCCGACGAGGTGCCGGTACGCTAGGCGGAAGCGGTCCGCCTGTTTTGCAGCGTGCTTTGAGCGATACCACCGAAGGCGAGACCGAAAAGGTCAGGCGCCTGACATCGGAGTCACTGTCCCCAGGGATGGGCACATTGCCTCTGCCTGCAGCTGGTGGCTCGACGTCGTTAAGGAAAGAACCTGAGGGGCTGGCACAAAAGCGGAAGTCGCCTCGGCGGTCACCCACGGTGCTGCCTATGCTTCAGGTACCGCAAGGGAATGAAGGGTTCGAGAGCGTCGTGGAGAGTCCCATCACGATGAATTTGCAAGAGAGGGCAGAGCTGGAGAGAAGGAAGGATCAAGAAGGAAAGGAAAAGCTGGAGCAAGCAATAGGAGAGGGAACAATCGAGGAGCATCCAGAGCAAGAACAGGAAGAGGAGATCTACGCCCAAGAGAAGAACCCCTTCGATCAATGGCCTGGCGAACCAGTGGAACCAGACCATGTTGGCGATGTCTCCTTGATGGATGAAGGAGATGTCCTTCCCTCAGCGGACGACATACCACAAATGGACGTTACATTCGACGACGAAGGCCTCAATACGCTTGAGCGTATCTTCCTCTTGTCAAAGTCTGAATACTCCTTCCACCGCGCTTATGTGGCACGCGTGCTCGGGGATCTGCTGAACGAGGTTGACCCCTGTGAGAGCGTCGAGTATGTTCTGCCCTTGTTGAGTGGGTTCTCGATGGACGAAGATTTGAGTGTGAGGATGGCTTTCGCAGAGGAGCTGCATCGAATCCTGTGGTATTTCTATTCCACATGCCGCCTGGTTGAGGAAGAAGTCGATGCGGAAGGCTATGGACAGGAAGCCGATCACGCGGAAGAGGATTGGGCCGCAGGGTACGAAAGCGCATCTTCTGTCAAACCTTACCCTGCATCAGCAGCCTCACCTCAACCCGTCTCTGCGTCTGCCTCGCCGCCTCGCAAAGAAACAGTCACGGTCACCTCTGAGGGTGTATCTGTCGTCCCCACGCCGACCCCTGCCGAAGCCGCTGAAGAGGCTGTCGTTGTTGAGCCTAAACCCCCCAGTCGACAAGCGTCGGGCTCGATTCCAGCCAATGCCAGTGCTGGGCCCTCCAGCCAAGGCTCAGATAAACAGCCTCAGGCCGGCAATTCAGCCACCCCCTCTCCAAGTGAGGAAGAATTCGGCACACCTGGATCCACATTGTCTGAAGAGACGGCCTATAGCCCAGGGCCCATAATCAAGCCTTATGCGGATGATGGCTCAGGCGTGAGCAAAAATGAGCTGGGTGTGCTGGTCGATCGACCTGCTCTCCAGGTCGGCTTTTTCACGCCTCTTATAGGGTCTCTACTACTATCAGCTGATCCAGCCGATAAAGATTTCGAGATCCCCACGGCTGTTCGCTCTGGAGTTGTTGCGCTTCTCTCGAGGCTGAAGGGGAGGGGCGAGCAGGGCGGTGATCTAGCAGTGGAAACGTGGGGCCAGGCGGCTTTAGCCAAGGAAGCCGACGAACGTCGGACGTTTCAAACTCAGACTGGGCCTCATCAACACGATCTCCGACCTTTCACTCGAGAAGATAGGGAGATGGTTGAGAGAGAACTGCTCAGCGGTATCATCATTGGCATGGGCCAACTTTCGACTGAAATGCCTGCAGACTTCGACTTTACCCAGTCTTCTGAAGGAGACTTGAATCCACCCGACCCTGAAGCATTCCAAGCGCAGCTTTTACATGAAGCCACCACTGGCCGAGCCACCAGTGTCAATCTTATCGGCCAAGTGTGCGAGTTCTATGAGGAGGCGGAGGTGGTCGGGCATCAGTTCGTTGACGAGGTGCTCAGGAGCTGGGATGGGGATGCTACTGTGAGAGCAGAAGCCGCAGAGGCGATGAGTTTTCTGGTCAAGAAGGTGCCGGCTGAGCAGGTTTCTCAAATGGTGAGGACCATTCTGCTATTGGATGTGACGACAGCTGATCATCGTAGATACCACTCTTTGAGCATTTCTGCGGAGACGAGAATGATTACGTCAGACAATCCGTTTGCCGTGCTATCCCACCTCTGTGCAAGCGTATCGAATCCATGGACGACCGCCGCTCGTTTGCAGTGAAAGCCATGGAGACCTTGACCAACACTAGAGTCGCGCCTGACTCGTACTTTGCTCCTGGCTCTAGCGGCCAAGATGACTATGTACGAGTGGCTGCCCTAGAGATGCTGGGCGAAGTCATTTACATTTTCCACGAGGACTCTAGGGGACCGCCGAAGGCATTGTTGGACATCTACAGGGATGATTCGGAGGTTGGACAAGATGACCATGAAGCGGAGTGGGACCTTATAACCATGTTTAATGTGAGCTTCGCCCTTTGTGTATTCAAATTATTACTGACATGCCCAGTTCCCGGGCGTCTGTCTGACTCTTGGTTCCGACGGATGGCACGAGATAAGAGAGCTCTTCCACCGGTTGGTCGATCGCGCGGGAGACAGAGTCTTGCGTATTGTGGCAGCATTCCTGCACGAGCTTGCCAAGATCCTCACCCCTGCCCAGGTCGTTCAAGACATTCTACCAGTTTACACCGTGCTTCTTGTTTGTGGAGAAGATATCCGCGAGCGGGTATTCGACCACGTTGAGATCATTGTTGATGCGGTCCCAATCGAGTATGGCTGGGAATTATTCCGAAATCTGGCTCAGGCTTGGAAAGATGGTACTTTGGGTGGATGGCGAGCCAGGGAGAAGCTAGCTCTCCATATCCCTAGTTTCCTGAAGACTTTCCAATACTGGAATGGGGTTAGCGAAGTGCTGGAAATGATGAGAAGCGCATTTGTGGATCCGTTCGCTGCGGTTAGGGATGCCGCAATACTTGGTGTTAGTCATTGATTATCTACAACTATCGAGAGTTTTCTGCTAACACTTCACAAATATAGATTCCTGCAGCGTACCAAGTTCTCAATGTCGAGGTCCACTCGCAATCGGCCGAGAACTTCCGTCAGATCTTGCTGGATCTGTGGTCTTCTCCCTCTTTCAGACAACGTCTGACGTTTGTCCGTTGCCTCAGACAATTCTGTAAACCCCCACCTAATCAAGCCGCCTTTGAAGAGTTCTTCCTCCCACAGCTTCCTCGTTTGGCCAAAGATGTCGTCGATGTGCGTCTTGGTCTTGCCCAAGGCATCGCCGATCTATTCATCGTTGGAGCGTACTACGAGCTAGGTTCCGAAATACCCGATATCATCAAACAGTTGGCCAAGGATCTGTCAATGGATGAGTCTGCGGACGTGAGGAATGCTGTGATGGAGGTTGAGGTGGAAAGGCTTGAGAAAGGCAAAGGTCCCGAGGTGCTACACCCCACCGATAAACCTGAGAACCATGTGGTCGATCGAGCATCGAGGCCGGGCGATCACGTATCGCCAACGGCCTCTTACAACAACTCCATTTCTGACTCGAAGAGCCCTGGGTCGCGGATGGCGCCAGTCTCTGCTACAGCGACTCCAGACCCTAGGACCGATTCGCCCCCCATGTCAGCCAGACAAGGGCCTACCATCAATATTCGCCGTCCTACGGAAGATCTCTCGGCCTCCAAGTCGAGCCAATCTTCTCTCTCGTCGTCATACTCGATGAGTAGCAGCGCGGATACCATGTGGTCCATGCCGGAAGATTCAAACGAGGAGACGCCGCGTCTCTCGCAGTACGAGTGGCCGGCGCGCTCTCCAAAGTCCAAAGACGAGGACGAATCTAGTTATGGTGGGGTGAGAGTGAGGAAGGAGAATGATCCATTTGAGGCATCGTTTAGCCAGGAGCCTGATGATTTGTAAGAAGAATAGAGAGACGGAGGTCATCTATTATTGGGGCTCCGCCCACATACTTGTATCGTTAATTATCAGCTATATTTCTTATCTCTCATTTTTATCTCATTACCTTTTCTCTATCCTTCCAGGCATATCCGTAGAAAAGCATCACTGCACCATTGAGTTTGGGTATCGCACCCTTGTCTTCTGCATCTTTTACATTATATATCTGGACTATATTTCATGACGCAACGATGGAATTTTTTCTCTCGTGAAGCTGTCGGCCTTGACAATCTGTAGCTTCTGTGGTGCATGCAGATCTGGACTTAGCCAGAAACATGGGCTTGGAGTACAAATAGCAAAGTAAGTACAGATACCGCAACAACTTGGGGGACGGATTGAGTTTTGAGACTAGAGCGCCAAGCCCTCAGCAAATCAGGTTATCAGATCTGAAGCCTCTATCCAGTGGTTTCCTCTGACACCTCGCCCCACACTGCTCTGGTCGATGGTCCCCACCTTCTCCGATAGAACGTCACAGGCATCTCAGCCTCCTCCTTATCTGCCATATCAACACTTCCAACGAAATCGTATCCCATGGCGCGCTGAGTAATGATCTTCATGATGGTCAAGTGGATGACTCGGGATGAGATGAGCCCTTGAGTAGAGTGCGCCGACCCTAGAGACAACTATGGTCAGCTAATGAAGGTCTCTACTTGAGTTGCCAGACTTACAGGGAGCTCCGCGCAGCCTCAACTCCCTGCAATGTCTTTCTCTCACCCTTGCGTCTCGGACGCCGTCCATCCACCAGCTCTTGATGCCCTCCTCCACGGCTTGACCCACTTCCGCCTCTGCATCGATAATCCAGATCCTGTCATGAGAGTAGAACGCTACCGCAAAGAATACAGGTTCTGGGTCCGGGGGCGCCGACGAGCGCAAAAAGACGAGACTGTCTTTGCCCGAGTCTTTGGCAGAGGTACGGAAGGAGGAGGTGAGGCTGTAGCCTTGGCGAGCAAACTCTGTGAGCAGGTTGAGGATAATCCGTTTCGAGCTGATGATTGGTCAGCGAGTTGATTCAATGGGAGCGAGTTGAGGTTGCGCCCGCGGGATGGGGCGGACTTACGAGACCTGCTCCGAGCTCGTGGGCATCCAAGCCTCTCCCCTAAACGTCACCTCCCAGACCCCACCCTCGCATCCCTTCTCCTTGTGCCTCCTCATCAACTCCGGTTGATAGTCTACCTCTTGGATCTTGCTGACACCTCGCTTCCAGGCCCGATTCACCGCATCTAGGACAATGGTCCGCAGTAGTGGCGGTAAAGCGACGAAGGAGAGTGTGGATACTGATGAGAGTGTCATCATGAAGAATGGAAAGCCTTTGCCCTGCGTATCGGGTAGCGGGCAGAACTGGGATAAGGAAGAAACTGAGGTGGCGGCAGTGGAGGGAGACGAGGGTTCCGTAGAGTCCTCCCTCCGAGGGTGTTCATCTCGGTCGGTGTCTCCGTCAAGAGAGAACATGGTCTCGATAGTGTTGGTTCTGTTGAAGGTCAACGATCCCATGCGCTTGTGCAAGCTTGCCAGCGCTGATCCGCCTGAGGACCCGTTTCCAGAAGCGCTGTCGCTCCCGTTCACAGACGGGGCGCCGTTTCTGAGAATCCCATGCAGTTGCGAGCCAGACTGGGAAGACTCCCTACGGCTTTGCTCCATGAAGCTCACTGGCCTCGGCGAGCGAGAGGCGAGGACGGGGGAGCCAGCACTCTGCAAGGAGGCTGATGGGGATGTGCCCGGCAAAGGCTGAGAGTCGTCTGAGGAGGAGCGGGTGTTGTTGATGAAGGGGCTTTCTGTGCCGGAGTGGCTGCGCCTGTGGATGATCTTGGGGAGATGGAGGGGCATGGTGGCGTGGAGAAAGAAGGAATTGAATTGAAAGAGGAGATGGAAATTGATTCAAAACGAGGCCGACTTGTAAACACGGGTTACGGAACTACCAGAAGCGTGCCTTAGCCTTATTACCTGGCCATTCTCGTCAGCCACTTCTGCATCCCTCCAACAGCAAGCTCCACGCCGGGCATGCATACTTCGATACTGTATCTGCGTTACATGTCAGGGAATGCATCTATCAAAGAATTGTGGATTCGTAAGGAACAGTCAACGGTAGAAGCGGTGAGAAGCGATTCACCCTCACCACCCCTTGCCTACCGCGAAAAGGGGCCGCAACAACAGTCGATAGAAGGCCTGATGCATCTGGACAGATACATTCACATACCGATGTCTCTCCAGTCTGGTATCAGCTACCCGGAAGGGAGGGTTAGCCAGCAGCTGATAGCGACAAGTAGAGTATGTCGCTCCTGTGTCCACTGTCGGTCGGTCACCAAATCTCCTTGCATGCACCCCAACGTGACACTCTGCGCCGCTTCGGTGATTGTGAAGAAGAAGAAAGGACTGCTGAAGGGAAGTCGCCCTGCCTGGGTGTGGATGTCGCACTACTGTCAATTATGCATGTAAGGGAGTGACAGTCCTTGACCAGATGCACCTCGTCAGAATCAAAATAGCCCGGTACATACCAAAGGCAACTATATGTCGACAATCACCGAAGTGGAGCAAGGCCTCGTGGAGAGGATCAACCCAGAAGAAATTCCGGGCATCTTTCAAGAGATCACCATCAATGCGGACGTTGTCAAGACTGACAAAACTCAACTCAGCTACCACACCCAAAGCTTCCAGCCGTTACTGGACGAGCCAGAGACTGACGGTTATGACTTTATGAGAGGGTCCATAGCCGGAAGTCGTATGTTCAACGACAATCGGAGAGTCAGACTCGTCCTGGAAGACCCTATGCCGCCCATGTCGTCGGTCAATGGTCAGTTCCCAGTATATGAAGAGAGGAATGGCACGTCTGTGATCGATTTCGAGCTACCTACTTTAGGGGAGGACAGTGAGCAAGACGATTATCCCTACACTCTTCAGTCCGATATCGTTCTTGCTCTTCCTCACGAAAAGTATACCATTCCCACAGATGTGACATGTTTCTACAGTCAGCTCACCCCATCCGAACGCGCCGCGAGAGAGGAAGCTCAACAAGGGTCATGGATCAAAGCTGTCGAGACCTATTACGTCTCCCGGGAGAAGCTTGAAGTCTTGTCAGATATGCCAGTACTCAAGCCTCTTTTGGATGATATTGACGGGTTGGCGCTCGAAGGCTTGGCGTCGGGAGCCCTCGTTATAGCCGACGGTCATAGGTCGAACGACTATGGTATCGAGCAGGAGAACGGTCGATTCCAAATCTCGGACGATATCACCTTGACCCGCGTCGATGAAGACGGCCTGCGCCAAGTCCATACCACCCGAGCGACGTACACTCCTTACCAAGACTCAGTCACAAGACCCGACGCAAGCGACGACTTTCACCATGTGACATGTGCGACCAGTGGACCAGATACAATCTCTCGGCTGACGATGCTCGTGCCGCAGAGAGTATCGCTGGATGCGACGTTGGCTGAGGGAGCGCGAGAGCGAAGGAGGCGGTTGGAGGAGGATGTTGCTGGTGGGAGTTGCGCTGCGGATCTGCGTGGAGCTTGGTAATGATAGAATTTCCGTTCATGGAAGAAGAGTGTGGAAGGTTAGATGTAGACAGGTTCATCGATAGTCTTGCAATCTGTGCATGGCGTTACAAATATCTGCAGAACCGGTCAGTTGTATTCTTTCGAGTAGGACAGTCGTAAGACGAACCATCAAGCAGCCTCATCCCAGCCCTTGGGCTTTTCCACATTTCCCCAATCCACCATATTCAAGAACCGCTCCATCTGATCCACCACTTCTCCTTCTTCATCCCCCGCCTTCTTGTCCTCGACCTTCTCAGCTGTTGCGACCTTGATCCTCTTGTCAATCTGATTGTGGAAAATGGCGTGAAGGAAGTGGCGGCAATGAGGCGAGCGTGAATCGGCAAGAAAAGTACATATGATCAGCCTTCCATCCCTTCATTTAGTATGGCCTGAACCTCGCGCCAGGTCCTCCGCCACTATGGAAATCGCTCCTCACCCTCCCAGTTTCATCCTGTCCCTCCTCGTCTGCATCATCCCACTGCCCGTCCTCGCCCTCGCCGTCAGAGTCATCGGCGCCAAAGCCGAAAAAGTTGGAAGGCTCGCCGTTGGGGAGGAGGGATGCGTGGAGAGCTGAGCATTGGGAGAGGGCTGCGAAGAGGGATTCAACTATCGTTGTTGGATGAGCAGATGTCTAGAGGTAAAGCGCAGTGACATACGCTTGGAAGCATCCGGCAGATATATTCTGACTTCCCTCATCTCCGTAAACTCTTCCTCGCCTTCCACTTCTTCATCCTCATCTTCATCCTCTGCTTCCCCGTTGACAGCCCCATTTCCATTGACAGGAGCATCCACCTGAATGGCGTCGCTCCCGGGAGCGTCTGACTCGTCTACTTGGCAATACAAGTGCGCAGGTCCGTTGGCACTTGCTGGAGTCAGGGCGTGGAGGGTGAGGTAGACGTAAGGGAGGTTGAAGCCTGGGGTAGCAGAGGCAGAGGGGATGAATGCGACAGACCTGCAGACACTGTCAGATTGCTTCTGCCCATCAATCGAGACTGCGGCACTCACTCTTCAGTCACATAAAGCCTTCCTCCAGCCTTTGTACCCTGTGACCCCCACGCCTCCCATCCACCGCTCAAAGAAGAAAGCTCGACCTCGGCATCGTCCTCCCACCTGAGCACTGGGGGTATGTCGGTGAAGCTGGCAGGGGTGGAGGAGGTGAGCTGGGCGTGCTGTTCCGGGGAGATGGACTGGGGGGGAGTGGATGTTTGTGTGAGCATTTTGGGCAAGATGTATATAGGGAGCAGGAATGGATGGAAATGTCAGAGATGAATAGAAATGCCTCCACTTCCTCGCCTCCACTCTTCTCTGCATTTCCATCTCGCACAACTATATTTTCATTCTACTATACTATCCCCAGCATGTCGCTCCTCGCCAGGACAATCAGACCCACAAGAACTATATCAGCCATCCCCAGGCGATACTTGACCACCACCACCCCCCTCTTCAACACCAACTCCACCACCTCTACCGAAGAATCATCCAAATCCGATCAGCCCAAGATCCAAACATGGTTCCTCCAAAACAAGACCCCCTCCCCCTCCCAAAAGACTACCAACCAAATCCCCATCCACCCTCTACCCCCTACAGCCCCAGCAGCCGTCCAAGCATTCCACGCTTTCCTCACGGAACAAGCTCCTTCGGAAGCCTCTGAGGTCATCTTGCCAGAGACATTGCAGTTCTTTGATACCCGCGAAGCTGTCGCCGCTCTTGAAGCTGCCGAGCTCCCCATAGGCCTCGAAGTTGACGGCCTCGAAGACGGGCTCGGCGACGTCGGGGGCGCTGTCAAACTGAGCGGTATCGCCGGCACCCCCACCGCCCCAGGCGCCCTCGACCTCGAGCCAGCCCCCGCATCTTCCTTCCCCCGCGAAACGAGGTGCCCGAGCGGGTCGAAGAATAGGGAAGCATACTTTAGGAAGAAGGGGAGTGATGTCGGGCTACCAGAGGATGGAGACTTGATTGATGCGGAGGAGGGGTCGGGGCCGGCGTGGGAGTGGGTTGGGGTTGTGCAGGTCAAGGGGCGGGGACGGGGGGTGGTCAGGAGGGCTGATGGGGTTGTGAGGCGATGGGTTTGTTCTTCCTTCCTTTTTGCTCAGGATCCGACAGCTGACGTTTGCATAGTTGATGAAGCACCCTCTGGCGTCGCATGTGGAGCCGATAACTATCGAGAACCCAAAGACGCCCCGTATAGACCCGGATGCGGATTGGAGTATCATCTCTGTCAAGGGAACTAGAATATGTTTGAACCTGTTGACAGAGGCGGGAAGGGAGAAGTGGAGGCTGGAGGATCTTTGGGGTATCAAGCCTTGAAGCAGCAACTGGAAAATCAAGGAGCATCACTATTCACATGTAGCGTAGTAGACGCATCGCAAAGCATCATTTTGAATGTAAATTGCATGAATGCTTGTGTTCTGCTTGTTGTGAGATCTATTTCTTGCCTTCGTCAAATTATATACAGCCTTTGGCTTGACCTTACACTCCCCACTCCTAACACCCATTCGTCTGCCCTTCTTTTCCCTTTCCTTCTTCCAACTCTTAGCTTACAAACAAGTGTAACCACCGTCGATGACCATGTCGGTACCAGTGGTGTACTTGGAGCTGTCGGAAGCAAGGTAGATGACGGCACCCTTCAGGTCGGAGGGGTCAGCCATGCGGCCAACGGGGATACGGTGGAGCCATTCGTCTCGGAGGACGGGGTTGGCGTCGAGGATGACCTTGGTCAAGTTGGTGAGGACGTAACCGGGGGAGAGAGAGTTGACTCTGCGCGAAAAGAGTCAGCGTGATAAATTGAGAAGGGATGGGAGACGTACCGGATACCCTTGAGGGCCCACTCGACAGCGAGGGATCGGGCCATGTGCTGCACAGCGGCCTTGGAGAAGTTGTAAGGAGTCTGAGGCTGGGGGACGTTGACAATCTAAAATAGTCTCGTCAGTCCTAATTCCAAATGCTACACTAAACGCTACTCACGCTACCAGACATAGAGCCAACAAGGGTGATGGAACCACCGTCGGGCATCAACTTGGCGGCCTCCAAAGCGCAGTACCAAGTACCCATCACGTTGATGTCCAAAAGCTTCTTGATCTTTTCGGTGGGGTACTCGTGGGCGACGAAGTTCTCGACAATACCAGCGGCAGTGACGACAGCATCGAGGCGGCCGAATCGCTCCTTGACAGCGGCAAAAACCCTCTTGACGTCGTTTTCGTTGGAGACATCGCAGCCGAGACCGATGGATTCAATCTCGTTGGGCTTGGCCTGGCCGTTCTCGACTGTGAACGGACGTCAGCGGGAGATCCTTATCATGCGGGGCATGGGCAGAGTGACGTAGACGAGGCAAGACTTACCGAACCACGCTTCAAGCTCCTTGGCAGAGCGTTGGGCCTCGGCCTCATTAATGTCGACGAGAACGATAGCATTGGCGCCACTATGATGAAATGGTTAGCCGAAGCTCATAGCATATCGTTTCGCAGGGCACAGTCCAAGATACCCTGCTTGCAAGGCAGAGCGAAACCCGCGGCAATCTCTCGAAAAATAGACGTCAAGGATAGTGACCAAGCATATCGTTTCGATGATGTAATCCCGAAGCGCAGCCTCCGACGGATTACGGCATTCCCCGCCCGAAAACGTGCACCTGTCCACCACCCCGCACCACACTGAGAAACAGCCAGTGGGAGAGACGTCACTCACGATTCGACAAAGGTCCTGGCCATCATGTTGCCGAGACCACGGGCGGCACCAGTGACGAGGCAGACCTTGCCCTCCATGGAGAAGGAGGCGAGGGTACGCTTGGTGTGACGCCCATAGTCACCCTGCTGCATGTCGTGGCCGGGGTGCTTGTCGACGAATTGCTGTACATGAGTGTCAGCAGAGAGTCAGGTGATGAGTTGGAAGTCAGGAGGGATGGGCAGGAGGGTTGCCGGGCGACAAAGGAGGTCGACGTGGCAGTCAGGTGGATCCGGAAAGGACAGTGTGGGAGATGAAGGTGGACTCACGTCGGGGTGCTCGAAGGTGAAGGATTCGTCGACATGGGCGATCCTGGGCTCGACCTTCTCTCTGTGCTCCTCGTAGCCGTCGTCTCCAGGCTTCTGGTTCATGACAAGGGCGGACCTGGAGAAGGCGCGGAGGGGGGTGGCTGTGGCAGCGAAGGCGGTGCGCCTGGGGGCGGCGGTCCTTGCGAGGTTGAGGGAGGAACGGAGGAAGGACATGGTGGGATTGTAGAGATGCAGATGGAAGATGGAGATGGAAATGGGCGAAGATGAATATTTTGTCGCTGTGATTCATTCATTCGGCCCCACACACGTCAATCAGCCGATCAGCCGACCCGAGTCCCGACGCGCCTTCCCACAATGCACGCCTTTGTTTGGCCTTTGTCCTCGCCTTTCTCGGCCAACTGAACACTTATAGGGCTAAAGCTAATGCCCACTAAGTGGCTCATAGCATGGAGGCTAGACCTCATAGGGCCATCAGGCAGCGCATGGGGATGTTGATGTACGGTGGCTTGCGAGGCTTGAGCCAAATGCCCATCTCGCCATCAGGACCAGGTGACCAGTGACCGCGACCTCTCAGAGCACATCCCGGCCATCGCTATGGTCAGTCATGGGACATACCATCTTCCAGCTTCCTATTATAAGTGATCGAAGAGAACAGCATGCAGCAGAGCTTCTTCTGGATCCGCGCGGTGTAAGCAAGAGAATACTGTTCCGTCCCGTACCTTTCAATCTCCTCGCTTCTTCTCGGTCTTCTTGTGTACGTTCTTTGCCAAGACTTGTGGATTCCGAGATTTGAATCAGAAGAGTACGTCGCTTGTCTTTGTGCCATGAACAAATGCAGCAGATGGTAAAGAGTGAAGTAGAGTGTGCATCTCAGCATCTATTATAGCAAAGACCCCAAGTGGCCGGATGAGAAAGAAAAAGGCAGCTGCGCCATGACCCAATACAGAAGCCTAGAAAATACAAGTCGGGAAAAGTCCCAGTTAAGACCCCAATCATAGAAGAACGACAGTACATAACCTAAGCCATGAGAACGGGCTTGGGACCGAGGACCCTCTCGTTCTCCCTTCGCTCCTCCTCCCTCTGGTGCTTGTTCCTCTTGAGCCTCTTTGCGATGCTAGCACCAGTCTTGGCAATAGTCTCGATAAGAGTCTCCTTCTTCTCGTGTTCGACGAGCTTGGTGGTGGTACCGATGTTCTTGCCAGCAAGGAGAACGTAAGGGCCCTCCTGTTTGCCGAGAACGTGCTCAAGAGTAGAAGAGAGGACGGAAGAGTCGGTGCGTTGGTCAATGTCGACGTAGAAGGGGGAGGGCTTGACGTTGTACTTTTTGAAAAGAGCTCGAGCCTCGCGCATCTTGGGGTCTCGCATGTTGCCGAGGACCATGATGGGGTAGTCTTCCCACTGGGAGCGGACGAGTTCGGCGAGTTCGGCTTTGGCGTTACGAGATCGGGGGTTGAAGGGGAGGAAGCCCTCGAGGGAGGTGGAGTCTTCCAGGTCGATCTCGGGGAGGGTGTTGGCGGTGGTGCCGACGATAAAGTTCATCAGAGCCGCGAGCTCCTCAGCCTTGGTCATCTCGAGAGAGACTCGCATGGGGGACTGGCCGGCAGCAGCGCGCTTGGCGAGCTTGGCCTGGACCTTGAGAGAGTGGTGCTTGGGGGAGGCGGACTTGTAGCCAGGTTCAGACTCGACCATGAGCTGTAAAAGGCGTCAGTGATAGCTCGAGAACAGAGAGAAGGAAGACTCACGTCAGACTCGGCCTGAGCCATGAGAGCGTTCTTGGCGAGCCACTCGCCCTGCTTGATGACGACCGCGCGCTCAGCGCTGACGATAGACTGCTGGAAGAAAGACACCATGCAGAGAGTACCGAAGAGGAGGACAGACATGACGACGATGACGATGGGTCGCTGCCACCTGGGCACTTGGATCATGCGGGGCCTGAAGGCGGAGAGGGAGACAGACTTGGCGGGGACGTGGGCAAGGACAAAAGAGTGCTCATCGAGAGTGTACTTGGGTTCGGGCTTCGCCTATCACAGTCGTCAGCACGGTGCACAAGCAATGAGAGTGGAGTAACATACCTGAGTGGGAAGGGCCATCTTGAAAGGTTCCAAAAGCTTCGCAGTGGCGGTGGGAGAAGTCTTCTTCTGGGCCATCTGCTCCTCCATGCGCCACTTGGGCTCGATCAAACCAGTGACGGGCACACCGGGGAACTTGCGCTGGGTCTTCTTGCTCTTGCGAGAAGGAGCCTCGAGGTCAAAGTAACCAGAGGTGCGTCGAGGGGTGGAAGGTCGAGGGCCAGGGGTGACGAGGACCTCGTCGCAGTCACCGTCAGAGCCGCTGGAGCAGGAAGAGCTGTTGGAGCCCTTGCGGCACATGTCGAAGGAGCCGATGGTGCTGGCGGGGGAGAGAGGAGGAGTGCTGGGGACCTCGGACAGAGTCTCGTCGTCAGAGCTAGAGCGACGGGCAGTCTGAGAACCGTAGGAGGCAAAGTTGCTAAGGGGGATGGAGATGGAGAGTGGAGAAGGCTTGTAGGCGGCCTTGACCGGGGTGGTGAACCACTCGGGAGAAGAAGACATCTGTCGAGAGGAGGTAGTGGGAGGAGAAGGAGGGAAGGTAGGGATCTATCGAGCTCGTCAGTGTCTGTCCGAGCTATCCAGCGGTAGTACTCACGATGATAACGTCGGTCTCAGAGGACATCTCGAAAAAATAAAAGGTGGGGTGAAAGTAAAAAGACTGGGCGATCTGAAGACTATTGAGGTGGATGGGTGTGAGGGTTGCTACGTCCGGCGTAGAGGGAAGGTGGTAGATAGGTGAAGGGCGGTGAGGCTGGCTCTTGTTGCTGATTGGTGAAGATTATAGAAGATGAAGGGTGGGGATTTGATTGAAGAAGGCTCCCGCAGCATATATAGTAGCTGCCATGGGCACACGGCTGTCGAAAATCGGCAGAGTGAGACCAGGGGGCTCTTACGAGAAGCTAAGGTCCCCGATGGCCCACAAAGAGAATTCAAGGTCCTCCATGAATCCAAGAAGCTCTGAGGTGGAGATGTCGACGCAAGAGGCAAGTCCATGACATCGTCTGCCGCAAGAGGAGAGGATTGAGAGCCTTCTTACCATTGAGAGTTAATTGCGAGAAGGTGCCCGTTTAGGGCAGTTTTTCTTATCTCAGGAAGGTTTTTGCCCTTGATCCGGGGCCGGGGAAGATCGACGTACTATCGAAGTTGCCTTTGGTTCTGGGATTAGGTTGCTGACAGCCGGAGCGTCACCTCGCAGGAATATCCTCTTTCGTCAAGAAGCCATTGATGTGGGTGGGTGCCTGGTGGGGGCCGGAGTTTCAACGTTAATCCGGGTGACAGAGAAGGTTTGACACCTGCAACAAGGTTTGTGAGCAAGACGATGGCGAAAACGAGGGGCATAAATTGCATCAAGGGGCAAAAGCGAAAATAAAGGAAAGAGGCGTTGAGGGGCGCGGCGCTGGCCGCCAGAGATAAAGGCAACAACGTTGGTTCCTGGCGGATTCGTCGCTCAATCCGGTAATTCGCGACCAATCTCGACGTGTCTGTTGATGAAGATTCCAGGGTTCAGCAAGGAGCTCATGTTCTCCGCGCCGGCGCAACTCTCTTCGGCTTTTCCTCTCTTATCGTCTGCATTTGGTCATCGACAGCCCCATGCTCCAATGAAAATTTCTATCGTGTGCATTGAGCTACGTACATTGTTCGAGACACCCGACTCTCGGACTTTTCTAACAGGGATACTCTTGCCGGGTTACGAGAACGAGCCTGGCCAAACCGGCTGTCGGAGCAAACTCGTCGCTGATCTTGCTGATCGCCCTTGGGATCGCCCATTCACACCATGCACATTGTCACCGTGCGCATCGGACGACCAAGTGTTCTTCGCGAACAAGTCTGATAACGTTATAGCACGAGGAAGTTGATCGAGCAGATTGATGCTTCTCCTGTTCTGATCGACTCTGTACATCGTACAAGCTGGTCTTCCTGGCCGAAGTTCTGTCCCCCATCGGTTTCTTCCAAGCATCATAGGCCATACTCGCTTCTCGGATGTATTCGTCGAGCCGTCCAACGAGTGTCAAGCCACAAAGAAGAGGTTGTACAGTCATCGTTGAAGTTGGCCGGATTCAGCGCAGAGACGGCTGTCGGAAAGACTCGCCATCTATGAAAGTTCATGTATTTTCGGGGCCCGGCACTCGCATTGTCAATGGTCAGTGGTCAATGTACAAATGTAGCCCTGCGAGCTCTTGTGGCGTTGTGGGGAACCGCTCGTGGTATGGGGGGCACATTGAAGCACGCCGCGGGGAATGTGACGTTTTTTCGGCATTCACAATTTTACCCAAATTTTACCTTTCTCTCTCATCCGCTGCATCCGGTACCTGTCGCTCAAACCGTCCATCTTCCACGAACGCCCCCCGGAATGTTGACAAGTTTATCTTTCCGTGCATGGGAATCAGCCACACCTTGTAAACAAACGAAAAGCCTGGGTGTACATGGTTGATAGGCAATAGGCAACGGTGCGGTTATTAGAGCCGGATGCGGCCATTGTGCAGCTCTGTATGACTGTCTTTTCTCGAGGCGCTCGAGGGGACATGTGTGGCTGCTTGGTTGAAGACATGGACATGCCTACTATCACTACCGACAGCCGTTCGATGACTGCTTACGGCCTACGGCGTCGTCTTGAGGAGAGCGTTTCATAGAAGGGTGCTGCTGATGCCTAATCGAGCGTTAACAAGCCTCTTTGACGGTAAATCCTCTTTCGGTTTGCTGGAATCCACGAGGCCCGAGGCGTACGAGGCGTTCTACTGCTCTACGCCAGTATGCTTGCCGAGCTGAAAGCTGAATAATGACGAGTCTCAATTGAAAGCTGCCGGTAGTGGACTGGCGCATGCCCACGTCATTGCAGCCCAGTACGTCCGTCAAACTTGTCAGAAGTTGGGTGACCTCACCGGAGCATTTACATCTACAGACAGTGCATGCCAATGAGCGGCTATTAGATAGACAGATTGTCAATTATTAGGAGGCCTGGTCTAGATTCCAGTGATTCCAGCGAACGGTTAAAGAGCTCTGGTCGAGGGACTGTCAGATGCGGGATCAAGCCACCCTTTTGGGTCCCTGTGTGGCGTTCGAAAAGCGACCTAGATCGCATAACCTAGATGTGACACATCTTATCAGCGACTGCGATAAAGTTGCTCCCTTGACAAAACAATGCCTGAAGCAGAGCAAGGACGAGAGGCAAGAAGCGAGACACTCACGAGGCAAAGCGTCTGTTGGCCGACTGATCTTCCATCCCCTCTCAGCCGCAGCCTTCTCCCCTTGCTTGCCGAAACCGAAGCCGCCAAATTTGGCGCCGGGCGTTGTTCGGTCGGGGACCAGAGGGGTGTCGGAGGCGGTGGTGTTGTGGCGGGAGAGGTTGGTTTCTGGGTCTTTGGCGGAGGGCTTGCGCTTTTCAGAGACCATGTCCCAGGCGGTGGCGGCCATACGAGTTTGGGGTGTCCTGCGAGTATCATTAGCGAGTATGAATAGGGTATGGGGATGTCACGTACAAGGAGGAGACGTTTTCCCAGGAAAATATGAGACGCTTCTCCTTGGCCTTCTCACGAAGGAAGATGCCCTAGAAGCCCCCCATCAGCTCACGAAACATGAAGCAGGACTTGCCGACTCACAGCAAGGATGTTGAGGCACCCGACGATGAAGAGGATCCAGCTAGAGACCTGAGGGAAGAGATCGCAGTAGTGGGAAAGCACTTGAGCGCCGATCCTATGGAGGGTCAGCAATGCGAATCATAGATTCGAGGACGTACAAAGCTTGAAAGACACCGAGGCAGCCAAGGCCATAAGCAGGGCCGAGGGAAGGAATGTAGTACTCGAACAAGCGACGAGGCCAACCGATCTCGGACATGACAAGAAGGATACACTCGAACACTATATCGATATCAGCTTCTGGTTGGCCACTACGACCAGAGAGGCTCACGGATGAAGATCCTATTGAGGATACTCCAGAAAGCCCCTCCGATCTGGTCGGGTACACTCGAGTACTCGATGTAGTCACAGTCGTCGTCGTCAGTGGCGGGATTCTTGATGGCTTTGATATCGCTAGAAGCAATATCGGCTTTTGTTCCACGGGGATCAGTGGCAAAGGGACTCACGAGACCATCGTGGCGGTGTTGGAAGCGAATACAAGTATGAGGGCGATCATGCTGAGCGCTCGCAGAACGTTCAGAGCAATGAAGACAGGACCCGAAGGCCGAGATGAGGGCAAGAAAGGCTTGATGTTGGCGGCGGGGGACATTTTGAAGGTGCGGTGAGTGTATGATAATGGTTACTAGGATTGTATATGAGCGTCTTGTAAAGCTCGTCGAGTGAGGGGGCCGTCCAGCGACAAGGAGGTGGGGCGTGGAGAGGGAGTGGTAAACGTGAGGCTGGCTCGTGATGATGAGAAAGAAAAGAGAAATGGGTGGGGGATCAGGATTGCCACGAGCGGTGAGGTTTAATAGCTGCATGCGGCGGGGTGGCGTGCGAAGCGGGGCGGACAGGGGGCGGCATGCCTGTGTTTGACGAACAATAGATTTCTAGCGAGGTCCCTCTGTGTGTGTCTGTGCTAACGGGAAAGCGATGATTGATGCCCCTTGCATTAGTGGGTCCAGCCATACGGCATACGGCATACGGCATACAGCATACGGCATACGGGGTGCGGCAGGCAGGGGCAGGTACAGTCGCAAGAACAATAGGACTCTTGCACGCCTTGAAACAGCCCGGTGGAGGCAGGCGGCGATTCCCGGCGTTTTTGTCCACGTGGCGCTATGCCCGCCGGCCTCGCTGGATCGCTATCATTTCGTTTCTTTGAGATTTCTTTACGAGTGACTCGGAGCCATGCCATGAGCATCCTCAGCTACTTTACGGCTCGCTCTCCGACTATACAGGTATTCCTCATCGCCCTCGCGACCCGGATCATCCACCTCTCAATCCTCCATCTCCTAACCCGTCTCGTCCCTCTCTTCGACTCTTCCCCAGAACTCCTGCAACACTCACCATTGCCAGGGCTGCGGTGGGATGCTATTCACTTTGCATCTGTAGCTTCTAGGGGGTACGAGTATGAGCAGCAGGTCGCTTTCCAGCCAGGATGGCTTGGAATCATGCGATCAGCTGGTGAAGTAGTGAGATGGGTCAGAGGCGCGGCAGTCGTGGACATTGGAGATGTCGTTTTGGGCGGCACCATCGTCGCCAATGCCTCGACTATCGGAGCTACTGTGGTGCTGTACAAGTAAGCATACGGCTACCACGAATGTCGCTAACGATCAACAGACTCTCGACGCACATCTTCGACCCTACTTACGCCTTCATCACCTGCCTCCTGTATCTCTTGCCTCCAACAGCGATACTAGGATCATCATACACCGAGCCGCTATATGCGCTGCTAACATTCACCGGTATCTATATGCTGGCTATCGAAAAGCAAATGTTCATCAGCGCGCTGTTCTTTGCGGGAGCTTCGAGCATCCGAAGCACCGGTGTCTTCAATGCTCTCTTCATCTTTGCATACTATGTGTGCGGATCTGTAGCCCTTGATGACCCCAGTGACTTGCGTCTTCTGAAGGTGAGGGTTCTCGAGTCTGAATTCTCTTCCCAGGCTGAACTCACTCTTCCCAGGGCGTTGTCCTTAGGACAGCCGAGACTATGCCGTCAAACTTGCTCGTCATCGCGCCCTTCGTGGCGTTCCAATGGTATACTAGTGTGGGGTTCTGTACATCAGAAGCTATGTCTGCCGACACAGCCCGTCCCTGGTGCCACAACGATCCTCGTCTTTCCTATAGCTTCGTCCAGTCCCTCTACTGGTACGTTCTTCGTCTTCCTCATTGACAACCACTGATCCCACCTAGGAACGTGGGGCCATTCAAATACTGGACTCTCGCCCAACTCCCCAACATCGCTCTCGCCCTCCCCATCCTCTACTCGTCATTCCTCGGCACATCCACTTTCCTCCGTTCCTTCTTCCGTTCCACCATCTTCCCCAACCCCGGTAGAACCCTACCCAAACCCGCCCGGCCTCTGCCAGAACTCTACCTGGTTCATATCCTTACTATGGCCCTCTTGCTATTTGCCAGCCATACGCAGATAGCGTTGAGAGTGAGTCTAGGTGACCCGGTGGTTTGGTGGAATGTAGTAGGGCTCGCTTTTGAATGGGACAAGAGAGAGAAGGATGGGCGGCTGGAGATGACGCAGTTGGGGAGATGTTGGGTGGGGTGGACGGTAGTATGGGGGTCTGTTGCTATGGTGCTATGGGCAGGGCATTATCCACCGGCATGGTAAGTGAAGGATCGCTGAAGAGGCCTGTGCTGACCAGGGATCATATATATGTATAGACTTCATAGATATAGGAGCAAGGTGTGTACCAAGTCTTGCAATGCTGTCAACCTGCTGACTAGAGCCACAGATGCATGCTGTTGCCTGAGTGTACAATGGCTCTACGGGAATGACTGACTAAAGATGGGAACAACATCAACAAGAAGGTGGTTAAAAGAGTGTAATTATAGGACAAAATCCTGTGGGACTAACTATCTACTTCTGCATCTAACGTCTCCTCTTTAGAGTCGCATTCATCGTCGCATCCTCCTCCACCAACCTGGCTACTTCTCTCTGCCAGTACAGCACCCCATCCGTGGCTTTCCTCCTCCTCTCATGCCTCTCCTCCTCCTCCTTCCCACCCGTACCTATGACAACACTCGCAATCTTCCCTGGTGCGAGCCCTCCCAAACCAGTCACACTCATTGCCTTTCTCGCCCTGGTCATCTTTGACTGCTTCTTCGACTTGCCACCCATGTCAAAGTACGACTTTGGCTCGGCGTCCTCCCCCGTCGGTGGCGGGGAGAGGGACAAAGGGACAGGCTCGGGCGATGGGAAGGCCGCTGTACGGCGTACTTGTTCTCGGGCGCTCTCGAGGTTGGCTCTCGCATAGGGGAGTGTACCGGGTGTGAGGCCCAGGATCTTTTCAGCCTTGTCGGCGAGTTTGAAAATGTCATTCTTTGGTGAAGAGGAGGAGGACGAGGAGCTGGTAATGTGTACGGGGGTAGGGGGTGGGTGGGAAGGGGTGACTGGGCGGGAGGTCGTGTGGACGCTGGAGTAAGAATCTATCCCACGTGTTAGCCGTGGACAATGCGCTCGAAGACAACAACTTACCCGATAGCTCGCCCATGTCGTCTTCGTCCCCAAAGTCATACTCACTCTCGAGGTCTTCAGTCCCGCTTTGGTTGTACCTCTCCTGGCGCTGCCGGAGGTCGTGCTGGGTTTGGAACGGGCGTTCGATCTGACGAGCAGGGAGCTGGCCGATGGTAGTTTCCAACATCTTCAAGATGGGCACCAGGCGTCTTGTGAAAGGGTGGGGAGAGATGCACTAGGCGAAGCGAATGAAGCCAAGGGGTGGTGGCAAAGCAGCTAAGTAATGGGACGCAGGCTGTGCGCACGGAGAACCGTTGGTCGAAAGGTGCCCTTTGCGAAGCAGGAGAAAGGGAGAAATGTGTATTTGGCTCGAGAGGCGAGATCAATTGAAGGCGAAGGGAGGGGTGATATGAATGGTAATGCAAGAACAAGGAGGATATTTATATCTGGGAATGATATCGGCGAACTTGGTGACTAGGTCAGCTCTGCACAGTCCGGTGGGGGTGTCGTATCGAAGCCCTAAGCGACTCACCAAGAACCTGGCAGCCTAGGGCGGTCAATGATGGAGATGATGCTATTTGGGAATGGAGAAAACGTTTTCTGTAGCCAAGGTCTTTATAGGAGAAACTGCGATAGGCAAGGCGATGGGTGGGGTGCCGTGGTTGTTGTGAAGAACTGTTGCTAGGCCAGGTGGATGTTGTTTGTCGTCGAGCAGGCTATGTAAGCCACAAGAGAGTCCTTTACGAACGCGTGGTGTATGAGATCAGAGAGTGGGGAAGACCTTAGCGTCATGTCTTTTGCCGCCTACATAAACTACTCATGTACATGTTGCAAGAATGCCCCGGGCGCAAGGATCAGGGTCGAGGACGCAGCTGGAACGTTCAATTTGCCATTGTTCGTTGTGACGAATGCACCGCCCGAAGAGTAAAGACGTCAGGGGGCAGGGGCGACACAGGGTTACAGATATGTATGACTGTACCACCCCGAGCCCCTCGTAGCCACACGCCGGCACACAGAAACCCTGGTTCGACTGATCGCCTCTAATTCTGTGCCCGGGTTCGCAGCGATACATATGTACCTTCTACAGTAACCTCGGACCCAGTTTGGCCCCGCTGCGTGCTGCCAGTAGTTGTCTATGCACGTTTCGTCACAACTGGTACGGTCGGATCACCGAACCTTCTTACTGACGGACGACAGCGATATAATGATTTGCATCATCAGTGGAAGATTTATGGTGACTGGTATCGATGTATGGGCAAAGCCTAGTAGCATCAAAGAGGAGAGTATGTACGACCTGATAGAGACACTCTGAGACCTGGGACGCAAACTCAGGCCACCCCACTGTACTCAAACCCCTCTACATACACGTTCTATGCGGCCTATGTCGATGTTAGACACATCTAGCCAGGAACTCTAACTCGACTCACGGACCAAACTTATCCTCCCATGTGCCGTATCTTATCGGTGCAGCTGAAGCGCCCTTGCTCGCGATCAGCGGCGTTCCTAGAGGCGGCATCCAAGTGTTCGCGGCATGGCACTCTTCAACGGTGTTGACACAACGGTATGTTGACGAGGAACCTATACCTCCGCTTGCACCTCTTTGGCATTGTTCGTTATCCATCGGGGGTTGGGATAGACCTGGTAGGCACGTCAGTATACGTCCGTGATCTCAGCCGTTCAGCCCACATCAAGCCAGAGCATCAACGGCCCACGCGGAACTTACTCTTGCAAGCACCTTCCCTTTCACCATCGCAATTGGTACTGGCCCATACTTTCTAGAGTCTGTCGAGTTGCTCAAGTTGTCACCAACGAGCCAGACGTGCCCCTTCGGCACCTTGACCCACTGGCCTTCTCCATGTCGCTGGGGCACGAGCACATTGTCCATCGCCGCCTCTTCATCCGGTATATCCACCAAAAACCCGTGCCCTCCTGCATCAATCCACTTTCTCTGCCCACCCCTCCTCGGCTCAATCTCTATCAGGTCGCCCTCTACCCCCAGCACGCGCTTGCACACCGCCTGACTCGGGTTCATTGGCGATGTCGCAACCACCACATCGCCCCTCTGTGGTCTTGTCTTTTTGTGAGATTCGGACAGGAGGGACCAGTAGGAAAGGGGGGAGACTAGGACACAATCGCCGTGTTGGGACAAAGTGGGGAGCATGGAGAAGCCAGAGCATATCCGGAGCTCGGCCAGCGTGCTTGATACGAGGTGAAGCGTAGCGAGGATTTGGATGGTGCGGACGGCGGTGGGGATGAGGGGTGGGGGTCGGAAACGTTGGAATGTGCGCTGGAAGCGGGCGAAAGAGGACATCGTAGAAAGGTGTAGGTGGGTTGATGGGCGAAGCATGCACTTGATCGACTTTGAGCAGCGTTGAGTTTCGTTTCCTCGTGACGGCGGAACCAAATGTCAGGGTGGCCGCCCATTAACTCTGCATTAACTGTACAACGCGTATCTCTGCGTTGATCTTGCTTTCACATCTTGATATCACTTGACGAGTCTATATGCACTCTCCGACCGATCAGAGTCATGTCAAGTAATTACGGTCCATCGTCGTATCTCAAGAAGAGCTCGAAAGCGGAAACTGGAGGGAGTGTGAGCGAGATTGGTGAGAGTGTACGTCTTGTTGGTCGATCCTATCGTCGCTTTCTTCAACAGCGAGTGAGGCTTTGGCGTAGCAGAGTACCTGGAGTCATATTGGCAATCGAAATGAACTACGATAATGTTCGTGTAGCTGATCATTGACTATAGGTGGGCAAGCAGCTGGAGGCGCTAGATCAGAAAGTGGCAGACAAGACTGACGAGCTACTGTGAGTCGATGTGTTTGGTTCTCAAGTATAAGCTAACCCTTGGCCAGTCAGGAATGTATGTCAATAAACGACCATGTAAAAGGGGCAAGATCTCGATGGGCTGACTGAATACTCGTAGTGGACAAAATGTCCAACCGGATAGACGCTCTCAAGTCTTCCACTCATACCCTCGTCGACGAACCTATCGACCAACAACAATGACCCCGTGCCCAAATGACCAGTTGTAGAATACCAGATGATGATTAATGCATGTTATGACTCTACCGTCTGCTTCCCGGCAGAACCTCCTTCCCTCCCCACTCTATCGACTCGAATTCTGACTCTTCCTCTCCGATGATGACCTTTCCTTCTTCGTACACCCAGTCCTCGTGCGCCGACGAGGGCAGACCCTCCCCGTACTCCCCGAAAGGCTTCCCAAGACCCTTGATACCGAGCACCTCGGCACCAGGCTGATCACCTCTTGTGAACCAGATACTCTGCAAACCGTTCACCGCCGCCCTGTGCTTTGCCATCGCCTTACTCGACCCATGTCCTTCTGAAATCTTCAAGCCCGAAGGCAAGAAGAGACCGACAAGGAACAAGGGTGCTTGCGAGTTTGTACCCGTAGACGCAAGCAGGCGGGGCTGGATGGCAGTTTCGAAAGATGATGAAGGGACGCCAGCAGAGGCGAGGTGGGAGGAAACGACGGAGGAGAGGACGTGCAGGGGGTTGTTGAGATTGATCAGGGAGGCGAGATCGAGGGCTCGGGAGAGGAAGTGGGCGTGGACAAAGGTTCGGGCGGTGTGGATACCCTGTTACCAGAGATTAGCAAGTCGTCCTACAAGAAGCCAAGATACGTACCTCTTCTTGGTAGATCAATCCAACAAACGATCGTACAGCACTGGCAATTACATCCTCATGGCTTTGCTGCTTCTTTCCCCTCGCCTCCCCCTGCGCCTCGGCCGCAGCTTCCTGTTCTTGCTCCTTCAAGAACTTCTGGAACCGCCTTCCCACGGGTACCTTCAACCCTTCCATCGCCTTGCCCTTGTTATCCCTCCAGTTCTTCTCTGCCAGAGCCGTTCTGCTCCACCTAACCACGACACCCGCACTGTTGGCACCCTTACCGGTACCGGGCAAACCAGCGTTTCCTCCACCCTGCACGGCAACACCGAGCTCACGGCCAACAGAGACGCAAGCGGCAGGTCCGACGTAGGCTGTCACGGCGCTCTGAAGCGCCTGGGTGGGGAGATAGGGGTAGAGGGCAGCGAGGTATTCCGAGGCAAAGAGGCCGATGAGCGAATTGCCGACCGTTGCTAAAAGCTCATTGGACTCTGAAGTTTCAGAGAAATCGATCTCGGCATTCGCATCCTCAGTTTGCTCCGCCAAGTATGAGGGGTGGGTGAGGCATGTTATGAGTGATGTAGATACCGCAGGGGAGGGCTGGAGGGAGAGACGAGATGCGAGTGCGCTGAGAGCAGTGGGGGGAGGGACGAGTGATGGTTTGGGGGCTGAAAGCGCCCGGGAGGTGTGGATTGATCTGGAAAGGAGCTGGGGCGGGCGTTGTAAGAGCCGGGTGGAGAGGGAGGCCATCGCGAGTGTACGGCGAAATTTGGTCTTGCGAGCTGTTGCAAGAGGAGATGCGCGCGAAAAAAAGACGTGGATTTCGCTGGTGGGCATTAGGAATTGCTTGTAATGGGCGGGAGTATATTTTGTAATGGGCTGTTGTCATTCTCGGCGTTTCTTTCTGATGACTCATGTAATTCAACATCCCATTTCTCTTTTGTCTTTCCATCATCTATCACCCAACATGGACCCTCCCGAGCAGCCCCCGCCCGCCCAGCAGCCCCCCGAACAGCATCCAGAGGCAGACCCGCCCCAGTCGTTCTTCACAATGACAATCGCCGTCCCTGGCCTTCCACCGCCGTCGCCCGGGCCCGGACAAGAGGGTGACGAGCCTGCCGGTGGCGAACACAACGGCCCAGGCGCCCGTGCCATGATATACACTTTCCAAATTGGTGCTGGGCCCCCTCCTGGTGAAGGCGAACACGGTAACGCAAACCATCCACCTCTACCTCCCGACTTTTTCAGCCAGTTCGCTCAACCTCCTGGTGCACCCGCGCCTGGTGGCAATGCGCCCGAAGGCGCTGATGGTGCAGCTCCTCCTCCTGCTGGTGGACCGCCTGCTTGGCTCTTTGCGCCCTTCCTCGAGTTTCTTCTGCCCCGCCGTGATCCGCAACCGAATCCCGAGAAGGCTGCGGAGCTTCTGAGGTCGCTACCGACCGTTGGCAAGCGACTGCTCAAGCGTGTCGACAATGTGGTGGCGGCGCAGGATGTGGACTCGTATGAGGATGAAGAAGAGAGGGGTTGGAAGTGTGGAATCTGTTTAGAAGGGATGAGCGCAAGGCAGGAGGAAGAGGTCAAGGATGACAAGAAGGTTGACGAGACGATCAAGCGAGGAGAGGAGAAGGGAGAGGAGAAGGGAGAGGATACTACCGACAAGAAGGAAAAGACTGAGGATAAAAAGGATAGCCAAGAGGAGCCGAAGAAGACCACAGGTGTGAAGGCTTTGCCTTGTAATCACCTCTTCCATGGAGACTGCTTAGAACCATGGTTTGCCACCCATCACACCTGGTAAGTCGAAAAGTCGTGCATGAGCGCGCCTACTCAAGCTGACCCTTTCTAGCCCTACTTGCCGTCTGGACCTTGATCCGCTCTACACACTCAACTCCCCCCCTCGAGCTTCTCGTACCGCACGAACCGAGTCTATACGGCCAGCTCGTACTGGTGCAGGATCCACTCGGGCATCCGCCAATGCGCACCCTTATGCGCGGGGAGACAGGTCTGAAGGCAGTGAGCGTCCTCAACCGCCCAGTCGCCAGGCGTCATCATCAAGCATACCCCCAGCTGGCCCTTCTACTACTACACCCGGTGCTGCCGCTGGCGATGGGTCAGAACAAGCCCCGACCGAGCAGCGCCAAGAGGACGGGCAACCCCAGCGACCTGTGCCAAGGAGGTCGCAGACATCGCATCACTTTTTCATCTTTTCAAACTCTCCCTTCCCTCCAACACCTCGAGGCGAACAACCTCCCGCTCCAGCTACTGGGGCGCCTGCGCAACATTCTGCATCAGGCTCCGTACCCCCTCCCCAGACTGCCAACACCGAGTCTACAAGCTCTGCCGATGCCCCCGACGCTTCATCCCCTGCTGCCGCTTCTACCTCTGCGCCTTCGCAGCCTGAGGCCGCCTCCTTGGAACGCTCGTCTGCCCCAGAGCCATCTTCCCGTCCTGGCTCACCTCACCGCGAGGGCCACGAAGACAACAATGGTCACAATGCTGCACATGACCTGCTCCGACAGCTGGATATACCTTCCCTGTTGGATGGCCTCTTTGGTATTGAAAGGCCACCAGCTCCTCCGAGTACGGACGGAGCCCCGGAAGAAGGCGGGCAGGAGATTCGAGCTTCTTCAGCGGAAGCGTCTGCCCAACCGGCGCGTTCTGCGTCGGCTCCAGTCGAGGGGTCTGGGCCTGCGCCCGAGGGCAATACGGGTGCCCTTCCTGCTGATGCCAATCCAGCCGCGCCCAATGGTGCCCCCGAGCCCGATGCTCAACACCGAGCTCACATGCAAATGATCCAGAGCACGATGGACCTTATTTCGCGGATGGCACGAGCAGGGGGCGACAGGCCTCCTCCCCTGCCTACTGGTCAACAAGGTGGCCCTGGGCTTCCTGCCGGTCGTCCCGATGGTCTTCCTGCTGGCCTCCCTGCCGGCCTGCCCAGCTTCCTCTTTTCTGGTCCTCCCATGCCTCGTGCCGAAGGCGAAGGTACTCCCGGGGGGTCGAGAAGCGGTACGCCCGGCGGCGAGTTTCCTTCAATGCCTCAACAACCCGAAGAACCTTCCAAACCCCCTTTCGTGCCCCAGTCTCTCGAAAGCTGGACGGAGGAAAAGGAAAAGGTCCTGGGGTGGCGATGTGAGGCGCCCGAGTGTATGTATGGTCCGACTATTGGGGAGGAGGACGAAGACTCTGAAATGCCCGCTGTGGAGGGAGAAGACAAGCAAGACAAAGAGATGATCAATATCTTCTCTCCCCTTCAGCCTTCTATCTCTCTCGAAGCCGCCAAGCAGGCTCATGTCGATGATCACCAGTTCACCATCCTGGCCTGCTCGCATAGGTGGCATAGGGGCTGTCTGGAGGGTGCTGCGAGGAGCGCGGAGAGAGAAATCAGAGATGACGGTGAAGGAAAGGGTTGGGTGAGGTGTGAAAGGTGTAGGAACGACGGGTGGGTGGTGCCGAGGGAGCTGGAGGGCAAGGGAAAGGGAAGGGAGGTGCCTATCAAGGCGTCTGCCACGACCAGCGTAGTGGGCAAGAAGAGAAATAGGGAGGATGATGACGAGTAGATCATGATTTTTACAGCATTAGAGCAATCCCCAACTGTAGCATAGTCATCTAGGCGATCGGATCATGAGAGAGAAGTACTTGTAGACTTAGACGACTATACATGTTAGTCACATCATACCCATATGCACTGTGCCTTCGGGCGGTCGTCGATGAATCCAAGTAGATGTGGTAGAGGTTGAGGGTTTCAATGACCGCCAAGCAACTTATCACGATGGCCGACTATTGTCTCCGCACTCCTTGTGATCAGAAAAAGGTGGTGGTGAAGATCCTTCGGCAAGCAATAGTCCATGCCATCTGTGTTCATTCCAAATGGAGGCTCACATACAGATAAAGTAGGTGATGGGGCTTGGTAATAAGAGTATGAGGTTCAGCCCATGATCTGGTCAGAGATCTCGTGTGCGTCAAGGGCCAAACACAAACTCCTTTCTAGAAAACTATTTTACGTCTGACAAGATCGATCATATGTTCTAGCGATGCTTGCAAACAATATTCTGCTAACGGGAAGACGGGAAGATGGCTGGAGACACGACCTCACGGGGTGTAAACGTGGGATCGCACACTCAAGACTACAGGTACCACAGCCAGGTCGAGGTCGAGAAGCTGCTGCTGCGACGCGCTGGGCGTGCTCACGTCAGACGGAAAGGAACCAAAGAAGATACGGATGGACGCGACGCGCCGACGCCACCTGCAACGTCCCTGTAAGTTCCCGGAACATTTCACGATCTGGCGGGAATTGCGCCAAGTGCTCAGGGAAGTTGCCCACTTATCTCCACTTCTGGTAACTTTGTTGACGCGTCGAGCCCTGAATGAAAATGTAAAGTTCCTGAAAGCGCGCCAGACGTGCCAGCATCAACAATCTCCCCTCTTCTTCTTTCTTTTCTTTTCTTTCTTCAGCCGTAGTTCTCAATTCAATCCATCCTAATCGCGAACCCTCCTCGCCTCCTCCCCCTTTCTCGACTCTTGAACAACCCGAACCTGGTGTTCACCCACAGCCTTGACGGCCCCCACTTTCGTTCATCGTCATCGATTCAGTCACGCTGCGCGCGATCTACCCTACATCTCTCATATATCTCGACCAATCTATAAACAATGGCTCCTATTCTCGAGACTGCGGTCTCCCTTCTCGCTCTTGCCGGTACTGTCGCTGAGGCTACGCCTCTTTTGAAGCCCGGACGTCACGCGTCACCTGGTGTGGCCAACATCCTGTCTTCTTCCAAGAGGTCTCTGCACAACTTGCTTGCGAGGTACTACGGATCTACCTATGGCTTTGTAAGTCTTGGTTTTCATCTAGCGCCTGGCTTTCGCTGACACTCGTGCAGACCAAGCCCTCTCCTCTTCCAGAGAAGCGTGACACCTCTCTTCCCGATGGCTGGTCTGTCTTTGGCTGTGTTGCCGAGTCGACCGATGAGCGACTTCTTCAAGGCTTTGCTTTCTCTTCAAGCAGCCTGACTCCACTCCTCTGTGTGAATGAGTGTACCAAGCTTGGTTACACGATGGCTGGTACCGAGTTTGGAGATGAGGTTAGTCACTTTTTTTTGTTTGCCCGGCTCTGGCTCATGTGATTCATAGTGCTACTGCGCCAACTCTTACTCTGGCAACGGCGGTGGTCTGGCGGACGACTCGACGTGCGGCATGGGTTGTGGGGGTGATTCGAGCGAGACCTGTGGCACTACCTGGTACCTCAACCTCTACACCTACAACTCTAGCAGCCTCGCTTCTTGCTCGTCCGACTCCACTACTACCTCCTCTGTCGCTTCTGTATCTGCTTCCTCGACCGTCTCCGAGTTGTCTGCTTCGGCTACCGAGTCAGCCACCTCTTCCCTCGATTTGGCTACTTTGATCGCCGATGCTTCGTCTACCGAGAGCGCGTCTTCTTCTCAGATCACCGGCACCGAGACGGCCTCTTCTGCCGTCGCCGCTGTAGACCTCGCCCATCTCTCATTATCTCTCTCCTTTGGCATCTCCATTAGTGATGGCGAGTCTGCCACCGCTACCTCTTCCGAGGCCGGTGCTACCATCACTGCGTCTGCCACCAGCTCTGTCGCCACATCCTCTTCCACTTCTACGGCCTCCATCTACGAAGACTCTGACAATGCTTCCGAGTGGTACGCTCTTGGCTGTGCTATCGACTCTTCCAACCGTGTGCTATCCGAGTACTCTGTTAGCATGAGCGATATGACTGTCAACTCTTGTCTTTCCGCTTGTGAGGACTTGGGCTACAAGTATGCCGGGTGAGTATTCGTCTTTATGATCTCGAACAAAGCTGACATTCGATGCAGTGTCGAATTCGGCGAGGAATGCTACTGTAGCTCTACCCTTGCGTCTGCTGTGACCTACGACGAGGACCAGTGCAACGTCGTCTGCAACGGCGACGAGGAGGAGACTTGCGGCGGTACTTGGGCCATCGAGATCTTTGAGCTCATTTCTTCCGCGGTCTCTTCCTCTTGCTCCAACAGCACTGCTTCCGCCACCTCCTCTGTGGCTTCCTTGACCAGCGGTGTCTCTGTCTCTGTCACTGCGTCTGCGTCTGCCTCCAGCTCTGCGGCTACCAGCATCTCTGAGACTCTCTCTGAATCTGCCTCCGAGACCGTTTCCCAGAGCGCTTCTGCCAACGAAACCGAGTCTGCTACCGCCTCTCTGACAGTCTCCAGCACCGAGTCTGTGTCTGCGTCTACTACAGCTACCGCCTCCGGCTCTGCTACCACTGCCGACTCTACCACTGTGCCTTCTTCCAGCGCCGAACACCAAGTCTGGGCTCACCACATGGTCGGCAACACCTACTCGTACACCAGCTCCAACTGGGCTAGCGACATTGCTTCTGCCACTGCTGCCGGTATCGACGGTTTTGCCTTGAACATTGGCTCCGACTCTTGGGGGTCTAGCCGAGTTTCCGACGCTTACGATGCTGCTGGCTCTAGCGGCTTCAAGCTGTTCTTGTCTCTCGACATGACCTCTTTGGCCTGCGCTTCTTCCTCTGATGCTGCCAACCTTGTCAGCCTCGTCTCTCAGTTCGCCTCCGAGTCTGCCCAGGCTACCTACAACGACAAGGTTGTCGTTTCCACCTTTTCTGGTTCCGACTGCGCCATCGACTGGCAGACCAGCTTTGTTGACGCCCTTACCGCCGCGGGCATTGACATCTTCTTCATCCCCAGTCTCTTCTCCGACGTCTCTACCTTCTCCTCCAACACTTGGATGGACGGTGAGCTCAACTGGAACTCCGGTTGGCCCACGGGATCTACCGATATCACCACCGACTCTGATGAGAGCTACATCTCTGCTTTGGGTGACAAGGTCTACGCTGCCGCCGTCTCTCCCTTCTTCTACACCCACTTCAGTCCTTCCTCTTGGAACAAGAACTGGTTGTACCGATCTGACGACTGGCTCTACTGCACCCGATGGGAGCAGCTCATCTCCATGCGAGAGACTGTCAAGTTGGCCGAGATTTTGACCTGGAACGACTACGGAGAGTCTTCTTACATTGGTTCCATCTCTGGTGACCTTCCTTCCGGCTCCGAGGCCTTTGTTGATGGCATGACCCACACCGGTCTTCTCTCCCTTACCAACTACTACGCTACTGCGTTCAAGACCGGTGCCTACCCCTCCATTACCGAGGATGAGCTCGTCATGTGGGCTCGACCCCACCCTCACGATGCGACCGCCACGTCCGACTCTATCGGCAGGCCTACCGGCTACTCTTACACTGAGGACTACTTGTACGCAGTCGTCATGGCTACCGAAGCTGCTACTGTCACCCTCACGTCCGGTTCCACCACCGAGAGCTTCTCTGTCGAGGCTGGTCTTACCAAGCTCAGGATTTCTCTTGCTGCTGGTTCCATCTCTGGTACCATCACGAGGTCTGGTAGCACTGTCGCTTCTTACGACGCTGGTTCCGACTTCTCTTACACCACTTCTCCCACGACTTACAACTATAACTACTTTGTCGGATCGAGCTCCTCATAAATCATGAGTAGTATAGCTAGCTCTCCGGCGTTATCTTGTATATAGAGTAGTTTTAACGATTGTCTGACGATAAAAGGGAGTTTTGGGGATCTATAGTCTATCTTATATTATCATCGTCATATATCCTAGTCTGGCGTGCTGGCACGCTCCATCTATAGTTCTTCGTATCGACGTTACTCGTGGATGAATGGACGTTATATGCAGAAAATACATATCTATTCATTATAGATCATAGCATGGCGTTCCAATGCATATAGAGTTGGACGCTTTCAAGAGTCCTCGAGGCATACACATCACGAGTCCAAGGATGACTGCTGACCTGGATGGTGGTGGATCAACAACATCGTGCCTGGACGGCCTCGTCCGAAATGGGAGCCGACGAGGATGCTCGTATGCATGGCTGATGTAATCTGGCTGTGCAGGCTATGCCTTATTGCCTATGGGGGCTGCTAGGCGAGGCTTGGACAAGTCCGAGTAAATGCGAGCGTGTAAACGACGAGGAATTTCGTGATGGCGGCTAGAAATCTGACCTCGCTGGCGAAATATCTGACCTTTTCGGGGAGAATTTGACCTCGGCGGCTGCAGCTAAGCGACGTCCTATCATCAGCCAAACACTTTGTGTCCACCGGTCAGAAGGTCAAATTTGTTATCCACTAATCCAACGTGGACCCAAGCTCGAGTATAAAAGGCCCGCATGTCTCTCAGAACTGCCCTCTCCCGCTCCTTCCGCCCTTCGACCCTCGCCGCCAGGTCTTTCGCCTCCTCCGCTATCAACATGTCTGGATCTGTCCGCACCGCCGCCCAATGGTCTGACTTTGGTCGTGACCACGTCTCTCACGGTCTTGGCCGTATGAAGGACCATGTCATCGTCAAGGGTGAAGGTCTCCACCTCATCACCGCCGATGGCAAGAAGCTCCTCGACTTTACTGCCGGTATCGGAGTGACCAACCTTGGCCAGTAAGTCGACGACGCGAATCTAGGAATCGCCACTGACGACTGTGTGCAGCTGCCACCCCGCTGTCAGCAAGGCCGCCGCCGAGCAGGTCAACAACCTCGTCCACCTCCAGTGCTCCATCGGCTTCCACGGCCCCTACCTCGAGCTCATCGAGAAGCTCATCCCCGTCATGCCCCACCCCTCTCTCGACCAGTTCTTCTTCTGGAATTCTGGTTCTGAGGCTATCGAGGCCGCCATCAAGCTCACCAGGAAGGCCACCGGCAGGCAGAACTTGATCGTCTTCCAGGGTGCTTACCACGGAAGGACCATGGGTTCCGGTGCTATGACTAGGTCTAAGCCTATCTACACCCAGGGTACTGGACCTTTGATGGTGAGCCGTCTCGTTCGCGCGTATGCCTCGTAAAGCTAATGAAAGGTAGCCCGGTGTGTTCGCTACTCCCTACCCCTACTGGCACTCTCTCGGCCTCGTCCCCTCTGCTACCGAGGAAGAGGTCGTCCGAGCCGCCGAGTTCCAGCTCGAGCTCCTTCTCCGTCAACAGGTCAACCCCACCGACGTTGCCGCCATCTTCATCGAGCCCGTCCAGGGTGAGGGGTGGGTCACAAACTTTGTTACAGTCCACACACGTGCTAACTTTATCATCAGTGGTTACGTCCCCTGCCCCCCTGCCTTCTTGAAGCACCTCCGAAAGGTCTGCGACAAGCACGGCATCCTCCTCGTCGCCGACGAAGTGCAAACTGGTTTCTTCCGAACCGGCAAGTACTTTGCCGTCTCCGACATTCCCGAGTTCAAGCCCGACGTACTCGTCTTTGCCAAGGGTATCGCCAATGGTTTCCCCATCTCTGGTATCGCCTCCACCAAGGAGCTCATGGGTACCCTTGATGTCGGGTCTATGGGTGGTACGTACGCTGGTAATGCCGTCGCTTGTGCTGCCGGTGTCGCCGCCCAGGAAGTCTACGCCTCCGGCGAGATCGAGAAGAACGTCGCTGCCCGTTCCGAGCAGCTCTTTGCCGCTTTGAACAAGCTCGCCCAGGGAGAGAAGACCAAGGCCCTCATTGCCGATGTGCGAGGTCTTGGTCTCATGACTGCTATCGAGTTCCGAACTGCTTCCGACGCTCTTACCCACGAGGGCTTGCCCGCTGGTACCAAGATCCCCAAGGACATTGGCAAGAGGGTGCAGGCGTACTGCTTGGAGAAGGACTTGTTGGTGCTCACCACCTCGTGCTTTGACACCATCCGGTTCATCCCTGCTTTGGTCGTCACCGAGGAGCAGATGAAGGAGGCTATGGACATCTTCACTGAGGCTGTTGAGAAGGTTGCCCTCGAGGGATAGATGAGAGTGCAGCATCGTGCTAGACTTCAAAAGTTGTAATAGTAGTTTTCCGGCATTTCCATGTATTCTTTGGGCCTTTTGACTTGTTCATATACACCAAGAGCATATGTGTTATCCTAGTATATCAAGACCAAACGTATGTTCAAGTACCAGTAGCCAAGAAAACAGCAGCAGCGCATCGCTTAATCGTATTTTTCTGTGAGGAAAGCGACCACGTTGTTGGGGCTGCGCCCAGAGTCAGCAAAGTTTCGATACGGCCGTCACGACACTCACTCTTCCACAGGCCTGACCCCAATCTCAGCATCAATGAGTTCACCTGTACCCTTCTCGAATATGAAATGGGAGCGCTTGGTGCTGAAGATACGGGTTAGCAAACTGTCGCAACGCTGGGAGCGGTACTCACTTCTTGGGAGGTACGAAAGCACCGAGTCTATGACACAGATGTGATCAGCTGATGGACTAGAGGACGCCCACGTGCTTACCTTTCGATAAGCTTGCTCTTGGGGTCACTTAGAAGATGGTAATTGAGGTTCTTCTTGGCTTTCCACTGTCGAGACGTCAGCTGAGACGAGCGAGTAAGGAAAACCCTCAACCTTCTGTTGGGCAGTCGGCAAATCTTTCGACAGACCGTACACTTCATAGTCGTACGCTGCGATCTCCGCATACATGTCCCGGAAGCCGCACGCCTGATTGGTACACCCAGGAGTGTCAGCCTGCAAAATGATCAGCGAGACTGGCCAACACATATATCTTCCAAGCCGACCTTGGGATAGAGGAAGAACACGACGCCCTTATCCCCTGCCAGAGTTGATACATCCACAAGTTCGCCATCCTCATTCTTGAGCTTGATGCTAGGGAGCTTGTCGCCGAGCTTTAGCGTGGGGCCATCGGCTTCATCATCTTCGCTCTCCGACTCTGGGGTCACCTCCTTCTTCTTCCTCGGCTTGGGAGGCGCCTTTTCCTTTTTGGCAGTAGCCTTGGGAGCGGCCTTCTTGCCCTTAATGCTTTTGGGAGGTGGCGAGTCGTCGTCCTCAATACCTTCTTCGTCACTGTCGCCCTTCAGTGCGTCCAACACATCGGGCGAGAAGGCTTCTTCTTCATCGTCAGAGGCGACAATGACATACTTGGCTTCCTTGGCCTTCTGAGCTTTCGTTTTCTTGGGGGCGGGCTTAGGAATATCATTCTCCTCGTCGCTCTCGGCAACGGTGATGGTCTGTCACAATGGATAGTCAGTACGAGACGCGTCGGAGAGCAAGGAGTGCGCACCCTCTTGGGCCTGGATGAGCGACGGGGGCCACTGTCTGGGGGTGGTGAGGCCATGTTGGATGATAATGCCGGTGAGAGAATAATGGAACCTCTCTTTGATACTGTATCTGCTTGCTGCATCGTCGCCTCGACGCGTCCAACATGAGCTGACGTAAGAATAGGGCTGACGTAATATGGACCCTGTGCAGGGCGGCGACCGGCGCTCCGAGGAAGGATTTACCGACAAGATAATCCAGAGCACAACTTTTTTGTTCTCTTTTTTCTTTTCAGATTGGTACACACCAGTCCATCCGCTCTTTCCCCAAACCCTCCTCATACCCGTCAAGAGTGAGTGCGATATATGCATTCCTGGTCACGAGCTGACTCCCGCAGTGTGTGGTATCATTGGTCTTCTCCTTCACGACCCTCTGAACACTCAGACTACCCTCGCTGCTGCTGAGCTGTGAGTCGTGTAACAGAAAGGCGTAGCTACAGGTCTGACGTGATCGTCTAGTGCCGAAGGTCTCTCCCTTTTGCAGCACCGGTAAGTCTTCAAATACATGGCTACTTCCTTTCGCTGACAAAGGCGCGCTTTCAGAGGTCAGGATGCTGCCGGTATCGTCACCTGCGGGTCGGGTGGTCGATTCAATCAGGTCAAAGCGAACGGGATGGTCAGAGATATCTTTGACGAGGCTGCCGTCGCTGGCTTGAAGGGTTGGATGGGTATCGGACATGGTGAGTTTTCGTTGTCGAGTCGCGTTTTTTGGGGGTACCTGGCGACCTTTTGGTAAGGTTGGGATCCGGCATGATCATGAAAAGACCATGCTGTGCTGGCGATTGGTGTCAGAGAGTTTAGCAATGCAACGACAGCTGCTAACACTCAGTCTCAGCTCGTTACCCCACTGCTGGAAGCTCCGCCCACGCCGAGGCTCAGCCCTTCTACGTCAACTCTCCCTACGGTATTACCTTTGCTCACGTCAGTACTCTTCTCTCTTTCTATGCCCCCAACTGACAATGCCTCTAGAACGGTAACATCGTCAACACCCCCGCTCTTCGTCAGTTCCTCGATGTCGACGCCCACAGGCACATCAACACCGACTCTGACTCTGAGCTCCTCCTCAACATACTTGCCAACAACCTCCAAAAGACTGGCAAGTTCCGTATCAACGAGGAGGATATCTTCACCGCTATCGGAGACCTCACCAAGACTTGTGTCGGCGCCTACGCCTGTGTTGCCATGATTGCCGGTTTCGGTCTCGTCGTCTTCCGAGACCCCAACGGTATCAGGCCCGCTGGTATCGCTACCAGGAAGGGCGCCAGGGGTGGTCTCGACTACCTTGTCGCTTCTGAGAACGTCGTCGCCCAGGGTCTCGGTTTCTCCCACTGGGAAGACGTCAAGGCCGGTGAAGCCATCATCATCACCCGTGAAAAGGTCACCCGCCGACAAGTCGCTACCCCCAGCACCTTCTCCCCCGACATCTTTGAGTACGTCTACTTTGCCCGACCCGACTCTACCATCGACGGTATCAGTGTTTACCGAAGCCGAATGGCGATGGGAGAGTACCTTGCGGAGACTGCCAAGGTTGAGTTGGCCAAGGCGGGGTTGAATGTGGATGTCGTGATTCCTGTACCGGATACCTCGAGAGTGGCTGCTTTGCAGCTCGCCCAACATCTTGGTATCCCTTACAGGGAGGGTTTTGTCAAGAACAGATATGTTGGAAGGACCTTCATCATGCCTGGTCAGACTCAGCGGTGAGTATCTGGCTACTGTCCAAGACCATTGCTGATATCATTTCAGACGAAAGAACGTCAGACGAAAGTTGAACGCCATGCCCATGGAGTTTGCCGACAAGGTCGTCATGCTCGTTGACGGTATGTACACTTCACTCTTCATGGACGGCCGCTAATTATTGTTCAGACTCTATCGTCCGGGGTACCACCTCCAAGGAGATTGTCCAGATGGCCAAGGAAGTCGGTGCCAAGAAGGTTATCTTTGCCTCTTGCGCTCCCCCCATCCGCTTCCCCAACGTCTACGGTATCGACATGCCCTCTCCCCAAGAGCTCGTCGCCCACGGCCGTAACACCGAGGAAGTCGCCACCGAAATCGGCGCCGACCTCGTCATCTTCCAAACCCTCGACGACCTCGTCACCTCTTGCAAACAATTCAACCCCTCCATCCCTCAATTCGACTGCTCCGTCTTTACTGGCGAGTACGTCACTGGTGGTGTCGATGACCGATACTTGGAGCACTTGACAAAGTTGAGGAACGACAAGGCGAAGGCGAAGAAGACGCATCAGGCGTTTGAGCAGGCGGAGGCAGAGTATGGGTGCAGTGGACCGATGAATGGATCGGACGCGCTCGGGTCGTCGCCCAAGAGGCAAGACGCCATCCTTGGGCTGGGTAACCACTCGCCCAAGATAGGACCTACGGCCATGAGCTCGCCCAATGACACCGTCGGCCTTCACAACTCTTGGTTCGGCTCATAGTCCATGAGCTTCTTTTGAAAAAAAAACAGGTTGACGGTCGGGGCTCGAAGGATCACAGTATCGCATATGGGATTGCTCTTTACATGTATATCATTTTCTGTGCACCTTTGCCGAATAATTCGCTTGAGTCTAAAGAGGGGCCTCAGGGTGAGTGAGGCTGCACACGTCAACAGCAAGCCCCCATGAGCGATGGTGAGCGATGTTGATCCCTTGAATTTGAGCAGAGGAAGAGAAAGGGCGAATAGAGGCTCGGCCAGGTGACGGCGAGATGGAAAGAGTCTTCGGCAACGTTCAAGGCAATCACAGTACGATGTATACATGCACAACGTCCAGCAGCGGCGACCTCGTCATACAACGCCGTCGTACAAGACAAGCTCCCACTATGCGCGAGCCTTCCCCATCGAACCTCATGGTCTCATCACCCCTGCCAGTCGCATGACAATCTGTCCAAACGCCCACCTCAAACAACACCCACCAGCACCGACCGACATGCAACGCCCTGATGGTGTCGACGATACCAGCAACGCTGGCAGAACGACCAAGGAGGAGTCAAAGAATGTTTGAATAGTCGAGATGTTCGGGAAGAGTTGTATTGATGATGGCGATGAAGATGAAGTAGCCAGAGAAGACGTCCAGAAGAGTGTGATTGATTGTATGCATTGCTAGTGATAGTATGGAAGGGGAAGTATGGAATGAATACTGAGATACTTGTCAGCTGGAGGTCCTCGAGTGAAAAGGAGCCAAGTGAAAATTTTCAGAAGAAATCAAGTTGTCAGAGATTGAATTTAAGGTAGCGTGGTTTTTTCAGCATCGACGACTAGTAAAGCAGTCCTCAAGCCAAATGCACTCGGGTCATCATTCGTGGTGAAGAAGAAAAAGGAGAAGAAAGGTTGAGAAAGAGGAATTGCATGCTCACCTATGTAGCTATCCAACAAGCAGTTGTCGAAGATGTTGATAAAATAGAGGTTGTCGAACGTCGATCAGAAAGCCCGCCCCAGCCCACGGCCGTTCCCAGACCTTTCCCGAAGGATCAGTCGGTATACGTACCGCCAGCGTCTTCGATAACCTCCCAACAGCTACTGACCGAAGCCGGAAGTGTCGGTGGCTAAATGCCTCTGTGAAAGAGCGGGGCGGGTAACTTGATCATCCCCTCGACGTGGAAAATGTGGCTAGTGTGGACTAGCGAAAAAGAACAATTACTATACAGAGATCCTGCAGAGTAAGGTCGATGAAAAAAGAACAGAAGGATGCGATTCGAAGTGGTTTATATATTCGGCGGGTGGAGGCAGTGCGCACCGTGGGAGAATTCGGTTGCTGCGGTGGAGGCGGGGGGCCAAGCGAGGCATGTTAAGTGGGCGGCGCATTAAGAACGACAGTTCTGGGTGTTTTAGCGCCGATGGCCACGAGGAGAACCGCGTCGAGAGGGGCGATGCGCAAAATCAGGCGCGAAAAACTTCACCCAGAGAGCAGGGGGAGGGGACGGGGACCACCAGAAACGGGGCGGAAGGGCTGGCGGGGTGCTCACGGGGGCAGAGACGGCCGGTACATGCCTCAAGCAGACCCCTGGGTGGTCTCAAGGAGGCTGCAATGGTGGGGTGCCGTGGGAGGCGAGGTCCAGTGCCGTCGAGCTCTTTACTACATGCAGCTATGCCGGCTCTGACCATGGTACCAGCTTTCTTGTACGATAGAGATGGGTCCCATGCATTCCCCTACCGACTTTCATGAACAAGAGAGTCCATGGTACACTTGCGAGACCTCGGGCAGTGCACTTGGCTACATACACAAGAGCCATCTCAAACTCGAGCTGTCGTCGCCATCACCCGCTTCGTCATCTTTTGCGACCAGAACAAACCCCACCAAATATCATCGTCAAACGGTTGCCATCAACGGCCGCATCAGCGTTCACCCCATTCCTAGCAGCTCCCTTCAATCGCCATCGCAGTGCATGCTTGTACTCGCACCTTCGTGAGAAGGCGGACTCGCCGGATGACCTTCCTCGACGCTCGTCCACTCCACCCCGACTCCTCTGTTCTCTCCCCTGTCTGATTCTCAGCCACGGATTCGAACCTTTAAGGACCTCCTACGACTAGAATCAGCTACCAGCAACTGGAGAGGGATCCGGGTTCGAGAATGCAGGCGGGCGAAGCCTCCAGCAAATTTTGACCGGCGAGTTTCCACGCCCACCAAGACAGTCGTAACGATGGTCCTGATACATGACATAGCATTGATATTCTATATCCCTTGGCCACATCAATGACACCTTAATCGTTGACGAGGTTCTCACCTCTCCGCCACGAATCTTCAAGCGTACTCTGCGGGAAGGAGGGCGGGGCATCGACGGTGCGGATAGTCCGGATGGCGGGCTGTGTCAGAATAGGGTGCATTGGGTACATTGCGGCTGTAGTGAGTACGTTGATCATGGAGAGTACAGATTATGACCCAGACAGATACCTGTCGACCACTGTTCCAGTATTCACCTGCGCATCATGCATCCACCATCCCACCACTATCGCCCTTCTCCGTCGTCGTCCAACATCCGTCGCATTCCGCCTACTTCCACGGGGAGTTGTGTCCAATTTACCCACTTCCATAGTTACAGGGCAAGCATCTATGTAGGCAAAACATGCGTGTCGTCGACTTGCTTGGAGCTATTGCTTGCATACTGAGGTCAGGTGAGCTCGTTCATCGTTCAAGGCAGCATTATGTAGTGTGGGCGGGCCTTGCTGGCTTGTAGCTCTCTATGCATATATATGTCTTCTGCAATGAGTGAGATGGACACAGAGGCGCTTGGCTATGGGCCAAGATAATAGGACAAATGGATTGCCAGAGAGGGCCTGCGGACTGAGAGAGTTTCATCGACGCGGACTGACTATTCGGAAGGGATCTCGCGCATGATCATTGACCAAGTGTCTTTATCTACGGCCAGAACCAGGAGCGAGGGACAATTCATGGCTCTCTACCTCGAGGGAGCTGGTGGTGAATGGGACAAGGCGGAGAGGGAAGCGCGCAAGAGATTTGGAAGTTGAGTGACGAGATATAACACAAGACACAGGAGTTGTACAACACATCCGAAATGGACAGGCCCTCAATCCTACTTTCTGGCCCCGACCCGGCGAGATACCGACATCTATACACCCACCAGTCTTCCTCAACCATATAGGAAGGCTTGACCTCTACGACGCCAGCATCAAATATGGCGCTGCAGGTGTCGAAGCAACGTTCTGGCGATATCTCAGAGAGACCATCTTCTTGTGATGATGAGGGCGAGGAAGGTTCTGGTGATGAGCATCTGGCGAAGAGGAAGGGTGAAGCCAGGTATGTCACCTGCAAGAAGTCAGTCAGCCGGAAATGCCCATGTGAAAGACCCTGCTTACTTGGTCTGGTCTGGGTCGGCTTGCATAGGCCTGCGCTATCGCTGGCTTCTCTGTAGTCTGATGGTTCATGATTGGTTACATCACTGCACCGACACTCGCTGCTGAGGCGGTTGAAGTAGGCCTAGTTGTGGGAAGGATCCCTAGAGCACGTTCTCTGTCTGGCGTCAGCGTGTGAGGTTCACGTGCCACTTCGCAGTTGCAGGTATTCACTCACTGCGCAAGCCTTTGTGCTAAAACGCCTGTGTGAAGAAAAGCTATCGCGCGCCAGACGCTGATCATATGCCCCGTCAATTCAGCCGATGAACTGAGCGCTGGTTGGTGGCTGGCTTGGGAAATGTATGACCGTGGTATTGCCGGCCGGCGAGATAATGGGAATGGCGTATACCCCGAAAGCGCAAGTGGATAGGACCGGTGAAGGACAGAGCATGCTACCGGTGTTTTAGTGTTTGGGTTCTATGAGAGATAGCTGACCGCGAGAGAGAATTCATGGAGAAGGGCCTTTTGTGCGGAACTTATATATCTACTCGACAACCCTCATCGCGACACGGCAACTCCTCTCGGTTTCTCGTTTCGAAATCCGGTGCTATCGTTGCCCTTCCTTCTGATCAACGACCCTGCTTCTCAGATAAGCGGCCAAAATAAACATATACGTACATAGCAATCACCCTCTCCAATCCCAGATCTCAGAGACAAATACAGCCTTCGGGATCCATAATAATAACAGTTGACGTGGTGTCACGCACGAGGATGAATGCCGGCAGGCGGATTTGGCGCGGTTGACGAGCAGCCTCCCGAAAAAGCTATGTCGACGACTTGCTGCTGTCTTCTCTGAAATCCGGAACGTCTATGGAACTGCACTGCTCGTCTCCCTTCATGCTTGCAGGGGCGCTGCCATGTATGGCATGGCACATCATTGGCGAAGGGACCGGTGCCAGCAGTTTGAACGTAGTCTCAGCAGAATTCATGAGTGTGTACACATACATAGGTGCCATAGATAGGGCTCTGTACAAAAATCTCGCCATGATTGGAGATTAGTCTGGTTTTATAATCGTTACCTTCGTTCCGTGTTTGTTGAGGATATATACAACTCTTCCTTGTTTACACTTCTACACCTGTACTAGGCTCTCCACCCTCTGCACCTTCTCCACTCTAATATTGACAAACAGGTTTGCAAACACAAACCTCGACAACAGACTATCATACAACGGTAGATGATGGTACCCCCTCGGCGCCAGGCCAACTGGCCTGATCCACTGCGCCTGAAGCGACTTGTTTTTGACCTCGAGATGCAGAAAGTTCAGCATGAGGAGGGAGGGCTTGGTGGTCAACTCGAAACGAAGCGTATCGTCCCAGGTGGGATTGAGCGTGACGCTGGAGAGAGACTTGGTGCGCCTAGCCACGGTGCCATTGAGCGTCGCCTCGACGTATAGATCGGGCGCCAAAGGTATCCGCTGACCCGAGATGACCTCGATGGTCAAATGGTATCTTTCCGGTTGCTCGTCGATCTTTTCACGGAGAGCAAGGGGCTTGAGGATGTAACCATTGCTTCCGTGAAACATGGCGTGGTTGAGCAAGGTAGACTCGTCCAGCGTTTGCCAGTTCAAAGCCACAAGCTGACACCCCGCCGACCAAGCGTCCACCGGATCATAGTTCCCCGAGCCTAGCCTTGTCGCCTTTGGGTAGACCCTTGAGATATGCCGCATATTATGCTTCACCCAAGTCCCCTTGTCCTCCTTGATGATCTTGGCCGCCGTCTTCTCCGAGACAGAGAATTGGTGAGAAGGGAGGTACTCGTTGAGCTTGGAGAAGCCTTGGTACTTGACGCCCTGGGTGTACACGAGGAGATCGGCGAGCTGAGGGGAGAAGGCGTTGGGGCGCTCGGCCTTGCCTTGAATGGAGAGACGACGGGCGAGGCGAACGAAGCCAGAATCTGAATCGGTCGAGGAAGGAGATTCGGCCGGGGGAGCCGCGAGTTGGAAGGTCTCGATCCGCGGGGACTTGAGTTCTTTAGGCGGCTTAGCCTGTTACGAGGGTTAGCAAAGAGCTGTGACTGTCATCAAAGAGACGTACCTTGAACAAAATTCTCCCCTTCAGCTGCTCCGGACTCGGCAGCTCTGTGAACCCCTGGGCCAACGGTGTAGTGACCAGCCTTTCCCCGAATACCTCTTTCAGAATCTGAGCCAGCCTTGTCTGCTGTTCAGACGTGCAGTGAATTTCGGCGGAGATGATGACCGGGTAAGGAGAGGCAACGAAGCCGTACGCCATGATAGCACGGCAGATGTCGCGAACGGAGACGCTGGAAGTGAGAGTCTTGCGGTGGTAGACGACCGGCTCAAAGTCTCCCGTCTGAACATCCACTGCAGTCTGTCAGCATCCATGCAAGCGGGCCCAAAGTGACTTACTCTCTACACATCGACATCCAGCTAGCAGCACTCTTATATACCCCTCCACGGTGCTTTCTCCCTTCCACTGGTCCCCCACGAGGTACGTGTTATGCGAGCTCGAGATGAAGTAATGCTGCAGCGGGTGCGTCATATCCTGAGGTATGTTCGGGGTGTTATCCGCCGATGACAAGAACGACGTCAAGGCCTCGAGATTCCAAACACCCTCATCTGTCTTGTACTTTTCAAATATTGCGGGGATGGTATCGACGGGGAGGCGTTGTACGTCACGGAGAAAGGTCTGAACGCGATCGAGATCGAGAGGGCCTTCCGATGAAAGCGAGGTGAAGAGTCGCTGGATGTCAGGACGGGTTTGACTGGCTTTGATAAGCTGGTGGAAGGCGGCCATATCAAACGTCTCCTGTGGAATCATCAGCAAGATACGAGTGATCAATGCCAGCGAACATACTTCGCTCGATTCTCCAAGTTTCTGATTGATATGCAGTCCGATCTGCGCACAGAGTGCTTCGGCCTTGGCCTTGTTGATCGCCCTCGTACCCAACGGCCATAGCTGCCTAATCCAGATCATGTCCGGGTCTGTCGGGGTCACGTCTGACACTTGACGGTCTAGCGTTATGGATACAAGCTCTTTGAGAGCCTTGACCCACATGCTGTAAGTCTCATCCGTGAGGGCAATCATGTGGAGGACCTTCCACTGCTGCTCGCGGACGTATACGACAGTAATCCAGCGAGTGCTGTTGTACGTATCAGTCGGGGGCTGGCCGAGGCGAAGATCACGAATGTCGTTGATAGGGACTGGAGTGTGCAACAGGAGAAAGAGAAGAAACACGTGCTACCAGTCAGCCCTAGCCTCTCTACGAGGGGAACCGCTACCAACCACGACTGTCTTTCTTGGAAGACCACAGTATACATCCATTTCTGATCTTAAAGATTACTTGTTTGATCTTTCGCGAAGAGATCTTGAGCATAGGGATGCCCTGTGCTAATTGTGGCGGGATGACACTGGGGTCGGATTCCATTTCGAGGGCACCGGAGGGTGTGGCGGGTGACATGATGTTTGGTAGGGTAAGGCGGCGGCGGCGGGGCGAGGGTATCGATTCGAAACTCTTGAAGGTATCTGGCGCAAGCAAGACGGATTGTTGTATCGTAGCCGGGTTCATCGTAATTGGGCGTTCTGTGCATATTGCGTCAGCTCGAATTCATCGTAATGATATACACCAAACAAAGAATGCAAAAAGAGTCCTCATCCATGTAAGAATACATATTGACTTCAGCCCCATAAGGGTCAGTCTTAGCATGGAAATTTTTCTTAATCATTGGGCTCGTTGCCCCAAGCAGCAAGGGCGATAAGATTGAAATGGTTCTGGCACTTACGCATTGCACGTTGATCCTTGCCAAGAGATTGGGTTGGACGTGCAGCGCAGCAGAACGCGATGGATGAACGAGTATGAGAAAGCAGGCTTACATTCTGATCTAGTTACTCTCTTTGACCTATGGAAAGTCCATTGTTCTGTGGTCGACCTGTCGATGTGGCTATCAAACGAAGGCTTCATTAGCATCTGCGTCATGCGTTCTATTGCCAAGACCGGAACAGAAGATATTTATAGAAGAAAGGTTGATAGAAGTGGCTCAGCACGCAACATTTGGCTTGTGCAATGGTCAATCTGCAGGGCGTCCCCCACGCATGGGATAGAGGCCAGTAAGACTGGGGCGACATAATGATCGTCATAGCCGGGGAAAAGAAGAAGACGGAGAAGACGGCGGGGTAAAAGGAGGTGATACTCACAAGACACGGCGGGAAACTGGAGAGCGGCGAAATGAGACGAGCTAGGGACTATATACCATATGGAAAGCGGTGTTGAGATGCAAAAGAGAAACGCCAGGGAACAATTTGTTGGCTGCCTCGCATCGGGGGCGTGTTTCTATGCCACGTCACTCGTCAGTCAGCGTTACGTAACTCGGCGCTTCGGTGCGCCGCGCCGCGGGACCAAACTAGCACGGGAACGATAACCGGCTCCCCAATCACAAGCATCGTCCGTGCGCACATCTCGAAAAAGTCAATCTACTGCAGAAACATCACTCAACGTCTCTCGTCAGCAAAACACGCCCTCGCAGCGGTCTGCCTCGGTCTCAACATCGCCCACACGAGCGGCCATCCTTGCCTTCATCAAACAGCGCCTCTGTTCAGAAAGTCGAGCCCACGCACTCTTGCATTTGTCAGCACCTCTCGTACGACCACTCCTTGCGGCTCAATCAAAAGATACTCCTCTAAGAGACTCAAGAAGACTTTGCTGTACTCGGGACTAGCGTGCGCGCCGAACCAATTGCAAGCACGCTAGTACACAAGATCCAACCATGCCAGCTCAATCGCCTATGCCCGACATCTCTATCCCCCAAGCGAGACGCATCGTGGTAGATACCACAGGGGCACAGATCGTCCAGGAAGAATCGCCAGCAGTGAGTCTTCTCTCATCCTTTGTGTGGTATGACGCGGTCGGTTGATGAATTCCTAGACCAGAGACTCTCGGGGGATCTACCTGCCACATTATACGGAGCCCGTGTCGCATATTGCTATCGACGTAAGTGGCTTTTGTTACCAAACCAAGCTCTTCTTATATCTTGCAGATCGGTGGATCGCTCGCCAAAGTCGTCTACTTTACCCGTTCGAATCAGCCCCTCTCAACCTCTCCGCCCTCATCCGGCACAACCTCCCCATTCCTTCCCCCTTCTCAATTCGTGGCCCAGCCGGCTCCATTGGTCAATGGGGAAGGCTCCAGCCACTCCCCAACCGACTCTCCTGCTCTCAATCCCCATACACATGCCCCCTTCGATCCATCGCCGCCCGAGCAGCGACGACCCACTCTAAACGGTGCTCTGACGCCTGCTACGCTCGCAGAAAATGACGGCAAAATCGCTCTACCGAAAAGCAAGCGCAAGGCTCGCAAAGCACACGAGCGCCACTCCTCCACGGCGCCCCTCCCCGGCGGTCTCTTGAACTTTGCCAGGTTCGAGACCGAAAACATTGAAGAGCTCATCACTTTTCTGCAAGAGCTGATATCGTCTTCGGCAACTGCCAACAGGGTATCGCTGGAAAAGATGAAGCAGAATGTAAAGGTCATGGCGACAGGAGGAGGAGCGCACATGTACCATGATGTGCTCACAGAGCAGCTGGGGGTGGAAGTGCATCGGGAAGAAGAGATGGAGTGTCTGATCCGAGGGCTGGGCTTTGTGACTAGAGTTCCGGAAGAAGTGTTCTGGTTCTCCGAGGAACTCGTATACAAAGTCTCCCACCTCAGCACCAACGCCGACAACGAAGTCGAAACCACCGAATCCCTCACTATCCCTCCATCTGAACTTCCCAGACCATCACCCACACCACCAGCGTACCAAGTCACTTTCGCGCCCACGCCGGCAGAGGATGACCCTATGCCTCACTTCCCGTGTCTGATGGTGAACATTGGAAGTGGAGTGAGTATAGTCAAGGTGGATGAGGATGGGAAACATGAGCGAGTCAGCGGAACGTCCCTGGGTGGAGGCACGCTGTGGGGCCTGCTGAGTCTTTTGACGGACGCAGACAGCTTTGACGGCAAGTCTCATTCTATGCTGTTTCCCAAATGAAGCTGACGCTGACCGTTCGTAGAAATGCTCATGCTCTCCGAGAAGGGCGACAACTCTGCTGTCGACATGCTCGTTGGGGACATTTACGGGCAAGACGCCAACATCTTTGGACTGAAGTCATCCACTATCGCTTCCACTTTCGGCAAAGTGTTCAAGAAGGGATCGAATGCGGACCGGAAGAAGAGGTTCAAGCCGGAGGATATTGCAAAGAGCTTATTGTATGCCATCAGTAACAACATTGGGCATGTTGCGTGAGTATCGTTCTCGCTGGATGGGCTCATGGGAGCAATGCCGATCATTCACAGGTACATGAACGCTGCCAAATATGGGCTCGACAAGGTCTTCTTTGGCGGATGCTTCATTCGAGGTAAATCCTTCTCGTACTCCAAAGCGTGACATGCTGACAAGGCTGTAGGCCACGCTGCTACGATTTCCACACTTTCCTATGCTATTCGATTCTGGAGCAAGGGCACCATGACGGCTTGCTTCTTGCGGCACGAGGGCTTCCTGTGAGTCATTTGTCCCTTCCTAATCCCACAACAGGCTGACGATCGTTCCAGCGGCGCGATAGGGGCATGGATAAAGAACGTTGGTGAGACGGACGAACGTGGCAGCCCGGTATCCCGCGTGAGAGAAAGGAGCAATTCTACGGATGGGCTGGATGAGAAGACCAATGGGACCGCACTGGGGGCCAAAGGAGAGGAACAGCAGGTCTAGGCATGGAAGATCTGGAGTAGTGGTCTGTAAGTACCGTAGTACTGTAATCCGCAGTACGGCATGAACATCGTCTGCATTGAGCGTTTATTATACGCCATTACAGAAGCATAACAATGGACGAAACACCACATACAGCATACTGATTGTGACTAGATGCAGAAACACGTTCCACCAGCGCCAGCTGGTCGTCAGGAGGTCGTCACTAGGTCTGGCACATCTATCGGTCTTCTCGTCACTCTCAGCAAGGTCTATTCAGCACCCTGCCACCCCTCTCCCTGATCGCCATTCACTGTCGGCTCCAGATTCTCAGCTACGAGGGTCGCTCTCTGGACAACATGGCGGCCGTTTCTACTAGGGCCTATCTTCCTCTCGAAGATGGCGTGGATCCCCTCGATTACATGCCCTCCCACTCCCATGTTTTCCTTCCCGTGTTCTCCCAGCGCACGGGGAATGTCATCCCTCAGATATTCGGTGGCTATGATGACACACTGAGCTATCCGGAAGCATCAAAGTACTACGTGCTCTTCACTACTGTGGTTATGGAAGATTGTGGGCGATATTGGGATCAGAGGTAAGCCTGAAGCAATCTAATTCCCGCCTCATCAATATTCACGGTTTCACAGCGAGGATGAAGAAGTGCTGTTGAATTTGTCCACCAAAGACAAGTGAGTACGATGGGCCCATCCTCGTCAACATTTTGCCACCACGTATCAATGCTGACTTGCCACCAGATTGCCCGAGACTTACCTCAACAAGTTTGCACAGTTCGCGTACAGTGAAGCGGGCCAGCCTTTACCTCACGAATTTGTCACCTTTGTCAAATCGTTCAACGCACTGGCCGGTATGGATGACGACCATATATAACGATGTGAGCTACTTCAACAGGGCACCGATTCTGGATCTTATTGATAAACTCTCAGTTGCAAGTGGAGACTGCGCTTGACTCTGAAGTTCAAAAGGCTTCCGCCAAGCTCTGTGTCTTGATCCCTTCCCAGAGGCCATCATCGACGCTTTCACCAAGCTGCACGAATGCGGTATTGTCCACCAAGGGTGTACCTGGCCAAGGCATGTTGCAAAGCACCCTATCGATGGTGCTCCTCGCATCCTCGACTTTGAGGCTGCAGAGTACGTTGGCCTCGAGAAGCGAGACAGTCGACGTGCGGACTTCAACAAGGAGATGCTGGCTGTGTGGAGGATGGTAGGCGAGGATGTGAAGGGACAGGATGGGACGGAGAGACTATGAAGGCCCATAGAGGGGTATCGGATCTGTGGGCATTGGTGGTCGGCGTGAGCGGAAACTTACGAGAGAGTCCGGGTTTGGAAGATTGGCAGAGGAGTTCATTCATGAAAATACGATTCACAAGTCGACTCATAAGGTCTCATGTATAGCATCGTTGGTGGATCTCAGTGTTAAAAGCCACGTACCAATCCAGGACGGACTGCGTTGAACATTTGTCCACCAAAAAGTGTGTCACGAGCCCATTTGAAATGCATATCTGCAACCCTCTACCATTCTTCACATAGCTTCCTCTAATCCGCCCGATATCTAGAAGATGATGACGTTCTGGTCACGGCCAGGGCCGACACCAACGTACTGAGTCTTGACACCAAGGTACTCGTCGATGAAGGCAATGTACTTCTTGGCGTTCTCGGGGAAGTCCTCGTACTTCTTGACGCTGGAGATGTCGGTCTTCCAACCGGGGAGGGTGGTGTACTGGACCTCGACTTGAGCGAGTCGGTCAAGGTCGGCTATGTTACAGTCAGCAGAGACTCGCACCTGGTTGAGATAAGAGACGTACCAGGGAAGCCCTCGATCTCGACACCGTCAATCTTGTAGCCAGTAGCAACCTTGATCTCATCAAAGCCGTCAAGCACATCAAGCTTGGTGAGGTTCAAGCTGGTGTAGCCGTTGATCAAAGTGGAGTACTTCATGACGACCAAGTCCAACCAACCACATCGCCTTCTCCTGCCGGTAACGGTACCGTACTCGGCACCAACCTCCTGCAAAGTCTCTCCGACAGAGTTCAATTGCTCAGTAGGGAAGGGACCACCACCGACACGGGTAGTGTAGGCCTTGATAACACCGACAACCTTCTTGAGAGCGAAGGGAGGGATACCGAGACCAGAGATGACACCACCGATGGAAGTGGAAGAGGAGGTGACGAAGGGGTAAGTTCCGTAGTCGAGGTCCAACATGAGGGCGTTGGCGCCTTCGACGAGGATTCGCTTGCCAGAGCTGATGGCCTTGTGCATGTAAGTGGGGCCATCGACAATGAGAGGTCGGAGACGCTCGGCGAAAGCCAAGTAAGCCTCGATCTCGCCCTCAGTGTCAAACTCGAAGTGGCCGTATCGCTTGAACCTGCCGTCGACGAGCTTCCTGAACTTGGTAGGGAAGGTGGGGTCGAAGAGGTGGTGCACACGAAGACCGGATCGAGAGGCCTTGGAAGAGTAGGCGGGTCCGATACCCTTTCGGGTGGTGCCGATGGATGAGCCACCGAGCTCGACTTCCTTGAGGCCGTCGACGATCTGGTGGAAACCCATGACGAGGTGGGCTCGGTCAGAGACAAAGAGCCGGCCGGCAACCTTGAGACCTGCTGGTTGTCAAAACACGTTGTCTGGCTCAGGGAGGAGATACGTACCCTTTCGCTCAAGAGTGTCGAGCTCGTTGAAAAGAGAGGGGAGGTGGACAACGACACCGGAACCGATGTAGGCGGTACAGGTGGGGTTGATCAAACCTGTATCACGTCAGCCACGATCAAAAAATCGTTATCGGGGCAACGCACCACTGGGTAAAAGGTTGAAGGCGTAGCTGGTCTTCTCGCCCTTGTCATTCCTGACGACGATGGTGTGACCAGCATTGTTACCACCAGCACATCGAGCACAAATGTCGGCTTCAGCAGCGAGAATATCGACGAGCTTGCCCTTCCCTTCGTCACCCCACTGGGCTCCGAGACTGTTCAAAGTTAGTAGAGCCAAGACAAGCACTTGGAATGAGAACGCACACGACAGAGACTCCCTCCGGGGCTGTGGGCTGTCAGCGTGGATACCATATGACCTGGGTTGACTTACATGGAGCCATCTTTGTAGTAGAGTTTGTTTGTAGTAGGACCTCGAGAGGTAATCGAGGAAATGGATTGGGCGAGTCGAAGAAAAGAAAACCCCAGCGGCGGCATCCGGCGCCCTAATCTGGGGCCTTTCAGGGCTTAATTATTGAACAGAGGGTTAATAACACGTCACGCCTCCACTTTCACTCTCCGCACCACCCACAAGGACATTTCGGGCGAACGTGTAGCGAGATTCACTTTTATCGTAGACAGTAGACCGTAGAGGAGAGCCACATGGTCATTCCCAGCCTTCTATTCCAGCATCTGCCTCTTCGGGGGCTCAAATCCCTGCCTCGCTCGCCCAGGGCTTGGTCTCAGCACATCCGAAATGTCCACTCACTGAGAGATCTGCCCCGACCGACCGAAGCTCAGCTGGCAAGGTACGTTCTCGCCGGGATGCCTATTGCAAGCTAACATACTGCTCCACAGGAAGCCTAGGTTGGTGCCCTTCGAGCCCCCAGAAGCCGAGTCGTCCGCTATGGCTGAAGCGCGCTTCACGCCTCCTTCGTCAGTCCATTCGAGGTAATGCGTGAAATGCAGCTCACGGTATTTTACAGCCATCAAACGTCGAAATGGACATCACAGCCGGATACTGTTCTGCTTATTCAAAAGAAAGATGACCCTCGTACCACTGCTGCGATGGGAGAAATGCTCCAGTAGGTCAAACCATACCAGGTCTAGCAAGGACGTATCTGTTACCAAGACATGCTGACGTTGTTCTAGCTTTATACGAGACAACTATCCCCATCTCCGCTTGATTGTCGAGCCCCATACTGCTCATGACCATCCCTCTTTCGACAACCTCATCGTTGCATCTCAAGAAGAGCAACCCTTGCTCCCTCTTCACACGTCTCTCGTGGTCACTTTAGGAGGAGATGGTACGATACTGCATGTCTCAAATCTCTTCTCGCAGGGAGAATGTCCGCCTGTATTGAGTTTCTCAATGGGATCTCTGGGGTTCTTGCTGCCATTCCGTAAGTCGCCGCCATTCTACTCTCATGATCACCACTCATGCGAGATATAGATATCGATTCTCTCGCCTCCGCCCTTGGAAACACTTTGACAGGCCCCGTATCGCTGCTCAATCGAATGCGGCTAGCTTGCAAACCACTGGACGTTGAAGGGAATCTCTTGAGTCGTTGTACCAAAGCTGGTGAGCATTTTTGTGTTCTCCAAATGACCAATCTGATCAAGCGATCAGTGGGAGAGAACGGGTGGCAAGTCATGAACGAGGTCGCCCTCCACCGTGGCCGACACGCCCACCTCACCGTAGTCGATACCTATTTTGACCGACAACATCTTACTGAAGCTGTTGTAAGTTCTCTCGTCTCCACGCGCCTGTTCCCTTGTTGACTTTTGATCGTAGGCCGACGGAATCCTCCTGTCAACTCCTACAGGATCCACCGCCTACTCTCTCTCCGCCGGCGGGCCCATATCTCATCCCGAAACAGATGCTTTCCTCCTCACCCCTATTGCTCCCCGCTCGCTCAGTTTTAGGACTGTCATTCTCCCCGGCCGGGGAGAAGTCAAGCTCGAGGTAAGTGCCCTCTCCTTTCCTTTCCTGCTCATGCTGACCCGCGGTCTGCAATCAGATTTCACCCCTCGCCCGCGCAGCAGCAGAACTATCAATAGACGGCCGAGATGTCTGCAACCTGACCTCTAAAGAATCTGTAGTCATCACAAAGTCGCCCTTCCCCATACCCTGCGTAGAAAGGTCGGGAGGAGAAAGCGGATGGGTCAAGGATATCAAGTGAGTTGACTCTAGACTGATTGACAAGAGAAGCTGATGGCGGTGCACAGTTCGTTACTGCAATTCAATGTGGGGTTCAGGAATAAGAGTGTGATGGGGCACAGCTCATAGAGTGTGATGGGATCCAGACATGCATCTATAATAATAACAAGGTTCTTGCAGCTTAATCCAGCCGTTATCGCGCCGAGCTGCAGCCTAGATTTCGTTGGTCCTGGATTGATTGTATACATCTAAAAGTCCATCATTGGTCTACACAATTTTGAATACCCAAAAGCTGACATATATACAACTCGATTACTTTAGCTCGTAGCCCGCGCCAGTCGGTCTGACCATCGCTTTTGTAGTGTTATCCCTGCACCTCTTCAAAAACTTGAACAACGCGGTCCCGCCAGTCCCTCTCAGCTCTCCCGTGTCTACCTCTATCTTCTCTTCCTCAGGCTCTTCCACACCCAACAACGCCCTGACCCTTTCTCCCGGCTGTCGTCTCGCCTGCTGCACAATAAACTTGCTGACAACCCTCATGTGCCTCTCCCTAAAGCGCCTCAGCGCCTCGAGCGTCCCATCGTAGGCCTCTGCCAGAGCAGGGTGCGACTGGGCGCAGTGAATGACGAGGGGCCGAAGCGGCGTGGGGTGAGTGGAGAGGTGGATGAGGAAAGAGCGGTGAGGGAGGGGCATATAGGCAAGCATGCGCTGGAGGAACGTGGCTTCTGATTTAGGCTTGTTGAGCGCATGCGCGGGAGCCTGCTCCTCGGTAGCGCCGACGGGCGTACTGTCCATCTGGATACTCGCTCCACTCTCCTCTGGCCTGTTCTCCGCCGCTTCCATCGCTTCCCGGCGCTCTTCCTCTGTCGGCGAGTGGTCGACTAGCAGGAATACGTCGATAGCGTGGATGAGCGACGACTGCCCGGCACTCGGACCGGAAAAGAGCTTGCCGCGTTGGCCTTGGGTGCTTGCGCTCTCGGCCTCGTGCGTGCTAGACTCGGCTTCACCAGAGGCAAGACCAAGATAGTCCCATCCAGCACTCCCAGGCCCGTCGCCATCGCCACCGCGGAACCACGGCCGAATCAAGTGGTAGAAGTCTTCCGGATCGACCTCCTTCATGAGGGTCATGGTGATGTCCCCTACACGGTCGATCTGAGCTGCGAGCTTGCGAAGGTAGACTGTCAGTCTCCTAATAGCAGTCGCATCTGCAACGAACAGTTCGTCGAGGGATCGACGCATCAGACCAAGAGCCTCGGCACCTGCAATCTCGCATAGTGACGAGATGAGGTAGAACTGCTCTTCGGAACGGGTGTTGGTGAATGTGGTGATGATATCACGGGGTGGGTTCCCTGGTAACGAGGACTGAACAGCAGGGTTGACGGGAAGAAAGTTCCACAGTACCGTGTCGGCATAAGTGAGGATGGGCGGTAGGCCGAGCATGCGGGAGATCTCGAGGAGAGGGACAGAGATGCTCGCCGGGATGGGGACCGGCTCCTTGGGCTCGGCAGTGGACGGGGGAGAGGTGTGGGCGAAAAAGTGTGCGAGGAAAGTGAGGACGACGTGGGCCCTGCGGAGATGGGGCAGCGATGCACAGAGATCACTCGTGGGCAATACCGGTAGCTGATGATTAATCAGCAGATGGGCGTCTGCCAATCCTTCGGAACTTACAGAAGCCACACCAGCTCGCCATAGCTGGTCCTTCTCTCTCCTGCCGCCGACTTGGAGCCCATCGCCAACGCCGCTGCCTCGAGCAGCATCCAGCGCTTCCTCCCACATCTCATAGTAGCCCGACAGCCTCGCTACATTCTTGCTCGGGGGCAAGAATCCTGTGCGGACATCGACATCGAAATCGGCAGAAGCAAGGGAGGCAGTGTTGGGGGCAAGGCCATTGGAGGCTGCCGAGGCGGTGGACGGTGCGCCGGAGGGGAACTCGTAGTTGCCCTGGTTGAAGGAGGGGGCGAGGGCGAGGAAGTGGTCGGGAGGGAGCTGGGCGCGGTGGGCAGGGGGCGGGGAGGGGGTGCGTTTTGGCAACATATTGGGGGTGGGCCGGGCTACAAGGGGGGACCCTTGCTGATATACAAAACGGGAATTCTGGGTGGATACAACGGTCGCTCGGAAATGTCTGCGAGCGATTTTTCACCAAGAGACCGGTCGATCTCGGATCGGTAAACACCGGGATCAAATCACGCCTTCATCCAACTGCCACATTCCCGGCTCAGGCTATCATACAACCGATGGATTGTCGCATCCCCAGTCACACAGATGTATGGATGTGGATGCATGGCAGACTGGCTCCGTGTGATCTACAAGATGTACATACCGAATACAAGTACAATGATTACAGCTGCAATGGCCCAAGCTACCTCTTTTCCTTCCTCGGATCCATCGGCGCCATGGCCATCATCCCCATCACCACCAACTTGAACCCCAACGCTATCACCACCGCGATCCAGCTCGCCGTGTACTTGTGCATCACCGCCCCAATAAAACTCCCCGCAATCATCGCAAACACATACCCCAGCCTCCTATTCCTCGCCCCGGCCTTTTCATGCGTAAAGCCATAGAAGAGATACTTGTCGCTCACGAGATCGACATAGGACGAAGTCATCGGCGCCGTCGGGATCTCTGCGACGGAGGCTTGGCGGGCAGCGGCGACTTGGGCGCCAGACATGGCTGCAAAGAGCATGATGATGCACCATTCGTGTTTAGAGCCGAGGCGGGCGAGGGAAGGACCGGAAGGGGAGAGAAAGATGCTGGCGAGGATGAGGCAGATGATTTGGAAGAAGACGTTGGCGAGGAGCCATGCTCTCCGGCGAACGCCTATATCTAGTCAGCCAGTAATTCTGAGAGTCAATGCAATGCGAGACTTACCAAACAGATGACCAAGGTGGCCGAACACGAGAGCGCCGCTCAAGAAACTCGCTAGAGATATACCAGTCAACAATAGCTGATGGCGGGATAGTCTGACGATTGCGACTGTCAACAGGATAGTGTTTCCTGTCTGATTCGACGCAAACGTGTTGAAATCCAGCGTCGTAGTAGCGTCAAGTAGCCTACCACCCCCGTCAGCCCCATCCAATGATTAGACAAAGAACGTACCCAGTAGAGAAAGCTTGGACGATCAAACTCCAAACCAACGAGTCCGCCGTCACCGTATCCCCCATCCACCCCGCCCACCCATCACGTCTCTTCCACGGCAGCACGACCACATGCGCGTCCGTATCAGGTATATCCACATTCTTCTCATCCCTGTCTACCCTCTTGCGCTCTGCGTCTCTTGACGCGTGGCTCGAGTTGTCTTGTTGCCGTCCAAGCTCGATATCTTGGTAGCGCCCGAGAGGCTTGTCGTCGGTCATTGTAGGAGGTGATGTTGGTTCTTTGGAACGAGGTTGTTGAGCCATAGCATCTGATATAAGATGTGTCGTCGATGTAGGGGCCGAAGATAACGCAGATATGGGGTCCATCGGTAGGCTCTTTGTCCTTTGGGGTGTGTGTAGGCTGGAGCGTGGCGATAAGAGATTTGCTTTGATGAAGTAGGGATATTATAGAAGCGTCGGACCCAAGACTAGAATTTATACCCCCCTGCAAATTATTCGTCGTGCAGGACCCAACACGAATACCCTTCTGCATTTGTTGCCACCCGGAGCACTTGCAGGAGATCTCGAAGCATGCCGGACGTCATTCCAGACTCCAATACGATAATAACGAACGAAGCAAGCTGGACGGGATCAAATTGATTTGGAATGGGCTTTACGTAAACGCCGACGCGACGCGCCTGGGATCATCGCGATAATGTCGATGTTGCTGAATGCTCACTGCAGTATGTCCACGCCAACTCCCAGAGGAGCATTCATTGTGTTTGAAGGCCTTGATAGATGTGGCAAGTCTACGCAAGTCGAACGGCTGGTAGGGCAGCTGGAGAAGCAGGGGCGCAAGGCGAGATTACAAAAGTTCCCCGGTGTGCTCATCCCCTACAAGCATCAATCGATATCTAACATGGCGTAGATAGGACGACCCAGATAGGCAAGATGATTGATGCTTATCTGCAATCAAAAGCAGAGATGGACGACCATGCGATCCATCTGCTCTTCTCTGCTAACCGCTGGGAATGCGCGTGAGTAACCCAAGCTGCAAGACACTTGCTGTCGCTGATAGGCGCTTCAGAGAGGGTATCAAGAGAGACCTCGCTGCTGGGATCACTGTCATTGCTGATCGATACGCGTTCTCTGGGATCGCCTTTTCGGCCGCCAAGGTCAGTCACTCGAGACATACATCCCAAGTCCAGACTGACATCATGCTAGGGCCTCCCGTTCGACTTTTGTCTTCATCCCGACACCGCCTTGCCCCTCCCCGACCTCACACTCTACTTGACACTCCCACCAGCGTCCGCAGCCCAACGCTCCGCCTTCGGGACGGAGCGCTACGAGACGGTGGAGATCCAGCAGGCCGTGCGCGAGCAATTCAAGCTGGTGCAAGAGCAGGTGGTGCAGCGGCACGGGGAGGAGCGGTGGGTAGAGGTGAATGCAGAGGGGACGATAGAGGAGGTGGGGGAGAAAATAGGGGTGCTTGTAGCGGGGGTGGCCGCTGGGCGGGAGGGAGATGTGGGGCAGCTGTGGGTGTAGCATATGCATATCAACGTCTTTACAGTGTTACACTGTCCACTATCTGATCTGATAATACGTACGCTGTCTTGGCAGATATGATGTAAGAGCGGCCATCGCGGCCAGAGGCCGAGGAGTAAAAATGTCGAGCACCGAGAGGCACGCCGGGTGCGTCTAACCGTGGCCCGCATCATCGCCTCTTTCTTTTTCTCCATACATAATTATACATATACTGTATCTCCCATTGCCACTCCCTCCCATCCACACCCATGTCCGCCAACTCAATATCCACCCCCGTCCAGCTCGCCCCCACCATCACCGCCACCACCCCCGCCGGCCAGACCAGCCATCTCGACGTAGAAGAAGAAGTACGTACTGCCGCCCATAAAAAGTCCCCCATGATCACTTTCTCACCCACCTGCTTTGCCCCCTCCAGCTCTCCTTCTACTTTTCCTACCACGCCAACAGGATCAACCAGGTCATCCACTTTTTCTGCATCCCCCAGATCCTTTGGTGCGTGGGAAACACCTCGATGGATCCTCCCATGGATCCCATGGATCCCTTACGAGAGGATTTTCTGGCTGACATGAGCCCATCCAGGACCTGGCTCATCGTTGCTGCTCACGTCGCACTCCCGGGTGCCAAAGTATACCTCTTGGCCGACTACTTTGCCTTCCAGCTCAACCTCGCACTGGCCTTTATCACGTCCTACAATGCCTACTACATTCTCCTGGATCCCATCGGCGGTGTGAGTCTCACCCTCCTCCATCCAGGCCTCTAGCTGACATGGGGACAGGTCACATACCTCCCAATCTCCATCATAATGTACATTTCAGCCACCTTCCTCGCCACGTCTCCTCCTTCCTCCCTGCCGTTAACGGACCCCGCGGCGCCGTCTGCCATCCCCTTGGCGCTGGTCGTCCACGCCGGTGCGTGGGTAGCACAGTTCATCGGCCATGGCGTGTTTGAGAGGAGGGCGCCGGCGCTGTTTGACAACCTCGTCCAGGGTGAGTATTCGTCTTGTGCATAGGTGGTTACGTGAACTGACGAGCTGGTGATAGCACTTGTCTTGGCGCCGTTCTTTGTCCACCTGGAAGCGTTGTTTGGCATTTTCGACTGTACGTTCAACCGTCTGCTCGCCGCAAGAATCCAGCTAACATTCTGGTGCAGACAAGCCCGACATGCACAAGAAGATCAAGGCCAAGGCGGGTGTCAAGATCCGCAACATGAACCGGACCCGAGCAGCGTCCAGAGCGGAAAAAGCTGAAAAGGCGAACGAGACGAGTCCGTTGTTGTAACGTGTCCGGGCCGAGCGGAGATGGGATTATCTGCAGTGCAGTGCAATCGTGTGAGAGAAGCGATCTATACGACAGGACGATCGAGAGTATGTGTCGAGATTTTGTATATCTATTGTATAGCCATCTAGTGCTGTATACCTTATAGCTGCGTATGTATATGATCTAGTCATGATGGCAGATTTTACAGTATACATTGACGCGATACACAAGTCTACAATTGACCTAGAGCTGAGAAGAGTAGAGAACCTGGAGAAAGAGTCAGCGAGCGATCCCACCAAACTCGATTTCATCCTCCACAAAACAATCCAGCAACCCAATGAAGTCCCTCAGTGTAACTATGAACTAGGGTCCCTCATCACCCGAACGACCCCGACCACCCTCTCCGAGCTCCCAAGACGGAAGACATCGGAGCGGCCGAAGGAGTCTGGAGAAGATCGTGTCTTTTCCCGAGCATGGAACAAATGGGATAAGTTGTCGTCTTGGGGAGGGTGCTGGATGTTTTGTGAGAAAAGGAGAGGAGAGGGGCTCACGTAATGGGGTACAGTTGGGGTTTTGAGGATTGATGAGAGAAGTGACAGGGATGGAATTTTGGCCAGCTGTCTCCTCGCGCTTGCGCACAAATTCAATAAAATGCGTGCGATATATATTCCAGAGAGATCGGGACAACCTCAAAGCGTTTCGGGCCTTGTTGGATTTCAGTTTTGGTAAAAGTCAGTCAACGCAGTCTCGTCTCGCCTTTTTTTTCCTGTATATCTTGAGGCAGCGGATGTCAGAGGGACATGGCCCATCGCGCCAATCGTTTTGAGCTTGAGGCCCTGGAGGCTCGAGAGGGAGGGTGGAACATGGAACATGGATGACGATGGGGTGCCCCTCCTGTTTCCTCGGGCGTTTCGTCACGAGTACACTGCCAAAGTATCAACGGACAAGGTTTCTGAAACACAATATTATGGCTTCAAAGCGGCCTGCAGATATGAACCTCTCTTCCATACATAGTCGAAACCTCCATCAAGCGAGTCGCAGCTCCGATATGCACGGTGGTACCCGACACTCAGACAGGCATATGGGCTATGGGACACAGGATGCTTTCCCTGCCAGACTAAGCGACTGACCGAAGTGGTCGTCGTGTGTGTTGAGTGACAACTGATCGTGAGTCGAAAGAGGAGAGGGACGGCATGTACGAGACTGATCTCAATTGCAATGATGGCATTGCTACAGGGCAAGGGTTCTATCAGGGTCTTGATGAGGCGAATCTAAGAAATCACCCCTTCGCGTCCGGGGAACCGGCAGCCCCTGCCGTACTAACAAACAGCGATTACGAGGGTCCGATACCCATAAATCTTCTTCTTTCTTTGTTCTCTGTCCATCTACATATAGGTATACCCCGCCATGGCCCACTGAGGCCGCCCTCCCGCAAAGCCCCCCCGCCCGCGTTCTCCCCGGCCTCGCCCGCCATACAATGGGCAACTGCGTGTCCGCCCCATCCTCATCATCATCGCCCTCTGACATCCCCCCTCCCCGCCGCCCAGCACTCTCCACCGACGGATCCTCCAACCCCAGCCCGAGCCCGTCCTCCCAAGGGCCGCAAACACCGAAAAAGGGCAAAGGACGCGCGCTGTCACATCGGTCTGGTCTGTCGACATCGTCCATCATGGCTTCCCATCCCCTGCTCGCCCTGCGTCACTACGCGACGCTCTCGAACCCACAAACATCCCTCCCTGCAAACAAGCTGCTGTTTGCCAACTATAACACGATGGCAGTGTTTGATGCATACCCAAAGGCAAGGTATCATCTCTTGGTATTGCCGCGGTACCCATTCTCCTCCCAATCCGATCCTGACGGGGACGAGTCTATCGTGCCGCTCGAAGCACTCGACGATCTCAAGAGCTTGCTGCTCAAGGGCGGAGAGTATGGACGGGAGGAAGTGCTGCGCGCGATGGAGGAGACGGCGAGAGAGGTCGAGGAGATGATCAGGGATGAGATGCTCAAGACGGAAGGGTTTGCTTGGCGAGTCGATGTCGGCTTCCATGCTGTCCCATCCATGAAGTGAGTCCACCTCAGACTGTTGTGGGTCATGCTAACTGTCATAGGCATGTGCATCTCCACGTCATTTCCGACGACCGTATCTCGCCGTCCCTCAAATCCAAAAAGCACTACAACTCTTTCCGCCCGGATCTCGGCTTCTTCATTCCCATCATGGAGGTCCGGAGATGGCTGCAAAACGAACAAACATTACAGGAGCGTGTTGATGTACGTTTCCATTTCAAGTCGCTACGCGCAAGAGCTGATAGAGCCTTATAGGCGTTGGCCGCGACGACCTCGCTCCTCAAAACCCCACTCACCTGCTTTAAATGCGACGAGCCAATGAACAATATCGAAAAGCTCAAGACGCACTTTGAAAAAGAGTTCAACAAAGAACGAAAAGATGCCCTGCGTTATATCACCCGGTACGGGCATCAGAAGGGGAGTGACGACGATATCTTTTAGGCCGATGGGTGTACTTTTTCTCCATTTTGTTTCTTTCCTTTGGACGTGGGGTTTCAACTGGGTCTCGTATACCTCTGTATCAATTCCTGTACCTTCTCTTTCTCTAGTGACGACTGTGATGGCGTTCTATGGAGATCTGTATCGATAGCGGGGCGTGGTGATTTGGGCTTATATCAATGCATGAATACGTGACAAAGTATGCTCCGCTTTCGTGACTGCCTGTGCTGTATTGCAAAAGCACAATACACTATGATCTATCTGCCTGGGCAGCCTCCAGCTTGGCCCAGAAGGGGTGTTCAGCCCACCCATCCATCGGTCGCGCAACCACTCGCCGTCTCACGCCCACCTCCTCGTCACCCTCCTTCCTCTGCGAAGCCGGTACCAGATACCATATCCGTTCCACCCCCATGCTCGTCAAGTAGTCTCTCATCTTGGGATAGTTGAGGCCGACGTATGAGACGCCATGTGAATCGTCAGAGAGACAGATCTTGCCCCGGAGCTCTTGGATCAGCTACAGGGCGTCAGCGGCAGTTTCGCAGTTTCCGTTACAGGGCTGAGGGCTCACCTGCAAGATGTCCTTGCCGGGATAACTCGTGCCCCATCCTTTACGGATAGCAGCAGCATTCGCCTCAAACAACCCTCCATACCGCACCACAGCCCTCACATTCCTCTCCACCTTTTCCCACACCCCTTCCATGCCCTCGGCTTTCAAATCCAGCCCAGGCGTCCAGAGAGAGCAGAGATCAATGTGCCCGAGGACTTCCGGGGTGTGGGTCGTTATGAGGGTGTGTTGGGCGTCAAAGTAGTTGGAGAGGAAGGGTATGAGGGTTTCTGGGGATGGGGTATGGGATGGCTGGAGTTCGGGCAGGGTTTGGTCCCCCAGCTCGAGCTTTGGAGGAGGTCCCGGGTCCATCGTCCGTCCTTCTCCTCCCTCCGCACTAACCTTGACCGCCCTCAGCCATGTAGGTCTATCAAAGTCGATGGATACGCCATTCACATGGTGCACGCTGCCCACCACATAATCGATCTCGTGGTGTTCTTCCAGTATGCTTGTGAGGTTTGTGCAGTCCAGAGGGGTGATGTAGTCGGTTTCGATCGATATGAGGAGGGAGATGGCGTGGGCGTGGGTGGAGCGGAGGGAGGCGGCTTCGTGGAGGAATGATGTGTAGGCTGTGGACAGGTCGGCGGGGGTCAGGTCTGCCTGGCGAAGGAGTGAGCAGTGGCACGGCAGCAGGGGAGGCCCATACCTCCTCCGGGAAGAGGTCCTCGATGCGGTACCTGGGGGCATGCTCGCTCAGTCCGAACAGGTGGAAGCCCTGGCGGATGGCCTCGAGGACGACGTGGCCGAGGGTGTCTTGTGCGTGGCGGCAGAACTGGCCCGAGTGGGAGTGGTGGCTGTGCGGCATGGCGAGAGCAACAGTGACAACAGTGACAACACAGACTAGAGTTGCGCAAAAGTAGCGCGACTGGCCTACACTGTATATGTATGTATGCATCCCTGGCCGAGGCTGAGGGTCCCAGAGCAGATAGTATATAGCATGCACCCCATGCATCCCATCCCATGCATCCCATCCCCCATGGCCCTCCTCCCGACAGACACAAAGCACATCCTCATCGTCCCCGCCGCCATGTGGTACGTCCCCTCCGACATAGCTACCAGGCTGACCATGCCCAGGGGGCACTTCCGCCCCCTCCTCCATCTCGGCATCAACCTCCTCACCCTCCACCCAGACCTCCGCGCCACCTTTCTCATCACCCCCTCCATCGCCCCGCGCCTCGAAAAGGACCTCGAGCAGTTGGTCGCCGACCTGACTATCGGTACCACGCCCGTGGCCGAGAGGCTCCAGACCATCATCTGTGTGCCTAAAGGTTCTGATGCGTCCAGGGAGTTCAAGGCCGAGGATATGGGTAAGGAGGTTGTCGAGTTTGCCAGTGTGATGCCCGAGATCATCAGCGGCTTGTACGATGCCAATTATAATAGCAACGGGACATTGAACAAGTTTGAGGGATTGCCTCCCAGCTTGGTCCTCTACGACGTGAGTCTTGTATACCCAAGAGATCAAAGCTGACACTGCCACAGATGTTCCAAACGTTCGTCCCAGACATCATGGTCAGTACTCTCGAATCTCTCAACATTACCGTCCCGCCTCTGGTCATGTTTGCTCCCTGCTCCCCTGCCTCCGTGTATCAGTAAGTCATCCCTCGAGCCAGAACCTTCTCGTATGTACATGGCTGACATCAACAACAGCTTATTCGGCCCCGAAGAGAAGGGAGGATCCTTTGCGAGGCTCACGCGGTTGGCCGAGGAAGACATTGCCATGGGCGTAGACCCCATCGAAGCTTATGCAAAGGTATGTGTCCTTCCATGTATTGTATGTATCGTCGCTGATCGGTCACCCGTGCAGTATGCATTCAGGGGTACTGGGCAAGTACTGCCTCTTCCAGGTCTGCCTGCCAAATTCGACTGTGAGCTCTCCCTAGTATCTTTTGACATGGCTGACCCTATGCCACAGACGAATGGTGTACGCTTATCATATATAAATGATATTCCCAGCTGACTCTTCACAGGGCCGCACAAGGATACAGTCCCAATCAGCGGCCACGTCGTCTCAGCTTGCATACCTGCTCTCAAAGCCTTCTTGCACAAGAATACAGTCGCCATCGCCATCGCCTTTGCTGGAGAGTTGGAATCAGAGGCAGTGTCCGCTCTCGAGGAAGTGTTTAGCGACAAGACCATCTACACTGTTGGGTACGTCGTGCCATCCTGCTGTGGTGTCTCGAGACTGACAACGTATCCAGCCCTCAGTTCCCAGAAGAGATGTGGGAAGGCGACTTTTCTGTCAAGGCGGGCAGCGATGACGACAAGCGAGTCATCGCCTTCCTCGACCAGATGAAAGAGAAGCACGGCTCAAACAGCGTATGCTACATCAGGTACCGTCTCCTCACTCTTGCTTGGCCATCTACTAACGCACCTTCACCCAGCTTCGGCTCCCTCTTCTTCCCCATCTTCCGCCCCGAACTCATCCGCTACATCCTCAGTACACTCCAAGAAACCGGCGTCCCCTTTGTCTTTGCCTACGCTTCTGGAATCGCGCCCGTGCCCATCGAGCTTATTGAAGAGTTTGCGGGGCTGGAGGATGCCTGTTTTGTCAAGTTTGCGCCTCAGTGGGCGGTTTTGAAGCACCCGGCTACTGGGTTCTTCCTTGTGCGTTTCTCTTTTGTGTGTAGGTGGGACACGTTTGCTGATGGTATTGTAGACCCACTGTGGTAGCAACAGTACCCACGAGGTGAGTCAACTTGATCTTTCACCTTATCCGCGCTAACGCCAATGACAGACAATCACGGCCAAAGTCCCCATCGTCTCCATGCCCTTTGCAGCCGACCAAGGCCAGATCGCCTCCCTCCTCACCGACGTCCTACACGTCGGCATCGACCTCAAACAGACCAAGACATTCATCAACCCGCCTTTCAACAAGCTCTACGACGGGACTGTTATCGAGGGCACCGAGAGCGCGATCAAGGATGAGATGAGGACGGTGTGGAAGAGGATGAAGGGGAAGGAAGGGGAGGAGATGAGGGTGAGGATGGGCGAGGTGAAGGAGAGGTTGAGGAAGAGTTTCAATGATGGGAGGGGGAAGCAGGATATGATCAAGTTGGGCGAGTGTCGATTGTAGTTGTCTTTTAGCACGCGTACCGCTGTACACAGAATTCTTGTTGAATGAACAGATAGACGGCAGTACCATGAAAACATACAGTCAAGGCGTTCGTCATGACGGGACGAGCATCGCTTCAAGTCATACACAGTGCAGCACGAGTATGTCATGTGTCATGTGTCATGTGTCCGCTTATAACGATATACGAAAAGACGAATGAATGAGAAACCCTATAATCCATCACAACATGTCCGTCCGCAAAGGACCAAAGAAGGGGTCCAAAGATATATAACTGTACTACCTATCGAAGTAAGAAAAAATAATGTTAAAAACAAGGAAGAACAGGGAAAGACATGTAGAAGGTCAACAAGGGGGCGTACGAAGTTGACAGAACCGTCTCTATCTACCTGAGCGAGACTATTCTGAGGGGATTGTAACAAGGGGCGATAGAGTTCAAGAGTTTGACCAAGGAAAAGATGGAGGGGTTTCGAGAGGGGCATGAACGTGTCGGGCAGGAGACGACATGCAAGCATGGGCAGAGAGAGTTTAGACTTCGGTTGTGGAGTTGAAGTACTTGACAGAGGCGACCTGGTAATAGACGTCAGCTCATGACTCGAACGCGAGGGCGATTACTCACCTCCCAGTAAGCCTCAGTAAAGGCAGAGCCCTGGTTGAGGACATAGTCGGCACAAGTGGAATAGCCAGTGGAGGCAGCGCAGCTCTGGCTTTGGCCGGCATAACCAGCATTGTTCCAGACAGAGTCGCCACCGGCCCAATCTCCACAGAGGCTGATGTCGAACTAGCAAGAGGTCAGCGAGAGCCCAGAGCGTAGACGACGGCAATACTCACAATGTTGAAGTGGTCATAGAAGAACTGGTAAGGGTCGCAGCTGTCAGAGACAAAGTTGGCAACAGGAGTACCCCAGCTGGAAGGGTCGGGGGTGTTGCTGTCAATGTCGGAGGGGATAGAGCCTCGCTGGAAGAACCAGACAGTGATACCAGCCCTGCTCCATCGCATGGCGTACACACCACCCCTGTTGCTGTTGAAACTAGCACCGTAAGAGTTGTCGCTAGTCTCATCACGAGCGCCACAACCCTGGTTGGAAGTGTTGCTGGCGGAGCAGTCGTAAGAGTCGTAGTCGCCAGTGGTGAGGGTGCCCATCATGTTGTCCTGGATGTTGTTGGGCATGGTGCAGCCGACACCAGTATGGAGGGAGACTTGGTTCTGGTCAAAGGCGTTGACACCCTCGAGAATATCAATCTCGCCACCCTCGGGCCAGTTGGGACCGTTCTGCCACCAGGCAGGCCAGGTGCCACAGCCAACGGGCATGTGGTAGGCGTCCATGATGACAAGACCACCGGTGAAGCTGGACATGATCAGCATTCGAACACTCGAGGCGCTGATCGACTTACACCTTGTTACCGTGAATACGGACAGAATTTCTGGCAGTAGAGACGACTTCGGTGGTGTCGACAGACATGACGGCGCGGTTATCAGAGTTGATCGCCACGAGACCCGAATTCCAGGCATCGGAGGCAGACTGGTAGTCGACGGTACCGTGAGTGGGATCAGTGTAAGACCAGAAACTCCAGTTGTCGAAAAAGCTGCTTCCGGACTATGATCAGGTCAGCTTTGATCTCCAACTGTAAGGTTTAGACACGCACCCATTCTTCCACTAGAGACCAGGAGCTCGAGGTCGCCGCACTGTTGGTACCGTTACTGGAGCCAGTGGAGGAGGCAGAAGCCCAAGTGGCGGAGGCAGTTCCAGTGGCAGTCTGCGAAGCGGTAGAGGCGGCAGTAGAAGAACCACTGAACTTGGCTTGGCAAGACCTCTTCTTGTTCTTTGCCTTTCGCACGAGACGCTTGTTCTGGTTACGAGCAGCGACAGGCGAGTCGCTTCGTCGAAGTTCGGCTGCGATATCGCGGTGAGAGAGTCCAGCGCGCTTGGCGTGGGCAGGCTCAAGCTTGATAGCAGAGATCACCGGGACGGCGGCAAGGATGGGGATGATGGTGTTGGAGAAGAGCATTGTGGGGAATTTGGTAGTGGTAGGAGACTGGGGTTATTGTTGTTTGTTGTTTGACAAGATGAACCGCCTGGGATTGACTTGTGCTATAATGATGGTGCTTGACCTGTGTAAAAAGTGTCGACAGTAATGGGGAGTGACCGGCGTGGCGCGCAGCGATTGTCCGGTGCTGTTGGAGGATTTGGCAGGGGCGGGGCGGAAGATGCGAGGCAAGGCGAGGGTGGGAGGAGGGCGAGGGTGCAGATGCGAAAGCCAAGAGTGGCGTGGGGGCACAGTGGCAACAAATGTGTGATGGGCGATGGCGCAGTGCCATTGTTCGTCGTTCGGAAGTTTCGCAACAGGCGAAAGGGGCGCGTGTGTGGATGAGATCAACGGCGGAGGTAGTCACAGGCGAGGCGGCGGCGAGGGCGATGAGAGCATGCGGAGAGGGGCAGAGAGGAGAAGGTCTGTCAGCCAGTGTTCTTGCGATAGCTTGGCGCAGCGTGCAGACGGCAGGTGAGGATGCTGGAAGAGCAGCGTGGAGCAACAAACACTCCACCCAGAACATGCCGGGGACAGCCATGCTGGGTATCGTCCTCAAGTTTGGCCCCGGCACCATCCTGGTCCGGCACAGTCTAGCGAGCTCCAACTCACCTAGGGTATGCGCGTAGGGCGTGTGGTGCGCTGGGGGAGATGGATGTGAGGATGGGTAAAGAGTGACGGGGGGCTGGAGGGAGAGAGAGAGAGAGGCTGAGAGAAGAAAGAGAAAAGGGATGGATAATTCAATTTCTCGGCTGTACAAACACTTCACGCAGCACTTTGAGAGTTTGAGTTTACCAATCTCAGCCCTGGTTCGTGGCTTGCCGACTTCCTGGGCGGATGCCTTGGGGGATGCCCTATAGGACCCATTTGGACAGCCTAGACGGTATGGACGCCCATGCATCCCATCCCACGCCATGATGCAGCACACCTTGCTCCATAGACGGGCCATTTGGTGTCAAGCGCCTCAAACTGGCCTCAAAACAAGTCGCGTCGGACGCGTCGAGCTCAGGATATCAGAAGCCGATCTCCCTGAGGCCTGAACCCTGTCCCTTTTTCGAGCATTCCTTCTTCTCTCCCGGATCTTTGCATCTCTGTGAAGTGTGATGAGTGATCTGTGATCTGGTTGAGGCCTGGTTCCGAAGCCTGAAACCAGCACTCATCACGGGGGAGCTGGAATCTCTTCTGGTCTCTGGTAGCAGACTCGGGCATCACTCGGTCAAGTCAAGAGGCGTCCTTCAACAATGAGGTGCAACAATATAATGAGGTGGGGGAACCTTGCACATCTAAGGCCTATGTAAACGCTATCAATATCCCAAAATGTGTACACTCTAGAGTACAGATACACCTTCCGACAACCGCTCCAGATTTAGTAACCCAAGGCGGCCCTCCTCCTCAACTCGGACTTGCTCGTGTTGCCCTCACCCTCCGGCGTGGCATAACGCTCCGCCATCCTCTTTGCCTCAGCGTCAATCTCTGTCTGGAGCTCGCCGCTCTCGAGCTTCTCCTGCTTCATCTCGGCAACGCAGGCGATAAAGTCTTCAACAGCCTCGGGGGTAATTTGGTGGTGGAGGACGATACGTTCACGGCCGATGGTGATGGGGTTGGGAAGGGCAGCGAGTCGGGCCTTGACGGTGTCCAAGGGCAGACCGATCTTGTTGGGTTGGAAGAAGACCTGAGACAAGTCAGTATACTACCAGCAGCGATGAATGGAAGCATACCATGTTGGTGTCGACCTGCGCCAAGATATCACAGCCAGCCTCTCTCAGACCCTGCTCGAGCCTCTTCGCCAGCTGGTGGGTCACAGCCAGCTTGGGGAAGTGGTTTGTGATGGCATAGTCGGCGGAAGCAGTGATACCACCAGCCTGTCTGATACCACCACCAAAGGCCTTCTTGAACCACCTCGCTTTTTGGATAAAGTCTTTAGGACCGACAAGGATGGAACCAATGGGGGCACCGATACCCTTGGAGAGACAGAGGGAGGCAGTGTCGAAGGGGGCGATGAGCTCAGTCAAGCTGTTTTCAGTCAGCTCAAGAGCCAAAAGACCGAAGGTTGCGCTTACACAGTCTTCAAGTCCTCCTCCTTGGTAGCATCCAGACCCCTCTTCTCCACCACATCGGCAGCGACGTTCCAAATTCTGGCACCGTCCAAGTGCAACGCAATGTCGTGCTTCTTCGCCAGCTCTCCAATCTTGACGACCTCCTCCTGAGGGAAGATCATACCAGACAAGGTGTTCTCGAGGCAGATGAGCTTGGTGGGGGCGATGTGGATGTCTTCACCAAGCTGAAGGTTGGACTCGACATCTTCAAGTGAGAGGTTGACACCGTTTTCGGGCACAATTTGGTGGGTCGTAGCTTGAGAGAACATGGCGATACCACCAGCTGCGAACTACGTCAGCACAGTCATTCTCACAGGGACGAGTCGAGTCGCGCACCTTCCATCTTGTGCACATGCGCCCTCCAGTCAGTAATGACACTGTGAGGGGGCTGCTTCATATGTGTCCTGATTGCCAGTTCTACATCATCGTCAGCTTGTGCGGCCGCATATGGAACCAATAAGGACGAACGGTTGGTCTGAGTACCACTCACGGCAAACATCGCAGCCTCCTTGCCAGTAAGCTCCGCGACTCTCTTCTCCAGAGCGGCAGTTGTGGGGTCTTCGCCGTACACATCGTCGCCTCGGGTGGCCTTGAGGGCGTAGAGAAGCTGGTTGTCGGTGGGAATTGTGACAGTGTCGCCTGGAAAGGATGGTCAGCCTCGTTCGGAGTTGTATTGTGTATTGGCAAAGGGAGGCGGCATACTTCGGAAATCTCTTGATACTCTGTTGAGCTGGTCAACATTCTCCTGGCCACCGATCTCAGCGGTGACGGCAGCAGCAGACTTGGACAGAGCGACAGGCATTGCTGATGTGAATGTTCTGGTTCGCAGAGGTTGTGATGATGGTTGAGTGCGAGGGATCTGGAGTCGGCGAGTGGGACTACACACAGAGAGTAGAGGGGAGAAAGACGATGTCTTTGGTAAAGAAGATGGGTGGAGAAGAGAACGAGTCATGGTGAAATTCGAAATGGATCAACGGTGGCAACGGCTCCGGGAAAGAACTTTTTCCTCGGATAAGTCCGAAGGTGAAATCTTGTTCGGGATTTAAGAAGCAATGGGGCTGACAAGCTCAAGCTGTCCAATTGTGCAGAGCTGCCCTTCTTATACATATACCAAATCAGGCTTGCATACAGAGTGACAAAGGGATCATGAGCATTGGCCGGTCTGTCACCTCACACCTGTCAGCCCACCTGGCAAACTTCTGTCGGCAGTTCCGCCCGTTGGTCAATTGCGTGCGTCAGAACCATTCTCGGCACCGATGTGGATGCACTCGAGTCTGTACACCCCAGAAGATTCAGAAGCTCACTGGAGTCGCTGGCGACAATACATAGGCCATGGAAGCCAAGACAACTAACCTGTGTATGCCCCACGCTCTGGCCCTTCGTCCGCCGCGCATCCTTGTCATGAGTACTCGGTATCCAGGGCGTACAAAGACAGTGCAACGGTATACAGCCAATATGGTAAGATGATCCGAGCTATGACAGGAGATAGAGGGTGTGAACATGATGGTTCCATCGAATACTCAACAAATGACGCTGTCCCTGCCCATCCTCCCCGACACCCTGGATCAGTGAAGAACATGAAGCCAGAACGAACTGTTTCCACATCGGGATCATGGGGGGGGCTCCTCCCTATTGCCTTCAGCGGGTCCATCATCAGGTATATGGCGAAGTTCGCTGTAAGGGGGTTCCAAGGGAGGAAAGACATGGCGTCGAAGAGGTCTGCGTTGGGTGCGAGGGGAAGATGGGCGCTAGGGATAGCCGCCAAGCTGCATAGAGGTCGATCTTTGTAGCCTTGGATCACGTCAAATCTGGAGCTGGGGGTGGGCATGGTGTCATTCGGGGCTTAGGCATGACAGTTGACGTTCAAGACGGACAAGACGATGTGGAAGAGAGTCGAACTTGGGTCGAACGGTTGACCGAATTGCGGGATCAAATGCGTTCCACGTCTTTTGGCCTCTTGCAGTCTCCTTCTACGCATCTCTCCATCCACGCCCTCCTCAGCATGTTCTCCTCCCTTAAAAGCGCGGCCCTCGTCGGTCTCGTCGCCCTCTCATCACTGGGCGCTGTCTCCGCAAAAGGCGCCTTGGGCGTCAAGGCTGCCAAGGTCTCTGTCACCTCGCCCGATGGTCTCAACGACGCGACATATACGTGAGTGCATCTGCGAGATCTTGTTGCAGAAGAACGAACCTGTACTGACGTGTGATGCTAGTCTGAAAGAGCCCGCTCCCATCTCAGCACCCATCGACCTCTCTGAATCCTCCATCTTCAAGCTTTCATTCACTGTCGTCGACACCGTGTCTGGCGAGTCGGTCTACCCTCAACAAGCTTCGCTGCTGTTTGAAGATCCCAAGGGAGACGATGTCACTCTTCCAGTGACTGTCAAGAGCAATGGCAAAGCTCAGCTTACCATCGTGCGTTTATTCGCAGTTGCATGCTGCGCAGCTCGAGCTGATTGTCGGACTTTGTAGAACGCTGCCAAACCCCACCCAGCCCTCCTCCCCACCCACGGCAAGTTCCACCTCACCCTACTCCTCTCCGCCTTGGACGAATACGCCCCTCTCGCCTACCCCTTGGGCGAGCTCTCCTTGCCGTCTTCGGTCCTCCAGCCTATTCCTAGGAAGCGACACGACCTGCCCGCTAGGGCGGGCGAGCCTGCGTTCCAGCCTGAGCAGGAGCTGTTCCACACTTTCAGTGAAAATCCCAAGACTGTTGGATGGTTGAAGAGTGGAAGCGGGGTTGCGATCACGCTCGCGCCTTGGGGGTTGCTTTTCGCTTTGGTGCGTCATCTCTGATCCCGGTCTGTGGCATCGCTAACATATCCCAGGTCGGCAAGCTTTCTCCCTCCCTCAGCTTGCAGACCCCCGCCGTCTCTTCCGTCATCTTCCTGATAGTACTCGCTGCCATTGAGACGCTTATCTTTGTCTACTGGGTTGGACTCAAGTTGTACCAAGTGAGTGATATCGGCAAACTCGGCTCGGGCGTTCTCTAATGACCTTATCAGCTCTTTCCCCCTTTCCTCGCTCTCTGCGCCATCGCCGCTTACACCGGTCTGGTCGCTCTTCGGGAGATGCGCGTGCAAAGACTGAAGGCGGGCGGTGTGCCTTAGGCGAAGAGCGTCGGCAGGGAGAAGCTAGATTTGATGCAAGTCTGAAGAACATGCGCATGCAATGACATGTGCCAGATGGGATATCTATGGGCACGTGTGGTGTCGACATAAGGGACCGATAAGAAGCGCATGTCGAGACTTTGGGATAAGACGCTGTGCGGCACTCCTTTCATGCCACAGTATCGAACGTTCATCGTAATCGGAAGGGTTAATTGTCTGAGCAATCTGCACGTCCTGTCACGTCTGCTAACGATTCATATCGCAAAATCCAGGCGAATCTAGGCAACAGGCTGATCTGCAGGCCCGGCCCAAAGTTGAACGATTTCGGAAGCAGTGCCATGTCGGAGTAGATCAATGCGAGTGCCGGCGGCAGTTGATACATCGCACGCCCTGTCTCTGATGGCGAATGCTGTAGCGTATGTTGACCCAGATACTTTTGCCCCATGCATTCTGTCGCATACCACGGTCATACGTATGAGGGTCATACTGGTGCTAAATTTAATCGCGGTTTGTTTACGCTGGGCGCGCCGAGTTGTTGGGAAAATGGGAACCAATTCATCAGCTCCTTTCCCTGCCCCTGCCTCTCCTTTTTTCGTCGATTCCTTTCTCAGATCGCCCTTTCGAAGCATCCCCGACCCGGAACGGCCCTGTCCATACTGTACAGCACCCCTGTACACTCTCCCGCAGCCATCCCGCACGTGTACATCCCAGTATCCGCCATCTCCGCCCATCTATCCGCCATGCCTATCGCCTGTACCATATTGTAATACCTACTCCAGAGTCGCTCCTACTTCCGTCAACCACCACCTAAAGCGCCAGAAGGCGCATCATTCGCCGAACCATGTCACCTTTCCGGAAACCCTCCCTATCGACTCTCCCATCGCATCTCGAGTTGCCCACAACATGGGCAAAGTTCCGGACGATCCTCATGGGATCGATGAACTTTTACCGAATTCATCTTATCGCATTCACGGTGGTGAGTGGTACTTTGTCAAAGGACATTGCCCAACTCTGTACTGACATGGACCATACAGATCCCTCTCATTACATCTGGAATCATGTACGCCTGTAATACCGAAATCCACATATCCTATATCGATTGCCTGTTCTGTTGCATGTCGGCCATGACTGTGACGGGACTGGCGAGTGTCAATCTGAGCACGCTCAGTGTAGTACAGCAGGTGATCCTGTTTGTACAGATGATCATCGGCAGTCTGGTAAGTGCAGCCCGCCCAGCTTTGGCTCAGGCTGATGGTATTGCAGACATTTGTGTCTATTGTCATGATCATGGTCAGGCAGTATTTCATCCGCCAAAGTTTTAAACATGTGTTGCAAGAACGACAAAACCTGAGGAACCGTCTGAGCAAGACGCTCACCCGGGTTGCCACTGTCGCCCCGCCGCTCTCTGCTCTACGGAAGAAATTCAGCAGAAAGGATAAGGTATGTACTCTCTCGCTCCATCTGGCCAATCTGACAATGTCGACAGGACGGCGTCGACAGCCCCAAGGGCCCTCCAAAACGCTCCTCCACCCCTTCCTCATTCGAACTCAACCCTGTCGCCCCATCTCCCCGAAAGCCAGAAGAGCACAAGTCCAAAAAGAAGCGCCACGAGAAACTCCGTCCCGACATGATCAAACGTGTCGAAGGCGGCGGTGTGGGGTTGGTGAACAATATGGGCTGGTACGATGCACAGCGGGAGAAGCTTGCGACGCCTGCGCCCACGCCGGAACGGAGAGGCTCGCCTGGCTCGCCTTTACCGACTGGGAGCACGATGCTGAGCGATAGTGGGAAAGAGTTGACTCAGGCGTTGGAGGCTGCTGTTGAGAGTGGGGCTGTACCAGGGCATCAGGTGGAGGACAATGGGGAGGCTGTTTTGACAGAGTCGCCGACGGGAATGGAGAATTATCAACGGCATGACGGTGAGAGGCGAGAGCGTCTGAGGTCTATCCTGGAGGCACCGGATATCAACGTCCAGACCGTCTCCACCGATACTACCGAACACTATTCTGGTGAAGAGTGAGTACATGCCACCTAAATCGATCTCCAGACTAACAGCCACCGCAGGGATCAATCGCCTTCTCCGCCTCATTCCCCTGGTACCAAAGTGCCCTACGCTGGCCTGCAGCTCACAGATGGCAAGTCACAACCTCTCTTTTTAGCAGCAAGCTAACAATCACTTAGACGCATTCCCTCGCTCCAAGACTATTGCTTTTGAAGATACCATGGACGACAGCCACGATTTCCGCGAACGCGCCACCTCCACCCAAAGAGAATCCTTCTTCCCCCACTCGGCCACCTTTCGAAGCAATCAAGGACAGTCTACCAATCAGGACCGCCTACCCTATTCTGCTACGATGCAGTCTGGAGCAGGCAACTTCCCCAGGACGTATTCGCTGAGGCCTACGAATAGTAACCGTCGGCGGGATAACCGGCTGCAGGGATTTGGAGGATTTCCAACCCCGTTGGACATCGGAAAGAAGGTCTTCCGAAAGGTATTCCCCGAGACGTCCAAGAATCTGTCCAAGAGCTTCACCATGCCGAGGACGAACACCTACTCTGGAAAAAACACGATGACTGCGACCGGGACATCCGATGGGAAGGAAGTGCCGTATATCAGCTTTGCGGCTACTGTCGGGAGGAATAGTCGATTCCAGGGGTTGACCAAGGAACAGATGGATGAGTTGGGTGGAGTGGAGTATCGAGCTCTGCGTGTGTTGTTGCATATCGTCGTTGGAGTGAGTTTATCTTTGGTCTGTAGAGAGTTTGGAACACTGATAAGCCTGCAGTATTTCATCTTTGTGCAGATTGCGGCTTTTATCATCATGGCACCCTATATTGCCGCCGGGGGACGGTACCAACATGTTTTTGATGACCAGCCGAGACAAGTCAAGGTTTACTGGTTCGCCCTGTTCCAGTCGGTCTCGGCGTTCACCAATACGGGTATGAGTCTGTGTGATTTGAGTATGGTGCCCTTCCAGAGAGCGTATTTGATGATTGTTGGTGCGTAAAGCGTGGCTTTCTGGGAAGTGATTCTGACAATGCTGGTGAATCTAGTCTTGATCATCCTAATCTTCGCTGGTAATACTGCTTTTGTGAGTTCAGTCCCTTGACGTGATGTACATCTGCTGACTTCTTCCTAGCCTGTCTTGTAGGTGTTTATTGACGGTGGAGTGTGATCTGAGTGATGCTAACGTATTATCATCTTCAGTCTTCGTTGTACAGTGTGAGTCTGATCCTTCACCTTCACAAGGAGCACGCGCCCTGACCTTTGAGGAGATGGACCTTATACAAGCTGGTCCCCGTCACATCTCGGATACACGAGTCTCTCAAGTTCTTGCTGGACCATCCTCGACGGTGAGATTGTTCGATCTGGTCGTCGATTTGCCACTGACTTTTTCAAAGATGCTTTGTCTACCTGTTTCCTGCTACCCAGACTTGGGTCCTTGCCCTAGTCATGTTGGGTCTCACGTGCGTCACAATCCCCTCCTTCCTCTCAAATGCCACTGACAAAATCACAGCCTTATTGATTGGGTCAGTTTTCTAGTTCTGGATTTGGGCACCGAGTAAGTGATTTAGAATGACTTGGCGATGCAATGGCTGAGACTCTCGACCAGGGCAATCATGTCTTTACCAGTCGGAACACGTATCGCTGCTGGGTTCCTGCAATCGGCAGCTGTACGCGCCTCTGGTTTCAGCATCGTGCCCCTCGGGGCATTGGCACCTGCCGTCAAGGTCCTCTACGTCGTCATGATGGTAAGCCGCCGGCCCACAGTGCAAGAAGATCATGTGGCTCACAAAACATCTGTAGTACATCTCTGTTTACCCCATCGCTTTATCCGTTCGAGCGACAAATGTGTACGAGGAAAAGAGTCTGGGACTTTTCGACGAAGAAGTGGAAGACGATGATGTTTCGGAAGAAGGCGAGGGTGCGCAGGCTGTGGCTAAATATATTGGGTGGCACGCTAGGCGGCAGTTGGCGTTTGGTGAGTTGGATCTTCATCGTGACCATGAGTGAAGCGCTGACGTTGTCTAGATATCTGGTGGCTTGGTTTTGCTCTCTGGCTAGTCTGCATCATTGAGCGCGGACATATCGATAATGACCAGGAATGGTTCAATATCTTCAACATCATTTTCGAGCTTGTCAGCGCTTATGGAACTGTTGGCTTGACAGTCGGGCTTCCATATGACAACTTTTCGTATGTGGCTGCTTTTCATCCTTTCAACTCGTGCTGATATGGGAAATACAGTTTCAGCGGTAGTTTCAGAAAACTCTCCAAGCTTGTCATTATTGCCGTCATGTTGCGAGGAAGACATCGTGGGCTGCCCGTCGCTGTGAGTCTACTTCTCGTGCGAAGGGCTAGGAATATTTGCTGACATTCCCGTAGATCGATCGAGCTGTTATGTGTATGCTTTTGAAGACCCTTACACTGACACATGAAGCTGACGATGTTCGTAGTGCCCAAAGACTTTACGGCTGAGGAAGAAGCAGCCTTTGAAGAAGAACGCTCTCGTCGCATGTCCCGCTCTCGTCGAGGCAGTAGTTTCTACCAAGAAGAACCTTTCGCTCCTCGATCCCGCCCCGAATCATTCGGTGGCACCGGTGCTTACCAAGAGGTCAATTTCACCCCCGGACCCGTCACTGCCATCCCCATTCCCCATCATCATCAACACCATGTCATCCACTCAGAACAAAAAGCTGAACAGATAGGCAGCGGTCCTGGTGGGGTGCACAAGTTTGGGCATTTCCGATCCAATTCCACTGGGAGCAACTCCCACGGGCCGGAAAGTCCTACCTTTCAGCCGAGGGAGAGTGAGGACAGATGGCCACATAACGGGAACAGGGCATTGACCCCTGTGAGGGAGGGTCATATGAGTAGCGCTCAGAGCTACCCCCCGGTGTACACCACAGACAGTGCCCTCGAGGTTTGATGGAGAGTAAGAACGTGGGGCGAGCATATCATACCGTATCTTCAACCGATCAACAATCAGCATAGACGTTCAAGTACAATTCGCATTTATAGATGATTCTTTTCTGAGGGGGCTGTTGTGCTTATAGTAGTAGACATGATTATAACGAACCGAAATCCCGAATGCATTTTTTCAAATGCCAACAATGAATGTTTTGAGTAACAAGAGTAGTAATTGTTTTTTGTGACGAAATTCAACCCCTCCTCATCAAAAGAAGCTCTATAGATACCTCTCTTGTCACATTATATATACCTCCTTTTTCCTCTCCAACCTCCCTCTATATGGAGTCGATTTTGATGCTACGCTCTGTCGTATCTATCCCCTAGCCCCAATGCGTTCAAAGCTCCCGATGGCGCTCCACTATCATCCTCAGCAGCCCTACCCTCTGCATCCGCCGCCGCTTGAGCACCCATCTGCACCAACGCCGTGTCACTCCTTGGCCTGAGAAGCCCTCCGCTGCCTCCGATCTCCGTCCCACTCCTGGTCCTCTGCATTGACCTTTCCGACGCATCGTAGGTGGGAAGTCTCGAGTCGATCGGTACGATCCCACCTCCCAGGAAACCTCGAGAGGCAATATCGTATGACGGGACCTGGGTCATGGGGTCGATATCCTCGTCGTCATCCGCATCGGGCGTATCAGGCGCACCGAGCTCGAATCGCGTAGACCGCTCAGGCTCGAATGTCACAGCATGAGGAGCGAAGGATACATGGTTGCCTCCATTCGCCCCCGCACCACCTTGTGCTCCAGCAGCTTCCAAATCGCCGGGGACGGATGCGTTGCGTGGGATGACGTTCGAGTTGGGGAGAGAGAGGTTGGACGAGGTGCCGTTGTTTCGCAGGATCGGCCTACTGCCAGAACCGCCTCCCGAGCCAAGGTGGGAGAGAGGACGCATGCCCTTGGGGAGATGGAAAAGGCCGTGCAGACCGGTGGATCGGTGTCGATCAAAGTTGGGTCGCATATGCGCACCTTCCTCGTTGTAGCTCCCAACAGTCGACGAGTTGCCACTACCTCGCTCAGGACTCGACGCCCTACTACCTGCCCTACTTCCAGCCCTACTAGCAGACATGCTGCTCCACCCCGAGAGGTTCGTCCTACTGCCCCTTCGACTGAGCGGGCGACTGGACGCTCGCGAGTCGGGAGGCGTAGAGTTGGGTGAAACACCATTGGAATGGGGTCGGAGCGCACCGAGCGACATGAGCAGCTCTGAATCGACAAAGTTAGACAGCTGCCTTCGTGGCGGAACGTCACTAGCAGCAGGCGTGGAATCACCGCTTCTCCCTCTGACAGGCGACCCTGGACGGGAAGGCGCCCGGCTTCGGGGTGGTGTATCGTCGTGCGGCGAACCCATGGGCGTCGCGGCGACGGAGCGAGGAAAAAAGCCTGTGGCTGAACCAGAGTCGGCGACGGCGATTCGGTCGTAAACGTGATTGCTGTAGCTCGGGAGATCGACCGGCTGCTCTTCTGACTGGTTACCGCCAAAGAGCAAGCCTCGAGTGCTCGCGCTGGCAGAGCGAGCTTCGTCGAGAAGACTGTGAGAGAGAATGGTGATGGGAAGCGCGCATCGCAGCTCAGAGGTGTGACCGTCCGGGTTCGAGATAGAGCAAGACCACTTGATCTTGTGGGTGATGAATACGGGGTGTATCGAGTGCGAGGGGGTCACCCAGGCAGGGATTGGGATCGTAAAGTGCGTGTCAATCTCGTCATCGCCAATCTCAATGTCTGTTCTGCTAGATTCGGCCAAAGAAGCAAGATCGGCATTGGACGAAGAAGCTTCAGGCTGAGCCGAGGTGGATGCAGCAGATGAGGATCCAGTGTTGCCAATTGCATCTGGGAAGTAGCTGTCTGGCGGACGCGTGCTGGTGTTGGGTGCAAGACGCCCGCGAGTGCTGGCTACGGGAGTATGATTGGGACTGGGGTGGCGTGATGTGGAGGCACTGCCTCTGTTAGATACGGCACCATCCCAGTGTTGAGGAGGGCGGATAGGTTCTCGAGCAAGCTCAATGGCACGGCCATCTTTGATCTCGTGCTTGATGCAAGAATCGACTCGGGTGTCGGGGTGAGACGAGTGCCTAGTGTGAACCAAAGTGTACTCTTTGAGTACCGAGACGACATTGGTCACTCTGACGCCTTTTGCGAGGGGCATGAACTTGACATTGACAGGTATATCATCCCCGGCAGCGTACGCCTTATAGGGGAGAGTCAACGAGTACATGACCTTGCCAGGCCAAGTGTTTTCGATTTCAAGTGTCTGATTGAATTCGAGAGCCTCGGTGGTGAACATTCGAGTGAGGCTAAACTCTTTGGCGGCAGTATAGTTGCTCGCAAAGCCCGATCGTACGACGGTAGCACGGAGCTTGTAGACGATGATGGCGTCACCAGAGTAGGTTCTCAAGGTGGATGGGAGGTTGCCTTCGAGCGTAAAGGAGAATGGGAAAGAGTGATAGCCCGCTTTGAGGGTGTGGGCATGACCTTTGCCGCCCTGCAAGAAAGACCAATCGTGGGTGATGATGGGGTGGGTAAAATGCCGGTTCTTGGAGCCAGCGCTATGGGAACGTCAGTTATCGCAGCGCAAAAGGCTCATCGGGTACTCACTTTCCAGCGTCGGCAAACTGAACCTTTGCTTTACCAGTCATAGTCATATTGATCTCCTTGATATTTGTCGACTCAGACAGATTGAGCTCGACCCTACCAGCGAGGTAGGCCGGCTCCATGTCACCTCCTTGTCCTCGTAGAACCAAATGATCGTTGTCCAGCGCAATGTCGAGCGCATGACTACCATAATTGCTGCCTCCGGGGGTGCTCATCGCACTGGGAGTAGCCCAGCCGGGCGTACTCGCTCCCCATCCCGGGGTCTGAACCGGCGTGCTGTCGTACGCGGGGGATGGCTGGGCAGAGGAAAAGTGGTCTGCCGAGTCTGCGCCAAACTCGGCACCCTCTCGTCGTCGCGAAGGCAGCATGATCTGAGATGGTCGGCTGGTCAGACTAGGGCCGCGGGTGGGAGAGGAAGCTCGCGAAGAAGCTCGTGATGAGCCACCAGATGCGTTGGAGACATGTCCACCGATCGTCCAGCGAGCGGGCATGGCGAGGATGTGTCTGTGGCGTAGCTCACGCGATGCTTGCGGGATAAAGGGGGGTGGATGGGCTTCTGTTGTGTTGTTGCTCGGTAATTCTCAAACCGTGCTGTCCGGTGGACCTGCTGGGCGAGTAAAGGATGATCGACCGTAAGACAATTACGGCCGTGGACGAGAGCGCAAAAGAGAAGATGGGAAGGAGTGTATGGTAGGGGAGATGACGGGTGATAGACGTCGATGGTCTCACTGTTTGGCGTCGGAGTGAGCAGATGATGGAGACGGTACGCAAGCGAGCTTACCGCCAGCCACTGTATCACGGGCGATCAGCAGTCGACTATAGACAGGGTTGAAATGTATGGTTGTTGGGGAGATCTGGACAGAGGAAAGAAGAGATGCGGTGAATGAAAGAGTTGAAAACACGTAAAGGCAAATATAGTGACGTGAAGCTGCGATCAATGATGCCGCTCCGGTGCATTCGACAAGCTATCTGTCTGCTACCTGCTAGTCCCCAACCCTAATACCATGCTATACATATCTATACACCCCATGCATATTGCATCCCCATACCCCCGCCCACCGCCCGATCCAGGCTCCACCCCAGCAAATCTTCCGTCTCTGACGTCGCACACGGAGCGGCACTGGCTGACGGCCGCAACTGCCGCCTCACCTTACGTAACCGTGCCTCTGATGTTGACAGTCATAATGCAACAATTTAGTCGAATGCAGGTCGAATGCATTGGGAAATTTGGGAGTGAGGTTAGGCGCAAGTCTGAATGCAGCATGGACACGCCAGGAGTACTTTAGAAGTGCTTATATGGGTAGCTGATGCTTTGGTATAAGGGCGTAATTGAGTTTGCGCATAGTGCTAATGTAAGAGCTTGTTGCGACCGACAGATACAGATTGAAGTCAATGTGGGGGGCGCTGCTGTAGACTCCTTCATAGTGGGCCTGAACTGGCGGTAGGCTGGTTTGTAGATGGGTTATTGCTCAAGCCTGGAGGATCGCCTACAGCCGGACTCTTGCCCGTAGATCTCTGACCGTCTCCATCCAATTTACATAATGAACAGCACTTCTGGCATCAAGTCGATTCAGCCCGGACCCCTTTCATCTCGGTCAAGACGAGCTCTTTGTGGTCATCGGCAGTATAGATGAGAACGCGTACGATGAGACTGAAAGGAAGCGCTAAATGGAGAAGACCAGATGGACACGATATTGATTTCCAAGGAATGCATGAGTATATACATAATCCCATATACAAGTCAGTGTACTATCTCCTCACGAAACAAAGTACGAGTGTCAGCATCATGTTAGTTCTGGAAAATGCAGCATACGCTCGGAAGCAGTGGACGTCAGTTTTGAATGGTGTCGACGGGTATCAAGTCTTGCTCAGTCCCAGCTCCGTCGCCTCTCCTGCACCTTACCACAGGCATACCCCAGTCTGACGACCCCAACACCAACGTTTTTTGTCCATCTGTCCCGCCGGGTCATATAGTGCAAGAGCCCCACATATTCTCAAACACTCGTAAAGAGCCTGATAGTCGTGGAAGCCAAATGCATGACGCCAAAAGTAAAGCCCTCCTAGACACCTCTATCCCAACAAGAATCGATTAGATGAAACCGATCTACATCAAGGGTTAGCTTTGGGAGAGCGAAGGACGAAGGGGATAGACGTACCTTGTTGGCAACCTCAAGAGCGTCGAAGTCGGCGGTCAAACGGACGTAGGCCTTCTTCTTACCGTCGGGTCTGGTAAAAGTCAGTAAAGACAAGCCAAAAGATGCAAATCAGACATACCGGATAAGGGTGTTGACCTTGGCGGCCTCAACATCGTAGAGCTTCTTGACGGCGTCCTTGATGTTCCTCTTGTTGGCCTTGAGGTCGACGATGAAGACGAGGGTGTTGTGCTCCTCAATCTTCTTCATGGCGCTCTCGGTGTTAAGGGGGTGCTGGATGGTCCTGAATTGGTCCATCCTGGGGAGGTGGGGGATGGCCTTTCGGGGGTACTTGGGAGCACGGGCGAGACGGAGGGTGGTGGGTCGGTGGAAAGAGACGGAGGTCCTGACCTTTCGGACGTTGGTGGACTGGGTACCCTTCAAGGCGGCCTTCTTGGCGGCCTTGGCCTTGACATCCTGGGGCTTAGCAGCGGCTAGGGAAAAGTTAGTTGGAAGTTCAATGGGGCGGGAGCTGGGACTGGGAGCGCGCTGGGTAGATCGAAATTATGGTCGAATCGCGGAGAGCCCTTTTGCCATCTCCACCTCTCTAGCAGCCTGTTTCCCGGAGAGCTCAAGTATACCGTTCCCTGCCAGCCTTCTCTCCCTGCATAGCTCCTCCGAATTGGCAGATTTGCGGCAGTCGATCCCAGTGCGCTATACCAGTCCCAGATGACGTTGTACACTCACCTTTGGAACCGGAGGTGGTCTTGGAAGGAGCCATTTTTGGTGTCTGCTGTCTTCTGTTAGCACACGAAGGATAGCAGCAGATGGTTGACTCACGAGCTTGACGGGTAAGAGGAATCTGCAACTGGCGAAAAACAGCAAAAGCAGGTGCCACGAAGCTCGGCGTTTTGGCAAGCAGTTTCGATGAGGCGCTCTCTTAATTACAGAAGCTACACATAACTTATTTGGTCCCTCTCAAGTGGCGACACGAAATCGATCCAAGCGGACATCGCCGCTGGTGTTGTTTTTGGTTTTCGTCATCGGCGTCTCGTCTGCTGAGGCGCGATCCGGGCGGCGGCGGAAGCTGGCGGGGAAGGCGGGGAGCTATGCATGCATCGCAGACAGGGGCAGAGGACAGCACCGTTCGGTATCCTTCGAGGCCCGTCCTGGGAAGAGTACCGCTGCAAGCACAAAGGGAAAGGCAGCAGCAGCGTCACAAAACAAGCGGCCCTGAGTTCCGGGATCGTATCTGCCATTTCCACATCTCCATCTTCCCTTCATCCATCTTCTTCGACCGCGGATATTTCTCCCTGTCCTCCAGTCTCTCTCTCTTACCGTCCAGGCTCGCCTACCCCACCTCAGCCCGCCTCTCGCCTTTTTTTCCTCTTCACCCGGACCGCCCCACAGCCGCCGCCAGCGACTCATTTTTCGGTTCTTTCCCCGACGCTCTTACACCTCAATTCCCCCCAATAAACATCATTCAACATGGTCAGTATCCATCTCTATTGGCCCTTATGCGCGTGATATCATGCCGGGGGGTCACTTTGTGGTATTTTTTTTTCGCGTCAGAACACGTCGCTGACTGTTCATTGCGCTATCTCTTTTGCCTCCCATTGTCCGACCTTTTCGACCGAATCTCACCCCGTGCCCCTCTCCATCATGGAACCATCCTCCCGCGTCCGCCCCTCCTCATGTACAGGGTCAAACACTCTCTGAGCCTAGTCAGTACATGCGTTTCCTGATCCGTATACATGCTGACAGTCTCCTTTCTGCTTACTTTTCACTTCCCTCACCGGCGATCCCTTTTGTCACACGACACCGTTTCATTCAATTTCATCCCCAATGGCCGACACAAATCATTATACTTTTGACGCGTCTTTTCGCGATCGATCGACACTTTTACCCACGGTAAAATATATGCTTGTTGTCTTTGATGGTTTTACGAATCTACGGAACTTGCTCGAACAGTGACGGAGAAGCACACCACGGATGTCTTTCGAGGAAAGCAGTACTGGGTTGGTCTCTCCGACATGCAAGGATGGCGTATCAGTACGCCCCAGTCTCATCCCAGTCCTTCCACCTCTAATCCGTTTGCGTAGGCATGGAAGACGCCCACAGCGTCCACCTCTACCTTCCCCCTGCTTCTGATGACTCAAAACCCATCGTCTCCGCCCCCGATATCCCTCAACAGCCGGAAGGTTCAACAGTCACCAGCAACAACGCCGGAGAGACTGGCAACGCTCTTTTCGGTGTGTTTGACGGACATGGTGGTCAGGCCGTGGCCAAATTCGCGGGATCCACTTTGCATACCAGGCTAGCTGGTCTGCCTGCTTACAGTGCGTCGCCGTCTTCTATGGATAAGCGGGAAGGAAACTGACTGAAAGCAGAGGATGGCGATTATGAGGCTGCGTTGAACCAGGCTTTCATCAAGACAGATGAAGACTTGCGTGCGGACCCTTCTTTCTTGAGCGATCCTTCGGGGTGTACCGCTGTGGTCGGACTCATCACCACTGACGGTCGGATCATCTGTGTGAGTCTGATTTTTTTCGCATCTGAGGGGCACTGCTGATCGAGATAACAGGCCAACGCTGGTGACTCTCGGTCAGTCCTTGGGTACAAGGGCGAGGCCAAGGCCATGTCCAACGACCACAAGCCCACCAATGCCGGTACGTCCCTCTTCCTACTCATCACCACCGTTGCTTATGCATCTGCAGAGGAGACCGCCCGAATCACCGCTGGAGGTGGTTTCGTCGATTTCGGCCGAGTCAACGGCAACCTCGCCCTCTCCCGAGCCATGGGCGACTTTGAATTCAAGCAAAACTTTTCCCTCTCCCCCGAAAAGCAGATCGTCACTGTCGTTCCCGAAATAATTACCCACAAACTCGACAGCGAGGAGGAGTTCCTCGTGCTTGCCTGTGATGGTATCTGGGATTGTTTGTCTAGTCAGCAGGTGGTGGACTTCACGAGGAGGGGCATTGCGCAAGGAAAGCCATTGGGTCAGATCTGTGAGGAGATGATGGTCAAGTGTCTGGCCAAGGACAGCAGCACGGGTGGCATCGGGTGTGACAACATGACTGTTGTTGTTGTTGCGCTTCTGAATGGCAGAACACCGGAGGAATGGCAAAACTGGGTCAAGGAGCGAGTTGACAACAAGGGTACGTCGCTTTGATTTTCTTTTGGTCATATCTCATTGTGTTACAGTTGGCCACGACACCCCCGAATCCATCCCCGATATCTTCCCCGAACCTACCGGTCCTGCCATGGGCGGCTTTGGTGGCTCTGGCTTCCGTGTCGCTGGCGGTGCCGGCGGTCTTGCCAACATTGCCTCCATCCTTGGTGCTTCCGGTATCACTTTCCGTCCCAACTATGACGATAACGACGATGATGACGACGACGACGAGGAACTCCAAATCATCGGCGACTCCTCCAGCCAGTCGTCAGGCGTTAGTTTTTTGGATGACAAGGCGGTTGACGGGGAGACAAAGCCCAAGTCTATCACGGGACAGCTCGAGGAGGAAGGAGATGATGTGGTGCTGAGGGGTGTTGGCAAGAAGGGATCAGTGAAGCTTGTGGATGAGGACGGAGACTCTGCTATGGACTCGGACGACTCGGACTCGACCACCACTGGCAACGACCCCTCGCCCCAACCGTCCGCCCCCGCCCCCGTAGCTCACGGCGCTGCCGGCTCCCCTATTCCCCCATCATTCTTCTCTATCGGTTCCCCCACTGTGCCTACCCCTTCAGCTTTGCAGGGCCACCATGCGCAAAAAGAGGAGGAGAAGGTGGAGCAACTGAAGAGCGAGCCGCAGGGTGATGAGGCGTCTGGTGCGGTCAAGGTTGAGGGTTTGATGGACACCAGCGAGTCGCCCCTCAACCTCTAAACTTTGCATGGGTTGAGGTTATGTCTTCTTTCCTTTTCTTTTACTTATAGAAGTGTCTGGTTCTCAGTTGTGTGCTTATTCTCCTATCTTTGACCTTATATACCCCTTACACGTGTGATCTACACTTGGTACCCGAGACTTAGAAACGGCTACATAATTATCATGCCTGCTTTCTCTCGCCCAAGTGATCATCACTCTTATATTCCTTCTTCTCTTCTGTTCCTTCCCTTCTTCGTGATCTTCTTTAGCAGCTACAAGAGTGGGACCTAGGGAAAACAATGCATTGTACTTGTTTATTCGGCTCATATCATGATGCGTTCAACTACAAGTCTGTTGTCGACCGAGCACAGTATTCGAATATATAGGTTGTGGTGCAGTGGTGGCGCGCAGGTAGGTCTCGTTTCAGGATTCAAGTATTCACCAGGTGCATCGGCTTTCGATCATATTGGATTTCAATGGCTGTATACTGGACTGCCTCTGCGTAGTTTGTGCTCTTCGCTCGCTTCTTTTCAGCGCAGAATATCTGGTGCGTGACAAAAACACCAAGAAAGATGTGCACGACCGGCCTCTTTGACAGGGTGTCCCGAGCGCTGTGCGTTCCCCACTGGTCTTCGACCTAATGCTGGTATCACCTTCCTAGCTCAAGATTGAGACAATGGTCTCCTACATAGCACGTTATACTCCATGATAGATGTGCATTCACTAATCCGCTGTATCGACAGTATCGACAGAGAGACTGATATTCATCTTACCACATACACGAGGTCATCAGACCCTATTCAACATCACCACTAAACTCAAATCGTCTCTCGCCGTTGCCCTTCTGCGGATCCCCATTCTCTCCAAGCTCCCAGATATCCCTTTCCACATAGACAACCTTTCCGTTGTCGTGTACCAGAATGACGGTGGCTGTGCGGGTGCCTTTCCATCTGCCTTGCGAGGAAGAAGAGGCGGATGATGGGATGATGGTCATTTGTGGGGAGAGCTTGACAGGTTGGACTGTTGTGGTGTGTAAGAGGTCGTCATCGGAATGAACAGGGATTGTTGGTCTGCAATTTCATCAGCACCCCTGCTAGATCTCCAAGATTGAAGACTCACGATAATACATCGTACATTCTCTCCACGAGCGCATCCACTCCTTCCTCCTTCTCTTCCCACTCCTTCAACGTCTGGCCCATCCTCCCTTCACCTGATTCCACCTTCGGCCACTTATCGACTGTTTCCAATGGGCCATTTGACAGACCTGTACACCCCCGGTCTTCGCCCGTCTTCCGGGAGAGGTGGTCCAGATTCAAGCTCGCCGGCTTAGGGCGATTTGTCAAGTAGCCCACAGATGGGGAAGGTAGGGATGGAGAGAGAGAGAAGAGTAGCAAATTGAAACCTTCGTAATTGCCCGCTGTAGGAAGGTGGGACGAGATGTAGGATTGGACATCTCCTGATGAGGGCGCTTGGGAGGAGGAAGAGGGCAGAAGGAATTCGCGTAGTAGCTTGCCTCGCGAGGGTGGAGGCGATAGAGGCTTGATGCCGTCTTCTGCAGGGTAGCGTACTATGTTCGTGCTTTGGCATTCATGAGCATGGTTGTAAGAAGACAGAGGACAAACTCACAGAAGCCCGACTTTCAGGTTTCTGGAAATCCCTAGCCACGTACCACCCTCCGCCTTTCCCCTGTCCAGCCCCGACAGTACCCTTGCCTCTCCCTGGTCCATGTGCTTTTCTAAAGCAGCCTGAAGAAGCGGCTTGTCGGTGTTGTAGAGGAGAGTCCCGTTCTCTGAAAAAGGGGACGTGGGAGTGAGTGGAGTCGCCGATCCATTGGCAGTAGGCGAGGGGGCAAAGTTGTGCCAGTCGGCAGGAAGGGTGGGGCGATCGAAGAACTCATCTCTGTTAAACGCCAGGATACTGATTCAAGTGAGCTTGGGTATCGCGGGGAACGGATAAGATAGAAGTAACTCTTACAGCTTGAACCCGGGCTGCGCTAGGGTGAAGAATGTGACACACATCTTTGCCAGATTGATGAGTAGGGTGGACAGAGAATCCGTCAAGACCTTGTGTATCTGGGATTATATAGCTGAGTGGCGTGTATGACTCGTGGCAACACCTCGCCAGGGCCGCGCTGGCGAACCAAGAGATTCCAAATTCTCGAGGTCGTGACGAATCCAACCGCAAAGGGTTCGGCGTATTTTAAAGGACAAATGGATATACACCTTCTTAATGTGGAGTTGGAGCCTTCGGATGGCAGTCAAAGAAGCGATTGAGGATCCTGGGCCGAGGTAGCAAAGATGGGAACGGTTTGCCGGGGGCGAGAGAGTGATATATTGCACAAGGGCCCCCGATGAGGCCGTCGAAAGAGTTGGCAGTGATGATTCCTTGAGAGATTTGATGTTTGGAAGAGATGAGATTGGAAAAATCAGCAGCTTAGTCAAAAAGAACCCAAGGAACACACGACGGCGGGCTTCCGAAATGACGCGGCGGCCAACACCGATATCCAGCCAGGATGTGGTGGTGGAGATGACTTTCTGTATTCAGATGTGCCTCTGAGAAGAAGCCATATCAGATATGTACTGTACAAGTGCAACATATGTGTGCATCCATCGGTCTCTGCCTGGTCGTCACTCGTTGTCGTCCCTCACCTTCCACTTCAAAGCGTCCAGAGTCGCTTTCGCATCCTCCGCTGAACTATGACCCAAGTCAGACGTCCGATCTTGGATAAAGTAGCCCAGTTTCTCTTTCACACTGCAGAACGTCAGCCCAAGCAATACGTCAGATAATATGGAAGGGAGAGAACGTACATGTCACGCAAAGCTCGCCTGAAAGGTGGCCCTTTGTCATGAGGGAAGACGATGGCGGTATCGATAATCTTGTCGTGCAACAACCTCAAGGCTCGAAGATCATTTTCAAGACTATGAACAGCGATTAGATTATCACAGATTGATCCAAAATTCTGGAAGCTTACCCATGCCCGACGATAACAGTCTCTGGCCCAATGAACATGCACGCCGCTGAGCGGACTGCTGGGAGGTCCATGAGAGCACTGTCGAGCTGACCAGGAGATATACCGGAGAAACGGGTGTTGACATCTCTGTCTCCAATGTCAGTATGGCCATATACACTATCAGAGAGGCTGTGACTTGCAGTATTGGCACACTTTGCCGTACCAGTTCATCCAGCAGAATGTCGCCATTCTCGTCTACGATTGTGACTCGACCGAGAGAGAGGCCCGCGGTGGTACCTATCTCGTAATCAGTGCCAATGACCGGCGCTTGCTTGAGTCCAACTCACTGATCATCTCACAGTCCATAGCCACGACCCCAAACCCATCTCCCACAATACTCTTCCCATCTCTCTTGCTCTCCTCCGCACACGTTCTCACACTCTTGAACCCTTCCCTCCTCGCCAGTGCTTGATCATCTTCTTCCTTGAAGACATGCACCCCATCTTCACACCCTCCTTCACCCCTCTCTTTTCCACAACAAAAGTAGATCCATTTCCGCCGGCCTTCAACGCGTTCTGGAGCCGTCCGGCCGTAGTGATAGCGGCACTCGCCAAACCGCGCTGCGAGGTTCTGAGAGGAGACGGTGAAGGAGATCTTGCATCGATCGCAGTTGTGGGTCTCGCCCTCTCCACTTGGCTTTGATCCTGTACCTTCACCCACAAGCTCAGGATCATCTGGTAATGGATATCTCCACTTGGCAAAATCCTCCTTCTTCAAAAAGTATCTTTCGACTCTTCTCCTTTCCAGCCGCTCACTCTTCTCCTTCTCTGCCTTCTCGCCTTTCTCCCTAGACTCTTTGACAGTCCCCACTGATGGATGACTCAGAGATGTGGGAGGAGGCCGGCGAGAGATGGACACAGCAGCGTGGTGGATAGCAGTCTTGTAGGTTCTGAGCGAAGACGATGAGGCGGATATCTCATTCTCTTGAGAGAGAGTTGTGTCGTGGGCAAGTGAAGGTCCAAGGTGAATTATAGGGCCATATAGCTTTGAGAACTGAGTAAAGAGGGTGGCGACTATTCTATCATCAGCTCAGATCCTCCACAAATGATGATCTTGTCTTACGGGCTTTCTGGCGATCGGTGCGAGGCTGAGGGGTTACTTTGATATTTAGTGGTAGATTGGGCGGACGTCCATAATCTGCAGAGGAAGAAGCTCTTGAGGGTATTGAGGACGTGGAAGGTGGAGGCTGCGTACCACCAATTAGCTGCAGATATACATGGAGTATACTCTGAGATTACCTTTGGCGCTGTCGTCAAAGATGTAGACACCGGTACTCCGGGCTTCGAGCTTGGCACGACCTGTTTCTTCGCCTCCGCTCCATCTTCCGCTATCCCCGCATCCATCTTTCGCTTCACTCCAGACGCTTCTGTTACTCTCTTGGTCTCCACGTTACGTGGAGGCGCGACGCTCGAGGCCGCTCTTGACGGACCGGCGACAGGGGACACGGCGTGAGCCTGGCCATGGGCGAAGAAGCACCTGGCCCGTGCACACTTTGGGTCTGGGCATTTGGCTGTTTCAAAGAGCCCCAGGTTGGAGAACATGACTCTTGAGGACTTGCTGCGTTGACGAAGCTTCAGGAATCATACAGATGAGATGAAAGAGAGGATAAGTCGCTGGACATCCTCCACTTTTCGGCATTGTTCGTGCCGTGCGTTTTCCGAAAGTTGCTGCTGCCAATTCCTTGTTTGTTTACTTCGATTTCGATATACGACAAAAGGGCATAATGCTTGCCCCTCAAATCACAACACAGTGCTCCAGGACAGCTCTTCGAAGCGCGAGTCAACGCGCTCCTAAGCTTGCTTGGGGCCAGAGCAGTCTTCGATACCAATCATCGACCTCTTCGCCTGCTCCCCCATCTGCCCCCTCAACAACTCCCAAAACCTCTGACGCCAAAGCCGAGTTCAGACATAACGAGCTCGCTAAAATCATACGTGATACTGTCAAAGTATGCTTATCATCTCCTCAATTCCAAGAGCCTATGTCTGACGGCTGTCTGTAGTCTACGGGGCCAATCCCGATCTCGCAATATATGCAGTTCTGCCTATCACACCCTACTTATGGCTATTATTCGAAAGGCGATGTGTTTGGTCAGAAAGGAGATTTTATCACGTCTCCAGAGATCAGCCAGATATTTGGCGAGGTGAGTTATCATCGAGCAGCGAAACGACGTGCTGATGGACGGGTAGCTCGTAGCAATTTGGTTCTTGACGAGGTGGATGGATAAGGGTTCGCCATCACGAGTGCGCATCGTGGAATTGGGGCCTGGACGAGGGACTCTTATGGACGACATCATTCGGGTGAGTGGGACATGTCTGCATTTGCGTTGGATTCGTGCACAATACTAAGACTTCTCTAGACACTGTCAAACTTTCCAGGAGTCGCTTCATCTGTGAAGAGCATACATTTGGTGGAGAACAGTCTGGCTATGCGGGAAGTGCAGAGGAAGAAGCTGGAACCGAGAATAGAGGGCAAAGACATCGCTCTGAACTGGTACACTGGTATCAATGAGATTCCAGAAAGTACGTTGTTTCCCCACACTCGTCAACAAGATGACGCCCTAACATGACCTTAGCCGAAGACGCGTACACCTTTTTCGTAGCCCACGAGTTCTTTGACGCCATGCCGATAAACACGTTTGAGAAGACCGACATGGGCTGGCGTGAAGTCCAAGTCACTCACGACCCTTCCTTCGACCCAGAGATCTCGACGCCCTCCGCTCCGTCTGGCCTGCGCTTTGCTCTTTCATCTTCTCCCACTCCGCTTTCGACAATACTTCCCGAGACATCCCCTCGATTCTCAAAGCTACTGAGCGGATCGCGAGTGGAGGTGTCGCAGGATAGTTACAAAATCATGCGCCAACTTGGAGAGATCGTGAACCAGGGCAAGGGAGGCTGCGGGCTGGTCATTGACTATGGTGCCGATAAAGCGTTCTACAACAGTTTCCGTGTACGCCTCCCTTATTACTTGAATACGCATAACGCTGATTCGATTTTAGGCATTCCGAAAGCACGAAATTGTTGACGTTTTCCAAGACCCCGGAAATTGCGATCTTACAGCCAACGTCGACTTTGCTTATCTCGGCGAATCCCTTTCCAATCTTTCTACCCCTCTCGGTCCAATGTCGCAAGCGTCATTCCTTCAGTCCCTCGGCTTCCATCCCCGTTTGGCCAAACTCGTCGAGGCTGCGCCGGAAGAGAGGAGAGAGGAGATTGAGAAGGGTGCGAAGAGGTTGGTAGATCTGTTGGGGATGGGAACGCAGTATCAGGTCATGGGGGTGGTAAGTGGGGTGGAAGAGTTGAAGGAAGGGATCTATCCATTCTCATTGAAGAAGGAGGAGGAGAAGCAGGTTGCGAGTAGGGTGCTGAGGCCGTAGTGCGCATGTGATCATACGTCAATTGGCCGCATGAACAGCCACTCGAGACGCTGTATCTTTAGCAAGGGCACTGGGGCATTGGGCTTTTTCAATTTGATGGTCTCTATAGTCACCAGCGATCGAGCAAAATGGGACTTGGTGAAGGGTTGAAGTTGAAGGGTGTGTCTGACAATGCGTGTGGCGTAGTAGTTGTTACATGTGCTCGAAATAATTCCAAGGATGATATCAGCAGGTATAGCAGTTACTGAGAGGATCTAGATCAACGAAGACGGTCTCGAGACGAGGTGCGAGAGCACTTGCAGAAGCACATAGACATACTGAACTCAACAACAAGGCTGACGTGGCATTTGTGCGCGCGCACTCAGCCTATCACAGGCTATCGATTCTACGCTTCCCTATACCTCTGAAGCCATCACCACCGCTCGCCACACCTCTCCCCCCGACAGTCTCCCCCCCTGTCCACAGCCACAATGACCTCCTCCACAACAGCATCCCAAGCAGAGTTGCAGGCCGCCAGGGTTCCTCTGGGTTGGAGAGATCAATGTTCTGCGTGAGTGTACTCCGGTGATACCGTGCATAGGAATGCGAAAGGGGTCGGGTATGGATATCAGGAGAGGAGCTGCCGAATGGAAGGATAAAGGAATGAAGCAAGGGGATCGGAGGGCGACAACATGAGAAAAGGACGAAAGACTGACCTAGTCCGCGTAGCCTCTTGATCCCTCTCAACGTCTGCCGACACAAGGAACTTTACATGCCATGGAAGTGCGAGGACGAGAGACACGGCTACGAAAAGTGTCAATACGACGAGTACGTTGCTTATCGACCGACTTTGGGAGAAAGAGGGAGCTCACAAAGATTGCAGCTATGTCCGCCGGATGAAGCTGCTTGTCAAGCAGAAGAAGGAGGCTGCCGAGGCTGCTGCTGATGACGAATAGGTCGTGCATCCAGCAGATCTGTATTATGTGGTGTAAGAGGAGTGTATGCATAGGAGACATCTCGGCCAAACCTCAAAATACGCCCGCTTCAACCCCCTGGGCTGAGAACGAGGCATCTGTGCTGAAATACTGATACTCTAGAGCGGGCCGTCTGACTGGATTTGGGACCACAAAGCCATGCGATACATAATTCGTGATGATACAAATCTAGCAGGTAAGACAACTAATTCACAGCCATTTCTGTCACAAATACTCTACAACCAAAAGTCGATGATCCGATTATACAAGCTATCCCTTCACTCTTCTCCGCTCCTCCACTTGCCAAAAGGATTCGGCAAAGGCAACCCGGCCGCACCTCTCAACACCTCCCTCCCGAGGACCGCCCCCATACCCAGCCCCATACCTCCTCTCTTCTCCGGACTCCCCCTGACGCCCGCGCTTGGGCTCAGACTACCACTTCGGCTCATACCCGCCCCCTCCGGAATGACCGACCACTCTTCTTCGTCCCCTCCCCCACCCAAAACCGAACTGATACTAGCCCTGCGTGGAGAGGCAGTGTGCGAAAAAGAGGAAGAATGAGATTTGGAGTGGGATCGGGAGTGAGATCGAGAGCGGGAACGGATGTTCTTGAGGGACAAGTCGGGAGACGTGAGAGGGTCGAGGAGGGAAGAGACTCGGTTTAGATTGTCCTGCTTGTCGTCTATGGCCGACGCGGGAGGAGGCTTGATAATCGACTTGGCGTATTCCTGCGCATATACTCATCAGTCCCAGCGCCAAAAAAAAACCACCTGTAGGAAGACAACTCACCAAATCCCGATAGATCGCCTCTATAGCTCTAGCCACCCCATTCTCCCTTTTCACCACTTCCCCAACATCTTTCGCTTTCGCTATTTGCTTCTCGTCACTCGTCGCTTTCACAAGCGCTTTGGCCAATTGTTCAGAACCGAGTTTTCGGATGGCGGAACCAACGTTGAGAGACTCGACACGCTCGGCCCAGAAGGCTTGGTCGCCAAAGAAGGGTTTGATGATTGTAGGCTAGTCAAAATTGGTCAGAAAGAAGCTACGTGCTTTATACAAGAAGACGTACGATACCAGCGCGCAAGCTCGCGCCCGTGGTACCAGCTCCACCGTGATGGCAAGCCGCATCAATCTTCGGGAACAACCATCCATGATCAATTGAGTCAATCGCGCTATGGTTCACAGTCAGCCTTCCAAGTCCACTCGTCACCTTCAAGGCTACTTGCAAGATCTCTGGAGGGTATTTGACTCCGTCGGCACCCTCAGCCCCGCCACTTGACTCTCCTCGTGCTTTTGTGCCTCTATCGGACCAGCCCTTCGAAAGGATAGCGTGGACGCCACTGCTGATAACAGCCTCTACGACGCAGCGAGTCATCTCTTCAGGATCGGAGACGACTATAGAGCCAAAGCCACTAAAAGGTCATCGTCAGTTGACAGCTTCACATACATAAACCACAACGGCTCACATATACACCACCTTCTTCCCGTTCGCATGTGCCCCGTCGATGAACTCGACCAAACCATCCGGGGGACACCATTTCTTCTCCGTGTCTCCTTCTTTTTCATCCGGTTTATCCAAGAACCAATACCCCGTCACATGTATCCACTCTGTCCAATCCAACGGCGCCGGGACGACACTCGGTGAAAAGTTGTACAAGAACGGTACTTTGTGCTGCTCCATCTTGTCAAAGGTGGTGTTATCGAGGGAGAGTTCGTGTCGGCGCCAGCGGTTGATTTGGGAGGAGATGGCGCGCCAGAAGACTTGGTCGAACATGGTGTATGTCATGTAGTTGTAGGATCCTCCGCGGCGACTTTCCGGGACGGCGAAAGCGTGCTGGCAATGGTCGTCAGTACATGCGACACAGACAAGAGGGGTCACTCACAGGGTATGCTCGTGTCCTCGTCCAGGGCATTGTGAACGCTCGGTAGTAGGGAATTCGCAACGCCTCTGCAATATGGATTCCGCTCATAGCACTCGGAGACTCGATAAGTAGGTCCGATCCTTGGCATGCTTGCCAGGAAGAGTTGAGCAGATCATCAAGCCAACCACGGAACTGGCGACATGTCAGCGAAATGTTGGAAATTCCATAATGAGAACTCACCTTTTGCAAGCCTTCCTTGAGGAAGGAGACAGTAAACATGCCATTATCGACACACATCTGCATGAGCTCTGCCGGATCGCCACCAACACTCTCAAATTCAATCCCGTGCTGGAAAGCGTCAGTCTCGAAGTGGGCAGGTAAACTTAGGCAAACTTACGCCTTCCACCCAGTCTTTGTACTCCCCGTGTGTCGCGATCTTTGTTCGGTGGCCTTCCGCCTGTAGCCCCTTGCACAAGGCGATATACGGCTGCACATCTCCCCGACTCCCAATTGTCAGACACGTGATCCTCATAGGCTCCGGCTTAAACTCCAAGAACGAGGTTGACGTCGCTGACCCGAACATCGGCGAGGGTGAGCTCATACCGCTGCCTAAAGGCGTCCTGGCTTCGATTGGATGAGACTCGTCCAAATCTTCCATGATATGCGCTTTGATCCGGTTCTGGTCTGGAGGGGTCTGGCCCGAGGAGACGGATAGGCGGACAGTCTCCATGCGTTCTTCGAGAATAGAGATACAGGCTTTTCGTCGGTCGGGGTTGGAGAATTCGAGGAAGAGTTCTTCGTGGCCTTTGATCACGATGATGAGGCCCGAGTGGCCGAATCGGAAAGCCTTCTGGGCCTTGAGGCCGTACAAGTCCCGAATGGGGATGATCATCTGATGAACGTTAGTGTCGAGCATATTCAAGTTCGAACTGAACTTGCCTTGGTCTTGTAGAGAAGCTGTGATGATCTGAAACAAAAGTAATTGGTGGACACAAAGAATCTTCCTGATATAGGCAATACTCTATACAGATACCCCGGAAAGTCTGCACTGCTTTTAGCATACCAGACCTGCAGATGTACCCAGAACTTACGATCCAATAGCTCTTCTTTCTCACTCAGTGCAAAGAACGACCTAAACTTCTTCACCATCTCCGCACTTTCGCTGTGGCCATTGTCTGAACCCAACATGGAAAAGTCGGATCTGCTATGAACCATCTGACTTCCGGCAGACGATTCTGACGTCCATGATGATCGCGCTGCCCTCTTTTCAGCGGCGCTTTGGAAGCTACTGTTTTGAGAAGTATGACCAGTAAAATCATCATCACTTTCTTCGCCCTCTGTGTCATGAAGGAGGTCTTTGAGAGGCGCCTCTACGACCTCCGTGACAGAGTGCTGTTTCCCTCTCCCCAACCTCGCCCTTGGATCCTCCACGACAGTCGTAAGACTATCTGTCGGAGATCTTCCCAGGTGCGAAGAGATCGACCCGCTAGGGGAGCTTCCAAAGATCTTGGCAGCGGGCTTGCGGATCCAAGATGGGCCCCAGGTAGATTTATCTTCGAGCATGGAGGCAGGAGGTGGGCCAACTTGGGCTGGAGGGTAACCGTCAAAGCTTGTGCCGGTGGTGTCGGAGGTACTTTGGCTGGGCGCGTCTTCTTGAGATGCTGCTTCTTCGTCCCCAGTCCTAGAGACCAAAGGCTTCAAGACAGAACTCAACTTCTTGATGGGTTGAGGGAGGCTTCCAGTCGGTGAGGGAGAAGCCGGCTTATCGACAGGGGTTTTGAGCGTAGCATAGCTCGTGTCGAGTGACTCTTGGCCGACAGTGATAGTGGCAGCGGATGAGATCCGAGGAATGTCTGCGGACGATGCGCGAGATATATCGGGCGAACGATCTCGGACGAGCTGTGAGAGGATCTCGAAAGCGTAATCGTTGTCAGGGAAAGACGCGAAAAAGTAGCTGTCTATCGACATCTGATCTTCTGGGTCCATACATTTGACCTGCTCGTGATCAGTATGTTGTTGCAGTGGAACCTCATCCGCAGACTTACTTCGATAGTCTCGGCGAACTCCAAAGTCGGGCTTTTCTCGACATCAATCACCGCCTCAAAAGGTATAATGACCTTGATTGTCTCCCCCTCATGTTGCAGCTTGAACATCACCTTCTTCACTACCTTTACCCACTCATCCCTTCCTCCCTCAGTATCGGCTGTGAACGTGTAACTCCTCTCCGCTGTCCGTATCTTGAATTTTGTGACTCGCACAGGATCGACCGAGATACAGTATTGGAGCGAGATGTTGCCTTTGGGGAAGTAGGGGTTGGAGGTGGATTCGTACCAGGACAGTACGTCGTTCTTGAGGACGACCCAGAACTTGGTGTTCAGTTTTGTACGGGAGGCGTTCTTGTAGAGGGGACCCGATTTAACGAGGAGATTCTGCAGCTTTGTTAGATGCGGTTCAACTCAAGACAGATAGGACGCACGTTTTCGTCTGGCATGTTGGCGAAAAAGCAGATGTGGCGTTTGGTGTGGTACATGTAGCCCTTGAGCACTGCAGCGTGTCAGCTCTTTCCAAGGCCCGTAGTAGAAGTCACTTACTGACATTCCTCAACAGCCAACACTTCATCTCCCCCAAGACCTCCTCCCTCTCCTCCAGCCCAAAGACCTCCTTCAGCCTCTCCGCCAGTCGCTCTTTCCGCATCAGCCTCTTCTCCGACTCGTCTGTTTCGAGTGACTTGGCAATCACGTCTTCTCCTTCAAGGTCTTCCTCTCTGAGGGCAGCGGCAGCGTTGAGATCCTGTGGCGAGCCTCGCGTGCTGATAGCTTTGCCAAGCTCAATCTCGCTCACGCCTTCTTCTCTTGCTGTTTTGAGCACTTCTACCCTCTCTTCCTCATCCGCGATCCCTTGCTCTTGCGTGATCCTCGCATTGAGCATGTCCGCCTCCTCCCCGGTTATCGACCCTACACTGCTATCACCACTTTCCCTCTTGCTCTGCTTGAAACCCTTCGGTAAGGGTACCTCCCCATCAGAGCTTACTTCGCTCGCTATGCTTCCTTGACGCTCATGGCCGAAGCGAGGAGGAGAAGCGGCAAATTGATAGTCGAGCTCGGTGGTACCGGGACGCCGAGCTTTGCGCGCAATGGCGTTCTGTCGGAATGGAAAGTGAAGATTGTGGGAGGGGTGTGCATATGGAGTCGGTAAGGGGGTGGCGGGATTCGAGAGGGGGCGAATGGTATTGAGCGATGAGCCAAGTTTTGCCACTGGACGATATCAGCATGTCGCATGAAGATGACATACTGAGACTTACATTTGGGCCGCCGTACGGTCTCTTGCATGACAGAGGCAGATCCTCTCCCTGGACCTGACGGCGCCAAGTCGTCATTCTCCTGCTCGTCTCCTTCCTCATCTTCATCATCCCACGGTAAAGCGTTGAGGGCTGATACGAGTGCTGAAGCGCCCATTCGGATCTGATCTCGGGCGTTGACGTCGTTGTGCGGAATCGAGTATGGATATAGGTATACACAAGATGAAAGAGCGATTTGAGAGAAGGGTAAGAGGTGTAGGAAGAGCATTCGTCAGCGCATCATTCGAGAATTAGATTCGAGAAAAGTCAATGGAGGGCAGGGAGAGTGGCCACAAAGGACGCTGTGCACCCAGATTGGAGATGGCGCTGGCCTCGGGGAAAGATGTCTGTTTCCGCATGCGATGCTCTAGGATCTGATCGATACATTCCATGACACGAGGGAGGCACAAGCGGATAAGGGAAAAGAAGAGAGACTTACCGAACCAATTTCCTTGCTGATCCCGAAGCCGGGTCGAGCTTCATAGTTGCTGGGTCGGGAGGCCGTATCGGAAGCCGTATCTTCAAGAGTCTGACCTTCGGGTAATAGTTCCCGCGGAGCATATGATATGGGAGAAGAGGCAGGAAACCTGACCCCCTGGGAATCGCTGCCAGGAGGTACTATAGGTGGGCCCATGTCGGAGAGATCGGGTTGAGCCTCATAGCCGCTCGATATAGAGGTCGGTTCGGGTGTAGTTTCGTCATGCCAGCCTTCCGGCGCTTGGTCTTTGGGGGCATACGATATGGCTGGAGAGGTAGTGGATTCGACCTCTTGGGATTGACTCTGAGGATGCTCTACAGCCGGCAGCCCTATATCATCGGGTGGCGGGCTATCCGACTTCATGATGTCTCCCATGGGTGCTTCTGAGTCAGCTACCCCAGGATCAGGCTGTGAATCTGAAGGCGGTTGACCTCCCTCCTGAGCTATTGGAGGTTCTGTGGGTATGGTGTGCTGGGCCACCGTATTGACCAGGGATTGCGCGACTTGTTGTGTATAAGATGGAGGCGAGTCGTGAGCGGTTCCGGCAGCTGGGAATGGAGGTTGTTGAGATGCCAAATTGAGAGGGGGATGCTGGTCATCCTGGGAGGACATGTTGGCGGCAAATGTGGGGAGAGAGTGTAACCCCACTAAGAAGCCGGGATGGTGTGCCTCTGATGTTGTTTGGTTAGCTGGCGCGTCTGTGTCTTCGCGTTACTCACAGTCACGGGGGCTGGGGGGCTAAGGGGGGGGGTCTTGGTCGGGGATAGCACTTCTCCACTCACCCCGTGCATAGAGCACCAACAACAGCGCACCCGTTCCATCGACGTCAGTGAGCCAAGCATCGGATCTTGCCGCCTTGACGTCGACGCTGCCCCGCTCTGGCTCTGTCTGAGAATGATATCTCTTTGCTCTATTCTTCTTCTCATCTCTCTATCTAGCTCACGCAAAAGCCAACAACCCTTTCAAGCAAATCACTCAAAGATTCATCTCGGCTCACAATCAGCTGTAAAGCCGATGCAGTCTTATATACCGGCACCCGGACCGTGTGGTTTGAGCTTCTCTCGGCTGACACCCTTCAAGAAGTCAGGTCGCATCCCGGCGATTGGTATCAGAACCCAAAACAGAACTCTACACGTGGAGTAAACCAGCCCCGACTGCGACAAGAGCTGTCGTCAACCAAGAGCCTCAGTCGCCATACTCTTCAGCTGGATCCGAGTTACCCTCAAGCGTCCTTCACAACCCCAAACACCATTCCAGCTGTTGTATTCTCAGGACAGGTACTGTTCCTCAAATATCTAAGACTGATTCAAGGACCGCAGCGTAGCGTCGGTAACGACAACGTCCCTCTCGACCTTGGCACTGGCTTGGACGACAGCCGCTTCACAGCATATATATACTCGAGCCATGCATCGATACTACCCTCTCACCGATACAAGATCTCCATCGATATCTCTTGGTCCTTCTCTCGACGTGTTCCAAGCAGCTGGTCTGCTCTTTCTTTGTGTTACTTACTTTCTGGTTCTATAGGTGCTAGTCACCTCTTACTCTCGGTATCTTCTTCCAGGTGCTAGTCACCTCTCGCTTTCATCTACGACACTTCCACCCTCCCGACGACCCTCTTCTCCATCATGATTTCCCCCTCTCCACTCCCACTCCTTTCCCTCTTCCTCATCCTCGCCGCCTTCGCATCGGCTGCCCCTATTGAGCCCGAGCCTCTCCACAAGTTGGTTCTCCGAAAGATCCCCACTGCTCGGGATGGAGAGCACCCTCTGGAGGTCTTTGAGCGTCACCAGGAAGCTGCCATCAAGAGGATGCACTACTTTAGTGAGTCTTGGGGTTTGATCCGTGGCATGCGTACTAACGGTCATCCCAGAGCGTATGGCTCCTCCTGACAAGGAATTCTTCCGCAAGAGGCACATGGAACGAGTATGTTTGTCTCAAACATAGAATGATACCCGAGCTGACATGTGCTACAGCGTCAGATGATTGAAGACAACCCCAATCTCGACAAGCGCATGTGGATCCCCGCCGTCTCCCCTGACGAGGTCAAAGCCAACAACCAGAAGCGAACCTACTGGCCTGACGGAGGTTGGACGCCCGGAAACACCAGTACACCTCTTGGAAATGCAGCAAAGGAGCTCAGCAAAGGGTCTGCGACACAGGCCGCCGCCGCTGCCGCTGCTACTGCTACCATCTCGGGTATGTGACTCAGTTTCGTTCTAGGCTTGTGCTAACGGTCGTGTAGCTTCCGGGTCGAATGACCAGGGGTTCAGCCAAGCCGCTGTGGACGCGTTGAACGACAACACCCTCACCAACTCTAGCAGCACCCTCATTACTGGCGGTCTTGACTATGTCATCGAATCCAACGATATTGGTAAGTGATTATAAAAGCTTGAAGGGTGTAGGTTGACGTCGCGATAGGTTACTTGGCCGATATCACCCTCGGTACACCCGCCAAGACATTCCTCATGCTCATGGACACTGGTAGTGCCGACACCTGGGTCCCTTCAACGTAAGCTCTTCGACTATTCCTCTCCATTTTTTAACGCTTGCGTAGTGAATGTGGCCAGGCCAATTGCGGAGCTCACCAAGCACTTGGATCTGACTCTTCCACATTCCAAGCTTCCAACACTGCCTTCCAAGTCACCTACGGTTCTGGTGCTGTCGCAGGTCAACTCGCCGCGGACACCATAACCATTGCGGGCATGACACTAGTCAACCACGCTATGGGCGTGACGACGCAGGAGAGTGTACAGTTCTCGGGAGCGAATGTGCCGTTCGATGGGTTGATGGGACTTGCTCTCAGTGTAAGTCGTGCAACAGCTTTCTCTCGTATCGGACAATGTGCTGATAGAGAACCAGACGTTGCCGAACCAAGGCGTCTCCACCCCGATCGAGTCTCTCAAGTCCACCGGCGTTCTTCAAAACACTGTACTTGGTATTGCCCTCGGTCGCCTGAACGACGGTGACAACGACGGTGAACTTGTCTTTGGTCAAGCCGACGATGCCAAGATTGATGCCGCCACCACCCAGACCCTGAAACTCACTTCCACCGACGGTTTCTGGCAGGTTGCCATGAGCGCCGTGTCTGTTGATGGTCAGAGCGCTGTCACCGGCAAGCAGGCTATCTTGGATACCGGAACATCGCTCATGATTGCTCCCGAGGCCGAGTAAGTCATCGCGCACACCTGAGAGAGCATGGGCTAAATTGGCGATAGTGCTACGGCTGTCCACCAGCAGATTGACGGTGCTGCCGATGTTGGTGGCGGGATGTTCTCCATTCCTTGTACCACCAACCAGGCGGTCAGCATGGTTTTCGGCAACGTTGCCTTCAAGTACGTCTTCTGCTTGTCTCTTTTGAGCTCTCGCTGACTCGCAACCTAGCATTGACGCCCGAGACATGATCTTCCAGCCCCTCACGAACGACCTCACCGGTGACTGCCTCTCTTCCCTCTCCGCGGGTACCATCAAAGACGACGACACTTGGCTCCTCGGAGACACCTTCTTGAAGAACGTCTACATGACCACCAACGCCGACGATGGGACCGTTCAACTCTCCGCCAGGACAGATACCCCCGGATCGAGCAGTGCCAACAACGCCGCTGTCTCTGCTGGGACCAGCGGAAACGGGACGACCAACAATGCGGCTGGCACGTCTGGGAGCAAGAGTGCGCCAAGTAGTGCTACGAGGGCGGCGCAAACTGCTGCTGCTGCGGCCTCCACTGGATCTTTGTTGGGTGCTCTTGCCGCTCTTATTGCTGGTAGTGGAAGCACGCTCTGACTCTATATATAGTGACTGCCATTGTCCTATCTCAGATCTTTGATCTAGGCGTTTGATGGCCACTCGAGAAAAAGTGCTGTCTGAAGGAAATTAGACCGTGTCTATCATGCATCGCATGACTCCTATACCCCAAAAAAACAATATAGCTGTATGTAAGAATGTATGTAAAAACTGTGTCTGCTGCTGCTTCATTATACTTTGGCCCCGCCGAAACTTTCAAAGTGGCGGTCCATGAGTTCGCCAAAAGAGACGACGCTAGCTTGTTTCTGCATAGCCAGCACGTTGTTGACCTTGACCGCCCGGCCTTGCTGGACTGTGTATTATATCAGCTTGTGCATCTCAGTAGACGCCAAATGACTCACCTTCGCCCTCATTGTCCAAAGACGCATAGCTAGCGTAAGAGGCAGTGGAGAAGCGACTCCCATTCCTCCTTTCCTCTTCGCTCTCTCCCTCGGCCTCTTCTGCCTTATCAAAAATCACATAGCTTTCATCCAGTGGAGCTAGTTCAAGCGAGTCGTGAAAGGCTGGTGTGACAGGGGCATGCGACGAAACAGGGCTGTGGCTACTCCCTGTCGACACGCTTGCCCTCTCCTGCTCGGGAGTCATCCCGCTACTCGAAGGCTGCCTTCTCGCATCGATCCCAGCCTTTCCCGATCCATCACTAATTTGAGGAGCATAGGGGTACTGACTGTTTCGGTTTCCAAGCCCCAGAGGCATTGACGCAGATCTGGGAGCGCTACGTTGACCAAGGAGCAGATCATCCATCGACATTGCAGAGGAGGATGATGAAGAGGAGTGAAGGTGTCGGCCGTACGTGCCCCGCTTCTGAGTGTCCACCACCCTGTCTTCGAGACCCATGTGATTATGCCCAAGACGAACGGAGGCGAGGTTCGATATCTGGGAGGGCAAGGGAGACAAAGAGGAAGAAGGGGCCGCAGCTGTGGTACCTTGACGAGGTCGAGTCTGAGACTTGGAGTTGGATCTGGCGATAGAATGCCATCCACCAACAGACAATGGCCGAGGGCGATGCTCTCGTTCCTCCTGCGCCTTTGGCGTTTCACTTTTCGAAGGCTGCCTCACAGTCACCTCAGAAGCACCGCTCATGGCCGAGAATCGCTTTGAGATACGTGACGGCTGCAAAGCCTGCCATGGCGAACGGGCGCGCTCATAAGGAGGATCTTGGGCAGCCTGGCTGAGAGCGGGAACGGATGGCGATGAGAGTTTGAGTTTGGATCTCGAAAATGTCGAGCTGAAGGGACGCTTCGTAGTCTTCTTTAAAGTTGGAGTGCTCGTCGTAGACTCTTTGATCGCAGACGGCCGGCGGAGGGAGAAGACGGCTTTCACTTTCGAAATGAACGACGAACGCTTCCCCGGCTTTGCCTCTTCGCCCCTCTCCTCGTGCTCGTCGTTGTCGTGGTAGAAGTCCAACGGAGACTCCACCCTCCGCATCTCTGGCTGCGGTCTCTCATACTCCTCATCCCCCCCATCGAAGTCTTCCTCGGGCGCAGTGGGCAAGGTCGGTGAAAGCGCTCGTGATGGCGACATGTGCACAGAGGAATAGGAAGAGGGTCTTAGCAGTGACGGGGAAGTCCTTCTCTCCACCGTCGCTGAACGGTCCTCTTCGCCCTCAACGATCAAAGTCGACAGCCTTCTAGCTCCCGCATGACCAGATGGTGGCCTCCAAGGCGGTGGCAGCCCCCCCTTTTTAGCTCGCAGAGGAAGATGAAGGTCGCCTTCCGACCTTGCGAAAGATGATCGGGACTGTTGAGAGAGCTGGTATGCCTGGGCACTTGTAGGTCGAGCAGGGGACGATATGGAAGCAGGGGGCGGGAAGTTTGTGGTCCGCGACTGTGGAGATAACGAGTGGATGGTAGAGCTGGAATTGGTGGACTGTGGTCTCGCAGATAGATCCATCTCGGACTGAGAGGTAAAGGAAGGTTGACGCAAGGTGAACGGAGATACTCGAGGAGAAAGTGCTCTGCTCGGAGAAGAGCTCCTCTTCAAAATACCGGTACCAGCCCGGCGAGATCCCCTATCCGGTGTCTGTGATCGTGTAGCGTCCAGATCCGGAGTCGACTCGGCTATCATCAAGCTTCGAAGGGAGCGATTCCAAATTTGCGTCAGAGGGGAAGCGGCGGATCTTCTTTGGCTATCCAAATACTGGACGTCCTCCTCTTCGGCCTCCATGCCCCATAATACCAGGGGATCGCTAGTGCTAGACTGTGGCTTACTAGCAAACCAGCCAGTGGGTCTGTTCAATGGCTGGGGGCCACCTGACCAGCCCTCTCCCAGACCAATCACGCCTGGAGCGGAGCGTAGATCTTCATTGACAAACTGAACCGAGTGGCGTTTGCTTGGTGGATCGGTGATGTAAGTAAAGTTGAGGCTAGCAGAGGGAGCTGAGGGCGCGATGTAGTCGCCATAGCGTGTCATGGGAGGGGACCCAGAACGGGTGGTCCGACGAGTAGCCAGCGACCCTGTCGGACTCGCTCCAAGGCTGCCCTCCTCGGTCGTCTGCTCATCGTCTGTTAAAAGACGGCTCTGCATAGATGGACTCCGCAGCACCGCAGGAGGCATCAGCAGTGGCCGTGGAGCATCTAGGGAGACTCGACTTCGATGCTCTGGGGTGGGAGACGATGGGGGAAGGGAGGATGACCATGATGCCCGACGGGCATAGAACTTGGGAGACGCGGTGGGAGGCTCTGGAAAGTCTGGCAGGTCTGCGGAAGAGAATGATGGGTTTCGATCGGAGGAAGGGCCATCGGGAGATTCATGGGGAGGGAATAGTTGTCGAGGTGAGATGAGACGCGGTGTCTGCGGGGACGAAGGTGTCAGGGCTCGCGGCGTCGCATCGCCCTCGCCTGAGAAAAAGTTAACCGGCGAATGGTAGCCATGGATGTAAGATACTCACCACCATCATATACGCTTTCAACCTCTTTCTCATACCCACCCACTTTACTCGCACCAAATGGCGATATCGGTAGGCCCAGAACCGGCCGGTTATCAGTGGGCTCGCACTCTTCAACAACCGTCTCCATCCATAAAGTCATGACCGTCCAGCGGTGAATTTGCTTTGGCTGAGGATGATTCTGTCAGATATAGTTGCAGTTGACGTTGTAGATGCAACTTACCAATTAGTCAAAGAGAAACCAGCTCTCAGCTCTCAAGCCACACGAGCCCAGTCCCTACACGGCAAAGGCTCTCACGTTTCAAATCACGGCCAAAAAACGGCAGTGCTCTCCCGGAGGACGTTTTCAATTATCAATGCCGTGATAATCAAGCGTGATGCGCGAACAAGCTTCGTACCCGTGCTTCGCGCCTGATCTCTCACGTGAAAGGGGACTGTAGGGCCTCTATAGATCTTTGCCAAGCGATGATACAGACTTAGCGGGTGAAGGACGATGGAGAGGCGAAACGATATGACAAGTGAAAAGGGCTCGTCTGGCATGCAGAAGACCAACACTTAGCACCTAAACCACACACTGGGTGGACGACTCACGGATCTACCACTGGGAAAGGCACCTGAGGGGCTGCCGAGAGGAGGGTTAGAGAAACAGCCTTGTAGGAGGATCTTGCAGTCGAAAGCAGATGGAAGAGTACAAGGAACAGTAATTCTGCTCTCTGGCATCTTTTTCCGGTCAGAGACTTGAATTGCGGGCAGCCCTGCATATCCTGATTACGAAGGGGGACTTCGGTTCTAGCTCGTGAATAGAGGCTTTTATCCACGATGGACGATGATCGCTGCTATGTACAGTCCCTAGTCCGGGGAATGAGCGCATTGGACCGGAGTCTTTTGCGCCATTCAGGACCGCATACCGCATCTTTTTCGCCTGGACTCTGCTACACACTCGTAGAGTACGAGTACAGGCGGCTGTCAGCAGCAGTGCTTCTCCTCCTCCCTCCTTCTTCTCTTTCGTACGTCTGGTGTCGTGGTGCAATTCACATATATTGGTATTCAGGTACATACGCCCGAAGTACCATAGTCCCATAAATTTCGGGGTGACTGACTGACCCGAAGCCCGAGAAAAGGGAAACGGATGCGTCGCTCTCGCTCTCATTTGCCGATCACTTCAGGTTCAGGACGTGACGCGACGCGCTCTCGTCGTATGTAGCTACCACATATCTGGCCCGCAAGCTTCGCAGGACAGGAAAGCACGTAAGAATTGAAGGCCCGTTCTCCAAATGCAGGCATATCCCAAATTCTGGCTGCAACGGGGGTGGGGAGCCGAAGTTCGTTCTCGGTCGGCCCTTTTACACGATAATTAGGTGAGACGTTACCAGATACCAGACTTGGCCGAGCCCGTTTATTATCGGTAAGACGGCGACGGCCAAGACGATAGGCGTGGTATGTTGTGCGGAACACGGTATTGGGCTTTGCTCAATTATATCAGGGCGATGACATAGTTTACATGACCATCGCCATGCCTACATGCTCCATGACGCCTGCATGCCCGACAGCCTACAGATAACCCCATACCTAACATGCTGCAATGGTCGCAAGGCTGGTTCGACGCGATCCATCATCCCCTGGCGAACAGACTAGATGGATGCCGAATCCTGTTGGCCTGTCATCACGTCCATGCTGAAAAGTGTTGCATTGTAATGCAGATGTGATATGCCTATGTGTATGTAGTGTGATTATAATCTTCCGTCTCTTGCTGCTTTGAATTCCTCTCAAACCTCTCCCTCAGAATTTATCCTTTCGCACATTCGCACCTCTGGAGGCCAGCGGAGCAAGGCGTGGTAGAGTGGGCTTCTTGATTGATGAACTTGAGCTGCCACCCGTCGTCATCGGCAAGCTTGTGTTGGTGCGTCTCGTTGGCGCGTTCGATAGAGACAATTTGCCCAGCGGCTTGCTAGATGCGGGGGTGGCAACAGGTCTGTAAATGTATCCTTGAAGGTCACTGGCGATACTATCACGGCTTGTCAACAATATACCAGAGAAAGAGAGTATGGGTGCGCTCACCTGGATTTTGATGATTTCGACTTGGAGGGTTCAGACGATAGAACATCTGGTTTCTGGTCGTCGGGCTTGTATTTAATGCAGATGCCCAAGATCTTGGTCGTGTATTTCTGTGTAGCTCCATCGTCAGTTGAATGGTCGAGGCTCCGTGATAGGGCATACCTTTGCGAGCTGCGAGGTCATACCCTCAATCTCCATGAGTGCTTTACCGTCTACAAGCTGTCAGTTGCTGCATGATGAGACCTGCCTTACTCACTTGAGGGCATCATGGTGGCAATCATCTGCAGCATCTCGTCGGTCAAAAGACTAGCATCGGTATCAAGGGCCAGTGCCTGCATGCGTGTGAGTTTTTTGTCCACTTGAAAACGGGTCCCGACTCACGGTATCACGCAGCTTCTCCAACGCCATGAAACATTGCGACTGTAGCGACTCCTCACCCGCGCCATTCTTCTTTGCCGTACTTTTGGCCGTGGCTCTTTTCTTGACCGCGGCAGGAGGGTCCATAGACTTTCTCTTCTTGGACAGTTTCAGCGGCACATCATCATCGACCTCCGTGTCCTCTCCGCTGCCCTCGATAGGATCGTCCTGGGACTCGCCATCATCTTCCTCCTTCGGCTTGTCATGTGAATCGCCCCAGTCAGAGTTGTCAAATTCGTCCGTTTGTGCCTGAATGCGTTGCGCAGATCGTTTGCGCTCGATGGGATTGTTATTTGAACGCTGAAGGGCAAGCTGTTTCTTGTTTTGTTGTTTTTGCTTGTCTTTAGCGTTCTGAAGGGCTGCAGTAATTGGCATCTTGCCGAATGCCATGAGAAATCGTTTACCGCGCTTGAGGTAATCATTCGCCTTTGGACCAATCTATATTCCAGATTAGCATTGACGACATGAAGGCATTACCGACAAGCTTACCCTCAAGTAGCCAAGATTGAAGCCAGCCGGACCGAGCACATTGAACTCTTCCAATGCGTTCTCTATCATCAACCGCTGCACAAGTCTCTCCGACTCGTGCTTTTCCCAGTCCGCGCCTTTCCCAAAATACGCATTATTGGCGAGGCCCTTGTCGGGATTACTCCTGCGGCCTCGGAAAGCCTCGGCAGCGTTGACAATGGTAATCCTGGAGTTCGTTTTCAAGCTGTCGATCATTTTGAGGATATTGACGGCATCCTCCGTCACATCTTCTTCCTTGATCTCATACTTGTCCCGATTCGCGCAGTTATCACAGCCCTTGTGACATTCGGCCGGATCAAACACCTCGTTGAAGAAGGCAAGCACTTGAGCACGTCGACAGTCGACCATGTTGTCGCAGTAACGGAGAACTTCGTTTTCGCTATCTTTTTGGCGCTGCCGTTGTTCAAAAGATAGCTCTTTGTTGGACTCGATTTGGTTGATGATCTTTTTACCGTCTGCAAACATGAAATCTGAAAGAGGTGTCAGGCAAGCACGATGTCACTACGAGCCACACTCACAAAGAACGCAAGTTGATGGATTCCCATCTCGCCCAGCTCGACCAGTCTCCTGATAATAACCTTCAAGTGACCTTGGCAGAGAGTGATGTATGACATCTGGTAGAGACCAAGTCAGCTTTGATCGGCAACTGTACACAAGACTCACATCGCACATCAGGCTTGTCGATACCCATGCCAAAAGCGACCTACACCCACGTCAGCTGCAGCCAGGACGGATACTTGTTCATGACCCACAGTTGCGACAATGACCTCGAATTCGTGAGCTTGCCACCCCTCCTGCCTCATCCTCCTATCGGACTTGCTCATTCCGGCGTGATAATGATGGGCTCCCACGTTGTACTCTTCCCTCAACTGCTTGGCCACATTCTCACAAGTGTCTCTCGAGTTGCAGTAAATGATACCGCTCTCGCCCGCTCCATGGGCGCCGATGAAATTGACGATATCCTTGAGGATAGTACCACTCTTTTTAGGGCGGACTTCGTACTGAAGATTAGGCCGGTTGAAGGACTGCTGCAGTCGGACGCATTTTTGGATGCCGAGCGTGAGGATGATGTCTTCTACCACCTTTCCCTGCGCAGTCGCCGTCAAGGCCATGATTGGGATATTGGGATACTCTTTTCGGATGAGACCGAGCTTCAGATAGTCTGCCCGGAAATCATGACCCCATTGACTGACACAGTGAGCCTCATCGACCACGAATCTCGCCAATTTGTTTCTCTGCTCGAGTCCTTTCAGGATGGACTTGATACGCCCGCCCATGGACATCATTTCAGGCGTAACGTAGACCACTCTGACAGACGGTTTTCTGCGCGAAAGTTCCTGATGGGCCAAATTTTTATCTGCCTGACTGAGGTCACTCGTGTAGGCGATGGCAGGGATCTCCCTTTCGATGAGACTGCCGACTTGGTCGGTGATTAAAGAGATCAGGGGAGAGATGACGAAAGTGACACCTTCGGTTTTGCCGCCATCGCAGATAGCAGGAAGTTGATCTGGGATGAGAATCAGTCAGACGACAATCAGACAGTAAGCAAGGACGTACAAGTCAGACTTTTGCCACCACCGGTAGGCATGAGTACAAAAACATCTCTCCCCGCCATGGTCTCATTGATAGCTTCCAGCTGATGTTTCCTGAAACCCGGCAGACGAAAGTTGTGTCTCAACTTTTGCCGTACTTCGTGGGACCACGGATACTGCTCCTCCAGATGGACAACCCTCTCCTTCCCGTTCGCAGTCGTGGAGAGATCTCGAGTCTTGGAACTCGATGACCGCGGGGGAGGCTGGATAGCCCGGGGAGGCGAAGAGTCGATAGGAATTGGAAGAGCTTCACTAGCTCTGTATGGAGAGCCTTGTGAGGAGAAGATTTCTTTATAGGGGATATCTTGAAAGTCTGAAGGAAGCTCCGACGTATGCGCCGGAACCCCAGCATGCCTTGTAGCGGCAAGAGGGCGTTCGGGTGATGACTGGGGTACGATCACCTCATCGTAATATTGGTCCCAATTCTCCTCTTCTTCCTCCATGTCGATGTCCTCGGGCTGCGGATTGGGCGGAGTTACCTCTCTTGATTGACCCAGTCGGGAAGGACCGACTATCGCATTCGAGCTCGACTGTCGGCTCACCGTAAAAGGGCCTGAAGTCAAAGCATGCTCTATCGAATCATCGCTCTGCGGGTTTTTGCTGACCGGATCGGCGTTCCATTGATCCAAATTCGTTATGGACTTTGTCGCACCATTGGCAGTGGGCGTTGGAGCTTCTTTGGGTGGAGGATGTGGAGGTTTGGGTGGTATCGAGGGGCGATCAGAGCCGCTGATGACAGAGCCTGGCCGGGACAGGATAGGCGTGGTCGCGACGAGACTGGACGAGCGAGCACTCAGTTCCGCCTTTAGCTCTACAATGCGCTCGACGGTTGTCGCTCTGGAGTCACCGTCAGTATCTGCATCGCAATGAGGAGACCAAACTCACATCTCATCTTCGAGGATATCCACGTCCTCCTCGTCTGCATCTTCACTTTGACCAGTCTTCATGGCGAACATCTTTTCCTCCTTCTTGTCTCTCTCTCCCAGCCATTTCAATAGTAGTCGCGAGATTTGATCGGTTGATTTCTATCTTGGTTTCAACAATCTCCCGAGACATTCAACATGAAGATACGTACCGTGCTAAACTTTGCGTTCCCACCGGGAGTAGTTGCGCTACGATCTTTTCCATCAGATGATAAAGAAGAGTCATTCCGTATTGCCAACGACGCCTTGATCTCCAATATGCGCTTGCTTCCCGATTCGCTGAAGGCAGGTCAGCCTCTGAACTGGCGCGTAGTCACCACTCACAGTTTCTCCTCTACGATCTCTAGTCGGTCATCTTCATCACCCAAAGTGACCAGAGCCAGCCGTTCTTCTTGGAGCTTGCTCCTCTCATCATAATAGTGAATGGCGAACTTTGTCAACTGCTGAGTTGTTTTCTATCTATTGCATTAGCTCGCCAGATCTTGTTACCGCTCATTCTTGGACTCACGCCGTTATCTTTATCATTGGTATGCGACCCATCTGGTACCAATTCCCTGCCTTTACCCTTTGAACTGGAAGATATTGGCGATCCAATTTTGCTTGTTGGTGTCATGAGGTGTGCTGGTGGACGATAGGGTAACGGCCGTCTAGACGACTCGGGTACGCTGGGAGCACTCGACTGCGCCGCTGGTTTCTCATCTATATCAATTTCTATTGGAGAATCTGAGCCTATGAATATACCCATCAGCAATCGAGGAAATTCACGCCCAGCGAGGGTCAACAGTGGCAAGACTAACGGTTCGGAACACGACCCGAGGACGTCGGTCCTTTCGACGAAGACGACAGTCGAGATGATGAAGCTTTGGTTAATGAGGGAGATTTGGATTGTCTCTGAGGGCGACGTCAGTCATACGCGTCTTCTCGCATCGCAAACACTGTCCAGCACTCACGCTGATCACCGATATGTCTGAGGCTCTCTGGGCTTTCGGCTTCTGGCTCTGGGCCTTGAGCATGTCGGCGATGTTCAGATTGGACCTTGACCCCATGCGAGCTTCTTGTGTGGCGGAAGGGGGGTATGAAAGACAAGAAGAGTATGCAGAATTGAGATGAATTCCGTCGACGCGTCGACATGATTTCTGGTTGACGCGTGCTTGACGGAAGCAAATTTGGACGACGACCGACCCCCGGGCTTTTCGAGGAGGTTGTCGAAAAGAACAAGTCACTTATAAACTTGTTAAAACAATCCGTAACACACCGACAAGGCATGGCAGGACCATCGATGTCCATAACGGGGTCTCTTCTCTGCCGGAAATCCCTCCAATCATCAGCTAGATCCCTACTACCACTCCCGACATTCCTCGCCCCATCTGTCTCGGTCCCTTCCAGAGTTGACCGCCGACACAAATCATCAGCATCGACCCCTGGTGCTCCAGAGAAAAAGTCACTAAAGGACAAATACAACTATAATACGTCTATCGACTTTGACGGAGAGCCTGATCCTGATGTGAGCTTGAAATACCTGAACATTTGACTTGTGGGCTGATAGGTTACAAGCATGTACGATGGAGGAGAGTGACTGCTGCCGACTTGGTGGCAAGAAAAGAGCCACCTACAAGAGTAAAGATGCTGGTGAGGGACTTTATAGACGATAGTCTGTACAACGTAAGTCTCCATCTACTTTGCGCGACGTCTTCTGACTCGCCATAGCCAAACTACGGATACTTTTCCAAAAACGCCACCATCTTCACTCCTCCCAAAGAGGGATTTGATATCCCGACTTTCAGAGACACGGCCCATTTCCAGGAAACGGTAGCTGAGGTGTACGAGCGAGAGTACGGGCTGGAACAGACGGAAGGGGCAAAGGGTGGTCTGAGTCGACAAGTCTGGCATACACCCACTGAGCTCTTCAAGGTAAGTTCCGCTGTCTCTGTATGTTGCACGACGAGACTGACTGGGATGTAGCCGTGGTATGCGGTCTCACTGATATCTGCAATCATCCAATCCTATAAACTCTACCACTTTCCGTCCGAGCCCCTTGTCATCTACGAAGTCGGTGCCGGTAATGGCTCGTTCATGGTCGACGCCATGAGGTACATCAAGGAAAACCATCCCGAAATCTACCCCAAGACTAGTTACCGCATCATCGAAATCAGTGCTGCTTTGGCCAAGGGTCAAAAGGAGCGCGCCGAGAAGGAAGGGTTTGGGAGCAAGGTGCAGGTGTTGAACCGCGACTTTTTCAAGTGGGAAGGAGTCAGCAACGGGGAGCAGCCGTGCTATGTCGTCGCCCTTGAAGTGTTTGACAACCTCGCACACGACATGGTGCGATATGAGCTTGATACGCTCGAACCTCGCCAAGCAGTCGTCGGCATCGATGCCTCGGGCGAATTCTCTTTGCTGTATGAGCCAGTCCACGACCCCCTCATCAACCGCGTCCTCTCATACCGCCGTCTCCTCCCTCCTTCACCAGCCACCTCCCCTCCCTTGGCCAAACCACTGCTCGTCTCTGAATCTCTACGAAAGCTCTACACCTCGTTACCTTTCGCGCCCAACATGTCTGCGCCAGACTTTTTGCCGACCAAGGCTGTACTCTTTGCTGAGAAGCTACGAGAAAAGCTGCCAGGTCACAGGTTGTTGATGGCGGACTTTGATGAGCTACCGGAAGCTGTTGAAGGCAGAAATGGGCCGGTAGTGCAGACGAGGTACGGGAACAGTATGGTTCCTTGTGAGACGTTCTTGGTCAAGCAGGGCTACTTTGACATCTTCTTCCCTACCGGTAAGGCCCCACCATCTCCACGCGAGCTGAAAGCTGACATGCAAAAGACTTTGAACACTTCCGAGACCTCTACAGCGTCATCATGAATTCGCCCTCCGTATCAGCTCCCCAACCACCCCCTCCCTCCGCATTCAACCCTGCCTCCAAGATTTCGCGCGACTTTTTCTCCCACTCCTCCGGCGTGAAGGGGTTCAGACGGCGTAATGTCGGAATCTATACGCACGCAGAGTTCCTAGAGAAGTATGGTGGGAAGGACGTCCTGGACAAGACGAGGGTGAGAGATGGCGGGAATGTGATGACGGGGATGTACGCGAATGCGAAGATGCTGTTCTAGAGACAGTGAAGGAATATGTAGAAAAGATAGACGGGCGTTGATACCGAGCATGTAATTATACCCATGCACATCATAGCTGTAATACCAGTCTGATCACCCACACACGGACAGCTCTCCAACAAGAAGAAGAAGATAAGAAGAGAGAGTGATCTGTCTTGCTCATCTCGACGGACGGGTGCAGCACAGAAGAGAGGGCCGCGAAAATACCACGGAGTGGTGTCAGTGTCATATCTTCGCAACCTCCTCCGGTCTCTGCTGCTGCTATAATAAGCTACATGCGGATACTCACGTCGAGCCAGGGAATACTCGGTTCCTTGCCTCTCAAATGCGCGACGACAATCTCAAATGACAGTCGCGCCGTATCTGTAGTTTGCCGAGCCGAGGATAACGTGCTCTCTCAAAGAGTTCCCCAATCTCTCAGATCGCGACTTGACTGTCGGGCCGAGTATCTCAAAGAACCTCACAAGATCTCAAAGAGTGCGATTTGAGATGTGGCCACCAGCCGGCCGAGTTCCTGAGTTACGGTACGAGTAATTTAGACTGACGTCGATGATGAGCAGTTCCAGAGAAGTCGTCGTTCTTCTTCGCTTATTAGATAGCGGGTATTCATAGCTCATAGGCTGCACCAACTGGCTCTGTGCGATAGGACTGAATCCCCTGCGAAGTCAAAAAGCCCAGAGGGCAGAAAGAATGACGCATGGAATATGAATATCAACGGAGAGTTTCCGTCACTGGTTGACAGAAGAGCGGTTATTAGTCACTTCAGTTGATGCTCGTCACGCGTCAGGCTGTGGCATCTTGTCGCCTATCCATGTAGACGCGCAACTCTTTCGGTATGTATGTAGTCTTAGGCACTATATCAGAGTGAGCAGCCCTTACTGGGTGCATCTTCCAGCGCCACACTCAGCACACCCACCAGGGCTCAGGCGTGCCCAACTCGAGGTCATCTGACGTCGTCGCCACGGGTATCTTCATAGGCCACTCGGTTAATCACCAGACTATTCTCTGCACCTCCACCTCCACCGCCTGCTGCTCATTAATAGGATTTGATATATCTGGCCTGCTCTTTGAGATGTCGACGCCTAGACCCACACGCGATTTGAGAGCATGATGCATCGATTTGAGAGGCAGAGTCGGTCGGGCGGCCGTACCGTAAATATGATGCGGGTTCACAACATATAAAAGGCGGGCCGGTATTCTTCACTTTCTTCCCATCTACTTCCAGACTCCCTTCCCCTACTACACAAACAGCCCCAAGTCAACACCAACACTCATCCACAATGGTCAAGGTGCGCCTGCCCCCATATCCCTCCACCCACTACCCGTACTGACATCCTTCACAGGTCCTCGCTATCCTCTACTCTGGTGGTCAATGTAAGCCCCATCCGCCTTGTATCCCTGTTCAACACTGACGCCTTGCATAGCCGCCAAGGAAGAACCCCGTCTCCTCGGTACCATCGAGAATCAGCTCGGCATCGCCAACTGGCTCAAGGAGCAAGGTCACGAGTGCGTGTCTCTTCCTCCCGTCTTGGATTCCGGCTCTGTGCTGATGGACGCGTCTTAGATTGGTTGTCACCGACGACAAGGAAGGCAACTCTTCAGAGTTCCAGAAACACTTGCCCGACGTACCTCCTAACCACTTCTCAACCACCAGAACCCAAACGCTGACCAGCCTTCCCGCAGACTGAAATCCTCATCACCACCCCTTTCCACCCTGGCTACCTCACCGCCGACCTCATTGAGAAGGCTCCCAAACTCAAGCTCTGTGTGACTGCGGGTGTTGGTTCCGAGTAAGTCTTCCGGACCGTCGGCCGAGATCCGAAAGACGTCACGCTGACTTTGTAACAGTCACATTGACCTCAACGCTGCCAACAAGCACAAGATCACTGTCGCCGAAGTCTCTGGTTCCAACGTCGTCTCTGTCGCCGAGTAAGTCCACCTCCCTTCCATTCGTACTCTTGACTTACCTGTCTATCAGACATGTGTTGATGACCATCCTCAACCTCGTCCGCAACTTTGTCCCTGCCCACGAGCAGATTGTCAACGATGACTGGAACGTCGCCGCCGTCGCCCGTAACGCCTTTGACCTTGAGGGCAAGGTTGTCGGTACAGTTGGTGCTGGCCGAATTGGTTACCGAGTGTTGCAGAGGTTGCAGCCTTTCGACTGCAAGGAGCTCTTGTGGTTTGACTATACCGACTTGCCTCCTGGTGCGTCTCTTTCTCTTGCCTTGATCCAATGCGATGCTGATATGGGTTGTAGATGCTGCCAAGGCTATCAAGGCTCGACGAGTCGAGAAGCTCGAAGACTTTGTTGCCCAGTGCGATGTCATCACTATCGTGCGCCCCCTTTCAATCCTTCACGCGTTTTCAAACTTACCCTCTTCAGAACTGTCCCCTCCACGAACAAACCCGTGGCCTGTTCAACAAGGAACTCATCTCCAAGATGAAGCCCGGATCCTGGCTCATCAACACCGCCCGAGGCGCCATCGCCGACCGGACCGCCGTCAAGGAGGCTCTCGCGTCTGGTCATCTCCGAGGCTACGGTGGTGATGTGTGGGATGTCCAGCCTGCTCCTCAGGACCACCCCTGGAGGCACTCTTTCAACCCGCTCGATGGTGGTAATGCTATGGTCCCGCACTGTGAGTTCTTCTCGCCTGCTAGGAGTGTTTGGGCGATGGCTGATGGCTTTGATAAGACTCTGGTACCACTCTCGACGCCCAGAAGCGATACGCTGAAGGTACCAAGGAGATCATCCGCCGATACTTCCAGGGCGAGGAGCAAGATCCCGTCAACCTCATCGTCGTTGATGGCGAGTACGCGTCCAAGGCTTACGGCCAGCGCGCGGCCAACAAGAAGGAAGTCAGCCAGGAGAAGGCTGCCAAGTAAGATGGCGATCGGTAGTTGTAATTGTCGATAGGTCGTAAGAAGTCAAAGAGTCGAATGGATAAATTTGTGAACAGACAGCGCCCTGAAATTTTGAATGCAGATGCATTTTGGGTCATGATATGCCGCGAAATGTGATGACAATGAAAAAGCCCGGGATAGGTGGAAACAGATGATCGAGAAACTCTAGATGTATGGTGGTGGAGAAGGATCGGAGAGGTCATTATACTGCAAGTCTCTTATCAGATACAGAACCAGAGCTGTGGAGTTTAGAAGTACTCACGAAATACAACGTGTCGTGAAAAGAATACTTGTTACAATCGCCGACGTGGGCCTCTTTTTCGCGACTTTCCATCGACAAGTGTCAAAAACTAGACCCAAACCCATCAGCGCGTCCCCTCTGAGAAAAGACCCATACTCACACTATTACCCCATCACACCAACTACCTCTCTTCCAAGAACCTCCTTTTCCCTCGTTGGTTCATCATCAACACGACCTCTCTCTTTGCTTCTCCGATCCCCGCTGTGCCAGCGCCAGGGCCGTCTAATCTCGTTTCGCCCGCGCGCGCAGGACATGGGAATGCCACGACGATGACGGCGCCGAGGAAAGTGGCGGTGAAGAGGGTGGAGAGGATAGACCGTTGACGAGGCCGGAAATGTGTGAGGAGGAGGGGAGCCATTTGTGATTATTGTGGGTTGGGGTGTTGTATTAAAGATAGAGACAAATGCGTAGTTTTTGCGGGTGTTTGTTGTATGCTCGGAACCGGACGAGTTGGGGAATTCCGGGGGTGGCAACGGCAAATTAGAGAGTCAGGGGGTATAGGACAGGAGCGCGAAGAGTGGCGTTGTGTTTTTGTTGTTGGGCGAGAAAAGGGTGGAAGAGGATTGGAGAATGGAACTGGCAGTAGTTGAACGGCTGCACCACGATTGGCTCGCGCGAATTTTGCTCCCGTTCCGTTCAACCTTGCCGTGGCCATTTGATCCCGTCCTTTTCGGCAGCGTCAAGCCGATGCGCTATCCAGATCCAACTTGTGTCCAACGGGTGGAGCTCTCGGTGTCAAGACAGTTGTCTATTGCTATGCATATTACTTGGGGGAGAACACATTATACTATGAACTCTTTTGGCTTCTTTCGGTTTCTCTTCTCCTATGATTATACTGTCCTTCTTGTCCTTGCTGTGAAAATTACCTAGATTATGCTACACTTGCCCCTGATCCCAGAACTGAACCCCTTAGACATGGGTAAAGACAGACTCAACGCCGAAGCCACAGTCGGTGCTCTGACCACCCTGAACCTCCTCGTCATAACAAGCGCACTCGTAGACATACTCGCCGGAAGACTGGTCGAGCTCGGGTCGGATGGTAAGGCCGGTGGAGGTACAGCCGGTCAGACACGAGATGGGGGAAGGAGCGTTGAAGGTCTCGGTCGAGTTGGAGTTGACGGTGTAGTAGCACTCGTCGAGGGTGTAGGGAGAGACAAAGTAGTTGACCTACGAGAGATGTCAGCGACGTTGGATGATGGCGCAGAGTAAACTTACGGATGCATCGTCCTCGTCTCGGCAGTTACCCAGGTCATCGTCGGCATAGACGATCTGGCCAGAAGAGGGGTAAGAGTCGGCGCTGGTACAGTAGCACTCTTGAGTGTCGGCCCGGAAGTAGGCGATCTCGCTTCCACCTTCTTCAAGACAGGCAGTCTGCAGTCTGTGCATTAGCATGTGTGACAAAGTACATAGCTTAAGAGACTTACAGCACATGACTCTCTAGCCTCCGCCTTGGTAGAGACGGTGTTGGAGGTGATGTTGGCGAGATCGGTGTTGGCCACACAGCCGATGGCGGTGAGGGTGGTATTGGATCCTGCCCAGGCAGCGAGCGAGTGAGGGTCGGGCACAGATGTGGTGTTGGTAGCAGTGTCGCGGGGGATAGCGATACCGTTGACCGCGAGAGCAGAGGCAAGAAGGGTAAGAGCGAACATGGTGATTGGTGATGGAAAGTTCGAGTCGAAAGTGCAAGAAGGTTATAGATTCAGAATGAGATGGCAAGTTGTGGAGGTGAACTCTTGAGAACTTTATACGTTTTCTGTTCGGCGGCTAACCGTATGCGTGCACGAGGAAAGAGGGCACCGCTTGGAGGCTAGCGTGTTCCTTCTGCCTCCGCACATGCATCCTTGCGTTCGTGTGGACGATGGATCTGCTCACTGCATGACGCATCCGGCGGACGGGACACTTTTCTTATCGCATGACACTGCCCGTTGAGGCTAGCGATTAGAAATTGAGGGTAGAGCTAATGATGCGTGCAGAGTGGAGGTGGGACTAACCGTTTGCGGCGCCACCGGAAGGCCGATCGTTCCTGCCTGCAGCCTTTTTTCTTCTTGCAGATCCCTATCATCTCTCTCTAGCGTACAGCGGGTACCTATCTCGAGAGCATATCTATACATCGCCCGAAAGAGAAGAAGCAAGCAGTCGTGCCCATCGTCTTGACCTTGACATCCCTCGCTTCAAGCCGGGCCCCTCTCCACCGCCTCGGACGCGACCGAAGGGTAACGTATTCCCTCCGTCTGTGTGCGTATACCTTTGATGCCCCACCTTCGAGCTGGGATCGCTGGAGCCGGAGCCTTTGAGGGCTTGGGAGCGCTGCAGTGGTGTTCCGGATGCATATGCATGTGATGTGAGTCGTTTGGAGCGTCAATGGTCATGTGATGAACGTATAGTACAGCGTGGTTGTGAAGGAAGGCTACAGCCTGCAGGACGTGTAGGTTACCTAAAATGAGAGAAGAGTGTCCGTGGTATGGATTATGGAAAGAGTCCCAAAGTTCGCTCATTGCAGTACAGGCCTCTCATATACAAAAACGCTCTCGAACCCGCACTTTGCCCCTTCTTCCGGTGCCCATCCAGCATCAAAAGCCCTTTGACTGTTGTCCAGCACAAACAGCCCCCCGCTTGCCTTCGTACGCTGTCGAGAGCTCACACATCGACAGTCATACACCCACCAATCGTCCTCCGCATCGTAAGTCGGCTGGACATGGGCAATGGTGGAGGAAGGGGTAGTGTTGCAGGTGTCAAGGCAGTATTCGGGGGAAGAGGCTGTGAAGGATTTGTCGTTGGAAGACGGGCGGGAGTACGAGTCGGAAGGGACGCAGTGGGTGAAGATGAAAGGGGAGGTGAGGTACGTGACCTGTGTAACAAGTTGGCGGGTTGCTCCGAGCAAGAAAAGAGTTGTCACGTACGGTGGTCTGTGATGGCTGACATGTACCAACACTGTTATTGGCATCTCTGAAATCTGAGGACGTTGGGTAGTCTTCGCCGCTGCAATAACACTCGCTGTCCTTGTCGTTGAAGTACGCGTACTTGTTGGTTGAGTCTTCAGAGCAGTACATCTACATCTCGTGTTAGCATCGCTCAGTCCTTTTGCAGCGGGAGGTGCTACGCACGGTACAAGCTTCGTTACTCAAGCGTGGGATTATAGCAGAATCATCATTGGTGATCTGCTGGATGTATCCACGGTCTGTACAGCCCATGAACTGCGGACTGGGATCTTGCTGTTCGACAGCGGCAGCACGGGCAAAGCTGGGAGAAGACAAGGGGATGGAGAGGGCGTCGCCGAGCGGAAGAGTCAGGAGGATGAGTTCGAGGGAGAGCATGGCGCGCGCTGGTGATAAAAGAGTGGCGGTAGTCGGGCAGTGTTGCGAAGTAAAAAGCAGTGTAAGACGATAGAAGGGTGAAGGGGAATCCCTCTTTCTCCTCGCTTCCTCTTCGGCTTATATACATTGCCTTTGGGAAAGGACAGGGACAGAGACCGTGATGAAACAAACAAAATCCTGAATAGGTATCCTGAATACAAAAAGATGTTATTGTCCTTGTATCGCCCAGCAGGAACCCAACGACGCCTCCGTCTGCGCGAGAGGCTCGCGTAGACCGCCTCCTCCCTCCTCTCCTCTCAAGCTTCGCACCGCTCTTCTCTGCTCATCCGGGTCCAGGGATCACATTTTCCAGGGACCCGAACAATCAGACGATCTTTCTGTCTGTGTAGCGCCTGCTGGGCCTGCTGCCACTGCTGATCGCTCCCGGTTCCCGGAAGAATGCACAATCAGAAGACAATCGATGTGCTGATCAGTGCCTTGTTTCAGCTTGGCGAAGGCGTCGCGCCGCCATTGTTCTCTTTCTTTTTGGTTTCTCCCCGCAGCTGCTTCCTCAGGGCAGTGAGTTCCGGGGTGCTTGATGATGAATGACGATATAAGGATGGCTGCACTTCAGTGGGACCCGCACAATACGGTTGACATGGGTCAGCTTGATAAGTAGTTCGGACAAAAAGAAAAGGCAAAAACGACGGCACCCGGGATTCCCAGGTGGTCCCCCACCCTGGTACTAACCGAGCGCTCTCCTAGTTGACTTCGCGGATCAGACGGGACGCGGTACTTTGAGGAGGCTATGGCCGTCGATGTTGCCCATGCAACAGAAAGAGTGATGTACTGTTACGGTACACCGTGCTCTCTCGTTAGAAAGCCCGGTACCCATCATACTTGGCATCAAGGGCGCACGAGTAGAGTACTCTACAGTACGAATACACTGAACAGCTGCATCCACTATCTAATCATCCTCTAGGACAATAGTCTTACCAACTGGAAGCACGCAAAACTGCTCCTCCTCAACATTCAACTTCTTCCTAGCAATCTCCAAATCAAGAGGCGGCTTGTTGTCTATACCACCATCAGCGGTCGGCCACCAACTTGCTGATTCGTCACTCACAAGCTTCATCGCTCATCAGCCATGTCCCCCAATGCACCCCCACACTCTTCTTGACATGCATCTGCAAAGCCATCCTCACCGCTCCCTCCGGATCCGTATGCTGCAAATGCATATGCCACCTGGGCTCATACGAGCCTATCGGGATCGCAGCGTGATCAATAGGGCCGAGAACACGGCCGACAGCGTGGTAGAGTGTTGGCGAGTATCCAGTGTCGCCAAGGTGGATGAATGATTTGGGCTTTGTCTCGGGAGAAGGAGTGTTGGACTTGACGTGGAAAGCGGACCAGAGGGTGGCGTTGGTATCGAGAGGCGAGCGGGCGGACCAGTGCATGTTGGGGATCGCAGTGATGGTGAATGACTTGGGCTCTTGGCCTGGTCTGGAGAGGGTATGCTGGGTCTCCTGCCACCAACTGGGAGTTGTCAGTATGGAGGGTTGGAAAAGAGGAGAGGGGCGTACTCGAGTTCAGTGACGCGTGTGGCACCGTGTTCGCGCAAGAAAGGTCCAACGCCAATAGGTACGATCCATTCACAGCTATCTCCCAGCTCCTTGATAGCAAGCGGATCAAGATGGTCATAGTGGCTATCGTGTATCAGCTCACATGCCCCAATTTCCGACACAGTTCGCTCACTTGTGAGAGACGAGCACGAGATCAACCCTCTTCAACTCGTCCAGAGAGCAAGGCGGCGGCCGTAATCTCTCTGGCGCAAACTTGGAGGGAATCGTCCGGTGTTGAAGAGCAGGATCAGTCAGAATCGCGAGGTTGTCCATAGTCACATAGGTAGTCGATTGGCCCAGCTATTTCGAGTATGATCAGCTTGCGGCCTCGTAAAGTATCGCGAGGCGCGGACTGACCCAGGTGGAAGTGAACTTGTCAGTGATAGCCACATCGCTGCCACCTGACCCAGGTTCTCTCGAAGTGGGAGGTTGTCTCTTGGGTTTAGAGGTCATATTAGTCGGGTAGAGAAGATCGAAATCCGGACGCTCGACAGGAAGATCGGGTATAGGTCTGTCGGGCGGTACACCTCTATAGAAGAGTCAGACATGGATCCTGGTATCATGAGGAAAACTTGCCCGTCGTAGAATAGTTTGAGGGTGACGATAGATATGAAGCCCTTCCATACAGCCCATTCCTTCTCCACACGTTAGCTCCCAAACCTCGAGGTTTCCCCTAAGAATGACAAACCCAAGCCCCCTGCTCTCTCCACTCCACATATGGATTCCAATACCGCCCGGCAAACTTCAAACTCCCATATCGCTCCTTCAAAGCCTCCTTCTCCACCTCTGTGGCTGGTTGCGTGTAGTCGGGGCCAGGGAGCTGTTTGTCGGTGCTAGACGAGGGGAGGATGGACAAGGTTTTGGCTAGTTTGGCGTTACGATCGCGAATGTGGTGACGGCGCAGAGTGTCGGTGTATGCTAGAGGAAAGTCAGTGGGGAAGAGAGGGGACGGGACGGGAGAGCGCACCGTAGTAGCCCAGCCAGATGCCGGTGTAGGCGAAGGGAAAGATGACCAGCGCCCGTTTGAGGCCATGCAGGCCTGCTCCAAGCATTGTTCAGTTAGATTACAGTCACTTATTGTCCAGCCATAGCCAGATGGAAAGACAGAAAAGTCGGACAAGATGCGAGAGATGTAAATCGGGCAGTCACCAAAAAGGTCCACATTCCGTCAGTCGGAGACTCCGAGACCCAAACAATTTATTCCTTCCTTTCATCTTTTGCCGCCATCTCAGCCATGTCCCGCTCCCTCACCACGAGGGCCGTCCTCAAAGCCTCGAGGCCCCGTCTGGCTCTTCTAAGGACATACTCTATCGCCGCCCCCGACCCCTCAAAACCGCCCGTACCGAAATTACAGCCACATCAATATGCCGCCTTCGAACATCTCTCTCAGTCACTGTCTTCAACGCAGCCCTGTTTCGGCGCGAGAGGAGATGAGGTGGAGCTCCTGAATGGACCGACAGGTTTCTACAAGCGGCTGATAGAGATCATTGGGAGAGCGAAGAGGAGAATACTAATAAGTAGTCTGTATATTGGCGCTGAGGAGGGCGAGCTTGTAAGTCATCGCGTGACACTGCGAGCTTTTCTGAACATGATTAGGTCGAGGCTATCAAAGCAGCCCTCACAAACAACCCTCAACTACGCGTGGTATTCATGCTAGACTATCACCGGGCCACCCGTTTGTCTACGTCGAATCCCGACCTCCCTCCGTCTACCGCGCACCTTTTGCTGCCTCTTGTCGAAAAATTTCCTGAACGGTGCGAAGTATGGTTATACCGAAGCCCCAAGCTGAGGGGTTTGATGGAGAAGATCGTCCCTGCGAGGTACGATGAAGGGTGGGGGACGTGGCATGGAAAGTGGTACGGAGTGGACGACGAAGTGATTATCAGCGGGTGAGTACTTTGGCATTTGGTCCAGAAGGTATAGCTGAACAGGATGCAGAGCCAACTTGGGCCACTCGTACTTTGCGAATCGACAAGATCGGTACATCCATTTCAGGTCAAATCCGAGTTTGCTCTCCTATCTCTCGTCCCTCACTCGACTCTTCACGCAATACTCCTATCTCTTGCACCACTCACCACCAGCGCACATTTCGCCTTCCAATACCGTCCCTCTGCTATCACCTGAAGACACCGACTCTTCATCACCACCTCACAAACCTCGTGCTTCCCTCATATGGCCTTCCTCTTCCATAAACCCCCGCAGATTCGAACCCCATGCGTTGGCCACATTGACAGCCTTCCAAAACTCGTGGCGCGCCTCCAATTCCTTCCGTTCTCGGCGTGTCGACGTCGATACCTGGTTCTGGCCTGTTCTCCAAGCAGGCGTGATCGGTATCAAGGAAGAAGAACGGGCCATGGGCAAGGTGTGGAATGCTGTTGAGGAGAGCTACCAGCTAGGCGGTGGAAAGGTGGAAGGAGAAGAGAGAGAAGGAGATGGGCAGAGGGTCGAGGTAGATTTGACGAGTGGATATTTCGGGCTGTATGAAAACTACAAGAAGGCGGTGATACAATCGCCTGCACCGGTAAAGATCATTGTTGCCTCGCCCAAAGTCAGTCTTGCTTATTTCCCCGGTGCATAAGCTGATGATATACAGGCGAATGGCTTTTACGGCTCTAAAGGCTTCTCCAGACTGATCCCGGAGGGATATACATTATTAGAAAGTAGATTTCACAGAGACGCGGTCAAGGCTGGTAGAGCCTGGGATGACGAGTCTCAGGAAGGTGTGCGACTGAAGGAATGGGAGCGAGAAGGGTGGACATATCATTCGAAAGGTGCGTCCCATACAAATCAAAGTGGCACAGGCTGACTCGGTTCAGGTCTATGGGTATCACCACCCGGCTCTAAACCATTCTTGACCTTTATCGGCTCGTCCAACCTGTCCACCCGTTCTCTCACGCTCGATACCGAGCTCTCACTCCTCATGATGACCTCGTCGCCCACGTTGCGGCGTGCTTTGGAGAGCGAAGTCCAGGGGCTCGACGAATGGGCCGGTGATGTTGGAGAGGAGACATGGAAACTTGAGGAGAGGAAAGTGAGCTGGCTGGCGTGGGCTCTGGTAGCATTGGGAGTCGAGGGGATGCTATAGACCATGTATTGGGACTCGTGACGCTTCATTGTGAACGTATGCAGCAATCAATACACTGTTATAATGCCAATCTTCTCCGCACAAACCTATGTCCCGGCGGCCCGAAATGGAGGCGGAGAAAAGCGGCGGTGGCAGGGAAAAGTGCCACTCTTATCAGCCATGACGTCATCTCTCAGTGGAGGCGCAGCTGCAGCGAATAAGGGTCATTTCCATCTCCTCTTTCTTCTCCATCAACTTCTACTTTCTGCTATACTTTCTTGGTAATCACTGTCCACCCATCCACCACAATGTCCACCAGCTACACCATCCACGTCTCTGGCCTCGCCCCCGAGACCACTGAAGACAAGCTCCACGACTTCTTCTCTTTCTGCGGTAAACTCACCAGCGTCAAGAAGAGCGGGAGCGAAGCCGACATTACTTTTGAAAAGCTCAGTGCTATGAGGACCAGTCTGTGAGTGTATATTGTATGTTTGAGCGGGGGGAGAAGAGACAAAGGGGCACAGAGATGGCAGCCAGCGGCGATAAGTGAATCGCGCCAAGAGCTGTGCTATAGACATTTGCCTCTCTTGTCTCTGTCCTCCTCGCCCGCACCTACGTTCGCGACTCGGATGACACGATGCTTACTGCCCCTCTTCTTTCCTCACAGGATGCTCAACGGCGGTACTGTAAGTCGTCATCATGTGCTAGGCCAGGAACACCAGCTCACGCCTTATCGCAGCTCGACGGCGCCCACCTTGAAGTCACTTCTGCTTCCGACATTGAAAAGACCCCCTCTGTGCTTCCCACAACGGGCTCTACCCCCATCGGTACCGGTCTTGACTCTGAGGGTGTCTCGCAAGAAGACAAGCCCAAGGTACGTCTGCTTCTCATGGATGCGTTCGGCGCTGATGCCTTGATTGCGTAGGCTGCTATTGTTGCCGAGTATCTTGCTCACGGTTACGTTCTCGGAGACAACATTGTCCAGAAGGCTATCGACCTCGACCGTAAGTCTCTAATCGCTGCTTCAAGTCTCTACGCTAACTCTCTATGCAGACAAGCAGGGCATCTCTCACCGATTCCTCAACTTCTTCAACTCTCTCGACCACACTGTCGGCCAGAAGGTTGTTGGCGAGAACCAGACTTTCTCTGGCAGGATCCAACAACACGCCGCTACTGCTGTCGCCAAGGGTAGGGAGGTCGACCAAAGCAAGGGTATCAGCGCCAGGTTCAGCGAATACTACAGCAAGGTGTTTGGTACTCCTATAGGCCAGAAGTGAGTATTTGCAACTTTCCTTCATGGGAACCAGGCTGACGAACAAGCAGGGTTGTTGCTTTCTACACTACCACCCAGAAGCAGGTCTTGGACGTCCACGAGGAGGCCAAGAGGATCGCCGTGAGTCCCTTTCTGCCTTTCCCTTCATGATATTGACTGACGAGTAGATTCAGGAGGACAAGAAGAAGACCCACCTCGCTACTGTCCCTGCGGACGAGGCCGGAAGCTCTTTGCCCAGCTCCGACGTCAAGGCTGATGTCGCTTCTTCCACTACCCCCGCCGCTGCGGCTACTTCTATCCCCACTTCTACTGCCGTCCCCACCATCCCCATCTCCACCATTCCTGCCCCCCCTCAGATCTAAGTATAAATGAGAGAAAGAAGAAAGAAGGCAGACTTGTAGATACTAGTTTAGACGGTATGTGTAAGGTATTGAAGGTGAAGCAGATAGATACCCAAAAGCCAGAATACCTTGATCTTGTATGACGAACTTTGGATGCATAGCTGCAGAACTTTTATACTCGCAATTGTTCATGGCATGACTAGAAAACAATACAAAAAATCTAGGCTGTAAAGCCATGTCCTGCAGCCCCAGAGTAGTCCTGATCGAGTTACCCTCCTCCTCGCCATGGAAGAGACGAGGAGTTGAGAGAGCGTCACCAAATTGCACTAAAGCCTTGTAGCCGGGTCTCAATCCCTGGGCAGGGTAGAGAGACACATCCGAGTCCGAGTCAGAGCTCGAATCTGGACTTTCCAAGAAGGAAAACGGTGATACTACAAAGGCGACCCCCCGTACCCCTACCAAGTCCCCATCCCCACGTGCCCTCCGCTCATCTAGAGCTTCTCCGGGTATCTGAAAGATGGTGAGGCGGGGACGCATTTCTGGTCGGGCACGGCTCGGCGGTTGGCGTCGAGGGTCCGCTAAGACCGGTCAGACTTCGGGTGAAGAAAGGGGGATTGGAATTCCAGGACCTTGGCCCGCTCGCGAGGAGGAGAGGGCTGGACGCTCCAGCCTCTGCGTTCGTGACGAGCATTGTGACCTTGAAGCTGCGGGATGGAGAAGAAAGAGACGAGGAATGTTGTTTTGACAGCGGGGCGGAAATTGGCGGCGTTTTGGCTGCTTATGTAATATTAAGTAAGCCGTCCATCTTCTCTTGCGCCGCCGCCGGTCGACTTGCTGAAATTTCATGAGAGACCTGTTTTCGCCTGCTGTCCCCGGAATGTCGTTTGCTGCCCGCCCATTAGCCCGTGCTGCCACAGGGTCCTTCAGGAGTCAGTTGTCGTGGCGAGCAAGACGGCAAAGCTGACATCTCTCAGCCCAAATGCGCTTCTCTTCATCAACGCCTCCTCCCCTCCAGGCCAACCTCCTCCTCTCCCGTTCGCCCCTCCTCACCCCAACACCCAACCCTCTCGAAACATCGTACCACGCCCACTCCCGTTCCATCGCCCACGCCCTTTCCAACCCTCTCCCGACCGACTTCTACTTTAAGACTGGATCTTTACCTCTAAAGAGGCATCTCGTGCGGGAACACCAGTATGAAACAGAAATCTACGGCGAGAAATTGGCAGGCAAGGCCCCGGATGTGGGAGAGATCCCCGCAGAGACAGACTATGAGGAAATTGCCAGAAATCACTGGGAGCAGGCAGATGCTCAGCGAGGGGAGAAGTCGCTGGAGCGTAAACCCGAGGAAGAAGTGTTTTGTGTGGTCAAGACCAAGGAAGGAGGAAAGTGGACGTTCCCTGGGGTAGAAGCGGGCAGACTGGAGCCGATGCATGAGGCTGTGGAGAGGGGTATCACTGGGGTGGAAGGGAGCTTGGGCGGCCAGGGGATGGATAGCTGGCTCGTCACGCGGAAGCCTGTGGGACTGGTCAAGGATGGTGAATCAAGAGTAAGCCGTTTCTGCTTGTACCGTATATAAGCACTAACATTGAGCTAGACATTCTTCCTCCGAGGTCACATTCTTGCTGGCGAACCTACCCTTTCTCCCTCATCCCCGTACACCGCCCATGCCTGGCTCACCGCCGAGGAAGTGGAGGAGAGGCTGAAGAAGCAGGGAGACGACAAGATCTGGGAGAGCGTGAAAGGCATGTTTGGCGTGTCGAAGGAATAGGCATAGAATGGAGCGCATAGACATGCATTGGAAGTCATCATTTTTTCCTGTGTGTAGGGCAAAGGTGCGCCTGTCAAGTTTCGTCGGGACTTCAAGGTGCAATGTACACCGAGCACTCCTACACTGCACCATTGTATCCGAGTGGACTTGCAATGCTGGCTATTTGGCAGCTTGTAACTCGTCAGGTCACACGATCCACCATAATAAGCAGAGCACAACTCTTGTCGAAGCACTTGTATCAGAATTGGGCACAGCTTTGCTTCTAGATGCATATAATCTACCACCTGATACTCTGCTGCTGTGCACCCCTCCCCGGCGTGGGATGTGCATGTTGAATGAGAAAGTGGCAGTTGAGCACCCCGGCGCGTCGCACTCACTCGCGTCTGCTCAGGTGACCTCCCCGCTCATCAACAACAAAATCACTAGCAAAGTCAAAAAAAATCCTCCCTTCTTCTATGTCCTCGCCACCCCCACAACAATGCTCACAGACATCCTCAAGCGCACTCGCCGCCACTCCTCAGACCCCAGGCCCAGCCCCCACCCACTGCGCAGAGCCGACTCGCGGAGCACTCGCCGGTCCAGCTCGACTGTACCGACCACCGTCTCTGATGCTGGCTCACTGGGCGAGTGGGAGGAAGGGGATCCTGAAGAGTGGGACGGCGTAGGGCCAGAACCACACGATCCTGTTTTGAAGGCTATCAAGAAGCAAGCAGAGCCCATGTCGCCTGTGGAAGTCGTCCGTGAGTGAATCATGCGCACGAGGTGGAGCTTTGAAGCTGAAAGCATACCAGTATTCGTCATGGCAGCCTGGCTCATATACCAAATACTCTCTCGACCAGATGATCTTGAATCTTCCACCCCATTCTTCCCCCATACCCAATCACAAGCCCCACAGCCGCATCCCCAAAGCTACCAGCACCCGTACCAGCCGCACCTCCCCAACGCTATATCACCCAACACCGCTTCTATCCCCTCGCCCGAGACATCATATTGGGGCTTCGCACTGGGCCTGGCGACATATTGCTTCTACGTGGTCATCGCAGTATTGGCTATACCTCTATCATGGCTGCTCCGAGGGCTGGGGCTGGTCTTTCAGATCGTCGCTGCGCTCTTGTACCCTTTCACCGCCGTCGGCCGTCTATTCTTACGAGCTTTCGTCTTTTACCCTTTGAATCTGGCCAAGGATGTGCTGGACGCCTTTTGGCCGGCAATCACCTTTGTCGGGACCACACTCGGCGTCGGGGCGGTGTTTGGGGGCGTGTCGGGCTGGGTAGGGAGTGGTCTGGTGAGGCGGTATGTCCGGTGGAAGGAAGGCGATGCTGGGAAAGCCGAGAGATCGTTAAGAAGACGGTCGAGTAAGAGCAGGCGAAGGAGGGGCGAAAGCGAGGGTTTCGAAGAGATTTGGGGCAAGAAGGAGAGACGAGCATCCAAATCGAGTAGCAGCAGGCGCCGAAGAGGGTACTCTCCAGACTCTGAGAGCTCTCTTGACGTGCCGCTACTTGGGAAAGATTTGGTGCATGATCGGGTGTCTCTGTTTGCGGTCAGGAGTAGGAGCACGGGGGAAGGCGTCGCAGTTGGCACGGCCAGGGAACCGGTGGTGATTGGGACGAGACGGCGGGGGATGCGCGAGGGCTTGGCAGGTTGAGTGAAGAGTCTGCTGAAACGAATCGTTACGCAAGACACACGAGTTGTACCAGTACTATCATGGATCGTACATACACGACATCTATTCATGTCAGCGCATGGACGTTTACAGATCGCAACACCGAGTGCCGATTCACTGCTGATGCTGACTCTTAAGTCACTCTATGGGCCTGTCAGGCAAAAAACGTTCGTCAGAAGAGGCGACAATGTAGCCATCCGCAATCAGGAACCAAGCTTTTTTGGCGTGACTTTCCAACGTAGCTGAGGCGACGTTCTTTCAACGAGAGCGTTCTGTTAAGCAGATACCGGAATGTTTATGATAACGCCGCGCTGCTTCAGAGATCAGCCTTGAGGAAGACACGCTGGTGGACTTTGCAGATATCTGCTGACGCCTGACATGCATGGCAAACCTTCACCTTCTCAATCATTGGTCATGCATCTGCCACCCACAACTGAATGTTGAATGAGGGGCATCCAATGACTATCGATAGGAGTCCCCGGGCGCTTTCCTTTTCAGTTCCATTTCCACCTCGATCAGTCGCCCGGGGTGTCCCGAGCGCTGTGCGTTCACCCTCTCCCGCGCTTCAGCTCGACCTTTCTCGCATCTCTTTCGGTCTCCCGACTTTCTTCCCCACCCTCACAAAATGCCCCAATCCCAACACAAACTCCTCCACCCTCCCCACCTCTCCGCCCCGTCATCTTCTCGACCAAAGAGTGCTAGTAGTAAAAAAGAGGGCAAGACGGAGTGGGATGTCTTGAGGGAGAATCACAGGTTTATTCGAGATGATGAAGAACCTGGGGAAGTGGGGTGGGAGGAGAGGTTGGCGAGGGCTTATGAGTCAAAACTCTTCAAGGAGTATGCCCTGGTGCGTCAATCACTACATCCTATGCTATGTAAAAGCTGAAAAGGCTGATGGTAATTCTAGATCGACTTGAAACACTACAAATCCAAGAAACTCGCCCTCCGCTGGCGGACAGCCCCAGAAGTAGTCGACGGTATTGGCGAAGAGTCTTGCGCCTCACTCCGGTGCCATTTTCACCATCCCCCTTCAAATTCTACCTCTTTCCTAGATGAGGGAAGAGGCTCGCCGGAGAGTTATAGGCCTGATGGAGGGTCGTTCCAACCGCCCGGGGGCTCTCGTCAAGATCACGAGCAAGATTGGGAAAGGGGAAGTCAGAAGAGAAGGCGAGAGGAGAAGATACCTCGTTTGAGTGCGTTCGAGCTTCCTTTTGTGTATGCGGAAGCAGGGGAGAGGAAGGAAGCGCTGGTGAAGGTCCGATTGTGTCCCAAATGTACAGACAAGCTTCTGTGGAAACCGGACGAGGATGAGGGAAGCAAGAGATATGGACATAGGAGTGAGGACAGGGATAGAGAGAAGAGGAGATCGCATAGCAGGCGGGACGACATGTCAGATGAAGAAGGGCGCAGTCATCGGAAGAGTGGAAGACGGTCGAGGTCACGAAGCCCTAGAAGACACGAGAAACGACAATAATGATGACATCTGTGTAACAACATATCTGAATCTAGAGCGTGTATGTAGTATGGGTATAAGCATGTATGAGTACAAATATAAAGGGTTACTGGGTATGGGATTAGGTTGAAAATGACAGACATTTCGACAGATGATTGTCCCACAAACACATAGATCACAGCCTCATATCCTCCTCCTCCAGATCGTCATACACGTCCTCTTCCTCCTCTTCCTCCTCAAGGCACATGCGCATTCGCTTCTCCTGGTCATACTCGCTGATATCGCCACAGTAGGACCTCTTGCTGGAGTAGCTATACCCCGGTGTCTCGGGAACAAAGGATGGCTGGGTATCGGTCTGAGAAAAGTCGTAGTATTGGCCGCTACGGTCTTGGGAAAAGGCGGATGGTTGATCGAAGAAGCTCAGAGGGTAGGATTCGGTTGGAGGTGTTAATACCCTGGACGACGGCATATCATCGAGATCGAAAGACGCGCCGAGGGAAGGTGTCGCCGGTGCACATAGCTGCAGGGAATCGCGCCGACTCAGCAGGTAGGACACCTTTCTGTACTGCACGCCATCAGCCAGAGTCACAGTACATGAGTTTCTTTGCGAGACAACTTACCAGCAAGTCAAAGCCATCGCTCGCCATACATGTGCTAATCAGATCGTCCATGTCTTCTTCTCCAAGCTCGTGTAAAGGTGAGCCAAAGGCTACGACAAGAGCCACCGTAGCCTGAAATGCCTGATGCGCTGGTGGTATGTCGTTACCGTCGTTTGGTAGCTGACTCTATATGAGCCCAAGGCCATTGACAAGCAACAAGCACGGTCAACTTACTGTATACTCTTCATCCAGATCTTCCTCTTCCAACCTCCTCTTTGTCTCCAATTCTTCTTGCTCTCGAGTCATTATCGGCACAAACTCCATGCAGCTGCTGTCCAGGTCCAACAAATCGTCGAGAGGGTTGGATTTCAACGCTGTCCGCGGCGGGGAGGGGGCTGTCGAGATTAAAGGAGAGGAGAGGCAGATGAGGTTTGGTGATGTTGGCGGCTTGACGAGAGCCATAGACGAAGGGAGTTGAGATGAAGGTTGTTGAGGCTGAGATGGCGCGTTGTCTGCCGACTGAGGTTTGTAGGTGGTGAAGGGTGGATAGACTACGCTGGGGGCAGGAGCGAGTCGTGCAGGAGGGAATTTGCTGTGTGCTACCTTGGGTCCGGTCGAGGCAAGCCCAGGTCCAGCTAGAAGCTTCCTCTTCAGACTTGCCATGTCGGGGTCTTCCGGGAAGGTAGTTTTGGACCCACCAAGGGGAGTGGAGAGGGCTGAACTGGTAGACGTAGATGGTGGACGAGTGGGCGAAGGTCGAGGAGCTATTTCTGTTACGTGGAGAGGGACCATCGGCCTAGTCTGTTGGTTGCCGGCTTGATTGAGAGCGAGAGATGAAGGTGTGAGAGGTGTTCTGGAGGGACCCTGATTGGAGGAAGGCAAAGTGGTCGAATCGGCAGGCCGAGTCCTGTTGTCGTCGACCGCCGAAGGGTTTGCCGGACCGCCAACACGATGAACAGTCATAGCATCTCCGCCATCCCCCTTTTTGCCATTGCTTTTGGGTTTCGGAGCAATCTTCTTCTTGGCCGCAGAACTTTTTTTGAGGGTAGCCTTGGGTGCAGACTTTGAGGGTGGAACTTGAGAGACCGTGAGGGTGATGGGTTTGATGGTACTAGGGGTGGCCGAGAAGAAGGGCCCGAGGCTCTCGAGGAGGGCGATGAGGTCTGTAGGTTTTTTGAAGATGAGTTGGAAGCATTCCTGCATCGTCTTCTGCTGGGCGTTAGGTCCAAGGCGAGTGGAGTAAGAGACGATATACAGTATTGGGTGGTTGAGGTGATTCGGCAGGCCAGTCATATCTGAAGGCTGCTTGCTTGTCCGTGTAGGTGATACGCCGAAAAGGTGACTGCAAAGTGGAGAGTGGAAGAAATTTGCGTGATACCTGTGTATGGTGAGCTAACACGTTGAGTGACCCGCGCACAGACGTACGAGAGATGTCGAAGATGTCCTCATTTCCAGCTGTAAGGACGAGCCGTCTGGCGATGGGGTTGCTGAGATGGTACAGTGAACGCTGGAGAAGATCAGTGTTGGGCCGGCAATATTTATCCACCTGGAGATGGCGTACTACGACTCCCACTTGATGTCCTTGGGTGGGGTGCCGGCTGGGACGAGGCGAGGGTCGCAGATGCTGACCCGGGCGAGAGCGTCTGTGATGGTGAGCTGTTGTCGTCAACACTGTTACACACTCACACTTCTTTTCAGGCATGGTGTGCAGTATTCCGGTAAACAAGTCAGACAAAGAAGAGAAGAAAGAGAAGAAAAGAAAGAGAGATGCACCCCTTGCGGACGAGAGAGGTGGAGGCAGTGTACGTAAGCATCGACGCGTGCACGAACCTCGCGTCGAAAGCAACTCTCTAATAAATAATAATAGTACAGCACTGGTCAACATGTCGTCCAAGTACAGCGGCCTCCCGGATATCGCAAGTGTGGCATACAGGGAGGGTATCCGGCTGACATCAGCATAGGACACCGCAGCGGACATCTTCGAGACAGTCGACGAACCAGACACCCTGCTCAAACCCGTCAGTGAAATACTCGAGTAGCTCAAGGCAAGGCTGAATAGTGTGGCACAGAGCGAGAACAATACTGGAGACGCTGATGCCCCAGTAAAGCCCCAATCAGAGGCGATCAATGCCAAAGGCCTTCCCTCGCGACGTCAAGCCGAGCGTGTCTTTGCTCGTGGGGCAAGGCGGCCAGGTAAGTCGACATCTCCAAACCCCCTAATCATAACCTAACCTTTTTACAGAGAACGCGACAGTATCGTTCAGACCTCGTCTCCCGCCACTGTCCCGCTACGGATCCTCTTCCTCCTCCGACTCTGATGAGCCCTCACCTCTACCACGCGAAACCCCGGCTGCCCGGCTGAGGCGGTTGAAAGCAGAGCTCGCCGAAGTCGAAGCTCAACTCGGATCGTCCTCTCAGACCCAATCTCATCCCGTGCCTCAGCCCCAGGCAGAGGGGAAGCGAAAGTCGGTCTTGCCGCACAGACAGCCTGTGGACGTCGTTTCAGAGCTGGCCAATGTCAGAGAAAGACTGGAAACGATGGAGATGAGGGATCTGCCTGCTGGAGAGGTGGAAAGCCGAGGCGGGGAATGGAGTGAGAGATTGTCAAAGCTCACGGCAGCCGAGAAACGCAAAGAAGTGTCTGTTGGTCAGAGCACGGCGGGTGAGAAGGACGTAAAGCTATCTGATGTGGACAAGAGACTTGCGGCACTGGAGCAAGCTGTCGGCCCTATTGGAGATGGCATCGACCAGGTGCGTAATCTATAAAACCGACAATGATATACTAACCCTTCGCCAGACCAATACTCCTTTGCTGCCATCTATCAACAAACATGACCACCTCCTCACTCTCCTCACCCAACCCCGCCATCTCGATGCCATCTCCCGGCGCGTCAAGCTTTTGCTCGTCGACCTCGACCGTGCTGCTACTGCCTCCCGTCGTGGGCCTGGTGGCTCTGCCATTACCCAACCAGGTGGCGGGGAAAAGGCGACGGGCACGGATCTGGCATTGACCCAAGCAGAGTACAACCAACTCCAATCTCTTTTCGGCGTATTACCAAGATTGGACCCACTTTTGCCGATCCTGACACCTCTTCTCGCCAGGTTGAGATCTCTCTCGGCGTTACACTCTGAAGCGAGCGATATCGCCTCGGCCCTGAAGAAACTGCAGACGAGAGATAGGAAGAGCGTGGAAGAGGTGAAGGAGCTGGAGGTGGTGGTGGAGAGTGTGCAGAAGGGTCTGGGAGAGGCGGTTGAGGGGATCAGGAGGAACTGGGAAGGGCTGGAGGGAAGGATGAAGAGTCTGGAGGAGAGGTTGCAGAGGGTTGAGAGACAATAATGTCAAGATGTGTATGTATATGTTCACCTTATTCCTCAACGCGGCATCGCGTCATCCACCTCATCACCCATAACCAACGTCAGCTCCCGAAGCACCACCCTCTGCAAGGCTGTGATCTCAAGCACCAACGGTAGAAATTGCACGCAGGCATCAGTCAAGCCCCAAGTGCACCCACTTCAAGTTCACACCAGGCACGGTCGTGAAGGGTGTGGTGTGCAGCCCCAAACACCGCTCCGCGATTCTTCTCTTTCTTTTCCTTTTACCTCTTATCACAGCAAATATCTACCATGGGAGTATTTTGACTACACCAGTCAGCCCCGCTCGAGATCTTTGGACGCACTCCAATCACCTTCTTCACCAAATGGGCCGCACCCTACGAGGAGGCTCACTTCTCGACCTTTCAATCTCGCACCCCCTTTCGATTCGGGGAGCATGATAGCCGAGTTGGTTTGGAGGTGGGCTGTTTGCATCTTCTGTCGGCGTAGAGCCCGGTTGATGGATGTTCATATGCACAAGCTGGTCTCGAACTCGTCGCCAATCTTCTCCATGGATAGTATATATATTGTCGCATCCTCGCAAGAACCTTTTGTGCTATGTGATTACCATCTTTGGCTCAAGTCCCACTGATAAAGTTCTTATTAGGGGCCTGGATCCCGGCCCTCAACAACAAAAACGATAGGGCTTACGTCAACGGGAATGGTCGTCGCACGCCTGAATCTGGGTGGGTCGTCCTGGTGCATGTGCTGTCTCCCGTGCCGTGACCAAATGCCCAATGTGGCACGGGAAGGTCCAGGGACTAGCAGTGGGGTATATTGTGGAGCCTGTTGTGCTTTCTCATGCTTCTTCATCTTACCAGGTGATAGGAGCTGAAGACTGTACGACAGTATTCAATATCCCTAACGCTGTCATTTCAGTGACCAATCGACATTATCGCCTCCCACCTACATCTACCAAGCCTACGTCGCAAATGAGCAGACTTCCTAAGGCAAAGCTGGAGAAAGAAGATATACTCACCTTCGCCCTCAAACCTTCCGAGCTCACCTGGAAGTGGGGTTACCCAGACTCCAAGGACATATCCCTCTTCGGCGACACCGCCGGATCTACACCGAGTGGAGAGGGCGAGCGGCAAAGATGTGACCGCTGCAAGTCAATTTACACTGTATCTTCCGATCTTGCCGGGAAGGAACGCGAGTGCAGGCATCATTATGCCAAGGCGAAGCCGGTGCTGGGAAGAGGAAAGATTTGGAGGCATGAGTGCTGTGACCGGCAGCAGTATACGGAGGGATGCTCTTATGGCTATCATGTGTTTCGCCATAACGACGACGACAAAGCGTTGGCCAAGAGGGAAGGATATAAGAGTGTGAAAGAGTATGCCGAGGATGGTGAGAAAGATAAGGATTGGGTGGATGTGGTGGCACTCGATTGTGAGATGATATGTACGTGGGTTGAGTGACTGGACGAAAGCTTTGATCTGGCTGACCATGCTCGTAGATACTCTGGCCGGGCTGTCCCTCGCTCGAGTGACCATTATCAACACTGCTGAGAAGGTCCTTCTCGACGAGTTCGTCAAGCCGACGCAGAAAGTCATGTGAGCAGCAACGAAGTCCAGAAAGAAGTTGACTGATGATGGTCGCAGCGACTACAATACCAACTTTTCGGGCATCACTAAGAGCAACCTGGACGGCGCCACCCTGGATCTCGAGGGTGCTTGTGCAGCCGTGTGCAAGTTCATCGGTCCTGAGACCATCATTGTCGGCCACGGGTAAGTTTATCCTTTTCATCCCTTCAAAGCTATGGATTGAAATTTTCCTCAGCCTCGAGAACGATCTTCGCGCTCTGAGACTTTTCCATGACCAATTCGTCGATACCTCCGCTCTTTTCCCTCACCCACGAGGCTTACCTCGCCGTCGTGGGTTGCGCCAAGTGTACGTCCACTGCTCCTCGGCGTCTCTCTCTCTTCCCCATCCGCTGGTTGACGACTTTCAGTGTCAAAGAGAAGCTGGGATATTCGATTCAAGACCTTCAAGACAAACTGGGTCATAATTCTGTTGTTGATGCGACGGCTGCTGTGGATTTGGTAAGGTGGAATATGCTTAAGCGTCGCTGAGATCTTGGACGATGCTGTCTGCGTCTGAATATCAGGTTGTTGTCAGTGATATGAATCCAGTGTATGTGCTGTGGCCTGTAATGATGACGGTTTACTTGGTGCAGAAATTGTTGTTGGTCTCAGCGTGTTCATTCCATTATTGAAAGAATTTGACAGCAAGTCTATTATACGTCTTCTACGGGTAATAGGGCCCAGCAGGAACATGACGCAAAAGCATCTCATCAAAACCATAAGGGGAGAGAAATCGTTCAACTATACATATATGCTTCAGATATTCTAAAGATGCTCTTAAGCCCTGGTAGTGATACCAGCCTCAGAAGCAGTCTTCTCATCGGCAACCTCCTCAGTCTTCTCACCACCGATAGTCTTGTTCTCAATGGCGTTCTGGGCTCGGGTGAGCTTGATGTCCTTTGTGAGGAAGAAGCAGAAGATGGGAGGCTAAAGATGGTGTTAGCCCGTGAACAGAAGAAGGAAAAGAGATGGACGTACGAAGATGGCAACAATAACAGCGCCCAGGACAAGCCTGAACATGACGGCCTGGTAAGCGGCTATGGCACCGGTTCGGACAGGGTCGTCGGTGGGGTAGAGCGCGATCTGAGTGATGGAGCCGTAGAGGGACGCGATGGTGGTGGCGTTGGCGGAGGGGATGTGCTTAGCGAGCTCTCCAGGCATGTAGGAAGCCCAGATACCGGCGGCGACAGCGGAACCGACGGAGTTTCCGACCTCAGTGATAAGGAGGACCATGGCGGTGACGGTGGCGACATCAACGTGGGCGACGGCGGCCTGGGCAGAGACCTGAATAGCGGTAGCGGCGAAACCACCACCGAGACCCTGGAGGATCTGGCACATGACAAGGGAGGCTGTGTTACCGTTGGCGGATCGGGCGTGGAGCATAAGACCAACACCAAGCAATCGGATCAAAAGGCCAGTGAAGAGCATCCACTTGAACCTCTGAGTGCTGAACATGATGATACCACCCAGGATACCGAAGATGGTAAGGCCCAAAGACTGGGTGGAGGAGAAGTAGGTGAGGTCTCTGGTGGACCAGCTCTCGGTAACGTAGACGTAAGAGTAGAGGTAGGTGTACTGGAGGTAGAAGGAGACAAAGTCGAAGAAACCGATGAGGCAGGCACCAAGGATGGGGCCTCGCTTGAGCCACCTGTAGGGGACGACAGGCTTCTTGGGGACCTTGGCCTCGTAGAGCATGGCAACCGGGAAAAGAAGACCACCGATGACGATCATGACGATCATGGAAGGGGTCTTCCAGCCGTTGGAGGCGGAGGGAGCGAGACCGAGGGGAAGGAGGATGAGGGCGAGGGAAGCAGCGATGAGGATGAGACCGACAAAGTCCATCTCCCAGCAAGCATCCTTGATGGTGACGAGCCAGCCCTTGGTGATAGGAGGGCGAGAGTACTTGATCATCATCTGCTTCTTGGCCTTGTTCTGGGCCCAGAGAAGAGCGACGATGATGGGAGCAAGGGAGACAGGAACGAGGATAGCGAACTACATATGGAATGAGCCAATGATCATGAATCGAGGCAAAAGAGACGTACCATAGCGTAACCCCATCGCCAGTTGGGAAGGATGTCGGTGGCAATCTCGGCAGCAACGAAGTTGTTGATGATGAAGGGGGCACTGACCAGACCACTGACAAGACCACGCCATCTCAAGTTGGTCATGTCGGCGATGACAATCTGCTGGAGCATCTGGAGACCGGTGTAACCGAAGGAGTAGATGACTTGACCACCGGCGATCTGGCCAACGTCGTTGGCGGTAGCGATCACGATCTGGAAAAGATATGAGCATAATACGACTGCGGGTGATAGAGTGAACGTACGTAGCCAATGCAGTAGAGAACGGCAACGATGATGAAGGTCTCACCTCGACCGACACTAGCACACTCGTCAGCCGCGATCTCGGATGAACTCTTAAAAGCAAAATCACACATCAGCGAGCTTGGCCATCAAAGGCTTGCCGACAGCAATGATGATGGCGTTGGCAGTAGAGATGGTACCGGAGACAGAGTGTTCGAGGACATAGGAAGTAGCGTAGGAGAGGTATTGCCAGGTGGTGTTACTGTCCAGGGAGTAGATGTAGGCAGAGAGGGCGATACCGATAAAGAGGAACCACTGGCTCTTGGGGCCCCTGTGGCGTGCATGAGCGGTGAAGGGAGAACAGTTTAGAGAAAAGACCTACCAGACAGCGGCGGCGGCCTCGACCTTGGAGACACCGGTGAGGACCTCCTCATCGCCCTGCTCACCGTAGTGGAGCTCGTCGCTGGGACCGGCCTCGACGTCCTGAGACAGCTTCTTGTGGTCGTCTGCGTCGATGGCAAGGTTGCTCTGAGAGGCGCTGGCCATTGTGGATATTTTGAAGGATGGGGAAAGACGATCTGTGGAAATGGCGGGCGGGTTTTATAGACGATTTGTGATCGGGATGCTGTTGGAGCTGGAATTTTTTCGTGCACGCGCGTACGCATCAGGAATTACGTTGCCTTATCAGATACCGCTCCCTGCATGCCCTGTCTGCGCACCCTGGAAAACTCTCCATCCCGTTCCTGCCAAATCAGTGCCTGGAACTTTCCCTTGTCGCTTGCCTCGTACTCATCGTCAACCAACATCCCTTGCTGGTTTTCTCCTGCTGTATCATCATCGACTGAACGGTGATTTCGGCGAATTGCTGGAAATAAGTATTTATCCGGCCTGGGTACAGAAACGCGAGCCACGACTGGAGGCTGACACCATCAACTTTGCTTGCTGCCATGCCTCCATGTTATCCACGGCCACGGGCTTTCCTCATGGCACCTGTGGTACATGGAAAGGTGTGACAGTCCAAACTTTCCCGTAACCCTTCACCGTAGCTCGACCAAAGCTTTCGAGGCTAGGAGGCGCCACAGAGCTCGGATACCCCAACGTACCGAGCTGCACTTTTGCATCATTCTGCCAAACTACAAGTAACTTTTGGGATCTGGTACTCCACTACCCTGATGACTGACCAAAGAAGCTGTGCCAAGTGCAAGTGGCAAGGGTATGGACGCGATGGATGGTTGTGGCCATTGCGGATTGCGGGTAAACACTATGCATGCTGATGCCGGTGTTTGATGGAGTGGAAGAAGGGAAGGGGAAAAGAAGCATGAAGACAAAAGAACCTTGAACCTCGACCACGACCATTCCCCATTGGCTTCTCATCCCTCCTCTCCTCGTCCCTCATATCATGATGCTACTGGCTACACTCGCCAAGCCAGTCGATCGCAGCACATTCTTCTTGGCTTTCTTTCGGACCAGTCTGGTTCGGATTAGTCTCTCCTTTAGGTACTGCCCCTTTAACCCCTGTATCCCCAGCGGCAGTAAGGGAGCACAGTTAACAGTCGTTTCCAGCAGAGGGCGCAGAGACAAGCTGAAACCCTACCACAACAACGCAGAGCGCCCCATTTCGGCCGCCCATGCCCCAGATTCACCTAGGTCCCGTCAGGTACCCCAACAAGCATATGCCACTATTTGCTTAATCTGATAATCTCTGCAGCGAACGGCGCACACCATCAGCCCATCAGCCATCAGAACATCACTCAACATCACACCCATGCATTGCACTGCAGCTTTCAAGACGCACGGGTTTCCCGCACCCCTCGAATACCGACTATCTCGGGACCCTATTATTATGATATAAAACCAAAGTTTCTCGCCCTTTCGTTTAGAACGCCCGAAAAGTATGGAAGCTTTGGTTCCGTCTTCGGCCGACGCTGTCCTGGCTGTCCGTATCTGATATACAAAAGTCCGATAGGAAAAACTGCCGTCATGCCGTCTGTTGCTTGCTGCCCATTCGCTCAGCCCGCCAAATCCGTCTTGTGCACGACAGGAGGGACATGAGTTCATACTACGCAGTGCTCCACCGTACTCCAAATGAGTGTTGCCTGTGCGATCCCCATTCCTAGACTCTGCTGTGGGTGAGGCGACTCTACCGAACTTTGCACCATATTTGGCTCCATTCCACAGTTTTCGCGCGAAGCTTGATTGCATCAGAATCTGATAACATCTCCACTTGCGTCGCTCATCGCTCCACCCTTGCGCCGGTGAGTTATCATGCTCTGATGGACGGCGAAATCAGACGGGAATCGTTCTTCATGGGGGTTCGTACGAGTACGCGCTGAGATATTGGTCATGTCACTGTGCGAGTACAATAAATATAACATCTGATGGGGTACAAGTCTTCCTCCCCTGTCCTACTCCGCACTCCTCACCAAGCCTCAGCGCCCACATTCCCCGAATCTGGCATAGAGAACTGGTACATGTGATTTTGCTGATTATTTGCCGGTAAGAACATGTTGGCGAGTCTGCAAAGTACACCTATCAGCCACGGGCCCACTCCTGGTAAAGGAAGAACGTACTCGGGAGGAAGAAACAGAGAGTCGGAGCCATCTGCAGGTAGACCCAAGTCGGTTGTATTCTGCCACAAAACGTCAGCAGAATGATACGAGCTCAAGATTGTACCAACTCACGCCATCCTGCAGCCACACTGGAATAAAACTCGGGCTAAGCTCAATCGACCAGTCGAACCCATCCAAGCTATTCATATTCCAGATACCCGCATCACCCTCCATACCCATGCCTACCGCCGCCCCATTTACATCCTGACCCATGCCGGATACGCCGTCCAATCCATTGCCATTTTGACCCATTGTACCAGCTGGTAACTCCAAAAAACTGTTCAGACCTCCGTCCAATTCACTCAGTGTGCTCATTGCCAGACCGCCAAAGCCTTGAACATGCGCTGCGGACGCACTTCCGGCCAAGCGAGGAGAACCTGGAACAGTCGATAGAGCGCCAGTCGAACGGCGAAAGTTGGCGAGCATGAGGCGGAGGGTGAGGGCGTATCGCTCGGCGTAGCATTCATTCGAGAGGAGGTGGGCGAGTTCAGTGACTTGGGAGATGAGAAGGGGTCGGGAGAGCGATGTGGGGTATAGGATGGCGCTGAGAGCATGTAAGTAGAGCACGACTAGGAGGTGATCAAGCTTACACTTTGAGCAAAAAGACGGCGGCGAACGCTACTGAGACTAAATGCTCGTGCGTCGCATACTTTAGATGCTTTCTAAAGTTGTCCACCCGTAAAAAGATCTCCAAACATCTCCAAGCCGAATCCCTGGCATAGAACGCCAGATCCTGCTGTTCCTTCGAAAGCTTATCCCACGCACATCCTCTCAGCGCTACACATACCGTCCACATCTCTGCATAGACGCGCTCCGTTTCCATAAGTTTGATGAGGACGCACTCGTCGTCGTACCCGCGCTGCTTGTGAAAGTTGTACCATTCGTCGTACCAAGAGCGCAGAGAGGTGAAGGAAGATTTGACGAATGTTATGGTGGAGGTGTCGACTTTGCCGTGGAGGGGGGTAAGATGTTCGAGGATTTTGACTACAAGGCGTGAGAATTGATACGGTCTACCGGACAGTGACATACTTCTCAGATTGACGAGCTCGACGCTGGCGACCAGCTTCATGTCCGTCTCCGAAGCCATTGGGTGGGATCTACACCAAGTCAGTGCTCATTCCGGGACGTCGGCCCATGCTCACATAAGCTCTCTAGCCCGTTGCACCGAAGAGTCGTCTCTCAACATCAGCGGTTTTCCATTCCCCAAGCTGACGCTGTCGGGCTTGTCAGCGGACTCTTGAAGAAGATTTTCGCTACTTACAGATGGTCGTGCATATAGCAATTCAGCCATATCCTCGCAGACACCACTACATTCATTAGCCAACAAAATAGTCAATGAGAAAGACGACTCACCAAGATCGCGTTCTTCAAATTCGGACCGCTCTTCATCTTTGATAGCCAAGCGATCAAGGGCACGATGAAGATTCATATCCAGCCCCGCTCTCAGCGCATGTCTACCCCACATCAGCAACGATTGCAAGCCCAAAAAGTTCCACACTCACCCACAAGGCAGCCACCCATTCTGACTCCATACACTCAGAATGACCAGCGCCAAAACCGCCTCTTTCCTCACCACTGGCCCGAACAGAGTACTCCTAGCTATCCCTTGCCCTTCAGCGAGGCAGCTTTCGAATGTTTGCCCCGGTGGGCCGTTGCCAGCGCGGATCTTGGCGGCGACAGCGAAGAGGCCGTTCGTGGAGAATGGCGTACGGTCGACAAAGGTTTCGAACGTATCGTAGGACTTGTCAAAGATTGGAAGAAAGTAATGGCAGCCCGAGAAGAATCTACTCTGGTCAGCACTAGTAGTATCCAGGGTGAGATTGACCTACACGTCCCAAAGCTCTCGAGCTTCCGTCTCCGAGACCAAGCCCTTTGTGATGACGTCCGGGAACGGATTTCTCGGCGTCGGGTCCGGCCTCGTCTTCTTCATCAACCGCGAATGAACATTCTTCTCCGTCACATCTATCGCCACGCGCTTCCTCTTCTTGCTCCTCCCCCTCTCTTCTCCCACCTCGTCCCTGAGATTTCCCTTCCCTTTCGCTCGCAAAGTATGATCCTCGTCACTAGACCCTTCACCGCGCTTCTCCTTGCCCCCTTCCAAAGTGGCCGCTTGATCAGCTGCGTTGGCGAGCGCTTCGAGCGCCTGGATAGGAGCTGTGAGGCTTTCGTGTGGGAGGGCGCTAGGGTACTCTTTGGGTGAGCGAGAAGATGAAGATGAGCGGGAAGAGGAAGGGGAGTGGTGTGCTGATGGAGCCGCGGAAGGGATTGGGATGATACCATAAGTGCCAAAACGGTGGCTCTGTATAGACATAAGTTGCAGAGTCTGACGAGAGGGATGTCACTTACAGAAGGTGCGGCATAGCCTGGTAGAGGAGGGAAGTCCTCCTTGTCCTTCTTGACGCTGACTGATCCCTTTCTCCCGGAAGCTATGTTTTGAGGCGACTTTGGTCTTCCCGGGACGTTATTGCGTTCGTTGGAGACAAGTCGGGGACCAGCTGGCGGCCAGATTTGAGGCGGAGAGATGGGAGAGGTGAATATTGTGGAAGGCGCCATACCCGGAGAAGGACCGTTGGATGAAAGTTGAGGGATGAGTTTGAATACGTGGTGAAGCTACAAGATGTCAGTGTTTGCATTGATCCTTGGAGAGTGGACATACAGCTGTTTGCATCTGATTGTGGCTATCGGTAAGAGCTTGCACAGCATTCTCCAGAGACCGGACACGACTGCATTCGACATGTCAGCATTGCAGTTGAGGATCGACTCCAAGAATCATAGTGTCGGATCCTCCCACTTGCGTATTCCAAGATGAGAAGAAGGCTCACTCATCAGCTTCTCCCTGAAGCTCTACCACGGTCGCACTCTTTCCTCGAGACTTTTCTGAAGCCTTTTCGAAAACACACTTTGTGCCGTTCAGCATACATCGCCGACAGGTTGTCTTTTTGGCAGACGGATCCCATTCACAGCGATTCTTTCCTTTTCGGCCTGTATATCATCAGTACTGAGCGATGGGATATTGGCCTAGCAGCTGTCTGGCCCCCCCCAGAGCTCAGACTTGGCTCTCGAAGGGTCTGACCGTAAGGGTGACTCACAAGCAACACACGCTTTACTACCTCTCTTAGCAGTAGGCCCCGATGAGGGAAGGACCACCTCCGGCTTGGTCTCGTGATCACTGTCATCCTCCTCCGCTGGCTCCGACTCGTCTTTCCCATTCCTCGGCGAGTCGCGCTCCCATGGCCGGTCGCTCTTTGATGGCACCCCTTTCTCTCCCAGCGACCACCCATAAGCCTCTCCCCGGCCGTACATGTTCTCTGCTCTGCGGCTCGTGCTGGCGGCAAATGGCAGCTCGATACTCCCCAAGCTGACGGATCCCGGGGGTTCAAAGCTGGCGCTGCCCCCGCTGGTTTTGTACGAGTTCTGGCGCTGGCCGAGGGGTGTGAGGTGGTCGTATGAGCGGTATTTGGAGTAGTCTTGGGAATATGACTCCATGTTGGGCGAAAAGGCAGAAGAAAGAGGGCAATACGTAATAATCAGTCCCCATCAGCTTCGCACTCGACAAGAACACCCGCGTGCCAGAACCATACTCAGTGGAACAGCGCGGCCCGGCTATTCCGCCCGGCAGCGAGGCCCGGTGACCCCCCACGTGGCGGTGCGGGGTTCCGGAGTTGAAAACCATGTGGCAAGCACGGGCTGACGTCATGGATCTGCGGATGACGAGAGATCCAGAAAGACACGGACGGACGAGGTACATATAGAGCGCTCTGATTGTTGTCTTTGCTTTTCCCATCCACTTGCCACTCCTCTTTCACCACCTACAACACACCACAACAACTATCACAACCATGTCCGACTCTGCTGAACCCTCCAAGACCAACGGTCAGATCAACTCCATCGTTGGTACCGGCAAGGTCCTTGTCGGCAACGTTATCGAGAGCGGCTACGCTACTGTCGGTGGCTCGACCGAGCCCTCTTCCTTCACCACCGAGGGTCAGAAGCAGCACGACCAGGGAGAGGCCGAGATCACTGCTGCTCAGGCCAAAAACTATGTCGAGGGGTGAGTACATTTGCTGCTATCGCCGGGCAGGATGCTGATGTTAAATAGTGTTGGAGACCGACTTGAGGGAAAGAAGGACTCTATCGTCGGTGCCGTGACTGGTGACAAGACCCAGCAGACTTCTGGTAACTTCCAGCACGACAAGGGGGAGGCCCAGATGAACGTCAACAAGCGTATGTTTTTCTCACTAGATTGAAGCTCAGGACTGACATCTCTTCAGCTTCATCATAAGACTCTAGTGTACTGTTACCGAGATGCGTTTAGATGTTGTTTATACCACCTATAGTCGGATGTCAAGAGATGTAAGAAGTCCTCAACAGCTCATCTGTGTGTTTTGAACGGCCTGCTCTGCTCCGACTCCAACATCGCCAACACATGACTTTCTGACAGGTGGATATTCATACAGCTCATACAGCTAATCTCTAGAAAAGACCCAAGATTGATCTAAGTGTTACACATTATAATACCGCCTTGTTTTGTCAACAGTCCCCATTTTTCCTTTATCGTCCATCTCTTAGACTCCTACCGCCGAAGATCATCCCTCCCATACATTCACTCAATCAGAACGGCGTCCCAGGCGTACCCAGATCAACCCCAGGCTGCGCCCAAAAGCCAACCGGCATATCCCCAAACCGCGTATCATTATACCTCTCCGTCCCCAACAACGTCCTCTGCCCCGGCGTCGCCACCTCGTCCTTCTTGATCCACCTCGTTCTCTCGGCAGCGCCTGCGCCGGCGGGACCGCTACCACTACCACCAGGGCCGGGGGTGTCGGTGGCTATAGATGACGGGGCAGGCAGGGTGATTGTGGAGAAGGTGGGCGTGGGGCGATGTATGGGCAGAGCAGTGGGTGACAAGTCCGCATCGTCAATGGTATCCCAGCTCGTCTCAAACCCATACTTTGCAATCCGCATGTAATCCGCCGACGCCGACCTCACCCTCGACTCATCCCTCTCCGTCGGTATCACAGTCGCCAACAGTGCCGGCGACGCATGTCTCGAATTGGACGGCGTCCTGCGCCCTGGGCCTCCTCCGGAAGGACGGTGCACTGCTGAAGCAGAACGGGGACGGGGTGGAGGCGAGTGCGTTTGGGCGCGGGCGGAAAAGGAGGGGCGTTCGGAGCCTGCTCTTGTCCTGGCGATGAATGCAGGAGGGCCGAGGAGCGAGTGCTGGCCCAACAGGGAAGGTGTGGTAGGCTGGTTCGGGACAGATATGGATCTAGGTTGAGGCTTGGGAGAGGCAGAGCTCGGGGTGGCTCCCACACCGAGGCCAAGGACCGCCTTGGCCTGTGCTCTCAGATGGCTCGCAGGAGAAGTCTGTCGGCTAGGAGGGAGCTCTTCACTCTCGTCAATCCTCTCCAGATCCGTCACTGTCGACAATGCGATCCCACTCGGCGCGAAGTCCTCTTCATCCGGCTGATCAGGCGTCGAAGGCAGGTTCTGTCTAATGTGACCCGGCGTCAGCCTTCCACCTAGTACACCACCGTCGAAAGATGGACTGATGTCGCCGCGCAGGGGAGGTTCTGGCGTTGTGGCGAATTCTGGTGTACGTTCAATGTTGTACGGTGTACGAAGGGGCCCAGTCTCGGGCGCATACTCGTACTGTGCACGCCATTCCGATGGCGGCCTGGGCGTTTGAGAGTTGTCTGGAACGATGCCTTGACGGGAGGGAGAAGGTGTCCTGGGCAAGACACTGGCCTGGGAACTTGTCGTAGCAGGCAGAGCAGGCTGCGCGAAAAAGTTTGGGGGAAAGGATGAAGGCGCTTGACGAGGAGACGGCGTGCGAGGCTGGCTCTGAGCATCAGATGTGGTGGCATCCGATGCTGGCTCACCGGCACGATTGGCGTTGAATCGTACGCGTTTGGCCTCGGCATCTTCACTCTCGACACGTTCGTGCGGATGCCGCCGCTTGCCGAGAGATGAATATGACCCAGACCAGGGCACTGACGCTGACCGTTGATGAGAGGTGTATGGAGCGTTCTGCCCTCCAAGGATACTCGGGTGGCCTGGTGTGGTACTGGATGGTCTGGGAGCGCGAGCCTGAAACGCCATCAGCCACTGCCTGTTCAAACTCAAAGAAGACATACCCGCTCTGCCCGTTCTAGCTCTTCACATTTCCGTCTCACATCCTGCACCTCACTCCGTAACCGTTCTACTTCTTGTCCCAGACGGGCCTCAACAGCCTGTAGCTGATCTTTCCACTTTTCGTCATTCTCTCTCAATATTGTTTGTACATCTGCCAACGTCAGAGGTGGAGCAGCTGGTTCTTGTATTGAAGGTGGGGAGGACGATATCGGTTGTGGTATAGCTGATGGTCGGGGAGTGAAGACTGGGGGCTGGTTGGCGGGTATTGAAGCTTCTTCAAAAAAGGTCAGCCGGAGCATGCGTAGGCTTGATCCGGTCACCTACCTTCCTGTCCCGCCGATGCATCCTCCTGCACCACCTCTTCTTGCACTTCCTTCTGAGGCTGCCCTCTCTTCCTCACTGTCCCAGCCATCCTCGATGCCGCTCTTGGTGCTTGCTTTGGAGCAGCAACCGGCGCCGTCGTAGGTGCGGCACCCTTGGTCCCAGCCCGCACAGTAGCCCCTTCAGCTTTCCGTCGCACTCCCCCAGCGGCTCCCTTGGCGACAGCAGTCCTCTGAGGCAAAGCCTTGTACATTATTTCCCTCTTCCCAGCGTTTCCTTGCACGGTGCCTTGAGATGCTTGCGAATTCGTCGGTGGCGGGTAGGCGTCTTGATAAGCTGGCGAAGCGAAAAAGTCGACAAGATGATCAATCAGAACCGCACTGGTGCCAGTTGCGCCTTTCAATTTGTGTACCTATTATAAGGCCAGACCATCAGCATCGTGTGATTCTCGAGAAGAAAGGTAAAGTGTATGGCGTGGGCCGGTGTATCGAGTGACACACCAACACCTTTGGCGAAACGCGCTGAAAGAGGCATCTACCCACTTTGAAAAGCGTCTGCAGATCTGCCCGGCGTAGCGACTTGAGCTCATCGCGGGTATATGGCCGCGTGTTGGCCATCCTGGTGGGTTTCGGGCCTGCCGGTGGGAAGAATGATGGGCGATGAGAGGCGAGGTAGGGAACGTGGGATGTTTTTTGTTGTTGTGGTCAAAGGCCGCGAGGGTGATACTCGAGTACTGTATTCGTGTATACCGCGCCGAGTCTTGATCACTGTCCACAATGGTCGCTTGGGATTTTGCCGGGCTGAATGAGAGCAATTTGGGATTATAGAGAATGCAAAGAGAGATCGTTCTTTGTTATTGTTTGTTGACACCGAATCCAGTGAAAGTGGGCTTACGTAACCTGACGATCTCGTCCTTGATTATCGCGTCGGATCGTTGGCCGCATTAGGTTTCTTTGGGTCTGGTGACAAACTCAAAGTGCCCAGAGTTCCGCCAGGGATCCAACGATCCGCGCTCTTGGCTGGGAAAGAGGGCGCAATGTACGATAAGAAATGGGGCTGTTGAAGAGTTCATTGGGGCTGCAGAACCGTCATGGTGGGATGTTTCAGAGCTTTGAGGTCAGCGTTCCGTTAACGCTGTCGATCCAATCAACCATGGCGGCATGCATTGCGCTTATATGCTCTGATAGCTTAGCTTGATAGCCATCTCGAGGATATCTCGAGGAACACATGCGGCACCGTCAGACATCTAGAATCCAATCTTATGGTCGAAGCATCATCCTACTGTCTTGGCTTGCTACATGTATCGCCCTCAGCCGTGCGGTCGATCCATAGACAGACTTGCCCTTAACATTCGCCCTTGGCATCGATACTCTGCAAAGAGTACTCACATATGACTATCCTAAATTATCATTTGGCAAGCTCCCTGAAGAAGAGCCCAAATCATAACGCCTTCTCCATCGTGATCAACTCTAATTGACTGTCGCCCACAACCCAACTCTCTTCCCCCACCCTCTTGAACCCCTCCTTATCCCAGAACCTCACCGCCCTCCCGTTCTCCGACCGCACATGCAACCACGATCCCTCATGCTCGCCCGTATCCTTCACCGTCTGCTCTGTCTCTTCCAAAAGCCTCTGAGCAAGGCCAGATCCGTGAAGAGAAGAATGGACGTAGAACCTGCGTAGCTTGATAGCTGATGGCATTGACACACCTGGGGTACTAACTCCGCTCTTCAAGATGGAAAGTCTCACGACGTCCTTACCACTCGGACCGCCCTCCGCTACATATTAATGTGATATGATTCGGACTTTCGAGACCTTTTCTCATCAAGTCTTCGGAGAATGTGGTGGTGGTCGCAACCTCTGTGGCTTGTTCAGATACGGAGTTGGCGTAGACGTCCTGCTAAGAGGAAATGGCGAGGGCAGATACACCGGGAGCGTCTGATGGAAGGGCAGGGCGAATGGTGAAGTTTGAGGGCGCTTCGGAGGACATTATCTTTAGGGCTGTACTTGCACTATGATGTGAGGCGTGGTACAGAAATAACAGTGAGCGTTCAATTAAGAAGACGAAAGACGATAGCTGAACAGACGCTTATAAGACGCTCGCTTTCAGACTCGTCCCCGGACCCCGAGTGAGTATCTATCAGTGTGCCTTTGTTGTCAAACCGTGTCTGGGCTCTCCAGAGCAGGGACCTTTGATCCTCAGATCTCTGTATCTAAGGATGCCTCTTGGAGTACAGCCGGACACACATTCCTGTTGACTGACAGGCCGCCGGTGCAGGTCACTCAACCTTGTCTGCCCTCTAGTATGTGCTATGACAGCCTGCTATCTGTAGTCATAGTATATGCATGGCATGTTGGCACTCTATACACGTGGATGAACAGTGATGCATGAACCCTGATGCATCAAGCGAAATATCGTTCCCGAAAAGACCTGGACGCTGAAGCATATACGCATGGCACTGACGCGCGTATCATCTCTTTCATACTTCAATCTCAGAGTACAGATGTTGAGACCGTTACTTATCTACATACAGATCGGGTATAAGGATTAAATGAGACGCGCGAGCACTGCACATATGTGAGACGATCTGATGGATCATCTTCATCATCGGGAAACAAAGTCACCAAATGTGGGAAAGAAGGGAAAACGGACCTCAACGTGAATACGGTACGCGGCTAGAATGACAAAGGGGAAAGCCTAGCTACAAAGGCAAAACACCAATCGCTGCAGGGGTAGGAGGAGACGAAACGAAAAATCAACGCAGGAAGGGACAGTATGACAAAGACGAAAAGAATTGAATTTATGGATTTGTTTCTAGAAAGCTTCTGAATCACCTGCCCCCTGCACACTACCTCTGACTTTCGTACCAAAGACCATGACCATGGATATATCCCAAAGACAGAGGGCTATCCACAAAGAGATATACGCCTCCCATTCCCACCGCGCTCCTCTCTACAACCTTCTCAAATCAAAGAGGAGGTATCAGGCGATGCTGATCCAGGTCTCTTCCTTCCCTTTTCTCTTCCACAGCTGAACCCGCCCGTTCGCTGTCATAAACTCCAACACTTCGTCTACGACAACTGTGCGGAGGTCATAGTCCTCGCGCAGCTCGGCGATGAAGTCGCCTAGGGACATCATCTGTTGGTCGATTGATGTTGGGGCAGGAGGTGAGGATGAGGTGAGGTTGCCGTTGAATGGGGAGGGCAGGGCCAGGCGGATAAGGTAAGGGATGCGCGAGGTGAGGCGAATAGGGTTGGACAAGGGCGAGTCAATGCGTGTATGGGGTATAAGGCGTGGAAGAAAGGGGGTTGGGGAATACCGACAATGGGGAAGATGAGGTAATGGGGCGATCACGAGCAGGTGGACAGGCGCGTGGTGAAGGTCGATGTGAACAGGTGGAAAGTGATAAAGCGATGAACACATGTCAGCAAATTGATGATCTCTACATCTCGTTTTCTCCATCTCACAACCCTAAAAGCCACATTCAAGCCATGAGATGCGAGGATACTCGGCATGCGACTTGCGCACTCCCGGGCGTCCGATACGCGCTCTCAAGATGAGGACGCGACAGACGGGCCGCACCCCAACACGATAGAGGGAAGAAACCCACCTTGGCATCCTGCTTTTCCAGTAGCCCTATCGCCTCGTCTGCCAACATTGGCACACTGAGCCTCTCCTCTGCCGTAGGCGGTGGCGATGGAGGTGGCGAGTTGTTTTCAAAGTAGCCCGAGTCGAGTGAGGGCACGGAACGAAGCTTGGTCTGCGCCTGGGAGTGAGATTTGGACGAAGGGATTGCGATGGGTTTGGTGGTCGATGTGGGGCGGGTGGAGAGGGTTATGGTCGTAGAAGACATTGTGAAATAGGAGAGGATGTCTGCCGGCGGTGTTAGGCATGTCCTCGAGCATACAACGCATGGTAAAGGGATGGGAATGGGGGCTTACCAACGAGGGCGTTGACTTTTGTTATTCGATGTGATATCTCACAGTGGAACAACAGGGGCACGGTAGAACCAAAGTGCACGGCGAAAGTGGCAAAGGAGTCGAGAAAGATGTCTTGAGAAAAGGAAAGGAGTCGGTGGGCCAACAAACAACACGGGAAACTGGAAAGAAGACTGAAGTGACTGAGAAAAGAGAGCGGTCTAGCCGTGGAGAATAGATAAGCACAGTCAGCTTCTAGGCAGTGGGTTGATAGATGAGAAAAGTAAAAGGAGTGTTGACACGTCGCTATATATATGGATGTCCTCGACACGCCTGCAGGCAGCAGGATGAAAAGCAAGGTGTCCTTGCAGAGCCACTGACGAGGGCCTATAGCCGGCCGGAACACGAACGCACTCACCTGCTCTTTTTAACACGCGTTCTAGATTGCTATAGAAAGGGAGGCTTCAGGGACTGGGTCTATTCCTCTTCGGGTTGCGCTTACGCTTGTTTTGCAGCGGACACGGGGTGTGACGTGGGCGGGGTGTTGGGGAGACGGCAGAACGGAACGGGAAAGGAGTAGGATGACTATTGGGTTGCCGGTTTGACGGAAAAGGTTACAGCCTTCGTACTGTAGATTGTCGAAAGATTGTCCTGGAAGCGCGATGGAGATGGAGGGCGCTGCTGCGGGCGTAGATAATCAATGCGGTCCTCCTCCCAGCTCCTGCTGGCCAGTGGCGAGGCCGAGATGGTCGGTGGGCGTGGCAGCGAGATCAGCAGTGGCACAGGCAGAGCAGCCCTGCCTCGTGATGAGTAGACCCTGTGCGTGTACACCTCGTGTTGGTGACGATGCACTGGATCACGCTGAGAATGCAGATGAGCAGACACACTTCGGGCTATTCGACCCTTCACGACGTCCATCGCGACACACGTAAACAGACACGAGGCTTTTGATCGTGGCGTGGTTGTGTCGCGACGCTCAGCAAGTCAGCACAGCCGCCGGATGTGGCAAATCGTGAGCTGTGTCCAATGTTCTTGAATTTACAATGTATGAGTCACGGCTGGAAGATCGACATCGCAAGATCGACAGATGTCCCGGCACCATCTAGGTCGTAGCATGAAGAGATCACAACTAATTTACAACAGTCAGAAGTCCAATCCTCGCCCACACTCTCTGGCTCATTGCTGGGCTGTGGAGCTCTCGGCAGCACCGCTGAATCCCTCAAACTTCTTGATCACATCGTCCACTCCTTTCTGCTTGTCGTCGCTCCCGAGACCAGCAGCTCGTTCGGATTCACCGATAGTGTACGCAGGCTCCTTGAGGTCCTTCAGTCGGCGCCTGGACTCTGTTAGCAGGGATCTACAAGAACGGGGAATGACAAACCTGTGAACTTTGCTCTTGGTGTGGTTCTTGAGAGCCAGATCAGACTCATAGTACTTGGCGCACTCGACGCAGTACTGCATTCGCTTTTAGCGCCACTCTTTCCAGCTTCCCTCAGCTCCATACTCACATGTTGACCCAATCCAGGCTTGTCCTCATCAATAGGCTGCTTCTCGAGCTTGCCTCTGTTGGTAGGGCGGAGGTCCATCTCAATCTGGTCGAGATCCTTGGTCCTCACTCGGGTTCGCGCGGCACGGTGGACATCTCGTCGGGCGTGGTGGGTTCTGTATACACTATCAGCTCTATTCCTCCGCACTCCCCATCATGTAGACATACCTGGATCGCCTTAATCTGCCCATTTTGTTGTCTGTAGGGTTTGTGGAATGCACGGAATGCTTGGAGAAGACCTCCAGAATTGGCCGCCGGTGAAAAACTTGAAAGTGGTAATCCTAGGGGGAGAGCGCGAATAAGTTTGACCTTTCTTTGGTTCTTGTCGATACCCTTTTCGCCGCTTCGCTTTCGATTGTTCTCTATTCCAACTTTTGCAAAATGGCTTCGATATCCCTTTCCACTGTACCCCTGACTGACGGTACTCCAGTCCCTAGCTCTATCCCCCCTGCGTTCGTCCCTTACCCCTTGCGAGAGAGACAGAGCTAACCTTCTAGATGTGCAGTGTGCAATCATGGGGTCCCCTGGCTATCGATGCCGCTGCTCACGGAGCTATCGCATTCTGTCAAATCTACTACGAAGCTTATGATGAGCCTACTCGGAGACCTGAGGTGTGTTTGCATTCTTCATTTGGGCATAGGAAGAGGAAGATTGGGAGAAAGGAGTTTATCGTCCTTTGTCGAGCTTCAATCTTGCCCAGCTGTCTAGTGTCAGGACGTGAGCTGACGAAGAGCAGGAAATACCGATTCTGTATCTCCCAGAATCAAAGATCATTTGGAACGGAAATCCCATATCTTCAGAACCTACCGCTCTTGCCGAATTCCTTCGGTCCATGCCTCTGAGTCGACATGATCTACATACCCTGGACTGTCACCCCGTCTCTTGTCCGTCCCCCCTCTTCTCTATTGATAGCCAGAATACTGACGAAAAATGAATAGCGGAAGAAGGCTCTCCCCCATCACTCGTTATGAATGTCACCGGCTCTGTCCTCCACGGCCCTTCCGTCCTTCAGCCCTCGAGCGATAAACCCGCAGAGAAGGATATGCCGAGAAAGTTTCACGAGTTGTTCATGTTGAAGGTTGTCGGTGGAGGGGAAGGGAATCAGCCGAGAGTGAGCTCTCTCTCTCAGTATGACACTGAATGATGCTGATGAGGGCGCAGTATGCCGTTCATAGTTCAAATTTCAGATTCATTGGATAGAAGAGAGGTATCAAAGAGCATAGCGAAAGTGAGTACCTTTTTAAATCTATAGATGACGACTGACAAGGGCTAGAAGACATGTAGCAACATAAGGATGCCATTCCGGGCCACACAAGTATCGGACAGTAACATCTCATCCAGCACGACATGGAGAATCTCATTGCATATGTACATTACCACCACGCACAGCTGCATGTAACGATACATGCATAAATTCATACGACGGCATATAAGAGAGACCTATTCGGCAGCGTGTATACAGGTCCCCAAATCTACTGATACATCCCTACTCGATACATTTATATCATCGTCCCTCGATCTTAAAGTTTAGCTTCCTTCAGAGCTTCGTTCCCCTCGCCTTCCCCACGCTCATAGACTTCTTCAATCTCCCTGGAGTACCGCTTGGCAGCAATGTTCCGCTTGATCTTGAAGGTAGGCGTCATGATGTCTTCGGAGAAGGGCAGGACGGTCAGGTAGACCCCCTTGATCGTTTCAAACCTACACCCATAATCAGCCCTGCTAAAATCTACGTATTCTCAGGACTTACCCATTGAGCTTGTACTTTCTAGCAGTCTTCCCGAGGTTCCTCAGAGCTGCCTTCCTAATCTCCTTATCATTGACAGCCTTCTCCAACCCCTCCAGGTCCCCCGCCTTAACATTGGCCCCCTTCACCTTTGAAATCAACCCCGCCGCCTGGTCAGGCTCGAGAACAGCAAGCGCAATAAGGTGTGATCGGGTAGAGTCGCCGTGCACGAGGAAGGAAGCAAAGAGGGGGTCAAGCGCGTAAAGGCCCTCAAGCTTCTCGAGCGCGACGTATTCGCCTTGGGAGAGCTTGACGACGTTCTTGAGGCGGTCGATGATCTTGAGCCTGCCGACAGAGTCGATCTCGCCGATACTACATAGACGTCAGTTCTCAATCCCTTCAATGCAACCAGGGAGACCTACTCTCCGGTGTGAAGCCAGCCGTCTTCGTCGATAGTCTCCTTGGTGGCTTTGGGGTTGTGCAAGTATCCAGGCGTGATGTTGAGCCCTTTCATACACAGCTCTCCACGAGGGTTGGGCTTGTCGTTTGCCGTATACTGTTCATCTCGAGATAAGCGAGGCTCAGCAGGAGAAAAAGAAGGGACTCACGCCCATGTCGGGGACATCGACCAGCTTGAGATCGTTGCAGGGCTGGATGGCGCCGCAAGTACCGGGGGCTGTGATGTCCCAACCGAGACCTTTTGTACCAGTACCGACACTCTCAGTCATACCAAACTATGGCTTGATCAGCTTGATACTCCGGATACTATCAGTTTGGACTCACGCCTTGCACGACTTCACAGGAGAAGCACACTTTCAAGATCTCGTGAACGTCCGATCTCAGAGGAGCAGCCCCGGAGCCCATGAACAGAACTCTTCCACCGAGGAGTGCTTGGATCTGCATCGCGCGTCAGATGATGAACCTCGGTGCCAGGTGGGAACGTACCTTTCGGAAGACGAGGGCATCGTAGAGAGGATGAATTACCTCCCCAGTCTCTCTCCACCTGGCAAGCTTCGCATTGACCGCCTTGGAAAGAAGGGCGCCTTTGAGGCCGCCGGCGTTCATTTGTTCCGTCACCGCTCCGTGAAGCCTGTTCCACATTCGAGGGACTCCGACCAGGAAGTGAGGTCTGTAGATCTGGGCATCTTCGCCAAACTTGGTAGCGTCTCCACAAGCGAAACCGATAGTGCCTCCAGCGTACATGACGACCAGTTCGACGAATCGTTCATAACTGAGCAGATCAGCACATACCTCCTACTCTGTTATCCCCACTCACATATGACTCAGGGGCAAGAATGACAAGAATTGCCATTCTTGTCCTATCAGACGAGGGTTGACACCTTTACCGTTGGAGATGGTAGTTCGTAGGAGGTTTTCGGTAGTCAAGACTACACCCTTGGGGTCGCCGGTAGTACCACTGGTGTAAGAGATGGTAGCGATTCTGTTAAGCTCGAGTGCCTCTTCTCCTGGCTCGGGCCCGGGTTGGACAGCGTTCGCACCAGATCCTTTCTGCAAGAGCTCATCAAAGGTCAAAAGGGTGATGCCGACAGTGTCGGCCCATTGCTTGAGAACGTTATGCTCCGAGGAGGAGAGGGGGTCCATGGAGACGACAACTTGTAGGGAGGGGCATTGGGGGGCAATCTTGAGAAGAGAAGTAAGATGGTCTCGAGATGCGACGATGACCGATAGAGGACAGTGATTGGTGCTATACTCTGTCAGCACGACTCGACAGACCACAAAGCGCACTCACATATACTGAGCAACATCAGGACCCAAAGTCTCATACAAGCTCACTCCCACGAGCCCATAAGCCTGACAAGCCAGATCCGTGATCTGCCACTCCTCCCGGTTCTTACTCCAGACACCGACAGCCCACCCTCGCCTCGCGCCGCCCTTCTTTCGATTCTCATCGCCATAGTGAGGTACGCCGGGATGTGTCACCTCGAGAGGCGTGGCTTTGGTACCCGGGGCATCTGAAGAGGCATTCCTGAGAGACCCCTCTCGCTCGAGAGCGAGCAGGGCAGAACCGACGGCGTCGCGCTTGATTTTGACCTCGGCGTAAGAGGTTGCGATCAAGGTTTTGGTGAGGATGGGGTTCTGAGAAGTGGATGATGGGTGCTCAGCACGACGTTGGAAAAGAGGTCGACTTTCGTATGTTGTAGCCGCTATTTTTGATCGTCAGCATGATGCTTAGGTTTGATTAGGGGTGCCCAGAACAGTAGCTGTTTGAGTGGGGGACGCATGTCTGTACATCGGAGAAGAGCATGTCGGGGTACAGCGGTAGTACTCACATCGTTCGAACAGCTCGTAGAGGGTACCAGGCTCATCAGGCGCGCTGAGGATGGCCCGGTCAAAGATGGCTACGTGGATGATCAGCCCCATCCTGCATCAAGCCGGTCGACGATGCGCTGCTAAGCCAGACTCACCGCTCCTCCACACTCCTACAAGATTGTCAGCTCACAACATGCTTGTGATGCTTTGACACTTACCTGACTGTCCTTCCTTGCGAGTACCAGGGATCTCCTACATGAACGTTGTCAGTCAGGCCACAAACCTCGGACATCTAGCACAGCACAGCAACGTACCACTCCCTGTCGCTTGACGTCGGTGGTCGGTGGGTATGGGATCAACGCCATCGTGGGCGATGGTAGTGGTATATGAGATGGGAATGCAAAAGAGAAAGGGAAAAGATAGTAATTTGCATCTGATAGTCACGCTGTCGGGACTTTGCACCGCGCCGGTTATGGCCGCCTTGCTAGCCGAGGCACCAGGAAGGACACCGCTCCAGCTTTGGGTTGATATGTGTAATTGTGTACCAACAGGCATGCCCCTGGCTGCAGAGGGTTATATGGGCTGACCATACCTGTACTATGTATTTCAAGGAGCTGTAGAGACATGCAACTGCACCTCAATCATCAACAGCAGCAGCAGGGCCGCAGAGCGTCGCCAAGTGCGCTGTGTCTTTCAACGCATCGACAACACGCAGATGCGCCGCGTACCATAATAAATGCGCACCGGTTTTGGCGGAGGAGAGGAAGGCGTCAGGTATGTAACTCCACCTAGAGAGACGCGGGAGCAGAACCCTTGTGCAAGGAGCTTCCCGCCGCCCGAGGCACCCGCTTTCAGGCAGCGGAGCAAGCATTTGGTTCAGCAAAAAGTGGTGAAATCGTCATGCACTTCTCTAACGGCACGACTGTCCTTTCACGACATTGCTCGACTTCTGGTGAAAGAGCTTTCAACTTGTACCAAACACTCTTGAACATTTATTTCACGGTCCCATCCCATCATGAACAGATCTAAACTTGATTTTTGGCTCTTTATCGACCTTCCCTCCATGCACCAAACCTACACCGCTTTCGTTTTTTGCCCACGGCCTTGCCAGAGACGCAAATGGACAACACTACTATTTATACAGCCGAGCGTAGGAAGGAAGTGGAGGCCTTGGTGGAGGCAGTGGAGGCAGTAGTGGAGGCACGCAGTGGAGGTGGAGGATAGCCGGCGGTCAGCGCTCGGGAAGCGTCTTCACATGGAAGTATATAAAGAAGAGCACATGTTTCCATGATCACCCACACATTTCGAATTTCTTTCAAACACAACAACACACCATGTCTTCCTCTCACACTATCTCCAAGGGCCAACTCGTCCTCGTCAGCGGCGCGTCTGGCTTCGTCGCAGTCCACACCGTCAAAGAATTCTTGAAAGAGGGCATCAACGTCAGAGGTACCGTCCGTTCAGCAGAGAAGGGCGACTACCTCAAGAACCTCTTCAAAGACTTGCCTGGAGAGTTTACGTATGTTCTCGTCAAGGACATCGCTCAGGTATGTCTTTCACCTTCACAACATCGACTGGGCTGACTCTGTGGTAGGAAGGTGCGTTCGACGAAGCGGTCAAAGGCGTCGACGCCATCGCGCATCTGGCTTCGCCATTCTACGTCACCAATGTCTCGGACGCCAATGAGCTCATTGGTCCCGCCGTCCAAGGTACTACTGGTATCTTGAAGAGCGCTCAGAAGAACAAGTGAGACCCGTCCTTCGCACATTGTGGGGCACTATTGAGCTCATTTCTTTGATAGCCCATCTGTTAAGCGTATCGTCGTCACGTCGTCTGTGGCTGCTGTCACGAGTCCGATCACGAAGAAGTCTGGGCTTATGTAAGCAGCTTGTTGGTCTATCTCTGGATCCCAATTGACGATGTGTACAGCTACACCGAAGAGGACTGGAACGTCGACTCTATCCCATACATCGAGAAGAACGGCGTCGATGATGGAGGTTCTCAAGCTTATATGGCCAGTAAGACCGCTGCCGAGAAGGCTCTCTGGTGTGCGTGTCCTCTTCCATTTCTGTATCAAGCTGACCACGGGATCAGATTTCATTGAGAAGGAGAAGCCTTCTTGGGATGCCGCCACAATTAACCCTTCCCTAGTTCTCGGTGAGGTGCTCCAACAGGTCGACAAGGTCGAGAGCCTCAACACTTCTGTGGGTACGTCAATCCTTTTTAATCTCTCCGCGCACTTCTGACTTGCAATGCAGCCCTCTTCTATCAATGGGCTTCTGGCCAGAAATCCGAGTCCGACCTCCCCGCTCCCATGTACAACTGGGTCGACGTAAAGGACGTCGCCCTCGCCCACGTCCGCGCCCTCACAGTCCCCGAAGCTGGCGGCCAGAGGTTCATCACCAGCAACGGCAAGTTCTCCGGCCAGGACTTTGTTGATTCCATCCACAAGCACTTCCCTGATGTCAAGGATGTCCCGGTGGGCAAGCCTGGGAGCGGGGCGGAGGCCACGAAGGATGCGATCTTTGTGGATGGATCGAAGGCTCAGAAGGTTCTTGGGTTCAAGTATAGGACTCTTGATGAGTCTGTAAAGGACATGTTTGAGAGTATCAGGACGAGGTTTGGTACCATCTAGTCGGAAGAAGAATGAATTTTAGAAATCAGCAGCCATGTTTCGTTTGAAAGATCACTGGAGACCAGGTAGATGGGACCCAGCTCCAACATCTGATGATGTCGGTGATGATTGTGTTTGTGTGAAGACATTTCCGCATCTTTACACACCTGAGACATAAGGGCAACGTACTTGTTGGGGTCGAGGTTGTGAGCTGGAGGAGGTCAAGGTCTAGAAGGTGGAGATCTATGTAAAGCGGGACGTAGCTGTGGTAGCTTTGGGGCCGTGGTATCTAGTCCGATGAATATCTGTAAACATGCACGGAATGATCTACCTGGTAAAACACATATCACGGAGTCTCATCAACGCCCCCAAAACAGCCTCTCGTCCCCCACGTGCGTGGCCTCGAGGACGAAGAGGTCTCCATTTTTGATTGCTGACGAAGACGGCTCGGCATGAGAGCACTTGGAGGTACGTGTATGGTTGTCATGTCACGAGATGTCGAAGAACAAGCTGCGAGCAGCAAACCGGCGTGCAGATGACCCAAAGGTCGACCAACCGTACCCTATAAACGGTCTCAGCGGTGTGTAGGCTGTTCCTTTGCTTGTGAAGGGGAGGTGTGGTGGACAAGCGACGATGGGGGTGCGGTTGAGGTTGAGGGGGAAATGCATGGAAGGGAAGAGGGGTATGGCTCGTGGAATATGTGATAATGGTACTTGAATAGAAAGAAGACAAACATAGGAATGAGTGGGTGACTAACAGGGCCTAGAACTTCCAATGGTATTTACAGGAGGTGCATCGTATTTAGAAGGCCGGAAATCCCGGACTCATATTAGAAAAATGGATGAGTTCGTGGTTGCATTGTGGCTTGGGAAAAGTGCAGGCCGGAAAAAATGACTGACTATCACTATATGTACATACATGATACAGCCGAGCCCGAGCGCAAGGAAGAAAGTGGAGGCCTTGGTGGAGGCAGAGTGGAGGCACGCAGTGGAGGTGGAGGATGTCGATCGTGGGTGGCCGGCGGTCAGCGCATGTTAACAACGTCATCATCTCGCTCGGGAAGCGTTTTCACATGGAAGCATATAAAAGAAGAGCACATGTTTCCATGATCACCCACACATTTCGAATTTCTTTCAAACACAACAACACACCATGTCTTCCTCTCACACTATCTCCAAGGGCCAACTCGTCCTCGTCAGCGGCGCGTCTGGCTTCGTCGCAGTCCACACCGTCAAAGAATTCTTGAAAGAGGGCATCAACGTCAGAGGTACCGTCCGTTCAGCAGAGAAGGGCGACTACCTCAAGAACCTCTTCAAAGACTTGCCTGGAGAGTTTACGTATGTTCTCGTCAAGGACATCGCTCAGGTATGTCTTTCACCTTCACACAACAACATCGACTGGGCTGACTATGTGGTAGGAAGGCGCGTTCGACGAAGCGGTCAAAGGCGTCGACGCCATCGCGCATCTGGCATCGCCATTCTACGTCTTCAATGTCTCGGACGCCAATGAGCTCATTGGTCCCGCCGTCCAAGGTACTACTGGTATCTTGAAGAGCGCTCAGAAGAACAAGTGAGACCCGTCCTTCGTACATTGTGGGGCACTATTGACCTCATCTGTTTGATAGCCCATCTGTTAAGCGTATTGTCGTCACGTCGTCTGTGGCTTCTGTCGCGAGTCCGATCACGAATAAGCCTGGGCTTCAGTAAGCAGCTTTTTGGTCTATCTGTGGATCCCAATTGACGATGTGTACAGCTACACCGAAGAGGACTGGAACGTCGACTCTATCCCATACGTCGAGAAGAACGGCGTCAATGATGGAGGCATCCAAGCTTATTTGGCCAGTAAGACCGCTGCCGAGAAGGCTCTCTGGGGTGCGTGTCCTCTTCCATTCCTGTACCAAGCTGACCATGAGATCAGACTTCATTGAGAAGGAGAAGCCTTCTTGGGATGCCGCCACAGTCAACCCTTCCTACGTTCTCGGTGAGGTGCTCCAACAGGTTGACAAGGTCGAGAGCCTCAACACTTCTGTCGGTACGTAAATCCTCTTTGATCTCTCCGCGCACTTTCTGACTTGCAATGCAGCCCTCTTCTATCAATGGGCTTCTGGCCAGAAATCCGAGTCCGACCTCCCCGCTCCCATCTACAACTGGGTCGACGTAAAGGACGTCGCCCTCGCCCACGTCCGCGGCCTCACAGTCCCCGAAGCCGGCGGTCAGAGGTTCATCACCAGCAACGGCAGGTTCTCGGGCCAGGACTTTGTTGATTCCATCCACAAGCAGTTCCCTGATGTCAAGAATGTCCCGGTGGGCAAGGCTGGAAGCGGGGCGGAGGCTACGAAGGATGTAGACTTTGCGGATGGATCGAAGGCTGAGAAGGTTCTTGGGTTCAAGTATAGGACTCTTGATGAGTCTGTGAAGGACATGTTTGAGAGTATCAGGACGAGGTTTGGTACCATCTAGTCGGAAGAAGAATGAATTGTAGAAATCAGCAGCCATGTATTGTTTAAAAGACCTTGGACTGGAGACCAGGTAGATGGGACCCAGCTCCAACATCTGATGATGTCGGTGATGATTGTGTTTGTGTGAAGACATTTCCGCATCTTTACACACCTGAAACATAAGGGCAACGTCCCATCACCTCGCAAGACCCATTAAGGAGTGCATCATAGCCGGCACTTCCAAGCCATAAATCATTTCATGATTTGTATACAAATGGTTATTCGGACAAACAATCTCTTCACCAAAGTCAGTTACGTTCATCCAGACAAGACGAAGAGCACGCACCTAGAAAATCACATCCTCATCCTTGCCCTCATCAAGCATATCACCCCCACCAGCCGCCCCTCCACCAATCCCCTCATCCGCATGCCTCTCCCCTCCCGCCTCCTCAAACTCTTCATTCTCACCCGCCCTTCTCTCCTCTGTAGTGGCCGCATCCCTCTTCTTCTTCCCTTGCACCTTCTTCAGCCTAAAGAACTCTTCTCGGTCCATCTCATCGAGCTCAGAGTTGATGTATTTGATGGTGTTGTCGAGACGGGGGATGACGACGTGTTCGATGGCGTTGACACGGCGGTTGGTGGCACGGATGACTTCGTCGAGGATGGTGAATGCGGTCTGTCGCTTGGTTAGTTTGCACATAGGGGTGGGGCGAGACGGGGACGCACTTGGAGAGACGCCAGCTCGACGAGAGTGCCGACCGCTTTGATATACGTCTCGCGACATTTCTGGATTTGTTGTCCTCCTCGACTTAGACCTGTCAAATTCACCTCTGACCATCCTCATCAGCTCAAGCTCTCTCTCCGTGATCACAGATGGAGACATGACGCACCTTTCGAGTTCTTGATAACACCCTCAAAGGCCGGCAGGACGACACCACTGACATTCTCCTGCCTCGCCTCGACCTGGTAGCTCGCGGTGGTGACGGACTCTTGGACTTGATAGCTGATATCACCAGCAGTGTATGTGACTTCGGCGAGGGAGAAGGACGCAAGCTGGAGGACACGGCCCATCAAGCGCTTGGCCTTTTCACATTGTCAGCTTGTCTCCCCAGCGTATAAGAGTGTACATACCTCGTCGACTTTACGGAGGATAGTCCTGAAACGGGTGGTAAGAGCATCACGCTTCTTGGCAAGCAGAGAGTGGCCTGTTTGAGCACCCTTAAGACGACCCTTTGTGAGGGTCAGGTTCATCCGCGTGGGGCTAGAGCGGGTCAGCGTTTTCCATGAATCTGGGATGCGGCTCACAAGATGGCTTCTCTGGGACCTGCACCGGACATGTTGGGCAGGAATGGGATGGAGAGTAGAAAGGAGAGCGCGATGTCGACAGTCGAGTTGATGTCGAGAGGCGGCCATCTCCGTCCCACCTCCACCTCATCCCTCCAACATCCCTCCGCCCATATTCCACATCTCAAATGCATCCCGCTCTTGCATTTCCACATCTACAATCCCAAAATGCCTCCCAGAACAGCCCCAGCACCCCGCGCGGTCCCGCCCCAGGCTGCGAGGATGTCCACCCCCATGCTTTTCGCGGTGCTCATCCCCATCTGCCGGCTCTTCTTCCTCTTCACGCCTCTCTCCCAGCCGTCCTCTCTCAACCTCCAAATGCCCTTCGCCCCTTCCTCGCCGATTGCCCCGAGGAACGAGGAAGGGAAGGTGGATGCGAGCTGGAAACCCAAGGCGTTGGTGGTGACCGCGCACCCGGATGACGAGGCCATGTTCTTTGCACCTACGGTACACGGCCTCGGGCTTGCGGGCTGGGATGTGAGCGCTCTGTGCTTGTCTGATGGTGAGCTACCTTTGAACATTATTCGTATTTGTGCTGACTGCTAGTCAGGCAATGGCAATGGCCTCGGACATCTTAGGAAGGACGAGCTCTACGCGGGATACAAGACCCTCGGTGTTGCCGAGGACCATGTCACGCTCATTGACAACCCGTAAGTAAACCATTGCAATCGGCAACACATGCTGACGACTGAGTAGGGATCTCCAGGACAGTATCACGACCGAGTGGGACCCCGCTCTCGTCGCTTCCTACATCTCGGACTCTATCTCTGCCAACCCCGTGGACCTTGTATGTTGCTCCTGCTCTCACACTTTGTTACATGCAATACTCATCCCAAGCAGATCATCACTTTTGACGGTCAAGGAGTCACATCCCACCCCAACCACAAATCCATCCCCGCGGCCATCTCCCACCTCTCCCCAGCCAGCCGTCCCCGAGTCGTCGCCCTCAAGTCGCCCGAGACAGTCGCCAAATTCACGGGCCCCCTCCACATCGTCTACCTCCACTTGAAATCTCTCCCTTGTCTCCCGATATTCCAAACCAACCCCGCCGCCCAAGCCGTCCTCTCCCAAGTCCTCGCCATGTTCAACCTCTCCCCAGGAGAACAGCAAGGCCTGTGTACTGCCGAGAGGCATGTTTTGGTGAATGATGTAAGGGGGTGGGTGACGGGGATCAAGGCGATGAGGGAGCATAAGAGTCAGATGGTTTGGTTTAGGTATTTGTACTTGTTGGGGTCGAGGTTGATGTGGGTTAATGAGCTGGAGGAGGTCAAGGTCTAGAAGGTGGAGATCTGTGTAAGGCGGGACGTAGCTGTGGTATCTAGTCGGATGAATATGAATATGTATAGAGCAAGAATAGAGATGGCGGCGGTGGAGGCAGTTTGGGCAGGCACGCACTAGAGTTGTCGGCTTATCCTGCTCCTTTCCCTCCCTGCCCCGAACCTGCATGCTATTGCTCCCCCGCCAGGTGAGCACGGCCCTCCCCGCTCTGCCCCGCTGACCCGCCCAGTGGCCCGAGATAGCACACGCTCCACCGCGCCGCTTCCACTTGTCCCCTCACATACCGCCTCTGCCTATGCCATACTGACTGCATCCCATACAAGAGGGTTGAGCCAGCACCATGTCCGGTGGCGTCTTCTTTCTCGACGAAGAGCGCGACCACTCCCCGGCACCCACCGCAGAAGACACCACACCCTCGCCCCCTGCCACCGCCCCCAAGCCGCCTACGCTCCAGATACCCTCTTCATCCACGCCCCTCGCCGCCCCTATCCCCACCCCCGCCGGCCAGCCGTTGCCGCAGCATCGAAAACACCCCACCCCTTTCGCCGCTACCACTCCGTCCTTCCCATCGCCCCTAGCTCGTGCCGTCACTGTGCCGTCGCATTCCGATACGTCTTCCTCGTCTGATGTGTCTTCGCCGACTCACTCGGATGAAGAAAGGGATCTTACAGAGGGAGAGCCCGAGAGGGAACGGCGGCGGAGTGATCAGGCTTCGGATGTTTCTGGGAGTGGGAGCGGAGCAGGGACGCCTCGCCGCTGGTCTGCTGTCCGTTCCACAACACCATCTTCCTCAATCCACCGCTCTCCATCTCTATTACGAGCAGGTAGTCCCACGTCCCGTCCTCCAAGCCCAGTCAACAACACCACCCGCCCGCAACCCCTGACTCCGGGTGCGCTGCTCATGCGCAACAAGCGCAGTGCGAGTATATCCAAGCAGCCATCCCCTACCCAACAGATCGACCCATCTCCGGTTTCATCTACAAGAGGCAGGAGCGGGTCCAGCGGCAGCTCTCAGCAAGATCACAGCGTTAGTACCGCCGCGTCCAGTCCGCTTCCGTCGGCTTCTTCCGGCAAGCCTGTGGCTATACCAAAGCCGCAAGAGACAAAGGAGGCCAACTCCTTGGGACTGGGATGGGGATGGGAAGGAAATTCTGTGGCCGGATTCATCCCTGCTTCGGCGTCTGTGTCTGGTTCAGGCTCAAGCTTGGGAAGTGCTATCACCGGAGGAAGCTTGAGGGACAAGAGCAGAAATAGGGAGCGAGGGGATAGTATCAGCGGGGCAGGTGGACCCCCTAGTCCTCGGAGAGAAAGAGGAGATCGAAGCAGTATCTCGAGTAGCAACCTTGGGTACGTCCTTTGGCCTCATACGTTGAAGAAAGGAGCGCTGATCCTGTTGTTTGTATACTAGTGTTAGCCCCGCCAAATCACGGCGTGCCTCTGATTTCCTCAGCACCTCGGCCAGCAGCAAGATGCCATCTGTATCAGGCAGGGCGTCTTTTGGCGGCAATATGGCTCATCTTTCGACGTCGGCCTCTATGGTCTCCCCTCTCAATCCTCTCCCCTCCCCCTGGCCGGCCAACCAGAACACAAACTTGACCAGTATGGGCAACCATGGTGGTGATGGAGTGATGGGTACCAGTCTCGGCAGCAGCGTGCACAGCGAAAGCGCTTTGTCAAACACTTCCGGTAACGCCGGCAGCTCTGCCGGTGGGTCGGGAACGGGCGCTATCAAGCTGAACAGAGTACCTACAAGTGTACGCTTGGCGAGCGACTTGCTGCGAAACTCGAACGCCAGCAGTCCCGGATCCACTTTGGACTTTGTCCCCGAGCCTGCAGAGAAAGATGACGCCGATGATGGATCACCGGTGTTGCCTACTGTTGCACCCCCTCCTGTGGACCCAGCACGCCCGGCGCTGAGCACGGCTACTCCTCATCCTTCACTGAGAGGCAATGTGCCTCATGCCTCAGACTTGTCCCCCAAAGCGCCGTTCAAGACACCCATGGTACCTCTCCTACCCCGACCGCGGCCGTCTTTGCCTTTGCAAGAGGGAACCACTATCGACCCCGTCAAGGTCCACAAGTACAGAACGTCTCTCCACGAACCTCCTGTGACACCGTTCTTGTCCACCTCGCCTAGAGATAGAAAGCAAGGAAGTGGTTCGGCTACTGTGGCCAATTCACCTACCAAGCTTGATTCCGCTACATCCCCGTTCGGTCTTGGACTCTCCCTTCCTCCTTCGCCCTCTTTGCCCGTCACCAACAGGGACTTTTTGGCGCCTTCGTCTGCTCTGACGGAGAGGCCCGCGCCGAGCTTGCTCACGGCTGACGCAGCCATGCTGCCGCAAATCCGGAGATTGAGTGATAAAGGGCCGAGCAGGGAAGGTTTGGGCAAAGGGCCTTTTGGGAATGATGCGGCTAGTCACGCAGATGTGATTATGCAGAGTCGACAAGCAAAGATTCAGCGGTGGGGTGTTGGTTCCGGCGTAAGTTTTGCGCGTTGCTTGGTCGGGAGTTTGAGCTGATGATCCATTTTGTAGAGAGATAAAAGTGCTCTTCCGCCAGCGTTTGCGCGTTCTGCTAGTGCTGGCTCGCCTGCGATGCTGGCTGTACGGCGAGCGGACCGTCAGATGGAGTGGGGACAACTTGATCGATCTGTCAATACCGCCGCATCCAGCCCAGGGGAGAACCCCGTGGGCACTGGAGCGGGATCGCTGGGTGCATTGTTCAAAAGCGGCGGCAGAGGCATGTCTATTCGAGAGGATCATTCGCCAAAGACTGCCGGGCCGAATACCCTCACGGTCCCTCACATCCCCCTCACGCCCGCCCCATCTAGCCAAGGCTCGTTCAACCCCGACGCTCAGCATCATCACGCAGCTGTCCCTGCTGGGATGGGCGATATCGAGTGGGTCGATTGGTTGGACTGTTATAGAGGATACAAGGAGATGAAGATCAAGGCGGAGAAGGATGCTGAGCAGCGTCGGGCAAGTGATGGGTCTGTCAAGGGCGAAAAGAGTCCTGAGCAGGAGAGTGAGACTACACCTCAGCCGCCACAGGCGGAGAGGACGGAATCCGACCATGACACTACGCCTGTGCCGCCCTCCGCTTCTGGGCTCACATCAGCGTACCCACCCTCATCATTCCAGGCTCCGAACTCTCAGCAAGGACAGCAGTCTGGCCTCACCCCCACGACATCACGAGATTCACACATGTCGTCTGGGTCTCATGTCCCAATGGCCAATAATGGCAGTTTGGGGTCGAGGCAGGGTTCTTTGCGAAAGAGAAGTTTGTCATTCAAGAGTCTCAGCTTGGTGGATCCCAGATTGTCGCCTACGCTTGGAATGAAGAGGCGCGAGAAGAGTCGGCAGGTCTCTGGTGATTCTTTGGCTGGATCTGCGACTGGGTCTGGGAGCGCCGCGGGTGGTGGTGAAAAGAAGAAGAAGAATTTGGCGACCAAGATGGAAGGCTGGTGGAATGCTGTCAAGAGCAATTTTGTTCCCGATGCCGAATCTACAAGTCAATCTCATCTGAAGCCCAGTTTCACTTCTCCAAAGAAGCCGTCAGCCACACCATCCATGGCATCCGTCCCGCACACCTCTGCCTTGATTCCTCACCGGTCCAGGAGCCCGGTATATCTCTCACCGTCTCCCACCAGACGAGGCTCTCCTTCCCATGGGCTTAGTCTGAGACAAGCCATCTCTCACAACGAGCTTCGCCATAGGAGAGACAAGGATGATATCGAGACAGCTTCTCTGACTGGAGGCGCAAGTCCAACCAAGAGAGATCTGCTGAGCGTTGAAGATCCGGACAGACAGAGCGTTGAGGGCTACAGGAAAAGCATTGACGGGTGGAAGGAAGACATTAGGCTTTCTCGAAACTCGAGTGCAGACACTGCTGTGCCAGCATCCACACTGATGCCTCCTCCGCCGTTACCTTCCGGGCCCGTCAGAGCTCCGTCCACGGTGATCGAAGAATCTTCCCCACCCAGTAGAGATAGCAACGAGCCTCCCTCGACTGGATTACCCGGCCACTTCAGCAGCGGACTTGGCGGTAGTCTCGAAGCAAGGCGAAAGCAGCCGAATCTGAGGCTGGAGCTCTCCCCGCACAGGTTCAACAGCCCTTTCACCTCTGGGTCCTCAAATTCAGCTTCGGCGTCCGTGCCGGGGTCTGGACCTATCCCTATGAAAGTACCTCTTGGTCAACCACTTCGAGATAGTGAAGCCTCGTCTCGGTCATCCGTGTACGGCCAGTCCGCGGGTTCGGCAGCGTCCTTGGGACCAGGGCTGACTCCAGGGGTGCCGAAATGGGACCAGACTCCTTCGCCGGTCTACAACTTTGGTTTGGGGCTGTCTCAAGATGATGGTGGTCTGCTGGGTCCGATGTTGTCGGGCAAAGGTCTCGCCCATGGACTGGGCCTCATCGATTCAAAGATGGGAGGAGAGCTTGAGAACCAACCTGTAGCACCTGGTGTCGAACTCACAGTCGGCTCTGTAAAAAGTCACATTCGCAGAAGGCTGAACGGTGCCAAAGAAGCGTGCGACCAGTCACTACGTCGTACGGTCAACAGTATCACAAAGTTCGTCGACGGACAGAGGGAATCGCAGCAAGGTCAAGAAGATGTGCCGCTGGACTACTTTGAGAAGCTCAATCTGAACGAGAGCCCAATCGTGGATACCGAAGATACTGGGAGCGAACTAGGTGGATTTGAGAGCGAAGGACAAGGATCGAGGTCTAGGGCTGGTAAGTGATGCCCCTTCTGGGTTCTGAACGACAAACTAACTATATACCTAGTGTCGTCATCAAGGGGTCCCAGTCGAAGACCCTCTGTGTCTCGGCACGCCCTCAGTCCCCAGGCAATCACATCGATGCTTCCGACCAGCCCAAGCCGCTTCGCCTCGCGTCGTCGTCCAAGTGCCGTGCCCCGAAGCTATGCGCCGGGTGCCCGTAACATTTCGATATCTTCCAAAGACAGGACCCGATCTGGGACTAGCTCTCGATCCACG